ACCTGTTACACATCAACTGCGAGTGCGAATACGAATAATAGCTAGAACTGCGAATACGAATAACCTGAAATAAATGCGAATATTATTCGTGCCGAGCTCTATCAGAAACCCAGGTAGCCATACCCTATGTACATGTGTATTCAGAGTAGAAATATCCACTAGGGCTCTATTAATGTGTATTTATTTACTACTGTGTAGGTAGGTGATGATGGTAGTACTGGACTATAGTGGAGTCCAGAGACATTAGATCTTGGGAACGACACGATTGATCAGAAATAATTTCCCAGGTTTTATGCCAAGAATTTAGATTTGCTATGTACTATATACATATGTAGGGGAAAAACATTGTGATGAACTTTGGATGACATCACAGGCTTCCTATCTACATTGATAGTATAGTAGGAACAAATATACGGAAGGTCCTTGGTCATTGCAGAGGTCTAGATTTAGTGCTTGATTCGATCCAAGCCGTGTGTTTTACCACCGACAGGCTGGTTTCAGTCAGATTTGGTTTATGGGTTGTACTTACTATAGTACTATCTTGTTTGGGTCTAGTCTCCTTTTCATCATACAATGTAATTCGTCCTGGACCTTCATACAAATGGACATTTTACCATATTTAGCCTAGTGTTGGCAATTCATAACTTTAAGGATTCCCCTGGACAACGCATAAGTATTGTATTCTCCTTTTCATCATACAATCTAATTCGTCCACGGACCTTGATAATTGCTCTATTGGATCTCCTTCTATTTTCCTTCTATAGAAATTAGCAGTTGAAATCTGGGAAAAAATACTTAAATTTCCTTTTTATTCTTCAATTCCACCTGCTGATAATATTTCCTCCAAATCTAAATTTTTTAAACGACCTGTGCAAACCCTCAATATGTCTTGGGATTGTAATTTCAACAAAACAGAAAGACATAGTGAACTTGACGCCGACAACTCTTTGATTCCCTATCCAACAGACCATCATGAACCTACTATCACTTTGCGACCGCACCACATTAAAACATTTTATAAAATTAGGGGTTTACCCACTACAACTTTTCCTGATGTCCGATGAGCTTGAAATTAAAAATATTTTTAAGAACTCATAATAATTTCAAACCTCTGAAATCTTCAGCCTCGTACGAGCCCTAGAGGTAAATGGGATGCACTCATGAAATGAATTGGGAAAGACCTCATCCCAGCAACCCCCATGGATTAAGAATTGCTACCTAGGTACCAGAAACCCAGGTAGCGATACCCTATGTATATATGTATTCAGAGTAGAAATATCCACTAGGGTTCTATTAACGTGTATTTATTTACTACTATGTAGGACCTTGGTCGATATCGGAACGACATGATTAATCAGAAATACTTTCCCTGGTTATGACAAAAACTTAAATTTGCTATGTATATACTCCCGACAGGTTGATTCAGGTGGAGATATTCCAGGTTTGTTAAGTGAGGGTGGAAAGTGTTTTGAGTTAGGCTACAATAGTTATTGTGGATTTTTAAGTGAGGGTGGAAAGTGAGTTCATAAGAAAAGCCATATATGGCGACCTATCGGACGGCAGCACTTTGACGAAAGTGGATCAGTCTTCTATGAGTACATCAGCAAAGCCACATATGGCAACCTATCGGACGGCAGCACTTTGCCGGATGAGGCTCTAACAATCACGTTAATGTCCAAAGTGGTTTAGTAATTGGGCCTTGGTCTACCAGATGGTCGTGGTTGTTAGGGAATCAACAAACCGTAAATCAGGATATATAGAATACATATATTACCAAATATTACCGCCTTTAACCCCAGTACCCACAGTTAATCAGCGTGTATTGTTACCCACTCGTACCAGGTACTGTGTACTTCCTAACTTGATCCACACTTACTATTACAATGCAGCCCAACTCTCAAAACCATAGAAAACTGATCCGCCCCCACGTGCCAAGTGCAAGTTCAAGCCTAACTATTGGGAAGCCTATTTTCTCCGTTCTTGGCCTTTTAGGCCTGCAGTGGATCCAAAGCTCTATGCCATGCTTTCTAAAATAGAGCCAAGAATCTTAAATAGACCAATTTCAATGTGCATCGCCATAGTCAGTGAATACCACGACTCACTGCCAAGAGTCTGGCGCCCCCGGTCAAAGCATTTTTTCCTGTGGATTTGTTAGCGTGGCACTGTTGTAACAACACACCATAGTATAAATTAGTAGTTGAAATCTGGGAAGAATACTGAAATTTCCTTTCTATTCTTCAATTCCACTTGTTGATAATATCTCCTCCCGATCTAAGTTTTCAAACGACCTGTGCAAACCATCAATATGCCTTGGGATTGTAATTTCAACCAAACAGAAAGACATAGTGAACTTGACGCCGACAATTCTTTGATTCCCTATCCAACAGACCATCATGAATCTACTGTCTTTGCCCTACCAGAAACCCTAATTCCTAACAACCCAACCTTTATCCCCACGCTTACCTCGTCGGTCTACGGATTCCATGATTACTCGATGAATCAACCCAGGATGCTAGATGATACTATATCTTCATCTCACCTGATTCAAATGCCGAGCTCCAATATTTCTGCTCTACCAGTTTCGAGCTCAAACAAGGCGAGGGCTCAAAACATGACTCCGACAAATGTTATTCCCTCTCAAGAGCAGATGGCAACCTATGATCAAGCTACTAGTGGGTAAGTCTTTTAGATAATCCACCTCGATCTCTATTTTATAGAAAAGCTCACCACTAATATTAAAAAGTCTCATCAGGTGTCAATGGGCAAACTGCAGATATTCAGGCACCTTTTCCAATGACGGATCTCTATGGCGGCATATAAAAACCACCCATCTGTATCATCGTTCCCTCAGGTGCTCTCAGTGTGGGCGCACCTTCAGTCGCAATGAAAATCTTCGAAGTCACAGACAGACAGTGCATCTTGAGTGGAATGGTTCAGTGGCAAGGAGTTAGGGTTTGATGTTAAGCTAAACACCAGTGAGTGAAATGTTATGACGTTAAAATAAACTAGCAATAAAATGTTAAATATGATAAATTGGTCTTCGGGGGAACACATATCTCTATAACCAAGCCTTTTAGCGACCTACTGTAAACGGAAAGTCTGTAATTACTTCCGGCGCTACATTCTGATACCATTTTTGAGCGTGTCAGTATGCCAGTGCCAGCGTCCGCATTGTAATGGGTCGATACCCGATAATATACGCAGTCTCTGGAAAGACTGCGCTCCTGATTCCTGTGCGGAGCCGGACGAGCCATAAGAGCATCCGGTCCCCAGGACCCCCTTTCTTTCCTTAGTTAATCCTTCTTGTTTACCAATGGGATCTTTATAGTGTACAAATTCCTGCATTCATCCCGTAACAGCAGGGATCGAGGTCTCCGGATGAAAAGGTTAGGTTAATCCTAATATTACGGGATGAATGCAGGAATTTGTACTCTAGTTAACTAGTTATAAAGATCCGATTAGTATTTAAACAAGAAGGATTAACTAAGGAACAGTCCTACTCAATGAGCAAAGTAGCGAGGAGGTGAGCACTGATACGGAAGAAGAACGCCAAGGACTGGTGTAGGAAATCCTGTACATGAAGGCTTGAAACTTGCGATGTTCCAAGGTTCCAAGCCTGGAGGCTATGATATCATACTTCACATAAAAGGGTCTCGGGAATCTTGGGATATCCTATAGGTGCTCGAACATTGAAAGGGGTATTCTACGAGTCATCAGATTCGAGACTTACTGTCATCGTTCGTCTTTCCGAGTTATACATGCCCATCTTTCCCATTTGGCGGGCATCTGTTATAGTCTATATACTATCACTTTACGACCGCATCCCATTAAAACATTTTACAAAATTAGTGGTACCCACCACAACTTTTCCTGATGTCCGATGAGCTTGAAATTAAAAATATTTCAAGAACTCATAATAATTTCAAACCTCTGAAATTTTCAGCCTCGTACGAGCCCTAGTATTAAATAGGATGCACTCATGAAATGAATTGGGGGAATTGCTTCCTAGGCACCAGAAACCCAGGTAGCGATACACTATGTACATGTGTATTTAGTGCTCGGCAAAGATATCGAATATTCGAAAATCGATCGAATAAATTCGATTCAAATTTTCCGAAACGAATTCGAATTCGAATAATCCAAAAATCTATTCGTTTTATTCGATGCCGAGCGATATGTGTATTCAAAGTAGAAATATTCACTAGGGTTCTACTAACGTGTATTTATTTACTAGGTAGGTGGGGTCAATGCAGAGGTCTAGATTTAGTGCTTGATTCGATCCGAGCCGCGTTTACCTACCAGGTGTGAAATTGTAAGACTGGTTTTAAGCCACAGTCAAGTCAAAGGTGGATGGGATTGGTTGAACTGTGGAGGACCGGTAGTGGGTCAACTTACACTGTGTTGGACATTCGAAGGTCTTGGCAGGCATCTGATCATATATGCATGATTGGTTGGAACCTTGGAACATCCCAATATTCGTCAAACACATGGCATTAGAAATGCTCAAACTCATTTCATTGGTCATTAGAAGCTATTCCCAATAAACTTGCGACACTACACCGCAGTTCCGACGGCACACCGATCGACAAGCTAGCGCCATCCCAAGTAGATAGTCTCGTATACCCCTTCTCTCTACCTGTTTGTAGGAGCCAATCAGAATTAGAATTACATAAGACCTGATTTGCTATGATCAGTAGCGTGGTGATCCACCGGAGTACTTCTCTCTCATGTCAGTAATTGCATCTGCTAGTACGTCAGTGGATTACTGATCGTAGCAAATCAGGTCAATCTCATTTAGCTTGGATCTCCTCTCATGTACCGCCCTGCCTACGACAATATTAGATCACTCACCGCCCGCATAATAGCTTATTCGCCTTTATATAAATTAGTAGTTGAAATCTGGGAACAATACTTAAATTTCCTTTCTATTCTTCAATTCCACTTGTTGATAATATCTCCTCCCGATCTAAGTTTTCAAACGACCTGTGCAAACCATCAATATGCCTTGGGATTGTAATTTCAACCAAACAGAAAGACATAGTGAACTTGACGCCGACAACTCTTTGATTCCCTATCCAACAGACCATCATGAATCTACTGTATTTGCCCTACCAGAAACCCTAATTCCTAACAACCCAACCTTTATCCCCACACTTACCTCGCCGGTCTACGGATTCCATGATTACTCGCTGGATCAACCCAGAATGCTGGATCATACTATATCTTCATCTCACCTGATTCAAATGCCGAGCTCTGATATTTCTGCTCTACCAGTTTCGAGTTCAAACAAGACGAGGGCTCAAAACGTGACTCCGACAAATGTTATTCCCTCTCAAGAGCAGATGGCAACCTATGATCAAGCTACTCGTAGGTAAGTCTTTTAGATAATCCACCTCAATCTCTATTTTATATAAAATCTCATCGCTAATATTAAACAAGTCTCATCAGGTGTCAATGGGCAAACTGCAGATATTCAGGCACCTTTTCCAATGACGGATCTCTATGGCGGCATATAAAAACCACCCATCTGTATCATCGTTCCCTCAGGTGCTCTCAGTGTGGGCGCACCTTCAGTCGCAATGAAAACCTTCGGAGTCACAGACAGACAGTGCATCTTGAGTGGAATGGTCCAGTGGTAAGGAGTTAGGGTAGAGTGGAATAGTTCAGTAGCCAGTAGCCAGCAGTTAGGGTTTAATGTTAAATGTTATGACAAATTGGTCTTCGGGAGGGATGTCGATAGAATACGTCTGAATGACAGTGCCATGTGTTCCATAAGTCCAGCCTGAAGGGAGTTTTATTCGACCATGTCAATATGAATACGTAGTGGAATAGGTGCATAGAAGTGTGTTCATTCAAGTCTAGCTATCAGAGGGTAAATATACCCTTCCAGAGTGGAGCCCTCGTGACTTGCTTACTCAAGCTCGTACGAGGACTCTAAGTTCCAACGTCAGACCAATGTAATTACGTACATATGTTCCGACTATCAATCAAATCGACACTAAATAGTATCCAATTTACTACTGTAGCGCGATAAGGCTTCTTTAAAGACGAAAAAAATAAAACCTATTTCAAGTCTATAAAAGATATACGTCTTGAGTACGTCAAATGATCGTGCAGCGGCTGATAGCGAAAAATATTGCCCATATTTCATAGCTTGAATGGCTAATAAGATATGCCTCTCCTGCTCTACTACTTTCTATCATTTTTTTAGAGCGAATTGGGGGCATGGTGTGTATTTGAAAACAGAGAGTTGCCACAGAGACGAAATTTTGATGGAGCGTTCCGAACAAGCGGGCGTTATGTTATAATAGGGAAGGTTTTCACACTTGGTCAAGAACTGTTTGGTGGGAGCCATGAGGAGTTATGAGGAGCCATGAGCTTTCAAGGCAAACTATTGCGGAGAAGTTCAAGAAAACGTTGATCAAGTTCAGTTCGGAAAGGTGTGTGATAATTCCACCAGAAAACTACTGCGTAACTCAGAATAACAGTGGCTGATGGGTAGTATTACAAGACTACAAAGAAACAATTGAATAATCTGAACAGCCTGAAATTTTATTTTGTTCACAGCGAAAACTATGAAATTCATAAAAGAAAAGTCATAAACTCCATAAAACACTTTACTAATGGACTTAGATCTCGTCCTCGTCAGAGAAGACCTCCTCACCACGCTTGCGGCGGGCAGCACGGTCCTTCTTCTTCTTGCGGAGCTCGGAACCTGAAAGGCAAAGTTAGTGGATATGTTCAATCCAAAGACAGTAGAATCGGAACAAAACTTACCAGTGAGCTTCTTCTTCTTCTCAACAACAATCTTGTTGCCCATGGCATCGAACTTGTCCTCCTCATCGTCGGCCTTCTGGTCGAGACGGGGACCGGAACCCTGGCCCTGAACCCAGTTGTGTCCGGAGGGGGTCATAAGACCGTCGTTGACGGCCCAGACTTCCTCGGTAAGGTTCTCAGTGAACTCACGGGAGTGAGTAATAATGATAACACCACCCTCGAAAGACTTAATAGCCTTGGAAAGAGCACCAAGGGAGTCACGGTCCAAGTAGTTAGTAGGCTCATCAAGAACGATGACGTGGGGACGCTGCCAAGAGCAGGCGGCAAGGACGACCTTGACACGCTGACCACCGGAGAGACCACGCATACGAGAGTGAGAAACCAGCTCGTTGTCGAGACCGAAGTTGGCGCAGTGCTGCTCAATCTCCTTACGGACAAGGGGACGGAACTGACCGGAGGCAAGGGCCTCCTTCTGATCAACCTCAGCAACCTGCTTGGAGTGAGACTCCATGATCTCGGAACGGGGCAACCAGGTGTTGTCAGCGGACATAAGGGGAGTCCACTTCTCAGACTTCATGCCGATGTTGTCACCAATGGACCAAGAGATCTCGTACTCGTAGGTGTTCTTGAACTTGCGACGAGAGTGGATACCAATGACACGACGGAAGGTGTCGTTGACACGGTAGATCTTCTCCATGGCCTTCTCATCCTGCTCGGTAACAATCTTGTTGGCGCGGTCCATGGTCTCACGGTCCTCACCAGTCTGGAAACGCCACTGGATGTACTCGGAGGGAGTAGCGTCAAGGTGGTCATCAATGTGAGCGAAAGCGTGTTGCTTGATGTAGGCGATACGGATGTTCTCGTGCTGGTAGACATCACCGTCGGTGGGGATAAGCTCTCCAGTCAGGACGTTGACGAGAGTAGACTTGCCGGCACCGTTGGGACCGATAACGGCGATACGGGAGCCGAGGGAGACCTGGAAGGTAACCTTGGAGATCTGGGGCTTGGGGGTGTTGGGGTACTGGAAGGACATGTTGTTGACACGGATGATGGCCTTGGACTTGGTCTTGACACCCTCAAGGAAACCGGGCTCGGGGAACTTGAACTCGAGGTCACCGGCGCCGAGCTCGTAGTAGGAGCGAGCGGAAGGAACACGCTTGACGAACTCGCTCAGGTCACCACGGTAACGCTTAAGCTTGAAGCGCTCGTAGTGGATAACGTGTTGGATGACGTGGTCGAGGAAACGGCTGTCGTGGGAAACCATGATGGAAGTGCAAGGGGAGGACTTGAGGTAGTTCTCGAGCCACTCAACGTTCTTTACGTCCAAGTGGTTAGTGGGCTCGTCAAGAAGCAGGATATCGGGCTTCTCGAAGACGGCACGGCACAGAGCCAACTTCATCTTCCAACCACCGGAAAGGGCGGTGATGAGACCCTCGAGCTGAACGGGCTGGAAGCCGAACTCTTCAACCAGCTGCTTCTCGACATCAGCCTTCTCAAGGTTGAGACCAACCTCGGCAAGCTTCTTGAGAGTCCAGCCGAGAACGGTCTGCTCAGTATCGGCAGCATCGAGATCGTGCTCGACGTAGACGGTCTTGACTTCATCCTTCTTGGGGAAACCCTCGAGCTGCTCGTTGTTGATGGCACGCATGAGGGTGGTCTTACCGGAACCGTTAGGTCCGAGGAGACCGTAACGCTGACCACGCTTGAGACGCAGGTGAGTCTGGTTCAGCAGAATCTTGGCACCGTAGGCCAGGGAGAAGGTGCAGTTGCACAGATCCTCACCCTCCTCCTCATCGGAGGGAACCTCATCGGCAGCAGCAGCCTGGGGAGAGGCCTTCTTGCGGAGGGACTCGGCAATGGGCTTGGCCTTCTCCTCACCGACGATGGCGATGAGGTAGGGGAGAGTGTTCTGGGTCCAGATCATGTGGTCGCTCTCCTTCTCGTCAACGAGCTGACCGGCGACAGCAGCAACGTAGTTGATGATTTCCTCGGAGCCAGCAATGCGGGCCTTGAACTCGGGCTCAAGGATCTCCTTGAGGATGGCAGAAACGGTGGCAACGTCACCGTCGTTGGAGATCTCGGGGATCTTGCCGTCCTTGACATCACCGACACGGGAGAGGGTGTCGAGAGCCTGGCGGGTCTTCTCACGGGCCTCGGGGTCGGCAAGGGTCTCGTAGTTCTTGTTCAAGCCGGGCAACATCTTAGGCAAGAAAGGAGCGACGAGCTGGGGGTCCTCCACAAGCTTACACATGTTGTCAACAATGACGGCAGACTTACGCTTAATGGCAGTCTCACGCTCAACAAGACCACGGTCAAGCAGGGGAACCATGATAGCGAGGGTAGGGCCGGTAACATCGGAAACGAAAGTGGTGGCACCGAGCAAGTGAACGGTCTCGGGGACGTTCTCGGGCTTGGCGATACACTTGATGAGCTCGGGAATGAAACGCTCAATATCCTTGTTAACAATCAGACCGCAGACCTTCTCCATGGTGCCGTAGGCGGCCTTCTTGATATCAGCCTTGGTGTCCCACATGGCCTCGGAGACAACGGGGATCAGCTTGGGGACCTGGTAGGAGAGCTGAGCAGGGCAGGACTCGACGAGTGTGCCGAGGAGGTCCAGAGCAGTCATCTTCTCTTGCCACTTCTGGGCGTTCTGAAGAGAGTTAAGGATAGCAGGGACAATGGCCTTGACGGCATTGCCGTTCACGGCCTGAACGATAGCAGCGGCAGTGGACTGAGCGGCCTCCTTAACGGCGGTCACCTTGTCACCGACAGCGGCGAGAACGGGGCCGAGGAGAGAGGCAAGGTGGGGCTCAACAGCGGGGGAGATAGTGGTGTGGGAAGCGATAGCCCGGATACCCTCAAGGGCACGCTCACGAGCGATAGCATCCTTCTTGTTGGCGAGCTGCTTCTTGAAGGTCTCGGCGGCCTTAGCGGGGAGAGCCTGCTCGGGGATGGGACCGCTGAAAAGAGTGGCAAGGTTGTGAGCGGCAGCGTTGACCTCATCGGGGCTGGTCGAGATGTTAAGGTTCTTGACCAAGTCCTCGAGGACAGTGATGGACTGAGCAACCTCCTTGCTGGAGACAGCAGGGACGGAAGGGGCTGCGGAAGGCATGTTTGAAGAAATTTTGGCGGTTTGAGGGGAAGAGATTAGAGAAAAAAAACAGGTCTAACGGGGTATCTGATTTTTTTTTTTTGGCCCACAAAAACCGTGTCTGGGCTGTTCACGCTCTTAATGCAAGCGTGAGTCTTTCTATCTGTCTATGCAGAAAGAAAGGTATAAAAAAGAACAATGAGGATTTGACCTCTTAAAAAAAAAAGATGGAGAGTGGTGAAGAGGGGAAGGGGCGGGCTGAAGGGGGGCGAGATATTTATCGTGTGGCTCTCACTCTCCCTTCGCCGCCTAAACCCTCATATGAAATTTTTTTTTTTTTTAGCCGGGCTTTATCCCGCGCTAAACCACAATTAGTGTCCTCATGTCAGATTAGGGAATTTGATTGGAAGATGAATGGTTTGCTCCCTATTCTACTGTATTTTATTGGTTACTGGTTGCTATCCGACTTTTTTGGTTTCTTTTCCACTTCCTGTTCTGGAGGGGCAAGTTCAACGGAAGGAACAACTTGCTTCTCCATATCTATACCTATACGGTCATATCCCTCATCGTTATGTCAACCCATTTATCTACTCATGATTATCTGCAGGGGCTGTTATCAGCCTGTAACACATACAGTAAGCATAAAGAACCCATGACAATGTACTGTGTACGTTGAGCCAGTTTGCCACTCACCGGGTGGCGCTCTTGAATCTTTTAAATACTTTAATTGCTTATGTCAAGTCAAATGAATAGGATTTTTTAAAGTTAGAATGGCCATTGACCCCAACATGCTTATAACGGACGTACTCCGTACTTTATACTACGGATGATAACATCTGGCACTGCCCCATACCACGTAATTCCAATGATAAGAAGTTAAAGTGCATAGTCAGCATCAAAAAGAAAATATTGGAATAGAGAATTAGTATTGCAGGTGGGTAGAAAAAATAAAGTGCTGTCTCCCCGTTCATGACCATTTGGCCCTGGAGCTGTTCGCTTCTTTTCCTGGTGAGATGGATGAGCTTTTCTCAGCTACGGATTATAACCCGGTTCGTTAGGCCTATGCTTTAATGCGGGCGACGTCCTTAGATATGTCCTTGGATTGGATCTTAAATATGCTAAGAGGGCGTCTGATGTTCATCTTAACTAACTATACAGATGAAATGGAGGAAAACATAAGTCCTAAAATGGAAAAAAAAATAAAAAAATAAAAAATAAAAACAGATCTATATCTCACCACAAAACATAAACGCCTCAGCCAGGATGCACAAAATAAAACACATCCCCCAATTTTTCATCTTTAGAATAATATGAGGATTGCTGCTGATACAGGCCAGTAAATGACCAATCCCGACTATACAAGAAAAGCGCTCAAACTCCATTCCCATATGCGGAAGAACTCCATTGAAAAGCCAAAACAAGTAACATTAATTAGAGATTTGAGCTCATGGCTGTTTCTTGACATGGTGAGATCCTGATTCTGACGGAATCTCATCGCCATCGATAATGTGCCATAGGCGTCGGGGGGAGAAGTTGTTGCCAACTAGATAAATGCCGACAAACCAGGCCGATAGGAGGTTTGCTAGGTGGTGGAGAACATATGCATAGGTGACTCCGTACACTGCTGAGTAGATTGCGATCACAAAGAGGATTATGGAAGTTACGTGTTTGAATCTGGAAGTGTTAGTATAGAATATTGCAGGGGAGAGAAAGGGTGGTCCTTACCGAGTGGTTATGCGTGGTATCATTGCACCGCTGGTCATGGTCTCAACAAGAAGGAGGAATGGCATGATGGATAATACATTATGGTTGGAGGAGAAGGGCATGAACCAGTGCACCACAAGGTTGTGAGCCCAGACCAAAAGCACAAGGACATTGATAGGCAGAATCCACAGCATGAGAATCAAGATGGAGTGGGCGTAGTTGCTGAAATTGAGGTGGGGTGAGGCTCTCTGTTATACATGTTAAGGTCCTTTCCTTCCACTCCTTCGGATTAGAGCAAACATACTGTTTCATTGGCATGCCACTGGGCGCGAACACACGTTGCCAGCATCACTATGCAAGCAACCATATATGCAAACTGATAAGGGATGATTGTTGAGACGAGAATTAGTAGGATAGCAGTGTGGATCACACGTCTTCGGGGTGTGGGGGAGCTGAAAATGGGAAGATTTCTATGTCTGTTAGCAACAGTGAAGATGTGATCCTGTTGATAAAGGCTTACCCTCGGTCTTCACGTCGGATATAACCTGACTTGCTGTTCATCACTCCATATATCCAAGATAGGATGGTTACCAGAAGGAGGGCAACATAATTAACCAAGACACAAACACCAATGCTGATAAGTCCAAAAATAGGGACAAGGAACCAGAAGAATGCATCTGGTGATCCCAGAAGAAGATCATTCTTAGTGAAGTCAGACGGGCTTTCTGTAGAGTTAGACCGCCAATGAAATGGATCATCGGACTCGGGAAAAGCCTGGGTGGTGGCGAGGGAGGACGCTAGAAGTGACAACGCCACAAGTAAGAGAGGAAGGGAGGATCGCGAGGCTCGATCGAGGCCGTCCATGAACGGGATGAAATAGCCAGTCTCGTCGTACACCTGAAACTGCTTTCGGAGTACGAGTGCAACGACAAGCAGTGGGAAAGCCGCGAAGACAGTACGGTAGCGCATCACCAGTTCCCCTAGACTGCCAATGATATCCACTTGCAACGAAATGTCCACTGTTGACCCAGAGCTTGGATCGGTCCATAGGTGAAATGATATACCACCCTTGGCAGCCTGGTCGCGAAGAGGCGGCGGCATAAAGGGCGCCACGCCATGAAGGTTTACATTGACCTTGTTGACATTCACAAAATACTTGGACTCGTGTGGATCGGCGATAGACTGTCGCAACAGTGGTTGAAAAAGCTCTTTCTCTTGGGGGTGGCGTGTGATTTTGAGGCGGTAGTCAAGAAGACTCGAGTACATGGCTGGGATCTTTACCTCAGTGAGCATGGGCCGATCGGCTGTGAGCCGAATCTTAAGACCTGCAGCTAGCAGACTTCCCAGTCCCACCTTGGCGCGAAGTACGGCTTCAGAGCTGTCGGAGAACTCTGCCACCAAAAATCCCGGTGTTGGCACATTAGCCTTGTCAACGACAGCCACAAACTGATGCTCCGCGAGTCCCTCCAAATCATACTGAAGGTAGGAAAATGGTGTGACATGGTCGTAAGGTTGCTTCGATGTAGGAGTCGATGCAGGCAGGAGAATAACATCCTCAGCCGCATTTTTACATGCCAGTCGGGTTGACCCCACGGTGCCCCCGGAAAAGTCCAGGTTCATGGAAAAGATAGTGGAGCGGCCGTTGTTTAGTGGAAACACGCTGCAAAAGAATACCTCAATGTTACCCTGGCCATCGATAAATTGATCTGTAAGAAGAGTAAATTTCTTGCCTGAAACACCCTGGGGCGGAATCGGGAGAAGGCGGACGTCGGGACCGTGCTGCTGGCCTAATTCACGGAGAATGAGTCGTTCGCCTTGTGCAAGAATGGTGTTTGCATTATCTTCCAGTGTCAGGAGCGTGTTTGGTTCCTTCTGCGAGAATGTTCTCTCAGCAACCGACTCCAGTCCTGTCAAATACCACCGCTTTAGAACTCGCATGCGCTCGGCTCTCGGCTTTGTTTGCGTGGGTCGTCGGGCATCGACAATTTCAAACAAGGACTTGATTATGGCTTTCCGGAACTGGTCACACCAGGTGATCGATAGGTGATCCATTCCAATCCACACATTGGGGATAGAAGATGTAAAAACGGTGAATCCATGTGTTTCAGGGACGAGAGAAGAAATGCTTGTGTAGTCGGACGGAACCACAGTATCGCGCGCACCACCAGCAATTGAGATCAATGTCACATGCCAGAGCGGGTTGTTGTTGGCCCATGTTTGTGCGTAAGCCTCACGCCAATAATCGTTGATCTGTTTGTAGGTGTGAACGATGTCTGAGTCGAATGATACAGGCGGTCTCGCATGCGGGGCTGACATGGTTATGATCGTATTGACGGAGTTAGCCTGGTAGTTGGCCATCGTCAGGGAAGTACGGGCCACAATGCCACCCATGGAGTGTCCAACCAAGATAACGGCGCTGGGATCGGGAAGGCCAGGATCCCTTCGTGTTCGTCTTGGGTCGTGATAGAGGGACAGGATATACGAAATCGCCTCGTTTACATATTCCGCTTGATCCAACAAAGTCTGTCCGTGGAATGCAGCCATATCTTCGTTGAAATCCACCATGAAAAAGTCTAAGCTGCGAGTACCGGCCGCATGACGATCCTCGTCGTGCCGAACCACGTCGTAGTAGTGCCTCGAAGCCTCGGCGGCTAAAGATCGGACCTGTCGGTAGCTGCCTGCATTGCCCGGAAGGAAAAGAACTGGAACACCATTCAACTAGAGGGAGTTAGCAAGCAAGAAATGATGAAACAAAAATGACCAGTCATCGTCCTACCCCGATATTGTCTTGAGTATATGGATCCACACCCTCCTCCCGGTAGAGAAACAGATTGTATTTACTTGCAAAGCGCGTATGTTCTGTATCAAACTCCAACATGCGAATAAATGTCGGACTCATCATCGGTACTCCACAGCCATCTCCTCCGACCTGGCGAGTGGCGAAGGACCGCACAATCGAGATCAGAAAGACGACGGCAGCGAGTGTCGTAAAAGCGGTTAAAATGGAGCAGGACCAGGGACTTTGTTTGCGGGATTGACGCGCACGACGGCCCTCTGGAGCAGGAGCCTCCAGTGGAAGCCGCGGAGAGCCCAATGGCATGGTTTTTGTGTAGTTGGCAGGCTGGGCCGATGGTGTGCGTAAAAGACTCGAATTCCGCGAGCGCGGAGTCGAGGTGCCGTTATCCCGACGAAGATCGAAACTTGTACCGTGGCGAGCTATTTGCGACCGCGATTTATCATTTGTGTCGATTGTACTGGAGCCATGGTCGTCTGGGAATCGCGCGAAGGGGTCTTCAGAGTCCTCCGCGACAGGGGAGCCAGACGAGCGTCTGTGCATTGGTGGAGGCGGAGTCGGGACTCATCCAGTACATCCGATTTCGATCTTGGCACAAAGGGGGGTGAGCACGACCTCAGGCCGGAATCGAGGGGGAGGGGATTAGGGGACTGGAATGTGAAGGATCGGGGGAAGGATAAGGGAGATGTTCGGGGAGTTCGCGGTTGGTGGAGGTTCTGGTTGGCTGGACTAGCCGTGGGAAAAATACCCAGGACCCTTGAAAGAGAGAGTATTGGGGTTAAGTTGAATTACGGTAAGTGACCCAGATACATATTGATATTGATATTGATATCAAAATGGAAATAGAAATAGAAATAGACATAGAAATAGAAATAGAAATGGAATAAATATTAGTACTAAAATTGCTTAGTAGTATCAAAGGACGGAATTGGTAGTCTTGGCAGATCACGATGTACTGAGACATTGAGGGGAAATGGATTCAGTATAAAAGTAGGTACTATATCGACCTAGGTGGTTATTCAATGAAGATGAAACATGACAGTTCAACAGTTCGTTCTCAATTTATATTGATATATTGACATGTCGATAGATATACAATATCTTCTATACTAGATTGGTTCCTGGGATATCCTTGTCTCCGTTTATGGCCAAAAGGTTGTATTTCCCCAAATGTACTACGAGTACGAGGTAGTACCTGCAGGACGCGTACAACAAGAATGATATCATTTTAATTGGATAGGATCTACTACCGATAACAGCCTCATCTTACGATTCTGAATTTCTTCACTGGTCTGGTTAATTTCGATTGCGACTTTTAGGTTGGTACAGAGACTCGGAAGAAGATATCTGGTAGTTAGTCTCGGTCTCTTCTTAGCTGATCTCAACTACATAAAATTATGAGAGTCCTGAGGGATGAAAATCATGTCATAGTCCCAAGATCTAAGGCTCGAGCAACAAAACTTGGAACACGATTGATCCAGTAATATTAGCTATGTCGCAACCGATATATATGGATAGATGATCAACACAGGATATTGTATGAGTCCCTTAGTATTCCCTTTAAAGCTCATATTAAATCATGGAGTAAACAAGCAAATACCGGCAGCTAGTCAGAGCAAGATAAAAAGCAACTGATCAATCCAACTCGCGTCGCGATGTAGTAGGCTTTTCAGGATCGCTCTCTTCATCCACTCGGTCCAAGCCACGATGAGCCGCAACAACCGCTAGATCAGCGTCATGTTCAGCATCAAAATTACGACCAAGACGCTCCGGACCAGCAAAGGTAATTAAAATGACATAGGCAAAGACGCAGCCCATGAAGATGCAGATGACTTTACCATAACTGTAGCGATGGGCAACGGTCTTAGTAGGTGGAAGAGGAAAGCGGGAGCCAAGAGTCGATTCGATAGTGGAACTGGCAGAAGACACAAGATTTCCAAGCTGGTAGGCAGTGCCCACGGCAAAGGTTCGAATGGGACCTGGGGATAGTTCCATCAGGTGAATGGGTATAACACCCCAGGCACCCTGCACCATGAACTGTTCGAAGAATGCTGCTGCCATGACTTGGTGGGTTGTGACAAAGGTGTAGGGGTACAACAGGGCACCGCCGACAATGCTGATTGCAATGATAGAGAATCGTCGGCCGAAGATCTGACTTGCCCACCCGCAGATGGTACCGCCTGTGATCGCACCCAGATTTGCTACAACCTGTGTGACGGTTACGGCATCGGCGGAGAAACCGAACTGATTCTTTAGCATGGTTGGGTAGAGATCTTGCGATCCGTGTGACTAGGCATTTGTCCATCAGCGGTGTTTTGTAAGAACAGATAATATATTGAATTGGGCAAAACGTACCATAAAGTTGAAACCAGCCATTAGCAAAACCAGGTAGATCAACAACAGCCAGTGCCGCTTGAGCGCTACCTTGCCCTCAGAAATGAAAGACGCAGCCACACCACCACGCACCTCACTACGAGCTTCCTGGCGACGGCGGAAAGTTTCGGTCTCGGGCAAACACAGCCGGAAAATGATAACCAATACCGGCGGGCAAGCACCGAACCAGAAGAGTGGTCGCCAGCCATGCGAAGTAGTACCAACCAGACCTCTGGCAAAAGCGGCAGCTAGCAGATAGCCAAACGCATAACCCTGCTGCAGCATACCGGAAATGATTCCGCGAGCCTCGGAGGGGCAATCTTCCAACGCAGTGGCTGCAGCGTTACCGTAAAGACCACCCATGGCGATACCAAACAAAGAACGGCAGGCGAGGAATTGCTTGTAGGTTTGGCAGAAACCGGTACCTAGCTCGAGCACTATGAAAAGAAACTGATTGAAGATAAAGGGCCATTTGCGACCCCATCTGTCAGAGGCAATTCCGAATATTATGGCGCCGACTGATCGTAGCATGAGAACGAGCGTGATACCCCATGTAATATCGGTGACTGATTTATCGAAGGATTCAGCCAGCTCAGTTGTGGTGAGCGAAACGGTGAAGAAGTCGAAGGCATCCCAACTCCAACCAAAAAATGCGACCTAGAATCATTAGTACATCTTTGAGGTAGCTTTTGCTGTTGTAAAATACACTAAAAAATAGCCACTGTTGACGATTGAGGAGAGTCAAAGACTTGAAAGGGTTCGGGGCTGGGTTCATCGGCGGCACCAGGGATGGAATGCGCGTTGCGATATAGCGTTTGATACTCAGATGTTCCTCGACATCTGGAGAGATAGCAACACCCGTGGCATGCTGGGGTTGTCCCTGATATTCTGCCATAGCTGCTGTACTATGCAAGCAGGTGGGAAGAGCACAGGTGAAGATCGTGGGGGAGGGGAGAAATGGCGGAGAATGCAAGGGTTAAGTGGATGTACAGGGTAAAAATAATACGGGGAAGCTGACGGCGTCATGACACGACGAAGTATCTTTCATATATTCCAAGGTTAGTACTATTATTTCCAACCCCGCTTTTTAAAGAACATAGCATTAGCCTATTTGCAGGTTAAGCTACTCAGAATTGGGAGTCAGAATTAATCAATCACCCATGGTTGGATTGCAGATCTTTGCCCACGTTTTTTTCATTTGCGGGGAAACCCTAGTTTTTCGCACGGACCCTGCCCGAGGCTATCGATAAATTACATATCAGCTGATGCTGTCAGGTTTGAAAAATAAATGGTTGCTTGGGTAGGAGGGTCTGATTACTCATTTCGAAGCGGTTTCATACTTCCCCGGACTTTGCGGGGAAAGGGGAGATAATATCGACTGATAAGAAAGCTGCATTCATTTGTTTCTTTATTAACTTCTAATTTACATTGAGTCTAGTTTTATTGATTTATATACCTATGTAGAGTATTTATTACCACTGAAACACTTCTTTTCGTACATTCCCCGTGTCCATCCCGGAGATGTGGCTGAAGTAAACCACAGCGCTGCACTTATCGATATCAAACACCGGTAAAAAGTACGATAGCCTCGCTGAAGCAGGGATATCTGCGCTGCACTCCACAACGTCAAGCCCTTCCTCTTCAATCTCGATCCATTTCTCTGCAAAGTCCGCCACAACGTAACTATTCCATACCCCTTCTTGGACGCCAGCAGCACGGAGCACGCTAACGGCTCGCCTTCGGATGAGCGGGTCGCGACACCGTGCAGCAACACTAAACATGGCCCCGATAATGCCGAGGTCGAGTGAAAAGCTCGTCAATGATGAAGATAATGGAGGTAAATTTGTGGAAGAGAATGCCGAAGAAGGATAAGATTTGTTGATCAGCTCGCCGAGTGTCACAATATGCTCAAAATAATCACAGTACCGGTCCCACTGGATATGGTCGTCGACCACAGCATCGCCCGGCTGGAGGATGTCTAGCGCGACAAAGGCGTCGATCTTACGGAGCTTGAGAACCATGGCACCACGGCGCTCGCGATCTGTAAGAGGGACGCCACGCTGCAAAAATTCGTCTAGGGCGGCAGACCAACGCTCTAGAATGGAGAGTGAGGTGTCACGTAGTGCGACAGCCTCGGGCTTGATGACGGTGACAAATACGGCGGGAATGATTATATCTGTTTGTATGGGTTCGTGGAGCAGTTCCGTGCTACGCTTACGGTAGTTATAAGTGTAGATCTCGAGTATCTCACGGGCGTCGGCTAAAGAGTTGAAAACCATGGGTTGGTCTAGGTCGATGGTCAGCTCGGGCCAGAGATTGGACATCTCTGACCTGGATTGATAAGATGTCTGTTGCATTCAATTTAGAATATGTTATAGGATATATTATTTCCGAGAGAATGTTTCGTACCACCGTGACCTGCGCTTGAAGCCGTGAAAATAGCCCGCACAAAACGTCGATTGAAACGTACGGCATGCGTCCTGGGCTTGATGTTGCAGATAATTTAATGCGGGATTGTTTACTTCGAAGTTCGCTGAGAATCTTCAGTCCGCTCGTGATATGCATTATGGCCGAACCGTAATGACCGCGCATCGCCTGTGGCTCAGATAGTACCCATAGATCGATAAGGAACAAGAGGTATACGCACCTCATAACATGCGAAGAGGACACACGATATTAAGCAGACGTCCAATGGCTGTGAGTCATCTGGCATCGACATCAGACAGCGCATGGCACGCGAGTACTGGCGCAAGGCAAAGGAGCTATGAACGGTCAGCACGCTGGAGCGAAACGGGGCACCAGCATCACGCTCAAAGTGCTCATGTAGCGAGCCTAAAGCGACAGTGATATGGCGAATTGCGGGTTCGTGGTGAGCAGACTGCAGCAGTAAGCGTTCCCAAAAGGCACATTCGAAGTCACCGGCCAACTGCGGGGCGGTCTTCACCAGGAAAAATTGGAACGAGCGGCGCTCCTGATCACATGAAAATTGATAAAACGAGGGAATGCTCAACGGTCGAGATACAAGCTGTCTGGTAGTTACAATTGATTCTGTGGTCGTGATGCTCTCCGTCGTCATACTCTCCGTGGGCGATGCGAGAAGCGGCTGACTATAGCCTTCGCATACACGACCAGTTGATGTACATCGTAGACAGGCTGGGCGTTCTTCGCCACACTTCACACGGCGTTCTATTAGTTTCAATGAGTAAATTTGGAGCCCTTATATAAGATAAATGCTTCTCACTCCTAGGTCTGGTTAGTAAGAGTCATGCCTGGGTGTGGGAGACGGACTTGCAGGCTAAGCAGCCCGTGCGCGTCTTCGGGCGATATGCCCGCTTCCGGTTTTCCGGGGCGACTCTAGGCATTATTCAACCAAGTACTGGTTAGGTCAGGAGCGGCATTGACAAGCTAGGTGAACAAGGAGGTTGAAACTTGAGGGCGGTCAACTAGTCAACTAGTTGAGGCTGAGATTGAGTGTCTTTGTCAGCGGACCAAAGGTCGATCGATAAACCTTAGAAAATACCGAGATCTGAGAGTTTTTACTTTTTCAATCTAGAGATCAAGTGTCTGGCTATTTCGAAGTTTGACAATGTGGCAGTGCAGCCAGCGCTAAAAATGAACTATGCACCCCATGCATCAGTGGCGTTTTTCGAACACATCTACCTAGACTTGGAATACTGAGGCTTATAGAATATTAGTAGTTATGTACACTATGAAATCTATTTGATTATTCTATTATCCACCTGGGCAACTGGGCATCAATTTTATCAGAAATAGGATTGACCTTGGAATCATTAAAGGAAATTCTAGAATCTACACTAAGCGGCCTTCCACTTGTCTCTATTTGAAATAGTCAGGAATTGTGATCACCTTCAACAGTCCGTAAGACATACCATCTCATTTTCCAACACTTCCGTCTTGTTTTTTTGGAGCAGGTTCTTGCGCTCCTTTCGGCTCGGCATGTCACTGTTCTTTCCTGGCATGACACGACCTGGGTGCATGACGTTGAGCATCACAAGAGCCAAGAACATAGGCAGCGAGTCAAGGCAGTACTGGTACGCTTCATGACGGGGAAGGCTGCTGTATAGACCCTGCGAGTATTCACACAGACGGAAGATAATACGCATCTATTTAATTAGTCAAATTTCGTTATACTGAAAGTGTGGGCTTACTGTAACCAAAGCGAGACATGTGTAGAGCACATAGAGAAGCCACAGAGCCTTGCTGGCATCTAGTCTCTTCTGCTGGAGAACCTTGTGATGAAAGATAATTGCAAAGACGATGAACACTAAGACGAAGAACTGCTGGATTCCAACACCGGCCATGTAGATGTGCAGACCTGTCATTTGGGTGTCATATGAAATATGGTTACCAGCCGCCTGCGCCGCTCCATAGACCTGGACAATCAATGCACTAGTTCATGATTAGTTTGCAGCTCAACCAAGTTCAGAAAGGGCCAAGTCATACATAATGTCTAGAGTGACGAAGAAGACTCCAAGCCACCAAGGTCGTACGCGTCCGATGCGTGCATCGTCGGTGAAGTTCCATACCATACGTCCCATAACCATATAGACAAAGGCATTGGTCCACAACGGCGCAATAAGAATCAAAACGAACCATGCAGCGTAATTTCCATAGCTAGCTGGGTTGTTGATACTTATAATGCGGAATATGTAGGTCAAAAATTGAATGAAGCCAGACATGGAGATCACCCAGCAGTAGAATTTACGGTATATGATCGCTTGTCCTACGTGGGTGACCGTTGTCAGGCCGAAGATCACAACAAAGATGTATGCTGCGACAATTGAAGGACAAAAATCCCACATTGTGTCATTAGCCGTCAAGGCTATGCGCCATTAGCTGTCTTCTTTACGCATCTACATAGCTAGGCGGCATAAACTTACCTTTGCATTGTGCCATTTTGGCGGGGACTGCTAGGAGTTCAGTAGGAAACTTAAATGTTGGAATGATACTGACGATAAAAGGCGTGGGAATGAGGAATTGATGTCGTTTAAATATGATTATGTCTTTTTCTCGCGGCCTAGGAAGTAATTCCAGTCGTCAGCATCTATACGAGAGTGGATCTTTTTACAGTCTCTATTGGACTTCATCGTAAGTACAGACCAATCAAATTGCTCTCTCGTACGGACAAACCAATCGGACTGTAAGTCTGTTCCTACACTTTAAATCGATTGACTCCTTGTAGTGGAGAAGTCTTAGATATATCGAAAAACCGAATGGAAAATTCGGGGGTGTTGTCCCTTTGTAACTGTGGATGCCTCGGTAATTTCTGATAGATACATTGTAGTTAAGGCCATAACCTTAGAAATCATTGTGCCCATTATTTGTGTCTTATCATCACACTAAACACGTATTTCACCGTGTTTAGTGTGCCACCAACCCTTCTTTTTCAAATCCACACCGCAACCCTCTATTCCACAAACCTCACTATTTTTCCTACCCACAATGCCCAAAACCAGCAAATCCACTGAATCCCGCCTTTCTAAGGCCTATGAAGCAGCTCGACGCGAAAAAAAAAACGAAATATCAAAAATATTGCGCGTGATTATGGTGTTAATCGGCATACTCTCTCTGACCGCGTCAAAAAGGGAGCGACCGCGAGATCTCAACGAAAACCAGTCAATAAGGTTTTAGATCATATGCAGGAAGAAGCTTTAGTTCGCTGGATTGTCCAGCTGAATAATTGGGGTATGCCGCCAACACCTAAGCTGATTGAGGCATGGACAAATCGCTCGCTTGGAGAAGATCGCTCTGTTAGTAAGATGTGGGTGTATTTAAACGGGAAGGATTAACTAAGGAAAGAAAGGAGGTCCCCGCTCTTATGGCTCGTCCGGCTCCGCACATGAACCAGGAGCGCGGTCTTCCCAGAGACTGCGCATATTATCGGGTATCGACCCGTTACAACACGGACGCTGGCACTGGCATGCTGACACGCTCGAAAATGGTATCAGAATGTAGCACCGGAAGAAATTACAGATTTCCCATTACAGCAGGTCGCCAAAAGACTCGGTTATAGAGATATCTTAAGAATTCGATATGCCAAGAGATGTGTTCCGCCCTCCGAGGTCCACAAAGATCCACCCTCCCGAAGACCAATTTGTCATAACATTTAACATTAAACCCTAACTGCTGGCTACTGAGCCATTCCACTCAGCCCTAACTCCTTGCCACTGGACCATTCCACTCAAGATGCACTGTCTGTCTGTGACTTCGAAGATTTTCATTGCGACTGAAGGTGCGCCCACACTGAGAGCACCTGAGGGAACGATGATATAGGTGGGTGGTTTTTATATGCCGCCATAGAGATCCGTCATTGGAAAAGGTACCTGAATATCTGCAGTTTGCCCATTGACACCTGATGAGACTTGTTTAATATTAGCGATGAGATTTTATATAAAAGAGAGATTGAGGTGGATTATCTAAAAGACTTACCTACGAGTAGCTTGATCATAGGTCACCATCTGCTCTTGAGAGGAAATAACATTTGTCGGAGTCACGTTTTGAGCCCTCGCCTCGTTTGAACTCGAAACTGGTAGAGCAGAAATATTGGAGCTCGACATTTGAATCAGGTCAGATGAGGATATAGTATCATCCAGCATTCTGGGTTGATCCATCGAGTAATCATGGAATCCGTAGACCGGTGAGGTAAGCGTGGGGATAAAGGTTGGGTTGTTAGGAATTAGGGTTTCTGGTAGGGCAAAGACAGTAGATTCATGATGGTCTGTTGGATAGGGAATCAAAGAGTTGTCGGCGTCAAGTTCACTATGTCTTTCTGTTTGGTTGAAAATACAATCCCAAGGCATATTGATGGTTTGCACAGGTGGTTTGAAAACTTAGATTGGGAGGGGATATTATCAACAAGTGGAATTGAAGAATAGAAAGGGAATTTAAGTGTTTTTCCCAGATTTCAACTACTAATTATATAGAAGGAAAATAGAAGGAGATCTGATCAGTAGGGCTTGGAAAGAACCCTATAGGTACTTCCGCTTTAGCATCGCGCGGGGGGGGGGGGAAATGAGAAAAGTACACAATAAACGGGTGAGCCAGGGTGAGATTGGGTTGGCAACTACTGCAGTAATCCTTGTATCTTAAAAGACTATTACTAATACTAATTAGATGTTATTATCCTAAAAGACTATTACTAATACTAATTAGATGTTATTATCCTAAAACACTATTACGCCTCGTATGATCCATGCGTCAGATATTTCACAGCTCAGAACTTGTCATCTACATCATGTCGCCGATATCAATGATCCATGGTAGGTCAGTAAACATCAACAATCCGACCAGTACGGCCGATTACTTCGCCGCACAATCAGTGAACCCAGGGGACATATTTTCTATTCTGCTACTTCTTGGCCCTGAAGTCATCCAATAAGCAGTGGCACAGCTTGCGGGACGTCAGATCACACCGGTGGCATTTTCGTTCGGCTGGGTCGCCTATGTAATAAAGGCTCTACTTTCAGCTGTTGGCGGTAATTCACTCGCTATATCAAAACAAGCTTCTTTTCTAATTTTAACAGATGGAAAGTTGATGCCACCGATAGAGAACACAAGCATGTTGATTATCGCTGCTGAAAGTGGCCATAGCCGGACAACGACCTCATGGGTTCTTGGCAGACTACTTCGAGATATAAGTGATAGACTGGATGAAGAGATGAGTGGTGAAGCTCCTCACCCAAGGACAGGGAGCTGGGATACCTGGACTCCGTCTTTCTGGAGATCCACGTTGGGATTGGAGTCAAAAGTCAAACAACCTTCGAAACCATGGGAAGCGCTTCGAATAGCAGTCTATGGGGTTTTAGATGACGAAAACATTGAGCATAGGTTGCCTGAGAGACTATATTTGGCTTTCAGGCTTTATGGTGATTCTCGCTTAATTAATCATTGCAATAATTCCGTGGATAGTCAATAAAGAGTGGGGAACCTTCATGGTGACTTACTATAGCAACATTCTTGCCCTATCAGAAGGTTCACTGCCTCAGTGGAGGCGTGAGAAATGGGCTTATCCATAGAAAGGTAGCCCGACTATCATACTCACCAAAGGAAACGGCAGCCGCTTTACTATAGTTATTCTAGGTAAAAAGAATATTGGTTTAGGTCTCGAGATTTTAGCTCGCGGGACCAGAACTGCACCAGCGTCTCTATTTACGAGGCTGGCTACATCATTCTTCGCCTTGAATTGGATTATTCTTCTAATACTAGCGACTAGCTTAAAGATAGATACCTAGTGTGAGTTTTTTCCTTTATTTCAGGGTCTAGATATTAACACTAAAGAACAGATATTCTTGCAATTAGAGCACTTAGTAGTATCCATAATATTACTTGCGCCGCACGACCACGAAGCCTAGGTGCTCTTAGCATTCATATTCGAGAAACTAGAAAGATGATATTGTCGCTCGCTTAGCGAGCGTAGCTAGCTAGTCGCTCGTTACTGAGAACAGTGAGCTCCAACGAACCGCTACTCAACACCGTAGATAATCCACCGGTCTGGTAGTGGATTCCTACTAGTTGAATATTGCAGTTGTTGTGAAGTCTGCTTTTTCATTGATGAAAGAACTAGCTACTTATAGTATATGGGTGCCCCTCTGCCCTGGACGAATGTCAACATTCGTCCGAGACAGAAGAGACGGTGAAGACGGGACATTACTGTCGCGAATGCACATCGCTCAAGGGTGTCGTTTACGATAAATGCATATCGTTCAAGGATGCCGTGATATACTAATCTAGTTCCAGAGTCACTGTCTTGGCAGAAGCTTTTTCGGCCGAAATACTTTCCGTCTGTTGATGACCTTGTTTCTCGGCTGTCGCAACAAGATCGATATACTCTATAGTAAATAATATCTGCCTCAGTAATTGATCCTTATTCAGAGACAATATTTTCGGGGATGATTAAGCGATGGCTCTACCACGACTTACAGCGCCTGCTTCACCAATCCTGGTTCTTTCCGCTAGACTAGGATGATTTACCGAAAACTTCTGTCTGGTCTTCAATCCAGAGGAACATATATCAGCTATCCAACAAGGCAGATCCTCATCCACCGACTTTCTTCGAAAGCTTAAAGCCTTTTATATCGGTCTGGAATGAGTTACTTCGTGTGAAGGGCTAAAGCTAATCTTGAATTCAGAACTAGCTAGGCACATGTTGTTTACAAAATCCTTGAAGAACGTAATCAATTCGGGGTGGAATCGTGAGGTATGCGGTTGGTGGGTCACGTGGTACAACCACGTGATAGTTCACCAGGATTCAACCTGTTACAGGTGGAGAGAATAAACAGATCTGGTATACACTAAACCAACTGAAGAGAGAAGCTGCTCAACGAATCTTTCCTTGGGTAACACACGCCAAGAAAACTGATACCTTTACTCTGAACGAGCTCTTTAATCAGATGAAAATCGCCTTCTCCAACCCCTATAAGAGAGCTAAGGCTCATATAAAGCTCCATTATATAAAACAAGGCTCTAAACCTCTTAATGAATTCCTGAACGAGTTTAACCGCCTGATCCTAGAAGCTGAAGGATGGTCATAGGACTCAGAACAGAAGAAGATCTATCTCAAAAACGCCCTTTCCACTAAGCTCCTCACAGCTATAGCAGGAACAGATGAGAAGGACTTATACAAGGACTTCTGCCAACAAGCGCGTAAGACGAATGATAGACTAGTAAAAATTTAGAGCATTACACAAGGGACTAGCTGGCCGAAAAGACAAGGATCGCCACCCTATACAAGATCCCCACCAGGAGAACCTATGGATTAGGAACCTGTCGCTCGCTTAGCGAGCGTAGCTAGCTAGTCGCTCGTTACTGAGAACGGTGCTCGAGTCCTTACTGCAGTAGAAAGGAGTTGGTGAGCTTCAACAAACCACTACTCAACACCGTAGACAAACCACCAAGTGTAGTGGTCTCTACAGTACTGAATATCGTGGTTGTTGTGAAGTCTGCTTTTTCATTGATGAAAGAACTAGCTACTTATAGTATATGGGCGCCCCTCTGCTCTGGACGAATGTCAACATTCGTCCGAGACAGAAGAGACGGTGAAGACGGAACATTACTGTCGCGAATGCGCATCGCTCAAGGGTGTCGTTTGCGATGAATGCATATCGTTCAAGGATGCCGTGATATACTAATCCAGTTCCGGAGTCGCTGTCTCGGCAGAAGCTTTTTCGGCCGAAATACTTTCCGTCTGTTGATGGCCTTGTTTCTCGGCTGTCGCAACAGTTATTCTCCCAATCGGGAAGTGCAACTTCCTTTAGTTATACCTCACCAACCAAGCATTGTAGCAGAAAAAAAAGAGAAGATTTAGAATGCTGTGGACAGTAGGAATCTGATAGTAGCGGAAATTTAACCATAACCCTTCTTTGAAGATTTTTGAAGCTGTCATGATTTGCTATGTAGAGAAGCCGCCCTGCGCATTCATATCCGCTCCCTTATCCACGAGAAGCTTGATAATCTCGAGATGGCCTTCTGACGAGGCGGCATAGAGAGCGTTGCCGTAGAAGCCGCCCTGGGCATTCACATCCGCTCCCTTATCCACAAGAACCTTGACAATCTCGAGATCGCCTTCGAACGAGGCGGCCTGGAGAGCGTTGCCGTAGAAGCCGCCCTGGGCATTCACATCCGCTCCCTTATCCACAAGAGCCTTGACAATCTCGAGATGGCCTTCGAACGAGGCGGCATAGAGAGCGTTGCCGTATTCGCCGCCCTGGGCATTCACATCCGCTCCCTTATCCACAAGAATCTTGACAATCTCGAGATGGCCTTCTGACGAGGCGGCATAGAGAGCGTTGCGGAAGAAGCCGCCCTAGGCATTCATATCCGCTCCCTTATCCACAAGAATCTTGACAATCTCGAGATCGCCTTCGAACAAGGCGGCCTGGAGAGCGTTGCCGTATTTGCCGCCCTGGGCATTCACATCCGCTCCCTTATCCACAAGAATCTTGACAATCTCGAGATGGCCGTTATACGAGGCGGCCTGGAGAGCGTTGCCGTAGAAGCCGCCCTGCGCATTCACGTCTGCTCCCTTATCCACAAGAATCTTGAAAATCTCGAGATCGCCTTCGAACGAGGCGGCCTGGAGAGCGTTGCCGTAGAAGCCGCCCTGCGCATTCACGTCTTCTCCATTACTAATAAGATCTTGTGCTGGCACTAGCAGGCCAGCAAAGCAGGCATAGTAGAGTCTCGAGCCTCGCGGAGGACCAGGATCATGATCCCAACTTATATCAGCCTGATACAAGCGAGCCCATCGTTGGAATGTCAATTCTTTTTCTAGGAAGCCGACTGCTAATTCAACTATATCTCTCGCATCCTGAGCCAACACAGCATGGTCTGTCCAGACTTCTGCCGCATATCTTGCCATCGGGAAATTCTGTTTGATCCCTCTGTTGCTACCATTGATATCCGTAAGATAAGTCAAGCATGTCTTTGTGATAGAAATACTGGCTGGCAGTGTATCAAAATTATCCTATCTAAGAAGGTACTCTTTGACAGAAAAATGGGCAAGATGTAATTCTATATCGGCGGTGTGAATAACTGTCAACAAACTCGGACAGTAACCCAAAACATCGGTCTCGTAAAACAATCGATGCTTGATATTAAATCCTCGCGACTTGTTTTCGATCTACGTGGCTATTACTTCTTTAGCCTCTGCTAGAGTGAGAGGTCGCTCGGAGTATACCAAGAATTATAGCAGGCGTATAGCGTCACTCTTAAGCTCTATTGGTATTCCTTTGATCATGCGCTGGTATATGTCATTGAGATCTATAGGTAGAGATGCGAGAGCCTCCTCTATAGCTGCCTTATGACGACATCGAGCCAGGCTATCTAATTGACAGAACGCCCACCTGAACCTAAATAAGGCGTCAGCGATCCATCATTTAACGACTGAAGCAGTGATATCTCACATCCCGTCAGCTCCATCGCCTACCTTTTTCCAGATCTCTTCGAGAAGATTCTCGGATAAGGGTTTCCTTGTAAAATCACGCCGTTGAGAAAGCTGAGCTGCGACCCACGATCGAATATCGGAGTTAATCGCCTGCTTATCTATAGGTAAGCAGTTTTTCTCTCCTATCAAAGGGGGCATGTGGCGCAGAAATTCGGATTCAGGTCGCCCGGTAAAAAGCAGCTGGACATGGTCCAACTCTGGTCTAGATACCACATCTTCGATCCACTCAAGAACTTTATCCCTCGTTTTTGATTCGTCTAATGCGTCTATAATGATAGAAACCTTCCTCTGGGCTCTAAGCATCTTAAAAACAACGACCCAGAGCGCCTCTGTTGTGGGTTGCTCTTTACCATTTTGATTTATCTGAAATAAAGCATCAAGATTAATTGTAGAGTCAACTCCATTTCGGTAAAGTTGGAAAGCAAGAGAGCGAAGCACGCCATCCAAAGTCTGCTTTATGGTGTCGCTAAAGTCAAAGAAGAAGCTAAGAATAAGGCCGTCATTTCCCTTCGCGAGATGATCAAGCACAGTTATACTAAGAACCGTCTTTCCACATCCCGCAAGTCCGTGTAGCCATATATATTGATATGAACCCGAATGCCACGACTGGAAGACGGCATTTTCCAGGAGCCAAGCGCCTGTCCCCTTATGGCGCAGTGTCCTCGCATGGTTGGCATTTGTAGACGGATCTAGGGGACGAAGCCATCGCCTAATCTGATCAGTTTGAAGGTCGGATCTGATGGAATCGGTTACAGTTTTTGCCTCAACTATAGTTTGCTGCACGCTCTCGATCTGTTGTTGGACTACGTATAATCAGAACTAGTGTCACTTTCAGGTGCAATTTAGCTCATGTACTTAATAGAACTAACCTAATTGAAGTACCTCTAGTGCCCTTTTGGTCTCTTGGATCTCTGCAGCTGGTACATAAGCTAGAAGCTCCTTAGTATATGCAGCGGCAGTCGCCGAAGCATATCGTTGCCATCGATCATTCTTGTGAGAATCGGCGTAGTCGCAGATCCCCCGGACAACCAGACAAGGGAAATGATTCATCAGGCCAGACGCCTCCATCTCAAAGCAGATGCAATCCTCGCCGATGTCAGCAACAATCTTATCGCGAGCAGCAGCATCTTTGATAAGTGTATTATCAGATGCGATGATCCCATAGTGGATTTCGGGGTCAGTATCATCTTGACGATCGCGTTGAACTTCATCACTCGGGTCACAACTCCAACAGTCTGGGCCTACGATGTGGTCGTATGAACCTTTAAAGAGGCGGTCATTCTCGAAGCCCTGGTGAGCATAGCTAGGGTTTTTCTTATATCTCCTGCCCATCTTCGGGTTTCTCTCTAGCATTTCTTGAAGGAAATAGGAAATCTTGGAATCCCTCCGCTCATGATTGGCCTGGATGCTGGCGATCGCATTAAGAAGGACTGTCGGAGGCCTCCCTAAGAAGCCTTTAAGCTCATGCTTGCCACCAGACTTTGCCTTAATCAAGTCGTATTGATAGACCCCGCCCATGCTCCCACTAGGCTGGCTCACGACAACATCTCCCAAACATATATCATAGTCATCATCTGGTCGAGCAATGCCGCCGCCTATACCCACTAAAAAACCAACACGGATGGATGGCAAAGAGGCAAGCAGGCTCGAAGCCGTGGTAGCAGCCGAGGTGGTTCCGTAGACCCCAGCAGGCAGAGAGGCGATGACGATGTTGTGCTCTCCCACGCGACCCCATATATAAACATTCGGGTCGGTTTAGTGTCTAGTGAAGCCGGTTGGAGTTGCATGTTGTTCCTCATCGAGCATCGCTTCTGCAGCGGCCCGCTCGATGGGAAGAGCAGCAATCCAGGCGATTGTATAGGCGTCATGTGGGAGTCGCTTTTAACATAGGAGTGTATCAGTAATAGCTTTGTCTTTTGCTAATACTGATTGCTCTAGCTGAGATTGGGAATTCTCGGTCATGTTGGATGATAAACAAGTTGACTAGGTAGAATTTCTAGGTGTGTAAGAGAGTAATGCTTAATATAATTAATCAAGCGCTCTTTCTCTCCTAGACCATAATAGGTAGTCGGTTATTATCAGTAGTAGAGTAAGGTCCTAAAGTGAATAGTGGATAAATAGGCGGATGTCAAGGAGTAGTTGTTTTAAAAGAATTTAATGTGGTTCATTAAGAGAGTTTCAGCTGGACTCTAACGAGCTAAAAGAGGGGTACGTCTTCAGCCTCATCATATGACTCTTACCACTCTAAGCCAGGAATTACCTGTGCCTTCTCTGCCCACTCACACCGCGCGGCTTCCTAATTATATCAAATCATGCTTCTCAGCGGGCGGCAAGATGAAAAATACTATTGGCGGGCTTTAACCCCACTTAACAAATAAAGAAACAGCAGGATTAGACATGTGCATGGGTTGGGTATGGGTATGAATTTTGACCCATACCCAACCCATCAGGGGTAAGGTAAACCCATACCCATATGGGTATTTTTGATGCCTTAATGCCTGATTTTCGCCTCAACCTAAACTAAATTAGGGTAATTAGTGCCTTAGTGCCTAATTTTTGCCTCAATCTAGTACTAACTAGGTGACAAATATCACGTGAAATAAAAGTCTTGGCAAAAAGATGGGTTTATGGGCTGTGGGTTTTACTTCAAACCCATACCCAACCCATATGGGTTTTGGGTAAAATTTCTGACCCATACCCAGCCCATTGTGGGTTGGGTTGGGTTGGGTATGGGTTTACCCAACCCAATGAACATGTCTAAGCAGGATGTCAGCCCTTGGATGCCTTACTAGATTAATTGATTGCTCTATAATTCAATATTACTACCCAGTGAGATTTTCCTTGGATTTTCCTTCCTAGTAGTTTAATTTGGCGATGATTGTCCGATGTATTGGAAGGGTCAATCAATCAATCAATCAATAAATACTCTATTAACCTGATGCAGCCTAACTAGTAGCGTATGGCTATGCAGGCGTTTCCTCCGGCGGAATCAGGAGTATTCCGAACGCCAGAATGTCAAGATAGATACAGAAGAAATGCGGTGTTGCGCCATTGTAAACCGAAATCCCACAACCCATATCCCACTTTTTAACACGTAGCGCCCTCTGTGTAATGTCGCTTGTAAATCACCCCTTCCCTGTTTCTGCTCTCACCACTCCTTAAGTTCTGCCCCGCTCCTGTTTTCCTCCTTTTGTTGTTCATTGAAGTTATCGATGTATTCTTCTGAAGCTTCTCGGTAAGCCTTAGGTTTCGTTGTTCCTAACACCCAGCGTCTTCACCCCGTTGCACCCTTCATAGCTATGTGTCGTAGTCTCCTCTAGTCTGGGTCTTCGTCTTGTTCAGAGTCAGATCCAGCGTCTATATGCCTAAATTGCCCGAGGAGACCTGTTTAAATCATGAATTTCGCCACGTAGCGGGTAGCCTGCTGTAACAGGTTGAATCCTGGTGAACTATCACGTGGTTGTACCACGTGACCCACCAACCGCATACCTCACGATTCCACCCCGAATTGTTTACGTTCTTCAAGGATTTTGTAAACAGCATGTGCCTAGCTAGTTCTGAATTCAAGATTAGCTTTAGCCCTTCACACCTCCACTCTCTTTACTTCCTGATCGACCATTATCTTCTGGAAGCGATAGTGATCCTGATTCAATCTGGACACTTAAAAAGCTTTTAGAATCGAGATCTCGCATCGATTCTGCACTAGAATCTAGTTCTAGTTTACTCCCTTCGCCTATTAAGAGGGATATACAGAGACATTACGATCGCACTACCCGTACTGTACACCACCATATCTTTCTACACGATCGTTGGAGTCATTTAGAAGAAGCCAATAGTGTTGCGACAGCCGAGAAACAAGGCCATCAACAGACGGAAAGTATTTCGGCCGAAAAAGCTTCTGCCAAGACAGTGACTCTGGAACTAGATTAGTATATCACGGCATCCTTGAACGATATGCATTCATCGCAAACGACACCCTTGAGCGATGTGCATTCGCGACAGTAATGTCCCGTCTTCACCGTCTCTTCTGTCTCGGACGAATGTTGACATTCGTCCAGGGCAGAGGGGCGCCCATATACTATAAGTAGCTAGTTCTTTCATCAATGAAAAAGCAGACTTCACAACAACCACAATATTCAGTACTGTAGAGACCACTACACTTGGTGGTTTGTCTACGGTGTTGAGTAGTGGTTTGTTGAAGCTCACCAACTTCTTTCTACTGCAATGAACTCCAATTCCCTTTTACTGCAGTAAGAACTCAAGCACCGTTCTCAGTAACGAGCGATTAGCTAGCTACGCTCGCCAAGCGAGCGACAAATAGAAAACAGGTAAAAAAAAAGGAAAGCTAGTAAGAAGCAAGTGTCGCACACAGGGAGTTTAGGGAGTCTAGAAGAGATTCAGGTGTCTGTGGTGGGGGAGAATGGTGTTGAAGAGAGATATATATCTATACCTGAACCTGTTGAAACTGGCCCAATTGAAACCGATTTGCCTATTTCAGCACCAATTCGGCGCGAAGTTACCTGTTCTGGGTGTGGGAAAAAGGGCCATACACTAAGTGTCCCAGTCGTGTTTATTAGTTAAGTTTATTATGTTTTTGTATCTAAAAGTGGAATTGAATTCGATGCGTTATTTTCAAGTTTGGTGGGGTGGACCGTTTATCAGGGAATTACGTTAGCAAAAATGGCAGATAAAATGGCAGATAACATCCCTAGTCGTAACACTTCTTATTTAGGTATAGTATAACGATTCTCACGATTTTAACGATTTTAACGATTTTAACGATTTACGATTAACGATCAACGATTTAACGATTTAACGATTTTTACATAATCAGAAAATCTTAACGATTGAACGATTTCAACGATTACAATCGTTGAATCGTTAAATCGTTCACATCCCTGCAGAAAATGTTACCAATCATACGATCCAGAGTAATAGATACGGTAAAATGGCCGTGGGCGTCGTGAAAGAAACTCAGAGCTTCCTCAATATCGCTCTTAACGAGGCATCTGCTTCACACTCCAGGTTGCTCACGGTATAGAAGCTGATCGCTGGCGTCGCTCATGTGGTATCTTTGTGATATTTACTATGCGACTCTCCGCCTAAACCCAGGAAGATCTTGAGACCAGTCTCTCACCCCAGGCAGAATCATGCCTCAGGCACACAACCACACCGCCCATCGTAGTTCATGATAGCATAATTTACAAAATGAATACTATGCCCAGAGATAAAGATTTTTACAGCCTTCATTTTTCTTCTTCTAGTCTCTAGTTTACAGATTCCAGAATCCAGGTTTCTCTTCCAGCTATCGCCCTTGGGTAGTTTTTTCTTTCTCTTCATCCCATTTCTTCGCTCCGGCTTGTCTTGAGTCCCCAAGCCACATCCACCTCCGCCATCCAAAAGCGGTCTAGGTCCAGGTTCGGGTCTCTCAGTACCTAACCTGATTAGTTCATGTAAGCTATAGGTGGCGTTGAATCCACAGTTTAGAGTTGAGTGGTTTACTTTCTTTTTCATCATTATCTTCATAAGGTTTCCAGACATGCGAAATCAACTGACAATTTACAAGGAGATAAACTCGTTCCTATAATGCTCTTTTGATTATTGAAAGGTGTTGGAACGAAGATCTTGTGATCTTGGCTGCCTCCCGGAGCCTCAAGCAGGATTCCTGAGTCACAGTACTCATAACAACCGCCTCGGAGACCCACCTTCCACAATCTCCACTCCAGTTCGCCATTTATCACCATGGAACATTTTCAAGAACCATATAATGACGGAAACCGCGACGGGGATGAATCACCTGACGCCTCTCTTTCCCTTGGAGGTGTTCCCTCTGCGGAAGTAGCACTGAAAATCCTGGAAGAATCTAAATTCCTTCAACAGCTTGATCAATTCGTCATTCTGACAGACCTAACCTTTGGGCTCTGCAATTCGTTATGGAACATACTGGATCATGAATACCCGGATATCCGAAAAACCGCGTCCCCAGAAGACGGCATTCTGGAGCTGAGAATGCCCTCATGGACCCACGACAGTGTTGTGACCTGGCTTGCGAAATGCGTGATTGACTGGGCCCTGCGAGGACAGTTGACGCCGAACGAGGTAGAGGATCTGTGGATCCTCTCAAGCCCTGTGGTCAATCTTCCCAATCCCGTACCAAATCCTCCACGAGCACCCCGGAGAAATCTGAAAAAAGAGCCAGATACTGGTCTCATATCGTACCGCGCCCCTTCATCCGGCTTCGACTCTCAGGGAAAAAAGCTCTCTCCTGTTCCCAGCATCTTATTCGAAGCTGGATTTTCCCAGTCCTATGAAAGTCTAAAAGAGAATGCACGAAGAGTTCTTCTGGGAGGAGCTCCGACTGTTCGTTTGGTAGTGCTCGTGAAACACTTCAAACAGGCCCACAAACGGGTCAAGACAAAAATCGAATTCTGGAGGCTGAATAGACAGGGTGTCGCCCAGAAAGATGAAGAAAGATATATTTTTCCCGTCCCCAACGTCCCTCAACTGCCCCTATGCGTGACCCGGGAAGACGTATTTGGATCAGCGTTTATCCTGGATGGCCAAAACCCCCACGATCTCCTCGAGTTCAATTTGAACAAGTTTCGCGTCGTTGCAGCTAGAACCCTGGATCACCAGGGTCTGCGACCAATGTAAGAATCACTTCTTCTACGTGCTATTCCCCTTCGTTTCCTTTTCCGACTTCCAGCTACCGGCAGTCTCTTGACTCTCTTCTCCGGTTCCTTTTTGCTATTCCCTCTCGTTTACTTTTCCGACTTGTCTCTTCTCCAGTTCCTTTTTGCTGTTCCCCTTCGTTTCGGTTGTCCAGAGAACAGAACTGCCCAGACCGCCTTATCAGGTGGACCAGCAGGTTTCAGATAGACAAAATGAAAAACCCCAAGCCCGAGAAAGAAGATTCTCGAGGCATAATTTTCTAGTTCCTTTTTCCAGTTTCCGTTTTCCTATCTTTAGAGATGTTACTCCGCAAATGTCCGCAGGTTTTATACTTGCGAACGCGGACGCGGACAGACACTCATTTGGTCGCCAACGTGAAGCTGGCCAAATCACAGGTGTAATCCGTGAGATGTCCTCTCCTACTTCGAACTGTTCGCGTAACTCATAGTTCTCTTTTTTAGTGAATGACATGTACTGCCTCCCTCAAACATCAACGGAAACCTTTGTTCAAAGGGTGCATCGGGTTCTTCTGGGTTAAAAAAAAATGGAACGAGGAACTTCCGCCAATGCTACATTTACTTCATGACAATTTACCTCGAAACATCTCCAGTCTTCATCTTCATTATAATCAATGTGTGATTTCGACAACGCGACCCATACTGTTATATTTGTTCAAGGATCGCTTTTCCCTCCGTGACATCTCCACAGAACCTCAAGTCTTTTCCCCCACAACACTAGCGCTTGCGGAAAGCTGTGTGCAGGCTGCATGGGCATCCAACCAGATCTTATCTAAGCTTTTTGTCGAGGGCTCTCTGGCATCATTTGGCTATTTTGATGCACATTACCTTTTCTCTTCAACTATAATTCTGATCATGTCTGCAGTGATGGAACCAAATGTGAGCATGTCGGATGCTGTCTCATATGCTTTTACTATACTCCGTGATATGAAAGAAGACGGAAACATTCCTAGCTGTGACTACTATGAGAGACTACAGCGGACTAGGGCATGTGTGGGAAGAATGAGAGAAGCTAGCAAAGCTAATATAGCTGCGAACAATAATGGAAGCAAAACGCCAGAGCAGATGTTTGACGATACGGGGGGGGGGGGAGGGGGGGGTTTGTGGAAGGATTGGCCCTGGATAATCCCTTGATAGATTGTTTCTTGTCAGATAATGTCTTTGTTTGGCCGGACGGTATGCTCTCCGGGGATCATTCTTTAAGAGATGTTGCGTTAGAGCTAGGAGATGAGTTTTTGCTTGAACAGATGTGATTTATACCATCATGTGGCACCAAGTTGAGTGTGCTAAGAATCTCTTACCGACGAAATGGTATTCGATATCTCCTACGGCGTGGTAGCCTAGTTACTTCAGGCTAGCTTTTTTCATCTGACCAGAATGAAGCTGTCGAGGGACTTATGGTGCTTGCTGAACTAGGCAAGAGGCTTGAGAGTGTTGGTGACTTTGAGATTTCCGTTGGACGCAATGGGAAAGTCTGGGTGGATTGTGCCAACGCTGCTGAGAGCTCCATTAAAGCGTCCATCGTCCAATGTGATGAAAATAACCTGAATATAGTGGATCAGAAGAAGCTGGTGACTAAGGTTCTACGGGAGCTGAAACTGGACTCATGAGTGAACAAACTCCCTGACATGAAGAAACATGCTTTCCTGTCACCTCAGAGACAGCTATGCGACACAAATTAGACCAAAAGGGGCCAATCAAAGATAAAGCACGCCTAGATAGATGATAACTGGGCCAAACCCCTCCTTCATGTTGGAATCTTGCGACACTCAATATGCATTCTTATCTGACAATGGCACTTTAAACCCCTTCTGATTCTCCAAATGAATTATTATGAGCCAAAATTCAATAATGAGTGGATTTATCTTTTACTGACACGATCCGTAAAACTGGCTGACGTCTAATTGGTTTTCAATTGCAGCCCTGAAGTCGAGAAATCAGTTGCTCACCAGTAGGCAAAATCCGACTTCGACTTGGATCACCTTTTGGGTTTACCACTTTGAAAACCATTTTTATTTATCAATTGAGGCTCTAGCTGTCCAATCATGCTCTCAGAATTTTGCTAGCTAAAATAATGGTAGAGTTAGAGCCTGTTGAAGTTGACAGATTTTAGTAGAGAGTGCTTACCTTATGTTGTAGCATGTGTGAAGGGCTAAAGCTAATCTTGAATTCAGAACTAGCTAGGCACATGCTGTTTACAAAATCCTTGAAGAACGTAAACAATTCGGGGTGGAATCGTGAGGTATGCGGTTGGTGGGTCACGTGGTACAACCACGTGATAGTTCACCAGTGTCAAATGGAGGTCGACTACCAAGGAATAGTGGATTCTAGTGGGCAAATGAGAACGCAGTATGCGTACCAAAGAGTGTATGTGTTGTAGAATGGAGGAATCCCATTGTGGGATTCCAATGCTGACTAAAATAGACTAACTATAAATGGAATCGGGCCTTTGACAGAACAAAGCAGTCATGTGATCAAATTGTTACTTTATAATAGATAGCAAACTAAGAATGAAAACCAGACTTTACAACCACTTCAAGAGGACACAAAGATATCATAGGGGCGTAAAGCGTTACCTGTGATAGGTGTCAGAAGTGGGCGTTAGCCTCATCACCTTTATCGAATAGCTATTCCACACTTGGTACAGGTGTACCGACAATATGGGTAACATGGGTATTTACGATCGTAAATTTCAGTGTTGTCACCAATCAGAGATTAGAATAATTACATAGTACCGAAATCTGACGATAGGAATATTTCCACCTGAAATCATGTACTGTGTAAAACGTGGCTCGTCTGCATCGAATCACTAAATCTAGACCTTTGCAATGACTCGGCCGGACCTTTTGAAAGATATATTTATTCCACTATACTATCAATGTAGGTAGGAGGATTGTGAATCTGATGTCATCCAAGGTTCATCACAATGTTTTCCCTACATATGTACAAATTTAAGTTCTTGGCATAAAACCTGGCAAATTATTTCTGATCAATCGTGTCGTTCCCATCTAATGTCTCCGGACTCCACTATAGTCCAGTAATACCAACACCACCTACTTACATAGTAGTAAATAAATACACGTTAATAGAACCCTAGTGAACCTTTCTACTCTGAATACACATGTACATAGTGTATCGCTACCTGGGTTTCTGGTACCTAGGTAGAAATTCACCCAATTCATTTCATGTGTTAGCGGGTTGCACCCGCAATAGTCTGAAGGAAGAGAGAGAGAAGGAAGAGATGGGCAGAATCCCACATAGAGCTTCCTTCTGCAAGTAATTCAATGCATCAAGACCTGCATCCATCGTTAGATGTGCGCCAGTACCCTTACATCATGAGTGCATCCTATTTACTTCTAGGGCTCGTACGAGGCTGAAAATTTCAGAGGTTTGAAATTATTATGAGCTCTTAAAATATTTTTGATTTCAAGCTCATCGGACATCAGGAAAGGTTGTGGTGAGTACCCCTAATTTTGTAAAATGTTTTAATGGGGTGCGGTCGCAAAGTGATAGTACATAGACTGTAACGGGCTGATGCCCGACAAATGGGAAAGATGGGCACGTATAGCTCGCAAAGACGAACGATGACAGTAAGTCTCGAATCTGATGGCTCGTAGAATACCCCTTTCAATGTTCGAGCACCTATAGGATATCCCAAGGTTCCCGAGACCCCTTTTGTGTGAAGTATCATACCTTTCATGCTCATTTTATTATTTATTATCAGACTATCATAGCCATGCTTCCATGTACCGGATTTCTTACGCCAGTTGTTGGCGTTCTTCTTCCATATTAGTTCTCACCGCCTCGCTGCTTTTGCTCTAAGCCCACTGGGTGAAATATGAGAGAGCTGAGTAAGTGCTAGCCACGATGTCTCTTAGGATATCACTAGGCCTGAAAACCCGTTTCACTCGTAACAATGCCTAGTGTGCTCTGTTTTTCCTTGTCTTCCCTAGAAGGTTTACAGTGTTTTCACACACTATTTATAACTCATGGCCGACTTCACTGGCCGGTCTTTCTGGCCGGGCCTACATTGCCTTCCTTTTCCATCAACTGATTCGGTTCATTCGATTGCTTGAAGAAGAAACTGAATCTTAAGTATCTTCCAAATGAGAATTCAAACGTCTTGCTCTATCTATATACAAGAATTAGCCTTCCAGAGGCCCAACTTTGACATCTGTTCTCCTCTTCAATTCATTAAGCTCATTTTTTGCATTTTCTTTCTGTTGTAACTTCCTCTGCGTTGCCTCCATATTCTTGAACCGCTTTTTGCCTCCAAATTTCAATTTTGTAATCATATCCGCCGCTTGGCCACGGGTCAGATCTCCAGATTTTAATTCACCATCACGAATGCGAGACTTATTCAGCATCTTGATCTGTGCTGCTGTGGCTGTGGTTTGACGCCAGGGCTGCCAGGATGTTATATACCGCTTCTCAAACTTGTCATTTGCATATGTGTCTGCTGCTCGCACAGCTGTTTCCAAATCTGACCCAGATGCAACAAGGCGTGGCCGTGTGAACTTGGGTTTCTCGGTTACTGGGTCGTTGAACTTCATAACGTGACGAACAGCAAAGCTATCTCCTTCTTTTTCGATGGTCAACCACCCGGATGACTCTGACAGGACATATTTTGCAGATTCAAGTCTCACCCATGCGTTTTGGCTGAGAGACCTGATATGTTGCTCAGATTTTGTGTCGTCCAGCAGGTCGAAGACACTGTCGTACTTGGTGAACTGTAAGTTGACATCGCCATCTGGTACTGTCTCTGGTCCCAGTTTTGGCTTGGGAAATTTCTCTTCATGAGAGCCTCGTTGAATGTCCTCCACGCTGGCCTTATCAAGAACCTCGTCTGGATGTAGGCCGAATAATGTTGGGGTTGATAGGACCCCTGTGGCTAGAGAGGCGACCATATCGATAATATGACAATTTTCCTTTCCAGGAAACAGGCGCAGTCCTCGTCCGATCATCTGGATAAGAAGATTTCGGGACCTGGTCGGCCTGGCCAGAAGCACACAGTCGATATTAGGAATGTCAGTCCCTTCAGTGAACAATCCACAATTCAAAAGTACAGGAAACTCTTGATTGCGAAAGGCATCTAGCTGCTCTGATCTGACATTCTTGTGGGTTGTGGCAGTGATATACCGAGCATCAATGCCATGCTCGCGAAAAGTCGCCGTAAGTTGCTTGGCATGTTCCACGTCCACACAGAATCCCAATGTCGATTTTCGATCATGTGCATTAGCTAGCCATGCACGAACAGTAATGTGGTTTGTGTTTACGGTGTTGACGGCTTCTGATAGCGAACCAAGAGCAAAATCGCCGAACTTGTCTTTCTTGACATTCGCAAGATTCGCCTCGGACTTCACTGTCGTGAAAACGGCATTTGCCAGCCACTTTTCTCCAATCATGTCCACATAGTCCTTATGATAAACAATATGGTCAATGGCAGCTCCAAGTTTAAGCCCGTCAAATCGCGCAAATGTAGCCGAAACTCCAACTAGCACCGGTGCATTTGGCGACGGCTCGTTTAGGCTGAAATGCCCCAAAACTTCCCGATATGAGCGCGCAACAATGTGATGCGCTTCATCCACCAGAATCAACTTGTAAAGACTTGGGTCAAATTTAGCAATGCGTCCTCGTGAGAGCGTTTGCACTGATGCGATAATAATATCTCCATGTCCTAGAGCGACATTCTGGCCCATCTCGATCTCCACAATTTGATCTGGATATGTCCTGCGGCAGTGTTTGGCAGCCTGTTCCACGAGTTCTCGCCGGTGAACTATGATCATCGTCTTTGTGGCTTTCGCATTGCGCGGTGGAATTCGACTAATGAGCTGTGTGAAGATGACCTAATCTCAAAAAAAGTCAACGTTATGTTCTTGAAAAAAGGTGATTTGGACTAACCGTCTTGCCAGCACCAGTAGCTAGGGAAATACCGAGGCGCCGATGGCCATCATCCAGGTACTGTAGCACTGATTGAATGCATTCCTCCTGGTAGTCTCGAAGCACGATACCACTCGCGCCAGGTAGTGGAGGTGTCGTTGAGTTGAACCGCAAATTGCGCCCAATTGGAGCGAGCAACAATCGCCTTGGGGGAGTCCTCCATAGTATAGAGAGTGACCCAAAATTAAATCTGCGAATGAACTCCATGCGTGTTTGAAGGATGAAGCTCTGCAACGGAGCGGGCAAACAGTACAAACATTCTTATCGATAACGTCAATCATTAAGATCCAACTTACAACTTTTTTTCTCCACCCAAACACAGCCATCATACTCACGATCACTACTGTGATGTTTTGCATGCAGTGCAGATGGAAAACTGCAAGCTTGCAGGCTTCCAAAAATGAGCAGTCCTTCTGAATTTGAAGCTGGTTTTGACTCCGATTCCGACTCAGACGTCGACTTCGAACCGGATCGCAAGCCTCGCTCTTCTTCGCGCCGCGCCACTACAAGCCTTGAACCAAAAGGGCTACTCAGAAAATCTTTGTCGCGTGCGCAATCTGATAGTATTCCAGCAAGTGAAGTAAATGAAAATGACCCAGACACGGGAAATCGTTTCGAGCAGCTTGATGCGCGCCTCCAGAACCTACCCACGCAATCCCTCGACGCCTACTCCCAGCTCCTGGCCGAGACTGAGAAAGATTTCGCCTCCAATTCCGTGAACGAGACTGAAGAACCTTATCTGGTGACACAAAATGGTGCTGTGGTATGGACTCCCACGGAGAAGGGGACCCTCTTCAATGTCCTCGACAGAAAGGGCAAAAATGGCGTCCGAGAGCTTGCCGCTGCGATCGGCACAAAGTCAGAACTTGAGGTTTCAGATTATCTCAAACTGCTGCATCGCGGTTTGGTGGGCCAGCATGTGCTTGAACGTCACATTAGAACAATAGTCATGGGCGACATACCTGCAGCAACTGAACTCAGCGAGGAGTGCTGTACACAGCTCGATGAGTACGCGGCTGTTTTGTCGATGAAGGAGGAATACCATACGGAGAGAGCTAGTCGCTTCAAATACGCCAACAATCACCTTCTCACGCTTCAGCAGGCTCAAAAACTCATTCCAAAGGAAAAATTAATCGAGGTTGAGGTTGAGAATCCGGATGAAATCGCGGAGCCCGAATCTAAAAAGGTCTGGGTTGCAGAGGCAATTCCTCCCCAGCGAGGTAGCATCCACCTCGCTGCCAATATACTGAATACGCCCATGTGGGTGGAACTTTCTGAAAGACTTTTTATGAATTTTGGCGGCGCGAAAGAAGAGAGTAATTGGGTAAATGTTGCTCCATCGAAAGATGACACGCCTGCATTAACTGGGGATACACTCATGGACTTTTACGCTCTGACTATGACCATCACCCGCCGTTTGGTCCAGTCAACCATCTTCTTTGCCATGTCGCGACTGCGCGGTGTTGGTCGCGAACGGATTAATGCTATTCGAAGGAGAGATGTGCGGGCCGCTATCGACGTGCTAAATATGAAGCATGATCGATCTGGTTTCATGCTGGATGTTGTGCGTCGCAATGGCCTAACAATTACCAACAATCACGCGAACGATCCGAAAGGCGCCAAAACAAAGATCATCAACTTTGACGAGGCTGAAGAAATCCTCGGAGCTAATGTCAACCTCTCAAGTGAAAGTGAAGATGAAGACGAAGATACTGATAGCGACGATGACCCGGAAGACTTCAATATCGATTCTTCACCCATTAAAACCCATCGAAAACACCAACGCCAATCATCAACCGAAATTTCATCAGATGATCCCTTCCATCCCGAAGAAGACCACGCTGATACTCTCGATCGTGAACTCAGTCGTCGCGAAGAACTCAAGCTCTGGAGTATGATGGGAAAGCGCGCCCCAGCTTCCCTCGAGGTACCTATCCTCTCCGAAGAAGACGAGAAAGATGCAGCAGCACGTAAACCCACCATTGAACGCAAAAATAAAGAGGAACTAGTCGACTGGCGCGACAGAACTCTATACCGCAGTGAATGGGAGGAATACGGAGCCGGCCGAGAAAAACTAGAAGAAAAATTGGCCGGTAATATGCGGAAGAGACGGCGGATCGAAGGCGAACGCAACTTGATTCATCCTTCTGCGTATCGTGATGAGTCACCTGATGCTGTCCGGAGAAAAAAACCGTCGCCTCTATCAGCTGAAACTGTTCACAGCAGTGACGACGAGACTGGGGATGAAGGGCATATGGATGTTGACTAGTCTTTTATACTTTAAGCAATACCCGCATGTACTATATTTGCAATTCGCCTGACTATATATGTACTGAAATAACCTACTCAAGCCAGAACAGACAACTCCATACAGTGTATCCTTCCTTCTCTATCTTGGAATTTCAAGTATCATCATCGTACATTCAACTACATCTTCTTGTAGCCATATCAGTCATGTTACGTTCATACAATCAGACCCAAGGATTTAAACCACCAGAGTCGCATGCCCGGAGGTTAATAGATAACAGAATGACCTCGGAAATAAGAAGACTGTTAGATACAGGTAAAACCAAGCTGTTATGAAGCTACTGCATGAAAGATAGGAGCTACATGTCTCTAACAATGATAATACCACCCAGACATAGTCCGTAAGGATTCCGCCGATAAAAAGGGGACTACTTCTCCGCTCCTATACTTTTATCGCTCTAAGTTCAAATCTTAAGCGGATATGAAGTGAGATCTTAGGAGTAAGGTCAATGTGAGATCCTTGGGCAGTCGAGTGAATGTTAGCATTCACTCACTACCTACGAGTCTTGCTGTTATGAGAAGCATTCCACCAAAATTCTTCCTCCGTCATCTTTCCCACCTAAATTGCAGAGAAACTTCGTCACTGAGACTCGAGGACTGAGTAGTGTCTAGTTTATAGGACATTGCTGGTTTTGGATTTCAGAACTAATGGTTTTTGAGGCTAAGATATCCGGAGGCAGGAGAAACCCTGATTTGATGGATATATGAGATCGCTTCCAAGGCTGTCGCTAACTTGGCGCTAAGCCAAAAATAAGGGATAATAGCAGGTCTGGCTTGCAGCTGTCGTCAACTTGCTTTTAAGGTGATCCACGCAGCCACCCGCGGTGATTGGACATTATGTGGCTTTGGATTGACTAATAGGTGCCACCGAACTCCAAAACCACATTGTAGCTTGTTATGGCCAGATTTGTCTCAAGTGTTCAAATTTTCTCGATATCGGTCTCGCCAAAAGCCCACAGTTTTTGCCAAGCACTATTCCACGTGGTAATATTACCTAATTAGGATTGGCTTGAGGCAAAGTCAAGCGCTAAGGAATTTAACTACCTAATTAGTATTAGCTTAATGCAAACGTCAGGCAAAAAGCATCCAAAAACCCTATTTGGGGATGACCCAACCCATGAACATGTCTACCAGAAACATGATATTATCTCTATTTATATGCCTCCACATACATCTCATCTCTTACAGCCATTTGATGTAGAAATTTTGCAAGGTTTGCTCCCAACAATACCTATTTTACGAAAAAGGGAAGTTGTTCCGCCACTAAGTATTTAACATGGGGCCGTTTTACATAGTAGACCGGGAAGCAGAGGTTTGTCAACTACTTCCGGATGAAGGATTGCGTCTTTTCTACACAAGCATAGGATCCAGGGGTGCTGCATCATCAACAACCCACTGTGGATAATTTGAACGTACTAGGTCAAGATCTGCCTCCAAGTTCCACTGAGATAAGACCTAATACGATTCACTTAATCCAACCCTGGAATGCTTCAGGGGTTTTCAAGGTGAAATAACAATTGTATAGCCGAGCGCGTCAATGCGACGGCCCCGTAAGTGTTATGAACGGTAGTGGGGATTTTTGAGCACCTGATTTGCTGACTATCCGGAAGAAAGCAATATGCATTGACTATGTATTACTCAAGCAGGCTTTGATTTCAACATCTTCATACTCTAAAGTGAAATCGTCTAACCACCGCCCCCGCGGCTCTATCCCATGGGGGATATTGTAGTGCGCATTACGGCGAACAGGGTATCCACCTTATGTATGGAGAGCCGAACGCACATCACAATTAGATTCAACAAAATTAGATTATAAAGCTTTCTGAGTAATAACCTGGCTCAAAAATTGATACTTTATAACTTGATGGCACACATTTTGCCTTACTCAGTCTCAATTCAACCCGATATCATTTAAGAGTAGTGGCATCTAAAATCAGTGAACTTTTCGATGAGGTCGGCAGCAGCTTTAATTGCTAGCTAGGCGAGTGGACTGCTGGATCAAAGCTAAGAAACTAGCGAATACCCCTATGTGGAGAATGGGAGACAAAAGTCCAAGTTTCGGATGTACGGAGTAACTGCAGCCTTATTTGACTAAGAAATAAGGAGTCTCAAGCCTAAGTCCTGCAGTGTTTAGACCGTCTGCTTCGATTTGATTCGGGAATGACGGTAGTTTAAATCCTATAGACTTAATTTATGTACTTTTGGTAACCGATGCTTCGGTTTGGCAATAACAGCCACGAAGGATCTGGCAGGTTTGCAGGATGAAGAGATCTCTGGAATTATCTAAGAATGTGGAGCTTAACTTACGTATAACCAATAGTTAGAACTTCCTATTCATAACTAGCAAAAGTTTTCCACGAAGGCGGCTTGAGTTCCTGGTTTTTTTTTTTGTACCTTCATCGATATCATCTTGATCATATGGATTTTCGAAAAAGATTAATTAAAAATCATTTTCGGAAAGACACACGGTCGTGTGCTTTGTTAGATTTATGAATCTTGCTCTGTTGATCAATCTTCAACATGCACACCCCCTTCCACTGACGGGTCGAAGCTTGGCTATCTTTGCCTTCACTATCGCCCTCTTAACCACGTGTGTCATCGCCGTATTATTGAGATGTTTTGTCCGAGGATACCTCCTTCGGGCCTTTGGCTGGGATGACAGGCTGATGCTTATGGGACTGGTACGCTAAACTCTCAACTCTTAGCCTCGCCGGTGTAGGATTTAATTGACTTTATAGATCTTATTCATTGGCATGTCAACATGCCTAATTACCGCATCAACAAGAGGGCTAGGGCATCATATAACAGATTTCCCAGATTTGGTACTCTACAGGGACGCCTCGCTCGTACGTCCTTCTCTCCTTGCCCCTTGAAGCCTCCTATAACCTTGAAATGCTAATGTACTAACGTTTTAATTGGCTTAAAGTGGTGGTGGGTCTCCTCAGAATTTTATGTCCTATCCAGTGCATTCACAAAAGGGTCTGTTACTATGACACTCCTACGATTAAGTGTCAAAAACACACACCGCTACATTCTCTGGGTAGTCGCTGCCGTCATTATAATTTCTACCTTCTTGTTTTTCTTCACTTGGCTTCTTGTTTGCTATCCTATTTCCTACTATTGGGACCGAGTATTGCCAGATGCAAAAGGACACTGCGTCCATCCTAATTCTGTGTTCAGTATTGGGTATATTTATAGTGTGCTATCCTTACTCGCGGATTTAACACTGGGGATATTGCCTCTATTTCTCGTTTATGACCTCCAGATGAACGCTCTGACCAAGCTTGCTACTGGGGGAATCCTTAGTCTTGGTGCTGTGTATGTGATTCCTTGACGCGGAGATACTAAAAAGCTTTGGAATATATGGCTAACTTATGATAGGGCGAGTGTGGCAGTTATAGCTCGAATTCCATTCCTGTCTGAATATAAAAGCCCAGATTATCTTTGTTCGTGCAAATCCTGATCTCGAGAATGTTGGCATTTACTAACAGTTGCAGTTGCACTCTTCCAAGTCATCATCTGCACAACTGCTGAAGTCGCTTCTACAATCATTGCAGGCAGCCTTATTACTCTTCGCCCACTATTTAGATGGCTCATAGACCCAAAAATGCTATCCAGCAAAAGGAAAATGAACAGACACGACGGTTCAGATTCGTACACGAGAGCGGGTCATGTCCCTCTCAACAGCGCTCCTCAGGATGATAATTACCAGAACGCTTGGCGTCTAGAGCTTCAAGAGTCCGGGAGAATTGTTATGGTAGCAGTGCCACCATCTCAAAGAGATAAAGGTTCTTTGAATGGGGACTGCGACAGCAGTGATGAGCATTTAAACCCTCCTGATATTAGTCGCGTCGCGAATGTCGAGGAGACTACTTTAAATCAGTCAGGCCGATAGTGACTTTCTTATATATATATATTTTTTTTTCAAAGTACATCATCTATAAAGCGCCTGATTTAGACCACAAGTTCAACCTTCAGGACTGCCCAGGTGGTTTCTGTTTCATCAGCATTGTTGCAACGTTCTCTTGCCAACTACTTGCTATTGTCTTACTACACGAGGCATTAATTGCAAATTGTATGTAGCGAAGGATGTCTTCAAAGCAGGCGTGATGAATTTGTTCTTGCATGATAGCACTTTGATCCCCTAAAACAGATTGCGTGGTATTGCTCCTTATTTGCTCTGTGATCATTGGCATCGTGAATCTTAGCCCGATGAGGTTGGAGAGCGGTAGAAATCAGCCTCTCCAACGCTTTAAGTTTGAGCCCTTTCTCCGATATGGGGGTTATGATATGAGAGGAGCAAAGGATGGTTCAATTTTTGGCTTATAGTCGGATCGTGAGGGAGATCCTTTGCCCTTTTACCATAATGGAATTTGTTGATTGGGGATGAGATATGGGAGATCAATAGAGGAGTTAAGTAGGTAGAGCTTGTCTTATGTAATTCGTCCATCATAGCTAGTGCCTCTTGTGCAAGGACTTATTAGCTAGGAAGTTAGAGTAACGAAATATTCTAAGCCCATTTATATAAGCACCACTTAAATATTTAGCTTAATAAGGTTCCAAGGTTTATCAAATACTTTGCAGATCAAAAGGGGAGATCAAGAATGTAATCAATCATATCTCTAATTAGACATTCTAGAACCTCATTAAGAATTTAACTCCCCAGACCAAGGCTGATCGGACACTGATTGGTCAGATCTCGACAGATCTCCGAGCTTGGATCTCATATGACGTGATTATGTTAAATAAAGAAACATCTTTCTAGCCATTCAAAGCAGAAAGGCCTTTTCTGATCTTTTAGTGCTACACTAAAGATGTACTTCGTTGTGTACCCGATCACTCGAGGGTCCACATATTCGAGAACAATACGATCAAACGGCACAATATTAGGGTGTGGTAGTAGTTTGCTGAGATTATTAATCTCTTTCTAAGAAATTTTTATGTAAAGAGTTGAATTTGAAGATGACCCTCTGATCAGATTCAGTATATGATGAGAGATTGGCACCTGATCCAATCTGATCGGGTTCTTGAAGCGGAGAGAAGTAGACTGATTTGAAGCTGCGGAATCTTGGTCCATCTCACAGAGGTAGTCGACAATCGCCTCTGCCTTTTTGACCCCAACTGCCTTCAACAGCTTGATCTGAATGACGTCTCGCGAGTTCACGATGGAAAGCAGGTGGAGGGTTCGAGGGGACAAGGACTTATTCTCGTATTCATCCAGAGTTTCAATCTGCTAGTTATGGACAGTGAAAAGAGAATATTTACAATAAACAAGCTATCATTTTCTTCCATATCCCTTGAGACTCTATTGAGAAGCCTGTCATCATTATAGATCTGCAGAAATGAGACATGTCATTACGTAAGTGCTTGACTTTTCTAAGCATGTGACCCGGGGCCTGTCTTAAAAAAATCCCCGAAGCAGGTATCATCTATGTCGCACTAGTGGTAACGTTATCCTGAGACTTGAGAAATGAATTCAGTGGAGAATTCTATGCAAAAACGTAAATTCATAGGTAAAATATCAGATGCAAATGTCGTTTAAATGGGTATGATACAAATGATTCCAGCCAAAATGAAAAGATATCCCAAAACTCCTCCAAAAGTAGTATTCATCGCTGATGAAGTCTTATAGTTCAGACTTGCCTTCTTCCAACAGCCTCGTGATATCCTTGAAAGATATAGGTTTTCGGAGGAATACATTGACACCAGCTCCGTAAGCCTTCGTGATGTGTTCGTCAGACCCCAGGCCTGTAAGAGCTATGATCTTGGCAGGGGATGTATTTGGTCGTTTTGCTTCTATTGATCGGATCTTCGAGGTTGCTTCGAAACCATCCATGACTGGCATTGTGAGATCTGTGGCGTTTCTTGATTAGAATTCTGGTTATTGTGGTAGGAGAACCTGATGAAGAAAATAACTTACCCATGAAAATATAATGATATTCTTCAGTAGTGTTTTGGACAGCCTCTACGGCCTCCTTTCCATTCATCGCTGTGTGGAGGACTTGGGTTGGAATCCGGGAAAGAGATCTTTTGAGCAGCGCAAGATTTATTGCATTATCCTCCACCAACAGGATGCGAAGGTCACTCTTCCCATTTGGTAATGGTGGAGCATTTATTTGCTGGATCGGGGTGTTAGTATTTTGAGCGGGGAGTGACATCGGTGCGTCGGAGGTTTCTGGTGGTGCGCGGAGGGTAAGTGTGAATTGTGCTCCGTTCTGCTGTAATGAGGCTGTAGTCCCCGGCTGATCGATTGGGCTGCGATGTTCTGGAGATTCGGGGAGTAAGATATCATGAGGGATATGAGTTTTGTTCTGTTGAAGATTTTCGAGAGGTGCTTTTAATGTCCGGGCTAGCTGATGGGGGCCACAGGGGAGAGTAAGCCACACTGCATTTGGGAGAGTTCTGTTCACAGTAGTTATGGTTGACCACAATTTAGGTTTTCGACGACACAGAACAAGGATCAACGATTCATGTCCTGTCCTTCTGTCAAGGAGACTCAAGTCGGCTTCGTCAACAACCAGGATGTCGGCAGCTGTGGTTAATGAAGGATTGTGAGTCCTCACGCTAAACCATTGCGTTAGATACTTCTTGATCATATGGAATGACGAGGGCATATTCGATGTAGAATCCGTCAAATTGATATATTCTGCAGTTTTCCCTTCAAGGTCTGCCTTGACACTTTGGATGTGACTCTGGGTAGAATCCGAGCTGTCGGAAACCAGAGAGCGGGGATCATGAAGCCTGCTTTGTTGAGGCTGTGTAAGTGGGAAGTTGATTTTGACAACCGTGCCCATTCCGAGTTGACTTTTGACAACAATACTGCCATTCAGCGATCGGAGAATATCGCGAACGAGAGAAAGTCCCAACCCTGCACCAGGAGATAAGGGATCCTCCTGGGAGAATGGAGTAAAAACCTTTGAATTAAGGTACTCATTCGACATACCCTTGCCTGTATCAGAAATCGTCAAAAGAAGTATGGGACCTCCTTTCTTCGTTTTCTGCAGATCGATGTGTAGAGAGACGGAGCCCTTCTCCGTGTACTTCAATGCATTTCCGAATACGTTCATTATAATGCGTCTCAAAGCTCCGGCTTCCAAGATATAGAACCAGTTCTGTGGAGTGACATTGATGATCACGTCCAACACCCCAGCAGCGGAGACTTCTTCGACATCGCCACCTTCCGCTTTCGTTTGGTCCAGATGCCATATACTCGCCCCATTCATTACACGTGATGTCATCTGTCCAGAGTAGACACTCTCGACGGCATCTTCCACGACAGCAACGACATCTACCGACTTGAGAATGTGCAATGGATGCGATCGATTGTTCTCGCCGCTGAGTCTTCGCTGCATGCCTCGATTTGAGTGAGAAGGCGCCTTGAGTGCCCTTTCAAAGGAGTTAATTTTAGTGAAATCGAGGATTTGCTCAAAGGTATCGAGTAGGGGTTTGGCCGCAGGCACGAATTGTATCGAGCAGTCTTTTGGCAAATTCAGATTGTATGTGTTCAGCAAGGAACTCATTCGATGCGAGAATCCCGTGTAGTGGACTCCGCATTTCATGTCTGTAAAGCCGCTGTCAGGAATGTTTAGTATCATGTTAAAGAGAAATACTTACGAGATGGTACTGATGAAGTCGCCTTTCTGCTTCGCTGACTCCTGACTTTGAATTCGGCTGTGTTCAACCATCAAAGAGGCGCCAAACCCAAAGAGACCGCCTAGATCAACATGTGCAGAGAAGACACGAGTCTCGCTACCACTCCAGCAGAAGCAGCCACCGAACCATTGTGAATTCAGAGAGTCCCAGAGCGGGGCAAACATGATTCTCGATGCACTGGGGAAGTATTTTTTCATCGACTGGAGATCTTTCTCACGCAACGATTTTATTGATTGCGGATAAATTGGCATTGATGGTGGAGGCAGGTCAGCCGAATCTCTGCTACTTCCTGAGCTAGTCCCATCGTCGTCAGAAGAAGGTGACAATCCTTCATTGTCGAAATACCAAAGACCTCCTCGTGGGTGACGTCTTATCATTTGGCGCACAAAGTATGAATCCATATATGCCGCTGGGTATGGGTCATTTTCATTCGGATATGAATGGCCCCAGACTTTGGCTGATTTTCGCTCTCGGTCGTCCTCGTCCTCGCTGTCGTTGGTGATGACCTCATCTACGCCATCGTTCGTACTCACGATAATAACGCCACCAGAGGCGCCAACATCTAAACTCTTTCGCATGATTTTGGCTGCACGTTGAAAGGTTTGCTGCGCCCGGGTAGTATTTTGTTTTTGTTTTTGATGCGATACTTTTCGAATCAGTGGCGGAGCAGATGTGACCCTACTTGCACTACTGAGTGAGTCGCTATTGCTCGGGGCTAACGATCTGCTTCTTTTTGTATCGTTGGGATTTTGCTCTTCTGACACCTTTTCTGAAGTTTGAATGGGCACTGACAGATGAGAAGAGGGTTTGCCATCAAGAACCTCTCTTTGTGCATTGGTAGAAGTATCAGAGTCTTCATCACTTTGTACGAATGTGTTTAATCCCGAAAGTAGTCTATTCAAGCGGTCGGCCTCCAAGGACTGGCGAGACGTCTCCAAATATTCGATCACGGCGGCTGCAATATCGCCAAACATATGCCTTTGGTTTTGGCTTAGGTGCAAGTTGGGCCGGGGATCAATCACATAGAGGCTACCAATGTTGATGCCGCTGGGTGTTCTCAATGGTGTACCGGCATAGTAACGGAAATGAGGCGGACCGGAGACGCATGGTATATGACGAAATGTCGGATGCTTCTCGAGATCGTCCACAATATAGAAAGGACAATCTTTATCTGAAGTTTGTTTTAGTGCGATCGTTTTCTATATACATGGGGTTAGTATACGGTCCAGTTCAACGCGGGGGCATGCCTTTCCAAAGCTGCAACTTGCGATTTGCGACGCAACTTTAGAAATATGCTAGATAAGTACCTCGCATAACGTTCCAGCAAGCGGTCCATGAGAACAACCTAACCAGAGAGATTCTCCAGAATCGAACGAATCATGTTCGCGCAGACTAAGTGATTGTGTTGCTTCGGCTACCACGTATAGTGTTTCCCGATCGATTAAACTAAACAGGATGTAAGTAATCAGATGATTTATCTGGACTGAACCCAAGCATACCTAATAACTGTTCGCTGAACTCCTAGCTTGATCGCAGCCAGCTGGGCCAAGGCCGTCAAGACCAAATTCGGGCTGCTTTTGACGGTGGCGCATTTGGAATGGACTTTACATTGGGCCGGGACTAGTGCCGGATTGTCGGGCTGGAAATAATGAAAGAGCTCTCTTGCGCGACTATTACCATCATCTTGTTGGGCCCTCATATCGAACAATCTCGATGTCGAGGATGACAAGAAGTGGTTGAATCTAAGATTTTCGAGAAGTTGAGTTATCTGGGGATGAGATCATGCCGAAAGCCACTCCAAGGCCTAGACTTGTTCCCGAGAAGTCAGAATAGCCGAACCGCAGCCTGTTTGAGGTTGAGAAATCAAGTTTTTAAAGATTCTGGTAGTAGGCCGATTCGCTGGAACTCATTAGCGGCTTAAAATGGGCTGAAATAGCCACGCTTAGTGGTACCAATCACTACTAAGTGGCCAATTTAGAAAAACATCTAGACTGTTTTTTTTTTGGGAGAGTAGAAAGTATGGTTACAGGACCCTGGAATATAGGGATTCAAGGTGGCAACTCCTTCTTTTCTCATTGCCAAGGACTTTTATAGTCAATCGGTTTCCCATCAAAATAATAGATATCGATATCGATATCAAACATATCGCCGTAAGATACCACCAAAAGATGATCCTAAATCCTTGGAGAAGGTTGCAACAGTTCATCACCCTTCAAAAAATAGTATAAAAACAATTAAAAGAACACAGAACTAGACATCGACGTAAGAAATTCAAAAGGAATCATCCTTCGTCGTGTTGCTCGTGAAGAATAAATGTCGACAGACTGTTAATTTAGCTGCCCGGGACGAGACCCTTTAGGCCTGCGCCGATGTCGCCCTCGCGGGCAGCAATTTCAAAGTAGCCATAGATGATGCTAAAAATAGAGTTAGACTGATGTTTCATGTATTCAAGTCAAAAAGGGAAACTTACGTTACAGCGAGGAGGATACCAGTTCCGCTGCCGAGAGCACCGAGAAGATCAGAGGCAACGGAGAGAGCACCAATACAGGCACCACCAAAGGCAGCAGCGGTGGGAATCACACGCTTGAGCTCCTTGTACATGCTCTGCTCACGGTGACCAGACATGACGAGACCCTGGTCCTTGAGTTGCTTGGCGACATCGCGAGGAGCGGAGCCGGACACCTCAATCCAAGTCTTGGAGAAGAGGGCGCAAGCAACAAGCATGAAGGCAATGTACACAGCGGTGTGGATAGGGTCAAGGAGAGCCTCCTTGAAGTTCAGAGGAGGGGACATGTAGTAGGCAATACCGGAAGAGGCGAACAACTGAGCAGAACCCTCGCGAGGCTCCCAGACTCCGAGGAGCTTGACAAGAATGTTGTCAGAGAATCGAGAGTACAGCATTTGGCTGATGAGGAAGATGTTGGAGGACAAAGCAGACTGGAGCATAATGGGCATGTTTGAGGTGTAGAACAGGCGGACAGGGTAGGATCCACGCATGCCACGTTGGCGGGCAGACTTGACGGGGATCTCAACACGGAAGCCCTGGAGGTAGATGACAGCTGCAAAGACAACGAGAGTAGCCAGTAGGTTCATAACGTTGGGCAGGTTCTGACGGTAGAAGGCCTCGTACAGAGCACGCTGCTTGTCGGGCCAGGTAAGGAGCAGGTGGAACAGAGCGATGATGGCACCCTCGAACTCGGGGCCACGACCAGTGTTAATGGTGGTGGGAGAGAAGGCCTTCCAGACAATCGACTCGCAGATGTTGGTGGCAATAAAGAGGGAGATACCGCTGCCCAGACCGTAGCCCTTTTGCAGCAACTCGTCCAGCAGAATAACCACCAGACCAGCGACAACCAATTGAACGATCAGAAGAACACAGATACCGGCACCGAGATCGCTGGGCTGGCCGTAGAGACCAGTCAGAACGTAGACACAGGCCTGGCCGAAGGACAGGATGATAGCGAACAGCTTCTGGGCGGTCTGGTAGAGCTCGCGATCGGTCTTGAGGTCAAGGTTTACATCAATGAGGTGGGTACCGGCCAAGAGCTAAAAACAAACACCAGTTAGCTCAATTGTCGCATAAAATATGCCAATAATTGAATATCGCGTACCTGGAAGACCATGCCAGAGGAAATGATGGGGGTAATACCCAATTCCATCAGAGTTCCTCGGTTACTGGCCAACATCATGCGGAGCCAGTACAAGGGGTCTGAGGTGTCGGAAGACACGATACCGTACAAGGGCATCTGGCTCATGACCAAGAAGATGAGCAGGGTCAACTATAAAGATGAACACAGTTAATTCCTAGCCCAGTCGCGAACAGAACGAATTGACAACGTACGCCAGTCCACATCAACTTCTGGTTGAAGGGCACCTTGGTCTCAGGAGCTGCCACCTCCGGGAGGAGGGGCGTGAAGGGCTTGATCAAGTCAAGAAAGCGAACTAAAGTCTTCAATTAGCATCCATGAATCCATTGAGAACGATCTGAGGCATGCAGCGACGATCGCGTGTTAAAAGAGAATGGAAACTCACGGCCGCTCATTGTGACTGTATTCCTCCCAATCCGTCTCTAAAAAAAAAAAGAGAAAAGAAAGCTGGAATTGAAAACCAGCTAAAGGAAAGTTGAAGGAAAGTAGAGAATAAGAAGAAGGGACTGATGGAGAAAGGAGGTCGGGGGAGATGTGGAGAGGGAAATGTGGCCAGCGAACGTTCTTCGCTTCCGCTACTAACTTAATTAAGGACACTTGGTCATCTCCGCCCTCAGCCAACACCCTTCTATAGACCCTCGATACACCACACAGTTGATTCTAATTAATTCCAATCCATTCTTTAATTTTTGTATCTTGAGTCACATTTGCTTTGTGACTCAAATCTTTGGTGTTGTAGCTGTCATAGACTCCTAGAACAATACCACTTGTTTTTCAAACAAAAGACAGAATAGAACAGCTGAAGTAGCCTTAAATTATTGGAAGCTTCCATTGTAATATTTTTTTAAAATTACATTAAAATCATCCGAGACAGTCTATATTGTTTATATCGCAGAAATCAAGGGATAATAGCTCTGGTCATTGCGTGATCAGAGTCCGCTTAATTAAATCAACCAACAAGACTTAAGCAATCATCGACGACCAGCTCCAACTCTCCTATTCTGTTCTTGAGACCTCGATTCTCGTCCTTGAGAATACCCATGACGCTCCAAGCTTCCGAAGCAGGAACTCCATGACAGTTATTGCATTGATTTTGGTTTGCTGCGACGAGGGAGCTTCCCAAGCGCGTCGAGGCAATCCCTTTGATCACACGGTCATATGCGGAGGGACGCGTCGGGGTTGGCGAGTTGGTGACTGTGGCGATGCTCTTATGTATTGTGGGGGTTGAAGCCGAGCTGGACGACAGAGTAACCTGCGATAAGCTCGGCGTAGTTAGTATGGATGTGGGAGAGCAAATGCTGTCTTCTCTCGAGAAGATGCTCTCGGCAACACTCTCATCTCCAGATTCAAATCCAGAGTCGCTAGTGAAGGTGCCATGACTGGATCGCTTGGCGGCCCGATGTGGCGTTTGCAACACAAGTGAATGTACATCGTCGTCAGAGGCGTGTGCGCGCATGGTACCGCTGCGGCCACGTGTCTCTTCTTGTTGCTGTCGCAAGAGCCGTTCTTGCTCCAAATCATCAGCCATTGCTTGCATAGCTTTCTCTTGGTCCAGGACCTTGGCAGCCATGGTGTCCAGTTGGATTTTCAAGTGGTTCACGCGTGCACGGGTCTCTTCGAGTTCGTCCCGTTTCTCATTTCTGTCTGCCAAGGCTTGATGCATAGCAAAGGTTCTCTGCCGATAAGCTTCCTGCATCTGTTGCAGAACTGTAGTTGCTTGTTCCCGAAGGGTGTCTAGATCCTCTTCATTCGCGCCATCCGAGCTCGGCAGAGACAACGCCGCCAAGATGTCCAGGTTCAAGAACTCATCATCTGCAGGCTCTGGAAGAACGGGTAATTGTTGTTTTCGAAGGCCAAAGAACGAGAATCGGCCAGCTATTGGGACCGAAATCTGGCGGGAGTGTCCCATGGATGCAGTGTTGACATGGGCGGGATCCATCTCGCCGTTAGCTGCGGAACTGGGACGCATGTTGCTGCTTCCTAATGTGACTGGATCGGATTTGCCTTGAAACCAATCTGAGAGGATCCTTGCCCTTGCTTCAAACTTCTTCTTTGGGAATGTATCTGTCCAGGAAGGGATGATTCGTGAGGAGGTTGGGTCAAGGTCATGCACGTCTTCTTCGAAAATAGGTGGTCGTGCAATATATTCAGTATTGGATCGGCGATGTGAAGGTAAACTGTGGAATCGATTATGTGGAATCGAGGGTGTAGTGAAGTCGGGGGGCCCCTGGGTTTCATCGGAATGCAAGGTTGAATGGGGAAGATGGGAGGACATTTGGGACATTTGGGGTCAAATCGGAGCCAAATAGGGCCGACTGGGATTAACAGGCCTGAATAGGATTAATAGGCCTGAATGTACTGAATGCCCAAATTCTGGTTCTTGTGGCGTTGGTTGGAAGTATCAGGGGTAACACGGGAGATCCGTTTGCATACGGTATAAGATTAATCACCAGTAAAAGATTTTGAAAATGTTGAAAATGTTTCACTGGAAATGAGATTTGGAGTAGAAACTTGATACTATATTTGCTTTTTTTCGTCAGGAAAACAGGGTGAAAATTTAGCAAATAACGAGGCTGGGAGAAGGTATGGAAATAGCAGTGGCTGACAATTATGGAGCGGACTTCTCTTCTCCACAAGCATCACTGATTTTCATTACTAACGTCCGACAGGTACCATTCTCCACTTATGGGGCTGAGAGGAGAATAACAGAATTCCTTGTTTGATTGCTTCACAACTACTGAACCTGCACTGTGTCGTCGGATGCTACGATCTCCCTGTAGAATAATACGATGTCCACAAATCCGGGTCTGAAGGTCTTGTCTAACGCCCTTGCCACCCCGGATCAAGTGTCAAATTCCTCGTCTGCCATCGATGGAGTTCCATCTGAGCTTGAAACCTCCATCCGCTGTGCTGGAGCTCAACTGACTCAGGCCGCGGGTGTTCTTCTACATTTGTCGCAAGATATCATAGCTCAAGCCATCGTCATTTTCACCCGCTTCTGGCTCGGCGCTGACGGAGGAAGTTTACGGATCTACTCAGCCAAAGTATGCATGCCTCGACGTAATTTCTGCACCAATTCACCCCACTGACCTCGACCCCACCAAATCCAGGATGCTTCGGCTGCCGCTCTCTATCTCACAGCAAAGCTCTCGTTCCAGCCCTTGTCTCCCCGCTCGGTATTGAATGTCTACACCTTTTTACTTTCTCGGGATGCCTCACCGCTGTGGTTTGTGAATCCAAGAGGCGCTCCCGCACAGCCTCCCTCTGTGACGTCCTACCTTCTCTCCGAGGGTGGATACCAGTCCGCAAGGCTTGTTCTTCTGCGCGTCGAATCCGTAATTCTCCGCATTCTTGGGTTTGATACACACGTCGCTCTCCCGCATACTATCGCGCTGACGTACCTCCAAACTCTCGGTGTTGCCAAACCAAGTGTCGCCCGTCGAGTTGTTCAGCATCTGAATGCAGCCCTTCTATCACCCCAGTTACTCTACGTCACACACCAGCCCAACGCATTAGCCGTTGCGGCTATTTATCTCGCTGCGCGGGAAGAGGGGGTTAAATTGGTAGATGGTGAGTGGTGGGAGGTGTTTGACGTTGACCGAGAGGAACTTGGGTTTCTAGTCGTGGCGATGAGAAGTACCGAGGGCTTCATGCGAGCAGAGATGGAGTGGTGGCAAAACAAAACTATCCCTCTGGTGGTAGACGAGGTGGACACTGAGATAAACCGCCGACGAATGACGGAGAAAAGCGAGTGAGATCAGGGTGGACTGGACTCGTGCATTTTAAGACGTATGTCCCTAGAGGACACTTTAGATCAAGGCCCCCTTAGTTTCCCTTTTGACTAGGCATCAACCTGAATGGGGGACGGAAGATGCCGTCTGATCAGGATCAAACATTGTCCGGAGGATGCTTCATAACTTCATGGTGGAGTTGATACAATGGCACCTGAACCCAGCGGTTAATTATACAGATCACAAGCCCAGAAGCACTTGAATCAGGTGAAAACCAAGTCAAAAATGAAGGTGGTTGTGGTTTGAAGACAAATGATATCACGCGGGGCCAAATCATGTGCTCCACCGCTTATCGTCTCCCCGCCTTCATCTTCACCTTCACTCTTTAGAATCTCCCCTTTTCTTCATCAATACTCTATAACAAAATTTACATTATGAATATTATACAATCCACGATATCGACTTGGCGAGACCGTCTGGCCCCGGTATCTCGTACCTCTACATTTCGAAATACGGGTCAAATTACCCCCGAGGAGTTCGTTCTTGCGGGAGACTATCTCGTTTACAAGTTCCCGACATGGTCTTGGGCTGATGCCTCCAGTCCCGCAAAGCGGGTTGCATATCTACCTGCAGGCAAACAGTTTCTCGTTACTCGAGGAGTTCCTTGTCACAGGCGGCTAAACGATAACTTTGCCGGCGACGCGGGCCACGAAGATGAAGTCGTTCGCGATATGCTCTCTGGCGAAGGAGCTGAGGGACCCTCGGGTGAAGATGGCGATGATGGTTGGCTTCGAACAGGTGGCGGTCGTGACGTTGTTGAGGCCCAAGATCAGCAGGAGGCGCGAATCCGCGATGTTCGAACTGTTGATGAGTCTGGAAACCTCGGTGAGCAGGAAGATGAGGAGGAGATCCCGGACATGGAGGACGATGACGACGACGAGGAGGCTATTATTCGAGAGCCCGCGGGGCAGCCGGGTACCACCCAGTGAGTCAAGGTCTTCTCGCCTCCGATCTGCGACCTTTTATTTTCTGACATGATCCTTTAACTTCCAGGCCCCTACGAACATATACACTCTACATCACATACTCGAACTTCTACCGCACACCCCGTCTCTACTTATCTGGCTACTTGTCCCCTTCAGAGCCACTCCCTCCACACCTCATGATGGAGGATATTGTCGGAGACTACAAAGACAAGACAGTGACACTAGAAGACTTCCCATGGTTCGACGGGAGCGTTAAGATGGCCACGGTACATCCATGTCGCCATGCCTCAGTCATGAAAATACTACTCGACCGTGCCGATGCAGCACTAAAGCTCCGCCGCGAGAAGCTAAAGCAAAGCCAGTCTCGCGAGGAGGCAAACCGTATCCTCCAGGCCGACGGTGGACTCGGAGGATTGGTCGACGGAACGAAGGCTTTGTCACTCAGTGACAACGCTCAAGGTGACGAGTGGGAAGTTTTGCAACACGACGAGGAAGACCAAGTTGCGATTCGGGTTGATCAGTACCTGGTCGTGTTCCTCAAGTTCATTGCCAGCGTTACGCCGGGTATTGAGCATGACTTTACGATGGGTGTATGATGTACTCTTCCTACTCGGCTATCCAGTGGCTCGTCTTCTTTTGACTTGCAGGCTGTGTTTGAGGCTCAGCTCGCGTCTGGGAATGAGATTTGCATAATTTGATATGACTTTGCTTTTGCTTGGTGCAAAACATATGAACGGAGTTTGTAATGGTCTATTTATTATATTTTTCCAATATTTCATCAGTCTTCTGCAATAGAACTTTACGTAGGTCAGCTTCTGAACAGGTCATAGCTTTCTAAATACCAGTTGGTAGCTCGCATTCAACGCTGTCCAGGTGGGCTCTCCGATCGTAGGGCCTTGAACAGCCCTTAACCGCTTAATCTTCAAACGCAGTCTGTGAAGCTCGCTTATATACGTGTTGATATCAAAACAACGTAAGCTGAGTGGCCTTGAGGGTTTCATACAGGACATGCGCATTGAGGTTTGCAAATCGTGCAGTTTGTGTAGTAGAAACAATTGAATCTGCTGGTACAATAAATTGTTGATAGTGGAATAGTAAAGGTGAGAGTACCTAGGTAAGAGGGATGGCTGGAAGCGCCTCCGAAGCACCTCGCATCTCCCATACTTTTACTTCCAAGGTTGTCTACTCCAAAGGGACCACTCTTAGTATCGATGTTGATATGACTATGGAGAAGGTGCACTTTGAGATTGACTCATAGAAATGTAGTAGTGTTGGTCATGGCATTGGCTATGACTCTATGCATCACCATCTTGGTTAACAATTTGGAACCTAGATGACAGGGTGCTAACATGAAGGCGACATTCTCATGTATTTTTCATGGCAACAATGGCTCTTTTTTCCCGTTACATCAACCACAGATGTGTCAATTCCAAAGGAGGTACTACTTCACAGTGCTGGTGCAGGGACTAACTTATAGTACGGGTAGGACGGTGTTCATGCACAAGCATTGTATTTGTATAGATAATATTCGTAGAACACAGGGCGACAACTTCGCACAACGCCAGTGTGAAAGACACACCACGACTCTGAACATAAGGGCAAACGAGGAGGTTTAGGGCAAGCAAAAATAAGAACAAGCATGGGCGTCATATGTCAACCAAAGTACAGGTGACCAGGTATCTCGGGGGTGGTTAACCAGCCAAGAGGGGGACCATTAAATGAATAGAACAAAAGTAGACACGGAAGTGAAGAAGGCACAGGTACATCCAGCCAAAGGAAAAATACACATTATCCATCAAAGCAGGTGAAATATTCCCGGAAATCTGGTCGGCTATTGGCAGTTCAGCAGAAGATGCCTACCATGAGGGTTAGGGCTAGAGCCACGATCATTGAGCTGGGGGTCATGGTTGAGCCGGCATTGAAGGCTGGAACTGACACTGCGGTTGCGGCAGTGTGGGTAGCAGGACGAGAGATGAAGGGTGTCGAGTAGACAGCTGGGGTGGGGGTAGGAGTCACACTGATGGGTGCGGTGGTGATGGTGGGAATCCAGCTGGGGGTGGTGAAGGATGGGGGGAGGATCACAGGCACATAGCTGGAGGCTTCAGGCTCGGGGGCGAGAATGGTTTGGACAGCAGGCTCAGTGGCGGGCTCAGTGGCGGGCTCAGTGGCGGACTCAAGCAAAGCGTCTCCATTGGGCTTGGGAGTCCAAGCGGGGGTAGACTCAGGGCGAGATACAGGGCTAGATTCAGTCCATTCAGTGGGAGGCTCGGGGGAAGCAGACTGGGGAGCAGCGGTGGGCCAGGGAGTAGCGATGGGCTCGTGAGCAGCGATGGGCTCAGGCACATCGCTCGAGGCAGGAACAGACTCAGGCGCGTCAGTCCACTCAGGTGCGGGATGGGTCCATGCTGGGGAAGGGTGAGTCCACTCGGGAGTAGGCTCAGCAACAGTCTCTGGGGCGGGGGCAGGTGCAGGTTCATCAACAGTCTCTGGAGCAGGTGCAGGTTCAGCAACCTCAGGGCATGGGTAGGCCTGGTGAGCCTCGTGTGCACCTCCGCCAAAGAGAGCGCTAGGTCCTTCAGGGAGACCAACAGCAAAGCCGCCACCGGCGCCACGCTGGGAGCTGACACCAGGGCCACAGGGGCCGTGGGTCTCTTCATGGGCACCGCCTCCGAAGGAGACACCAGGTCCATCGGGAATGCCAACAGTGAAGCCACCGCCGGCACCCTTCTCGGTGTTTCCAGTGGAAGGCACCTCGCCATGGTGAGGAGAGCCAGCTGGAAGGGCTGGAACAGGCAGTGCTGGGAGAGGCAGCTTGGGAATGGGAAGTCCAAGGTCAGGCTGTGAAGGCTTGTTAGTCTGATATGAAAAGTCGAATCTAGAGAGGCGGAACTCACCAGCCCGGGTGCGGAGAGAACGGTCGAGGGACCAACAGCCAGGACGAGGCACAGAGCGGCCGAGAGGGTAAAAGTCTTGGGAGCCATTATATTGAGAATTTGGTTGGTATGCGAAGTGCGAATCACAAAAGAAAGCGTTCGTGGAATTATAGGGATTGTTCGTCAAGGAAATTAAGCGAATGAGGGGAGCAGGCTCCGAAGGAAAGGCAGAAGAATTAATGAATGTGTTGGATAGAGAAGATGTGAGAAGAGCATCGTGGTCTTTATGTAGTTTTACGAAGTTAGTATCCGAGAGGCATAAGGAGGCACCAAACACAAATCAAGATGCTGCAAGGCCACAGACTAACCCTTGGTGGCTCTCCTATCGAGCGCCACAAGGACTGTGATCAGCAAGGTACCATAGAAAAAACAAGCTACTCAAGACAGACAATTGTGAGAGAAGCCAAAGCGATCCGCCGAGATGCAGCGTCAAGGCATGATATGCATTGCTAGCTACTACCTCGAACTATTGCATGCATGAAATCAAATTCAGGTACTATGTGCCTCAAGTCCAAGCATCTGAGCTATCACTTAGGCTTCAAGGCCTGATTCTAATTTGTCACTGAAGCCATCACACGTGGAGTAAAGTCCAGTTCGAATGTTACAGGCCATGCAAGGGATCAAGAAGTACAGGAATAAGATTATCTCTGCAGAAGGGCGCATTTAGGGTAAAGGTATAGACAAGTCATACGCAAGGAAATCCAATATCAGAAGCACGACAAGAAACCCAACGGACCTGGACTTGGACCTGGACCGCTCTTGAGCGAAACAAGGGAAATATCAAAAATCACAAAACCAAAAATCAACGTATATTCCAATGGATGATATCTCATGAAGTCGTGAAGCATCTCATTTGATAGAAACACAAGAAGCTATAAAATGATAGGATGAATATAAGGTCCAAAATGGAAAGAAATCAAAAAGCTTGTAGGAAGGGATTATCCACATGTCGCCAAATTTCGACATATCATAAATGCGTTATTTCGGAGAATCTGGGTCTTCAAAATTGACCAAGGCTCTTGAGTCCAAACGCTGTACCGAAATTGGTAGACTTTTTGAACTTGATTTCCGGTTCGGGCTCACCCTGGTTAGACACTTCTTGATTCTTCTCATTAGGATCGTCAACTTCTACCGAACCAAGGATGCGCCTGGCCTGGTCAAGGAGCTTCAGATCAAGCTCATTCAGAAAACTATTATCGTGTTCCTGGTCGTTGATGAGACCAAGGGGCCCCTTTAGGGCTGGATCGTCATGGACATCAGGGAAGTATGAGTCTGCATGTTCTCTCGGCTGAGGGGCTTCCTCGGCCTTGGTCTCCACGGATGGAGAAATGGCCTTTTCGACTTCTTGTACCTCTGGGAACGGAGTGGGTTCTTCTGTAGGCTCCTGGCTTTCATCTATATCTACGATAGCCATTGGAGTGTGACCAGCATTTCTGAGCAGGTTCTCGTTAGGTGGGCCGAGCTCTGACAGCGACAGCTTCAGCTTGAGGCTGTTTCGATGTTCCCCGTTCGGCCGTGCAGATGTCGAGGGGGAATCCGCAAGGGCGGGTTCCAAGGGAGACGGGGTTGGCGGAGTGATAACGCGAGCTACCACTCCAGGTGGTAAAGCTGTAGATTTGAGAGTAATTCCATCTAGCCTACTGTCAAGCTTCTCAATCGGGACTGGTACGCTCATATGCACTCCAGCAGCATCAGCTGCCTGCGATCGGGGTGAAAGTGCTGCATCGAGGGATGGAGGGCTAGCACTTGCCCCTCCGATGCTTGGCGACAAACGATTTTCAGGAACTTCTTCGTCGCGAAAGACCCTGGTTGGCCGACTTGCTGGACTTGAGCCCTCCCACACCTGGGCGCTGTGAAAGAAGTCATCGGATCTCCGTCCTTGGAACTGCGGGATCCCGAGCACCGGCAGAGGTGCATGCAGTATTGACGTACTTGACGATGCCGTCCTTTGACACTTCAGCAATAACTCCAGCTCCACAATCTTTGCCCTCAAGAGCGAGCTTTCCTTCTCCCATAGTCGTCTTTCTTGTGAAAAAGCCTCCCTTTCAGCTTCAAAATTTGCGCGCTGTTTCTCGAGAAGCTGTCGTGAATGATTGGTATAGGAAGTGTCCGTAGCAAATATGTTTTGATTTGATGGCTGCCATAATGGCCCTTGTGCGTATTTAGAGCTCCATGCGGGGGTACTGCCCGCAACAGATCTTGAACGACGAATTGGCGTTGAAGTTGGTGAGAAGCGCACCTCTTTATATACGCTTCCTTGGCCATCTGGTACCTTGGAAGACTTCATCGTAAGATAATGGTTCAATTATTGCAATTGGGATGTGATGTAAAAGAGAATTTATTTCTCATTGACGGTAGTTGTGAAAATTTCAGGGGTGGTAATTCCTAGTGACTCAGCATTTCAGCCTAAGATGTGCCCAGGTTGCGGTGTATATCACTCTGTTCATAGACAGATCTTGATGAAAAGGGAAAGCGGGGAGTGGACACTTCTGCAGTGGAGACGAATGGGAGGCGGTCAAGGATGTTGACTATCGAGTCCCTCGATTCTGATACCATTCAAGACAGCAAACTCCTGTGAGATGCTCGAAATAGACTCGAGCGGTATCGATACTAAGCTCAGCACTTGCTTAGGCTAACTTTGAATGGTCGATAAACCACACGTTCACAAATACGTGGTGATGAGCCCTGAAAGTTGGGCAGCGATGAGTTTTAAGGCTAAACGCACGGCTAAACTCAAGATTGAACTTTATGAAACGGTGACTGACCTGCTCCAGTACTGAATGTCAGGGCCCGAGTAAGAACTGAACTTGAGGATGGTGAAGAGAACTAGGTACATCGGAAGGATGATAGTTCAAGATCCCCCGCAAATGCTTATGACGTCAAAAGGCATCTCCCAAAATACGTACGACGTACCTAGGAATTTTCCATTTCCGTTTTTAGCCTCGGTTGGTCATAAACATCACATCGGTCGATTTCAGTCTATTTCGAAGGACCCTATAGTTACAAAATATCTACATGTAAGTACCTTACATGTGGAGGTAGTTGTCTGATGTATTTTCGTATACAAGTTGGGCGCGTGAGGATCTATATAGTAAAGGGGGGTCAAGAGTCACGGGTCAGCTGATGTCCAAGGCACCTGAGGTGTCCACGAGTCGTTACATCCGTAGGAACGGAACTGGGCCTGGCAGATCAGGGGGTACTTTTCATGATTCAAGTATAAATCCGATTTTAGATCCATAAATTTTTACAAGTTTAAGTCCGGTAATCGCCGTTAATAGTCACGTACTCGTGGCTGAAATCGCAGAACCAGTACACAGCATCTTCTCCACCGCAACCAGCAGCGCCCTTCTCGCCACCGCCAAGATCAATCTCGATCTCCAGATCCTCGTTCTGAAGAATGGCACTAGCACGCTCCTCATCGACAGACTCTGGCTCACCGTTAACTAGCAACTTCAAAATAGGGCTGCCATCAACAGGACGGAAGCTGACAGAAGTACGCTCGGGTACAACAGTCCCATCAGTAACACCCTGGGTGTAGCCAACCGCGCAAAGAATGCGACCCCAGTTGGCGTCACGGCCGTACAGGGCGGTCTTGACAAGCGGGGATCGCGCAATTGTCGAAGCAATCAAACGCGCAGACTCATAGTCGGGCGAGTTGCGCACGCGAACAGTAACGAATTTGGTAGCGCCCTCGCCGTCACGGACGACCAGCTGGGAAAGCTCTTGAGCAAAATCGGTAAAAACAGTCTGCAGGGCCTGGTAGTCGGCGCTAGGCTCGGAGGAAGATGAAGGTGCGCGCACGGTCTCGCCGCCAGCAGCTCCATTGGCCAGGACAGCGATGGTGTCGTTAGTGCTGGTGTCGCCGTCAACGGAAATCGAGTTGAAGGAACGGGAGACGGCGTGCTTGAGGATCGATTGCAGAGCAGAGGGCTCGACTGCTGCGTCGGTGCATAGGACGCCTAGTAGAGTTGCCATGTTTGGATGAATCATGCCGGCGCCCTTGGTCATACCGGCTAGGCTGTAGGTGCGATCTGGGGATGAAGGTAGGTTGAATGAGCGAGAGATGAGCTTAGGGAATGTATCGGTGGTGCAGATGGCACGGGCGGTAGTAAGCCAGGCATCGTGCGTTGAGTCAAGGTTGCTGTATGCAGTGGGGATACGGTCGAGGATCTTGCTAATTGGTAGTCTGTTCCAGGATATCAGTATATGTATTTGATCGTAGTCTGCAGCTCCCGAGCCATAAGCGTAGGCACTTACCGCTGTCCAATGACACCGGTACTCATGACGAGCGAGCTGTTCTTTTCAACCCCACTGCACTCATCAACTGTTAGACCCATCTGCACCGCATCCTCCAATCCACCTTTTCCAGTCACCGCATTGGCACATCCAGAGTTGATCACCACAGCCCGAATGCCCTCGCCCTTGCGGCTCCGCAGTGTTTCCCTGCTAACTTGCACCGGCGCAGCCTGGAACTTATTGGTAGTGAAAACTGCGGCGGCCGAGCATGGCGTCTCCGATGCAATGAGCGCGAGATCGGGGAAGCGGGTGTTGGATGCCTTTACACCCACATGGGTGCCAGAGACCTTGAATCCTTGAGGGTAGGTGCCAGATGTGGGAATGTAGCGCTGCTTGGAGGCCGGAATAGCCATATCCAAAGGTGCGGAGTAGCATCGGACCTGGCCCTTGAGCATGCGGGCAAAGGAGCTAACCGCCATTGTGGCTGGTTGAGTATTGGAAACCATGTGTTGTGATCGGAGCAATAATTAATTGCAATCGATCTCACACACCAGGTTTATAAGAAGTTGATGAAAGTGGTGAGTCATAGTGGAAAAAGAATTTGAAGCTGCCAGTTGCGGTCTCGGCGGCTCCACTGATAAGGCAGTACAGTATCGAAGGAGTTACAGTATGAATTGAGTCTTCAAATTATACCTAAGTAATACCTCTCGAAGTAATTTCAATGTTGAATTATTGGAATTTATAGTGGAGGAAATGGGTAAGTACTTTGTTTATTTAGTTACTAGTTATTTGGGTAATCGTGTACTATCTAGGTCGTGTATTTAGTAACATTCAATGGCATACTTGGAAATATATTCAGTCACATTTACCATCATATCTTACATAACCTTCGTTGTATGAAATTGAATTGATTAGATTTAAAGGTGGAGTTGGGAGGAAACCCCATCAACTTCAATGTTCCAACTTTCCAAGGTTGAACCTGAATATCTCACAAACTATCACATCTAACACCTCAAGTACTGGTCCATCAATTGCTGCAGTTCTGCAATCCTGTGGTCTGCACGACACACCAAAACGCGTCCCCCTTGCGTCATATCCTTGTGCGCATTCTCTGAATCCGATGGTATCGTTGATTTCTTTCCCGTTTGCGCTCCATCAAGAACCGTGGTTCGTTTTCTGACTCAATCATGAAGCGCAAGCTATCAGATTCCAGTCTGGAAAATGACCATCCAGCCGTCTCGACTCCGAAGCGACCTCGCACCGCGAAAGCCAATGGCGCCCTAAACGTGCACGCGCCGAATCAACCACGCACGAACGGCGATGCATCCTACGAAACTCCCCCAGCACCACTGGCCGTCACTCCCAAAAAGGCCAGAATTTCAGCAACCCCATTGAAAGATTCAGGACTAAGGACTCCCACCCAGAAATCAAAGGCTCGTTCCTTGTTTGCCACGCCCACGAAATCCAAGACCGCGAGTGCTGCTACGCCATCTCGTCTGAAAAACGCCGATCGCTCCGCAAGGAAGAAGAGTGCGCGAGTTCTGTTCGAACAGGATGAAGATGCCGCTTGGGATGGGTCCGAGCAGCTTGCGGAGGAAATTCTCCAGGGCCTTGAGCAGGAGACTGAGAAACCCAATGAAGTGACAGAGGGCGTCGAGAACGGCGATGCTGAAGAAACGAAAACCGATGCAAAGGCTCCTAAGCGTCGTGCTGGACGGCCCAAAGGTGCAAGAAACAAACGATCTCCAACACCAGAAGGCGAACTGCCTGCCCACGAGCGCTACTTCTTCCAGAACCGGGCTGGTTCTATTAAGACATCCAATACGACTCTCAACAAGGTGACATTATTAACCCACGAGGAGTTTTTCGACCAGCTGGGCCAATTTGTGGACCCTTGCAAGGAAGAGAAGGAATATTTACACTCATTGCATCACCGGTCATTTCCGCAATGGAATTTCGAATTTGAGGAAGGGTTCAATATCTGTTTGTTTGGCTATGGATCAAAGCGAAAGCTTGTGCATCAATTTGCAGATTGGATCTACCACCGATCAGAGGCTGAGACCTCGACGGCTATCGTCATCGTCAATGGCTATACGCCAGGTATCTCAATTCGATCGATCTTTGCTACTATTGCGACAGCTATACTTGGAAATGACGTTCCCTCGAAACTTGGTGCTCAACCAACTGAAGTTTTGGAATTTCTTCAGTCAGCGCTAAAGGCTCGTCCAGAAAGCGAAGGGCCTATCACAGTTCTGATCGACTCAGTCGATGCCCCTTCTTTTCGGCGCGCGGCTAACCAGGCCCTACTTTCTCGCCTGGCTGCGACCCCACGTATTCGGCTACTCCTCACAGCTGATACCCCTAATTTCCCCGTGATGTGGGACATCAGCCTGCGTGACCAGTTTAATCTTGTTTTCCATGACTGCACCACGTTTATACCCTTCACAGTCGAGATGGATGTAGTAGAAGAGGTAAACTCTCTACTTGGACGTAAAGGTCAGCGTGCTGGTGGAAAAGAGGGTGTGGGCTTCGTGCTCAAGAGTCTTCCTGAGAACGCACGGAATTTATACCGTCTTTTACTAACCGAGTTGATTACTTTGATGGAGGATGGCCATCAGTCTGATGATGAAGGCGGTGCAGACGACGCAGGCGGTCATGGTAAACCCAGTGACGAAAATGGCATCGAGTTCCGCCTGTTATACCAGAAGGCAACGGAGGAATTTATTGCATCTTCTGAGATGATGTTCCGCACGTTGTTGAAAGAGTTTCACGATCACCAGATGATCACTTCGCGCATGGACCCTAGCGGAATGGAGATTCTCGGCGTGCCATTGGCTCGCGATGAGATGGAAGGTGTGCTGGAGGACCTGGTTCTAGGATAAGTGCCTTGCCCGTGTGATCTTCTGTGTTGTGTAGAAGTCATGATGATACCCTTATAATATAAACTTATGTCCCAATTTCCAGTGGTAGTACCTTTTTTTTCTCTCTCAAAAAGTGTAAATAAAGATTGATGGATCACCTCTCAATTCCTCAACATCTTGAACCTTTTTTTTCCAACGTACAAGTAGCGTATTTTCCGCCTTTGAAGAATAGAGCAGCTAGAAATGCGCAAACGCCCCCAGCGCCATCATAAGCCCAAAGCTTATCTTGAACGGCCTTTGCTTAGACAAAACACCCTGCACATCGACACTCTTCACCAATTTTTGAATCTGATTCACAGGAATTATGTTATATCCCTTGGAGGCCGCCCACTAACAGTTGTAGATATTAGCATTGGCATCCCGTCACAGACCAAGTAGGTCAGAGCTAGAACTCGGAATTGAAAGTCATACCTCAGCAAACACAATTCCCATTCCCAGCACAACTACAAGAACTCTCGAAAAAGCTCTCAATCCAACACCTGCAACAAGACCCAATACACTACCTAAGCTAAGTTGGCGCATATTACTCGCCGTCAAGAAACCGCTTCGAGATTTGGAAGTGATGCTCTGCTTTTGTGCGAAATGGTCATTGGGATAGACTGCCCATGGTGTCTCAGAGCTGGTCTGAGAGGTGGAGGGTGCTGCGTATTGACATTGAATTGGGGTAGCTCTGAAGGGGGAGAGAGGGTGGAGAGTTGCGGCGGAAAGCCCAATGCCGAGGCCTAGACCTAAGCGGAGGACTGAGGATGGCGAAGAGAATAATGGGAGTGCCATGGCGAGATTGGAAATGGTACTGAATAGAGATTGGGGTATCTGCGTTGAGATATTGTATAGGTAGGGAGATCACGGTTGAGTTGAAATAGAAGGAGAGTAGTTATGTATGATGTCATCTTCATTGCTTTTAATGAAGTGCCAAGTCCGGAGGAACATCTTCATTTTCAACTAATCAGTCAGTTTGATACGTACACTCTCTATCATTGTATATTGACTCCGAGCTAGCATTCTACTTCAGGCACTCAAAGTCGAGAAGTCTTACCCCCTCTTTCACGAGAACAAAATTAGATCGGTTCATCCCATGTAAAAGTCTCAATTCTATGTAGTTTCTCCAAAGCTGTTTCACAGAGTTTTCTGGAATGCCCAATGAAGTCTTCTTCTAGAGGTAAATATTTGAACTCATAGCAAGTCCGCGGCTGGAATAGGTTATTTCATTGGTTCAAGTGTCTTTTCTTGCGGCGGGCTGGACTCCAACAAGAGAACATGAGTGAATCATAATCCATGCGTTTTTAACTGATTGTGAATTGAAACAATAATAAGGGGCAATTGACGGCTTCCAATGGCGGAAGAATTCATAGAGACGCCCAGGAAATTAGGGCAGTATGAGTTCTTAGACTATATTATACATATCTCCCTCAATTCCAGTCCTGAGGTCTTATGGCGGGTAGTCCATGGATACCTATATGATATACACGACACTTTGACATGTTCAGAGCCCATTAATGAGACTCCGCCCATGCAACCCATCGACGCACACATTCATCAACCCTCCGTAAAGACTCCTTGGTAGCCTCGATTTCAAACCATTCACGATGCTCCTTGCCACACTCGCTACATTTACCCAAATCACGCAAACGAACATCATCCAGTTCAAGATGAATCAGTCTTTCAACCCGATGAACATGGGGTACTTTTCTACCCGGTACCAGATCCGAATGAGAGCGCTGTCCTTTTGCGCCAACTGGGTTTCTAGCGGGAGACGAAGAGGCAGACGACGATGGTGTATACGGATAATAGCGGATCAAAGTCAAATCATACGCACATTGTCGAGTCCATTCATTCATCCGGCGATGAACGTTACTCGTGCGTCCAATTTTGAGCCTGATGGTTCCTGGTGTCGTTGACGTGGGTTTCGTTGTCATGGCATTGAGATCTTCAGCTGCGCGAAGAGCGTCGCTTACGCTCCGCGACTGGGTAGGCGGGCGGAGGCTGTCATTTCCCATTGGGTGCTGGGGGAGAACAGATTTGGCAATGTCTCTTGGGAGTGGAGCTTTAGCATCAGCTGAGGGCGTGAGCCAGAACATGTAAATATAGCCATCCTCATCGGCATCGGATATAGGTTTTGTGACCTCTGAGAGAAGAGTGGATGTTATTTCTGGATTGAGGGTAGAAGGTACCCATGCTGAGGGCGGTGATGATTTTGTTGGCCGTGGAGGCCCTTGGACTTTCTGTGGAGTTGGCCGACCTTGACTCTGAGGTCTTTGTACAGGTTTAGCTGGTCTGAAATCTTCTTCTTCCGAGATTGTAAAGCAACAGAAAGTACTCTTGGGGCGCGGACGCCGGTATTCACCGCCGCTTGTATAGGTTTGACCACCATATAATTTCGGAGGCGGCTTATCATCTTTGATTTCAAGGACTCCCAATCGGTCCATTAGAGTGTCGATACTGGACCTCGGCTTGAGCGAAATTTTCGCATCATAGCTCTGGGATGGCACCGCGGCCACAGCTTGATCCTGGTGCTGCCAGCAGTAAAAGGAAGTTGGGTCTTGCACTTCAGGTTTCTTTCCCTTTTTAGGAGTGGAAGCTGGAGAAGGTGCTAGAGATCGGCGACAGGGCCGACCTTGAGAAGTGATGCCTCGACATGTTGATGCAGGATCGAGTGAATCCGATCGAGGAAGCAGAGACTCTGGTGTTGAAATCTGAGGCATTAGGGTGTAGTGTACTATACAATGAGCAAGCCTCAGCCTTTAGAGGGCAAAAAGGAGGCCGGAGACATTCAGAATCAGTACAGCCTTGTGGCCCTGCGGGGCCATCAGGCCGCATGGCCAGGAATGGAATGGGTCTTGAAACCATCTCCACTTTCTATGTGTTGTCGATGGAATGTTATTTTTGTACGCACAGCCTCAGTGGCGCAGTTACTCCCACAGCTGCAAATATCAATAAGCCGAGTCCAACAATATTTAATGACGAAAATTGTGAATGTTATTAGGATAGAGTATTCATTAATAATTTCTAGGTAAGACTACATACCTTTTCACATCTTGGATATCAAAACAAAAAGCACACACACCAGAGCTTCAGAGGACAAAAAACAAAAGAAAGCTAAAACAAAAGAAAGCTAAAACAAAAGGATGGTATAAGAAGGAAAGGTATAAGGCTTTTAAATGCAAAGAATCACGGACAGAAGTAATACCATCTCTTCAAGCTATAAAATTCGGTCGCCACTCATTCTCGCAGGAACCCGTCTCCATCGTACAAGCTACCCGGTGTAGCCGTAATCCCGATTCCAAGACCATGAGTCTTTCTATTAGGTGTGATTTGATCAAACCGAGTGGAAGCAGAATCAGGGGCTGGCTGGACTCGACTAGACATGCGAGAAGGAGGACGTTCGTTATTGGAAAGAGACCGAGGAACGGCCTGACTTGACGGTTGCTGTTTCGAGAAAGAGTAGTTACCCATGGCGGGAGCAGCGAGCTTTGGAGGTGATGCACTCCGGTTGGCATCTTCCCAGATGGTCACACGGTCTCGTACAGTCGAGTTGCTGCGACGAGCCCCGTTTCCCGATGACTGCGGGTTTGAGGAGACTATGATGCTTGAAATAGAGCTTTGGGAATTACTATGACGGTGAGAACGGTCGGCTGAGTCAGTCGTCCGGTAATTTAAATGGGTTGATTTCCGCCAGTCACTGCCTTGGGTGCCTGTTATGATAGGCAGATCATCTAGGGGAGACTTTGTTGGGGATTGTGCAGGGCCGTTGCTAGTAGACAAGTTTGCCGTCTCAAGTCTGCTGCGTGGTCCCTTGACAAGTGAGCGGCGTGGGCTTCCCCATTCTAGGGAGTTATCATTGGCAGGTGATCTCCCCTTGGGAGAGGGAGTGCGAGTGAGCGATGTGACCAGTTCAGGCAAGTAATTGTTGATGGGGCTGTCATGATCTACAGACTCGCTGGGAGAGCACTTTCGTCTCTTGCTTGATTTTCTCTTATTCATGGATTGAGGCTCTTCAGCCACTGGACCTAGAGTGCTGGGGGCTGCAGCGGCAGGCTTATTGCGGCGACTGCTGCGCTTGGACAGAGGTGAAGGTGAGGGGTTTGCAGTAATAGCAACTTGCGGCTTCGTTAGATCATTCATGGCACTTTCTCGAAGATCCCATTCTTCCATTTCCTCGAAATCCTCAGGCTCTTCCTCAACCGTCGGATAGAAGGATCCACCAAAGGTCATGGGAGGATGAATTGAGATACGCACGCAGTTCTGGCGCCTATGACCCTTGCGCTTAGACTTTGGCCCCTTCAAAGCAGATGGTAAAAGTACCCCTCCAAGAGAAGCGCTCGATCGTTGCATCGGGCTTGGAGGCTTGGACGTCCCGGAACTCCGCCGAGATTGACTTTGCCCAGGAGACCCAATGGTAAACAACTTTGCAGTGGAATTGCCATAGAAGGGATCATTCTCCTCAAATCGGGTGAAAGGTGGCACGTAAGAAATCTGCGACGAGTCGGAATGTCGCCAGTTGATATTACTAGGGCTCGTCCAATCGCTCAATGACAGAGAGTTCCTGCTTCTTTGAGACACTTGCCTTGAAGGTACATTGTTTGATGACATAGAGTCACTGTGATGGAGAGGATAGCCAAATCGATCACTGGCATTACTTATGTTTCGGGAAGTGGTTGTCATACATCGGCGAGGAGCTGTCATCAGATCCATGTTTGATGGTAGCCGCCGACCCTCGACAGTTGAGGAGGAGCGAGTAGGGAAATTGTGCAAAGGTGGAAGAGACGTGTTTGTAGCAATAAAGCTCCTGCGTCCATTCTTTACTCCGACATCGTTGGCACTATATGGAACAAATGTACCACCAGCGCCGAATACAGACGGAGTAAAATCGTTCTTTGATGCAGGGCCATCCAGAATGGAACTGTTTGTCGTATCTAGACTCATAGAAGACAGTCGCATAACCGAGTCGTTCCTCATATAACTCAATCTATCTAACGGGTAACCAAATGGTGGCGGAGGAGGAACGGGTTGATCAGGTGGGATACTCGCTAGTTGGCTAGCGATACTTCCTCCTCGTACCCTTTTCGTGGGCGTCTCGAAGTCACCACGGGAACTGCGAATCTCAGAGACCGAAAACATGCTTGACTGATCTTTCTGCAATGGCCAGGATGGAGATACTGGACGCATACCCAGAACAAACCCAGCTTCCTCTTGGTTGATTTCAGGACTCTGACGAGGTGTTCGCTCTGCTGGTAGCTCTAGACATCCCTCTATTGCAGATAACGGGATATCCTCCTTGGACTCTGAGACCCCAGGAGGACTGGCAAGTATACGAATGGCTGTCTCGCTAGTTGTGGTCATAGAGCTAATTCGATGATGCGATAATCTCGAGAATTTCTGTGATGCAGACCGAGAAATCGAGCGCCGCATTGAGCGGGCTTTCCGGACGAATGGAAATGATGAATTTGGCTCATCTTTCGGCTCTAGTAACGTTTCTCGAGACGCTAACTGGCCCCATTCCGTGGGTTTACCATAGGGCAACTGGCCATGGGCTCTGAGAACACTCCCCTCTGCTCGAGTCAACTCTGTCAAGGTATCTCCCGTAAAGGTCTGTATACTGCGATGCCGCCCATGATTGAGGCGAAGCATCTTCAAAGCATGACGCTCTTTCCGGAACCTGACCCATATAACGATTCCAACCACAGATAAGACCACGAAAATTGCTGCACCCGAGGCGGCGATGGCAACCACAGCGCTTAGGGATAACATAGCCCTAGAGCCCCCGTGCTATCTGTCCGACTGATTTTGATTCACGACTGGAGCGCACACGATTGGCGAAGAGAGTCCTGTTCAGTCGCTCATTCGTTACCGATATTGGCTGTCGTTCTTCTTCTCTTCTCGGTTATATTGATGCTTTTTGATACTGTCAGTCTGCTCTAATGGGCAAATGAACAGGTAAAATGCGTCTATGGCCAGGGAAACTGAGAACAAACCAAGAAACAAATTTCGGCGGCATTCCTGGGAGACTGGTTTGTTATGGGATAATCGAATGTCCCAGGAATGTAACTTCACCACAACTTGATATGCGAGGAATGTTGGCGGCCACACTATTACCCCTTCCATCATTGATTATGACAACATGACTAGACAAATTTATAGGTCAGGTGCTTTCTGGCACGTCCACCGGACATTTCCCGAGGTTGCTACCGCTTGGAATGAAGCTCATCATATAGAGTATTCTTGGGCAATATCGCTAAGTATGGGTGATCAACATGTCAATTTTTGGCCAAGAATGGTCAAAATGGCCTTTTCTACCAGAGAAAACGCTCAATTAGAAAAATGATTGCGAGACTAAATCTTAAAGCGCTGGGGAACACCTCTTGAAATTTCGTGATACTTGTGAAACTCTTCTTATCCCAACAGTAGAGATACCTAGGTATACGTAGGTTCTTAATTCCTCATAGTCAATTAATCCAGTGAAAAGAAGATTCCAAGGGTATGACTGATAAAGTCGCAGATGAGAAAGCCAAAGTGGGCACCGTAGACTTTAGTACTGACACCGTTTAGCGCGCACTTGTTTCCCATCCTACTACCCAAGTACCCTGGTGAGATACCGATAGATCAGAAGCTTTGAAGATACGTTTAAGCACCTTGAGGCTGATATGAATGGATTGATGTGCGAACAAGTATTACTGAAGGATCTGATGATGATGACGATTGGAATGCCCAACCTCTGGATAAAGCCCTAAACGTTTGAAAAGCTTGGCAAAGACAACGACCAGCTGGATTTTTCTTCATTTTCACTCCTAGTAATGATTTATGGATTATAGATGCGAAACATGAGACATGAAATGGAAGGCAGAAAAGACACCCGATTTATTTCGAATTTACCCCCCTCATACCCTGGAGAATCAACCTTGGAGGCTATTAATACATATCTCGTCTTTTAGATAAGACCGGTGTAGGAAACGGGACAATTCAAGGTTATACCTGCCTAGCATGTTGGCACAACACATACGTACTGACATAGGTAAGTAGACATGCTCTACGCACGGTTCTTTCCCATGCCGGGTGGGCCTTCCCTATTCCAGGTGCCGCTGCTTTTTATGAGGGCATTCAGGGTCAGGCTCACTGAGCTACTCACGTTGAAATTTTGGACGAGGTAATTGACAAAATAGACGATTGATTGGTCTAGTAACTGCCATTCTCAAAGATATGAAAACCGTACGTACTATCCCCGGCATTTCTATAGTTAATAATTATTCTTCTAGCTTTAACAGTACCGAAAGAATGTCTCATCTAAGAGAAATTTGAAAGGATTTAAAAGAAGTCTAAAATGATATCGTTATCTACAGCTACTCGTTCACGGAATCTCTTGCTCACTTGGCACCGTAGGATTAATGGGTCCATCGCATGGTAGGAAGTCCCGACAGTCCGTCCTCAGCGTTGTATAAAGATGTTCTACAGGCGTGCTACCACCCAGTAGCGGTATCGTATCAGTTTCGGCACACTGATCAGGTTCATACTGACACATGGCGCTAGGTACACATTCTTTAACACTAGGGGTTGGTTGAACTTCCCCCGGAGCGTGATATTCACCGATTTAATCCCCTCAGCTTCTTACTGGATCACCCGTTGTGCCCAGCATATCACGGTAGGGCCGCAAGCTGCTGAAGCAGCTCCGGTCCCAGCAGGTGTGGCTGGTGGCGGCCGAGTCTAGGATCCACCGGGGGGACGGTGCGTGGGTATAAAGGGTCGTCATCTTCACCCTCAAGATATTGATCCTCGGTCTCTTAGAACTCGGCGGGCTCCGCTGTTCTTACATCTAGCTTGATGATATAGTTTGTACAATATTTTTTTGGTGAGCTGGAAGCGCTCTGTTCTACCTTGTTAGATGAGTCCCTTTGTGGACTTAACTTAGGGTGTTTCTTCCAATACTTGGCGGGCATATGGCCTTGCTTCTTGTAGTGATAGCATAATGCATTTCTTCATGGTTGACTGGACCATATGAAAGGCCCTGTTGCCCCTTAAGGGGTTGGTGATCTCTTCCGCATCGTCTGTTCGGCATTAGCCAGACGGGTTTCTATCGTCGTCTGATTGACCGGATATCTATTATTTTGGATCGCATCCACAATCAAGATGTATTATGGTCCGATCTGTGTCAGCAAAATCTCAATATGTGCCTTATCCCTGATTGACCCTAGAACGATGGCATTTAATCGATGCACTAGCAGCCGTACGCGATCAGCAAATTCCCACGCGCTGACGCAGCGGTCGCCTGTCATTTCGCGAAGCTGGGCAACAGTTCGCAGAACGTGGTGAGTTCATTTCATAGGTCACGGGACGCCTCCAGCCCCGCGGCGTGAATGCTGATGTGGAGGTACCGGAAGTGAGTATACAACTAGTCCGTTACAGGACTACAGGTACAGAACTTCGAAAGCGTAGTATGCAAGCCACAAAACTCTGAAGAAGCCAGGAAAAGTTAAGTAACTTGAGATATGATTAGTATTGTTAAGAAAGAAAGACAAAAAAGGAAAAAAAAAGAAGTGAATCAAGCTTTATTGTAAGATCCAAGTGACCCGGTCACGCCCCCCGCACTTTCTTCACACCGCAAATTCCAACTGATCAGGCCTTAGAAGTCATTTGATCTTCATCTTCTTCATTACATCTTAAACTCTTCAAATACCCTCCTGATTACCAGATCTGAGAATTGCGTGGATAAATTACCTACTGTTCCAATCACGGGAGACATCCATCAGACTTCGGTATAGAACGAGTGACCAACCCATTGTTTGGTCCTCTGAAGAAATACTTCGATTCCCAGGATCCAGTCTTCAGTCTCTCCATATAGGATGTTCAGACTTCAACTTCATCTCCAAATTCTTACTTGCTCAATTCGCCTAGGCATAGAAAAAATAACAAAGACATCTGATCATAAACTGGAACTTCTCTCAATCTTCTCTCTTCTACCTCCTTGACCTTCGTAAGGTGCAAGGCCCTGACGTTTCTCGGTTTCACTTTCAACCTCAGTTTCAATCTTGGATCTGACCACCATCCACAATGACAAAGCCAATCATTGACAAGAGCGAAGACTCGCATCTTTCGCTCCTAGTAAGTTCCGTTCAACTCGGTCTCACTTTGGCAACGAATCTAACAATCGAGTAGTTGAAAGCGCTAAGCGAAGTTATTTGTTGCGAAAACTGTAACATCAAAGTCACAGAGGCCTCGATGAAAGTAGACATCGAGCAAGGTCATTACAATGTGGCATCCTGGCCACCATTCTTCAACACAAACTCCAACCAGGACGACGATATCTCTCCATCAAACGCCGAGCTGAGCGTTCAAGAGGGACTGTGGTGGCCACACATGTCAGCGGCTCAGAGAGATGGCTATTTTGCCATGGTCGCGGCAAACATAGACCGGAAGCTTACAGAGGATCCGAAAGCCGATGAGGAGTTAGCTGTGCAATTCGCACATTACCAAGTTGATTATCACATTCAGCAGCACTACCTAGCCAATTCCAGTGTTCTGACACTTTGCCGGGACTCGGCTGATCTACAGGACATGCGACAGTGGAAATGGAAGATGGCAGACCTCGACTCCACTGACCCAACCTTCAATGCATCCCAATACTCAACACAGAAGTGGCTTATGACATCAGATGAATGGGAGTGGCCAAATGACGAGAATTCGTCAATGAAGCACCAAACTTTTATTTGGAAAAAGGGGGAACCAGCACGCAAGAGGCGGTTGGCTGAAGTGCGGGCTAAGTGGATTCTCATCATGGCTGAGCGCAAGAGGCAGCGGGCTGTCAAATTGTTGGCTCTGCGTAGAGCAGCACTGGCTAAGAGAAAGCAGCAAATGAACAAGAGCGAGACATATGTGACTGTGGTTCGAGTTTATTGTGGTGGCATGCTACTGAATGAAAGAGAGTTGTTGCGTAGTGTGTAGTTAGGTAATGATTGGCCAAGATTAACTGAATAACATCTGGATAGAACCTTGTGAGAGTTTATCGATTTCCAATTAATATAATATAATCAAGTTCTACCTTGGTAACATTGAAATTATAGTTGATGACTGCTGTAAGATAAATTCCATGAGTGAAATTCGTCCTGAATCATGACCTAGTACAAGATTTTTTTCTCTGACTTTGAATACATCGGCCGTAAGTCAACAGAAAGTCGAAGTACATTTTTGCAGTTGGGGATTATCCACAAGTCCGGCGTAGTAAATCTTGAAGGGTACTTTTCGGCTATCTTATTGCCATAGGAAGGATAGGGGCATTAGGCCTAGTTCCAATGAAGAAATTATTACGTAAATTTACGCCAGAAACATGGACATCGCTGCCGCTGGCTGCTGGCTGCTGGCTGCTGGGCCCGCCTTTTCGAGAAACTAAGGTCCTATGGGCTGGCTATCATATTTGGGTGGCCATAACTCCATATAGAAGGTTATCAAGTACTCTATAGCGCTATTAGCATATCTCATATTTAAGTATTGTATCTAGTAGAGCTATATGTGCTGGAATTCTAATCATAAGAAAGAACCACTTATCGTAGTAGACAGTGAATTTAGAGGTAACAGTATCATTAAAGATACTAATATAAATGAAGTTGATATTACGTCCTTGTATACGTGATTTTATCTAGAGCCAGAAAGTCAGGTAATCGAAAAGGCGATAAAGGAAAAAGAGCTTATTTACCTCATGTATATATAGATTCATCATAAGGTCTAGCCTGTATGCTTCTTTCTGGGATGACTAGTACCCTCGCGCCATATTTCTATGCTATTTTTATTTTAGCTATAATATATCAATTTAGGCTAGTTCTAGTTAGCGTTATGAAATTTCGATAGCTTCGCGGCTAGATATTCTTCTTCGCTAGCCATGGGATGGCCAATCAATCAATCAAACAATACTCTATTGATGTGCTGCAGACAACCTGGGGTTTTTATAGTCACCAGCGTGATGTCTATTGATTTATGCTGGGCTGCAAAATGTGTTATACAGTCGTATCCTCCCTAACAAGCAGCTTGAATAGTATTTCCTTACTACCCTGGTGTTGACGCCAGCTCTCCATTCTAGCAGCTCTAGCTCAGAACTTCTAAATATACAAACCTCGTACGAGCTTCCCTTATTAAAGTCAAGAAGCGCTTCTTAGTCAAGAAGAGCGCACATATCAGTTGCAACGCACCGGCCACTACAACCAGCAACCAGTCATACCCGATTGATCTGACGATGACCTGTATGCACTTGGCACGGAGCTCCGGGCTGATGTGCTCTAAGACGGCATCTGTGTGCCGAAAATGGCTGTATGTAGTACGTGAAATCTAGCCCAAAACTCATGGGGTTCTTGACTTAGGCAATGTCTCGGCAACCCGGCCTGAACCGACTTGTGTCACTCGCATGAGGACTTGAGGACAATGTAGTTGGGCGGCAGAAGGCATATTATCATTGGAGAAAGCCGCAGATAGAGAGTTGCACGGGCCCTGTGGGCTGTATCCTTATCCAGTATACATGTGTATGTAAGAACAACCCAGGTTACCATCTATGATGACATCCTACATTAGAGCTGAGGTACACCTGACAGAACATGTGCACATTCATTAACCACCCAATAAATTAGTAATAATCCTTATGTTCTACACCACTTTTTTTTTAAAAAAAAATTGACGAATCTAGAAAAATTCGACTGTCATCTACCTCGGACGAAAGTTCAAATCCCACAATGTCTAATAAAGAGGTGTTTAATAAAGAGGTAAAGAAAGAAATTAAGCTCAAATATCACAGATCGAGAAATCTCTAACAAAAGCTTTGACAGACCACTTGGATAAAGGTACCTAATACTGAGAAACAGACCCGGAGCCGAACCTGACCATTTCCAAGGTCCATCGTCAACATCTCCTCCCTGAAACTCTATTAAATTTTGATTTACCATGGGAGTGGGATGAAGTAAGTATGAATCTGATCACGGAATTTCTAAGATTCATTGCATGCTAACAAGTAAATCTTTGATTGGAGAGAGACCCTAATTATATTATCATTCGTCGCTGGATCGATGATGACTTTCAGGAGACACTGTTCGAACACACTCGGCGCATTCGGGATGGTAGATCTTTTTCTGGGGATATCAAAACTGACAATCCGAAACATACACTGGAGGACTTGATGCCGAACAGGAATTATGATTATAAGCCACCAGAATGCTCTCGATGCGACGCAAACTTGAGTTTCGAGGTAAACCTGAAAAATTCAGCCATCAAACCAGTCGTGGGTGAGCCCAAAGCGAGTGCATCTCATCTTCACTCGTCGACCCTGAACAAGAGCCGAAGAATAGATGTCATCAGTTCCCTGAGGCCAGGGTACGGAAAGACTGTTCTTTATCAAACAGATACTATAGAGAAACAGCAGGATCGCCAATTTTCGTGGATGTAAGTGTGAAAACCTTAAGGCTTTGCGCATGAAGCTGTACTAATCGATTGATATAGCCATGCACAGAGTGAGATGTCAAGTTTTGAGGAATTCTTGGTATACAATATATCATATCGACCTATTATGATCTTACTCATAATATCTAACTATTCATCTATAGCATTTTGCATCAAACGTGCCAGACCTGACACATGAGGACAGAGCTCTCGTTTTGTCTCTGATAAAAAACGCGAGCTCAAAGATACAGCTACATGGTCAAGCATGCAAAAAGTCCAACTTCGTTTTGCGGTGTGATGGTGTGAACTCTACTGTCTTTGGGGAAACGAAGAACGAAAAGTCGGCGATATTGATAGGTTTCCCCTACATTGTGATCCAGAAGATGCAAGATTCATCTCAGTCATCACGAGGATCTGGATGTCCCACCAGGAGTCTACTACAATACTATTACAACTTCCAGTCAACCAGAATGCGTGATTGGGAGCAAGTCGCTCAAAAGATAGGGTCTTTTCCCTCAGGCCATGCAATCCATGTCCCAAAACTGTGGGCATTGATTGTGAACTTCCGTTCGTTTTTTAATTCCCGTACTACCTTATGACTATCAACGCTCATACATCTCTAAAAAACAGAATACATCATTACCAGTGCACCGGTATCTTTGCTTGGGAGAGAATGTTCCTCTTATGAGATAACAAATCTCCCAGCAGCGAAATCAACAATGTCTCCTTCGATAGTTTGTGTGATTGATCACCGGAAGCGCCGGTTCTCTTTTCCGATAGGACACTGCAAAACGTTTCTTGTACGGTGGACCCCCATACTACATTGTGATCTTCGCCAATTTTTGTTGAGTTTTAACGACATAATATTAGGCATTGAGATATAAAATCATGGAAGACTGTCTGCCATCAAGGTTCAAGGAGAGTAAGTGCGATTTCGAGCTGCTTACTACGAAACAAAAGATCATCAAGGCAGAGGATTGGACCAGAATCACGACTAATTGCCCATCAACTGTGCTTCATATCCATATAAGTATTCTAAGGCCAAAGGATATGGAGTTAACTGCGGTAAATGGTAACAAAACTTCGGATGTATCCTGTAGAGGGGATTTGGCAAGCTAACTACAAGAGCAAGGTGACCCATTACCTACCAAGGATGATATACGAGAGGCGCAAGAAAGTCCCGTCAAAGACCGCTTAAGCATGGCTCTGATGAGAGTTTCAGATAAAGACCTCCGACATAAGATCTTTGCCAACGAAAATGATCCCTCGTTGCGAGAGAAACCACAGATGCAACCCGGCACATCACGAGAAATTCTTGTTGAAGATTACTCAAAAATGGCCTTGATGAAGCTTTCAGCAAAAGATCGCCGACATGGAATCCTTTCCGAAGAAGAGGGTCAAGAGAAACGATGGATGCAACCCGTCACATCTCTATCAGGTGTGGTTGTTAACCAAAGGCCCAAGGATGCTTCCCCAGTAGATTTCAAAATTTACTTTGATCCAGCCGCAATCAAAGCATCCCAAGACAATGATTCTGACAATGATTTTTACAACGATTCTGTCAGTGATTCTGTCAGTGATTCTGTCAGTGATTCTGACAATGACTCTGACAATGATTCTGACAATGACTCTGATAATGATTCTGACAATGATTATACTGTCAAGGTGAGCCAAACATCTAACAATGAAGATGACATCCATAAGCCGCAGATTGGGGAACAACCTCATCCTATCAACAGGTCGGCAACCTTCGGGTCGCTTTTCGAAGACTCATCTATGCCTGAGGATAGAAAAACACAGCTTAATCTAGACTTTCCATCAGTCTTCACTTGGCCAGTTGGGAAGAAGATTCCTGTGGAAGACAACAACACGTCATCGACCGGGAACCTAAAAAGCTCGAGTGCTGACGATCACCGCAAGAGATCTGACACACAAGAGCAAAGTATCCCACGCCCACCAACCGAAAATTTGAGCACCAACGAAGAAACCATCAGGGACATATCATCTTATATCCACAAACAACTTCTTAAGGAAGAAAGACAGACTGGGCGAGCAATATACAAGGCAGCTACAGAATCATCTCATTTCGATGCAGGCCAGGTCATCGGGAAACAATGGGCGGTTCCTGTCCCTGCAATCATTGCCAATATCCAGATGAGAAATGATTCTAGTTTATCGCCATGGGAGACGAGCTTGAAAGAGTCGGTTGGAGGCCTTTGCCGTCTATTTAACTTTTTTGTCCCATTGGAGTTTCCATGTGATGTCGCAAGCAAGTTCTGGGGAGCAATCTATGATTTTGTCAATGTATGTTTATATGACGGCTGTTATGTCCCTCAGATCTCTTATAATGCTGTACAGATCATTCCCCAAATTTGCGGGACTTCCCAAATGACCGAGCGAACACGCTACCCCCGGATGACCGAGGTCTTTTTTGTTGTTAACCTCGAAAACCCAAAGTACGCCGATCTTCGAGATGGCAAGCTTATTGGTCCTCTAATCCAACACCCAAGTGACTGCGTTATATGTATGAAGGAGTCTCCGTATTCGACCAAGTCAGACGCCTTATACCATCTTTCCACCCATCTTGCAAGCTCCCTTGACCCGGAACTATCTACAAGCCATCTTTCTCCATGGATAATGAGCTCCAGGCAGTATATGGACTTTGTATGCCGAAGAGATGGCCAGAGTATTCTAAAGAAACTGCAAGATCATCTTGCATCACTGGAAATTATGGCGCTACAGATTCAACATGGGGTTTCAGAGAACGGAAAATTTGATCGCGATACGTACGGAATCCCGACTCATCTGGTGGAAGCTTTTCGGAATTTTTTAATGATGATTGTGTCTGGAGTGCATATAGCTAAAGGTCTATACAAAGCTCGGGAAAGCTTCGTCAACATTGATCCAATCAAAACCCTCCTTGACCCTTGGGACGAGCACATGATTGAGTATTTCGGGGCTAAGGCTGGGTCTTCCATTAAGAAAGCTGAGAGGGATATTGTGCTCATGGCAAGTACTGGTGAGATCTCTGACGTGGTAACTTACGAAGCTGTCGGTACCAGCTTAGTCTTAGCACTTGTCATGGGCGATATCAACGGCAGAGACTCCGAACACAACGAAGTTGAAGTCGTTGATATTTATAGCCGATTTGTTCAAACTTTGGTATGTCCTGAGTCCTAAAATTTCTTACAGTAATTGTTACTAATATATCTATGTCTGTCTAGCAATTTAGAGCCAGCCAGAATCCGTCTAGCCGCCTCTTGCAAGATATTTATCTTGTAAAAGAGGAGCTAGTGATGCTGGAAAGTCTTTTCGATGAGCAGTTGCATACTCTAACTTGCTACCTCAATGCCATTAGGCCAGCCTCTTTTCGTATTACTACCGAGTCGCGAGTCTCTTCGTTTGAGCGTGAAAATTCGCACTTGCAGAAGCTTTTCAAGAAAATCGGGGAAAGACTTGAGAGTGTCAAAAATCTCATGAATCAAATGGACTCACTGGTCGACAAAACACTCAATGGGATGGATGTACGAAAAGAGGACCAGGGGAAGGCCATTTTGATTTTCACAATTGTGACTGTGGTGTTTACGCCCTTGTCTTTCGTGACCAGCTACCTCGGCATGAACACCAATGATATACGGAACATGCAAAGATCACAGACGCTATTCTGGGTGATCTCTATCCCTCTGTCTATCGTGATCATTGCTACAGTTCTCGCTGTGGTATTCCAGGTAGAGCGGATTCAAGAAGCGTTGGCCGTGCTGTTTCGGTCTTATAATTCGCGGGTAGAGAAGCCATTCTTCACAAGCTCACATTGGAGTGAGCATGCCAATAATCCTAAAGAGAGTCTCGGAAGATCAGGAGGTATGAAGAATTGGAGGAAAAGATTGCTTAGGAGAAATGCAAAAGAGTGGGAGACTGAGTTAGAGAACGTTTAAGAGTTTGTTTTTGAAGTTTCTTATACCAAGATCCTGTGTTTTGGTCACTCATAAAGCATATTCAATGAAAACATGGGCGTGACCAGCACCTTAAAGCTCTACCTAGTTGACCTGCATGCCCGGTTGAGCAGTAACCATGTTTGAGGCCACGCCAAATACAACCATAATAGAAGCTCGAAGGGCTAAGATTTCTTGGGCATCCTGAAAGAACAGGGTTGATATGTAATGGAAAGAGTTGAGCCCTATGTGAAGAATATGATCAATTGGAAAAAAAAAACGGCAGATTTTGCCATAAAGTGTTTAGAATCGAGGCTCCGTCAACATCTCCAGTGCATCACCAACTCGTCCACGTAAACAAGGTGATAGGAATGAAATTGTGGAATATTGAAGAGATATGAATCTCGCAAGTCGTGGATACCTACCGAACCACTTTCTTTAATTGTCCTTCCACATACATGGCTAGTTAGGTCTAAGCAAAAAGCGGCAAGCACTAAGCACTAACAAGGAATGGGAAAGCCAAGAACTAGGAAAGGAAATCCTTTATTTAGTTAGATCCTGACCACCCTGATATCCTGTTTTCAATATTTAACCTCAATGACTGGTGCGCGAAGAGTGACTCCTTATCCGCTCAAACTACTTAGGCATCCTCTCAATACGGTTCTCACGCTGGCAGCCATCGTAGACGAGCAATCTCTACTCGCCTCTTTCGCAAGCAATAGACTTCCATCTTTGTTTTTCGAGAAGCTTTTGGTTACCAAAGCATGCGATTAGGAAGTTCTGATTTCCAAGGGAGACGAGATGATTCTACGTTCAGCAGATCCAAGAGCGTGTCTACCCTTTATGGGCGTGGGGAAGCATCCTGGGGGATGTTACTACTACCTATATCGCCGACATGGATACCGCATCGAAAGGATAATTTACGAGCGAGATTTTTGTAACCAATGGAGATGGAATTCGTACTCCTGGATATGTTTCAGGTCAGAACACCAATACTTTTTTGTTTTTATCAAAATTGCGGGCTCGTTTGTTGAGTTGGGACTAAGACTTGAACCAGAATAAATGAATCTAAAAAGATAAACCAACGCAGTTGACGTCTTTGCAGAGGGCATGACATGGGTGAATTCAAACCTTCGAACCTTGGAAAGGATTGTACAACAATTGTTAACCAACACGCCACAGGAAGTCGGTGTTATACTACCTAGGTAGGAGACGGGATATCCAATGTGCGGAATCTACTGGAATATATGCTTTGTGGTCTAGCTGAGAGTGTAACAAATGATCAAATTTTCACTCACTGGCGCAAGGTAAAAGCCTGACTGACACCTAGGTATCTATCTCTCTCTCTCTCTCTCTCTCTCTTTCTGTTTGTGTGTGTGTATGTGTGTTTCTATTTCTGCTTCTTCCCTCTTAGACCTTCAGTATTGGCATTAGATGTGTATATGTATCATTTAGCTTCTCCCTCTCATAGCGTTCTGCATAGAAAGATCTGATTCCAATATCGTTCATCTTTGCGCGACGTATAGAAGTGAATGGTAGGTAATATTGGAGATAGCTCGTCGAATGGCTAAGCATGAGGAGAATGCTTAATTGTGTGGACAATCAAGACTTCATTTCCATAGGGTAAAGGTAAAGTTAGAACTCTCCACCATGATGATGCAACTATCACCCCCGCAATCTGCAAATGCCGGGGAAGGTAGAATCCACTAAGGACCATGGAAATGATGAGCCTTCCCTCAGCAGCCCGGCCCATAGTCGCATGGACAAGACAATCAATGTAGTATCTGCAGGAAACTGAAGCTCATCAACCCCGCAGTCTTGAGGACTTTTCAGCAGGTCAATTCACGGGCTAGAATCAAGATTGTAGACTTCCCCATCTTTTTGCTCTCATGGTAATGGTTCTTTTGTGTTTCACTGCATTCTCCGGGGGTGGGGTGTGATACGAGGTTGGACTCACAGGGATCTTCATATTCAACTGCTACATTGAGAAAGATTTCCAGCATTCACTCGCCTGGACCCCACTCAACCCCTCCTATATTCAGGAGCATTGTGCCCCGAGCACCTGAGGAAGTGAGAAAGGGGAATTTGCCTCACTTAGAAATGTTAATGGCACGGGTGAGGCGGGGATTGACAAAGATCATTGGTTTTTCTAACCTTGACTGTTCCATGGTTCTTCGGAAATTCGGAAGATTGAAGAAGGGGAAAGGGAAAGGGAAAGGGAAAGAGGAAAGAAGATACTGTTATTACAGTACGGTATAGAGGCTTGGAGGAGTACCGAAGGGAAAATATATCGTAATGTAATAACAGTATAGAAGTCACGGGCAGCTGCATGGCCGCGTTTCCATGATTGGTTTAGACTACACCAACCATGGGACATCCTCCGGTTTATGACCAATAAAACATTCCAATAGTACACAGACCAGTTGCCTCATTTACAGGAAGAGTCAGAAGATCGGAAATTCTCCTGATTCTGCATGAGACATTAACAGATGCCCGATCTCACCACCAATTCCAAAACGCTACACCGAGTGACATTTTGGTACCAATACAGTATAACATACGTATCCATCTGTATCTTCATCTTGTCCGCAAGCATAACCTGGAATCCACTCGTGGGCCCCATAGAGGAACATGACGTAAGGGCGCAACCACAAGGGTTCAAGTCCCGTATTGTGTAATGAAAGATCTGTAATTTACAACATATACATTCTATACATTCTATACACAGTAGCAATAAGTAGTAGCCAGGTGAAATTGAAAAAGTAAAGCAGAATGACGTCCAGATCTCTGAAATAATAGAAATCTCCCCATCAAACGAGGGGAAATCAACATCGACCCACTGAGCATCCGGATGGAAAGTGGGTAGTAACCAACCATTGCCCATGGGAATTTAATAACGTCCAAATCCTAAATCCTAAATCCTGATTTCCCCCTTCCCGTACTTTTCCCTTTCTTCTCTCCTACTACTCACTCAACCTCTTATACTCTCACCTCTCACCTCTCACCTCTCACTCACCCCTTTCTCCCAATTCGCCACAATTCGCCACAATACTGACCTACTACTTCACCATGTCCAAGACTAATGTTCTGCTGGTCGGAGCAGCGGGTGAAACCGGAGGTTCTATCGCAAATGGCCTTTTGGCCGATGGAAACTTTGTACGCCTCTTTCCAACAATATCGACAATGTTACGGCCACTAACAATGTCTTCTTCAGGAGGTCACCGCTCTCATTCGCCCTGTCTCCGCCCATAAACCTGCCATCAAGCGATTGCAGGAACTAGGCGTTCATATTCGACAATGTGACTTGAAAGCCCCAGAGGAACAGCTCATCGAAGCGCTGGCAGATATTGACGTCGTCATCAGCTGTGTGGGCCCCGCAGAGCAGCAAGATCAGATTCCCCTGGCTAAGGCTGCGAAGAAGACCGGGGTCAAGCGTTTCATTCCCTGTGGCTTCATTACTGTTGCACCTCCCGGGGGTGTAATGTGGCTGCGTGACGAGGTAAGAGCGGATCTCGACCTCATGGTGGTACCATGAGCAGTTGGCTGTGCTAGAAACTGACCAATCTTTCTTCTGTTTGCAGAAAGAAATTGTCTACAACCAAATTCGCCAGTTGTGGCTCCCCTATACCATTGTCGACGTTGGCTGGTGGTACCAGCTGTCCTACCCACGTCTCCCATCTGGACGAATCGATTATGCCATGACTTCTGGAAACGATGAGATCATTGGTGATGGAAATATGCCCACTGCGCTCACCGACTTGAGAGACATCGGTCGCTATATGGCAATGATCATCAAGGACCCACGAACCCTGAATAAGAAGATTTTGGCCTATAACCTCGTGTCCACTCAAAATGAGATTTACAGCCTGATGGAGGAAGTTGCCGGCGAGAAGGTCGACCGCTTCTATGTAAGAAACAAGCAAACGGATCAGAGGTGACGGCGGCTAATCATTTGAAAAGGTCCCCGAGGAGACTATATGCAGTAGAGTGCTGGCTGCTCGACAGGCCAGTGAAACCTACCCCTTCGATCCGATCAAGTTCATCCCCCGATACTTGGCCGAATATCAATTCTCCTGGGGTATTCGCGGCGACAACAACCCAGAGTACGCCAAGTACCTTGGTTACCACCTCACAACCGAGCTTTACCCTGAATTCAAGCCCACAGACTTCCGTCAGTACCTGGAGTCCGTTGTCCGTGGCACAGCAAAGGGTGTATACACCGACCGAACCATCTCACGCAAGCACCAGCGCCACTTCCCGCGTACGGAATCCAGCGACTCGCTGTACACCCGCATTTTCCCTCGGACAGAGTCCAGCGATTCCCTCATGTCGCGATGAAGTGAGAACTGCGTTTTGAGGTGATGCGACGACAATTGTTTTTGAGAAACAATTTATGATCATTCCCTTTCCCCTATACATGGGAAACAATGCTGGTTCATTTATGGGCGTCTTGACAAATTTGGGTGTTTGCGATCATGGCTTCGGCGGGGAATATAGATGCTAGAACACTTGCTATTTTCGGGCCGTGCTTTTGACCGGCCTGGCTAGAGGAATCTGGACATGCATCTTGGGCTTTTTTTCTTTTCCTTTCTGTCTCCCCTCCTTTTTCATGTCTTATAGGTTTTGAGATTGATCGCACTCCACGGAGGCGATTCACGTTGCATATAGAGGAAATCTATCCAACTGGTATTCCAGGACTATTCTTTCCATTCCCACGAAAAGTCCTACTCTCAGACAACAACAATCCATCGATGTGATTCCAAGAACAAACACACTTGTTATCGAAATGAATTTTTACTATGGACCTCGGGATGTCATCGGAATTATTGAATGGGACGAGAATCTGCCATGGTGCGCGCTTTCCTGTTTGGATCCGAACAAGTATAGCAGCAACCTTGTAATGAAACCTACTTATTTTTTTTTGCCTTTTCATCCAGCCGGTTTCTAGGGCTCTCTCTCTCTCTCTCTCTCTCTCTCTCTCTCTCTCTCTCTCTCTCTCTCTCTCTCTCCTCCCTCGACTTCTATCAGATTGATCAATATGTCACAGTTTCATCGGCGGAGAACAACTAGGTCCTCTCATACTTCCGAGTATGACTCTGCGCAGTCCCACATCCTTCATCTCAGCGTGCCGACTGCTGTTATTGTGAAGGTGAAGCAGAAGGCTAGTCTTGCAACGGGCTTCATCAATATTTATGAGGCCTTAACCCCTCGGCAGATTGGCATTATCAGTTCGGATTGACCTTTATTCTGCAAGATCCGCGCTGACTGAGGTTTAGCAATTGGATCTGCGATTGGGACGGGCTTGATGATTGGTACTGGCAGAGCCTTATCGTTGTACGTGGCATATCGCTCGTTACTCCTGGCCGACAGTGCTAACTCATCCATAGGAGTGGTGTAAGTCAGCGATTCTTCGGATCTCAGAGCGAACGATGAATTGACTAGTTGCAGCCCGCTGCCATTATGATTTCTTACTCTGTCGTTGGATTCACTGTCTATCTGGTACTATTGGCTCTGGGGGAGGTGGCTGCGTGGCTGCAAAAACCATGTACTGTGGCCGACCATGCGCTCCGATTCTCCGATCCAGCACTTGGATTTAGCCTAGGTTGGATGTGAGTGACCCTGGCTGAAGTATGGAGTACTGTGACTGACCAACTCAGATATTGGCTGAAATATGCCATCATCACCCCGAATCAATTGACAGCCGCCGCTTTGGTGATACAATACTGGCTTGATGCTCAGCGAGTCAACGCCGGTGTTTGGATTGCAGTCTTTCTTTTCATCATCATTGGGCTCAACTGCCTCCATCATGGTCTACCAAGTTACGTTGAATTCTACGTTGCTTCATTCAAACTTCTTGTTATGTTCGCACTCATGGTAACGTCCTTGGTCATTGCTCTCGGGGGTGCAGATCATGACCGCCGAGGCTTTAGGTATTGGCAACAGGGCAGTGCTTTTGGCAATATGAGTGCGAATCGCAATCACATATTGGAAAAGTTCTTCCTCACTGGTCGTACCATGTCCTCAGCAACATTCGCCTACATTGGAAGTGAAAGATCTGGCATATTGTACCCAAATGTGCAACAAGCCATCTCTCGGTCTATCAAGCATACCTTTTACCGGATCTTTGTCTTTCACCTCGTGGCGATCACGCTGCTTGGTATGATCGTTCCACCGGCACTGGCGTTTAGCACAACCAAGAGGTCACCAGCTTCCCCATTTGTGTCTGCACTGCTCCAAGCTCACTTTGCTGTTGTCCCTGATATACTGAATGGCTGCATCTTGCTGTTTGTGCTTTCAATTGCCAATTTTGATCTATACTTGGCCACCAAGGCAATGTGCGATCTCTCGTTGAAGCATCGAGCACCTTCATTCCTGTCCCATGTCAATCACCGAGGAATTCCAGTGTATGCTCTGGCCACAAGTGTATGTATGTCAATGATTGCATTTTTCAATGTCATTTTTGATTCAAGCATGGTATTTGGATACTTCATGAACACAGTCACCATGCTCGGTCTTCTGACATGGGTATCTATTCTGATCACACATGTATCATTTGTGAGGGCACGCAGACACCAGGGCATTTCTGAAGAACTGCTCATTTTTCGAGCTCGCTTTGGTCTTGTTGGTACATGGAGTGCTCTGGTCCTGTGTCTGTTCATTGCGGCAACGATGACCTTTGATGCCTTTAAAATAGTGAATGGTGAGGCAAAGTTCAACTACCGGTCTGTTATTGCTTCTTATGCAGCCATTCCACTATTCCTTTCATTGATTGCTGGTCACAAATTGATGAAAAAAAGCAAGTGGATAACACCAGGAGATGTTGATATGTGGACCGGTAGAAATTCCCCAGCTGTGGAATTGGCAGAAGTTCAAGATGCAGCGCGAGTCAGTACGCACCGTGCTTGAGAGTAAGATGAGATTATTCCTATGTAGTGCCCAGGTGTTCTTTGGGCATTCTTTGTTATCACCTCGTATTCTTTAGTAGCCAATCAACAATGTGATCTGGCTGAAATTCTCTTAGGTCTCCAGTCTCGATGCACATTTCCAATATATCCGGAAATTAGAGGGGAAATCTGAGTTAGTGAATCTCGGTTCCTTGCAGTGCCCAGGTGCACCCATAAAAGATCGTCGTTTGTGGGATCAACCCATTACCTCTATTACAACGCATCTAACCCCGCTAGGCGGGTCAATGAGAAAAAGCTGGTCTATCTGGATAGAATATCAACTCAATTCCCATTCTCCATATATGTCTTATCTCCATTAACTTTTATCTCGAAGCTCAAAAATATTGAGGACATGCCCCCAATTACCCCACACCGTGTCCACGATCCTGATGCTTTTCGCCGAGAGCTAGGCAGTCTGAACCGTGGATTCGGTCTAGAAATCCCCATTCCCAACAATGCCTCGCCCATGGCACTGCAGAATAAGAAAGCCCTGCGATGGAAAGTGTACAAAGGACTCAAATTCCTGTACTATGGCCATCAAGCACGCTTCTCACCGTTGATATCCAATTTCGACGAGTGGATGAATGCGGAGCTTCTGTCTGGCTCTTTACAACATAAACAGCTCGGGACGGGCCGTAGTCGGCACCGAAGTGAGGAACCTCTTATTTTAAGCGATGTCGATAAAGAGAGGTGTTTGCATTATTTGCTTCGTTTGATCGATGATGAGCGGTGGATGTTGGCTGGTGCGCTTGAACCAACTACCGCCAAAAATCAACATTTTCGGGATGACCTCGCTGAGGATTTCGATTCTTTTAAACGGCCACGACTTTCGGATGATGAAGAGGAGTTGTTTACTACTGCGCCTAATTCTCCTGTGAAGGCTGATAATGTTTATACGGCCGCGCCGGAGAGTGGTGCGGCCGTCTCGTTCAATGTCCCTTCAGACCTGACTTTCAATGAGAACTTGAACAGGAATGAGAATGAGAACGAGGAATGTGTGTTGGACGGCGATAGGGTTGAGTTCGCGAAACCTTCTTTGTCTTTTTTAGAGCGATTGAATCAATCTGTTGATCCGGACAAGAGTTTTGTTTCAAATGCAGCTGACACGAGCTTTGCGACATCTGTCGCTTCGGTTTTTACGACAAATGCTCATAAAAACGAGTCTCGGGATGGGTATATGAACCAATCCTTTGTTACTGACATTACCGAGCCGGAGACTCAATCTACGTATGCGGACTCGGTTGTTGAATTCTGGATCGAAGAAGAGACCAGGAGGAACTCATCACAGTCACTCTCACAATCAATTATAGAAACTGAAACCGTTGTTCGCGAGCTTTTGAGGGAGAAACTTGTTAATAAGCTGCTGGATTACGGTCCGTTCTCGAGCGACTATCTCTTCCCCAAGACAGTTCCACTGAGAGCGCGCTATGAACTAGAAAGAATTGGACGAGCGTGGAAAGTGCCGTTGGATAAGATGCTTCGAGGAGGTCGACTGCCGATTACCGATCACGACGAATTTTGGAAATGGATAGCAACGCATAGTGCGCGACACGGCTCTGTTCCGGAAAGATCATCACGCAAAGCTTGGGATTCTGCTGTGGGAGATTTCAAGACGGACAGACATTCTGAAGTGGTTGTGCTGACAGGTGAGCTAGAATGGTGTTCCAAGTCCGAGCCCGGCATATTTTCTCTACAATTGAATCCGTTGAAATCGGAGCGTGCATGTCGGTTTCACCGTCGGTTTGGATCTGATCGATTCATGTCCATTACCATGCCAGCCCCGACTCGACCCCCTACTTACCTGGGAGCACCCTCCCAACCTTCGATCTTGCGTCAAAGCATCGCGTCATGGCTGACAGGTAATGATCATCGATGTCTGGGACGTATTTGGCGGGCATTCTACGTCGAAGAGATGAAATCGAAAAGGAAAGTCAAGGCAGAGCCACGCTTCCGTGTTGAGTTCTTTGCTATTGACGGCGTAGATTTTTGCCACAACCCTTACGCGGAACTGGTGCTTGCTGCTCCAAGTCAGCATAGTGGAAATCACACGCCCATGAGCGTTGAGTCTTTACTGTTTGATTGGCATATGCCCCGTTCCTACAACTCTAGGCAGAGCAACTGCAAGCTCTTCCAACGGATCCATCTTGGCATGTCGAAGACATTCGTCTCAATAAGCGTGAAGCCCACGCAGATCCTCCACTTAAGGGACGATCCGTCACGAACGCAGGTCATGAATGATGGTTGCGCGTTAATGTCAAGAGCGATGGCGAAGGAAGTCTGCGAGAAGCTTGGAATCACCGGTGCCACTCCGTCAACGTTTCAAGCTCGTATCGCCGGTGCTAAGGGTCTGTGGATGGTAGCGAGTCATGGATTTACCCTCAGTGGCTTTTCTGAAGACGATGTTTGGATCCAAATATCCGATTCACAGTTGAAAATAGAACCGCATCCGCAGCGGAGGGAGTTTACGCTGGATGAAGAGCAGCTTACTTTTGAAGTTGTCAACTGGGCAAAGCCATTGCACCCTGTAGATCTCAACATACAGCTTCTTGCAATCCTTGACTACGGTGGTTGCAGCAGGGAATACATAGCTGAACTGACACGGAACGGTATTCGAAAATTGTATACTGACTTTGCGCGGGTGATTGAGACGGATTCTAGTGTTGACTGTCGGGCTTTGATACAGAAACTTCGACCATCTAGAGATGTCCGACTGCAAGAACAATGGATCACAGATGATGCCGAGTCGATCATTCGGCTATGTGAAGCAGGATTCAGGCCTCGGTCATTCTATCCCCTGCGCAAACGACTGCAGGAGTTTATGCGATGGCTTGTTGGTCGGCACGTGGAGGGGCTTCATATCCAGATCCCCCTCTCCACGTACGCGTACTGCATTGCAGACCCAATAGGGGTGCTCGAACCAGACGAAGTACATCTTTGTTTTTCGAGCAACTGGCGGGACCCAGACGGTAATTTTGAAGATACTGTACTCCAGGGCATTGACGTTCTGGTAGGTCGCTTGCCAGCTCATGTGCCTTCTGACATCCAACGACGCAAAGCAGTTTGGAAAGCCGAGCTGCGGCATTTCCAGGACGTCATTGTTTTCTCATCCAAGGGCGACATTCCACTAGCTCATATGTTGTCTGGTGGTGACTACGACGGTGACACGCCCTGGATCTGCTGGGATCCGAACATCGTGAAGAGCTTCCGAAACTCGGAGCTTCCACAAGAAAAGCCGGCTGATCATTTCGGGGTAACGAAGCACTCGGTACCTATGGCAGAGGTTAAAACGACGGAAGAATTTTTGCAAGGTACATTTGAATTTAATCTCACCATGTCGAATCTAGGTCGGTGTACAGTCGAGCATGAGAAAATAGTGTATGACGAGTCTATCAACAGCGAAATCGCAATAGAGCTGTCCAGCCTACTAAGCCATCTTGTTGATGGGCGGAAAGGAGGAGTCCATCTATCAGAACAGGCATGGACACAGTATCGGAAAACGATCAGTCCGAAGCACCGCAGCCTTCCAGCCTACCATCTAGACTCAGAGCGAAGGCCCAAAAAGTCGAACATTGCCGACTATCTCAAGTTCTACGTGGCAGGCAAAGAGCGAGAAGCCATCCTAATAGAGATTGAAAAGCGATTTCCTCAAATCGAGCATTGGGATTCTTTCGACGAGGACCTCACTCGTCCATGGAACAAAGTCCTCGAAGCAGCCGTGCTCGACAAATCCGGCGACCTGACCAGAATTGTTCGTTCGGTCCAGGTATCTGTTAAGGCAATATACAACGAATGGAAATCAAACACAGAAACCTTTTCACGTCGAGCCAAAGAAGCCGCAACAGCTGCAAAATCAATCCCACTCCCAGAATCCTCACATCCTCTCGCAATGACCTGGCAGCTTGCTCCAAAAGAGTGGCAACGCATATTAGCGTCATCTGCATACCGAAACCATGCAGTCTCACCCTTTGCCTTCCACGCCTTTGCTGACATCCTCTGCGACCTCAAAGCTGCTGCTTCACCATCTCGGAGGATTATCAGTTCTATTGCGGATTGTTACCGTTTGGACTCTAGGATTGTTTCACAGCTTGCGGCTAGTACTGTGGCTAGTGAAATGGCTGATGGTGATGAATATAAAGGTGGCGAGGCTATTGAAGAGCTGAGCTTGCTGGGCGAACTGTCATATCTTGATGATGGATTTAATATTGAGTAGATGGTAAGATAGGCTTAGATAGGTTTTGATGGTGTAAATGTAACATAGTCATCTGCATGCTTAGTACTGCTCTAGAAGAAGGGTACATAGTCCGAAGACGACCTAGCCTAGTCTAGTGAGACTAGTTCATTGAAAATTTGAAAGACCAGGGTGACTGTCCTGGAATGGACCAGTTGCGTAGACCTGTGAGATCTGGAGACAGGATTAACCTAGTCGTATATCAGTATTCATATCTCTGCAGGTACCTAGGACTGTAGTTAATAGGTGGTAGTTACGAATTAACATAAAACCTTTTTTGTTATGGTACCACGTGCGAGGGCACGTGTTCTAGACACTTAAGCATCCCCCCATCTTATTCTTCAAATATCAGTACTTATCCTTCTATCTCAACGAGATAAAAACAATCATTACCTTCAAATTCACACTCAGTCAATTTCTTCCTGTTTGAAACAACGCATGTGACCTCGGAACACTGATTAAGTAATCACTTTCATGTGATCGATCCCACATCTTCAGAGCAATAAAAGTGACTTGGAGGATGTCCAAACACGTAACGATGGAGCTCGACTCAAAACCTGCGGATGACCGCACTCGTAGAGCTGCAAGCACAATATCCATGGACGACCTCGAGGCAGCACAAGCACTCGAAGGCCTGCGCTCAACACAAACTATCCACACTGTCCCAGAACACTCGCCGGAGCCACTACTATCACTTTTAACGTCCTCTCATCCCTTGCTCTCTTCTGCTATCAACGGGTCTGTCTCAGCATATACCACTTCAAAGTCTTATTCGGCACGTTTCAAGTCCAGCGCCGAGTTTATCGAACGCAATATTGGCTCCCCCGTCGCAAATACCGTTGGAACTGTAGGCCGCAGGACGGGTGTGGAGAGTGGTTTGCGCTGGGCGTTGCAGCGGCGAGAATTTTCTCAGGAATCAGGTCAGATTAGCAAACGGCGTAAAGTCGGTGATGCGGCGCCACCGATCGATGTGGAGATTGCAGATCTTTCTATGACAGAGACCCCTCCTCCCTACGAGGAAAACACATCGCCCCGTTACGAAGAAAGGACAGAGGCGGCCACATGGCAGAAACGCCTGGTTATCTCAACATCTGGACTTGGCGTTGCAATGAGCGATGAGTCTCTGCGCAGTCTACAGTACTGCCTGACCTGGCTGCGTTGGGCGAATGGACGACTAGGCAAATCTATTGTGGCGCTACAGACTGCGCTGAAAGAATGGGAGAACCACAAAATTGGCCCGGGCCAGCCACAGAGTGACCTAGAAAAGGGCGGCAACTACCCAGGAAGCGCGTCTCTCTTGATGCAGCGCATCCAAGCAGTCAAAGCCGACGTCCTTTCAACATTAAAGCAAGTCGTGGATATTGTATCTAAGTATGCAGGAGGTGCCCTGCCTGAAAATGCTCGCCATCTGGTTCGACGGCACCTCACATCCCTGCCTCACCGATTCCAGATGGCTAGTACCTCTCAACCTCCACCAGACTCGCCTGCAGCCTCTTCCGACGCAGCCGTTGGCGCCCACCGGATTCTAGTTTTGGCGAACGAGGGGCTGGATATTTTGAGCCAGGTCAGCTGTGTCGTCAATGACACTCTGCTCAGTGCTGAGCATTGGTGCGAGAGACTTGGACGCAAAACTGATAATAAATCCGCGCTGGATGTCGAGAACCCTGCTGAGTTGTACAGCATAGATATCAAACAGCCCCTTGTTACTGGGTCTACACCTCTGAGAGATGTTGAAATGACTGGACAAGATGCATGATTTTATTCACTGGTTGCTATTTCATGCCACATTTATGATTTATATCCATTTTCTTATTTTCTTAGCCATCCGGGCTTACGATTTACGAGCTTTTCTTTCGGGCTTGTTTAGCGCTTTTCGTTGAATCAAAATATCTCGGTTACTTCCAACATATGAAAGTATGCAGCAGTGCCTAGTAGATATGACCCAAACTAGGGCGGTGGATGACTCCGTGCAAACTACTGGCCGACCTCTCCTCATCAAGTTCAAGGAGTTTTCCCTCCGGCAGCCGATCACTGCAACTGGAGAGGGTGACATCCCCTTCCCGACACCCTTTCTTGAGAGCCACCTGGCAAAGCCTTGGTATTTAGAAATACTGATTATACCATCATCACCAATTGGCCCTTGGGTAATTTTTATCATACGGTTTAAGTTTTTCGATTTGCTTCAGATTCCAGAACCTCAGAGGGCCAGTTAACTGTCACTTGTAGTTAATCAAGCTATTTCAGAGTAAATAATGAGGAGGAACAACTTTGATTGGCTCATCTGATATCACAGTATGATGGCAGTATTTCGGCGGTATCAATGGCGGTGTAATAATAATGCATCTTGGCAGCAACACTCAACATGTGCATCACACTGTGTCAATAGCTTTAATTATGAGCTCCAGAGGGGCGCCTCTCTCAAGCATCCGCTCAACCCAACCAAGAAGCACAGATCCAAACTCATTTCAGACCACAGCATCAGTCATCAAGTTTCGATGTCTATTCACTCACGATCTGCGTCGCAAGTCCAAGCGATGGCAAGATGGATATCTACAATACCATACCTTTAATAAACGAATAATGGTCTATGACGAAAATTCTAACTTTGTGGGAGACCAACATCGACAGACTGTGAGCGAGCTGCAGGAAGGAGACGAATTGGAACTAGAGATGTGTCTCGTCGAGGTCGGCGAAACAATGAGCACAACCCACTCTGATATTTCAAACTTTTTTGAAAAGAAAGGCCACACCCAGGGTTCACCACAGCCCCAAGGGCAGCATACTCCACGCCCATCGATCTCGTCACAGCCGGTTCGCTCTCTGAAAGACCTCCTAAGTATCAGAAAGACACCAACTGCGCATCTTGCCTCACCATATGAAGAGCGACACCGAGCACCACCTTCACAGCCATCGCAACTATCACAATCACCACAGCCGGAACGAGCATTTAAACGACAAAAGACAGTACAGACTTCTTTCAACACCAGGGAACCGCTACCAGAGGTGGTAGATTTGACCGGGTCGGATAAAGAAGATAGTGTAAGAAGTAAACAAGCTGTTTCATCACCACGAGAACAATTCCGGTCTCAACACAAACCGGCTCCAGCACATCAGTTACCGCCGCCATCTCGAGAGAAATCGAAAAAGCCACCAGCAAATCTAAGGCCTGATCATTCAATATTTGCGAACCCTGGTTTACCCGTTCCGCCACAATCAGGACTACCTAGAGGCCGACCAAATACTGCACCAGTGCATCACATACCTCCATCATCTCAAGAAAAACCAAAAGAAGCATCAGCAAAGCCAGGGCCTGACCCTCCTATATTTGCAAAGCCCGATTTACCAGTTCAGGCTCCACCAGGAGCACTTAGAGGCCGTCCAAATGCCGCAGCTCGAAATAAACTAATTTACACTGCTCTTTTGCCTATATCAAAGTCTATCAATAAGTAAGGACGTTTTTTCCTATCCATCAAACGCATATGATTACCATGCTGACATGTAGATAGGCCAGTCAAAGAGCCAGACCCAAAATCCAATACGGAATATTTACCATCAGCATCAACACAATTTGCTCTCGAAGTGACAGCCACAAGAAGACCTCTTGACACTTCACTTCGCAAAGCAACTTCAGGCCCCAGCGCATTAACCAGACCAAGCATCCAGACTGAACCCACTCTGCAAGAATCCACAAGTGAAGGACCATGGACCAGCGAGGCCCTGGATCTTTTTGATTTTTGGCATCCAGATCGACCCAAGCCTGGGTGATCTTGTTTCTTTCTTATATTTCCATTATTGATACCCTATTTTCCGATTATGCTATCTCATGTGCATATGAATGACTAAAAACCTGACATTCCTCCTCCAGTCTCAACCTTATCATCTAGTCAAAAACCAGGTAGATGGACTTTCTACCGAGCAGTGTATTCTGATATAATCACATTCTGCCACTTCATCTGCTTCAACCTCCGACGCCAATACCTTGTGAGAAGGCGGGATAGCCGCGGTTATCTCGCCGTCAGAGTCAAACAGGGAATTTATGCCCATGGAATCGTGAATGGTTATTTTATCCTTGCTCCAATGTTATGGTAATTATTTCAGCACAAGTTCGTACTTTGTACATCTATCATATCGATTGAAGTACCAAGTTTGATGCGGCTCGGATTTCTCCGAACTGCAATGCACAAGCACAAGCACAAGCACAAACACGCTCTTCGAACCTTCTACTAGCTAGCTAGCTCAAATTAGGCAAATATCCACATCTATATTATTGATTAACTAGATTAAATAGCTTAACAGTCATTATAACTTAGAAGAAAAGAAAGGCCGAGTGGTTCGCGCCGAGGCCTAAACGGGGCTATAATTCCCGATCGCTCCAAATGGCCGGAAAATCGGTCATTTCTAGCGACAGCCCAGTAGCAATCAAGTATTATGAGACTCAGCTGAGCTATCAATTGACGCGTCTTTCAAAGTTTCAATGTTCAGCCAGCCATTCCCGTCACTGATACAAGTATAAGAATGATGCTTCCGTTAGATTTCCTTCTGTTCTTTCCTCACCCTTCAACAGTCGGTAACGCAAATGGATAACAATCTAGATTCCCAGCTAGCTCGCAAGCGAATTATCATCTGCTGCGATGGAAGTGGCCAATCAGCCGTATCAGGTGAAGAGAGCGTCCCATCAAATGTGACTCGATTGTGTCGCGCCATCAACAGCGTCGGATACGACAATGACGACCAAGTCTGGCAGCAAGTTGTCTGGTACGACTCCGGAGTAGGAACAAACTCAGATGGTAGGGTCTCAGCCGGGAAAGATCTCGAAGGAAATGTAATCGAGGCTTACAACTTCTGTGTGCTGAACTGGAACCCCGGCGACCAGGTCATGTGTTTCGGCTTCTCTCGAGGCGCATACACCGCTCGCGCAATCGCAGGTCTGATTTCTGATCTGGGGATTTGCTCCAAGACTGATATTCAGGATTTTCCTGAAGTCTGGAAGCTGTACAAGAGGAGTCACCCTGCTGTTACTGGGGATAGATTTTATGGCAGTGATGCTTACTATGGTTGGCATGATGGGAAGCCGGCTGATCCTCAGCCGGAGGAACGCCAGGATGATCAGGTTGTTTGGGAGTCTACTGGTCGTGGTGAGTGGGCTCGAACACCGGAGTCTAGACATGTTGAGGTTGTTGGAGTATTTGAGACTGTCGGCGCCTTGGGCTTTCCTGAGTTATTTGGATATGAAGTACCACAGTGGCTCACACGAACTGACAAACCTGAGTGGCATAATGTTGGACTTTCTCCAAGTATGAATCCGTTTTCTCCAGGATCTTCCATGGGAAAATTACTAACTAAGACAAATAGATATCAAGAATGCCTTTCAAGCTCTAGCTCTAGATGAACACCGTGCCGCATTCACCCCAACTCTATTCTACGTTCCTACTTTCACCAAATTCTCCCTTGAGGCAATTGTGAAGCAACGTGAAGAGTGGAAGATAGCATCGCAAGCCTGGACCGATCTTCTGATGACCGATCGACCTTCCCTTGAAGATCTACAGCGCGTGATCAAGGTCAAGAATGAGGCCTCACGAAAGCTGTTAGACATAGAGGACAGCCAAAAAGAACGTACAAAGCTGCTGCAGGTCTGGTTTCCCGGTGTTCACGTCAATATTGGGGGTGGGTCTACCCTGACCTTGGAGAACAAGGGCAACATGGAAGAGATGTCCAATATCGTGTTTGCCTGGATGCTTGACCAGATCAAAGGCTTCGTTTCTCTCAACGAGGAGACTCTGCAGAAGGAACAGGCGGCACGTCAGGATAGACTCGCTAGCATCAACAATGCCCTGCACTGGTACAACGAGAGAGTTCACAGACGAGAGTCGGAGTCGTGGGGGAAGTGGCTCCAGCGAGGAGGTGAATGGGTCACTTCCTCGATCTTGCATCCTCTCTCCCCGAGTGAGAAGCCAGCATACATGGAGGACCGCGTCTACACATGGGGACTAGGCGAGCTACCAGACAACTTTGGGATTGTGTATGTTGCCAATGGATCCAGGCCGCGAACACCCGGTCGTTACGCTCTTGATAAGGGCCAAAAGCTCGGCGAGACGTTTGAGCAGATCCATCCTGTGGTTGGATACCGAGTGGAAAAGACTAGAAACAATGCGATCAAGAGCAAAAGGTATCGCCCAATCCGATTGATGGGAGCCGACTATGACCGTCGGGAGAAGGAGAAAGGGTTCGAGTATCTGTTTAGATACCCTGGTTCGTCAGAGTACCAAGTCTTGCCTGAGTGGATACTTTCAGATGACGTTAACTCGTATGAGAGATTGGCCATTCAGGATAACGAGGCGTACGATTATGCTGATTCACTGGATCTTCATATTGGAAGGGAGGTCAAATGGCCCCGCCGTTCAGAGCTTCTTTCACCGAGCTCAGACTTGGACTAAACTTGCAACTTCCAAGCTTTTGCTGTTTTAGAATGATATTGTTATGCCTGTATTAATTATTAAATATTCAAATAGCCTTGCGTTAATCCTTGGAAAAGAAGAGCCTGAAGCTCGTAAAATTTTATCTGTATCAATACTCCGTACCTATCTGTAGTTTTTTTTTATATATATATGACAAGAAACGGTCTTATAGCAGGATGAAACAATCAAAATGGTCCATGAAAGACCCATAAACTCCGGGTTCTCACTCTCAGAGCGAGGCAGTAACATGAGCAGCGTTTAAAAAAAAAACAATCAGGAAGGGGTATCTAACGTCGGGATATACAAGTCTAGACATTTGAGCGTGAAATCTATTGCATAGACATGAGGGTCACTGCAGAGCTGAAAAAAAGAAAAAAAAGATCCATGCATGAGATGATTTTAGCATTTCCCATAGACCTGGCAATAGCAAAGCTCCTCATCAGGGCAACTAGAGAGAGAGAGAGAGAGCGAAGGTTAGTACTGAACACAATGGTAGAGACAAAATCCACGAAAAAACTTACTACACCGCATCCATGTTGAAAATGATATGCCACAAATACTCCATAACCCTCCCAGACTTTGCATTCTTCAATTCAGTCTCGATAAGCCACTGGCGAAACTTGACATAATCGTCTCGAGGCCGCTTCCGCACCTGATCCTTCGTAACAGCAAACTGCGCACAACAAGCCGCAGCAATATGAGTAGGAGGATGCAAATACTTCTGCCCGGAAGTCTCAGTTTCAAATGGCGAAGACTGGTTTAGCGGTGGTGTGCTCGTTCCAACGAAGATTTCCCACCAAACCTCGCTGGTGACATGGCGGTTTACGCGGCCGCTTTCCATACAGCCTGGATTCCAGTTGCAGCGTAGATTGGCGTAGCCGTTCTTCTGCACGAAGTCGAGTTGCAGCATGCGCATTGCGTTGACGTTGTCGTGCAATGGGGCGTCGACGTGCCATGCCATTAGGAAGCCTGCGCGGTGGGAGTGGAGGAATGCTATTGTTGAGGGGAGGACGTAGTAATGGTCTATTACGTAGGTGAGGTAGGCCATTGCCTCATTGCCTTTGTTGATTGGTGTCGTGAGAACGTTATCATCATTTCGTAGTTCTTGGGTTGGATTAACAGTGTAGATAGCGCGTTGCCAACTGGAGCCATTAGTATACCTAGAGTAGTCAAGAGGAAGACCAAAACTTACTCTGGAAGCTCGGTTGCAACCCAATCAGTATTCTCTTCATTCAACTTGGCCATGACAATGACCTTGTCTTCAGGAATAGCATTGTAGTGGGGACGCGGGGTTGTAGTTGTAGAACGGTCCAGCCAATCAGCCAAGTATTGACCGGCACGATATTGAGTGCAGATTTCCCGCAGGTGCGCCTGCAGTAGGTAACAGCCAAAAACAATGAGAGAGGTTGCGCATAGTGCAACACGCAGTCCGAATCGAGTAGCTCGCATTGTGAAAGGGACTAAGTATGACTTTTGATATGGTCGAGGGACCCTGTTAACAGAGAACCTCGTAATTAAATTGAACAGAAGATCAACGAGCCATTGACATTGATGGAGATTAGTGAGAAGGACTGAATTGGTGGGGAAGAAGATCAGGAGATTAGTGAGGGTAGAAAAGTGAAAGGAGCGAATATTAGCTCAAGTCGATCAAAGCTAAGAACAAAAAAAAAAAGAGGGACTAGGACGAAAGGAAGGAATGGGGTAGATTGTTTAAAGGAGAGGGAGAGCGGGGATGTACGAGATAGACAGATTGGGGCGATGTACTTAGCATAGTACGAAGCCTGTGTAATGGTAATATATGAAGTACTCTGTACTCTGTATTTATTACTAATTTCACTTTCCAATACCATGGCTAAAAGCTCGTATTAATTAGAGTAAAGTAACATAAAACGAAATAAAGAGAAAAAGAAACCTTCATGACCCCTTATTATGATCTTCAGTAGGTTAATTGATCAATTACTGTGTATGGACTCAAGCAATTTTAGGGGGAAAAGGACCCGTTTTGCTTTAAGCTAGAGTCTTTACTAAAGCTATTTACTTAGTGCGTTTCTCCACTTCATCCAGAGGTAATCATTCCTCTTTTTTTTCTTTCTTCTTTTTTTGTATATGTTGTAGCAAACATCCTCGAAATCGAGAATAACTAATAATACTCTGTAGACGAAAAACGAAGACCCAAGGCTGACTTATGAGGCTGTGTCTTGAGACCCACATTAGGGCCGATCACCAAGAGTTACGTTCTCTAGCGAATCAGAATCGCTAAACAAGTCACTGGTATGCAAGTATGAATTAGTGACTTCTGCTGCGGCAGTCAACCTACTGTGTACACGTAAGTCATGTCAAGGTTAGTAGATAGAGAAACGATTCAAAGGTTGGCCTCAACTCGGACATTTAGCGCTTTTTGTGCTGATTATAAAAGAACAGGAGGCAAAATACGGGTATAACGCCACACTTGTGAAACTTAAGAGAAAGTAAGGTCATTTCGTATTGACTAGGAACTCCTGACTGCGGATATGGGGGTATTGATTTTGATGGTTATACAGGCCAGCTGTAAACCTCAGCCGCTTCTTTCTGCTCAGTCCTCTTCCTCCTCCTCGCTGACTTCTTCCCCAGCTGCAATAGCCTTTTCTCGAAGTTTTCTCGCACGTTCTCGCTTCTTCTCCAGCAAAGCTCTAAGCTTCTTTGCGGAGTTGAAAACACCACCTGTTCCCCCACCGCAGATTGCACATGTTGGACTCTTTCGATAACGTTGCAAGGCACATGACTCGCAGAAATAATGCCCACATGTGGTGACAATGGGCTTTTGATAAGGTTTCCGACAGATAACGCAGGCGAAAGGAATATTCTCTAGGAACTCATCATCGTCATCATCATCGTCATCCTTAGCAGCCATTCCTGCACCTTTCCGTTGCGATGTCACTCGGCCACCCATGCTTTTGCCCTTGGTACCTATTTCCCAGTCGCGATCCAGCTCCCATCCTTGCTTGTAATCCTCACGGGCGTGGAGGAACTTGCACGAGTCTCCAAAGCCACAGTATCCAGTCTGTTTGTAGTCCTTGCATACATCGGGGGCAAAATCCGTAACTGTAATTGTGCGAACGTTGGTAGCTGCCTTGATGGGACCAAACTTTTTGGGTGCATCGACGCTTTTCTGGATAAATGATTTATAGTTGGATGTTCCCTTGTAGTTTCCATCGGGCGTGGAATCGGAGGATGGTTCTGGTCGTGTCCTCGTAGATCCTAGTAGATTCTTCGCGGTCAAGTTTTCTTCTTCGTACCAATCTGTAGCCTTGGTTGCGTCGTTGCTTTTCGATAACGGAGTAGGGCCAGTGCTCGAGGACTGGTTAGTAGTAGTATCTTGTCGGGGTTTGTTTGCAGTCGACGAAGCAGTCACAACGCCGTTTGTCCGTCGCCTCTTGATGCGCTTCCCTTCACCATCGTCTTCAGATGCGAAATCCGAGTCTGAGTCGGACGCAGGTGGTGGGGTGGCGGGCTTCTTGCGAAAGTTGCCCTTGTTCTTGGAACGCTTCTTGAAAGTGAACTGAGGGATGGGCTCAGATTCAGTAGGTTGAGCAGCTTCAGTGGTGTCTGTCATGTTGAGTAACTTAAGGAATGGGGATAATAGAGGTCCAAAAGTGACATCTGCACACTGTATATAACCAAGCAGCCCATGATTAGTCATGTGTCAGAACATGACTAATGAAGAAAACATCAAAACGGTCGAATCGGGGCCCAATCACTTTGTTTACTATGGTTTCGGACTTAAAAATAGGGTTTTATAATATCAGTATACCTTTCATTTCCCAAATGGCCTGACATTTACGTATATAATCGTGGGGTATAATATAGTAGGCATTACCTTGAAAAGTTGTCATCTCAAACGCTGGTGCCAGGCAATAATAGCAACAGTGCCTTGCGGAGCCCATTCCTTGTCCCTTTTCCCTTTCCCTCTCTCTCTCCCCGCCCAACTCCCCTTCTCCTCTCAATTCTTCCCTAATCCCCCCTCCTACGCTCTCTTTTATTCCTACATTGTTTTCTCTTTCTTCTTTCCTGCTTTTTATTTATTTATTTTCTCACTCTTCTCTTAAGTTTTCTTAATTTTCCCGCTTTTCCCTAAAGTTGAACCCCCGCATCGGTGGACGGTGATACATCGTGCAGATCGACTTGTTGTGATACACCCACGCGCTGTACCTTGGATTAGTGATCTCACTGCTCCCTGATTCGTCCAACGATTCCCGAGTCTTAGCTCCCTTTCGATTGCACCACGCGACGGTGTTCTTTTCTTTCCCTTTCTTACTTCCATACCCCGTCGCATTCAAATTTGCGCGTGGTAAGTCGCTGGTCGGCTCGGGCTCTGACTTCTCTTACCCAGCTTCGAGTCGCACTCCAACCATGCTTGCATGAGCGCAACATTAATTCAATCTTTACATCGTGCTGGTTCTTCAGGGTCTCAAACGTCTGCTGTTTCCTTGTTACTGGATTCAGTTGTCGGTTGAAGACAAATAGTGATCTCGCATAATACACCCACCTCCCCCGCTGGGTCTAATTCATGATGGAAGATCCTTTCGTTTCGAGCTCGACGCAACCCGCGCCACGTGAATCGCATCGCTACTCGCCATTTGATACTCAGCTGTTCAATCTTAATGCATCTTCGCCGGCACAAGCTAAAAGGGCTCTCGAGGCTCACCTGGTGGAGACCGGACGCCGGCTTGAGGAAATGTCCAAATTGGGTACTGCCCTTGTCGACCAACAACGTCAACTCGAGGAACAACTAAAGGAGGTTGAGCAGCAGCAAAATGATGGTGAAATGGGTCCAGAACTACGCCAGAAACTTGCGGACCTTGAACGGGAATACACCGAGATTGGTCGAGAGACAGCGCGCGCATTTCTAGCCCCTAAACGGCCTGGAGGAGCCTCGGATGAGGCCCAACCAGCGACCCCATCGATTGATCAAAAGGTGCGCTGTGGATCGACACGTTCTTACGAGTTCTTGATTTGATTAGGCAATATCTAACACTCCTCAGTCCCCCCTGAACCCTGCCCTATTCGCAAGCCTAGCGTCCAATTCTCCGAGCAAAGTCAGCGTCCCATCCCGGAAGCAACGCAACCAGCCTTCCAACCGTGTGCATGATATCGAATTTGCGACAGAAATTTCAACCTCGCTATTGGCGCAAGTTCGACAACTGCAGGCCCTCCTCGCAGAAAGAGAAGAAACTCTGAAGAGCACCAATCTTGAGAAGTCCCGGCTGGAACTGGAAGCAGAAGGCTATGCGCAGCGAATTCGAGCTCTCGATGACAGTGAACAGCGCTACAAGGACGAGAACTGGGCTCTGGAGACACAGACCCACGAGTTGATGAATACTATTAAAGATGCCACTGAGCGTGAGGAACGTCTCAACAGCAGCCTAAGCACTGCCAAATCCGAGAGGAATGCTGTCGAGCGGGAATTGGAAGAGTTGAAGCATGCCAACACGAAACTGTTAGAGGACCATTCAGTCGCGCAAAAGGCTACTGATGCAGAGCTTCACCTTTTGCGGCGCAATTTAAATTCAGGCGATCTAGAAAAGTCTGCTCTGCAGAAGAAGCTCCAGGAGCTTACCTCTCAGAACCAGGAGCTTGCAAAGGTGGTCGCAATGCGAATTCGACAGTTTGAATCGCAAGGCACTCGAGATCTCCCCGAAGATGATAATGGAGAAGAGCAAGAAGACAACACACCAGACAACTCTCCACCTGTTTCTCCCAACAAGTTCACTCCTCGACACGGTCACCTGGAATCTGAGACTCTGAAGAGCTCTCTGGGCCACGCTCACAGAATGATTCAGAATCTTAAAAGCACCATCCACCGCGAAAAGACTGAAAAGATCGAGCTTAAGCGGATGTTGCAAGATGCTCGAGATGAGGTGGAGCAGCGTCGCCGCGAGACAGCTGCGCCTAACGCTGGTGGTAGTAAGCGCTTGAAGAAGAAAGAAGACTCAATCCGCAAACCTGCTCGCCCTGATCTTTTGGGTGCTGGCCGCAAGGAACAATCGTTCGTTGAGCTCCATGATACCGACTGGGAGGACAACGCTGGTCAGCACAGCCCAACTCGCGTGATGGGCATGACTCGGGAACGCTCTGGGACTGAATCATCCATTGAGCCAAGCAGCGCGTATGCGACTGCCGCTGAGGATGGCTTTGAGACTTCGAACGAGCGAGAAACCACCACCGAGAGCGAAGAATTCCAAACTGGCCTGGAAAGCATGGCTGATGACAGCAGTGATTCTGCTGACCTCACTGAAACTGAGCACACCTTCCAACGGACATCACGTCCGCGCATTCCGTCCGCTTTTACAATGGCCAAGGCTGGTGATCGTAGTTCATTTATTAGTTCTGCTTCAACATCGGATGATGAAGCTCAGAGTGCAGGATATTCTCCAAGCAGCCAATTCGTATCTCGTCCACGGGTGAGACCGAAGCGCAGCGGCATTATCAGACGTATTCGTCCCTCTGGAGAAGCCCTAATGGCGTCCACAAGCCGGCCGACAAGTGCACGCAGCTCTCCTGCGCCGAGCTTTGAGCAGGATGCGGCTGGCCAGAGTCTTTTCGCAGAGCTTGCCGAGCTGGAAGATGGTGATGACACCGAGGTAGCTTCGGATGCCTCGACCCCTCGCATGCTGCCTGCATCCGACTCTCGCAGACCCTCTGACTTTATGTTGAACATGCATAAGCGTATCATGGTTGATTCTGGCATGATGACCGATCCCTGGGAGCCTACGGCTGCCTCTTCTCTGTCTGATGTTCCGACTACTCCCAAGAGAGATGTGGTTGTTGACGCCAAGTCCTTGGACGTCGATGGTGATACTTTGAATAATGTTCCAACACCGCCTAAGATGGCCTGGGACCGTTCCATGGAATATCAGCAATCGGAGGCTGGTACGCAAGCCGATGCAACGGAGCTGAGCGTGGCACACGTTTCTTGTCAGGAAAGCGCACCCTCGGCTCCCAAGTGGCCTGAATTGAATGTTTCGTATCTTGAAGGACGTGAGACTGTGCCTGTGAAGTACGAGCGTGCACGACCCGAGTTAGATGTGTCAAGTATCTCTTCACAGATTACTAACCCTATCATGGCAACTAAGCCTGAACCTGAACCACTCGAGGTGTCCATGATCTCCACGCAACATACTGCACCCATCATGGCACGGGTTCCTGAGCTGGAGCCGACCGAATCGCCCCAGCTCACCCTGTCATCTCTTCTCGTGCATCACACGGAGCCTGTTCACCCACGCTTCACAGAACCAGGGCCAATCGAATTTCCCCATCTCGCCATGTCATCTCTTCTCATGCATCACACGGAGCCTGTTCACCCACGCTTCACAGAACCAGGGCCAATCGAATTTCCCCAGCTCACCATGTCATCTCTTCTCATGCATCACACGGAGCCTGTTCATCCACACTCCACAGAACCAGAGCCAGAGATTGTGCGAGAATTATCCCACATGACCTTGTCGTCCATTTTCACACATCATGCTACATCACCCTTACAGGCGCGATTCCCCGAACCAGAACTTAAAGAGATTCCCGAGTTTGGTTTGTCCTCTCTTTCTTCGCAACAGACTGAGCCTGTCACGCCTCATCTGCCTGAGCCAGTGATTGCAGTAGAGCCTGTACGAGAAGTGCCACAGCTGGCTTTCTCATCGGTGTTTACTCACTCCACGGCGCCCGTCGCACCTGTTGAGCCTGTGCGAGAAGTGCCACAGCTGGCTTTCTCATCGGTGTTTACTCACTCCACGGCGCCCGTCGCACCTGTTGAGCCTGTGCGAGAAGTGCCACAGCTGGCTTTCTCATCTCTCCTGACTCGCTCCACAGAGCCTGTGGTCCCCGTTGAGCCTGTGCGTGAATTGCCTCAGCTGGCTTTCTCGTCACTGTCCACTCGTTCCACAGAGCCCGTGGCACCTGTTGAGCCTGTGCGAGAAGTGCCACAGTTGGCTTTCTCATCTCTTTTGACTCGCTCCACAGAACCCGTAGTCCCCGTTCAGCCTGTGCGCGAATTGCCACAGCTGGCTTTCTCGTCACTGTCCGCTCGTTCCACAGAACCCGTGGTTCCTGTCGCGCCTGTGCGAGAACTGCCACAGCTGGCGTTATCATCTCTTCTGACTCGCTCCACAGAGCCTGTGGTCCCTGTTCAGCCTGTGCGTGAGTTGCCCCAGCTGGCTTTCTCGTCACTGTCCACTCGCTCCACAGAACCCGTGGTCCCCGTTGAGCCTGTGCGTGAATTACCCCAGCTGGCTTTCTCATCACTGTCCACTCGCTCCACAGAGCCTGTAGTCCCAGTTGAGCCTGTGCGTGAATTACCCCAGCTGGCTTTCTCATCACTGTCCACTCGCTCCACAGAGCCTGTAGTCCCAGTTGAGCCTGTGCGTGAATTACCCCAGCTGGCTTTCTCATCACTGTCCACTCGCTCCACAGAGCCTGTAGTCCCAGTTGAGCCTGTGCGTGAATTGCCACAGCTGGCTTTCTCGTCACTGTCCACTCGCTCCACAGAGCCTGTAGTCCCAGTTGAGCCTGTGCGTGAATTGCCACAGCTGGCTTTTTCGTCACTGTCCACTCGTTCCACAGAACCCGTGGTCCCCGTTCAGCCTGTGCGGGAACTGCCACAACTGGCTTTCTCTTCGATTACCACTCATTCTACACAGCCTGCGGCGCCCGTTGTGCGAGAAGTGCCTCAACTAGCCTTTTCGACTCTTTTCACTCATGACACAGAACCTATTCAAGCACGGCCTTATGTGCCCAAGCCTGTTGTTGTTAGGGAGGTCGCAATCCATGAATTTGGCATGTCATCTGTTGCCTCGCAACAAACAGCTCCCAAAGCGGTTGAACGTCGTCCCATCGAGATTCCCACATTTTCTTCTTTGCATTTCGTGGAAACTCTCCCAACAGCATCCTTGCCACGCGCCATTCCTTCCATGCATGAATTTTCCACCCAGACAGATGAAACAGCCAGTGGAGATATTGTCGTGTTTGAAGACGAAACCAAAGATCTCAACGGCAGCCAAAATGACGACAATCTAACGAAGACTGGCTTGGCGCTAAGCGACATATCTGGTAATGCCTTGCCTCAATCTGCGATGCAGCAGTCTAGCACTATCAACTTCGACCATGGATCTCAAACCATTCTCTCTTCTAAGCAGATTGATCAGATTCTAATTAATCGAGACTCTTCGCATCCCATCTCTTCCAGAGAGGCCGCTGGAGCAGTTGTTACCCCCAAAGTTTGGCCAGCGAGCTTCCGCCGACCTGAATCTGCCACTAGTCGGGCATCCAGCTCTAGTGCTCACCCACCTCTGCCTGCCGATCACCGTGAAATTATCTCGGCCGCCGAGAAGAAGTCACTTGATGTGGCACCGTCGTCTCCAATGGGACCTCCCATGGCACCAGCGTCTTCTTACCGTTACGCACCTCGAACCCCGAACGAACAGCACCTGGGGGCTGCCTCAATTAGAACCATGTCTACTCAACCTCATCTTCAGAGAAGAAGCCATAGCAACATGTCCAGGCGATCATCTGTGTCGTCATTTGCATCTGAGGTTGAGGAGCGATTCAATCCTCATGCTGGTGCCGTGCCTAACGCGTATGGACCTAATACCGACCCCCGTATGATCCAGGCAATCACGCAAACCATGATCGGCGAGTTTCTTTGGAAGTACACCCGACGGACTGCCTCTAATGAGAAAATGTCGTCAACCCGCCATCGGCGATACTTTTGGGTCCACCCTTACACTCGTACTTTGTACTGGAGCGACCAGGACCCGCAAACTGCTGGGAAGCACGAGCTCAAGACTAAGAGTGTTCCAATTGAAGCTGTGCGAGTCGTTGCAGACGATAACCCTTTCCCCCCAGGACTTCATTGCAGAAGCTTGGAGGTTCAAAGCCCTGGCCGAAGAGTTCGCTTCACAGCAAGCACCAGCCAGCGACACGAGACCTGGTACAATGCGTTGCAGTATCTTCTCGTGCGGGATCACGAAGACAAATGTGTGGAGCCAGAGCATAACGTCACTCTTGATGATATCGATGAGTTTAACCCTGGCTTCCGATCCTCATCCCGCCAGAGCCAGGGAGCTCGGATGTCGCTGTCATCTTACAACAGTCGCACTGTGCGCCAATCACGCAAGACGCAACATCGTGCCGCATCTGCCATGTCTATTCACTCCAACGCCACGAGTGGAACTCCCGGACGTGCATCACCTGCATTCAGTTCCCCTGGGCTCAAGTCTTCGCTGCAGGTTCCGGAGGATCATACGCGTTCTTCGTCTCGCCTTAGCACAATCTTTAATAGTTCGATCCGAGGATCGATTGCTAGTATGAAGGGCCGACACGGCTCCAGTGTCCAAAGTGACAGCGTTCGTGGACAAGATAGCATTGAAGATCTGGCACGCGAGGCTGAGGAAGAGGACCGTCTTGAAAATGTTCGTGCCTGCTGTGATGGCAAGCACGATGTCGGTTCTCTCTCGCATCGCAGCAGTCGATTCAGCCCAAGAATGGAGCGCCACCATCATCACCATTGATTTTGACCGCATTCCCCCCCCCCCCCCCCCCCCCCCCCCCCCCACTCCCCTCACTAGATCATAGTGGCAATTTTTGATTGAGTTTGTGGGCAGGCCCTCAAACCCAGGTGGCTTGCGTTAATAATCCACGAGTCTTTTTAGTACCATTCACTACTTGAAAACACCCACGGTCTTTTCTCTCACTCACTCTCTCTCTTTTTCACTTTTATTTTATTTTTCCAGCTTCCAAAGTCTCTTCTTTGAGTCTGCATTGCATCAAGCTTAGCTCTAGTCTTATTCGACTTATTTCCTTTTTTTTCACTCTTTGTTCATAATATCTGTATCAGTCCTTCGACCAACACGATCACTCATTCTGGATGATAATTTTTACTTGCGAACCATACTCAATTTAGTTTCCCACCTGGGCAATTTTGATATTTTCTGTGTACCTAGTTCGAAGGAGCTTCAACCGAGAGTAATCTCCAATTCATGCATTTCGGGGCTTCCCTAATTCAGGTACAAATCCAACACCTTATGGAATCAACAGCATTGGAACGATGGAGAATATAACCTTTTCTTGTAGCTACGCCAAATTCACGCCTACTTCAACGCTGAGATCGATCATCTCGCTCTGGTGATGATGATAGTGGTGGAGTAAATTCAGGCGATGGAATAAAACCATCTTCTTCCTCTTCTGAATGATTACACCTTGCTTTCTATCATAGAGTCACTATAAGACCAGCTAATCGCATTCCAGGTCAGGTACTGAACTAAGTTAACTTCCTGAGCAAACAGATGATTATGAGATAGCTCTTTACGAGGAATATATTCATAATCAAGGTATACTGGGTCTCGACATGGATCAATCGGGCAGTCTGTGCTGTTACGCTTATTTTTTAGGTCGCCTAGATACTCTTCATACGGTGAGAGCATAATGCGACCTTCGAATTTACAATTAAAAGTGTCAAATGATGCCAGCAAGTCGAATGGATGTCGTTTGCCTAGTAGATTTGGTGGATTGGGTTGCAAGGGCAGCTAAAAGACGTGTGGTTTTTGTGTTGCTTGTAATTGTTATTTCTCATGCAAAAAAGTGTACCCAGGCACGAAAAACGAAGGGGAGGGTTGGGAGTTTGAGATTCTGCCATTCTGGATGAAATAATAAAGTTGTATTCACATATAGGGCCTTGGAGCCTTGTACATAAGGCATCATCGAGGCTGAACCACACTCTATGAAGCTTAATTCTCTATTAACCGAAACCAAATTCCACAAATATCGCACGATTCTATCAATATCATTGGACTCGAGAATGGCATCACATATGACGCCTATCAATGTCAACCTTACCAATTTCCTTCCATATCGAACTCATTCTATTGATAAGATCTCACCTCCCTAACCGCGATATCAAATACTTCCATTTGATGGGCATGTGGAGAGATACAAAGGATAGCTCATTTAAAATTTACCAGAGTCTTCCTATATGAATTTAGAAAAACATAGCAGTCTTAAACGCTATTGAAGATCATGAGCAGCTTCGTACATAAGTAAGTATCATGCCAAAGTTGATTACAGATGTGATATACGACGATCCTTAGGTTCCACCTCCAGGGCTATTTTTACTTTCGCCTGAGTAAAAATTTATGTAGCCTAGGAAATATTGTCCGAACTGACTCTTTCTTCGATGTCTGCGAGTGAAAATATTGAGGGACTGACTTCACGCAGGGACTCAGACATAGATCGACCAGATCAGAAAGACTTCGTGCAGGTAAGTCAAGTAGCTGCATAACCACCGCCAAGTATATGCTGGCTATACTATCAAAAGCTAACCCAGCAGTCAGCTAGGCTATGCAACGATGTACTTTTTCCAAATGTGAAGAAGACACTTTTATCAATCTATCGTCAGCGTACTTCTGGTTAGCTTCCCAAAAGCAGTAAGTGATAGGATCAGGATGAGCATCTTTATGAGTCATGAGGCCTTTAGGAGATTTCTGAGTTATGGCTAGTTGATATTACCTAGGTAGGAAAGATGCTCAGCGTAGCGAGATAAAATGGACCCGTTTAAATGAATTGATAGCATCCGGCATTGGCCAAGGTTGTTAACAGGGTGCAATATTTGAGGACTACGACTCTGTCTAGCACCTGATAAAGCTATATATTCTTAGAAACTGACAGATGACTATCTTCTGTATCTTGTCGGCCGATAGTAAGCGAGATCGGTAAGCAAGATTCAAAAACCCATGGACCTATACAGGTAGGGCATATCTACCTAGGGCGGTGAACAGCCATTTTTATACTAAAATACCATCCCCGCACACATTCCAAGGTTATCTTTCTACAAAGCTATCAATATGCTCCAGAAAATCGCTACTTTGCTCGAACCAGCCCATTTATGGACATGGGCTGTATCTCGTAAGTATCAAAGCATGGCTATTTCAACTCTCGTTTACAATTGCTTATAAAATACAGATTATCTTCGAGTCTGTCTTGAGGAGGTGTTGAAGGGCCATATCCTTGCCCCAATCTTTCAGACCAAAAACCTCCGTGATGAATCTTTTGCCCGTTTCTGGCTTGACTTCAGTGGTAAGGCTAGATCTGAAAACTTGTCTATATAATTAGGTTCATCAAGCATCAGATGCTAACTCATATCTAGCCTTCGTTGATAAAATGTCAGCTCAATTCGGATTGAGGGGTTCCTCAGCTCTGATCCCACCGATTTTAGAAACAGCCACGGGCATAGTTCTTGACATTGGCCCCGGAACCGGTCCTCAGATGCCATACCTGTGCTCCCCAGCCATCAAAGCCATCTATGGCCCAGAACCATGTCTCGGCCTGCATCGTGAGTTGAAAGCCAAAGCCACTTCCGAGGGCCTAGGTGAAAAGTACTACGTGCTGCTAAGCAGTGTGGCAACAGAAGAACTGCTACCCACATTACGGGAGACAGGTACAGGAGTAGTTGACTCTTACGATGAGAATCCAGAAAACGGAATCTTCGATACTATTGTCTGTGTGCGTGTTCTATGCTCTGTACCTGATGTTAACAGCTCCGCTCGTGAACTTTATAAGCTGCTGCGGCCTGGTGGTCGTCTGCTTGTCACCGAGCATGTTGTTAACCCGTGGCGTACGGCAAAGGGGTCGCTTGCTTCGAGAATTGCCCAGGGTGTCTACCAGTTGCTTGGGTGGAGCTTTTTTATTGGCGATTGTGCTATGGATCGGGATACTGAGTCGGCTTTGAGGAGGGCTGGGGAGTGGAGTGAAATTACTTTGGAAAGGTCATTTGAATCTTCGCCCATGCCCTATTTGTCTGGCAGCTTGGTCAAGGCATAGCATAGAGCATTCGTGGGTCTTCACGTTTGTACTAACTTTGTAAAGTTGCAAGACGCGATTCCTGCATGTGGACTCGGTTGTATCTGACAAAGCCTTGAAAAACCTACCTCTGTAAGTAGTACTTGTATCTACATATGTACCATATCCCTGGAGCTTAACAATTGAATGTGATATAAAGAGGTGACCTCCTTACAAATTTTATGATTACAATCTATGTAGATTAGAGCCTTAGGAGCAGAGGAAATGCAAATAATCCTGATTCTAGCAATATTTGGAAAACTGGATTTTTAAGCGAATGGGGGTCATCAATCATAATGATATAAGTTTCAAAAATAGTACGTTCGAAAAGACAATTCACTTCGACGTCTTTTCAAAATGAAGCTCTACAAGGTTCACAAGATCGGCTTTGTTGCCAGTTGCAGTACGGCCATGGAAATGCAGAAATGCCTTCAGTTTGGGTATGGTGAGCTATAAAGGTTCCAAGGTTAGTTCAACCAAAACTATGGTTTCAGGAGTCAGCAGTTCAGCCTACCTTGTTTAATAATCCATTTTGATATTTTGTTGTGACTTCCTCGTCAATGTCTAGAGCATCATTTTCGACCTTGACCTTTTTGGTGGGAGGTCCGTCACCCCGATCTTTAGTACCGCGTTTGACCAGTGTAGATAATGAAGCAGAAGTGCCACCAAGAAGCTTCTCGGCCTGAATGTCCAGTTCCTTGGACCACGCAAGTACATAATCACCGCAGCGCTGATATTTCATTAGAGTCGCCCTTTTTTTAAGAGTGGTATTCATAAACGAGCAAGATTACCTTGTCAATTTGCCGAAACTTGGGAACGGTCTTGTCATCTGGGGTTCCTGGGTGATCTTCATCTAGGGCCAGAGCCTGAAGAATGCGATAATGCCATTGAAGAGCTGCAATTATGTTAGTACCAATAAACTCATAGCAAATCTACGGATACATACAGGGATTGGGATATTTTTCAGGATCATAAACACCCTTGGGAAGCTGCAATTGCCCAATAACTGCACGCATGGCGTCCGTGAGCGACTCTGGGGATTCCACCTTTTTGTACTCGGGCTTCTGCATCTCATCATATGAAGGCTTCTGTCGCACATCATCTGCAAAAGGCAGTGGAATAATCCACATCCCAGGAGGTATCTTTTGTATACCATTCTCGTCCATCTTCTCCGCACCTGGAATCATAGCAGCCAAGACTGGTGTCGCACCCTTGCGAGGAATGAACCAGACAAGCGCCAATTTCTTGTCCTTCTCAAGTTTTTGATGTAGTGCAGAAAAGACGCGCGTTGAGCCAACATAGTCTTCTTCGGATGGGTAGATGAACGTTGGATGCCTGACATTAGCCCAAAATGGAAGGGAAGAGAGAGGCTTGAAGCCCACGATCCGGATTACGGGGCTACCAAAGTTTTTCAGGGCCTGTTGTTCATCGACTGTAAATGAAATCTGCTCGCCACCGAATTTATATGCCTTTCTGATCTCTGTCGGTTGAACCTCTTGAGCTGCATCATCTGCCATTAGGGTAGTTGTCCCTTTGACAATCTGGGGGGTTTCTCCGCCAAGCCAAACATAGCAACTTCTCGCAATTTCCTGTCGCTTGAGTAAGAGATAGCCATTCACAGAAATTTTGAAATTAGGACCCATCTCCAGCGATATGTTGGAGAAGAGACATCTTCGGGGCACAGATCTGGAATTGATGCTTGACGTGAGAGAATTGAGTAGCGAAATTCCGTCCCCTTTGACCGTGGAAGTATGAATGTCTGGCTGCAAATATGCCGGAGCTTCACCATCAATGGGCGCTGTTTTGTAAATGATATCCTAGAAAATTCAGCTTTGGTGCTAGCATATCGTGATGAATTCTACCAACATCATAAAATTTAGAAATGTCAAATTCATGGTCTGGTTGAGAAATAGGGAACAAGTCAATGGTGACACCCAGATCGTACAGATCTCTCGCACGAACGGTGGCTGCAGAACGAAGGACCTTGTTATCAGCATGTGGGTTGTCATCGTCGGTCACAATGAATAATCGCCGCGAAACGAAATTTGGAGCCTTGGAAGTAAAGACTTGGTTCGCACAAAATAAGACGTTGGCCATGGAAACCCGCTCATCGGATGGCTGTAAAACCTCCTTAGCCTCTTCCTCGCTTTCAATAAGGCTTCGTAGTCCCTTCACTTCTTCGGCTGATGGGACATCAAGATCGGTAAACAGATAACAATGTGGGTATGATAGATCGCTGGTCTCTCCATTCTCGCCATAAAATTTGGATGACTTGGTCCCGTAAAGGAGGACTCCCATCATGTCATGAGGATTGGAAATGATGCGCTGCTGTATCAAATTATGTGCGCATTTGAGAGCTGCTGCTGTAGGAGATACCGCAGGTTTCTTTGGGTCGGATGATGGACGGGGCTCTAACATTGAACTGCTTACGTCAATCGCAAATAGAACTGCATCCTTGACTGATCTAAAGCTCTAAAATTATCAAAAACCAGGTCAGATTCGATATATACCTCGGTATAAACGAAGCTATAGCTTCAACTCACTGTTTGATCGAGTTCTTCTTCCTCATAGGATTCCTCCTCATGCCCATACCTCTCTTCAGCCATGATTCTGTTAGCAATGAAATTAAAGTCAGGTAAATATTTGAGAACAGTTTAAGAACATTGACAAACGATCTAAGACGCGCCTATGACCGGGAGACGCGATAGTCATGTGATTCTGCCTACGGCTGCCTAGATCTGTTTGCTGACTCTGTGAGCCGACTGATTGGTTCCCACAAACCCACTATATCGATTAGTCATGATAGCCGTCATGAAGGTTTCCCGCCAACATGAATACCAACGAAGTTCACAGAATTGCCGGAATTCAATTGCATTGACAATTGATTTCGGTCGTATTCAGTAATACTTCAATTATATATAAGCCATGTCATTCCGTTCTTTGGCTCTCCCTGGCCGTATATCGAGCTATGCCAGCCTCTCAAACATCCGTCCTAATACCCGTTGTGTGGGAGGAATCTGGAATCAACGTGGTCTTGCAACAGCAGCTCCGCCAGTGATCCAGGATGCGACTGGCTCAAAGGGACCTACAGCGATGGTCTTTATGAACATGGGTGGACCTTCAACAACTGACCAAGTGGAGGACTTCCTGAGTCGACTTTTTGTATGTCTGCCAACCCTGCACTTGTTAATGATGACGTATTGACCAACTATTTCTCTACAGTCGGATGCCGACTTAATACCTCTGGGAAGACTGCAGAACTACATTGGACCTTTACTCGCCCGTCGAAGAACACCAAAGATTCAAAAGCAATACTCAGACATCGGCGGTGGCTCGCCGATTCGTAAATGGTCGGAATACCAGTGTGCCGAGATGTGTAAGCTTTTGGATAAGATGTCTCCAGAGACAGCGCCACACAAACCATACGTCGCGTTTCGCTACGCCGCCCCCTTGACAGAAACCATGTACGACCAGCTGCTTGCGGATGGATTTGGCAATGGCAAAGGAGGACGTGCTGTCGCATTTACGCAATATCCACAATACTCCTGCTCTACCACTGGTAGCTCCCTGAATGAGCTGTGGAAATGGCGTAACCGAGTGGAAGGGAAGGATGCCGATAGATCGGATTCAGCTGGAGCTATTCAATGGAGTGTCATCGACCGGTGGCCCTCGCACTCCGGCCTTGTTGAGGCCTTTGCACAGAATATTGAGGCGCAGTTGAAGACCTACCCCGAAGAAAAGCGGGATAAAGTGGTATTGCTGTTCTCCGCCCACAGTTTGCCCATGAGTGTTATCAACCGAGGTAAGCCAATAATTGAAAACAAGCATGACTAAGGCCCGCTGTTAATCCATTTTTTCCATTCTTAGGTGATCCCTACCCTGCTGAAGTTGCCGCGACTGTACACGCGGTCATGCAGCGTCTTAAATTTAGCAACCCGTACCGTCTATGCTGGCAATCTCAGGTGGGCCCTTCTGCATGGCTCGGTGCTCAGACCAGCGACACAGTGATGGGGTATGTCAAGCGTGGTCAGACAGACCTGGTCCTGGTTCCCATCGCTTTTACCAGCGACCATATTGAAACTCTATACGAGTTGGATATGGAGGTCATCCACGAGGCAAACAGCCCTGGCGTTAAGCGCGCCGAGAGCTTGAACGGCAACCCGATCTTCATACAGGCACTTGCAGACATCGCTCACGCGCATCTGCAGAAGGAAGATCCCTGTTCCGTCCAGATGACTCTGCGCTGTCAAGGTTGCAAGAGTGACCGATGCCTAGAGCAGAAGAAGTTCTTCGCTGGCGAGAAGTATGGTCCTCTTGTGGCATAGTACGCATTATGGCATGTAATATATATATGGATCATTACGACTCCACTGTAATAGTATGAGCTTTGAATATTATATTTTCTATGGGCATTTACTACAGATAAGGTCGGGTTTAAATCCGGAGTCCGGAGATTAAGGTCTAAACATCGGACTAAATGGAATCCGAAAGCCTGTTAGCTGCGCTCACGCCTTATCAATCAAGTCAAGGCAAATCTTGGATCGAAATACGAAATGCACCCCCTCATTTTGAAAGTCGTGGCATGTACAACTCTTTTCCCTAAATAAACAATAATTTACCCCTAGTGTGTTGGCATTCTTCCCATCTCCTTATATTATTGTTATGCGCCGCCCTGCCCTCACCTAAGCCAAACACCACAATAATGGAGAACGACGAGCTGTTTGTGAGCTCATCGGCTCTCCATGCACAGCAACTGGCCGGAAAACACGCATCTTCGAAGGACCGCCCATTGCAGATTCATACTGAACCGCTATTGGTCACAGACTCGGACGATGAGCCAGAGCTCCCACGCGACATAGACGACTTAGATACCCGACCGCGATGGAGACAAGCACACGTAAGTGACTTGAGATACACACCATCTGGTCCTTTCTGACCAGAATAGATTTGTTGGCTGCTACCATTTGGCCTGCTTTTCATGCTGGGATTTGGTGGTCTCGCAGTGCCCAAGATCAATTTGATCATGTCCTTGATTTGCCGCGACCATTTTGCCGAGAAGGCGCTCAAAGAACCTGCTTTTACATACCTGCCTGTCATTTTCGGTGACGACAATGCCCAGTGCCGAACCCCCGAAATTTCGGCCCTTGTCGCCCAATTTCAGCTTTATCTCAACCTGATCACCGGCATCGTGTCGGCATTGGTTAGTCCTCGATTGGGCCAAATGTCCGATCGTTATGGTAGAACCACATTGATTGCATTGGGCGCTATGGGCGCCGTGCTTAGTGAGGTCATATCCTGCATTCTGGCGACATGGCCCGAAAAGATGTCGATCAATGTGTTTTTGATTGGTGCTTTGATGGATGGGTTAGGTGGCTCATTCACCACTGCACAGGCGTTGATCCACTCCTATGCCACAGATTGCACGCCGCCTGAGAAGAGAAGCGTAGCATTTGGCTTATTTCACGGTATCCTGTTCCTTGGAATATCGATTGGACCCAGCGGAGCTGCCCTGATCATTAAGAAGACTGGAAGTTCGCTACTAGTATTCTACCTCGGGGTTTCATTGCACATATTATTTTGCCTCGCTATAGCCTTCATCGTGCCGGAGTCACTTTCCAAGCAACGGCAGCTCGCAGCTCGTGAGCTTCATCACAAGAAACAGGCCGGCACGGATGCGACACGTTGGTATTCCTGGAGGTCACTCAACCCGATAAACCTCTTCACACCACTAGGTATTCTTCTGCCCGCCGTTGGACGACCAAGTACTCTATTTCCCAATCGAAAGGGTGCCACGCCAGCTCTTCGGCGGAACATCATTTTGCTCTCCACGCTGGACACGGTGGTCTTTAGCGTTGCTCTCGGCACGGCAAGTGTTATTATCATCTATGCCGAGTTGATATTCAACTGGGGCAATGTCGAATCTAGTCTATTTATCTCGATAGTGAACATCATCCGCGTGGTCAATCTATTCGTTGTTCTCCCTATCATTGCCCGATTTTTCCGCACATCAGTTGAGGATGACGGTGTGATTCGTGGATCTGACAGTCTTGACATTTTCATCATCCGTTTATCGATTGTTTTCGATGTTCTTGGCTATATTGTATACGCAATGGCAAGAGATCCCAAGGTTATGATTCTGGCAGGCGTGGTCACCTCACTTGGCGGAATGGGATCACCGACTCTGCAATCATCTCTTACGAAGCATGTCCCTCATGAGCGCGTTGGGCAAATGCTCGGGGCCACAGGTCTTTTGCATGCTCTTGCCCGGGTTGTTGGACCTACCATCTTCAATACGATTTACAGCCTGACCGTCACAACCTACCCCCAGGCAGTCTTCGTGTGTCTTGTGGTGGCCTTTGGGTGTGTACTCTTTGCGAGCTTCTTTATCAAATCATACGGTATGTTCAAACTGGACCCTGACCCACGTTTTATCATGTCACTAATATTTCTGGATAGTTACCCTTGATCATGAAATCGAGCCTGACTTGGCAGTTGAGGCTAATGAAGATGGAGAGAGCGAACACGATCAGCTATTGGTACGCTGATTAGCTAAAATAGCTATTCCAAATAGATCTTTCGATATCTTAGACCGCGAGACCAGTTATACCGTATTCTACCATCTAGATTTCCAATATTGGCTAATATTGACCTCAGGTTCGAGGTCATGAATCTTGAGCCTTGACTAGATGCCTCTGATCAATCTCTGAGTAATCAGTGAGCAGCCAGCCATCACAATGCCTGAGCACTCACTGAGCACTCAGAGAGCGCTCAGTAGACTGATTGGCACTGAGAGCCCCCATAAAAAGATAGGAAGCCCCAGAAGAAGTAAGGTGCATATAATGACTCTAGGTATCTACATTTTCCTCTAGATAAGGCTGGTACTAGCTTCAGCTTGCATATGGGTAGTTTCTTCCAGGGCTATATTTTATTCATCTTAACAACCATTGAGCGCCCAATATCATGCAATATGTCGAAGCCAGATATATTTGGATAATGATTTTAGAGGTATTTCGGTTATTTTCAAGCTGTAGATAAATCAATAACAAAACAGTACTTCTTTTAGTTCTGATATAAAATCAGATGATCCCATCGGGCCATTTCGGCCAATCGTGCAAGTTTGCTACGAAGTGGCCCGCTTCGATTTTCCCTTCTCAACCCTCAATTACGAACTGATCCCTCCTTCCCACCTCCTCGACTGGAAGACTCACTCTTCCAAGTTTATATGAGATCAGCCCCTTTCAATTCTCGAGGTCGTGCCACAATCCCCCGCTAATGCACAATCAATAAAAATAGCGCGCACTTTGCGGCCAGCGCTCACAACATGTTCGCCCAAAAATCGACTTCGGTTGTACCCACGCACAAAACCCTGCGAGTTCTTCGTAAACTAGCACTCGCCGGATCTACTGTTAGTGGTGTCTGCACCTTCGCAGTCTTATATGATGTCAATCGTCGAATCACATTGGCAGAGCAGATAGTTGAGAATAAACGAACCTTGCAAACGTCAGCGCCAAACTACGATGCGACCTCTTCTGCCAAACGTCTGAAGATCATGATGGAAGCGGCGGAGGCCGGAGAATTCTTTGGATTGGACTCCCTCAAACCACAGAGACGCCGTAAAGCCGCGAATCCTCGGACTGCGAACACGCCACAAGAATCGGATATCCGCAAGGAAAAGAACGTCGCAAAGTACTCACTTCGCACACAACCAGCAGAATTAAGTGTTAAGTATTCCAAATATTGGGGTATCAGCGAGGAAGCTCTGGAACGCGAGAATCAAGAAAGACAACTTGCTCTTGGGGCTTCGAAAACGCCTGTCGATGTCAGAATTCGTACATACCTGGAACGCGAAAAGGAAGTCGACGCTGCAAAATTCGCCATGAGATACATGAACACCAAGCATATGGTCTCTTTAGTGAGACGTCAACTTCTCTGCGATGTTTTCACGGCAAACTGCCTCAAGGGGAACATCTTTATTGCCCGTTCTCTTTTCGAATTTATGCAAAAAGTGACCGTGGTGGACTCAGAGATTTGGGCCGTGATGATTCATCTACTTGCCAAAGAAGGACATATTGAATCTGCTGCCGATATCTTCGAGAGATATCACCTCACTCTTGCACTTCCGCTTCATTTATTGGAAATCGTACTCCGTTGTTGTCTTGAGTCGAGACGGCTCACATTGGCCGCATGGCTTTTGTTCGCGCGTATCAAGGATGACCGCGACTGTGGTCTGTGTGGAGCGTATCTTGATGGGCTCTGGAGGAAAACCCATGACATCAAAATCCTCAATTCCGAATTTCAAAATCTCCTGTCCAGCTTATCCAGATTGGAGATAAAGCCAACCGAGAAGATCTTCAACCCGATGGTCAAATGCTATATCGAATCCGGGGCCAATGCAGATGCCGAACAATTAGTGAAAGACATGTCTGAAAAGTTTGGCGTTCAACCAGGATGTCGCTCAATGGGTCTAATTCTGTACGGCAGAGCTGTTCTAAGCGATTGGGACGGAGTTTTTGACGGACTGCATGAAATGCACAAGCTCGGTCTCACACGTGAAAAGCAAGACTTTGTGCATTCCTTTGATCGTATATTCTTGGAGTACTATTCAAATCACTCGGGACCCGAAATATTTGAATTTATTGTCAAATCTATCAACACATACGAGTTGGTTCCCGACAAGGTTCTCTATCGGCACTTCCTGGAAGCTTTAATTGAACGCGGCGACTCCGAGATGGTCAACACTATTATGACCATGGCCCAAGAGAACAAGTGGAATTACGGTGTTAATGAGACTTCAATTCTCGATATCCTGAGCGCCCGCAAGATATCTATGCAAAAGGCCCCTGTGGGATCTTGGCGAATGTTACAGGCGACAAAACAGCAATATGGAAGTGCGGCCTCCTCACGGCAAATCCTGGGCTCTAGTGCCAATTCTCTCAAGCTTACATACCGAAGTGTTTTGGAACCGATTCATCGCAACGCCGATGAAACGTATCGTGAAAGCTTGGAGAATCTCGCAACCAGGAAATCCATCGATTACTACGTTCCCCTTGAGCATCGAATGGCAGGCTATATCCACGCGGGCAAATATACCGAAGCCCTTGATATATACGAACGTGGTAACAAACAAGGGTATGCCATCAGACCGATCCACCTCAAGCTGGCTACCATCGCAGCGATTTTTGCGGATGAGCGATCACTGGAGTTGAAGGGCCTAAAATATGCTCGCCAAATTATTCGACAAGACTGGCCGTACTGGTGTAAATTGCCCACCGTCCGATTCAGCCCAAAGTACCCGAACGTCTTGCCGATTTTCTTCCAGACACTCGATCAGATCAACGGAAAAGCCGCTGGTGCAACCACTTTGCTGAAGTTGGCTTTGATGGAATTCAACAACATCTGTTTTGAAGAGCCCCATCTGACTGTCAAACCCCATGCATCAACCTCCTTAGCCCGATTTCTCATAAAAACAAACCGTGAGAGAGCTGCAATCAATGTTCTCACTACTGTCTACCTGTCCAAGTGGCGCAAAATGTACGGATTTGACCAAATCCAATTAAAAATGCTTTTGCGCGCATTCACCCTCACTCAGAATCGCAGGGGTATATGGTGGTGTATGATGTCAGTCCTCTCTCGTAAAGGGACGCCGAATAAAGATTTCGTTGTCGAACTACAACGCCTGATGCCTCGGATAAGGATCAATGTTTCCAGACTTGGGTTTGATGACGATGTGGAAGTTCTCCAAGATATCTTTGTCGCGATTTTGGAAAAGCAGAAGGGCTTAGGGGACTGGTCCCAAATCAGCGTTGACCAGGCGCTGAAAGACATCTCTCGCACGCAAACACATATCTCTCCTGATGAAACGACAAATCTACCCACTTTACCCCTCAGAGACACGATCATGAGCTTTGACGAGGAGAGGGAGTTTGATTTCGTCCGCGAAGTCCAGCCGTCCGAGGCAAGCGAATGGAAAGAGATCAAGCTAGTGACCCAGTCCAAGATTCCGCCTGAGCATACTTCATACCCTGCCTATTACGCAGACCATCACCCTGCCCCTCTGCATCAGTATCAGATGCTGGGTTATAAACCCAGACGCCGAGGTTCCCGATATCATCACGAGATTCATCATGAGGGCAGAAGCTTTGAGTAGACATCCAACTTTGTTTACCTAAATACATGTACTTCTAGATAAAATAAAATAAAAAATACCTTCCTTCAGGCCTCTTGCCTGTTTACATGACCACCCAAGCCTCAAATATACGTCGTAAGTAAAGCACGGCCAGGACAATATGGACGCGACTTGATGTATGAAGGGAGAACTAGTCAACTAAGGATCTGACGATCGTTTTTAAAACTACTCCAGATCATCAAATTATTTGCCATATACGAAACACCTATCAATTGAATGCCAGTCATTGAACACTAAATACTAAGCATTAATAAATTTATTATCAGTATTAAATATTCCAATTGAACATCTAGTAATCAATTTAAGTCCTATACTACACAATACGGCGTACTTTAAATCCTGAAGGTAAAGGCGGAGAGACAGATTTTCACATGTCAAGTCACGCCACTGCCCCTTTCCAACATCCATGATCCATGATTCCATATCAGCCCATACCTTGATCTTCTCATCCCACGTCCTGTGCACAGGACCCTCTGCTTTAAAAACTTCAACGCCCCTGCGGCAATTGCCGCTTTAATTTTACTCTAGTACTCTTCCTCTCTTCACAATGGCCACTACCGGCGAAACAAAATCTCAAGCCGCTTCACAGCGCCACGAGGCCGATGTCGTTATTATCGGCGCCGGTATTATGGGCTGCTCGCTAGCAGTCGCATTTGGACGACAAGGGCGGAGTGTTATTTTGCTGGAGCAATCGTTAAAGGAGCCCGACCGCATCATCGGCGAACTTCTCCAACCCGGTGGTTGTGAGGCTCTGGAGAAGCTTGGCCTGAAAGATTGTCTGGAGGGCATTGATGCTATCAAGGTGGACGGCTACTATATTTCATACCATAACGACTCAGTCAGCCTTCAATATCCCAAGGAGACACCCTCCTCGCCTTCCCCGGAGGGACGAGCCTTCCACCATGGACGCTTCATTATGAAACTGCGCGAAGCAGCAATTGCCTGCCCCAATGTCACAGTCGTCGAGACGAAGGCAACAGGGCTAGTGACTTCAACATTCACAAACCAAGTCGTCGGTGTCGAGTGCGAGACCAAGGAGCTCAAGGATTGCTACTTTGGCCAGCTCACTGTGGCCGCCGACGGCTACAGCTCCAAATTCCGCAAGGGCCACCACCCGAAAACTCCTGAGGTCAGAGATAAGTTCTGGGCTCTGGAATTAATTGATGCGAAACTCCCCTGTCCTGGTTATGGCCATGTCCTCATCAGCGACAACCCACCCGTTCTTTTGTACCAGATCGGCACTCACGAGACCCGTGCCCTGATCAACATCCCCGAAAACCTCCCCTCTGCCTCAGTGAAGAATGGTGGTGTCAAGAGCCACCTCCGCAATGTTGTTCTTCCCTCCATTCCCAAGGATATCCGTCCATCATTCGAGGCTGCCCTCGACAAGGGTCAATTGCGGTCGATGCCCAACTCGTTTTTGCCTGCCTCGACGAACAAGACACCTGGATTGATTCTTCTTGGTGACGCACTTAACATGCGCCATCCATTGACTGGTGGCGGAATGACTGTCGTGTTCAACGACGTCTGCATTATCCGCGACTTGCTCAGTCCCGAGAATGTGCCAAGTTTCGAGGATACAAAACTTGTTTTGAAGCAGCTCTCTCGCTTCCACTCGGAGAGAAAGAACTATTCCTCTGTCATTAACATCCTTTCCATCGCTCTGTATTCTCTCTTTGCCGCCAATGGTATGTCTAATCCCTCCAATCCATATTTTATGCCGATACAATCTCTAACTGTGCCCTTCAATAGATGTACACCTCCAAGCTTTGCAGCGTGGCTGCTTCCAATATTTCAAAACTAGCGCCGTTAGAGAACCCGTTCTTTTGCTTGCCGGTATCCTCAAGCAACCCGTCCTCCTCGTCTACCATTTCTTCACCGTGGCCCTTTTCTCCATCTGGATCCTCCTCCGCGAGTCCTCTCTGCTAGGACTCTTCCTCATCCCCTTTCAATCAGTCATGGTCTTCTATACAGCCTGTGTCGTTATCCTCCCGTACATTCTCACCGAGATTTGGTGATTTGATTAGAATGATTCTTTCGCTCACATTTTCCAGCAAATAGAGTCGAAGGCAGAGCCTTCCTCAATACCTTTTAATGAACAAATCGGTTTTTCAACGATGGTTGCATGTTATGTCTTAATATTGCATCTTCCTCATACTTTTGTCTGGGTTGTGTTCCTGCAATGACCTTTTATGTAATATAATCCATAGCCTTTTGGGCTTTCCAAGGTTCTAGATATGTCCTTGTTCTGTACTATACATACTATCGATTATCTCAGTTTTATTCCTTCTGTTCTGCCAAGGTTGATTATATCTACCCGTGGAATTAGGGTGTACTCAACTGTGCTATGTATGGACTTTAGTCTTAAACCCGTGGGATCGGATTTTAGGCCACAAACTCCATACTTGTCGTGACTTCTTAAAGTATCCCAACCTGAATTCATCTTGATTCCAAAGTTCTGTTTACGAATAATCGCAAAATGCCACGAATCATCCTAGTCACGGGCGCGAATAGAGGTAAGCCATGCTTCTTACGTCTTCAAGACCAGTATCTCATTATCTCAGGAATCGGCCTGGCAATTACCCAAGCCCTTGCAACAAAAGCATCCGACGTGACTATCTGTCTTGGTTGTCGTTCTATTTTATCCGGTAATGAAGCCATGCAAGAGCTTCGTCAACAAGGGATAAAGTCTCAGATAGAGACTATCAAGTTGGACGTCACAGATGATGATAGCATCAAGGCTGCTGTTCAACACATGAGTCAAACGTATAACAAAATTGACGGTAAGGGAAATACCCCACGGCCACTTCATGACAACCTTAGTCCTGACTTTACCTGAAGTCCTGATCAACAATGCTGCAGTAGCCAGCAATTCAAATAAAGACCTGAGTGATTTCCGCCAAGTATACAACTCAATATTCGACGCAAACATAACATCAGTCGGTCTCCTAACATCCCACTTCCTCCCTCTCCTAGAAAACTCGCCAAATGCGCGAGTGATAAATATCTCATCAGCGCGCGCTTCTGTCGCGCTCCAAACAACGGGCAAACTGCCGCCTACAGCGTCTATACCATATTCGATCTCGAAGACTGGACTTAACATCCTTACTTTAGAATTGGACAAGTTATATGAGAATATTAGGTTCTATTGTGCTAGTCCGGGCCATTGTCGGACCACTTTCAATGGGTTTCGTGGGACCAAAGATCCGCTTGAGGGTGCGAGGGTTGTCGTTGAGCTTGCATTGAGTGAGGAGGGGTTTGAATCGGGGTTTTGGCAGTTTGAGATTGATGCCATGGAGGCTGTTGCTTGGTAGCTTGTCCAGTTAGTATATAGAGCCGTCAATTTGAGTCGGTTACCTACCGAGTCTCACGGGTATTTCACAATGTTAATGTTGAAAGTCTTCGATGCTCCTCTAATATTTTCGTCCAAGTCATTTCTGTATTTGCTATTCACTTCATATAGCTGCAGCTGTCACCCTGGAACTCCTTCCATTGGCATCAGTCAATAATATATTAACATCCTACCTAGGCAGTGCTATGTCATTGATTATTCTGGCGGGTTTACCCAATAACGATATGTGTGTCCTGATATCAAAACCTTGGAATTTCTCCATAGTGATCTTCTGCCCTTTTTATCACTCAAGTCGGTATCGTATTTTTGAAACATATATATATATATATATATATGGGTTCCAAATGAGGTACTTCTCTACATCCTGCCAAAATTTGTAGTAGAAAGGTCCTGAGGTTTTGATATACAGGTGTGGCGATGGTTGAAATCCCATTGTGACCGCTTTGAAGTACCTTAGGTAACTAGGTAGCTATTTAGATAACTCTTGTTGTAATGTAAAGATAAATCCTGTTTAGTCTCCCTAACAAAGACTTCTTCTGCTCACTTAGGTATACCTAGGTATTTTGCTTATTTCCAAGATTGTACTATGTAGGTTCAGTACCTCACTCTAGACCAATGGCAGACAAGTAGTTACAAGTGGAGTACGCGGTAAGCTCAACTGGCCAATAATAACTACTAATATCCTCTTGACGCGCTCCAAACATAATTCCAACGTCTCAAGCCTAGATGTCAGCTACATAATTTTTTTTGAATCATTATACTAAAGAAGCTTAGCAGTAATTAATGAGAAGATTGTTAAAAATGTGAACCTTTTGATTTGTCTCAGGCTACGGCTATTTAAAAAAAAAAAAAAGTAGGTAGGTATGCTCCAGTGATATGCCGTGTATCCGATGTTTCCCATCCCTTTCAACCAGACACCAGAAAATAAAAAATGCATGCTGGGTTACCGAAAACGCGAGAATAGAATGGTATCAAGTGCAACTCCGTTTTCAATGATGTGGTTTGATCTGTTGCGCTGACAGATCAGGATCAGGAGCTCTGGGCCAGTGATGGGTCTGTGACCGCGGGCCATGATCATATCTAGGTAGAGACCATAGATAAGATTCCATAGCCATTGTTCTTCTGCTTGTGACGAAGACTGCTTTCCTCGAGGAAATGTTGAAGGAAAAGGACGAGGTAATCGAGAGAGGAATATGAGGTAAGCGGCGTTCGTTGATCTTTTTGTTTTGATCTTTTTTTTGGTGTCCTTGAACCGTGGAAGATAGCGTTTTTTCATGTTTCGTTTTCATTTTCATTTTTCGTTGTATTGATAATTTGTTGTTGTTATTGCATGTTTTTATGATATGATAATACTTCGATGTATCGATAGGCTTCTTCTTCTTCAGGCTTTAACCTCCTTTGCGCAGAGTCTCATCGGCGGGCATGAATTCGGTGCTGTCGCTGTTGTTACCGGGTCGAGCATTGGCACCGTTCTGACCAGGGTGAGTATTATCTGTCGACTTGTTGACCCGGCGATGTTTCTTTTTGCTCGTTTGCCAACCCCCATGGCTGTTGTTTTGGCCGTTATTGTCCTTGATGCCATTCGTGGCTCCGACATCCTGGGGAGTTGACTTTGTAAGTGGGGTATCGTGCCGGCCTTTAGGCTTGGGTCGATTATGCCCAGTGCCATTGAACTTCTCATTATCCATGCCGTGGCCTCGCCGCTTTGCTTGATTGCTTTGCTGGCGGCTGTCAGTCTGTTCGATTGGAGTTTGACGTTTCGACTGGGACAGGGCCCTTTCTCGATTTGATGCGTTGTTCCAATTGCCATTGCCTTTGGCGGGGTGCTGTTTCGGTAACTGATTATGATGTACTTGCGATAGGGGCTCTGTATTCGATATGTTGAGGCGCTGCAAATGACTCGAGAGAAGTTCCGGCTGTCCTCGCATCTTACGATGCAGTTCGAGATTTCCAGTATCATGAAGCTGGGCTTCATATCCCGACGACTGATCTATCTCGAAAGCCGCAGGTTCCTGGAAACCCTGTGACAATGTATCAGACATGCTGGCAGGGGTGTGGACGTTCTGTTCGTCAGAAGTCGATGCATAGTGCGCAGCCACGTACTGATCAGTCAAGTCAGACGCATATGACCGCCGACGTTGTGGTCGCACTGAACCATCTACAATCAACGGACCCCGATTAAAGACGTCCGCAAATTTTGAGCGTGGGCTGGGTGGCAGTATCTCCTGGGGAGAAGGAGACTCGGTGGGACTGCGTTTCGGGTGCGTTATTGAGTCTTGAGACGAAAATTCCCCATTTATACAGTCCTGGTGGTCACTGCCTAAGGAAGCACATGTTGAAATAGAAAGATCTGGCAATATGGGGCCTTGGTGATAAATCTGCGGGTAGTAATACTCCAAGGGTCGGGTATCGTCAACTGAGGCCGACTGTGGAGCAGGGCTTGGACTGTTACATGACAGAAAAAGGTCATTGCCACTGTAATCTCCTATTTCTGTTGATTCAGGTTGTTGATGAGGGTCAATTGGAGCAACCAGAGTCTGTATCGAATACAGAGGAGATATATTTGCCGACGAAGAATGTTGAGGTCGAGCAGGCTGTGAATGGGCCCGGAGCCCCTTCGGTTCACCGTGTGCAACCGAAGACCGCCGGGGATTGCGCAAATCAGAGATCATTGTCGATGGAGGGCTCCCATGCATGGCGCTTACAGAGGCATACGTAGGAGCATACGAGGTGGAGCTGATGGGGGAGTGGTCGACAGTCCCTGATCTCGATCGTGAGTTTTCATCACCCGAATATTCTTGCTGGTGGGGCACAGGAAATTGAATAAACGGCTGGCGGATGAAGACTGGTGCAGGTCTTCCGGTAATCAAGGCTTGGTTATGCAGCTGCAATCGCAACTCCTGCTCTTGTGCCTGCAGAACCTGTATCTGCTGATATAGCTGATCATGCAGCATGAATTGAGCTTGCTGCTGAGCCTGTAGGGCCAATTCTGGCGAGGTGGTTGCGGGAGATGGCTGGCCAGGAGCGGCCCGAAACCCGGAAAATTTGGCGGGTGCGTTCTTGCGAGAACCTGTTGAGCCTCCAGGCCGAATGTTTTGATTTGGACCCCGAGGTCCACGACCCGTTCCACGACCACCAGGACGCGGTGGAGGAGCTTGGGTGATGATCGGCCGGGGTTTTTGTGCAGGTCGTTCGAAAGTCCCCTTCTCCTGCGGTGGGAACACGAATTCCTCACAACATTGGGTCAAGTCGGCCTGAAGGAGACACTTGTATGCCCTCCTCATTTCTATGTGCAGTCCCTTAAACGAAGTATCGTCGGCAGTGTTGCCCAGATTTCGGATCGTGTTGAATGGTTCTTCAACACAAAGTCGATTATTCGTCTGCAAGTGCCAGCCTTTTGCCTCTTTACTGATCAGGCCCCCCTCTCGCACCGAGATCACATTGTGCTCATAGTCAAACTCGTGAGCATAGTATCGAAAAAATTCGAACAGAAGCTGCCCCACGTTGTGCGTGTTGCGGCGACCGAACCCAGCAAGAGCCTGCATATCATCGTCAAATGAGAAGACTACACCGTCAGATGTGACCTTCTTCTTATGTGGACGAGTTTGGAGGCTCGGCAGAATCGGAGGGTCTCGTGTTTGCAAGAAGTTTATGATGAGACAGATCCAGGTGTACGAACTCAACGTTCCTCCGAGGGCTGCATCGTTGAGGATTCGCCTTTTAGTCCAGTATTTCACCACCATAGCCAGCGGCCGTACTCGTTCATCGATGTCGACATATGTTCGAATCATGCGAGTGTTCTCCAAAGCTAGTGTATTGTTGACATTCATGTCACAAGACAGCTTGAGCTCGGGATCCCAGATTTTCACAATAGGAACCTTCGCATGCGAAACGCAAACAACTTTTTCCATCCCATCTGGTTAAGATCAGTAAAGTTCAAAGTCTAGGAAACTCTTAAAGGTCTTTAGGTATGGTGTCTTACGTGAAGCCAACGTTCTTGCCAACATGCACACATGCTCCAATTCCTTGAAGTTAGTGGTAATACAAATGTCAACTATTCCAGTCAACCAGGTCAGTCATTGAGAAACATTCCAGATTTCCATCACATACCATCCGATTCACTTGAACACAGTTTATTGCCCGACGAGCCAAAGATGTGAACCTTGATTTCATTCCCAGGCCATTCCTTGTTGAAGAGATTCTCTAGCTTTGTTACCAGCTTCTGGCGTCGAACTTCACTCTCAGCTGAAGGTATTAATCGATCAAATAACACCATCATATCATCTGAAAGTCTGAGCGCCTCATCTTCCTTCAAAGCAGACTTGGGGCCAAGATTTTCTTGCGGTAATAGATCGGTCCCTAGACTGTAGGGCATTCGTCGCCTCGAATACGTCATTGCTGTCTCGAATTTACAGGCATCATAGGGTTTCCGAGCAGCTGGGGGGAGGTGGGTTGCTTCGGAGTGAGTTGAATGCGGGGAAGTGCTTCCATGGACGGGGGACGGCGTCCGCGATGTGAAAGGGATGTTGCGCGCATGTTGGTATGGGGTGGATGGGAGCGAAGAGGATTGCTGGTGTGTTAATGGGGGGCGAGGGGAGGTATCGGACGCGTTGGACTGCGGTGCCCATACCGCAGTCGGAGGATGATCCGACGCTATCGGTGACATGGCACCGGTGTGGTGGGATCCGTTTGCATTCCCATGGATTTTTGAGACCATAAAGCGATTTGTGGCTACTCGGACTCGGAAGGAGAATATGAAATTCAACCCACCGCACTGAAGGACAGCCCCTCCAGGTTACCACTCAATGGCGACTCTCTCACAAAAATGCACGCGTTAAGGCTCGTAAACTTCCAATAAATGTGCTTCTATTTCAAGATAAAACACCGAGAGAGTTCAGAGAAGGCTAGAGTGATTGGGGAAGGTATTTTTTTCGAAGGTGGGTTGAGGAGCGGGAAAGGGATTCAATCCTCGAAAAGGATTGACGAAAGTGAATTTCAAGAAATATTTTCGTTCGCGTGCGTTAGAGGATGAAACGAATGCCACAGCTTCGACCAGGAGTGAGGGCGTGAGTAATGGGTGTGAGGGTGAAGAGGAAGATCTGAGGGAAGTGGAGGAGAAACCTCTTATCTTTTTTTTTTTTCGAACTGCAGACGTATTAAAAAAAAGGACAACCAAAAATGGGAGAAGAGAAGATGGAAGGAAATCATACAAAAGGGGTTTAAGCAAGTTCCGATTGAAGGAAAGAATTGGCAGAATTCTGGAATGGAAGTTCTTCGTTGAAGATGATCGAGATTCGAAAGCCCCCCTGTCGGCGGTAAGAGAGCCGACCGCACTTGCTATATTCCCCTCTTTCTCTTCTTCAACTCTACTCTTTTCAACTTGTTTTGTTTGTCCTTCGTCCAATTTCCCCTACTTTCCTAATTGTTATAATCTCGGGTCTCGGACACTCATTCCCAAAAAGGCCAGAAACTACTATTGATAGATTCCGTTAATTCAAATCCAATTAATCTCCATCCTTTGTTATTCCCCTTTTTCACCCTTTTTTTTAACCTCTTTAAACATATATTCTTTCTTATACATACTCTATGCAGGTACGGGGTTCCCATGGTATTTCCCCCTTTATTGATCGGCCTGCACTCCCCCGCGTTGTGCACGTGCGGAATACTATAACCTAATCCAGTCGGTCCTTTTATATACTCCATTTTAACTGTTTTTTCTTATGGAATGATAATACCACTAGGTACGGAGTACTAACTACTCGCTTAATACCCTTCCGAGTCCTTGTCACAACGTAGGGCCCGCTTCTTTGGACCCGCCATACTTCACATGGCCCGTGTGTCGAGTGAAAGAACCCGTGGTTCATGAGCATCTAGCCTATATTCCATTATCAAGGCTTTGTTGATTCATCTATGACTCGAGCCTTACGGAGTACTCCATATCATCTGAGATCTATCTCACATGAATGATGATCGACAAAGATCGGCTAATCTACAGTCTATCAAAGAGATTACCTCGATTTAGCTCGGACCAAAAGGTTCAGAGTTTATCCTTGGAAGCAGAGTAATTAAAAGGGAGAATTATCATTTGTGACACTACAGTAAGTGAAAATCACTAATTTGATACTTATATCTAGACGGCTCTTGAAGTTTTTTGGGGGGAAAAGCTTGGAATTCCATGGCATAAATACCTTTTACTTAATACTTACCTAGTTACATCTGACCTCGGGACCTTAATAAAGTTAGAGACCTCAGAAACCTCAGATAATTTCAAGGTTATTTACCCAAGTAGAAGTATGTGGTGGGGTGGAATAATTGACTATTATACACTTGACTCACTTTGGTTCATCCAATTCCAAGGTTCTATGCCCATATAAAACTAAACTTTACTAAGTTATATCTCACCTAGTTTCAAGGCTATGAACTTGGAATAAACTTGGAATATTGAATATAATATCAAATTCTTCTAGCTATTGAAGGAATACATCCATAGTACCTACTTAGTCTTATTAAGAGTCTATAATAACATATTAAACGGACTCCGTTTTAAAACCCCGCGGAAGAATATAAAATGCATTCCGAGCCCCACCTAATCGACCGAGAGGCGTTGGTCATACTGTACATCAGGTGGAAATAGCGTAGTATACACAGTACCCAGTACGAATGACTATACGATATTTTATTCCTCACATGTGAACTGTGCCAGTACATAATGTTTACTACTTCGACTTCTTTTGCCCCTCCTTCCCCGCAATCATAACCTTAGAAAAAAGCACGTACCTACTACCATTTCTTCTATAAAATGAATACTAGAATATATTATATGAGCAGCGTAAATAGGTACACCATACTACCTCTGTTTCAATGTTTACTCCGATGTTTATTCCATGCCTAGTATAGGTAGAGCACGCTCTAAAGGCTCGGTACAGCCCTAAAGTTCATGCATTGTCCTATACAGTAATCAAGTATAAAATCATGACATAGAATATCTTGGCATGCAGTACACTTTCATCATCGTACAGGTCCACGGGTGTATTTGGAGTCTTAGGTTACTAAGGTTAGTATAAGTCGGCGTAGGTATATATAACTAATTGGTAAGAATGACATTGAAATACTATGAGGAATGTATCAAACAGTGCCCCAATCTCCGATATCCGGCCTTGAACAACGAATGATATTATCTGGGTTGCCGGGGATTGCCGCCAGTAAATCTAAACATTTGATATTTTCTTGTCTTTTTTAATAATAGGTTGATCATTGCCCATGAATTCTTCTAGATTTTATTGTGTTTTCACCTTGCTACTTAGGTATTTGGATATTCTATTTCTGCTGTATCGGGAGTAGTTGTCTCTGTCCTACCCGTACTCGTAATTATCCCCCTCTTATTACTCAGGTAATCCACACACGCCCCAACATTAGGCTGGACCCTCTCTCCTTTTCACTTCTTCCCTTTTTCCTTCCCCCCATCCTCCTCTAAATTACTGCCTCGTTGACTCGTGGTAGACTCATATCTTCTGAGGCTGCTTTCCTTGTAAGTTCTTGTTTCTTCGGTTATGAGAGGGAAAAAAAAAAAAAAAAAAAAAAAAAAAAAAAAAAAGCCCCCGATGATCCGGACTGCGGCTTTTTTTCTACTGTATCAGTTTATACTCTTACTACTGATTTTGTACCCATGAACCTCGAAGTTGTTCTCTTAATTGCTTGTGTCCTGGTTACTGATTTTTTTTTTCCTTCCTTCTTACTAGATTGCCTCTGATACCGGACGGATCATCGAACCCCCTGAACCATTCGCCGTTCGAAGCCAACTATGTCTTCGTACTATGAACCCCAGGGCTGGCAGGCTCCTACTGCTGTTGCGCGCCAGGTGTCGTGGGAGCAGCCTGTCCCTCCATCCCGTTCAGGTATGGCTTTTCGTGGTCACACTTCTAAAAAAAAAAAAAAAACTCATACCCGTGTTACAGGATCCAGCTCGGTCTCTCAACGTGAGGACAGCCCGGCTTTCTCCTCTCAGTTTGATGGTATGCAAAGTCGAGTTCCATTCCCTATTCAAATCCCTTTCCATCGATACGCCTTGTCGAGAAAGTCACGTCACACACAACTTGTTGAGAACATGCCATATCCGTTGAATAACATGACAACCTTGCAAGGCCTGGCTCGATTGTGGACTAGCCATTGATGATCATGAGAATTGACAAATACGATACTAATTTTCTTCTTTTAGAGGTCGAACGTGCTATCGACAATCTCGTCAAGAGCGGCAAATTATGGAATGCTCCCCGCCGGGATTCAATGCCCATGATGATGGGCCGACCCTATCCTGAATATGGTACGTGGTCGCGCAATCGATCCATGCCACGCAGACCCTTCTAATTTTCGACCGTGACAGACCCTCGTATGGGTGGCGGCGGCCCGCAGCGACACCATTCCATCAGCGAGTTCGAGGGCTCCCGAGCTCCTCCATCCGGCAATGCACAGGGTTTCTATGCCTCGCAGCGGTATCAGGGTCGTCCGAATGAGGTAGAACAGATGATGCAGGCAAAGCGTCGGATGGCGGCTCAGCGTGAACGGGAACTCCGCAACTATCACCAGGAGCAGCAGTACAACCGAAGTACGTGGTAGCGTGTGTTTTTTTTTTCTTTCTCTCTTCTTTTCCTTTCTCTTCTCCTTTTGACTATATTCCCCCGTCATCTTGGCCATTTCTTTGCATACATGTATCCGTTGGAATTGTATAATATATTGGTTTGCACATGGGTTTCCCCCTTTTTGGTCTTCTTTTTCCCTTTGAATGCTTCGGTTTTTAATATGTGATTTCTTTTTCAAAGGCCTCCTCGCCGAGATGTCTGCCAACAAATCCGATCGGTCCCTCAGCCCTGCTGCCGTGAGCGAAGAAAGCCGCCGAGAGCTTCTGGCTCGTCAGCACCGAGCCTTGTACGGCAACGAGAGCCCCGCCTTCTTCCCTCCTGGTCCCCTCCCCGATGAGAACTCGCGTGGTGAGAGCCAAGCAGCCAGTACCCCGACCTCTGGTGCTCGTGGGCCCTCCCCCCGTGGAGTGGACCCATTCGGTCTGTCCCAGCCTGGAGTTGATGCCCCCGCCCAACTGCAGTCCCCGCCCCGGGCCAACAGCACTTCCTCTCCCAGCTCCGCCATCAATGCCGCATTCCCCGAACCCGTCACCTCGACCTCGTCCCCCGGTGCCGACTCGACTTCCTCTCGCCAGACTGCCTCCAAGCCCAATGGCCCTATCGGCTCCGTTGGTCCCATCGGGTCTCGCCCCGTCCCAGGACAAACTGCCCCTATCAATCCCGCGCTGAACATGCGTTCGATCACCCCACTCCCGTCCCCCCTAGGATTTGGATTCAATGGCGAGGCGGCCGCTGCATCAACTAACGAGCGGTCCACGTCGTCTGCATCCAACCCCACTGTCACCACCACTAATGGCCCCGGAGCAAAGGATACCGTCACCTCTCCAGGCGTCGGCCTTGGCTGGAGCAATGGCAGTGGAGTCTGGGGCGCCAAAAGTGGCCTCGGAGTCCAAGCCTCCGTCTGGGGCTGAACTTTTGTTCCTTGTTATATTTTCAACTTTGATCTATATTTTGGGGGTTTAGGTTGGGGGTGCACATCTTTTTTTTCGACTTCATTCGACTTTGGGGATTTCCTCTTTTTCTTTTTCTTTTCTTCCCTGAGGCGTTATGCGCGAGATCTGGCATGCAATGCTGTGGTGAAATAATGGACCCTGATCATACGATACATACATGACAGAGGTAACTCTACCTGTCTTTGGAGCTTGAATTTATTTTTCTGGTTTTGTTTATTCTCTTCCATTCAGATTGGCGAGCTGTCCTGAATGGAAGATGATACTGGGGTTTTTGATTTTGACTTGGGTTCGGGAGTCGGTCTTGATTCTTGGCTGGTGTCAGGATCTGATTATTATTGTGATTTGATCGATGGAGGAAAAAAAAAAAAAAAAAAGAAAAACAAGGGGCGCGAAAGAAAAAAAACCCCGTGGTTTTTCGGCTTGCGCTTTTCAATTTTACTTGATTTGGTTTTCAGTCTTTTTCTCATCTGGTGCCATATGCGGATGGGATGGGTTGGTTTATATGGCGCTTGATTTTGATATTTCTGTGAGCCCTGAACACTAGAGCTCGCAGACTCTCATTTCTCGGTGTTCTTGTTTTGATCTGATGCAAATGTTCCACGGTTCTACGTCTATTTATCTGGTTTGGGGGGTTTTGGGTCTCTTGAAATTGGACCTGGTTTATTTACTTACTGTATCGATTTTTATGAACGGCAAAAACAAGAACAGTCATGAGGCTAGGTGTTGATTTTTCTATCATTTCTATTTCTCATTTTACATACGCTTTGAAGCTTCATGTCCATAGACGTCTCCTTTTTACGTGTGATAATCGTACGATGCCTGAGACGGGTTCAAAGGTTGAATTTAGCCGGCATTTTGCCGCCTGGGCACATATGCGGGACATATGCAGTTTAGGTAGTAGGTAGTTTGGAAAGGCAATGGTTGCACATGTCATTGGAAGAACGTTCAACGGTTCTCATCAATCCTCGTGTATATCATTCGTAGTAATCATCGAATAGAATTAAGAATTAACATCATAAATGCCCTAGGGCCACAGACCCCGAAATAAAACCATCCGTGGTATAATGTGATAGGATGTTGGTATGTACCTTGTCGTAAAAATGTATACTCATTCTCCTCCCCATCAACGTTAACATCATAACAATAGAATCGCAGCAAGTAGCAATGGCATCGATCCAGAGCAAGAACAAGAACGAGTAACCGAGTGTCAGGATTTCATGGTACAGACCACGTCAGACAGCGCTGGTATTAGTATTAGTCAGGTGCTCCTGGTTGCTAGGCTCAGTAGCACCAGGAATTACATGCTCAATCCGCTGCTTAGCAGTGAACAGACCCGCCACACCATTTTCCTGATTCTCACCAAGCCACGGCTTCCGGGCTTCAGCGAGTGCGCGACGACCAAGATAGTAGATTAGCTGGCCCACAATGATCAAGACGAAGGCAATAGGGTACATCCAGTGAATGTGGTAGTGGAAGACCTTGATGCCGATGCACACGCCCCAGAAGTTCATGGTCAACAGCGAGATATTGAAGAAAGCCGCAGACGAAAGTCGGAACATGAGAGGAGCAAGGATATAGAACAGAAAAAGACACAGCGTGAATCCGGTCAGGTAGCCGCCGACCTTGCCGTCCCAAGTAGATGTGTGATACTTGTGGCGCTCAAAGATGACCGATTGCACGCCGTCGATGAGGGTACCCCAGAATGACAGCTGGCCCAGAACTTCGTAGACGGGACGCTTACTGACGAAATACTCCTCTGCTGTGTTGGTCAGACCGTAGAAGGATGCTCCTAGGAGTGCGAAGAGGTCGCCTTTCAGCTGGTTGCCGTTCGTGACGTTGCCTCCGTTGGAACCGGTGATGTGGTCCGAGGCAATTAGGAGACCCATGCCGCCGATACAGATGAAGATGGCGATGATTTGGGTCCAGTGGTAGCGTACTCCTAAGAAGAGGAAAGAGACGATGACCACTACGACGATGGCCCAGAAGTTGATCAATTGCGCACTGAGAATTGTGGTGTAATCGTAAGCTAGCACGACGAAGTAGTTGCCTTGGACGTCACAAAAGGCCAGGATGAAGTCTGTAGCGGGATTAGTCCTTGTAAATTAGGGTTGCTGCAAAATATAACATACATTTCCAGCCATCCTTCCAGAGCAATTTGAACCAGCCCTTCATTCCATATTTATACATTGTATAAGGAGTGAAGAATGCCGTCAGAAGAATATAGTTGAGAATGGTTTGGAAGGTGGGAATGGACCAGTTCTCATTAGCAAGTAGGGTGGTAAAAGTACTAGTGGATGTGTTCGTGATAGCGAGTATTTGTCTATACGAAAAGCCGGTTAGACTTGATGATGTCTGACCGACGATGAAGAATACTCACCCTAGAACCAGGACTATATAGAATTCCTTGGTAGTGAAGTAAGCGAAGAAGCCCTTCTTCGTGTCAACCTGGTCCGCCACGACATGTTCATCCTCATTCTGAACAGCTGGAGCTGACACGGCTTCTTCCACCGTATCCTTGGACTGAGATGGAGGAGAGTAGGTATCAGAGGCCGTTGCCTGGACGGTGACTTCACCTTTAGAATCGGACATGCTGTCAAAAAGAAAAAAAGACCAAATAGAAAGCGGGGTTATTGATCAGTGATTTTTCACTTTACAGGAGTAAAGAGGATGGAATGCTGAGGGAGCTTTCTAGCCAATCTCGAGCGCAAAACTCCCAGAAGTCGCTCAACAATATCAGGGCTTTCAGGTGTATAGGAGAAGAGAAGATAGGAAAAGAAGAAAAAAAGAAGAAAAGAGGCTAGCAAAAAGTAAGAAAAAAAAAAAGGCATTAGAACTGATCTGGAACCTTTCCAAATCGGGAAATATTAATCGATAAGAACGTGCAAATCTGTAGCCAATGATAGGATGAACATCACGGACAAAAGTGGATACTTGGTCGATGCGATAACACATAGTAAAAAGTACGCACTTAAGTAATAGTTCTCAGGTGCATGCATGATCTTTAACATCGCTTTAATAGGAGGCTCCTAGGTTTATCAGTAATCAGGACTACAGGTTGAGATGGGAAGATGTATATTACATAGATTCGATTTGACTTCTAGTGTATTTGTTGATTGGAAGATTATTGATATTTTTACTTGTTGACTCTTGATCTTCCCCGCCATTTCTAAATTTATTCCAAGAATTATAGGCAATTTGTGATTTTGAGATATTATTCATTTCTTCATCAGCCTCCTAAATAGTTTAAAAAGAAGCAAAAGGTGTAGGTAAAGAAGTGTTAAATGTAAAATGGCCGAGGTCTGTCAGGTGGGTCCTTTCCCCCTGCTATTAATCATTCCTTCTTCGTCATCCTAATCCCCTCAGATTTCAACTCTTCCATCAACCTTCCCCACCGCATTTCAACACACTTGACGGCCTTCACACCTGGTGTATCACTAATTCTGGTGGTCCCCTGGAGTGACGTGCCCACCTACCGCCCACCCATCATTTTTGCCAGATCATGGCGCTGGACCTACTACAACCACCCGACGGTCGCAAACGGGTCAAGGTCTATGAGTTGAGAGACAGTGACTGGTTCGATCGCGGAACTGGCTTTTGCACCGGTCAGATACTAAATGTAAGCTTCTTCGCGATCTGCGCACTTGCCAGAGTCGCGCCGTTCGTCGCGCGACCCTGATCTCCCCGGGCGCATAAACGCTTCTCTTTTCTCTTCTTCCCGACCCCGTGTCACTAACCCACTACCCCCGATAGGACGTTCCTCGAATCTTTGTGGAATCAGAAGATCCACCAAATCGCGTCTTACTAGAGACCAAGATCACCAAAGATGATGGATACCAGAAGCAACAAGGTTTTTGTCCCACAATGGCCACTTGGTCGTCCCACCAGATGTGATGATTCGTTTAACTGACTGTATGACGCGACAGAGACCTTGATCGTCTGGACAGAAACAAATGGCATTGACATGGCACTCAGCTTCCAAGAAGCAGAAGGATGCGCGGTCATTTGGTGAGTTCAACTCTAATAATATCGCGCGCGTGTTTCCCCCCGAGACTGACCCAGCATACAGGGATTTTGTCCACACCGTGCAGCAGCATCTACTCAGCTGTGCGCCGCCCGGTAAGTTGGCGTCCTCGTTCAGAGAAGAAGACCTTCGCGAAAGTCTAACGGGCTGTTATTCCTTTTCCCCGCGGCCAGACGACGCGCTTTCAGACGACCTGGATGCCTATCAACCCATCATACTACCGGCCCCCAGTCTCGGAAACCTTCTCGATATCGAACAGACCGTACGAGCAGCGAGTGTGACGCAATTAGGTCGCGACGCGCTCACAAAGTTTATCATTCGCGATGACTACATCGGCAAGCTAGTTCCTCTGGTCACCGAAGCCGAGGATCTGGAGAGTTTAGTGGATCTTCATCGTCTCTGCAACATTATGAAATCTTTGATCCTGTTGAACGACAATGCCATCATTGAGACTGTGGTTGCCGATCACATTATCTTGGGGGTGGTCGGGGCCTTGGAATGTACGATCTGAATCCTCGTTTTTGAGATTGAGTGTGCAATTTGCTAACATCAATGCTCATAGATGATCCCGAATTTCCCACCCACAAGGCAAATCATCGTCAATATCTCGCAGACCAGTCGCGCTACAAGGAGGTGGTTCCCATCAAGGACCCAGTGATTCTGAGAAAGATCCGGAGTACCTGGCGCCTACTATACCTGAAGGATGTGGTATTGGCTCGAATTTTGGATGATCCAACCTTCTCAGTGCTCAACTCCCTGATATTCTTCAACCAGATGGAGATCGTCAATCACATCCAAGGGAATGGACCCTTCCTTCGCGAGCTCTTTTTCGTCTTCGATCCGAGAAATACCGACACCAAGCGCAAGGACGATGCCGTGCAATTCCTCCAACAATGTACGTCGATTACAAAGAATCTACAGGCCCAGGCGCGTGCCCAGCTATTCGCCAATTTCATCAGTCATGGTCTATTTGCAGTGATTGCCTTTGCCGTCAAACACCCAAACCCAGCCATGCGCACAACAGGAATTGATATTTTGGTCTCATTACTGGATCATGATCCTGTGATGATGCGAGGATACATGCTCAAGGCTGTCAACGAGAAGAAGACACCTCTTACAGATACTTTAATCGATTTACTGCACACGGAGACTGATCTGGGAGTCAAGAACCAGCTAGCTGACGCCATTAAGATTCTGCTTGATCCTCAGATTCCCCTGCAGGACCCGATTGCCCGGGCTGGACCCGATTATTTCAAAGTCCGTCCGCCAACATCTATCATCTCCGACGCATTTGTCCAACAGCATTTCGATGAATCTTCCAAGCGTCTTTTTCAACCGCTCAAGCATCTCGCCAACCGTGCGAATCGTGAGTCTAGATCGGTGTCAGCTGCTTGGTCAAGACATTGAGAACTGACTGTATACATAGTTAATGACCTAACCTTCCAAGAAGTGACGCTTTACTCGCATCTGGTGGACATACTCACATTTTTTGTCCGTCAACACCTCTTTCGCACTCGCAATGCGATTCACAGCGAATCACTTGCGCCTCGAGTCGCACAGCTTCTTACCGCTCCTCAAAAACACGTGAAGCTGGGTAAGTTGGGCTTACAATCAAATCTATTCTTCCGAAGCTAACATCCTATCTTTCTTTACCTAGTTGCCTTGAAGTTTTTCCGCACGTTGATCAGCCTCCAAGATACCTTCTACCAGGCCCTTATGACACACAACAACACATTCGGTCTCATCTTAGACATCGTCTACGAATCAATGCCACGTGATAACTTGCTCAACTCCGCCTGTCTCGAGCTTTTCGAGTTCATCAAACGAGAAAACATCAAGCCCTTCATCACACATGTGGTTGAGAAGTATCGTGATAAGCTCGAAAAGATCACCTATTTCGATACGTTCCAGTCCTTAATTGCTCGATACGAGCAGATGCAGGGTTATGCTGCCGAGGCCGACTCGGCCCTGTTTGGCACAGACGAACGATCGCGGAGAGTGCCCTTGGGTGCTCAACGTTGGCAGGGTGTGAAGGAAATGGACGCTGCTGAAGCAAGCTACTTTGATGGCCCTGACGATGAGGATCAGGTAGGTTTTTTGTCGAATCTTGCCCTCTTTCCCCTCGTCAAACTCGCGTACTAATCAGTCTAGTGGGTCGCACAGATCTATCGACAAAAACCGACTAATGGATCCGAATCTCCAGTGGTTAAACCGCTCGTTGACTATCCGGATGACGACGATGAAGACGATGATGCTATGGATACCAAATCCGAAGGTGTTACTGATCAGCCTTTGCAAGCCCAGTCGTTAGATGCTGTCGATAACCCATCAACCTTACCAGTTCTTCCAGTTCTTCCAGTTCCTGAGCGGCTATCTGAGAAGCGTCGCCGCGAGGAGGAGGATGATGATGAACTGGTGAAGTTGGCTGGGTTAGGGCTCAAACGGAGAAATTCTAATAGTAGCAATTCCAGCACGGCAGGCGCCAATCGGAAGAAGACCATGACAATCGGCTCATTGGACAAGAGCGGCAAACCACCCAAGCGAATCGCCATTAAAATGGGATCAACAAACCAGTCTGCTATTCCAAAGAGCCCATCGTCTGAGGCAGTGGTTACCCAAGAAGGTTCTGAAAAAGAGGGAGAGGAGAAAGAGAAAGAGAATCGAAACGACAGTCGAGTTGATGAAGGCAAATGAGTGCTTTCAAACTCTTCCACCCCTGCGTGTTGATTGCCAAATTATTATTCGCTCTATCCTTGACAACTTTCATCATTCATTGTTTTTTTTTTTTGAGCTCAACGTGAGCTTCTGGTCAGGGTTCCCACTCTGCAAACGTTCTCCCACAGCTATTTGGCGATATTTATCATGGTCTACGTTTTTTTTTTTCTTCTTTTCTTTTTTTTTCTTTCTGCACAACTTTTTATCCTCACTGGAAGCATGAGCTCCGCAGCGGTCTCATACCTGCGTTGTATTTTTTATGGGATTATGGGATGTTGTATATTGCGCTTTGCCGGCGTCTGGGCAATGCATAAGGAGCCTTGGACCTTGTCGTTTTCTCGGGCATCAAAACCAGGCATAGGGGAGGAGCTAGGGGTTTGGGGCGGATGGAGTTGATTCTATCCGAGCACGGCATTTTTATGATAACATCAATAAAAGTATGGATATCACGGATTACCACCTACAGTAGAGACCAGTATCCACCTAACGATAAACCTTGGACCTCCATCATCCTGTTCTCGCTACTGTTCAGATCCTGCCCATATAGGTTGAAAGGTCCTCTTCCAAATCGAATTGTTAGCCCTAGAAACTTGAGACTAGACCATTGGAAAAGCAAGAACAGAATTGACAAGAAGCGACTTCAAATTTGAATCACCTAGCTAAGTATCATTATATTCGCTGTATTTTCCCTCAAAAGGTCTCCGACATCTTCGAGATGGCGCTACAATCTCAATGTTAGTCATAGCCCTGGAGATGCAGAATACTCTCGAGTCATCGAAATCCGCGGTGTCTATTTTTCATAAATCTGCACCTCCTCATCCTGAGCAGATGGATTATCCAGTGCATCGATAGTCATGTCAGATCGAGGACCGGTAAAGTTCTTCCGTCCGTCAACAATCCACTGGAACACAGAAATGATGATTATAACGGCAAATGCAGCAATGCAGTAGTCTATATTTTTTCGAACGTTAGTCAAGAGATCAAATCTCGTTTTTTCAGTGTCCGTAATGGATACGTACTCATGCTACTTCCAGTGACGGTGCTTGATGGAGGGAACACGAACAACACAGTTGTCAAAGCGATATATGCCAAAGAAACCTGGAGAATTCCAGTAAATTTCAGTAAAGAGGTATTTTTTGAAACCTGGGATCGCTTGAATTAAACTTACCAAGTCAACAAACCATCCTACGGCGTTGGGCAGCTTGAACTTTCTATCCGGGAGAGCTCTGCGTCCTTGGAGGATATTGACAAGAATTGGTATTCCATATGATAGATCTAGAGCCACCACTGATGCAGAAATAATGGCATTGAATGCACTAGTTGATCAGAGTTAGCTATAGGGTCATAATTGAGTGGTAACTGCAGCCATACCTCGAAGAACCTAGGAAGATACAACCAAAGCAGATAACCACCACAACAGTCAAAATGAGAGCATTGAGTGGTAGCCTGAGGGTGGGGTGGATAGTAGCAAAGAGCTTAGACGCTGGAAGTCCACCATCTCTTGCGAAGGCGTAGATCATTCTGCTGCTGGTTGTCATTACGCTCAGGATTGCAAGAATCAGGCAAATAATGGGCAACATTAGAAGACAGATTGCGCCTGCATTGCTTTTTGTGGCATCAATTAAGATCTGAAGAAGGGGTCCAGCTGCAGAAGTGGTAATTGTTGTCATATCTCCTGCCACGAAGAGCAGGACCATTAGGAAGATAAAGCCGGTAAAGGTACCGATTACTACACATGCTACCATGATCTTTGGCCCTTCAACTGATGCATTTGGAACCTCTTCAATCATGTGAGCAACAGCATCCTAGTGAAAATCAGCATATTTTCTTAACTCATTCTTTGATCTGACTTACGAAGGCTGTCACACCGAGTCCTCCTTGTAGCAACTTTGACTGACGGTTAGCTCCAAATCTTTTGGTCTATCTGCAATGTAACCTACTCCAAGCAGCCAGGAGACACCATCAGGCCCTATTTAAAATTAATCAATTGGTCTTTTTCGTCGTCATGGTGAATACTCACAGCCTGTTGTGTTGACAAATTTGCAAAAGACAAAGCTGCGATATTAGCCGAGATTTCCAAGGATTGCAAAAAAAAACATACTAGGCTGAGTTGTAGTTAGGAGAGGCACACGCCAATACAGTGATGCAAATGACGATGAATCCACCGATTGACCACGCGACTAAATGAATTTAGCTATGTTAGATTATCGAAGGAAGTTTGAAAATCTTACAGGCACCGCGATAGATTATTGGAAGGATGGAGTTCATAAAGGCATTGACTAAGAAAACTCCTAATGTTAATCCAACATAGATGAGGAACTCTTGCCATCGTTGTGGCGAGTAAGTCTGATGAAAATGTCAATTGATATCGCGAGAAGTGAGATTCAAGCTTTCTTACCGGGTGCATGGCTGAAATGATACCCACAACGAGTTGACTAGCGAGCAGTGAATTGGTTGCAACGAGAGCAACCTATTTCACTCAAAGGTTTCTATTAGTGTATGTCCCAAACACGTCTTTGAATTGGTCGTACCCATCCAGCAACATTGACCCAACCTGTAATCCAAGAAAGAGCAGAGACCCATCTTGGCCACGCGACTATAATGTGTTAGAAGAAATTATAGTGAGATTATAGGGAAAGAAAGCATACTGGCTAGAAAATTAAGTCAGCATCATACTATGATTCTCTGGTTCATGCTATTCAACTTACCTGCAACCCAATGATATTGTCCACCAGCACTATGAAGCCATGTAAGTTGCTGTACGCATCGAAAGCATAATCTCGAGACAAACGTTGGGTAGGCGGAAAGAAATTCGGCCAAAGAAGCAGCAATGCAAAGATTACAAAATCCAGCAGTCACCAGGCCTGTCACTCTTGTGAGTTCCTGGGTACGCAGTCTATAGTTCATATTGCCGACTTACCCCAGATTACGCTAGTGCTCCCACCAGATGTAAGACTGATTGATAAACTGGCTGATAGTGCGGTCCATGACTAGCGAGATGTTAGTCTCTCCATCACTCCACAGGGAATTGGAAATATTCCACAAACATTAAGTACAGAAAACGCCAATCCCAGCATTGACCTGAAAAAAACATCCTCAGGGCATGATCTCTTACATCAATCTTGCATTTTTAAAACATACCATGTAGAATATTGACGCTTCAGCTCTTGCTTATGACCCATAGCAGCAAGCTGCGTATCATCATCCTGTAAGTGGTCTTTCATAGTTGGAAAAACGCGTAAAAAGATCAAAATAGATAAAGCGGCCTAGTAAAAGTGTAAAGATTCCAGCAAGAGACGATATCAAAGTAGCTATACAGCACGAAGTATACATCGGGAAAATACCGGCCATCCAGCAATCTCGGCTTTACTCGGTTCCGATAAGGATTATCGATTTCCTTATCTTCGATTGTCGCAAGTACCTTCCTAAACCCGGTTAGTGTCGTACGGCAATGCCTTAGTGTGATCGAAACAAGGTCTTGTACATAGTCACAATGTTCAAGAGTGGATTAAGTATGGAGTAGAGAAGAACCAGAACCATGGTACGGAGTAAGGAGCGCTTATGTGGATGTTTGGCGTTTATAAGGCTAGGGCTGAAGGATTTCTAGTCGTATATAACTACTGAGCTCCCTTTAAGCTTCTCCTATCTCCATTTGGTTAGACTCGTTGTAGCTTGTAATGCAAAACGAGAAATGAGTATTAAAATGTCAATTTTGTATCCTAATAAGTAATTGTCCATAGGTTGATAGCCCGCTTTCTGAAGGTGTTTCCTCTAGGGCCTGTTACCCTAAGATCAGAACGTCACATTCTCATACCTATGGACCTAGTCAAAGTCCGCTATCCTCTTTACCCTATCATGCGGTTGCTTCATTATAAATCACTCGCCACAGCAACTACAATCCAAATCGGATGTAGGCCAACATTGACTATCACAGCTACCTTGAGCACTGCGAATATTGGTATTTTCACTGTACCACCTGGGTAATAGCAGGTAAATGAACGAGTGATCCCTAATTACTCAGTAGGTGTTTTATTCAGATCTGCCCAGGTGTAATATCCATTCACTTCACTTGAGGTATTCCAAGGTTCCAAGTTTACCTGTGTACCTGTGTACCTATTTCACCATTAGTGTAGTGATATAAAAGGAACGCAGGGATAAGCCGTATTCGGACATGCAACTAAATTCCAGGGTTGTCAGCTCAGGTAACTTGAGTACATACACACGATGGTAATGATTACCTTGCTCATATTGCTGCTGGGTCAGATGGGAGCACATAATGCCGTCAAGCAGATTACAGTCCTGAATTAATTATAGATGCATAAAAAGCCAAATCAGCTAAAAGAGAAATACCGACTACGAGGTTTGCTTGGTTCTTTCCGACTATCCGTACACTATTTAGTAGAAGGTTAAATCTTAACCAATCAGAACTCTTGACAGAAGTGGTAGTATTCGTGTAGTTTATAACAGCTATTATTAACCTGTTTTTCTGACTAGAAGAGGACTTGTATAGGAAATATATCTGTCCGTAAACTTCAGCTTTCTGACTGATACTTTACACTACAATATACGTGACTAGGTCAGCATCAAGCTTCCTCGTCTTCATCCTCTTCCGTCTCCTCTTCTTCTTCATCCGGGAATGTGCATAGCGGGCGGCGAGCTGTTGTCTGCCTGGCAACAAGTGCAACTAACGCATCATTTTCTCCACGTGCTAACGAAGATCCCTTGAGGATGTCCTTATACTCATGTCCAAGCTCTTCGACAAGAGCTTTCAGCATGTTTTTTGGGAGATAACGGCCAGGTGTTCCCCAGTATTGTTTTCCGCTTTCAGCACACAGAATTTCTGAGGCTTTGTCTTGCGAAGCTTCGTTCTAGTCTACGAGATATCGATGCCAATTTTAGAGGTAGTAAACAGCCGCATGAAGCTGACTCGAAGGGGCCGTCCTTTTCTACTTTCATCCAGCTTACTGGCACGGTTGTTAAGGATCTTTTCTGTGGCTTCGTGTGCTTTAATTTGCTCTAAGAGTCTTTTTGCCTCCTCGGTATGTTCCCAGTCGATATCTTTCCCAGTATAGCTGCCCTGAGAAATCGATATCTCTACCCGCTTGGTTGCTGCTGAGATGTTTGCGATCTTTGCGCCTTGTTGGCAATATTGCTGATCAAACAGACCGGTAGGTTTCCAAATATGCCGTTCTTTGAGAACTTCCTTGTCAAGATTTAGCTTACGGCGCTTCAACACCTCGATATCTGCAACTGAAACATCCTGGTCGCTTTCGGACTGATTGAGCCGTTGGAATGATGGCATTAAGTCATCCATGCTGAGAATTTTGGAGTGTCGTTGTGATAAGAACTAATTGGAAAGAAATGGCAGCTACTAATACAACTAGTACTAGTCCTCATTAGGCTACGATACCTAATGTTAGAGCCAATCAGAGTCGAGAACATGATTCGCTGCACACGGCTCCACCCTTTTCTCAACGTTCAACTTCATCGAAGTAAACGCATTTCCAATAATCTCCTATCAAACCTGACGTAATTTATTGTTAGTGAATGCTCAGCTGAGTCGGCTCATACTGTTTCAGATCCTAAGATCTAATTAAATCTCACAGGTCATTCAACACAGTTCAATGCCAATTAGCACAACAATCTAGGTATAAGCAGAAGCTCAGGCATTGACAACTTGGAACTTTGGAAGCAAAAAAAAAAAAAAAAAAAAAATGAAAGCTCAAGTGACTCAAAACACCTTCTGCACCTATACAGGGCCACCAGAAGAGGTGGACACAACAATTTTCTTCATCTCCGGAAACCCTGGCTTGATAAGTTACTACCACCCATTCCTATCCCTGCTCGCAGAGAACTTAGCAAAGGCCTCTGCACAAGAAAATGGAGATGCAAAATACGGAACGAACCCACCCTCTTTCCAGATCTATGGATGTAGTCTTGCAGGCTTCGAGGTATATTCCAAGAATGACAAGTCATCCGTATCTTCGGCGGACTCCAGAAATGAAGATAGCGGCGGAAGCTCCGGACCGTACGGACTAGAATATCAGATCCAATTCGTCCGCGAAAGACTAGAAGCACTTATGCGTGAAAATATCGCTGCTGATATACGAGCTGCCGAGGAGACCGGTGCCCGCCCGCGTCGACGAAAGGCCATTCTTCTCGGACATTCCGTCGGCACGTACATGTCTATGGAGATACTGCAGCATCACCGTAACGAAGTCGTTCAATCTGAGCAGCCTGGACACTCGCGTGCACTCTTTGATATCGTTGGCGGTATCATGCTGTTCCCGACTGTGAAGGATATTGCGCATTCGCCTTCTGGGCAGAAGTTGACGGTATGACTATGGACGGCCAAAAGACGATCGATCCCCCACCTGGGCATTCGGCAGTACACCAGTCGATTTCAAAAAGCTAATATTACCTCCTAGACTCTTGTCTCGCTTATTCCGCATTTACCTATTATCGTGAGCCTTTTTGCTCGATTGCTTACCTTCCTCTTGCCGGTCTCTGTGATCCGGTTTCTCATTCGCGCTGTAATGGGCAATTCACCTCCTCATGGTCTAGAAACAACAATCAAATTTCTAAAGAGTCCTGGTGGAGTTCGACAGGCACTGTATGCTTTCAGCTTTCCCTGTGTCTACCTTTTTTCCATTAATGGCTAATTTGTCTTATTACTATAGGCACATGGCTGCAGATGAGATGCGGACCATCACAGCTGATAAATGGACCGACGATGTCTGGGGACTTGATCATCAGGGTGGTCATATTGCGAAAATGTTCTTCTATTTTGGACGGAAGGATCATTGGGTCGCTGAAAAGACGAGAGATGAGATTGTGGCGATTCGTGGCCGAAAGGATGGACTTGGTCCAAGGATGTTTGTCTGCGAAGAAGGACTTCCGCATGCTTTTTGTTTGAGTAAGTTATTTCATATGATCCCCGAAATCGGGTTGAAGTGGTGTGCTAATCGCCTTGTAGAATATAGTGATGCCATGGCTCGTAAAGTGGCTGGGATGATTCGGGATATTGGACGAGGTTAAAGACTACAAATAGAGATAGACGAGATTCAGGAAAGTAGAGTCTGCAAAAGGGTATTTTTGGCATAATAATAGGCTAGGATGAAGACTACAATACAGAAAGCTGATGTATTCTGATTGGGTATCTCAAAGGGGACATGATAGAAGCCGATGATCTTTCGTGACAATCCAGGTGAAAACTCATGAATCCGACAGTCTAAGTCAGACCTGCTCGTTGAAAAAGATTTCTCAGCACATCTGTTTGTGGCTGTGGCGGTTCTGGGGGAGAACGCTCGAGCTGTTGAGATTCATGATGAGCACGAATGCTCCATTCGTCATCTTGGGCTCGCTGCTGCCCGAAAAGATCCTTCAGAGAAGGTTCTCTTCCCATAGGTTGACTTCTATAGAGCTCTTCCAGCGGTGGGATGACTTGCATCTGCGCTGCCAACGCAGCCGCATGTAGTCCATTCTGCTGCGCGGCCTCGAAACGCTCCTTCGCCAATTTTAAACTTTGTCCTGCATGGGCGGCGCATTCACGGATAAGTTGGGCGTTGATTGTTCTCATGTCCGCAGTGGAGTTGGGTGGAGGCTCAGAGTAAATCCAAATACCGTAAATTCGTAAACTCGAGCCCGAGCCATTTTGCTGGGCAATCTCTGCAATGCCGTTTTGGGATTGCGCGCTGTCTTCGTCTTCTTTCAAGATGACATATTCCTCGGTCAATTCCACATTCTCGCTATCTGTAAGCGGGAGGTCAAAGTTTGTAAGCCCGCGTCTGTTCAACACGAAAGCTGTGTATCTATCTTCACCAAGCGCACCAGGAGCTAGTGTGCAGACAAACAGACTGCCTTCTATGCCGGTTTTTTCCCATTGGCGCGTCGTTGGACTGAAGATGTACACGACGGCATAGTTTGCGAGAGATAGAATAGAGATGATAGAGGTATTATGGCGACGCAGAACTGCAAGGTTCAGCTCCTCGTTCGAGCGAAGTGGTGGAGGGGCGGGTTGGGCTTGTGGATTCGACGCATCGTAGTATTGAGCGTCAGACTCATAGTCTGCGAAATTTGTGGTGTGGCTATTGTGGTTATTGTTGGGATGGGGTTTGTGAAGCGCCATGATTGCTGAGAAAGTGATGAAGTGAGCGAGTAGACGCTTTCATTCTGGCAAGAAAGCGCTTGGGCAGTAACCGCTGCCGCCTTTTACGGATTTCCGCATATCGTCATCGCTAGATCTCGCCCCCCACTTCCCTTCTCTAATATCTAACCACTTCTATTCAGTTGAGGTCATTTAAAGTCCTAAGATCTCTGTGGATCAATTCATTTGAATTGCTATCTGATTTACCACTTGACTTTTCGCCCACTCGTGAGATTTACACACCTTTCTACATCTTACGACGCGTGCATTATGTCGAACCTCGCTCTCCAGCCCTTGCCTACAATGACTGACCAATAATTGCCTTCACTTTTGCTCCTATCACTCATCTTCTTCCCAATATCAGCTCGCTGTATAACTGCTACGAGTCCAGAAATAAAGCCTTCTCTTCCGCAAGATAGAGAACCGTCCAGAGCCAACATACCTCAATTCTATGCAAATTGGATATACATTCCCCTCGTCGCATTCCGTAAACGATTCTCATCGCGTCATGTGCAACTTCTCTATTCAATAATCAAAATCACCACTTTCTTCAATTCAACATGAGCGCTAAGGGCCCTAACGCGGGGACATTTTCCGTTCCCGATTCGACAGATTATGCGAACGAGGATGTCGACTCGGATAACCCAAATCTCGACTTTCTATCGTTGTCACGCGCAGTCAAAGAAAGAGAAGCGGAATATACTCGTCGGCGCACGATACGAGTGAGAGTTGGCACGTGGAATGTCGCGGCTATTTCCGGCACCGAGAAGGATATTGGGAAGTGGTTCGTGGAAGGTCAAGGTGTGTGCGAGAAGTTTTCTGATGCAAAAGGCATAGACTCTCAAAATGCCGGTGCATCGAACAAGCATTCAGGAGAAAAGAAGGATAAACCATTTAAGTGTAACCCGGAGAATATTGACCTTTACGTCCTTGGCCTTCAGGAAGTTGTCGATGTTTCATCGCCAGCAGAGGCTTTACGTCCCTATACTGATGCTGGGCCTTCAAATCGATGGAAAGATGCAGTCCAAAAAGCACTACCACCGGGGTACCGGCTTGTCTCGGATGTCCAACTTGTTGGATTGCTGCTTCTCATCTTCGTATCCCCGGCAATTGGAGATAGTGTGTCTTCTGTCAGCAGCTCCTCCGTTGGAACTGGATTAATGGGATACATGGGCAATAAAGGAGCCGTTGCAACTCGTCTCGTTCTTGGTGAAACTACACGGTTGGTCTTTGTGAACAGCCACCTCGCCGCAGGTGCAGACAAAGGTAGCTTGGAGCGTCGCAACTGGGATGCATCTCAGATTACTTCGCGCTTGAAATTCAGTCCAGCATATTTAGGGGACGAGACTCGGGATGATTCGCTTGAATCTCTTGGTGACGAGGATCTTACTTTTTGGTTCGGCGATCTCAACTATCGACTCAGCGATATCCCGGGTGACGATGTTCGACTAGTTCTTGCTCGACACTGTGAAAATGCGCATGACACTGCCTTCGCGCAGAAAGAGTCAAATAATAGCCGGGGCTCCCAACCTTCGTCTCTCGACGAACGACGACCATCGGTTACAGAAGAAGCCGGGTGGCCAGAGGCGGTCACTGATGAAGAAATCGATCCGCACAACGATCCTGCCTCATTGCAAACAACCATATCGTCCCTCATTGTTCATGATCAGCTTCAACTTCAGCAGAAGCAGGGAAAAGCCTTCCATTCAGGATGGAATGAGGGCCATATTTCATTCTTACCAACGTACAAATATGACGTTGGTAGTGTGGCTATGTTTGACTCGAGCGAGAAAAATCGGGGTCCCAGCTGGTGCGATCGAATCCTGTATCGCACACGACGTGACAAACTGAAGCACGAGCAGCGTGTTAGAGAAGCTGAGGAGGCCCGGATAAAAGATAAGGAGATGGAAGATCGTGGGCTGGACAAGGCAGTTGCTGATGATGACGTCTTGTTCGACTACGACCCTGATGTTGATGGCATTGAAGTTGGGAGCGTAGGAGAGTTCAGCTCGGATGAATCCCTATCACGTCTGCCCTCGGTTGCATCATCGGAGGCGACAGATGAGATAATTCGTCTGAATCACTACATGTCGCATCAGAGAATATTATCTTCAGATCATAAACCTCTAGATGCTATATTCACCTTGGTATATGATGCGGTGAATCCCGACCTCAAAGCTAAAGTCCACCAAGAGGTCGTTCGGGAGCTGGATAAAGCCGAGAACGAGGCGAGGCCTGGACTGACGGTCGTCGTGGACCAGCATCACCACCACGAGCAAAACACGAAACAAGATCCAAACGCTGTTCACTTTGGCGACGTCTGTTTCGATGTGCCTAATCATCGGTCACTCACTATTGCCAACACTAGCGGGGCTCCGGCCACATTTTCATTTGCAGAACGGCCTAGCCTAGGTGATGCGCATAAGCCAGAAACTCTCTCTTGGCTTGATGTTCAAGTAGACCGGTCCAATGAGCTTGAGCACACAGAATCTGTTAATATTTCCTTTGGAGTCAGCCATACGCTGCTTCCAGGAGAAGTGGCCAACGTGGTTGTCACAGCTTTCGTGCGCAGCATAGAGCACGTACGTCTTCTCAACATTAGAAAGGCCAAGCTAGAAGAGATCCTGGTTCTTCATGTTGATAACGGTCGGGATCATTTCATTTCTGTCAGTGGAAATTGGCTTCCAACTTGCTTCGGCTGCAGTGTTGACGAGTTGACTCGCATGCCCGAGGCAGGTGCCCGCAGTCTTGCATCATCTAGTGTACCGAACCCATTACAGAAGACAGATGAAGTACGACTGTCCGCACCGCGGGAGCTTTTCCGCTTAACTGAAGCAATTTCCGGATTGACAGAGCGTGCTATCGCGGAATGGAGCATGACAACCAGCGATTCTGGAGTAGAAGCACCCTGGACAATTCATCCGGGCTGGCCATTCCAACCCGATGCATGGACGCTGCAGGATCCATACGAGCGTGCGCATTTGTCTGCTTTAGTGCGCGAGTCCCTTGACACTAACGAGTCTCTTTCCAAGATCTTTCCACCAGAGATCTCATCTTTGCCCCGTCTGGAGATCTTATCCGAGACCCTCCTGACATTCCTCAATTCACTAAGTGATGGCATTATTACTGCATCCGTCTGGCAAGACATGGAACAGCAGATGATCGCAAGCGAGAAGGCCAAAGTTCCACCCCGCTCCTGGGAAGAAATGCAGGGCTGGGTACTCGAGAGCCTGGCCTACTCGCCAGCCCACAGCGTCTCTTTCACATTCGTCACTTTCATGTTAGCGCGGATCACAAATGAGGTTACTCCAATACCATCCACACAACCGATATCACCGCTATCCAAGTCCAAGCACAAAAAGACCAAATCAAACGAATCCATGAAATCCCAAGATCAGCCTCCAGCAGAGGAAGTCGTATCTATGCCAACACCTACTTCAGAATCCTCGGCAGCCTTTACCTCTGCTGGGAGTTTCCGCCGCAAATCTCGCTCGGCGACTGTATCATCAATCTTATCTTCTTCCTCAGAATGGCCCGCTCCCGCTGTCACGCCCAAAAACCCACTCGCTGTTCGTCGGCAGGCAGTTGAAGCATCTTTGGCGACTATCTTTGCGCGTGTGCTCATTTCTCCAGCCGTTCCGACCTCGCCAAAGGAGAAAGAGCGGCGTGCAGCTGATGAGCGGAAAAGGAGCGTTATAGAGCCGTTCTTGAAAATGATTGGTGTTGATGAGCGTGGGCCTTCCGGTGGCCGGTAATTATGTACAGTATAAAAACGGTTGTGTTTATATCGTTTTAATCATGAGATGAAGGAGGTACCATTTCGAAATCTTGTTGAACTGTGCCATGCGTGTTATACATATGGGGAGGTTTAAAAAATTAGAGGTAGAATTTGATGTGTTTAGTAGACAAGAAGCTGAGGAATGTGGACTCAAATTAAGGTCAGGCCGTGGAGATACATCATATACATTCCGATTCCATATCCAATGTCATGCATATCCCATACCGCCATATTCCAAGATTCATAGATTCAAAGCCCAAAAAGTTCCATTTGAAAGTGATTGATATGCAACAAGGGAGATAGAAGGCGCTTCCTAATATACATTCGAGCGAGAAGTTTCCATGGAAACTGGAGTCTGCATCTGCCTCGGTGGGGATAATTGAGCCCGGGTTTTAGATCCTCGCAACACTTGTACAGATTTGCCTTTCGATGATTTGGATCGCGGGTGTGAGACAGTCTTGCGCCGCCAGCCTATCATATTTTTTGCTGCATCTAAACAGCGGCTCGTGATCCGACCGGGCAGATTTAGAAGCGAGATGGCGAACTGGGAGGGGACAACAATACACGCACAGGCCCAGTCAATCAGGACCATGGCATTATTTTGGCGCTTGGATGCACTTGAGCGCTGTGCAGCGGCGGCCAGGGCAAGGGTGTCACGGGCCTGTGATTCGAGTGAGTGGTAGCGAGTATCACACTGGAGGGAGCTGAAAGCGAGGCGTTTTTCATATCGACGTACGGCACGGTTTAGTGCCTCAATGTCTGGTTGTAGGGCTCTGCGGGCTTCGACCGAAGCTTGTATAACGATGGATGGAGCATCGCTTGGTTGTGTGGGAGATGGCGTGAGTTCGTTTTCAGATGTTGCATTGAGCCGAGCTGCTGCTGTTTCAGCGACGTGGGCTTCTAGTTCCTCGAGGCGTTTTGTGAGATCTTGGACTTTGCTAGGGTCGATGTGGTCTTCAGATGAGGAGGCTACTATCCGCTGAAGGTGAAGGGTTCGTGCTTGTACGAGCTTGAGAAGATGGGCGAAGGGGCGTACTTCCGCTGCCAGGAGGAATATGGTTAGGTTATAGTTCGAAACTAGACCTTCTGATGGACGAGATAGACTTGATCGGATGGCATGGAGTACCCATGTGCCGATTATGGGAAAGATGAAGCACGAAGCTAGGGCAGCGAGTTCATGGATCAATAGTTCCCTGCTCGCTGTAGCTCCAGCAGATCGCAGATTCTTTGGACGCTGCTGCGTAGATTCGCCTTCATCGGCGCCATCTGCTTCCTTAACGGGTTCATTGACATCGCTCTCTGGTTCTTGCTGTACTGCTTGGGCTGAGCGATACCAGTCCCTATACAGTTAGTTTCCGTCTTGACTTTTTTTTGGAATTATGACGTACCACGGCAGTCGAACAGACCAATTGAGGAATATGGCGGCCAGCACCAACAATGTCACGTCTGTAACAAAGGCGCTTCCATCCTTGAACAAGATACCTGCTATGGCGGGGAGCAGAGCCAATGCAAGTGGTGTCGAGTGCCAGTGAGATTCTTCCGTTGTCGGGTTCTCACTCCGCAACCGTGGAAGGAACAAATCATCTGTAGAAGATCGAATGGAATTTCGAGCCTCCGAGATCGAGTCTGACAATGTAGAGTTACGACGTTGAGGCCAGTCGGGCATCCCTTCGGTGCTGGTACGCGAGCGGAGACCTCGACGACGAACTTGAGTCGGCGCATTGCGAGGAAATGTGGCGAGAGGGGAAGAAGATAGGGATGAAGGTCCTGGATCGGTCCCCATGACGTGAACGATCTAAGTTAAAAAGAGTAAAAGTTTCCCGGTTTGGCTGTAGGAGTTCATGCGGTCGCGGGAAGTTGAAGGTACGTTTTGCGGTTGATTATTGGTTGGTGATACATAACTCACCCTCTACATTCATTTTGGTCCGCTATTCAAATATTGGACTTGACAGAGATGGATGAAATGGATTTCAGTTGGTAATACTGACAATCAATTCTATTCATAATTTTAGGGTGACACCCGTACTTCAACCATGGGTCACTCTAACCCTTTTAGAGGCTCAATGGAGCTATACAATTTGGTACTCTATTGACATCCAAATGCATCACCTCGTCCTCCAAAATGCTCAATTCGGATTCCTTTGTCTCTAATAGTCTCTTTATTCAAGATGTCATCAAGACTATGCAGAAGGTTATGCCTCAATGGATAGGTTTCCCTTGGGAAGTACAGGCTATATGTCCTGTCAACTGCGACATCAGGCTCACTTTTTCTTATGGAAACCTGTATGTGCCCTCAAATCTTATGGAAAGAACTTCCAGATTCAGGCTTCTATAGAAGAAACACGTCTGAATCAGTGGTATCTCAGCTTCCAGATAACTATCCTCCCTACCTATGGCCTCTCTTCTTCTTTCAAATCATCTTCCAATCTCTCCTCCATCATCTCCCTAGAATCTTGTCGCTGGTCGATTGTGCTTCAAATTCTTTCCACCCTCTCTGCTTGCTCCAATATCAGAGCCTTGCTGTCGTTTCATACGAATTTCTCATAATGGAGACTGAATATCTTCGTTTTCCTTTGGCCACTGTGCTTCCAGTGTTGGCCATCTTGTCAATCCTCGTCTCTATTCCCCCGCTGTTTCTCCATTCAAAGAACCACAACTTTCCCGCGATGTCTCTGATCTGCTGGTGCATGGTGCTTAACCTGTTCAATATCATCAATGCTTTCCTCTGGCCCACTGACGACATTGCTTCATGGTGGGATGGCACTGGCCTCTGTGATATCGAGGTAAAGGTTATGGCTGGTGCCTACGTCGCCGTGTCAGGAGCTATGATGTGCATCTTCCGCAGTCTTGCAATGGTCCTAGACACCCGACGGGCCATGCTAGTGCCTAGTAAGAGCCAGCGTTTGCATAATCGACTCGTGGAGTGGATGTTCTGTGTGATCATTCCATGCATTGTCATGATAATGCACATCGTCTACCAGAAGAGCCGATACTACATATTCTCCATCTCAGGCTGCATCAACAACTACGATGAGAGTTGGGTCAGTCTCATTCTCGCCTGGATCTGGCCACCGATCATCTGTTTGGTCGCAGCATACTATTGCTGTAAGTCCTTTGATCTCTACTACTTTGGCGTCTAGAAACTAACTCACATTACAGGCTTGACCCTTTTCCGATTGCATAGATATTGGAGCGACTTTGAGTCCATCCTGCGCTCAAGTAGCAGCCGCATGAGCAAGTCTCGCTTCGTGCGTCTCTTCTGTCTTGCGTTCACCATGCTGGTCGGTATCCTTCCCACTCAAGGGTATGTGGTTTACGCCGACATTAAGCTCTCAATGCCCTGGCACGCCTACTCCTGGAATAATATGCATGGCCCGTCCTGGCACAAGGTCATATTGGTCCCATCAGGAGGCGAGGTGTTTTTCGACCGCTGGATCCCCGTTGCCATGGGCTTCATCATCTTTATCTTCTGCGGGTTCGGCAAAGATGCTATGCGCACTTATCGCAAGGTATTCTGGCAGGTTGGCCTTGGGAAATGCTTCAATGTCAAGCCTCCTATTGACTCGAAGTATTCTCTTCCTTCTTCTGATGGTTCCAATCCTGCCACCCTTGCTGGAAGCACGAACAAAGCGAAACAATTTTTCAACAAGTATTCAAGCTCTTCTCCTCGGTATGTTTACATTTACATTTTATTAAACAAAGACAGCACGCTAACATATCTGCCAGTGTCTACAACGATCTCGAGAAAGGTATTTCTGGGCCAGCATGCAAGACTCACGCTGTCAAAGCCCCGTGGTATTATGCTCCTGTCTCTCTTTTCCGCCCTAAGCGAGCTATCTGTCGCGACCGGGGTCTGCTTCTCCAATCTGTCACATCCGACTCCGGAACTCAGACTATTTGCACAAGTGCCTGGGCTGGAACTAGCCGTGCCAGCTCCGACTATTCTCCGTATTCGGCACAAGGCACTTCTCAACGAGTGGACGCTTCCATTCACATCAAACAGGTGATTTGCCAACAATCCGAGGTGCAGATCTGATGAATCTCTCCGGTTGACCATTTGACAGTTCAGATGAATTGAATCGATACGGATGATCCATGCTACTTTCCATTCCTTACTTTTCTTTTGTGTGATCAGATAGAAATCAATTTTAATATCTAATGTTTCGATATAGCTTTTACAGCGCGAATGCAATATTCGAATAGCAGTAACTGCCTTCTGGGTAGATCCTTTCTTACAGCAGCGTATTCGTATTTCAGGGTATGCTAGTACAATAAAGTAACAAAGATAACAAAATGAAGTTGCTAAATAGGAGAATTGAGTTGGGGGCACTCAGCCGATGTCGAATGCCTAGCCAGAAACAAAGTCATATACACCAAGCCGTAGCGGCTATGTATCATTCCAGATAGGAGACGCAAAGACTGATGGATTAACCGCGTGCATATGATTCGGTTGATTTTGCAGAAAACGGAATTTACTCGGAGTGGGCATCATTGTTATAAGGACGCGAGAGAACTTCGATAGAGCCTGTATGATAGAGAGTTAGCCATAAATAGAAGATATGGAAGATGTCTCCGGAAGGAATTTGATGAATTTGTTGAAATGGAAATGAACATACGCTGAACAATATTCAGGCTGAATTGCTTCTTGCCATCAGCATCATCGTAGCTGCGCATGGAAGCATCGCCCTCAACGTAGACAAGGGTTCTAGAAAGAAAACGATAATTAGCAAAAGAAGCCATCAGCCAAGCCTAATGGCCAGTATTATCGGGCCAAAATGCTTCCTTGGGGAAAGCATCACATACCCCTTCGACAGGCCCATAATGAGATCCCGCTGTCCACCCTCGGGCGCGAAGCTAGCAACACGGAACCAGCTGGTTTGGCGGTTGTCACGGGGACCGTATGAAGTACCAACAGAGTACTTGATGATTTCCTGACCGCTGGCAGTAGCTTGGAGCTCGGGCTCGGCTCCGAGGCGGCCAGTGATGATCATGCGGGCAACGGAACGCGATGCGGATGAGCTGAAGCCACGGGTGGCCTGGTTGGCGGTGCTGGCCAGACGCATGGAGGATCGGATGGAGGTGAAGGCAGACATTTTTGAGTTTATTTGACAGGTGATGGAGAGGGGAACGAAGATATTAGTCTACTCGACGCGGATCGCGCGTCTTGATCATGTGATCTTCGGATAAGTTATCAGTCTGAAGCAATAGGAATATTTCAATTTGATTTTATTCTCTTTGGCACATCTGAGATTGACAGGAACCTGAAAATGCCCAGTTAAAAGTTTTGTGGTTTGTCAATGTTATTAAGTTTTAACATAAGCACCTACAAGCTGTGAATGACATAGAATGATTGTTCCTCGTAGTTAAGAGCTATTTAAATAATGTTATTTGCTATTAAGAGATACTAGAAGGAGCTCCAGGGACGGCAGGCTGCAGCCTCTCTGATTCAAGAATCAAGACAACTTTGTATCACTTTGAATGCAATATATCGATGACTCAGTGCACAGAGAAACACTGAATCACTGATCTGCATCTTAAGCAGCAGGGCACAAGCCGGGAGACTTAGCTCCAATATTCGTCAAAACTGATGGGTATAGTGCCAGCTACATGCAGGCTAAGATCAAATACGGCAGATTGGACATGTGAGCCTATTTGACCCTGCCACCTGCGTTTTTACATCAGCTTACACGGGATTAGACTGGTTAATAGTGCTGGCGTTGCATTAGCGCCTGCTTGTCTCCATCCGATGATCCACGAGATAGATGAATATGTATGGAATATTATTATGCAAATTAATGCAATGTCAGTCTTGGCTGCAGATACTAGATCAAGTGACCCGTCCACCTGGAGATCGGGGCTGGGAGATCGGGGCTAGATCATCAACATTTCTTCTATAATAGCGCCAGTTTCAGGGCCCTATTATCTTAGGTTTTTCAACTTTATCTTCCAAAATACAGGCTTTTGCTAAGATACATATGTCATAGCTTTTTTTTTACCGTGCCTCTAAAGGAGCTATCAGCAGTTTAACCAGACAAGTGTCATTGGATTACGCACCACATAACATCTATGTGAATGCCCTCTATCAAGGATGTGAGTTGGAAAGGGGTAATGGATAGAGTGAACAGTTTTGACAGCCTTTAAATAGATTCCGCAGCGGCCATGCCGGCTATCAGTGTGGACGAAATCCAGATCTGAGAGTCAGCTGAATAGTTGCAACGGCGACATCCTTTCAACGGGCCGGGGAAATCAAGTAAAATTTCTAAAATTGCAGTCGTTCTTAAAAGTGATAATGCAAGCCAGGTTCAAATGTTAATGGAGCATATTAGACTGCTGATGGAGGATATACTATTCATTGAGGGCAATGTGTTGGTATATGGTTGAATCCCGCAGCATCCATTGGAATACTAGGAGTGAGGCTCTCGCGGTATCTCTTGGTTCTTTTATTCATGCCTATCCCTAAATCATTCGTCGTGGTAGTTCGAATTTTGATAAAAAAAATTTATTGACGTTCCAGTGGACTAAGAAGTCCCTCCAACGACACGAATATCTATATAGATCATTCTTTGAATGGCCATCATGTAATATGTGCAAGAATCAGCTACCTAGGCTTCAGCGTTCTCAGAAGCCAATTCTTTTGTGCGGTCACACGACCTCCTGAGGCTAGGTCTCCCTCTATAGCTCAGTACTGAGGTACCTAGGTAAACCGTTATTGTATTCCAGGGCTCTATCTGTACTTTAAATATCCGTTGGCCTGCTAAAACCTTGGAAGTGACATTTAAACTTGTTGGCACAACTTACATCTGCGAGGCCGTTTTCGGACTGACATTTTTCGTGCAATTGCCCGGATGGGGGCTAGTCTATAAGACATTAATGGAACATCCTGGCCAATCACTAGACTTTACGTATATAGATTGATCGCCTGAGACTTCGCTTACGATGGATCTCCAGGGGTCCACTCAACTAGTTCTAGAACAATTGAAGCCTTCTTTAGCCCCTATTTGATCCATTGATCTGCCTCCGGAACACCGGTCAACCTAAGGTCCATCCCCCTGCAGCGACAATATACATAGAAGAAACCTACTTAAATAGATACTCAGGTAGCTCAGAACTGATTATTACAAGCTTCACCACCAATGATACCCAAATACGCCTTGTGACTAGCTAGAACGAAGCCAATCAAACACGATAAGTTATAATTACAAATTGTCATAAGATTCTTCTACGATATCCATAGAACAACCCCCTGTTCTCTCTCAAAAGTACAGTATTGAGGGGCAAGGAGCCCTAGAAATGCCATTTGAAACCAATCAAAAGACAAAAAGTGGGCCATATTTGCGTCACCGACGGTGGTAACCGAAGGCATTGAAGGCAAAATAACATAAATCTATTATTGACCGACTTAGGAAGGTACATGGGTAGTTTCTATGAGAAGGGACTTCTATCATCGAGGCCTCGAAGGCATGTCAAAGCTCTTTATTACATAGGTATATTAGGTAAATACCGAGGTCTCCAGGGACCAATGACTACTAGGCACCTGGATAACCAATCCCTGTTCATTTACTAAGTATTGTAGTGGGGAGTTCCCCATTTCAGTATGTACTGCGAGCGTTATCCGAGGATCTCAGGATCCAAACCTTCAGAGGCTAATTAAATCCTATTCCTAATGGCCCATCATGAGATGTGCCGAAGATCACCTGGGGCCAGATATAGACTAATTCAAGAAGCGAACCGGGGACTCCCTCGGACTCTTACTGCCCAGTTGTATTGGGGTTTCATTGGAATATAACTGAAAAATGCTGTGAAATGTCAGGTTAATCTAGATTCCTGAATTCATGCATGACAACCTTGGAACGAGAGACGGCTACAAAACCTTGGGAACAAAGATTTAGACATACTTAAGCTGCTTGAATACGAACCATTGGAAACCAATAGGGACCAGCACCTCCAACTTCAACTCCAGCTCCAGGGGTTAGAGTTAGCGGGAAGACCCCCGATCTCTAATTAATGACCCAGTTTTTCCAATTAAGTTGACACCGGGAAGGAATCCAAGAATCCAAAAGACAGCAAAGCAGATTCTTATTCCTCGGCCGATTTCCCGGACCGCGCCGTATCCGGTCCGGACGAGCTAGGATCAACGACGGTTCACAAGGAACTGTTCATTTCCGAGACAGATGGGCGGTACTAAGGAATCCCGGACGGCCATGGCCATATCCTGCCTAGGGAAGAGACCCCGAGAGAAGTCTAGGTCTAGGTCCTAGGTCTAGCCTGCGCCCTATCCCGATCACTGGGACGAGAACAGGAACGTGTTGGAATGTGGACAGGAACAGAAATTTTTTGACAGCCTCACATGTATATTTAGCCCCGTACTTTGGACAAGGTGGAATGCTGACGAACGGAAGGTGGGTTAGCTGACGGGTCTGTGGCTTGAACACCATTGACCTGGGCAAAGTGTCGTATGCTTTGGCCAGAAAACTCACCAAGATGCAATTATTAACCTAGTACGCTAAGTACGTACTAGATAGTTACCGAACTGAATTTCGGTCCATGATAGAACTGCGCTATCTAGAACAAGAAGGTATAGATGACATCGCTTAAAAGTTAAAATTGATGGCGGAGACTTCGGGCCGCGTGGTACTACCTTAGGTAATGATTATGATACAAGGTTACAAGCAGTGGGCCTTTCGCCCCCGGCAATGTTCTATCTGTTTCTTTTGCATAGTATGGAATAAACTAGATTTTACCAGTATTAACTACGATACTACATACGATGATAATATTCATGTGCCATTCTCGTGGCAAATGCGTATCTACGTATCTATCTATATACGGAGTAGTTAACTATACGGTACTCCGTTCCGTTAACTGCGTGGTCTGGCCCGTGCTTTCCCCCACTTGCCCTAAGCAGGGACCTATCGTTGTCGTTTATCGTGGAAGTGGCGGAAATTAAACCCTTTTTAGGTGGACTAATTTTTTGAATGTATTGATAATCATGTCCAGGGGTTAAGTAGTCGTGGAGTAGTGGTTGGACTGGGTTTTAATAGTACGTGGAGTACGAAAAGGTAGTGATGGAAAGATCGGATGGAGGTGAGCACGGAGTACAGAGCAGACAGGGAGTATTAAACTACCTACCTACCTAATTAGGATCGGAGTATACTCCACAGAAGGACATTAGAAACTCTGAAATCTCTATATCGAAAGGTGTTCTAGATATCATGAACTATATATATAGGTACTAATATCTATGAGTTCGTGTAGTATTCCCTTGCAGAAACAGCCACTAGTGTTGCTGACATGCATATTACTTACAACATTTTGAATGTACTGTCTGAATACATAAGATCGACCCATTGCCGACGGCTCTTTCTAAGTTTTTAGAAAAAAGAATATTGGAAATAAAGAAATAAAAATGGGAAATGGGAACGAGGAACCTATCAGAAGCATAGCCCATGTAGTATCCTTGGTACCGGAAGCACTAAATCTCTCTTCGGGTCCATAAACCTCCATAGCCCCGTCCAATTACACCCGAAAAAGTGATTTAGCGTTGGTTCCAGAGTCCAGAAACTACTGCTAGTATCACTACCCTAGAGCTAATTGAGCTATGGCCACCTATGTGGAGTTTTTCCTTTTTTCTGGCTTCCGTTCAGGGCCATTAGCCAGTCCGTGCATTTTTATCTTCGGCAACTAAATTGTATGGAGACTGGACTTGGTCCCCCTGAGAGTAGATGTAAGAGTAGAGTAAGTAGAGAGTAAAAAGTAGCAGAATTAGATAGTTAAATGGTATGTATTATCAATACTAAAATTAGTTTTTATTATCCGTAGGAAGTACATGGTACTGGTACTCCGGGGTTTGGTCTGGTCTGGGTCGTGGTACATGGTACACAGTATTTGGTACTGTACGGAGTATACTTATGGTACTCGTACTTTCTTAAGCTTCTCGCTCCTCATTCCTCCTCCCCCACTTTACAGTCCAGGGGCTATTTCGATTTCTCTCTTCTCTCCTCTCTCTTTCTCTCTCACACACACATACATCTGTCCCCATAATTTCCTTTTAATATATCTTTTGTACTTCTGCTTCATTTCGTTTGGGATCTAATGAAAGGTCCTTAATTCAAAAAAAGCCCGCCATCTACTCTCGAGGGAACAAAAAAAAAATCATCCTTGAAATCTATCAAGAATCCGGCAAATTACAATCACTTATCCAATCGACAGATGAGCAATTGTATCGACTCATACTCTCTTTATCATCCTATTTTCTGAATTCGAAATCAACATGGGTCTCTTCAAGCGCAAGGAATCGCGATCGTCGCAGTCCGACAGAGATGGGGATGAATCGTTCATTTCCAGTACCAGCGCTCGAAACTCGAGTGCTTCCCTCAAATCTTCCAATACTGGCTACAAATCAAGTGGCTTGCCTGCTCCTATCCCCGAAATGCCTATCGCGAGACCACCCGATCCAGCACTAGACCCCGCCGCGTATCTACGAAGCATTCACGCCGTGCGTGAACGAGCCAACCTCATTCTTCGCAGAGCCAAACGTAATAAGCTGCACCATTTCGACGTCGACATGTCCAAGTTTGCTGCTACTGCTTCATACATTGTGTCAATCATCAAGGTAACACGACCAAAAAAACCAATAATAAAATTAAAACCCCCCGGCTAACGTAAAATAAAGCGAGACTATGCGCCGGACTATAAAAGTATCCCACCGCATGGCCGTTGGCAGCATTTCGATGTGGGCGGCCGTCCCCGTATCAGCCAGCTCCTGCAGTCATGGCCCAGTCGAATTGATGCGCAGGAGCGCACGCGACGCTTGATCGATCTGTTTGTCGTCTCAGTCTTGCTCGATGCTGGCGCAGGAACCAGATGGTCTTATCGCTCTAAAGAATCTGGCAGGGTCTACACGCGCAGTGAGGGTCTTGCCGTCGCCAGTCTGGAGATGTTCAAGTCGGGTCTTTTCAGCAGTGACCCGACAGAGCCATGCCAGGTGGATGGAGCTGCTTTGCAGAGAATGACAGTCGACAAATTGGCCAAGGGCATGCAACACTCCGAGCAGAATTGCCTAGCTGGCATTGAAGGTCGCGCCGGCTTATTGGTGCGACTGGCAGATGCCCTTAACAACCAAGACTTGTTCGGTGTAGACGCTCGACCAGGAAACATGCTAGGTGAGTAAAATATACAACGAAAAACTTCCGATCGGCCTTTTTTTTTAATTGGTTTTTTCTTAGATTACATTCTCGGCCATCCGTCAACTCTCGCTTCTTCCGTCCCCATCGTTCCCATCACCACTCTATGGAGTGTTCTCATGGACGGCTTTGCCTGCATCTGGCCCCCGTCGCGAACTCAGATTGACGGAGTGTCGATAGGCGACGCTTGGGAATGCTCTGATCTTCCAAGATCTCCGCCCGCCCAACCATGGGAGAGCATTATGCCATTCCACAAATTGACACAGTGGCTCTGCTACTCCGTCATGGTTCCAATGAACAAATTGATGAACATTCACTTTGCTGGCAGCGATTTGCTGACCGGACTCCCCGAGTACCGCAATGGTGGTCTTATCATTGACATGGGATTGATAACTCTAAAAGAAAAGGACATGGCGCGGGGTGTCGCGGCCTTCAAGGATAATGCCCAGATCAAGGGTCAACCTAATATGGAGGTGGTTCCACTGTTCAGCACGGACGACGATGTGATCGTGGAGTGGCGGGCCGTAACCGTGGGCTTCTTGGATGAGTTGCTTCATGAGGTCAATGGCCAATTGGGTCTCATTGGTGCTGATCAATTGTCACTGGCCCAAATGCTGGAGGCTGGATCCTGGAAGGTATGTTTTTGATTCTTAATGACTTATATTTTTATATTTCCAGTTCTAACTATCAACCAGGGTGGTCGTGAAATTGCCGAGGTTTCGAGGCCAAATACCAAGGAACCACCCATTATGATCCGTTCCGATGGAACAGTTTTTTAACGCTTTATATTCATGAGCCCAATGGATGATGGAAATACCTGACTTTTTGCCAATCCTTTGGTTTACCATCTTTATCTTTTTTCTTATTCTTCATCTTCTCTCTTCATCTTCTCCCTGGATTGGTGTCTTTTGAAATGTCTGATCACGACTCCTCTCTCCTTCCTCATGGGCTCCCCTTCAAATTCCCCTTTTCTTTCCTCAAATCCTTTATAGAGGGTCTTTTGCATACTGCTCCTTCTTCACAGTGGCACCTTTCTACCTTTCTTGTGTTTCTTTCGGATACCACTTTCTACACACACACACACACACACACACACACATCCCCCTTGGCAGGTTACTTGATTTTTATTCCCAGTCTTCCGTTTATCACTTCTTTCTTCTTCTATTCATGTGGATTGTTATCTTTCATACTTTTAATATATGGCTTAGCAGTGTTGTATCCAGATACTATTGCATTGTGAAAGAAAACTTGAGTTTACTGAACCATAACTTGCAGCCATTGTATTACTAGGCTTTGATTTCCATCTTTTCTATTATAAAGGTAACTGACTGACTTGATGATCAAGTCACATATTCTTGTTTATTCTCTTATTTCATAGGCCTTGTTCATGGGGCAAGTTAATTATTATGCATCTATCTCAACAAAAGCTATTCAGCTGATAGACTTATACAACCTATCAGTGGTAGACTGCAAGCCTCTGGAGTCTGGAGACTGGATAGATTGCTAAATGTTCCACTTATAATCTTAGCTTTTTCTTTTATTCTTTTATCTTCCCTACAGATTTCTCTTTCAAGCTGTCACTGACTCTTATTCAGGTCACGTGACCTGGACATAGGTTAATCCGGTGATGCTCATCTTATTTGGCTGGAGCTTGTTTCCAACCCAACCCCAAGCTTGTGTCTCCAATGCCTCATGTACTCCACAGATAACTCCCACCACATTTGTACCAACAATAAATAGCCTGTGGAATCATTCTGCAGCCTATACAGACCCACCGCCACCTTCCACATCTACCCGAGCTGCCCCCGCTCGTGTGCGGGGCATCCGACCTTGACATCACCCGTAGATCATCATGGACGCTCGCAAGAAGAAGAGAAAGGTCCTATTGATGGGCAAGAGTGGATCAGGCAAGTCATCCATGCGCTCAATCATTTTTAGTAACTATGTTGCTAAGGATGTGCGACGTCTGGGTGCGACAATTGATGTGGAACACAGCCACGTCAAGTTCATGGGCAACCTTACGCTCAACCTCTGGGATTGTGGAGGGTGAGATCTTTTCATCCCAATAATCTAGACGCCTACTAATGAGTATGGGATATGATCAGCCAAGATGCATTCATGGAGACCTACCTAGCTTCCCAACGCGGCAATATCTTTTCCGACGTCGCAGTCCTAATCTATGTGTTCGACATTGAGTCACGGGAAGTTGACCGAGATCTGGATACATACAATGCTGTCATCGATGCTCTGCGTGAGTTCAGCCCAAATGCCTATGTCTTCTGTCTCGTCCACAAGATGGATCTCATCCAAGCCGAGCACCGCCAACGCATCTACGAGGAGCGATCCTCCCTAATCCGCAGTCGATCAGCACACTTCCGAGTCGATACATTTGGCAGTAGTATCTGGGATCAATCGTTGTACAAAGCCTGGGCTGGAATCGTACATAAGCTCATTCCAAACTTGACCGTCATCGAGCGATTCCTCAGCGCCTTTGCAAAGAAAGTCGACGCGGAAGAAGTCATTCTCTTCGAGCGCTCGACTTTCCTCACAGTCACCTCCGTTACCTCGAAAGTGGGCGACTTCAACCCGATATACGACCGCCATGAGCGTCTGTCCAATATCATGAAAGCCTTCAAGCACTGTGCAGCCCGTAACACACTCACCACTCCCGCATCTGCCGGCTTCGTTGTAATGCACACCAAAACCCCGCAGTTCAATATCTTCCTTGGCCGCTTCACGGATAATACATACATCTTCCTCGTCGTACCGCCTGGCGAAACAGCTTACAACTGCGCCGTGTTGAACACCATGCTTGCCCGAGAAGGATTCTCCAAAGCCGCAGCTTCGGGCAGCACAGACGGATTCCCGCTTCCTCCCCCTGAAGATACTGCTATTGGGGCGACTGCTTGATTCGATCTGAATAGATCGAAACTTGCAATCTTGTCCTACTGTTGAGACTCCTTCTCTGTCCTTCTATTATTATTTTTTTAGCGTGGTATTCTGAATATCTGGGTGGTTGACAGCAAAAGTTCACGGACGCTGACATGACACATGGCGTTGCGGTATGAAGTAGAGATTTATTCATTTCCTTGGTTTTTTCCTACTACTTTTCCTACTGTTTTCGATTTCATATCGAGATACCCATTATTAAATTTGATATATGATAATATTTCTTGTTTGTCCCATTTCATGGTGGGCTTTACTCCGACTCACAATTACATATGGCAAACTGTAGAAATCCAAGACTCCACGGCTACAGTAGCCTAGCCCATCTCTACATATGTCTGAATGAAATGAACACAACATCTTCGAGAGACGTCAAGGTAGGAAGAAATGACAAAGACAAAGTAGATACCTAGGTATTGAATTATCTATCGGACCGGCCGGCCTCAGCGGGGAGCGCAGATGAAGAAAAGTGGTGTAAGAGGCAATGGTAAAAAGAAGAAACCGTCAAAAAAGGACGAAAATAAGGCTATACAAATCAATCCATGCAGAAAGCCCAAAGAATAGTTTTTAACTTATTGAACGTCGGGCATGCGAACGGCAATATCGCCTGATTGTGTGATGTAGCGGACCCAGGGCAGAGAGGGATATTGTAGCTGTTATACAGTCAGTTAAATTTTTTTTCTTTTTTTTCTTTTTTTTTTTGATGTAGATCTAAAGGAAGTCTTTCTTACCTTAGGCTCGGTGATCTTCAAGTACCGCACTTGGATGCCACTGGTGGTGAAGTAGGGGATCTCGAACTTGACGTTGATGGGTCGCTTTGCCTTGCCCATTTGACCAGCACCGCCCATGCTACCTCCAAAGCCACCTGTCATACCACCACCGTGCTCGTCGTCTCCCTTTACGGAGGGTAGACCGAGTTCTGCCCGCATCAAGAATTCCTTGCCACCACCAAACTGCTTGATTTTCCAGATAATTGCAGACTTCTCGGGTGCGTAATGCACAGTACCGATGTTTGTACGGAACCGGGGTGAGTCTGCGTCTTCGGGGACAGGGACGAGAATTTCGACATTATTGGCTGTACTGCGACGCTTGAACTGTGCTTTAGCCTTTAATAAAGACAGCGGTTAGCATCATCAAATAAGGGTTTAAAAAAGGGGGAGGATGAGTCTTACCTTGAGCATGTATTCAATACGCGAGCCAGAATGCGACTCCACCAGACATTCGACCCAGATCAATGGTTTAACTTGAGTATTCAGTCGGTAGCTCATGAGTTCGAATTCGCCATCAGGGGGAATAAAGCTGATCGTGCGGTCGTTCTCAAATCGGGACAGTCGAACACACTGGTGGAATTTCACGTCCTCCATCTCAACGGCCTTGCCTCGTGTAGCGCGACCCGTGGTCTCGAACATGGCTTTGTCATTCAGTCCCAATCGCAATTCGGGCATTCCGCTCAGATAACACTTCATCTTAATGGCACCTAAGATCTCAGACCGCAGCACGTTTCCGTTTGCTGACACTAGGAGATTCAGGGACTCTACCACATCTAGGAACACCTCGTTCTTGCGGTATCGAATACCCTCGCTTCGCCAGGAGACGGCGTTTGTGACAGCGATAGGTGGCCGTGCCTGCACTTCCAATTTGTGTGATTCTTGGGTAATGTATCTGTTGTTACACCCGTCAGCAAGTACACTTCAGGAGCGTGGAAAGAGGTCTGCGTACTCTTGTAAAATTTTACTCTCTGTTGTCTGAGGATATCCGAAATCCATCATCTCATCTAATAATTCGTAGATGATGACAAAGTTGTCCCGGATACTCTCTTCCTCCAGCACCTTGAAGTATTCGGTAAACACCTCCACAAGCTTGTGGAGGAAAAGAAGGATTTCGGTGGCATTTGTGTTTCGCTTGGTCAGTGCAAGGATGTAGAGGTTGCTGTGTCGGATATAAAGATACTAGACGACCCGATTCATATTAGTCCGTTGTGTTGATGGTGTGTGCGCACACAAAAGGAGAAGAGGGGAGTATAAGGGCCGAGGCGGGGCGCGGGAGTGGGACCTAGTCTGGTGGCACGTACATTAATACCCTCATGGGAGAAACAGGGAGGCACAGCAGAGCTCTCTTCTTCGGCTTCACTCAGGAGGATGGGGAACTTCTCAACCGCGGACATGGGGATATCTCCGCGGTAGTTGCGAGCCAGAAGGGTCTGTGATTGTGTCAGATAGGTGGTACATTCCGATATGAATCTTCAGCTGTAAGCGAATTGATGTTCGCAATTAGCCTAGAAGCCATCTTTTACTAACCTTGCCCTTGAGGTCGAGAAAGAAGAGTGCCGACGCCATGACGTGTCAATGATGGTAATGGGAGTTTAAGAATTGATTATCTGGGTACTGGGTTTTGGTGGTATTGGACAAAGTGCCTCCTGCTCCCTACTGCGACATGATGGACGTTGAAAAGCGAGAGAAAGAGAGTGTAGGGAAACAATAGGAGCTGGAATGGTCCAAAAGGTGTCCCGCCAGCGATTACCCGCAACTTGGGAACCTTGTCTTACTATTGATACTAGCCTAATCAGGTCTAGTTTATTTTACATAACTATTACGGAATTGATACAGTATTATATAATCTAGACATTGGCAGATTACTGAAATATACCAGTATAGTGTATTAATGACGTATTGAGGGAGTCCTCTAATATCCGAGCTGCATACGAATAGATATGGCGCATTATGATGCTTATAGTGAGAACGATAGCTTTAGCTGTGGATTTACTATGTCAATAAGACAACAACTGAGGACTCAGGGCCTTGACTCGAACATATTCAACTGGATAGAATTGTTACATAATAGGTTTAGTGGATCCCATTCCCAAAGCGGTCTAGCGAATGCACTACAAAAACTCTTCCGCACGCGCTCTTTTCTTTCCTTCTTCAACGCTTCCATTAGACAGTGCAGGCCAGTATCAAGTCCTTGTGACTTTCTGAGGACTCTTTGGCATTCTGTCGAGGACCCTTAGTGCTTTATTTACTGGACTAGCGATACAGAGGAGCGGAGACCAATCACTTAACGGATCCATAAGAGCTGGCCGAGTATTTTTCTTACTGTTATTCGGGCGGTGTCAGAGGAGCCAAACATCCATAGTCACACAATATAATTGATATTTGAGCAAATATAGACGAAATGAAGGAAGAAAATGAGACATCTAGAAGTACATTTACAACTGTCAGAGCTTTTTAGGGGCAAGGCTCTGTCCAGTTTCACCCTGACATATATTATCAAAACAAACGCCATACAAATGCTGCAGATGGCTCTCTCATGATGTCTGCAGTCCCAGAGGCTGCAGAATCCGTTCCTTGGCCACCTTGTTAGCTTCCAATCCTCCCTTCTCCAAAGCAACCGCTCCAACAACCGCGTATAGAGTGTGTGATAGGACCAGCTCGAGGCCGGATGCGCGGAGATCTTCAGGCTATAACAAACAAAGATATCAGTAAGAAGTTCAGCACACAGTAGGACAGAATGATAGTACCTTGCGAGGGCTCCATCGCATAACTTTCTGCAACTCGTATTTTTGTGCCAGCTCGGCCAGCTTCCGTCGGTCGGTCAGGAAACTTTTGGTTTGGGAGGAGAGGTTTCCCAGACCCTCGAGGGCTGGATGAGAGAAAGGCTTGCGGCCAAACTCGTCTATCCTGGAAGCAGTCTTCTCGGTAGGTGGGTTTTGCACTAGAGCGAGCGAAGCCTGCAATTGCACAATACGTTTTCCTAAGAAGAAGCATGTGAGTAAAGCCATACCACAACAATTAAGCCCAAAAGGTAAAAAAAAAAAGAGAGATTTCTTAAAATATACCTAGTGCAGCCAATCGATCATTGAATCCTCGACGTCCTTGGTCAAAGGTCTTATGCGTCACGGCCAACCACTTCAGCTCCTCGTTGAGGACTCTGTCGCCGCCCTCGCCGAGGATGCGGATGTAGAACTGATCAAGGAGTGCCGGATCTGAGTTATTATGGAAAGCTGGGCGTGTCGAGTGCGTGCGAAGACTGAACGGTGCTTGGGTTTGTGGCGGAGTGTACGACCATCGCGGTGCGCCTGGGTTGATCTCCTGCTCAGCGGAGTCTGGGATTGAAGAGTAAGCACGGCGGGGGGCTATAGCGGCAAGAGGACGAGCCACGGTCCTTGCGGCCATACAGGCAGGCCTGAGCACTCGCGCTGGTGTAATTGAAGCCATTGATAACTTTTGTCTGCGGAAGAGGTGATTGAGAGACGAGGAAAGAATTCGGCATCGGCGGTGTGGATACTGCCACTAACCCTTCCGGGTTGAACATCCATGTCTGGAGTCTGGACCCTGGCATTATCCCGAATTTCGTGCATATGAATGATTATAAAACAAATATCGCATGATTGCTCAATGCTCACTGTGCTTATGGCTTGGTATGCAGACTGAGCCAGGTGGAGGGTAATCATCCTTCACCGCTGAAAGCACTACTTCTCTGTCTTGGTGGATTCAATACGGAGCAATAGCTGACTTGACGTTGGTCTCTTGATTAAATAGAGCGTCCAATTTCAACCTCAATCATCGAGCGTACTTCTATACTCGTACAATCAATGTACGGACTGGCTACTGCTATTTTATTCGCTATGACCTGCGGAACTTCCCTCTGGCGGTCAAGTATCTTGCGATGACTGCATCGAGATGGCAAAGGACTTGCTATACCGCTGTTTGAAATTACGAGGGAAAATCATTCTGATTCTTTATTTCACACCTGTGGAAAGACCCTTCCATCATATACCTGCAGTGGTTCTGTGTGATTATATTCGCAGAATCAGTGGATACTCAACGACTCATTAGAGCTGCATGCATGTCCCGGCTTCCAAAATAACCAAGCTTCTCCACGTCAGCTGATGGGGGAAGACCTTTTTCGTCATATCCCAACAAAATCCCTCTTCGGATACATATTTATTATACCAAGAACATTAGCCTGTGATAAGGTCCGAGAACACCTCAAGGTAACCCTATGAGGGTCATTGACTGGATGGATGCTTGAAGACATAATCAGCGTGACAGGGGATAAGCGCGGCCTAACCACAGGTCTGTAGCCGCTGCCGTGACTTACACATAGCTCAAAACAGTAGGGTTCTAGATGGCCTTAAGCTGGAGAACAGTTGGTGGACGCAGAAACTTACCAGTCAGATACAAGTGGCTTCGTTATGCAAAGTCACGTTGAACAAGATCGAAACACGGCCGATTTTGAGACTGCTTGATGTCGCCGGATATTGGCAGATGTGGAGCTGGCCAAGATACACTGGTTGGCTCGAGGGGACACTGGCTTCCGTGGCGGACACTAGACAGGCTGCAGAAAACGACATGCTGTGTCATGCTCTCATAGTTATCACATCCATGGATAAGGCAGGAGACTTGTACTATTTGGTACGAAATACGGATATCGCGGGAAACAATCCACGTGTACAGATCTTCCGTGTTTGCGGCGTGTGCCGCGGTATATCAATATGCTTTACAGACATAATTCTCCTCACAACTGGACTTAGAAAGTCTATTTCCTTGTAAAAAGGATAGATCCAGCTACAGAGTGTTCAAAATCCTTGGATAGTTCCATCTTAGACGCATTTTGACCCGCTATTACCGCTTATTCTTCAGATTATGCAAAATTCCCAATCACAACCATGGAGTCAGTCCAAATAACAGGGCTGATTCTACGTCAAACTGTCAAACCTTCATACTATCAAACTCTTGGAAACACTTCGCAGCTACTAGACGCCATGGACCGTACTCTAGAATTTCTGAAGGCAAATCGACCTCCTTGACGACCTCGGGAAGACGATTTCTGCAAGAACCCGGAAACTAGGGCTCTGACCGCTGGTGTCACTCCATTTGAATATGCAGTTTTCGGGATGCTAGAAGGTCTTAGCAAAGATGAAAGAGGGGCTTGCCATTCCATATATCCCGATGTCCCAGTGAGTTCATGTTATAGCCCCTAGGATTCTATCTTTGCTACCGGAGAGCTATTTGGGGATATCTTTGTACATCCTTGGGAAATGGTGCAAGACTTCAAGTAACCACTACAAGCAAAGGATGACGGCTCCGGGGTCTACAGGTGTGACGCTTTCATCTGACAGTTTATACAGCAAGCTCTTTGGAGTCTTCCGTCGGGTCCTTGCATGGTCTACCGATTTCTAGATCTGAGGAAAGCCACGCCCAAAGCCTGGAGAATACGTAGGTAGTTTTCATCTCTTTGGGACATCCGACGGGATGGCGGTGTAAGACAAATAGCGTCTCTAGGTGCCGCGATTGCTCTACAGTCTGTGCACTTTTAAATAGAGGAGATAGTCTGTGGAAACGGTCTCTGTCAAACTACTTTCTTTTCTGCTTGACACTTCCAACTCGAAGTTTTTCCTGATCTCATCTTATTCAGGTCTTGTCACCATTCTACATTCAAATATGGCTATCTATACTACCTTGACTTTACCCTTCATCACCCCATTATCTTCACCTCAGCCTCGTATCCTTCCAGTGAGCATACCTTCCAGCAACCTTGGTCACTCGGTGCAAGACCCTCCATCACCGCGACCATTCCCACCAAACCCCCCACCGAGCCCTGCCTAGACTTTAAGTGAAATTACTCATCTTTGGCGTTGAGAAGAAGGAAGCGAGTTTTATAGGTATCATACCCCTAATTCGGTATCGTGAAATCATATAGATACAAGTACTGACTTGTGACTATAGACTGCCTTTCGAAGACCATTCGAAACGCTTCCACTGGCTCTCTTTGAATACTGAAGCGAATTTATAATATAATATGACCGTTGCTTGGCCGCGAGCAATGAGATTGAGGTGACTGAATGGACAGGAGGGAGGGCTGGACAAAATCTTGGAAGGTTCAAGTCCGAAGATGTATCCATGAAGTACTGATATATCTGCTCCTGAAGTATTTGACTTCTTTCTAACCTTGGAAGGTTTTTGAAATGTGAATTAAGTCGTGAATATCCATCGCATTTTAGCTAAAATCGGACGGCTTCTGCAATTTATTGTGATTGGACTAGACCAAATGACTCGAGTCTTAGAGTCACTTTTGATATATAGAAAGGGAAATAATGAGAAGTAAAGAAAATTTGCGCCATTTGGCCTAGAACCCGACTTTCATGTATAATTGATCGACCAGTCACTTTAATAACACAAGGAAACTCAAACGAGGTATGGTATTAAATCACAAGAAAGCAGCAAGAGCGAGCGCACTTGAAACGCTCAGGCCAACAACAGCCCATCCAGACTTGATAATGGTGGGGTTGGTCAATCCACGGCCCAGATCCCAGGTTAAGTGACGCAGGCCGTTGAAGCCGTGGTAAGTGAAGGGGAGAGCCAAAATGGACTTGAGGCCGATCTGAACGGCGGTGGGGAGGGCACCCATGGCAGCAACCATGGAGGCAGACTCAAGGTGCCAGCCGATAGCGGGCGAGGCGAGGTATGCAGTGGCCCATAGGTAGAGGGTACCGGAGAGGGCGACACCAGAGACACGGTGCAGAGAACTGCCAATCCATCCGATTTGAGGCTTGTAAATGGAAAGGTGCGGGGAGACAGGGCGGTTCAGACGCTGCTTGACCAGGATTTGGGAGGCGTCATCGGTGCTGGAGGAGGATGGTCTAATTTGGTGCATTAGTCTCCGGATTTGATCTCAAAAATGACGTATGGCCGTTGGGGAGAGCCGATTTCTGGAATCGTCGAACTGATGATATATCATTCGATCGTGATTAAACTGACCTCTTCTGAATACCCTGTCCAAGCGCAACGGCGACTGGGGAGGCCCGCATCATGGACCACTGCATGCCGAGCGGCTGCTGGACGGCAACTGTAATTCGCAAGGTCAGTGCAATTGAAATTTTTGAATAAGGGGAAATCAATGAAACATACGCCGTCGCAGCGACTGTTGAGCAACTTTCTGAGAGAACATGATGTGACTGCTATAATTTACTCTCACAACACTAGAAAAGATGGATATCGCGAATGATCGGAAGGGACTACCTCGGGTTTGGCGTCGTCACGGGATTGGCAGCCCGGGAGCCAATCGTAATTACCGCAATTACTACCGGAATATTATTATTGCAGATCACATGACTCTCGCTTGAGATTGCACTTTTGTTTTTCGCTGGTCCGCTTTTCTCCTTCTCTTCTTCACGAGTCTCCGCTGACGCTGAACTACCATCTTGGTATGATGTCTGCGCTCAGTGCCCTCTAGTTTCGGCATTCTGTCGCGACCCCGAGGGGAACTTTAGAGACTTGCAGAATGAGATTCCCGTCGTTAATCGCCCATTTGCCTCAACCCGTGAGCCGGATGGGTTTCATATCAGGGCTACATATCTTCAATAAACCAGATTATTCATTATCCTTGATTCAAACCTTCAGCTTCTCATGATCAATACAAATAAAGCATACCCTATGACCTGCTCTTCTTTTTATACCCTGTAGTTTGAACAAAAGTTCCTTATACTCGCATGGACGCAGCCCTTGACGATTATTTTGACCATGTCTGATTCGGAGCTAGTCTGTCTAACCTACAGCTTCAGCTACATTATACTTAGGCACATATTATTGACCAATATTGACTAACCCATCAAAGACGCACACTTCGTACTACGATCTATGGCTGCTGGGGTTCCTGAATAACACGTCTAGTACTCGGCTATCGACTCGATGGTTCTATTTTGATCACAATTTTATTCAAATGATATAAACAAGGAGTCTAAATTGCAGAATGAAGGAGAACAATGGTCCTCATAGAGTAAAAAGCATACAGAAATAGTTGTCTCGTGACAGAAATTGAACCTCGGCAACTTCCGCCTTCCCCACATCCGCGGCTTAACCTGAGAGGTCATTCCAATATCTTTTAATATGCTGTCTACATTTCTCTGCCCTTGGACTTCATTTTCAACCTTTCGAAATTACTGACCCTTCAATATTCATATACTACCTTAAATTCCCTAGACACACAATACACCATTTTTCTTTAGACTGCTTTGAAGTTAAATATTCACCACACCCTTTTAACTCACACTCCAAAATGCCTTTCAACACAGCCTTGACCCGCAAGTTGGGCATTCGGGGTATGTAGCTGGTCTTTAAAATCAATACGCACCCATTTTGACAATGAGCAGTTCCTATAGTGCAGGGTGGGATGCAATGGGTGGGATATGCTGAATTGGCCTCGGCCGTAAGCAACGCTGGTGGTCTGGGTCTCGTATGTTTACTTTTGCTTCATTATCTGATCTGAAGGAATCTCACCCCAAATTTCAGCTCACTGCCCTCACCCAACCGACCCCTGAGGACTTGCGCAAGGAAATCCGACGATGCCGCACCATGACCAAATATCCCTTCGGCGTCAACCTCACCCTTCTCCCAGCGATCGTGCCCCCAGATTATGCCGCCTATGCCCAGGTGATCATTGATGAAGGGATTAACATCGTCGAAACCGCCGGCAATAATCCAGGACCCGTTATTGAGCAGCTCAAGAAGACCGGCACTATCATCCTACACAAGTGTACCACGGTTCGCCATGCTAAGTCAGCCATCAAGCTTGGTGTCGACTTCCTGTCAATTGATGGTTTTGAATGTGCTGGTCACGTCGGTGAGCACGACATCACCAACTTTATCCTATTAAGCCGTGCACGCCAGGAACTCAGTGTGCCGTTTATCGCTTCTGGTGGATTTGCTGATGGTCAAGGTCTTGCCGCAGCTCTAGCTCTAGGCGCGGAGGGTATTAATATGGGTACCCGGTTTATGAGTACTGTTGAGGCCCCAATCCACCAGAAAATCAAGGAGGCTATTGTTAATGCACAGGAGACTGATACCGCTCTCGTGCTTCGTCGGTGGACAAATACCACCCGTCTGTTCGCCAACAAGGTCACAAAGGATGCATTGAAGGTCGAGCGTGAGAGTAAAACCGGAGATTTTAGCGAGATCGGTCCCTATGTCAGCGGTCAGCGCGGTCGTCAGGTCTTTCTAAATGGTGATCCTGACTATGGTGTGAGTGATCTATGTAGTTGTGCTTTTCATCTTATTCTAAAATTTTCAATAGGTCTGGACTGCTGGTCAAGTGATTGGATTGATACATGATATTCCGACTTGTGCTGCACTGCTTGAGCGCATAGAGAAGGAGGCACTGGAATCCATGAACCGAATAAGCAAGCTATACACGGCTAAGCTATAGTGTTTATTATCGGGCATATCATCAGTGTTTTCTTGCTCATTCATGGTGTAATCTATCTAGCTTCTAAGTATTTTGATATCAATGTGACATTGATTAGCATCTCCGCGGCCGATACCAACCGAAAGAGCGGCTGGACCTTGGCGATCGGAATTAAATTGTCCGCAGATATTAGTACGTAATATCTTTGCCCTTGCAAATCTGTGAGGATGAGGTTGGAAGGGGGGTGGGGGTTCGAATTCGATGGCTGGCATGCTTGTTAAGAGACAGTGAATAGAACCGCAGTCAGCGGTGTGAAAGATGGACCACAGGTCTACTACGTACTACGTACATAAGCCAGCATATGAAGTACTATGATTCAGCGGAACAGTGGAACCGTGGAATAGCGGAATAGCGTACTAGGATATCTACGGGGAGACCCATACATTCCGCTCCATCATTGAACCAAAAATGAAAGATGTGAGAGAGCAATTACTATCAATTCTATCTTTAAATTGGGCAGTTGGGATCCAGTTCGAAAGTTCATTGAGCAATGAATCCATGCTAAGTGGCTGCAACGATTCTAGCCATCTAGCCCTAAGTTACAAGGGGCCTTCCTTGCATATGCCGCTCTATCCCTTCATACACGCCCAGCTGATACTTCCTGCAGATCTTGATTTCATAACAACAAATACTACTCTTTCCAACTGCAGGTTGCCCAGGTAGTGTGCATACCAGAGCATCATCTAATTCTCCGCCGTCTGATGGCTGACCTGTATAATCAACTGTTTCCTAAGTAGACTTATAGATTGACCATGATATTTATACACCAAATCTGATTCGAAGCAAAGTCTATAAGTAGAATAAAGATAGATAACCTCAAATCAATCATCATCCTAATACCAGTACTATAATCCTGCTCAGGACCCAAGTAGCGGTATAATCTCCACCTAGGCATTGCTACATCGCGTATAATGCGGTATAAAATTCGGGACATTCAATATTTGAACAAGCCCCCTTAATTGCAAACGTACCACCCATCATAGCATTTGAGCTAGCTCTAATTTTCCAACTTCAACCTCTACAAGATCATCCACAGATTTCAACATGAGTTTCATGGAATCTATCTCTCACTACCTGAAAAACAACAAGCTATCCCGCAAATTGTCCATGAAGTCTAAGCGTCGCTCGAAAGATCTGATCAGAATTTCATCTCGAGAAGCCTCACTGTCACGAGCTAAAAGTAATGCCTCTACTTCAAGCGTACATCTTCCAACCCATAGCTCAATGCTGCCAGCTGAATCACCCACACGTCGGAAACGGCTTACGCCTGCCGATCTGAATTTACAACCTATGTTGGATAATGCGGAGGCATTGGAGCCAGCCATGAGCCGGTCTTCAAGGGGCTTCTCTATGCCTGAATATCCGGTCTACAAGTTAGATACAACGACGCCAGCCTTGAAATCCCCCAAGAAGCTACAGGATCCGATTAAGTTGGGAAATGGGACTTGCGAGAAACAAATGATATGGAGGGCTGAAAGATTCGGAGGTACATCGATGGCAAGCTGTGGCTCGACGTCGAAGTTGAAGAGATCTGTGACAGGATTGTTCAAAACGCGATCTTCGTCGAAGGTTCCGGGATCATCATCGTTATCTATGAAGAAATTTTGTAGTCCCACTACTCCTCACTGGGTGGAAAAGTCCAAATTAGGAGACGAAGACTTCCTAGTTGACGAAAAGGCTGAGATAAAGTGGTTAGAGGCTAAAAGCCTAAGTGGCCGGTATTTGGACTACGAAATATGGGGTGGCGCATGATCAGGACAATGGAGGAATTGGAATTAGAATTGGAACATTTGGGCTATTTTTCGCTCAAGTTACGATAATCGTGATATGGGGACAATTAGAAACACTACATGGCTGAGGAGGCAAAATGGGATGATATCGTGACATTATGTTGTTGCCTTGAATATGCTTTCCAGACCCCAGTGTTTCTCGGTGACATGAAGATAGAACATTGAGTGTTCCAAAGCTATAAAATCAGAACACCAAGTCAATGACTTGTCTTATATGAAGATGTGTGTTGGAAGATTGTTCTAGTAACATATTACTGGTGCAAACTAAGAGTATTGAATGCGGGTTGGAAAAAAAGTTCATGTTAAGAACTATATGCGAAAAGAGGAAGCAGTAGGCGTAACCATACTGTTTCCAATGCAGGGGATCAAGAAGCGGAGGCAATGCCGAAACATCAAACAAAAAACAAAAACAAGTCTTCTCTCCCGAGTGGATTGCCACAGGACACAATTAATGATACATGGGTAGCAAGTACAATAAGAAACCTCCCAACTGTTCAAGATGCCTGGCATCCAAACTGATCCAGTGTTGCGTTCCAGCTCGTAGTCGGTATAGCAGGAACCGAATCCTGCCAAATGTGACCGTATGTAGAAATGCACTTAGATGATGGAGCCGAGGGCAATGCAAGGGAGACCAACACCCACGAGGTCCGAGTCCTAAAAAAATGATTAGATTGAGTTGAACGAAGGCGTTCGATATACTTACGGCAGTAGAGGGCGAGTTCTGGCAACAGGCGATGTTCTGCTTGCACTGCTGGTTGACAATGTCCTGGATGGGGATTCCAATGATGGGGATCTGGAGGTCGAGCTTAGAGCACTGGTCGAAGAGACCAAGACCGTCGGCACCGGAACCAGCACCAATCAAGTTGCTGAGGGTACCGCCGAGGAGGCCAGAGTTAACATCAGTAGTATCACCAGCGTAGACTGCCTTGTTGCAGCAAGAGAGCTGAGCCTGGTCACCGCACTTGGCCTGAGCCTGCTTGACAGTCAAGTTGTCAGGGACAGGGAAGCGAACTTGGGTGTTACCCTTGTTGCCAACGCCGTTACCGTTGCCGACACCTCCAGCGGAGGGAGGAGGGAGAGCAGCGACGGTGGCAGCGAGGCCGAGAACAATAGCGGAGAGAGTGAACTGCATTGTGACTGTGGGTTCGGAAATAAACGAGAGATCTCGAGATGGTTTGAGAAGACTGAAAGAATGATGGGACTTAGAGAATGTGATGCTTGATGAAGAAGTTATTTGGTGGACGGATGACCATGTCTTTATACATTTCAACGAAGGTCTGTGAGCTTATCCAGACACTAAATTTTCCAGTATTAGTGCTGTTGTGTGTTGAGCATCATCTCCCATTCTCTCGTCGGAATGCTGCAAGGAAGGGGAGGCTGGTTCCACTTGCTAGGGCTCTATCCAAGAAACACCCCTTCACCGGCCTTCTGGTATGCATGTCCCAGTTATACTACATGTGCTTCAGGTGATTGGAACATTCTTACTCCTGACCTACACATTTTTTCAAGCAATTGACTGGATATTAGCCAATATCTCGTCGTCTACAGTCCGAATATTGACCACCAAATCTCAAGACCTTGTTTTTTTACCATGCCAGCCACCTCAAAGGGCGAGGGTAGTGGGTGGACCTTGAGTCGCCGTTAGCCTTGGGCCCCTGCGCCTCGTGCACTAAGGAATGCAGCCATGCTTCCTCACTTCGTGCTGGTCTTAGTGCAAGTGTTCTTCCAACACACTATGGAGCTCCTGACGCATGTTTCACAAGGGGTAAACCACTCACATCATCCCGCGGATTTTTCCGGCCTCTCAGGCCTCTATTTTTTGGAGATCGTAGCATTTCTGAAGTACGATCCTCCGAAAAGACTGCGATTGGGATGTTTTTTTCTATCCTTGCCCGATATTGATGGCCTGGCAGTACTAATTTACCTTGAACTTCCCTGATTTCGAGCATTTTCCCTTGGACTATCAACATCCACACAACTCTGGAACCCCCTAATTCCAATACTATGTTGTCAAATAATCACTAGATGCTTCCATCTAAACACCTTCACCTACTCGTTTGCCAAGAAATCCTCACCCCCTTACATAGTACCTCTTCCACGGAGTTGTCTAATTTGGATACTCCGTCTGTTTCCCCGATTTTCTACTCTCAAGCTCTCCATATACTAATACTATTGGGATGCCGTTGGTTGACGCATGTAAAGCTTCCAAGTATCTAGCTCATCTATCTCTCAGTTTCCTTATATTATAACCTGGAAGTACACTTGCAAATCCAGACATATATGTCCTTAGTTCTAAGATCAGACCCATACCTGACAAGCCGTAGGGGAACTTGGAATTAATAAGACTTGAATATATCTTCCTGTATGAATATGTAGTTTTGACAGTTCTGAGCTCTGGAGGTTGGGTATTTACTTGAAATAGCTCAATTATTTCAGTTTCACCGTAACAGCTACCCTTGGATCTAGTTCAGGACTTAGTTTGCCGAGATATATCCCCTAATGAGCCCACATTTGAATATAATACTCGTAAAAATCGAAGCCTTGGAAGTCATCCATAGATAAGGACCTAAACTAGTTCAGCAAATCGCTTCGGGTCGCCATTAGTCGTGAATTGAAGCTAAAGACCCGGTTTGAACAGAATGGTTTTGGATGTATTTTTCAATTATTTCCTCCATAAACTAGTCAGTTTATTACAGATACGTACGAGTAGGATTCCCAGATGGTTCTATCCTGTGCCATATGTAATTATACCTATGAATCTAGATACCTAGGAGCTCCGGACCCTGGAGGTCAGTACGAGCCACGTTTTAGCAGGATTTGAAGCTGCAGATGTCTAAAATAACTCCTTCTATCTTCAAGGGGCCTCGATATTGGGGATTTTGCGCTGAATGCTCTTCACTATTGTCCCGGTCGAATAAATATGACAATGGATGCAATGATACAGCTCTGCAGGAAACTAGGTGGACCTTGGGTAGGATTTTATGGTTAGCTATATATTTAGCTAAGTATAGGTACCTACGTAGGAAAGTCTATATATCTACCTGTATAGCGCCCGCTAGCATCTACCCACCTAGCCACGGGATTGGATGGACTTTAGAGATTCAGTACTCCATATTTGAGCTACTTATTTAAATATACATACTGACAATATAAATTCATGATAAATCATCGCCTAGGTCTATTTTACTGTAATCATTCAGGCTTTGTTACTGTTTTGAAGAGTTGAAGAGAGACTCTATATATGTGATAGAAGCCTCAATTGGCCATATTTATTGGAATCATGACTCATGAGACTCTGATCTTACTGTATAGCCTTGGAACTGGGTTCTAAGTTATTAAGGTACTCCATACCTAGCTAGGTATTTATCTAGATATGTTCCAATGACTGGTGAGAATCACATGATGTATCGCGAGCGGTGACCTCGCGGCTTATCGACACCGCCCGCTAGAAACATTTCTTGCCGCGTCTCTCCCCATTGAGCTCTCCCCTCATATCTACCTCAGTCTAATTTCCTGATACCCACATAGAGAGCACAGATTCAAACGCCAGGATGGCTGATCAGGCCGAGCATCCTTTGGGCTCAGACCAGCTCGAAGACTCCCCCACTGCGCCAGAGTCGCCGGCAAATGCAGATATCCTAACGAAAACAGAGGGCAATGAAGAGCTAGCCACTGATCAGCAGGATGTGGAGTCAAACTCAGAAGATGGTGAAATTAAAGAAGCTGAAGAATTATCTGCACCCCCTCTGCCTGACGAAGCTCCGCCACCCTTGCCAAATGAAGCTCCGCCTGCTAAAGAGGATGATGATGGATGGGATCCTTTCTGGGATGATAAAGTCAAGGCCTTTTATTTCTACAATCGGTTTACCGGAGTTTATCAGTGGGAAAATCCCCGTCTTCCCGGTGCTGCTGTTTCCGGTGCTGTTGCCAGTGCCACCGATGTTCCAGCCGATGTTCCAGCCGAAGAGAGCAGCAATACTGAGAAACCCGAGGTTCTCCGCTACATCCCCTCAATTCACGGTGACTATGACCCGACGGCTCCTTATGCACAAAAGCCTGAAGAGCCCGAGGAAGGTTCGAATATCCATGTGGATCCAAGTGCTGCATACGCTGCCACCGGTACGTTCAACCGATTCACCGGTCAATGGCAGGCAAGCACCATAACCCCGGAAAATTACAACGCGGAGAACAAGTCGTATCGCCAAATGCATGCTTTTTATGACGTTGACGCAGCCGCCAACAACCATGATGGTCGAAGCTTAAAGGCCGAACGAAGCGCACAACGGATCACAAAGAGCCAGATGAAGGGATTCAAGAAGAAAGCCCGTGAAAAGAAGGAAGAAAAACGCCGAGCCTGGCTTCGTGATTGATTGATCCTGATGAACTGATCTATAGCAGTAGATTTTGCATCTCGGAAGGTGATTCTGATACTTTCGCGACCATTTTGTATTAGTTTGATACCACCCGCACCAAGGTGTGGGATTCGTGGCGTTTTTTTCCCCTTAGGCTGGTCTTCATACACTTACTTTTACTTCTTCTATTTTATCTCTATCAACTAGAAATTACAAAACTACGAGAGAATCTCAATTTCCAAGTCGATTTACAATTGGAGATCCACCCCACCTAGTCACATGACCGTTTATCAAAAGTTTCTGCGGCGAGTTTGGCGACAGTAAAAATCACTTTCTACTCAAGTAGATTTGGACTCAGAGGTAAGAGCCATTGTTTTTTTTTAATTCAATCTGCACTATGATAGCTGAATGTACCCTCAAATCCAGCCCAGTTCCATGTCTGGACTGGGGTTGTATCACCATACGCTTATCAATGCCTCATGCAAATTGTATATGTCTACTCGAAAATTTTGACTGACACTCAACTAGCATTCATCAAAATCTATTCTTTCTGTGAGAAGGAGTCTCTTTAGTATACTACGCAGAAGAACTATCGGTTGAGTCCATCCATTCTTTGGATTTTCGAAACCTTGAAAAGATCATGGTCTCAACACAGGAGCTCACAGCGCCTGTCGCACTCGACAATGATACAATTTATGATATCATCTGTGATGCCCGAGCAGGTGCAATTGAGGACTTGAGTGCAAACATTACTAGTCTGGCTTCTCAGCACAACTGCTCCGAGGCACAGATCGTCGCAGCTGCTATCGATGCCGAGGAAGAGAGTGAAGGTGGAACAGGTTGTTGTGTATTGCATTACCCTGCTGCCAACGGAGAAACTGGTATGTTAATTTTCTATCGCACTTAATATACACTGCCATTTCCGGAGGCCCCAAAGTCTCACAATTAGCTCTTCTATGTGTATACAGCTTAGACTAACAATTCCCCAGAAATCCTAAACTTCTTGCTCAAAAAGCTCGAGGGAGTAGATGTTGCTCAGCGTACTGCATTTATCAACCACCGCAACAATTCTGGAAACACACCGCTGCACTGGGCTGCGCTGAACACGCACTTGGAAGCCGTCAAGGCCCTCGTGGAGACCGGCGCTGATGTTTCTATTAAGAACGACGCTGGCCACGATGCCGTGTTCCTAGCTGAGCGTGCTGCTTGGTCTGCTTCCGCGGAAGAAGTTGAAGAAACCGACGAAACTGAGGAGATTGAGGTTACTATTGGCGACCTGAAAGTTGGCGAGGAGGGTCAAGCTGAGAGCGAAGAAGCGCCTGCTGAGGAAATGTCTGCAGGCAGACAGGTTGTTGAGTGGTTGCTCAGCTCAGAGAAGTCTGCTAGTCTGGAGAGTTCTGCCAATGAAGGAAGCTCAGCATGATGCATTGCTATTTGATTAATGACGTTAAGAAATAAAAGTTAAATTGTTCTAGACAACTGTTCCAAGGTTGTTTTGCCTCAAAAGTTTTATGGTGCTTGTTGATCTATGTCGTCTTGTATTTGAAGTTGAGATTGATGGTTGCAAAATGTGAGATTTTATTAACGCTGAGTTCAGGACAAACTTTCCAAATCCCGAAAAAGTACAAGCCAACGTACCTGATGTGACATATTTTCAAATCATTCACATCGAACTTTATGCAGCTTCCCATTATTCTGTGCTGTCACAGAGTCAGTAGAAGATGTACGAGATGAAGATTCCGGTGATATACGGGGGAAATGAGAGTTGATCTCCCTGACTTTGGCATCAAAGCCGACTTTGAATCGTCGATCTCGCCAAACAACAGTGACACCGCCGTAGAAGGCCAAAAGCCAAATAGGCAAAGCTAGCAGCTCACGACCCAACCATGCAGCGAACCACTGCAGAAAAGGTCGGCGAGTAGTAGTTCGAGAAGATCGATGAACAGGCTGAGCAAATTTTGGTGTCTCATCATCTAACTCAACAGTTTTCGCTGAGTGAAGCTTAATGTACAGGGTCCAATCGACCAAGATCCAGCTGGCAAGGCCGAGGAAAAAGAACACAAAGAAAGAAGACCATGTTCCGAGGCTCGGGGAATGCTTGAAACCTTTTTGCTCCAGGTACGGAGCTAGCGCTGATGTTAAACCCCAAGCACCATATAAGGTACAGACGAAAGACTCGGTGCCCGGCTCCACAAGGGTTGCTAGGAGGACGGTGAATTTGCGGACGCGAAGCCACCGCACGCGGCGTGCGATGTACGCGCCTATGCTCATATTTGCAACGGGTTGTACGGCCAGGTCGCCAAAGACCATGGCATGCTTGCCCCATGTTTCGCCCAGTTCCTTTTCCTCTCGGACCTTTTTCCGCCACAGGAGGTCTCCTATCAAATGATCTTCGCAGATGTTGAACGAGAAGAAATCTATTCCTGGTAAGCGGCGATTGAGGTCGTTGGGTGATGGACCAGTGAGATAATCAAGATGGGCGCGTCGGAACATATTGGATTTGCCTACGATGCATGGCGCAATGAGGACGGTGTTGATCGCAGTGTAAAACTTTGCATGGGAGGAAGAAAGGAAGAGCTCTTCGAGGCGACCGCCACCAAGTCCAATTGTATTTGACAATCCATCCTCCGAGTGACAGGATGTAATCAAATTTTGTGGGACGAAAGCACCACGAGAAGCATCCAAAAGGCTCTGTGGCTCCTGCTGATTTAAGGCTCTGTCCCCAGTGACATCCACGACCATGGGTAGATGGTGCACGAACTTGTATTTCTTGCCAGTATTTGTCCAACCACACAATTTGTCCACCATACGAGCGCAAACACCCTTCCCAATCCAAACATTGCAATCAATGATCCAAATGATATCGTCAGATTTGGCCTCGCGGTATGCCCGACTCATATTTCGAATTTTCGGGTTCGGACCAAGAATATAGGCGTCGGTGCCATTGCCTTGTAACAAAGGATCTTCTTCTTCAATGTACAAACGCGCATCGGAATTGGGAAAGTCGTCGATAACTTTGCGTAGAATGGGATATGCTGGATCGTCTCTTGTCGCCAAGCATAAGCATACGGTCAACTTGTCGCGCGGGTAATCCTGTCGAAATGTGGCAGCCAAGCAGTCGTACAGATATGGCTCGAGACCTTTAACTGGGCGAATCGCAGTAACGTGGGGCGCATCCGAAGTAGTGGCCAGAGGAGAGGGAGACGGTCGACGCGAAAACCACCGCCATCTGAGATTCCGGAGCTGTCGGTTAGTGACAGTCGTAACTGGAGAGCTAGTCTTTAAATGATGCTAGACTGCCAAGACAGAATTCAAGGCCTAGAGACCTACACTTGGAAGTACCCTAAGGCACACACCACTTGAACAACAATATACCAAATCAAGCCTATCCAGCCCGCCGCAACGTATATGGTCATACCGCCATCACCAGGGGGTGATCTGACGAATAAATCTGAGCTCGGCTGTCCCATGAGACTAGGATGACATTCTAGGGATTTCCCAGGGTTCAATGAGTTGGTGGTTGACCCGGTGGCCAGGTGGAGCGCGTTGTAAGAACTGCGGATTATAATGCCTGTTTTTGCCGGGAATTAATTACCTAACGCACCGCCCTCGACAATTCATCTTCAATATTTGTTCATTTCATGTTACTTTGTTTCATGGATTGAGATTATCAATTTCATCCTGTGTCTAGTAGAAAGATTTATATTATATAGGGCTGGAGTACGATTAGCTACATTATCGTTAATCTTGGTGCTTTCATTGGTAGATGAACGGTCAAGAACATCATGTCTTACGTGAGAATCGAAAGGAGAAATAAACTGATTCATTCAAAGTTCAAACATAAACTCCTTAGGTTCTCCCGGGTTCTAATTGAAACCTGCCTGTAGTTTCTTGACTCCTAATTGTGGATTTTGGATCAAACCAGACTCCAAACCTAACCTGACTCCAATCCCAAATTTCATGTAAATGCCATGCTGAATATTTGTTTATATCTTTTTCTTCTTGCGCACAAGACTACCATTCAGCATATTGATAGGTTTTGTTTCGTTGATCTTGAGAAGTCCGTCGATATCACTTGCGCCGTTCGTAGTCTTGTTGGCGCTGTCTCCATCTGAACCTTTTCGCTTGCGGATCAAGCCAACGGCAAGATTATTGACGATAGGTGTGCCTTGAGTGACCGTATTCTCTGGGGTATATCTGCCCACTATATGACTGCCCCAGGTAAGTTGGTCTGCCAGAGAGGCTACCTGGTCAATATAGTCCTTGGTGCTTGCAACAATCTCCTTTTCGTCGTAGAAGTGATCCAACACCCCATCCATCATCTGCTTATAATCTGTCTCGCTGAGGACAACTTGGCCACGTCCAACCTCAGGCCATGAGAAAGGATTAGCATCGGTCGACTGAACTGCTGTCTGAAGCTCTACAGACGGCTCTGTTGAGGAGGCATCAGGGGATTTCGTTGTCTCTTGCGTTGGTACTTTCTCGTCATTTGATAGCTTAGACTCTTCATCTACTGGGGTATCCAGGGCGAGTTTAGCAGAGCTACTCATCTGACTAGCCATGGAGGTAGAGCTCACCAGGCCGGGCGGATTAATGACGAGCCAAACAAATCCAACCAGCCGGCCAGCAGAGCATTCTTGTCGGAAGGACATCATCTCCCAGAACTGATCTAGTGACTTGACACTGCGCCATTGGCCTTGATTGGGATGCAAAGATTCACCAGTCGAAGGTCTAGAAAGCTCATCGTCAAGATCAACCAGGAAACGAGTCTTGGGATCATCTGGCAGCCGAGGAACCAAGCAGCGAGGCGGGGCGTTGGGATCATGACATATCTGATGAAGTGGGTAGCTGGTAAGCCATCGTTGACGATCTTGAGGATCAGATTTGGCCGTTGCAGGAAAGAAACTCCGTGTCTCAAAGCGGTCGCATCCGGGGACGATCAGATATGCGGTCGCAGACGCCTTTGCCGTCTCTACCGTTTGGTCCGATAGGTTTGATTCCTTCGAAACTGACTCGGACTCAAACTCGCGCAGGATCGGATCAATACCACGACACCACCATTTGATCAGGCCCCGGTCATCTAAGACATGTTTCTCGGGGTTATCGATGCTACCAGGGAACAGATACTGATCCTGAGCACGTGCAAAGAGAGACACCACTAAGCGCACGCCAGGGCGTTGATGTGTTCGGGCCAGATGTGAAAGAAAAGTGTGGGAGACAAGTCGCAGAATTGATCCTTTTCTTGGAAGTTTTAGCAGGTTCAAAAATCCCGTTGAATCCGCCTTGGAGACGAAGACAGTGGTCAGGTGGGTCGTATTGTATACAAGCACTTCCATCCCAAAAATGATGATTTCTGCACCATCGTCTTTGGGTGAGTCAATTGACACCGTTAGGAAGTGGTTCTCACAGATTGTGAGCTCAGGCTCCTTGTCTGGTGCAGCGGCAAAAAGCGCAGGGGACGAGATAGGTGTTGATGAAATATGGCGGATAGTGACCTTGATCCCAGTAGGCAGAATCTTAGCTAGAAGATCGGCCAGATCACCATTGGCCATTGTTCTTATTCGGCCAATGAGAACAAGCTACTAAGAATGACTGGAGAAAAGTAGTGGATCGAATCTGCAGTGATGTTCCTGTCGTTAACCTTGGACTTAGTCACGTGTATATATGTTTTTGTCAAATGGAGGTCGACTACCAAGGAATAGTGGATTCTAGTGGGCAAATGAGAACGCAGTATGCGTACCAAAGTGTGTATGTGTATAGATTGTAGAATGGAGGAATCCCATTGTGGGATTCCAATGCTGACTAAAATAGACTAACTGTAAATGGAATCGGGCCTTTGACACACCCCTTCAGTTTTCACCCCTCCAAGGTGTAAACTGGCCTTAAACACAGGGCCGATTTGGGCTGTTGAATCGCCTCAATTCCCTCTAAAAACGCAGTCTATATCCTGATTTAGGCAGTTGATGCTCTAAATCCTCTGAATCTAGGGGTAAGATCCTAGATTAGAGCAGTTCACTTATATCTTCCAAATTGAGAAGACGAATCCAGGCGTCAAATCTCTGTTTTGGCAAGATTTTCGTGAAGCCATCTGCCACCATAAGCTTTGTTGGGACCCATCTGATCTTAATACGTCCTTCCTGCACCTCCTGGCGTAGCCAGCTGCGGTGTATGTCTATGTGACGTAGCTTGGTCTCAAATGCTCCCTCTTTAGTGAGCAGATCAACTGTTCTCTGGTTGTCGCAGTCGAGAGTTATATTGTCGTATTCCATTTCTAGTCCAACATGGACTAGTACTCTCTTCCACCATACCAGTGTTTTGGCTGCGTCCGATAAACCAAGCAATTCTGCTTCGGTAGTGGACGTCGTCACCGTCTTTTGTTTAGACGCCTTCCAATCTAGACATGTGCATGGGTTGGGTATGGGTCGAAATTCATACCCATACCCAACCCATCAGGGGTAAGGCAAACCCATACCCATACCCAACCCAACCCATATGGGTATGGGTTGGGTATGGGTCCCATATGGGTATTTTAGTTGCCTTAATGCCTTAATAATGCCTTACGCTAGTCTGAAATAGAGCTAGTTTACTTAGCTAATTATACATTATAATGCATGTAATTTTTGTTGTTTTAATCAATACCATCTATAATTAAAATTCAAACATTCAAAATTTGATACTAATAACTTAACACTAACTAGCATCACCACCACCACCACCACCATCGCTAGGTAGAAGGGCGCCATCATCACCACCACCACTACTATCATCGCTAGGTGGAGGGGCGCCACCACGAACATGAGCAGCTTGTCTTTCACGTCGACGTTGTGCTTGACGCCGACGTTGTGCTTGACGCCGACGTTGTGCTTGACGCCGACGTTGTGCTCGAGTTGGTGGTCGAGCTTCTAGTAGTGGTGGTCGAACACCATGAAGCGTAAGATAAGCCTCAGCATAAGCATTCCATAAAATATTAGCTATAGTAGGACGGACGCTATCAAGAGATGGAGCAGTTGCTTGATTTGTCTGTAATAAAGCTGTCCAATCGTTTTGTAGGGCTGTCTCCCAAGCGTGAAATGCGACTGTTAAACGATCATATGTTACTTGTCGTATTGGGGCTTCAGTCGCTATAAGTTGACGAAAGGCATTATCATCAAGACCATCATATTCATCACCACGACCAGGACTTCGACGGATTGTAGTCATTGGTAGCTTATTTGAGGTAATAATTGGAGCTACTTGTGGGGGAGCAGGTCCCCGAATGCGATGCTGATAAGGGGTTACCGCTGCTCTTGGAACATGATCCCGATAGAAATCCTTACCCCACTGCCGTTTAAAGGAGGGATATTTTTGACTTAGAGAAAATTAGATATTAGTATGATCATACTTATTATTAGGGAATATGAAGGTATGACTTACGCAAGATAACTATAGACGTCGGCGAACTGACCAATATCGCTCCTGATTGGGCTGCGACCGGGTTCGGCAAGAAAATAGGCGTTACGCCAGTCGGTACTCACCACATAACGCGCGAGGATTTTGTATAAGTCCGCCCTCTCCTTAGATGTTATCGCTGCTGTATCTGGTGGTAAAACTAGATATTAGATATACTTAGCAATGCCTTAGTAAATGTTTTATATATATCTTATAGTAGCTAGTATGTTGCTTATGAAAATGCCGATTCATCATGCCGTTATCCTTGAAGGTGATGCCATATTGCTGACCTCTTTCCATAATAACTGGATATACTAAGGTATTAACCTTAGACCAGGGAAGCATAGGATTTGGAGGACCAAGACCCTTTCGAATATCTTCTTTGATATGCGTAACGAGGATGGGCTCTATTGGGTCCTCAAGATCGCGCTAGGTCTATGGTCTCCAGCCTGGATTTAGATCTTCGATTGGTCCTAGAGATTTCTAAATGGTTAGTAAAAAGGTTGTTTCGAATAATATATCTTATAACACACTATGACAATATCCCTATCTGAAGTCAGGATTATAGGCATCCTATATATCATCTAAAAGGAAGAACTCTCTATCAGGGCCTATTTGGTATAGGTATCCTGGGGTAATAGGGCGGAGGGGCATCTTAGTAATAAAGTTTAAAACTCTTGAGTAGATAATATGGTAAGACTTAGTAAAGGTTCTATAGATGATAGAATATGAATTAGGAAGAGGGAAAATCATAGGGAAATATATTGTTTAAACCTCAGAACTATGGTGGTTTCTAATAAAGAGAATAATTATGGTCAGCTTGCCTCTATAGGCTCAATGAAAGATAAATATTGTTCTTATTAAAGAATCTACTACTAAATTAGAAAACATACTGAAAATAGTGAAAGAAGAGTGCTAGGACTAAGTTTTGAACAGAAAACTGAAGTGTTTAATTGTTCATAGAGTATTTAATACCAATTTTTGAAATTCGGAATATTAAAGTAATAATAAGTCTCTCTATACTTAGAATGCTATAATAGCCTACTTGGACCAACTTAATAAGTTGACGAACAAGGTACTAGATCGATTCCAGCTGGATCTATTTTTTTTTTTCACTAGAAACTCATTTTTCGGACCTATATGTTATCAGCTAACCCTATTACCTGCTATCATAAGAGCTTATTTCGACTACTAAATATGGTTCTTCAGTTCTCTTTATATATTTCCACTTTTTTTGATCTATATTTACCACTCTTTTATTCCATTTTTACTTTATACCATACTTACTTAGCATATATTTTATATATATGAAGCATAAGTGAACACGTATCCTACTAAGCTACATCAAGTTTAGTAGTGGTCTAACCTTCCTATAATAAATTATCAATACTCTAGGTAATTTTGAATAATATGACCATCTTTACTATAGGTTGATCTCTAACTATTCAATAGAGTCAGATCTACTATCATCATCTGCCTTTAAGGCATAATCTGAATACATATTTTCAGAAACCGCCTCTATTAATACTACTTTCATCCAGAGTTCACCGATCCGGGCCGCCCCCTTACCTTGTTCACCCTTTACCAATTAGCATCAACCTCTCTAATCAATTCGGCAAACTAAAGACTTTATATTCTTTAATATGACGACTAAGGATGACTTTATTAAGTGGTGGTTAGCTACAGACTTTAGACAAAAAGGGACTTTGAATTGGTAAGAGTAGAAAGGTGACGCGTGGACTAATTTTGATCAAGGTTCTATACTTAGGGGTGGTGAGCCAAAAGTGCGATGTAAACATTATAAAAAACTCCTTCGCCATCCTAATTTCAGACCTGGTACCACTGTTTTATCAGAAGGAGGTGAAAGAGTTTTGAAGACCAGAGCTTCTATTAGAATAAGCTCCTTACAGCGCCATAAAGAGCATTGTCAAGGAGCACAAGGTAATAGCTTTATATATCAAGCTTCTATTTTCTAGGGCATTCAAAATATGGTATGTCTTTATATCCACTTAGTAAAAGGATAGTAGATACTAATTAAACTGATTCAAATAAAGGCAAGAAATCCTCTAAAAGCTCCCCCTTCTAAACATGACTATCGCAAGAAAGTCCTCTTAATGGTTGTTCAACAATCCCTCCTATTCAAGTTTATTAAATCTCCATCATTCAAGGATTTGATAGAGTTTTACAAGAGTTATCCTAACTCAATTAAAGATCTATCTAGATCTACTATCAAACGGTTAAGCCAAAGTGAAGCAGAAGAAGTCCAGAAACAACTTATTAAGAGGCTTCCATCTACTACGAAGGTATCTCTTAGCTTAGATTATTAGACGTCGCCCTTTAAATAAGCGTTTTTAGCAGTCACATACTACTTTATTGATAAGGACTAGGAGTATCAAGAGGTCCTGCTAGGCTTCGAACCATTATATAGAGCATATTCTAGACAATACTTAGCCTCTATAGTGCTTAAGGTACTTAAGCAACATAAGCTTAAGCAACGAGTGTTAACTATTACTACTAGTAGGTATTATTCTCTATTTCTATATAACTTTCTAACATAAATAGATAATATATTAAACAATAGCACCTTAGTATTCTATCTTTCAAGAGATATCTAAGGAATTATGGAAGGAGATCTAGAAGACAGTGATATAGATTCTTCCGAGGATAAGGTAAATCATCTAAGGAAGATAGATACAGCACAGCTACAACACCTTCAGAAGCAAATAAAGGAGATAATAGATATACTAGCAGAAAAGTTACCCTAAGTCCCAATCATTCGTGTTCCTTATATTTATCATATTATATAGCTTTCTCTTAGTGAACTTATAAAGGAAATAAAAGCTACCCCGAAAAACGACATACTTCTATCTTAATAGAAAAAGGAGGATATAGAGGAAGCTCTCAAGAAGAGAGTGGTTAGAAAGATTTCAACTACCTTATATAAGGTATGTGTTCTTCCTCATTTTTCCTCAGATATTTCCCGCGGTCGCAAATTAGCCACGGTCGCAATTAAGCCACGGTCGCAATTAAGCCACAGTCGTAATTAAGATATGGTCGCAATTGTGCTATATATACAACACCTTTACTTAACATATACTAAGCAAATGCTTAGTATATGCTTATACATTTCCCCTTTACTAATGATTCTCTATAATTAGATTCGAGCCCTTACCTAGTTCATTAATACTAGTCCTTAACGCCGCGAAGCCTTTCTATCTTTATAATCTGAATCTTCCTAAACTAACCGAGCTCTAGTTCCTATACAAGATATTCGAACATAGTGGAACTCGATATACTAAATACTCTAACATATAAAGAGGCTTCAGAAATTCCTAAACCGATATTGTTCTAAATGCTTAGACACGGACAAGAAAATCAAGAGGCAGCTTATACTATTGGCATTTTACGACGATAAGTAGGAGCAAGTGGAATACTTACTTAAGATCACGGAACCCTTCTTTGATTTTACTCGCCATCTCTCTTAGACAAAGAAAGTGACCACCCACTTCGTCTTTCTATTATATAATCAGATGTTTTAGCACCTAGAAACCCAGATTAAACGACTTAAGCGGCGACCTCTAAAGCTTGGATAAAAGGAAATACTTCAGTCTCTTTATGTAGCACACAAGAAACTCGCAGAGTACTATGGCCAGGTGAAGAATAAGATATTAGGAAAGATCTATTCTACTACGACTATACTTGCGCCAGATTTTGGACTCAAAGTATTTGATGGAGATTCCTGGGAACAAGAAAAGGAATATCTTGGTGAAACCACAGATCAAAGTCAGAATTACAAGAGGATATATCAGGAGAGTCTAGAGAGGCAGCTAGTACGGTATCAATCTTAGAATCCAGCCAACCTGCTAAGCCAAACAGAGGCTACATCAAGAAAGAGAAAGCGAACTAAAAAAAAGGATCCCTTTACGCTAACTCGGGACACCTCTTCACCATCAGAAGATGAACTTACAAGGTATTTACACTTTCGGACTTCAGGTAAGTAATATTAAACATAAATATTTACTAAGTAAATATACTAATATTAATAAAGATACGATAACAAAGACACTTCGCTTCTGGAAGGATAACACTAGACAATTTCTAACACTTGCTCAAATCGCCTAGGACTATTTTGCTGTTCCTGCTAGCGGAGCAGGTGTAGAACGGCTGTTCAACACAGCGCGTGATATCTGTCATTATCGCCGTGGTCGTTTATAAGCAGAGACTATTAAAGACTTGATGATACTATGGTTCATAGAACAAAATTCGGGGAAAGGTATAGTTCTATATGAATTAGATTATGATAGCGAGGAAGCTGAGGAAGATGTTGAAGATAGTGATATTACTACAGATGATAAATCGTGATTTAGAATAGATTATAATAATATTTCATACTTTAAGTTACTTTAAGTTTTAATTCTACTTTTTTTTTGATTAAAATAATAATTATCTCGGCGCTTACTTTACTTAATAATAAAATACAGAATATTAATACATCATGATTCAGCATAAATTTCCAAAAATACACATAATTTATGTATATCACGTGAAGGATAGGGCTTGGCAAAAAAATGGGTTTATGGGTTGGGTTGGGTTAGGTATGGGTTTACCCAACCCAATAAACATGTCTATCTCTGTGCATCTGGCTCGCTGGTTTCTGCACCATTCTGGTGTAGAATGCATAGTAATAAGCTTTAGATTATGTCTTAAGCTCATCTGGATCCTTGTGTTTACTAGGGATAATGTTCGACTCGTCTAAGTCTAGACCAATCTGTCGGAATTGTGGTTCACTATCTTGAGCAGTAAACAGGGGCGAATCCCCTTCAGTTGGCTCTATAGGAGCCACCCCCACCCCTTGATTTGGCACTGAGTCTAGCGAATCTGGTGAATTCGGTGTGTCGTCAGTTATATCAGGCTCGATTGGGTCTTCTGGGAATGTCCCAGGAATCCAGTCATGTTCTGTTGGTGTAGGGTATCGTGGTGTATTTGGTCCAGGATTTCGGCCGAAAAATGGGTTTTCGGCATTGATGGATACACCAGACTGGTTGCTTTTTCCAGTAAATACGTCAGGTTGTTGAACTGATCGAGCATCGAGAGAGAGGACAGGACTATTAGTATCCTGATCAGATAGATATGAATGGTCAACTACTTGTGTTTCAGGTAACATCTCCTGTAAATTGGTCTGTAGGTGGGTTTGTAGGACTCTAATCTCCCTCTGGAGGACGTCGTCAGCCTCTTCTTTAGTCAGGATAACTGGCTCAGGACCAGAAAAGACAGGCATCTCCACCAGCTTATGTGGTATAAAATCAGCTGTATATCGCCTATTCTCGTCGAAAACGACGTCTCTGACTGGCCTGACTTGACCACCCCTTGAATCTGGAAACCAGATTCTCCAGACATTAGATGCTATATATCCAACAAGGAATCCAATCTCTGCCCTTCTCAGCATCTTGTCTGATTTCGGAATCTTTTGGATTCTGCAGTAAGCTAGACTGCTGTATAGACGTATGTTCGCGAGATTCGACTTAGGCAGTGTCGTTCGTTTGTCCTGTAGGTCTGAATTGGCGTATTTGCGCGCCTCTTCCTAGGGCACTATCCAGGAACCATTTGCGTTCGTTGGCGTACAATTTAGGATGTAAACCGCAGCCTTTACCGCCTCTGGCCATAGGCTGATGGGGAGCTTTCCTTCCTCTAGGAGGGCCCTGGCGCGTGTAATTATGATGCCGCCTGCCCGTTCAATTGGGCCATTCATCTCAGGATGTCCTGGAATTGAATGCGTTACTATAATACCTTGATCTGCCAGAAACCGCTCTATAGTAAGGCCTGCAGCTTTCTCATTGTCGTAGTGGAATGCTCGAATGGGTAAATTCCACCAGTTTTTCAGGAGTTCAATGAAGTGTCGAATCGCATCATTTATCTGGTTCTTTGTATGATAGGTGAAGACCTAATGGAAGTGGATTCCGTCAACGTAAAAATGGCAAATCCAACGCTCTTCATTATACGCGATTGACATTTGGATCAGGTCTAGAGAGATCTGTCCGAATCGACCATACCTATGTCCTAGATGACGTCTAGATATCTGTCTAGGAGCTCTAGTAAGACTGCAAACAGAGCATAGGCTCTATATTTGGCCATTTGTACGGTCAGTGACTGGTTTAGTTGAGTCTGGTTGATCGCTCAAAACGACTCCGTCAACAAGCTTAGGAAGCTGCTATATAGCATCATGGTGTAAATGACCTAGACGACGATGCCAGAGCTCTGTCGGTGCCTTAGATTCTAGTGGTTTTCTGGAATCCTTGCCCATGTATGCATGCTTTTCCGCCGAAAAAATCTCGTCGGGTGTCTCTTTGTCTATCTCTTTATCTGAATCTTGTTCAGCTAATAATGGCTCCACGATCAATAAATTTGGGTTATGAATCCTTTGAATGGCTAGGACAGGTGTCCCGTCCCTATCAATAAGATAGTCTTTCGAAGGCACCCAATCGCCTCCTTTATCGTTCAGGGCGCAGTAAGAGAGTAGATTCAATCTAAACTCAGGGCTATAGAGGATATTTGATAGGATGATTGATGTCGATTCCTTGGTTACTGGATGGATCCCTTTGACTTCGCATTGTCCTTTACCAAGGGTTTCAACCTCTCCTAATCCTAGTTGAAGGGTGTCTCTTCCATGCTCGAAATTGACGAATGCACCTAAGTTATTGCAGACATGCGCACTAGCGCCTGTGTCTAGCACCCAGCTATCTTTCTAGAGCTCCTGACCAGACTAGGTCAGGAAAGCTGATTTCTGCAGAAATATAGAGTCTGTAAATGCACTAGAGAGGTCTGGAATGGTGTCCAGAGTATCTGAAACTATGTCTAGAATAGTGTTCAGAGTATCTGAAGCTGTGTCCAGAGTATCTGAGATTGCAGTATTTCGGCCGAGAAACTGGTCTTCGGCAGTGCCTGCGAGCTGTATACTATCGCTTGAATCGGCAGCATAGGTAGTTTGAGTCGCGAAAAACACTGGTTTTGTAGTGTAGTTGGCGGTATGGTTTACGGCTGCAGATTGCCTGGCTGGCTCGGCTGGGGTATTGCTGGTGTTGGTGGATTCTTTCAGTTTAGTGTCGATCCACTATTTCTAGCCTAAATCCCTGTCCAGGGCCTGTTTTATCTTCTGTTTCATGCCAGCATTTGGCTTTCTGCTGCCTTTACCATTTAAGTTGAAGCACTTATCGATAGGGTAGCTACAACCACATGGGCATGCCCTATCTTTAAATGGTTTTGCTTTCTGCTCCTGTAGGAATTGAGCTCTAGCCAGAGCTTTCTTCCCTTGACCAGGGGCACTAGGTTGGCCAGGAGCATGAGGGGCAGGAGCACTGGCTTGGCCAGCTGTTTCCTGGTGTCCTTGGAACGTCGTGAACACTCCCTTTGAGATGGCTGGCTGCTTTGGTCTTTGATTCTGGTAGGTGGTTTTGAAATGATCTAGAAGGCGACGCATAGAGATCTGCTCGCGATCAACTATAATCTTTCCATGCCAGGACTGCCACCAGTTTGGCAGTATATCCTTTACCAGCTCTAAAAAGAGCCACACAGCATCATCATTCTTGGCAGCTGAGACGCCCTCAACCTCTGCTTCAAGGCGCGAATGCTCCCATTCTTCAAGCCAGGCGCCAATATCGGCGCCAGCTATAGGTGGAGTAACCGCAAAGTTGTGCCAATGGTAGAATACCCTGGCTCTGTTTGTTGACGAGATTCTATAGCGGTCATACAAGAATTTAAGTCGCATAAATGGTTCGTCATATTATAAAACGAGACTCTGAACATGTGTATCCAAGTGCTTTAGGATATATTCATTCACAGATTCAATTGCTCGCTTCTTGGTTTGGTAGAATAAAAGACGGAACTTGTAATCCTCTACATCGTCCTTCCAGTCCTGTCGTAACCGATCATACTCTTTACGATCCATGTCGAGTTCAAGCATTGGTTTGATCGGGTAGTCGCGTGGTTCTGATCCTAGGACTGGTCGTTCAGTCCTAAGCTCTGGATCGCAGTATTCCCATATATCTCCGCCAGTGGCTACGGCTTTGACTCGCCTATACCACTGCTGCCATTGAGAGGCATCTTTCAGTCTTATATCGCCGGACATCGCGGACACAGTCTTCAGTCTCGTTTACCCTTAAAATATGCTTTTCAAGGTAAATTGTCGGCGAACCGGGCTCATAACTGTCAAATGGAGGTCGACTACCAAGGAATAGTGGATTCTAGTGGGCAAATGAGAACGCAGTATGCGTACCAAAGTGTGTATGTGTATAGATTGTAGAATGGAGGAATCCCATTGTGGGATTCCAATGCTGACTAAAATAGACTAACTGTAAATGGAATCGGGCCTTTGACAGTTTTGTCAGCCTGAGGCAGGCGTCAGTGCTTATGTCATTTTATCCATAGTTTATTTTCACTTGCAAGCGGCCTTTCGTGCCGAAGACAACAGGCAAGACTGGAGATTAATCATTCATTCAGATTCTAACTGGTCACGCAAACCCCAAAAGTCAACATGTTTTTGTCAATCTGTAAAAATGGTGTATCATGTTTGCACAGTTTGCACTTGGTACTGTATTTACACGAGCTTATCCCATAACAATAAAAGGACCAGTTCTGTCATAATTTGACGCTCGGTCGTACCCTCAGAAAGTTGACATGTTTTGAACTTCAATGATGAAGCTATCTCACTGATTTTGGCTTACTGCCTGCTATGAATATTGATGCCCATCGTTCCTTTTGATATGGATGAGGAGTTTAAAAGTGAGGTTAAGGTGAAAAGGGGAAGGAAAGAAGTTTGAAACTGAGAAAGGACATGGCAATGCCCAGGTGCCAGGAGTGGTAATCTCAAATCACCTGGGCAAAATAATATCTACCTAGATCCTAGGTAGACTCGCTCCAGTTTTACCGACTTTCCATGTTGTGTGTGAATCTCAGTGTCTCAATAATTTGGCACTCAAAAGCAATATCGATATTTGGTTTGATGCATTTTACCACCTGGACATGCCCGATGGTCAGGTCTATAGAATAGAGAATTTTGGCTTTCTGACCTCGAGTCATTGAGTATGCCAATTAAAATTCGGAGATCACGGCATCCAGATCGTCTACACTCAGCAGGGTAACACCGCTATTGATGAGCGCTCGCCAAACAAGATTGCGTCGGCGAATAGGGAAATATGGCGTGTTCCAATACCGAGCACCAATACCTCGCATCTTAGCCGTAGCAATCTGGCCTTGAAGAGCTTGGAGCTGATCATCGCTGAGGATCGGATCAGTGTCAACGGTCAGCTTACCAACTGCGCTTTCAAAATCGGTCGATGCGATAGGAGATATCAGGCCAGTGATGTGGGCAAACTTCGAATCATTGAGAGATGCCAAAGGTGCGTCGAAGAAATAGTCCCGGTCAAGAATAGGAGCCACCATATCAAGTGGTGTCTCACCAGTACCGATGACTGTAACTGGTCCGTTGGTGAGTTTCTTGCCTTCTTCCAGCTTGGTGAGGTAATCCTTCTTTCGGAGTGGTTCTAGAGCCTTAATGACAGCCTTAAAAGTCTCTGGCCCAGAGGTCTTCACATCGATGAAGAAATACAGCGTTTGAGAGGGAACAGTATCCCACACTCCGCTATTTAGAGGCAATCAGTATGGATACTGTACAAGGATTGTGAGGAACTTACTTCTTCGTTGGAGAGTTGACAAATGGGCTTTCTGGATTCTGACGCTCCAGGACTTCCAATATAGGCTTTATATAAAGGTTTTCAAGCGTCCGCTCCTTTGTCAGGGCAGATTGATCATGGCCAACCTGATACGTCAGCATGGTTGCTCGAGATTATCGAAAATGAGTAACGAACATAGAGAGTCCCGTTGTATAGCCAGACATCTGCCTCAGTTGATGTGCAGCCCTTGGAAAGACCTAAAACATACGTTAATGAATAGAGTCCATGGTCCTGGGAAGCTTGTATTGCGAGGCATACCAGTCCAAAAAGGCTCATCTCTCCAGTAATCACTATTTTAGAATGAGCTCAGTATTTCATAACCGAGTATAAAATGGGAAATTTAATGGCCAGACCGGCACTGGGGGAAAGCCTACTTATGAGAGTGGACGGGAAGCTAGGGATGTTAGTCGAACCTTGGAACCTCCGCAATTGACCAAGGGTTTTGGATAGATAGTGAAGAGAAGTTAAACTCACTGGAAGAATATCTCTGGTTATATCGGTTGGGTAGTCGTATTCCGTGCTTTTATGGGTGTTTCTCAAGATACTCTGTAAGCTTGTGGTCACTGTTCCCATAACAAGGCCCGAACTGGCGGAAAGAGCCAGGCTAACGGCCGTGAACAACCCAAGAGAAAAGACCATCAGGTTAAATGAAAAGTGTTCAGATAATAGATATAAACAAGAATTTTTCAGGATCTAATCGTAGTAATCGATTGATCTCCGGAGATGGTGGGGATGATTGTGTCAAAAGCCTTGCGATTCTAAAATTGACGCGGAAATGAACGATCTGCACGTGTTCAAGTAGGCTCCGAAATATGGATCCAACTGGCTCCAGTCCTGAACTCGGGGAAATGCCGCATTGTACTTGAGATATGACACCAAACAGCTAGTCTACATGATTACATTTACTCTGTTAAATCTCTATATTACATCTAGAACATGAGGACTGGTAGAGTTGACGCTTGAGGCCTTAATGCCAACAGTGTTGCCGCTTCACCGCCCACACTATTCTGCACCTTGGTCACTACGGCTGAGCGAACAGCATACTGTGATCGTATGCGATAAGACAGTTGAAACGGGATACTATATAGAGTTGACTTGATTGATTAGATGTAACCACAGGTTCACAGGTCGAGAATTGGCGTGGAATATGTCCGAATAACTCAAGCTTAATGGGATTAGTCAAATGATAATAAGAGCGACGAGAAGGACTCTGATGACAGCGATCCAACTCAGCTTGAAAAACAGACCAAAGAAGTAGCTAAAACCCTTCGTTCTACTCTTAATATACCATCTCGCAACATCCGATTCCTAGATTCCTATTTAGTCGAGCTCCATGCATTTGTCACGAGTCACAGCGCAAGTATTAGTAGCATACTGTCATATTCCCTATATCCTACAATTGGCGCGACTATCTACACCATTTAATTCACAAGAATATATCGCTAAGAAGCACTAGTAGCTATTGAAAATCAATCCACAAAATACTCATGCCAGCTAGCTGGCCTAGTATTGTTAATTTGCTCTTTGCCTAATAGTAACTTGGATTTTGATCATGGCAGAAGTTGAAGCCTGGCTCCAGAATTGACTATAGTTTCTTTCTAAGCAACGGCGCAGCCTGTGGAGTGTCATTGGCTTATCAGATCCAAGGCCTGGGAGGGATCGACTATGGTTCAAGATAGATACTATCAGGGGTAAATGATAGTAGATAGGCTAAAAAAGTTCAGCGGACTATTGAAGGTCACCTCAGAGAAGCTTAGCCAACAAGTACGGATCTACTAATTTTCAAGGACAATGATCTATGACTATCTCCTAATCATGATTATTTGTTGCTCCCCATCGCCTCGCCTTACAGGCCTAGCAGGACCAGCAGGACCAGCGGGCCCAGGCGATCCTCTCTGTCCTACTCTTCCAACGCGGCCGTTCCTACCTCTGCGGCCAGCTCGCCCCCGTGGCCCAGCGTGGCCTGCAGGTCCAGCGGGTCCAGCAGGTCCAGCGGGTCCAGCAGGTCCAGCGGGTCCAGCAAGTCCAGCAAGTCCAGCTACTCCAGCGGGTCCAGCCACTCCCGCAGGTCCCGGATCACCATCATGCCCGTCTAATCCTCGTTCTCCTCGTTCTCCCCGAAAATGCGCTCTACAACAAAAGCACCATCCAATAATGATTGCTATTCCAATTGCCATGCCGACCATAGCACCTATTAAAGCAGCATGATCTTGGTGAGTAGATGTTTTCGGCTGCTCAGAGTCTGAGCTCACGGTATTCGGTGTGTAGGAAGTCTCTTTAGATGATGAAACAGAGCCAAGGGTGAAGATTGTCGTGTACGTGGTGTGGTCTCTCGGAATGGGTAAAGTGACGACTTCAAAATCGACTGCGGATATCTTCATCGTGCTGTAATTTTTTTTTTTTTTGCTTTGTAATGTAACGTAAATGCTGCTTTTTCGTTTTCATATTACGGCCTCAAAATGATCGCGGTCTACATGGTCTATAACTTTTCTGTCGGTTTGTTATATTGTTTGGGTTGATTTAAGTTAACTCGGTCTGAAGAGACCATAGAATCTTGTTCTGTATTTTAACTTCCTATCGGCGCAATTCTAAAAAAGAAACTTATACCCAGACGGCTGTTATCATTCCAAGGATTTTGCTTCTAGGACGCTTACTAGACTCGGAAAAGCAATTGTGATAGGTCTTGATCTCTTCAGAAATTTATACCCATAAGTAGTTGCTTGGCTTGTAGTAGCGAAATGCTCAAAATTTGGCTCTCGAGAGCAATAATGATTCTGGTGGTCCTCGGAGATTTATTTAGGATTGCCTTGGATATCGTCTCATGAGTTTTCCTTCCTCAGCCTGCCTGGAACTAGGTGAAGAGACGGAAAATCTTTATGTAAAAAGGGCCGGCTGCGGTTACTCTCTACAACTCACCAAGACTCATTCGATCATGCAGCAGTTCCAAAATCCAGCTTCAAGATAAAGACGTGTTAACTATATACATTGATATCCTCAAATTCCTCGCTTCCCTTCTCCAGCCATGTGCGGTCCTCGTTTTGTATCTTTTGACACTGCCACAAGACTTTGATTGCCTTTGCCATACCATTTTTAGCCTCCTGCAGCTCTGATTGCAGTTGCACCACCAGACTCTGACCGTTCTTTAACTCCTCTTCTAGATTATATTTTCTCTTCTTTCAATCTTGGTCTTTGCTCAGGAGCTCTTCTGAATAGCAAGAAGCGCGTTTCAGTTTTTCAATAAGCTTTTGGTTCTCTCGTTCTAGTCTTTGAATAGTTGCGGTAAAAGAACCATTTGCCATATCCGAGATCTGTATTACAAAAGAACCAATCAAATCGAGCTGCTACAGTAGAAATTGGCAAAGGGCCTGATGTAGCGCACACTTACCTCTTCTTCTGAATTGGAGACTTCCTTCTGCCTATTGGGCTCCAAGGTCCTAGGAGTTACGGCCTCGATCAAATGGCCCAATCCTCTTAGAATACTATCGTAAACACCAATTGATCCATTGCTTAGGCTTGTCTTCAATAGGTGTTCGCTGTCTTTTGCCACTGACCATGCGTAGCCATCATCAGCACCGGGCTGCAAACGTACCCGGCCTGGAGCAACCGAGATTCCTAATCGTTCGCCTGCGAGTTATGGTCAATAATTGACAGATTCACCACGAAACAGTCACTAAAATTCTCACGGATATGAGCGGCTAGAGCTTCTCGGTATTCTTGCCTTCGCTTGGCGCGTTTTTCGTTGCTACTCAAGGTCATAACAAGTTGGTATGTCTATGAATATGCGAAATATAAAGACGAATTCGAATTCGACTTAGCCGCAACTTAAAGCAGTGAGGGTCTTCCCTTCTTAAAAAAGTCAAATTGGACGGCAGGAGAAAACTAGCTCCGCGTGCTGAGGCCTATGACTTGCTTTTTTCTTCCACATGGTTCCAATATTGCGTTTAAAAAGGGAACCTTGCATACTGTATTGCCAATCCTGTTTCGTTTTGGCCCGCGCAAATCGTGATTCAGAACACACTAGTCCTTATGTCTTTGAGTCTATATTGATTTACCATAATTTAGTGTTTTGAATCATCAGATGATAGGTTATGCCTAAGTTACCTGAAACAACTCTACTTGCCCTGAGTAAATGACTGTTGATTGGGCAGTAAGTTAGATATTGCACGGGATAATGGCCGTAGCTTGTGCTTCCGGAATGCTCTTTGACTGTCGGTAGCATTAGATTAGCATAGGACTTGATGGATAATTCCACAAGTCACCTGCTTAGGGACACGTCCGAACCTGGACCATAAGTATTAGTCTGAGATCCGTGTCCCTCCTCTTCTAAGAACAAGACATATTAACCAACAGATCTGAATCTTCGAGTTAGAGTGATGTTTTGTGTATCACTTGATTATGGCCTAGTTTTTCCAGATTATTAAGGTGGATTTTGGGAACCCATGAGAATATTCTTCAACTATTTCAACAGATAATTGAACAGAATAACTTCAGATAAAAGTAGTTCTAGTTAGTAGTTCATGGATATAAGTCGGAGCAATTTAACGCAAATACTTATTCCAAAATTCCAATGAAAATTTCGAACCATTCATTCGCCTTGTTTTAATGTCCATGAGCACGAGCTGTTGGAACGAAGATCGACTCCTAGGGACTCAAAGCTGAACACTAAATAATTGTACTTATACATTTATGGCCCTTGCATCTTGGTTGCCCAGTTGAAATCACCTAGTTGGGTCTTGGGAGTGGTTGATCCAGAAAACCATATTAAATATGAGAAATTTCAATGTTATATCTTAACCATCATAAATTCGATAAGTTTGACTTCTGTTGGGACATATCCCTGCTGGCATATTTCCTCCTTGCATGATGCTGGGTCACATATGCTTCCACTTACATACCCTAGTCAAGTGGGACGTATATCTACTTCCACTCTCCACCAGGGTTCAAGGGGGAGATGGACATCAAATGAATATACGAAATTATAAAAGAACACTGTCCACTTAGCTGTGCACATAATCCCTAGCCGGCAATACCAACAACTTCAAAGCATTATGTACCGATAAGATTTTAAAGAAGTACATGATTTTGCGGAAGGTTGAAATCGCAAGCCTTAGTTAGACGAGGTGACAAATATCATTCTCTAACCACAATCATGATGGCCTTCTTGCTTTGTTCCTACAGGTTATATGAGCGAATAATTATTGTTCCTCCTTGGTTTCTGGTTAAAATCTCTTTCAATATCTCTTTTAAACCTTAGAAAGCAACTTAAGTCGCTAGAACCGCTTTCATAATATCTAACGCGTGCCAGTATAATAGAGAGGAGCCCAATAGACAAGCTAAGGGTGACTGTTAAATACATTAAAAGACAAAAGCTACCCCGTCAATCTATATTCTATTCTCTTGTGATAGAGCTCCTCGCAAGATTCTCTCGATGGATGACCTGACCGAAATCGTTGGAGAAATTGGCCGCCTGCAGGGAGAAAATGCGTATTACCGCGTTTGCTAAGTCTCCTCAAGCAGCTTCAGGAATTCGTGGATCAAACGTCAGAAGACTTGCTTTCTCTCTTTAAGAGCGACCGATCAATCCCTTGTGAATTCTTAGCTGTCTATCAAATCTTACAAAATCTTCGAAAGGCTTCCGAGAACCTCACTTGGGATGCGAATGCGTCACGGCAGGTTACCAGTATCGATGGAGCGAAGAGGAACCGCACTTGCGACCGGGAGCTTCAGCTGTCTGCCTTCTCCACGAAGAAGCTCAACTTTAACGGTGGTACCCTCTCCCGAAAACACAAGTCTGTTTCCTAGGGTCACTGTGAAGCGATTGTCTTCAAGAAGTTTGCTGCGAGCCTCCTTTGGCTTTGCATCCACGATTAAATCGATTTCCCGAGTCATATCAGCTCATAAATCATGTTAAGAAGATACAGGGAATATGGACCTCAATCAAAGAAGCCGCATATCCGCCCATGAAGCCATGGCGAATGTTGGTGCGAGCTAGGGCGACTGTTGTTTTATTGGCAGCTGCATCGATATAGCAGGAACTTTGCCCTTCCTGGACTGGATCTATAGCTCGAGAAATTCAACTCGGAGAAAATCGAGAGAGCAAGGGTTTGGTGGGGTCATCAAGAAGAAGACAAGAGGACGAAATAGAGAGTGGAACAAAGACAAAGTAAACCAATGGCTTTGTATATTTCCTTACAAGCTGCAATGGTCGGAGATCACAAGGAAGTGGTGATACAGCTAATCGACCGAAAATTCGATATCAATATATGCTAGGAGATAACCATAGATATCCCGGGGTTCTTCAAAGCAAGGGCAAGTGGTAACCTTAGAGCTGTTGCCTAAGTTTAGGTAGCGTCCGCAACTGACCTACTTCTTCTTCCCCTTTCTTCCTCCCAAGATCTTCCTCCCAAGATCTTCCTCTTCCTCTTCCTCATATTCTTCTTCTTCCTCTTCCTCTTCTTCCAAGGTTCTTCTCTTCTCTTTATATCTCCAAGATCTCCAGATATCTCCAAGATCCCTTCCATTACACCTTTACAGTAGGTCTGGCTTTTCAGTGGCTGAATTATTGGATATTCACTTTTCTTATAGGAAATGGTATCCAGAAGAACACTGTGGGTGACGGGGTTCCCACGGGGTGTCACCTATCCTTCTTTCGAGCCTCTACATCTGCGGCAGCCTCTACCTCTGACTTTGCGGTTGCCTCTCCATCTGGCTTTGCAGTTGCCTCTCCCTTTGGTTTGTGGCAGCCTCTCCCTCTGCCTCTGATACTGCTTCCACTGCTTATAAAGACACTCAGACATCAAACAAGAGACGCGGTTTTAAGAGCGGAATAATGCCAACATGGATTATGCACCTGAGCTCAGCTAAGAGGGTCAAGCTTAATCCCGGGTGCTGTTGACGCGATGCTCGGAATGTTGCGAAAGGTTTACCATAGTGCCCTTAAATATCAAGGGCTGATAATCACAGATAAGCATATCAATCAAAGTCTGGACAACGAAGGAGAAGCGTTCAAACTACTTGTGGCAGAAAATACTTATCGTTCATTCCCCCGCAAAAAGGTCACTACAGAAGCAACTTACGTATTATTACACAGACTATCCATGCAGAGGCATACCGACCGTATCATGCCTTTTTGCCTGGACCGACTCTTTCAACACCTGCGCGGAGATAAGCGATACATACCTTCCGGCCGTGAAACCCTTGTTTAGTGATGAGGTTTTATATTACGCTAACGATGCATACACCACACTGGGGGATGCAGACAAGGCATAGAATATGTTGAGCTTGAGCAGCACCCGTGGACTCTTCATAATATATCAGCCGGCCAAAATACGTGTTGGTCAACTCACGCATTGCTGTAGGTAAGCTTAATGCTTTGAAAAAGAAATGATAGTTGCATTTTTGGATTTAAAGCTAGAGCTAATGGCTAACTAGCGGACAAAGGTGCGCTCAAGGGGGATCTTCATGACATTAGGGGGATAGAGGCTCCAATAGGGGAATTCGATGAATCCAGAATTTGGACAGAGCTAAAATCTTCTGAAAAAACTGCCCGCCAAAAGTTTGGCTCGGGGGGATCAAGCGGTTCTGGCCAGCTTGTCCTGCAATCAATAATCAACCATTGGGTTAACAGGCCAGCGGAAATCCACGGGGCGTACGAGCCACCCGGAGCAAATCTCGAACAATGTCCTTTCAGGCGATCTCCTTCTCTGATGAGCTCTACTCCCCACCCTACCTGAGCAAATCGAAAATCTATTCGCCCGCGCCCTCCTGGAGACCACTCGCTTGTGACGTTCATTGCATACCCAAGAACTTGATGGCTTGCCCGGTAGAACTCGTCTTGGTACGAAGCTTCGTATGGGCGAGTCATTGCAGCGCACCCCATTCGGATAGCACCAGAGATGTTTCTCGGTGAAAAGTTGGCCAGAACCTCTCGAGCCAAACAGGCGATATCAGGGAACCTCTCGATCGGGAAATCTTGTGTTTTGTTTGTCCAGAAATATTCCACAAATTTAGCGTGTAGGCGCGTTGGAAATACGCAAAGAATTTCATTTGTAAAGAAATCTTTGGGCTCTGAGTGCAGCCAGCCATTTTCGTAGCACTGCTTGACACCGGGATTGTCAAGATCTTTCGGCACGCTTCCGTCAGATAAAGCCTTACGGAGGATTTCAGCTGCTTCTTTAGTAACATTTTTCCGGGGGAACGAACGGTTAACATTTTCTGACATGAGTAATTTGAATGCTTTGTCTTCATTGTCGAGAACTTTGATGACGTGTTCATCGGTGATTGTCAGCCCTTTGTGTTTTAGGTCACTGTGGTAGAAATACAGCAACATTCGGAGCATGGCGTCAACTGCGCCCGGATGACCACTGGTAAGCTCAAAAATATATCTCTGCGCAGTGCTGTCTAGTCTGAGTTCAGTGCTCTGATGTGCTTGCCCGCAGAATCGAGAAACAATGTCGGAGAATTCTTCAGCGTCATAAAAAAGCCCAATCGATGGTGAAAACTCGATGTGAGATGGGGTTATTGAAACACGTTGTCTAGAGCTCAGGGAGGCCAGTGGGCTTCCTGCTATGTTTATCAATTCTGACCCTTCCGTTGGGGATCCATAACAAGTGAACATGCAAATTCGAGGCCCCCCAGTTCTGTGGCTATGGCTCTGGAACTTGATCAATTCTAACCACAAAACTTGATCATGATAGGTCAATTGGCCCTCGTCGATAATCAGCACATACTTACCGTCTCGTAGAAAGGGATGATCGAACTGCGAGTATCCTTCTTCCCGAGCAGCGTCCATCAAAATATCCTTGTACGACCGACCAGCTGGCCAGGCGTAGAGCGCGATTACAGGGACATTCTTCTTTCGGTAGAAGGTTTCGAGGAGACGTGCGAGGATCGTTTTTCCTGTCGCAGGAGTGCCCCTAACATGAATGAAAGTTTCCTCATCGAGAATACGAGCAAGTTCGTTAACAGTGTGCTCCCTCGGCGACCACAATAACTCATCTGGAATCCTTCGGATTAGAAACTCAAGATCAAAGATCACAATATCAGGAAATTAAGACGGACCACCCATGATGCTGTTGTCTTCAATTTCGGAGCTGTTGATCCAGCGCAAGAATCTGGAGAGAAAATTCACGAGAAAGGTCATGTTGACAAATGTGGAAGCCTGGTAGATTTTTAAGAGCGGAGTTTTGAGAGGTTATTTCCTTTGATGAAAGGGAAGGTACGAAGTAGTTACTGTCTACTTTATGGCACTAGTACCTTTTAGGAAATATGGAGCCTAGAGCTTGTCAAATGGGTGGTGGTTTAGGCTCGATTGGGCCTAGTTAGCCTGATTTGGCCTGGTTTGTAGGGTTTGCATTACCCACTTTGTATCACTATTTTAGGCGAACTTCATCCCTAGTTTAGTAATTCAGTTTCATTCATTTGTGGCATTTGAATGATTGGCCAGTCTGAACCAGTCGACTTGACAGAGCTATGTCGTCATGTGACATGGGTCACAGCAGTATTTATAAGTAACTGGTTTCCTTCTATTCTTCTTTTCGAGTTTCCTCACGTTCGAATCTTCTTCTGCTGTTACTGTAGAGTCTACCACGAGTACCAGCTTGTCTCTGTCAACCCGTTCTCGCTCCCTTTCATCCCGTGAATCGCCGCCATGTCTTCAACTCAACATACATCTGAGCTTCCACTTGCCATCAGGCTATCCGCTCCAGACTGGCCACAACTTTAGAGTCTCTATGCAGTCCGAAGAGGGGCCTAGGTTTATTGCGGCCATCGAAATACAGTGGGCAATTGCGCAAATTGCATCAATGTCGGCGTTTACAGAGACCTTGGAGCTGGAGAGCGAGGGCGGTCCGGACATTGAGGAATGGCTTCAAGATGTTCCAATTTCTTCCGCCATTGAGCCCGAGTAGCCAAGGCAGAAGCATACTTAGTGGAGAGAGTAACAACGAGCCTATAAGTTTGTTGAGTTGGAATATATCAATTAATTATCCGTCTGCTTTCATGGAAGTTCCTTCAGCCGTTAGAAACTTGATTCGCCTTAGGCTGCGTCTTCTATGAGCGGCGTCTTCAAGTTTTTCATCTGCGAGTAGCAAGTGCTTCGTCATCTCCTCAACCATCCGATTGACGATAATTTCAGAGTTCGAGTATATGATGATCTACTTTTATATGCTTTTGTATTTTACGTGATAAGCCAATGAATACGAAGAATGGGGAATGCGACGACGATGAGAGTGAAGAAGATGACTCAAAAAGAGTCAGAGAAGCATTAAATGAAATGGAAACTTGGGATTGGGGCGCTGATGGAACAGACTACCCGAACATTTCTGAATCTATACTTCGAGACTGTCGGAATACTGACCAGTTAACTAGTTGCTGATGAGAAAATACCATCTCCTGCCTAGGTATATCTAAATCTGTTCTCCGAGACTATCGATCTATTGACCGGCCCTGAGGACCCAGGTATGTACTGCCTGGGTAGGTACTCATGGAGCCTTTGTAGTAAACAATAGCTTAATATGTCCAATACCGAGATATGTACCTATATACAGATATGTACCTATATACTTCTTTTTCACAACCGACCCATAACACCGAATGTACCTGAAAACCACCTGGGCAGATTCAGACTGCATCATTCTCAACTGTCGGCCTTTTCTCATCGAGCCCAGTAGTTATCTCCACATGCTCTTGATTCAGATGCGTCTTCATGATAAAGGCCGACAAAATCACCCCGACAGCAGACATGCACGTGTAGAGAATCCACATGTTCCGCATGCTCCACGAAAAGGCCTCCTTGACCGCAAGAAGCTGTGTAGCATCATTGATACCCCGAATATACTCAATATTAGCAGCGGCAGAGCTGCCCGCCATCTGGTCAGCCAAGTGATTAGACATACCAGAAGCCAACAGTCGAGGCTTCGTCTTGGCCATGCTGTTCTGGAAGACCACGCCGCCGATAACGATCAAGGAAGCCGTGGCCAGATTGCGGATAAACCCGAGCGAAGCAGTCGCTGTGGCGGTATCCTTTTGGGAAACCATGGCCTGGATAGCGATGATGGACGTTTCGAAGACGAAGCCGGCCCCGAGCCCGCTCAGAATCTGGAAGCCGATGATCTCGCCGAACGATGAGAATGCGTCTAGACGGATATACAGACCGGTGCCGATGGTCATGAGGATGGGACCGAGCCAGATGAGTTCGAGGTATCTTCCTGTACTATGGATTAAGACCCCAGTGATTATCCCCGTAAAGGCCTCACACAAGACGAGAGGAAGGACCAGGACACCTGAGCGCATTGGAGATGCCTCTTTGACAGAATGAAGATATAGAAGAATGTAGTATTCTCCTGCGACGAAGACCTTTTCGACAAGTCAGAAAAACCTTTCATGTGGCATCAAAAACTCCAAGAGCGAAAAGTCGCCGGAACATCATTTCGTAGGAAGCCTGCGATACTCGTGCTTGGGGAGGTGACTTAAAAAACCATGTGCAAAGGCCACAGCGAGAGCGGCAACGTTATAAAGACGAGCAAAGAGATCCATGGGCATAAGAGGATACTTTGCAAGGCGCTTCTCGCTGTAGATGAAAAGCAAGGAGCAGAAAGCACCAAAAACGATCAAGCAGATAACTTGAGGAGAACTCCATGAGAATGTTTCGCCGCCAAACTCAAGTCCCAGCAATAACATGAGCGCGAGACCAAGAATAGACAGGCTGCCAAACCAGTCAATAGCCCGGAGGCCATCCATCATGCTTGTCTTGGGATTATGCACATCCAGGAAGAATAGTAGCAGAATGAAGGCAACCCCCGAGACAGGAAGATTGATCCGGAAGCTCCATCTCCTAATTGCGGTGAACATTAATGCAAGGTTTTATTGAACGATCGATAGCATGTTGGCACTGACCATGAGACATACTCGGAGAAAGCTCCACTGAGTAGTGGGCCAATGCCGCCGGCGATGGCCCACATGAATTCCATGAGCCCGAGGTAGAGACTGCGATTATAGTATCAGTCAATGATCTCCCTCTCCCTGATGAGTAGGTCTTTACCAAAACATAAATAATTCTTTTTTTCTAAAAAAAAGGGTTGAAAGTGCTAATAAACCGTATTCGTCTGTATTGCGAGTCTAACTATTAATTTTCTCTCGTTGTTACCGCTATCAGATTTCCTTAAATATCAGTTCAGCGTAGATAGCATATGCTGGTCAATTTCAAATCTCAAAACTTGACCATTTCTGCATCCAATGGCTATATGATCCCCTCGCACATCAGAAGATGATGACTGGAATTCTGATGATAGCCGAAGAAAGGGCATTCCTTTAAAGTATATCCACTACTCTTGAACAGACAGGCTATACAAGAAAGAAGGTTTACCTTCTAGCTTGTCCGTAGCAATTTCACCTTTCAAGGCTGATCCACTGCTGGTTTGAAGGTAGCGATAATCTAAAGACGTAATTTCTGGTTCGCGCACTTTCTTCTTCGATTTGAGCTTGGAAACACCACGAGAATGGGTCCTCAGAGATTTAGAAGATTTGAGCGATTTGGGGATATCCGTGAACTTGGTGATTTGGTGCCCAGAGTCAGATGCGATCTGCGTATGATCAAGTGACAAGGCCATGGCCCGGACTGAGCTCGAGTGCCCTTCTAGTGTCTTCCGAAGATCGCCCAGACTATTCTGCACCTTGGTCACTACGGCTGAGCGAACAGCATACTGTGATCGTATGCGATAAGACAGTTGAAACGGGATACTATATAAACGGGATACTATATAAACGGGATACTATATAGAGTTGACTTGATTAATTAGATGTAACCACAGGTTCACAGGTCGAGAATTGGCGTGGAATATGTCCGAATAACTCAAGCTTAATGTGATTAGTCAAATGATAATAACAGCGACGAGAAGGACTCTGATGACAGCGATCCAGCTCAGCTTGAAAACCAGACCAAAGAAGTAGCTAAAACCCTTCGTTTGACTCTTAATATACCATCTCGCAACATCCGATTCCTAGATTCCTATTTGGTCGAGTTCCATGCATTTGTCACGAGTCACAGCGCAAGTATTAGTAGCATACTGTCATATTCCCTATATCCTGAAATTGGCGCGGCTATCTACACCATTTAATTCACAAGAATATATCGCTAAAAAGCACTAGTAGTTATTGAAAATCAATCCACAAAATACTCATGCCAGCTAGCTGGCCCAGTATTGTTAATTTGCTCTTTGCCTAATAGTAACTTGGATTTTGATCATGGCAGAAGTTGAAGCCTGGCTCCAGAATTGACTATAGTTTCTTTCTAAGCAACGGCGCAGCCTGTGGAGTGTCATTGGCTTATCAGATCCAAGGCCTGGGAGGGATCGACTATGGTTCAAGATAGATACTATCAGGGGTAAATGATAGTAGATAGGCTAAAAAAGTTCAGCGGACTATTGAAGGTCACCTCAGAGAAGCTTAGCCAACGAGTACGGATCTAGTAATTTTCAAGGACAATGAACTATCACTATCTCCTAATCATGATTATTTGTTGATCCCCATCGCCTCGCCTTACATGCCTAGCAGGACCAGGTGGCCCAACAGGACCAACAGGACCAACAGGACCAACAGGACCAACAGGACCAACAGGACCAACAGGACCAACAGGACCAACAGGACCAACAGGACCAACAGGACCAACAGACCCAGGCGATCCTCTCTGTCCTACTCTTCCAACGCGGCCGTTCCTACCTCTGCGGCCAGCTCGCCCCCGTGGCCCAGCGTGGCCTGCAGGTCCCTGATCACCACCACGCCCGTCTAATCCTCGTTCTCCTCGTTCTCCTCGTTCTCCTCGTTCTCCTAGTTCTCCTCGTTCTCCTCGTTCTCCTCGTTCTCCTCGTTCTCCTCGTTCTCCTCGTTCTCCTCGTTCTCCTCGTTCTCCTCGTTCTCCTCGTTCTCCTCGTTCTCCTCGTTCTCGTTCTCCTCGTTCTCCTCGTTCTCCTCGTTCACCTCGTTCACCTCGTTCACCTCGTTCACCTCGTTCTCCTCGTTCTCCTCGTTCTCCTAGTTCTCCTCGTTCTCCTAGTTCTCCTCGGTCTCCTCGTTCTCCTCGTTCTCCTCGTTCTCCTAGTTCTCCTCGTTCTCCTCGTTCTCCTCGTTCTCCTCGTTCTCCTCGTTCTCCTAGTTCTCCTCGGTCTCCTCGTTCTCCTCGTTCTCCCCGAAAATGCGCTCTACAACAAAAACACCATCCAATAATGATTGCTATTCCAATTGCCATGCCGACCATAGCACCTATTAAAGCAGCATGATCTTGGTGAGTAGATGTTTTCGGCTGCTCGGAGTCTGAGCTCACGGTATTCGGTGTGTAGGAAGTCTCTTTAGATGATGAAACAGAGCCAAGGGTGAAAACTGTCGTGTACGTGGTGTGGTCTCTCGGAATGGGTAAAGTGACGACTTCAAAATCGACTGCGGTTATCTTCATCGTGCTGTAATTTTTTTTTTTTTTTTGCTTTGTAAAATATCTCATCCTACGAGCGATACTTGGCTGAAACCTCCTGATTTATAGCAATGTGTATGACGGTAATTACGCTCATATTTTGGGTGAAGCAAAAGATCAAAGCTATTAATCGCGAAGCGACAAAGGAGAAAACAGTATGTCCATTACAAGCTCAACCAAACGAGGCATGCCACATCGTGCATACACTATGTCAATGATCTAGTATAAATACATCCTCATGGGTGAAGCTTTCGATCAATTACCCCTCAACAGGTCTACAGCGGTTGCGAGTGTAGCAAGGTATGTGGCAGTTAGTTGCATTTTAAGCCGGCTGATCAGCAGGGCATACCAATTCTACAACTTGATTGGAGCAAAGGCATTACTACTGCGATTTCAACCAAACGTCCCTTATTCCTCCAGCAAAAAGGTACGATGGAAGCGCAGCTATAACATCAGTTATAATGATCGATCGATGATATTGAAGAGTAAAGGATGTGTTGTCGAAAGGAAAAGTAGAATTCTCTATCGTCCTGATTTTTGCTTAAAAAAAAGTGAATCCAAAAGTTATATCAGCCCATCAACCTAATCATAGAAAATATTCCTGTCCTCTGAACTAGCCAGCAGTATGTCTGACTAGTTAGTTCGCTTGAAAATTGAATTTTGGGTATATTATGTGTGCTTAAGTATATCACTAAAGAACCCTGCAGGTACTCAGAATAAACATCCACCCTTGTTCCTACCCAGAATAAACAATATGATTAAGGCAGGCGAACAAAGTCGTCGATGTTTCACTGCACAGACCCAGTAAAGCTGTTGACCAAGAGCGATATCTGCCTACTTCTGGCACAGCCTCGAAAGATGGGATAGTAGGAATTTTCTCTTTTTGTTATTATGCCCGCAAACTAGAAAAGACTGCTGATCCGTGTTTCGGAATGGAAAGTGATAATCTAGAGAAAGAGGGAAAGGGAACAAGTGGAGGCCTCGAGAAGAGGTACTGTGTACTGCGTATTGCGGGGCTATACTCGGGCCAGCTCATCGTGGCTATGACTGATAGGCCTGAACACCCCGAGAAGTAGACAGCAAAATAGTGAGCCTAAGCTTATTTCTTCCGAGTTTGATGAACGAAAAAGTTCTTAGCCCATGCACATTATTTCCTGAAGCGTCAATACAAGTCGGACTATCATGGCTAAATCTGTACGATTCGCATTGAGAAATCAGTCTTTCTAGGTGGAAATTACAAGACCCGTGAAACAATTCTAGGTCGCAACAGGGATGAAGATCAAGATTGGCTGTCCTTCCAACAGGGCAACTTATCGCACACAAATCCCCCTCCATGTTGGGTGACCGCGCTTGCATTAGCGCGCACAGATCCCATGTACCGCAAACCACGAAAAGGTCCTAGGATCGCAGAGCTATCGTGGTTCAAGTTGACTGGTTATTTTGGCGGATTGCAAAAGCCTAGCTGGCGTATAGAGCCTCATTCCACGCATATTTGTCATTAACTTACGGCATAAATACCCATATATCGTTCGATCAAACATGGACGAAGCATACAATCAATGGATCCCGTAAGTATAACAGCCTCCGCGATTGCTATTTATAACCAGCTGGAGGCATGTATTCAAGGCCTTCGTAAGCTATACAGAAATTTCAAGTGCGCCAAGAAGGAGGTGCAACTGCTAATAGATGAGGTTCTTACTTGTCAAATGCTTGCCGATATATTCAGCGATACTAGTAGTCTGTTAGAAAGCCGAGTTATGCAGCTGGCTTACGAGAAGAAGCTGGATAAACTATTACAGTCTCAAACGATTTCAGCTCGAGAGCAAATTGATCACATAATGAAAAGGCTGAAGCCGCTCCTTGATGGGGACAATGACAGTCGATTGAATCAGTGCATCGCAAAGGTCTGGTGGCATTTCACAAAAGACGAGACGCAAGTCGCACTCGTTATCTTGGGCAGTGTGAAATCCAGCCTTACACTACTCTCCAGTCTTTTGACCCTAGACTCCCTCGTGAAGATATTAAAATCACCAACTGCGAGAAAGGAGTCCCAATCTCTTCTTTTGCGAATGTGAGTAATCCCATTAACCAGATTCCATCTATATAGCTAATTCTTGCCTTTGAGTTGTAGAAAGAAATTAGAGAAAATGGTTCGGCGCCAAAATAAATCCTTACGAAGATTCACAAATAAAATGGACCAAATTTCAGACAGTCAACATATTGCAAACTGGGTGATTAACGCGGAGTCAATGGTTACCATCATTCACGAGATTAAAAAAAAGCCTGTCGCGGAGGCACAGACATTGATCAGAGAATCAGTTGACTCTTCACATATTGCAACTTCGCCCTTAGAAAGAATCGCCTTAGATACGCCACTTACAGAGCTTTCACACCATGAGACTGCCACTCAACCAGAAGTTCTGCACTCTCGCCATGGGATTCATTCCTCTAGATCGAGGAAGCCATCAAACAATGAAATAACATCCCGGTCAATTGAAATAGATCTTGCGACTGAACGAGCAGGCAAATATGTCGTCCGTGATTACAAAGACGGTAGTAGGGAAATCTACGAGCCAGGGTCTTCGATTTCCTTGGATGAAGGAGCCCGCGATCATCATTTGGGCTTTTCTAGGCGCCTATTTATTCATTCTCCGCTGAAAGATGTGAACGAGGAGAATAGGCCTGATTCAAGATAATAGGAAAGGACTATTTCCGCCGGCATTCTACTGGCCAATACATGGCACCGTTGTGTACAAAGACGGTAGACGTCTTATCCGTGTATCTCCAGGTGCATCTCACATATATATTGCAGCACCGATCATTTAAATGTTCTTCTCAAAAAGTGCCTTGCAGTTGATTTGTATCCGCTTCACTCCGTCGCTCAAGTTTAGGCTGACAGTATAGTATTACCAAAGCATTGAAAACATTGTTGCAGTTTTGTGGCCGACTTTATACTATGTTCCACAGCTGTGCATAAGATGGCTTCCTAGTGTAAGAGTTCAGATGTTTCTGGAGTTACGCTGGCTGGGCGTGTCAATCTGGCTGGTTGCTCTTCGTGAAATCTATCAGCTGACCACTCAATGATCTACCTCCAGGGCTTCCAGAAAGCAAAAGTATCGGGAAATTGCAGCCAGAGCGTTTTTTTTTTTTTTTTGAGAAACGCACCAATGGCAATGCTCAGAGAAGCACATTTGGAGCTGCTCTCCCGGCCGCTGCATACAGGTGGGACTACGAAATCGTGAAACTACTTTATGAGAAAGGCGCGGAAAACTTGCGGCTCAAAAGAGGACTATTGAATTGCGTTACTACTTCTTTCAAGAAGCACCTACCATCTCAGCTTCGTGACCTAACCAGCGAACGGCATCCCATTATATCCTAGATAGTCACCATCAGTAGTATCGGTGCTTGGGTAGGTACTATGTTTGAACCAGAAAATTGCTGTAAATCCTTTTCACTCTGCTCGGTATCCTCCGAATTTCACTCATCTTCGAAATTTTGATACTGCGATACAGCTCCTCAGTTTTGGTTCGTGCCTTTTCTACCTGCTCCTCCAGGATTTTAATCTTTCCGGTGCCACTCGACGGCTCACACTCCAAAACCTCAACTTTATAACAAATAGAATCAATTTCTAGAGTGACAGTCACTACATACATGTTGACTAGCCTACTGGAGGTTTGGCAAACAACAAAAGACGAAGCATACAAGGAAGGTTGGGGAAGCTTCTAAGCACAAGCATGATAGAAGAGCGGTGCAGATTGATTGAAAGGCTGTCCTTTCCGTCCCTTAACCTCCCTAATGTATATTGATGCACTTTCTGAGGGGACACTGTGAAATCCGAGTATACGTCTTATATGGAATAATCAAGACTAATTTAGCTTGCAATATTGAATTTAAGCTATCTTCAATGATTGTAGCGAGCTGAAGACTAACCAAGCACAGCCTTGATTGATCTTTCATGTAGAAACTAAATCAGAGAACACTTCATGAGTATCAAGTGGGGTTGAGGTTGAAATAAAGTCACATATAGATATAAATTTTAATAGACTGGACAGAATGTTGAATCTCTATTCTCTAGTGATAGCTAGAGATAGAAAGAGAACTTTGAAGTGAGATCTATCTAATATAGCAAATGGTGCCCTAGACCACCGCCAGCAACTTTCCTACGTTTATCTTTTACCATCTAAGGTAACATCAAACGCTTTAGTTATTGACTGATTAGTAACAGGGAGAATATTATATTAGATTAAACCATATAAGTTGATACCTAAAGTTACTGGCCACGTTTAAGCCACATCCTAAATGAAACTCCTTTTAGTAGAAAACGCGGAATTGTAAGCTTTTTCACGATTGTGGATGCAGCTTATTACCGCTGGCTTTGGTTTCCGCATTTAGACTAGTCTTCCCGGCCCGGCCCGCCATGACTTAGCCCCACTGCGTACATAACCTTCTATTGTTGCGGCTTCTATCTTACGCACCTGCCTTCAGCTCTAGGTTTACCAAATTTTAACGCTTAAACGCTAGAACTCCTGCACTATGAATTTTCTGTTGAGTTTGGTTCCTCCACAGTAGCCAAAGCGAGCAAAAATTCACGACACTGGCTGTGGCTAGGTCATGGGTATATTCTTTTGCCGATTCGTTTCTCGAGCCTAACTAGATCTCTCTAGATCTCTCTTTTTGCCCACGAGAAAATAATGTTTCTGAGTTGAGCGGAATCTTGCAGGAGCATCGATTGCTCAGCTGCCATGGAACGCTAGCCTCGGGAAAAACGACCTTAGCATATCTTTTGTGCGCAAAATGTCCCCGTGGTGTTCTTTGTGTCCTGGCCCAGAAGCAATCATCAAATACCAATCATTTTGCCACCATGATTGTTGAAGCTGCTCGGCAGAGAAGGCACGACATCGTCACACACTTTGATCTCTGGTACTTAGACCTTATTATCATCATTAACGAGGCCTAGATGTCATATGACGATAACAGGTTATGGCTGGGACTGATCAATTCAATAGGAGGCCCCTTGTCAGCTTTACCTAGTAGTCCACACGTCATTATCAGTGTATAGCAACGAGTCTCGCTGACTCCGTCGATCATGAAGTTTTCCCCGAACATCGGGCTTTTCTATACCCACAATGAATTTGACGATATTATCTCTTTGGTGTATAATAGGCGCCTTTCTTTGCCGCTTGATCATATAATATATAACTATTTGTTTGACGTTACTAATGGTTATCCTAGCACTATAGATAGCCTATTGTCCTATTTAAAGAAGGTATGCTTATTTCTTTTTCAGCTATCTATATCATATTTAATGGCTGTCATCTGGCCTTGGTCTTTGGCTCAGTTTTTAAAGCATGAGAGAAAGCAAATTTCTCCGCAGATATCCGTACAGAGATAGATAGGCCACAATCCGTCTTCGACTACTTAGAGCAATTAGCGATAAGGCCCCGCCCGAGGAGAAAATGACACCGCAATCAGCAGAGATTCTTCGACAAGTCTTGGTTAAAGGAAGCGTCTAGCGAGACCTTACAAATAAAGATATCCGGTAATACTATAAGCAGGGCTGGCTTCATGCTAAGCTTTTATAACCTTGAACAGAATGATATATATATAATTCCTAGAACACTATTTACTATGGGTTCGTTCGAAAGGGCGGCCGTTAGCTGCTTCAAAATATTCACTTTGATCTATCATAAATTTTCCTTTGTAATGACTTGAATCCGAGGGTCCCCAGGGCCGGATAGCTGCGCCTTGATCCCGACCTCCGGAGTGATCGACTCCCAGTCGTCCTTATCTAGCCGTTAGAGAGGCCTATAGGAGAGACGGCCGGTCCTTTCGGTTACTATGAAAGGCCTGGCGGATTGTTGTTGTAATTTAGGCGGCATGTTGTAGATTTTCCTCAGGTGGAGGAGGGCCTACTTAGGGTTTATTTACCTTTAAGACTAGAGTCAAGATTCTAGGGCAAGGGCCCGGGGTTCTAAGCTCACCCGGTGCTCACCCAAACATTTTACCCTCACCCTCAGAAGATTTCTATGGCTGCTTTAGGGTGTGCTGGGTGCTAAGGGCTTTGGACCATTGGCCGCGTTCTATAGGGAGCTTAAGTACGGCTGAGCGGACGAGAAGCCCTGTTCTCCACACCCTGTGGCCGTATGTGCTGTACATTAAAACGAAGGATCAATTAAAAGAATATTATTTTCTCGCTTTAGCGTCGGAGTGTGAGTGGGCAAGGATTCGAAATGAGGCAGTGATGGGATAGTTGTAATCCATGATCATTGGTGTTCATTGAAAAGGTGGCACCTGATGAAACTTCTTTCTCATTCGGAATTATCTCTGCTATGAAACAATTTACTCCATATCTAGAATTCTAGATCATATTCCCTCTACTCTGTTGTATGTCTCTTTTCTTGTGTGTCTCTTCTGGACGGCATCCAAGGGAATCCAGAAAACAGCATTGAGGAACGGAAGAAAGGACTACCGATACTTAGATGTCCTGAAGAGCATTGGCACATGTAGCACAAGTATTCGTCGAGTTGGGAATCAAAGATGGCTAGAGGCCTCTGATCCACACAATGTGCTCCTCGCGACTCTACGCTTTGGTTCTATAGTATATTGGAGAGCCCGACTGAATCAGGTAGCTCAATATGGTCATCTTTGAAGATTGATGACGAGGCTCTAGATGAGACTGTCTGGATGCAATGGGTAACATCGGTGATAAGAAAAGGCCTCATATTAACTGAATCGGCTTCTTAAATGGCAACAACGATCGTCGTGTGGTGAAAGAAGCGATTGGAATACTTTCCAACGGTCAACGTTGGCAAGAGCTTGCTCATGCTGTCACGGGTCGCTTCAACTGCTACTGTCTGGTGTCGCCCCTTCACTCAATGGCATATGCATGTGCATCCATGGGTAGCTTTACAAAAGATATCAAGGTCACAAGTTACCAACTGCGTATCTCTTGTGAATAAATATCTTGAAAACAAATCGAATATTGACTGGTAGTAATACATGCTTAAAGTGCTATATGAACCAATATGGTTCCATCCACTAACGTCGCTGTCTGTTGCCGCCGAGGAATGCTCTCTTTTGGCGAACATAAGCAGCCACCACGTTCTCCACGCTGCGGCGATCGTGCTTGCGGTCCCTAATATTATGATAGTCGTAAGTAAATAGCACTGGAAATAAGTAAGACTGGGCAAGTGAACGAACCGCATATAGTAAAGTCTCGCGCGGCGAGGCTTGCGCTCTGCTCGCTGGACAATCTCCACAGCCTGGACGTTCGGGTTGAACACCTTAATAGACATCTCCACAGCCACACGAGTAAGCTCATTTCGTAGCAAGACTGACGTGTCAATGCCGCGCAGCTTAATACTCAGAACAACACCGTTGAAGGGATCTCCATTCTTGAACGTGAACCGAACAATATCACCCGGCTTGACACTACGCGGGTTCCGGCGGTAATCAAATAGCGCCTTTCGCTCACCCTTGGGATCAAGACTTGCCAATTGCATCTCGGTAACCTTGGCGACTGGGTTTTTGCATACTTTACGGGTGGAGGCTGGAGCAGGGTAGATCTTGATCGGTTTGGGTGCTATCGCCATTATCAGTATTATTCATATGAGATTATTTGGATTGGAACGGAAGGAAGTACCGGCTTCAGGCTGCATGCGACTAGGTAATTGTGACAAGAATTGCTTGGGAAGATTCGGGGGAAGAGGGATACGCTCGGGTTTTTGCGTGTATGCGGTTGAGATGAACCGGCGGCTCATGTGTGAAGGGATTGCATCCTGAGTTCTGATTATTGAACGCAAGCAGCCCAGCTGCCGCATTTTTGGTAGTGCAGCCATGGTTGAATCGGGTTGGAGGTGTGAGATGGTAGTCGGCGTCGAGGAGTTTTGGCTGGGCCGGACCGGCAAAATTTCCGACGATTCTCTTCTCCGCCTACGCGCAGTCCTCACAGATTTGGCTTTTGCTTCAAGAACCACTTTCCTCCACAATTACACCGTCGGTGACTCGCGGAGAACTTTAGTTTTCATTTGTCATGGCTCAATCCGCCATGGGCAGACTTTTCCGCTGGTCTAGCACCACGCGCCACCCGATGGTCACCTTTTCTCAGGCCCGCAATCAATCGACTCTAGGTACATCATGGCTCCATAGATTCCCAATGACCAGGAATTTCCTGCTAATAAACGACATGCTAAAGTTGCCCCTCGCTTTTCCCAAACCGAATCTACCCAATTGAACGATGCCCTTGACCATTGGCGACAATCACGCTTCCTGATCTACGCTCTTCCGCAGCGACAGAGACAGAGTCTCTTCAAGGAGTCACATCATGAGCGACTTACAGTTGAGCCTATCACTGTGAGCATCAGCGAAAATGAGCAATTCACACTCAAACCTATGGCGTTCAACCAAATGCCATCAAAATCGGAATTCCCAGAAGTCTTGGAGTTAATGGAAAAGGCCAACGACTACTCAAACCTTATCCCTTTCCTGATCGCTCTCCGCAAGTCCGGTATCAAAGTACAGCCCAGCCGATGGCAGTACATTATCCGCAAGGCTGCCGAGGCCGGAAAACTCTCCGCCATCCTCGAATGTGCCAAGCAGCGCCAGCACTCTGGCTTCCCCATGCACGATCTTCCCACCGTGCGAGTTCTCTTCGAAAAAATCAACGCACTGGCATTTTCAGAAAACTCCAAGCATAAAGATATCCTTGCTGCCGAGAAGTTGGCGAAGATGGCGGTCGATATCATGGATTGTTACCCCCCGAACGAACAGCCCAAGCCAGCCGAGAACCCGAGGAACCAACCATTTGTGATCAGTACTTTGTTGCATCTCAGTGCCTCTCGTACATCCCAGCTAAAGGCTGATAACAAGGCTGGCCTTAAAAGACAGTCAGCAGAGACCTTGGGCTATCTGCAGAAATATCTTGCAGCCTTGCCTCTAGTCAACCTCTCACCTACTTTCAGCACAGAGACTGAACGAGACCAATGGCTGCATGAAACGAGCGCAGCCCGAACTGCATTGAGCCTTAGTCTTTCGGCTATCAGCGGACTGCCCACGCAATTGAGCTCTAAGGCTGAGGCTCATGTTAAGGAGTTGAAAGCAATTGCTTCTCAATTGAAATCAAAGAAAAGGGCCAAGGTGGCCCCTCAGCCCACAGAGTCTTGATTGATTTTTAAAATGATATGAAGGCATTAACGGGACCTTCAGATTGGTTTTAAGGGCGCCTTTTGGCATTTGTATATTACTATTATTCCAGCATATTTGGAGCTGAGCTTATATTTTACAACATGAATATCACTTCCGTACGTGCAAATTTGCTTTATATACTAGACAGAATTTGTCATTTTTAATACATAGCTCAAAGTCTGGTACAATGCATTGGGCTCAAATGTTGCCTGTGAGCAGGAACAGATACTGCGCCTATAGGTATAAACTATAACCTACATTTTATCAGTTCTGATATGCGAAAACCCGAAATTTGGATACAAACGCTCAAGGACAAGCCAATCAAGTATTTTCCTACAAAACTGCTTAGGAGCTCAACTTCAGGGTGTAATCTTTGCTAATGTGAGCTCTGGATGCAATTGTTGTCTTTCCACCCACAACAGCAGGACCAGATACCGTAAGCTGGGAGAAAAGTAAGCGATTGTTAGAACAATGTGAGAAGCGCGAGAATCCTACCTGTCCCTCCTGGGCGCCACCAGACAGTACACTTTCAGGCACTTCAGTTAACGTGACTTCGATGCTGCTGAGAGGAGGTCCGAAGTGGCTAGGTCCACTAAGACAACGGTAGTCAAAGACATTCGTTTGGGTAATAGCGCCAGCAACGGCAGGACCAGTCAAAGCATAGACAATGCGAGCACCAGTAAATATGCGAAGATCAGTCAGTTGTTCCGATGTAAGGCGGGTAGAGATATCAGCATCCACGCGGTGCGAGACGCACAGCAGACGCAACTTTTCCAAACAAAGTTCTGCAGTCGGGCCGACGCCAGCAAGTTGACAAAAGAAGCTCTTAGATGGCATGTTACCGGCATCCAGAGTCCGTGACTGAACCCAACGGCCGATGGACGAGAGCAAACCAGTTTGAGGCTTCATGACTCGGTCATGGTAATTTGATATGGCCCGGGAAGATGCAATAACCACAGTCGGAGACAAACCCATGGTAGCCAATGCAAAGTCTACATTCTCTCCTGCAACCGAATTCAATGCGATGGAGGCACCGGAGAACAGAGCACCCAAGACCTGGCAAAGCGGGTATGACCGTGAGAGGGAATCGATTGAGAGGACGACATCGGACGAAGTAAAACGTTGGCTTCGAGGAACAGCTGACGTCAAAGCACCAATTGCGGCCACAATATTCTAGGAAGTTTGTTAGAATTAGGGTGACTTATAAAAATAAAAAATAAAAATAAAAGAAGCAGTCTTACCGCCGATTCGAAATCGATAAACTCGCCAGACTCGGAAGACGAGGGCCAAACAGTGCTAACTGCGGGGCTAGGTGTTTTAGGGTCGTAATCTAGGATGTCAAAGCCAGCCAGGTCTTTACCCTCTTCCACAAGTTCATGCCAAACATTCACCCTCAGGCTATCTTTCTTGTCCGCGGGGGCTCCATGCCAATCCATGTGCCGATTCCCTTCCTTCGCAACCCACACAATCTGAGACAGTTGCTCGTTATCCTTGATGATCAGAGACAAATCGAGGGACCCGGCTTCAGCAATGAGACTATCGGCCTGAATGTTTTGCAGATGGGCAGATAGAACATTTGCGGGGAGGTTGTGGGGAATCAGTGTAACCTTGAATTGATAGAAGGCACCAGCTATCATCAGATATTAGCATTTTGGGCGTCTCGTTTAAGAAATCAAATATATACCAAAAATAGCAGCAAGAAGTTCAACGGAATCGGTCAAGCAGATCGCAACGTTCTTGACGCCAGAGCTTTGAAGATGGCGGCCAACCACGTTGATTTCCTGTGTCACTTGATCCAAAGAGTGTTCAATAGAATTCTTGCCCAGCACAGTGTAGATTTTGCTCTGCTTCTTTGCGGCAGTTCCATCTTCATTCAAGGCACCACGTACAGCAGCTCGCCAGATATCGCGCAGATCACCTCGTCGACCGGCTGTCCACTTAGGGGCCCCGGGGTCTCGGATGTTCAAACCACTTCTTAGAGGGTATCCATAAGGGGTTTCCAAGCTGCGGTAGGTTGCCGACTCACCAGCCTGTCGAACGGGGGAAGATGTAGATTGTCGAGCTAAAAGGTATGGGTGAATATCTGGTTCTTTCGATGAAACAACCGCGTAGATAGCGAAGGCAGCAAGAGCGCCAGCGAAGATGGTGGTATAGATGTTCCAGTCAGCCAGAACATCAGCTACCACAGCATCTAATTGATCCATGATGAACTGTAAATCTCTAGATGAACCAGAAGTGAACCAATATAGAGATAATGATGACCGAAATTATGACGTGGAGGGGATAAACCTCGGATAGGCTAAAAAGCGGGCCGGGTCAACTTTTAAACCGGCGTTTAAACTCGCGTCTGGCGTCTCTTGCTTCTCGTATCCCACGAGCAACCATCAAAACATCTCCTGCGCCATGTTTTGATCGACCCCACCCCTTTGCAAACAATGTCAATGCGCCGACTTTTCAACTAACCCTTTAGTCAATTGAGGTAAGTAAGTATTCATCAATTTTGACATCAATTTCGACAAAGGTGAGAGTTCTCTGGCTACAATATCGGGTGTATTATTTACTCACTGAGACTTCAGTTCTGGGTTAGCAATTCGCCGTCTTCGCTTATCTTCTTCATTTCTCTCTGCACTTTACTCGTTGTACCACAAAATGGCTACACAATCTCTTCCATCCACCCCCAAGGCTTCGCGTCCTACAGCTGAGCCATCGGGGTCTGGCACCCCGGGAAATGGCGTCACCCTCAATTAAATGAGATTGTCCGACGCCAGAATGCTGCTACATTTGGTGATAAAAACCTCAAGAAAGTACTGTGGAACGGTGCTGCCTTGGTCCTGAGCTGGACGTTTGGAAATACTTTCAAGTCCTAGTAAGTTTCGTCAATTTTCACTTAAAAATTGGGTTACTAACGAGCTCGGTCGTTTCAGTACTCGCCGTATCTTCGACAATAATCATGTCTATAACCAGCTTCCATTGCTGCTTATCCAACTCTTTTTCATCCTAAACATCCTTTTGGCTGTCTCGCCTCTTTTCCGACCGAAGGACAACCTCAGCGATATTCCTCTTACTCCTACACAACGTCAACTTCTTGGCTTGGATCCTACAGCAACCCCTCCAGCTACACCAGGAACTACGTATGTCACGCCTCCACGGTACCGTTTGTCTACATCGCGCAAAGCTAGTCCCGCTAGCGCAAATCGACAGGGTTCTCCCTTATCTACGACTCCTACTCTTTCGGACCGACCAAACAATTTCTCACCTATCACAAGCCCCTTGTTCCATACGGCAGTTGCAGGCAGAGAGTCTGTCCGAAGACCAAGCTTTGGCTCGTCAATCTCATCATCTCTTGGTCGAAGCAACTCGTTCGGGGAGTCTGGGATGTCTAGCATTGGGCCCAGTACCCCTTCACCTTTGGCTGGTAAATCGCGTGCAAGCTTAGGTGTCAGCAACAGGTGGCTATACGAGAAAAGCAGAAGCAGACGCCTCTCTGCTAGCAACGGGCCCCTTTGATTGGTTTTTTCTTCTTTATTCTTAACTAGGCTTGTATTACTTTTGGAGTTTTTTAGGTCATAGTTTCATTAGCGGATCATTTTTTAGTCAACAAAGAATACCTAAAACTTTCAAGTTACTCCGGTGTAAGATAGTTCTTTATTAGATCTGATGGCGCTTTTTTGGCGGCTCGGGTGATTCTGGAACCACAAGTCCTCCAATAGATACATAAGCCCAGGTACGCAACACCCCAACTGTCCCCGCACAACTATTCAACACCACAATCAACACCGCAACGCGCACCCCTTTAAAATCTTGGAACCGATTCCTCGTCTGCTACATGAAGACACCGTTGTAAGTGACTGGTCTTCACAGCGATGGGGGCATCGGAGTCAAAGCTTGTATTTAAGCAGGGTATCTTCCGTCTCTCTGAGGTGCAGGAGATCCCCGCAGACGACCCCTACTGGACAAGAGTATGATATTCTATCTTTTACTAAAAGCCTGAGTGGACTGACCGGATGAGTAGTTTTGGGAACTGCCTGAATCCACCGAGGATGTCTTCAGCTTGTTCACCCCGGCTGATATTCGACGAACGCGCGACAATGCCTTATCGAACTTCGAAACGCTACTACTTTCGGTCTCCTCTCGGCTTATCGTCTTGAAAAATCATCCTTCGTTCCCTGATCCCGACCTAGCTCCCGATCGTGATGCGCTCAACTGCATTCGTATTCTTACTCGACTCCTCCCTTTCGTCTACGAAGCCGAGCATCTGGAGGGCTGGGAGGATAAATTCTTCTGGTCTCGTCGCAAGAGGAAGACTCGACAAGCCCAAATAACAGGGGAGGTTCTCTTTGACGAAGCACGGCCGGAGGACCAGCAAGAGCAGTCTTCCGATGAATATGAGGATGTAAAGCCTTTGGCAGAAGAGCTGATCGATACGCTTCTCGGCCTGCTTTTTTTGCAGACTTTACCATTCCATTGCTTCCCACTGCGAAGAGCAAAATCTCATGGTCAATCTGGCAGAGTGGTGTTGGTTGCAATACGGCCATGGGATCCAACAAGACTATGGAGAACAATCGATGCGAGATCCTGCGGTTATTGCTGACATTGACAGGAAAGGCCATGTACATGCCTTCCAGTAAGTACAAACCCTCTTAATACTGAGGTTTCAATAGCTAACACTCTTTCTTCAAAGACGTTCTTCCAGTTCAAGGAGTCAAGGCAATCACCTACATCACCACTTGCCAGGAAAAACAATCTGTCTTGACACTTCTATGTTCTCTCCTGAACACAGTAAGTCACTCCGAGCTCCATTTCATCCAAATTGACCAATGCTGACTTTAAACAGGCTATGAAGTATAACCCCGCCTCGTGGAGGGTCCCATATGATCATGTCGTCTGGAAAGACCCAAAACAGATCTTAGTGATCTACTGTCTACAATTTCTCCTAGTTCTCCTTCTGTACCCCATTCCAGAAGATGGCCGGGGGACCCCACCCAAGAATTACTATCGGCACTTCTTTGGAAGGTTGCATAGGCCTGAGGACTTCCAATTTCTCGTGGATGGCATGACGAGAATTCTCAACCAACCTGTAGGTCGAATTTTACGTGATGACAAACCAAAACTAAACCCATCGCACAGATGCAAGCTACCAATTCATATCTTCCTGGGAGTCAAGGATCGGTCAAGTGGGCACCTGAGATCTTGATCTTGTACTGGGAAGCCTTGCAGTGCAACAAGCGCTTTAGGTCCTTTATCATTGACTCCAACCGTTCACATGACTTTCTGATACTTTGCATTTTCTATGCGATGGAGTACAGAATGGATGCATCCAAGCAGGGTGTTGTGCGCATGTGCATTTTCATTCTTCAGACTATGAGTACAGAGTCCAATTTTGGCAAGAGCCTTAACATGAAATTTGAGGCACAAGAAACACTACCACAATCTATCCGATTGTTGAAGTTTCGTGGATCCTATGCTGATTACCTCGTCATGGTATGTATTCGTCTCCTTCAGTCTCGTGAACTCTTTACTAACTTTAATAGTCCATTCACACTCTGATTACAACCAGTAAGGGAAAGCTCGATACCGTCTACCCGGCTCTTCTCATAGTTCTCAACAACGTTGGCCCCTACATTCAGCACATATCCCCATCAGCCTGTTCCAAGATCATCCAGCTCTTCTCTTCCATGTCAGCACCTAGCTTCCTGCTGGCCAATGAGACAAACCACACTCTTCTCGCATCATTGCTAGACTTTATAAATGTGATGATTGAACACAATTTTGCCAGTAAGTCCAGTTTCAAATCAACCGACCAAGCTCTCCCACTAACCCTATCATAGAAAACCCATACCTTGTCTATTCAGTCTTGAAGTATAGACAGAAGTTTGAGGCCGTGCGGGCATTTACCCTTGAAAGTGGGCAGCAAGAGATAGAACGAAAGAAAGAGAAACAAAAGGCTGGAGGAGAGACTACCAGTGAAATCTCCAGCCCGTCTCTCTCCCATTCAGAAGAAGATATGACTCGGCCACCCTTGACTCGTATCCCTGAGGAGAACAGTGCCTTTACAATTGGCGATGATGATTCAGATGACGAAGAACAGCAGACTCCGTCCCAGTCATCTCCCTCGGCTCAGAACTCACGCAGAGCATCCGTAGCCTCTAGCGATGAGCCACATGTGCGAGGAATGTCAGAAAAGGCGCGTGGTAAGAAGCCTGCTGGACAACCATCCTTTTCACGACAAAACAGCATGACCAGCCAGACCAGCATGTCCGCTCTGTTCTTGACCTCGCCTTCTGGATTTACGCCCACTGTGAACTGGCTTGAGTCTTGGCTTCCGGAGCTTCCTCTGCACACAGTTCTTACGATAATTTCCGCAATTGCACCCCACATCCCGGACACAGCTCTTCAGGCTGTTTCCAGCCATGAGGCTCGTACTCTCATTCATAACCTACCATCCTTCGGTGAAGAACCACAAGTCAAGAGCATCATCTCCGAACCGACCCCTGTTCGTGCCCAACCATTTGAGTGGTCAGCGCTTTCGATGGGCTGGTATGAGTCACTACTGTGGGGATTCATTTTCTCGAGTGAAATGGTAGTTGGATCTGGAGCTACCCCAGGCACAGTGGGAGTGTGGAATAATACAGCTATTGTGCTCTTCCGGGTTCAAGAAGCAGCTGCCCAAGGTCCAACACTAATGGCTCCGAAGGGTGCAGTGGATGCAGTTGGAAGTAACCTTGTTCAGCGGATTGGAAATCTTAGTCTCCGAGGTAATTCAGCAACTCAGGCTAGCAATAACTAGTCAAGAATCTAATTCTTGCTAACATCATGCAATTCCGTACAATTGCTTTTGTAAGCCAGGCAGTATTTAACTTCAGATCAAATACTCTCTCATATTCTGTTTATTTTTATTTTTATTTTTATTAATATTTATATTTCCACCTCTACCGTGATTTGCCAAGGGTTTCCACTTCTACTGTGATTTACACTGCCAAGGGTCCAGGCTAAATAACTTCAACAAATCTGCTGAGACCCACACAGTACTTGCAATCCGCTAAAGTCAGCCGGTAAAACAAGTAACTGGTACTTATTGGTCCAATGTCTAAGGTACCTTAGGCGGGGCGTCAATAGTGCCCCTAAGTAGCCCCCACGAAGCTATGGCATTTTGTCTCAAGGTGGCGCAGACTCCAAGACCATAAAATTGGTGAGGGGCTTGGAGTCTTGGCCCCTTGTATCACAGCAATTCAACTGAAACGTCAAGTTGGGGAAATTCTTAAACCTGAACTTAGCATTCTTCCGTTTCTTTTCGCTCTGATTTCTGAATACCCCCGTCCTTGCGCTTTGTTTCTTACACTTACGCAGTTGTTCCTCACATCGCGAGTTGTACTAATTCATCTCGACTTCTCGAACTTATTTCCACTTCTGTTTCCCCTTTTATATCAACCCACCATGCAGAGCATGCAAAGACGGTTTGGCCGTATGACGACCAAAAGCACTGCCGATGATAGTCAGGTCGCTGTCCTCATGAAGGACTTTGAAGATGCTGATATGCTGTTGACCCGGGTATGTGGCCCTGTTCGCGCGACTGCTGGTTATTAAACTAACCCTATCTCTACTTGGCTAGATCATCGATCACACTGCAGCCTGGCGCGATGCTTGGGTATCTGTTGTCACCTTCCAGAGCCGCATGGTCGACGAGTTCGACGGAATGTATGCGCCTATCATTGGCTCTGCCGAAATGCCCACGCCACATGTACCAGTAGCCACAGACCGTGCGATATTGTCTCGAACCAACAGACTCCGTCGAGACTACGATGAGCTGCGTGAGGATTTGATCAGGGAGCTGAGTGAGGTGGACCAGCGTATGACGCAGCCAGCGGCGTCGGCAAAGGACCTGATTATACCTGTGAAAAAGACAATCAAGAAACGGAATGATAAAAAGGTAAGAGGACGTTCGCCAATGCAATGATAGCATCTGAACTGACCCCATATAGTCTGACTTTGAACGCGACCAAGCCCGTGTAGATGGCCTCATCCACAAACAGAGACGTACCGATAGCGAAAATATAAAGCTCGCCAAATCACAGATTGATCTGGCTAATTCAAAAGAGTTGTACGGTGCCGCAGACGATGACCTCCGCCAACGTCTCCCAACTCTCGTTGCACTTCTCTTCTCCCTCTCGCCGATAATTCTCAGAGCACAGATCGAGATCCAGAACCGCATGCTAGGAACCTACTACACGGTCCTGCACAACTTTAGCCAAGACGAGGGATTCCCATCTCCACCCCCACCAATGGGCCAAGTAGTGCAAGACTGGGACATGGCCCAGAGACCCGTACAGGACGAATTCGAAAGCTTCGGCATCCTAACACACGGCAAAGCTATCCGAGAAGCACAAGTCCAAGAGGCACAAAACCAGAACCAGACCAAACGACCCACTCTCCGCGGCCACTTCTCAAGCTCCAACCTATCCATCAACAAAAAGCAACCCGCGCCACCACCGCTTCTAGCCCCAAAACCCTCATTCACACATTCCATACGCTCCCTCTCACCCAGCTCATCAATCACAAACCAAACTCCACGCGGCTCAGTCTCTGCCTCGGTCGCCAGCTCAGCAAGCACTTATTCCCTCCCTAGTGGAAACGGCTCCTGGACTCCAGAACCCCCAATTCCCAGAGCTCCGAGTCCACGAGCAAAGCCTACTGGCCTCTCATTCTCGCCAGCGGGTCCTACCTCTGATGTCTTCCAGCGCGGCCGTCAAGCTGGACCAGCTGATACATTGTCTGCTGTGGCTACAAAGAAGAGACCCCCACCACCCCCGCCGCGTCCTGTCACTAAGTTTGTGACTGCTGTCTATAGCTTTGGGGGCCAGAGTGCGGGGGATTTGTCGTTCCGAGAGGGTGACCGTATTAAAATCATTTCTAAAACTAATAGTACAGATGACTGGTGGGAGGGTGAGTTGGATGGTGTACAGGGTTCTTTCCCTGCAAACTATGTGGAGTGAGTGCGATGCTTCTATATTTATTCAACGTTACATATCGATACCATAGACCTTTTTGCTTGACTAGTTTATAATTTGAAATATGGATTTGAGAAACACCTAGGCAACTTTTGAATGTTGTTTGTTGCGTATAACCTTGGAGTAGCCGTGCTCTGGTGATATGTTAATCGTTGTGGAGCATTGAGAGGGTACTTTGGGGTCATTACCTGCCCAAGTAGATATGCAGGTAAAAGAGGCTGGAGATTGTACCCCAGTAGGCATGGGTAATAGGAATACCAATAATAGATATATATATATATATATATATATATATATCTGGATTAGAAGTTGCAAGGAGTCAGGAAGATACCCTGTTTCACCTCCAACGCCTGTTATTTAACACAAATTTAGCTCAGCCTGTGGGACTCTGGCCTTACAACTAATAAATGCCTTAGGATTAGCTAGCTAGCTAGTCCTTTACGTTTTGGATGTTTTGCGGGGAATTATATGTTTTCACTTTATTTATGAAAAGTTATTAATAAATGCAAAAACGGGTCAGCTTATATCAACCAGCACCAAGTGGTCTAGTGGAACTAGACTGTCTTATCTTCCTTGGTCTAGTGGTCATGATTTCCGCTTGTCATTAACACCGATAAGCGCGGGAGACCGGGGTTCGATTCCCCGAGGGAGAGATCTTTTTTTTTTTTTTTGTTTCCTCCACTATACCTTGAAAGTTGTCTATTTCTTCTATTTCATGGCTGTGGGAAAAGCCCCCGGGGTGAATTAAACTTCTTTAATACAATAGTAATGATATTGTTGTTGCAAGTTTGTAGTATACATCGCGCCAACCATAGAATGAATGTTCAAAGGAATTTTCAACGAGTGGATGGGGGAAATATATCGAGGGAAGAATATAAATGATAATCTTGCAAAGCTCAACCCCAAAGTAAACAGGAAAGAAACACAAATTAAAGAAAAACATCGTCTTTACTACCAGAGACCGTTCCATCTGGGTGACGCCGACTGTCCAAAAACATATCCACCATGCGTTTACTGGAGAATGTAGGGCGGAGTTCATGGAGCTTGTAATATTCACTCATGATATCATCATGTTCCTCCTGCTGCCTCTTATTTTCATTGTTGAGTCCACGAGAGTCGCGGTGTGATCGCACTGACCGAAACTGACCAGCTCTTCCTGTGGCGATTGGGCGTCGAATTGAGTTGCGCTGAGACTGCTCCTGCGACCATTTAGGCTTCTGCAGCTCACAGACAGGACCAGTATAGCGAGGTGAAGGCGTAGGAGACTCGAGCATTTCGGGTGAATTGTGCGATCTCATGCGCATGGGTGACAGCATTGGAACAGGAACTTGTCCGATTCTAGGTGGACCGTTTTCATTGGTACTGGTGGTGATGCTGGAGGAGCCCTTGCAGGTATAATCAAGCTCCCCATTGGGTCCTGGCTTGATGGTCCGCACACTCGAAGATCGACTGAACGGACGGGAGAAATTGCTCTGGAGCGACGGCTTCCGATCAACCAACGGCTGCATATTGACGTATTCATGGGAATTAATTTTTTTCGAGAGATCAGTGAAGTCTGTGTTGGGGACAGGTACTTGTCGCAGCATGTTGGTGAGAGACTCGTTATCATCTTCAAATTGGGCATCCTCTCGGAAATGCCCTGTTACCGGACTTGTGCGGTCAATTCTCCCAACCTGTGTGTTCATCCACTGCTTCCAGTCCGCACTTGGCTGAAAGTAAGCCCTGGGAGGAACGGGCCCAGTAAGACGTGTTGGCGAACCATAGACTGTTCGCTCGGAAGCAAAAATGGTTGCTGTTCCCGGCTCTTCGGCTTCTGAGCCGCAAAGTGTGGCACAATCAGAATCTTCTGCTATTGCAAGATGACCGCTGCTTCGTGAGTATGTGCTGGATGGACTGAATGATCTTTTCACTGGGGGCCCAAAACGAGAGAGAATCGCACTCTCAATGTCCTCGTCTGACTCTTCACCGATAGTGTATGGTGAAGTCGCTATTCCTTTGTTCAAATAAGAAGAGGGTCGACTTTTCTCTTGACTTGGCCCATAGCGAGATATTAGAGTTGGAGGGATAGGCCGAATTGTCCGCAAATTATGCTTCTGCGGTGACAATGAGTCACCCCGTGCTGTCGCAAAGGATCTGGGTGAAACTGATACGATGCTGGGGGCATTACAGACAGTGCGCTTGCTGTGGTGGGAGTAAACCGAGGAAGTACGGGCAGGGACACGGTGCTCTGACACATTGCCAAGGACGATCTCTTGCTCAGGGTCATCCCTAGTATCTCTTTCCATCTGCTGTACCAATGCTGCATACAAGTCCTGACTGTAGTTTGATCCATCCAATTTGCGGGAGCTTCCCCTCATATGTGACGAAGACTGACAGGTTGTAGAATGATGGCTAGACAACTGAGGTAGATCATTGGCAAAGGATGATGATATGGGGCGCCCGGTATTGCGAGTGGTTACAGTATTTGCAACAGTAGAATCTGCCCAACTGGTGACCCGTGAGTTTGATGTGCAAATGCTGCCGCGGCTGGGAGAATGCTGCATCGAGGCCCGTAGAGAGCTGGAATCTGTGGTATTTTCAATCACATTCGCTCCGCTAGTCTTGCCTCCCATATAAGCTGTAACCACAACGGAACTTTCCGAGGCGTTGGATTCCGAACGGGACATAGCACGCTGCTCAGCAGTCTTGGAGAAACCAAAGACACGGCGAAGACCATGCTTGATGGTTGCAGAGATAGTACGGGCTCTTTCACGCGATAATTTCATGTTGATCTGCTCAGGACTTGCTCCAATACCACTCCCACTCGAGAGACGGAATGACTTTCGAAACGGCTTGTGCTCTTTACCGTGCCGCGACGAGAAGAAGGATGAGCGCCTGGGTTGAATACCTGCAGATCTAGATTCTTTGAAGAACTTTTCACGTGCGAGCTGAATGGCATCCTGACTCTTGGCAGGTCGAACTTCTCGAGAACTTTGGCTGATACCTCTAATGTAAGAAACCGAGTCTGAGTGCCGCAATGTCCGTGGAAGCTCAAAGGCAGAGCTATCGGGATCGCAAGAGCCTCTTTTCGGGATGGAGGGTGCTCCATGCGTGAAATACGACAAGCGCTGTCGAGTTGAAAACATGGATTTGGCTTTGCGCAGTCGGCGATATGATGAAGGTAAGGAACTATCACGACCATCCAGACCTCCAAACTCATTAATTGGTCGGAGTATAGCTGGATCTTCACCATCAGGAGCGCAAGTTGTTCCATGAGCACCTGAAAATGGACAAGGTGTGACTGGACGTGTGGCAGATGCGGGAAGTGAAATCCTGTCTCCAGCGTAGCGAAGGCTCGAATTGGGACGAAGCCGAGGGACTGCTACAAGTAAAGGGCCTCCGAGGCGATCGTAAGCATTCGATGATTCATTTGATGAGCGACCACTAGGGCGCATGGCTCGTGAAGCTGCAGCCGTTGCTTGGGCTTTGGCAAGCTCTGGGTCGAATCTATCAGTATCTGAGACGGGGCGGCTTCTTCTCATGGAGCGAGTGGACATAGACCGTCGAAGTCTGTCTTGCGTTTTGGATGAGGAAAACATATTGTAAAATGTCTGCACTATATTTGGTAAAGTCCGTATGAAGGTGCATGTGCTTGAGGAAGAAGATGGTGGGATGAATGGGTCCATGATTACGAGTGTTATTATTTAAGGAAAGAGCAACTTCTGTTGTGGAAGGTACAATTTCTGTCTTGCCGCTACGTTAAGACAACCTTGGAATGAAATGAACATTGGAATTAGTCGACGGGTAATAGTGATGTTGAAATGATCCAGTTCTAGCCCTAATTAGGATGAAAGTGAAGCCGCTCAATCGAGCTAGTTCAGATTCGTTACCTCCCCTCACCATCTCTCTATCATCAACTCTCTTGCAAGTCAAAGTACTGACAAAGTTGAAAGGGGATGCGACCCTAAGGATTTCTATGACCTGTTCCTACCCATCATTAAGTAGTAGTGGGTCAAAGCTTTAACGTCCTCGATCTAAAAGATTTTTGCTAGATCCCATATCAATCAATAGTAATCGAAATGTACGAAACGGGCGTCACCACCGTGGATGATAACGTCTGGATTATGAAAGGCAAATTGACCACTGAGGAAGAATGCCGAGCTGGTTGATCTGGACCTGGACGAGAGAGGAAGCCTGCTTTTTGGAAAGAGGTATATTACATATATCAATATACAATATATGTAATATAGAATGGAAGCTTTTAAGGTTGACTAAGTCACAATTTCAAAGCAGCATATACCTAGGTAGATAAGTATAGGACTGTAGTTGCCGCTCATATATCTCATATGTATTCAATGCCTTCTACTAAATTATTCCAGCTCTTGTACTTATTGTATTTGGGACATTGGAATAAACTTCAAACCCGAAAAGCTTTTGGAAGAGATGGGCCTTGTATAGGCAATTGAGCCCGGAGGTGGACTAGGCGCACGAAGTAAGGTGAAGGTAGGAAATGGAAATTCATTTTTCGATCTTCGTGTCCTTGAATCTTCTCTTCCAAAGTTTAAGGTTCACCATTGCATATCTTTCCTTCCCTTGCAAAGTACACCCAGAAGTAAACAGGTAAACGGGTAAACAGAAACAGATAAATAACAATTTCGAACCACTAGTATCGGATTGATATGGACAAAAAATTCCTTTAGTCCACGGGTATATTTAAAGTCCAGCATTGGTTCAAGATTATTTATACCAGATAGTGCCATCTTACAATGTTGCTCCAAGGAGTTAGGTAGTCGTATCAATAGGACCTGTTGCATTTAGCTCGCCAGTAGAACCCAAAGACTTCAATGGGAAGGGTAATGCCTTTAGCTACTAATGCACTTAAGTACGTGATAAAAACTTCCCAGGCATTTACTTAGATAGGTATCTAACTCGCCGTGCTCATGAGGTAGCTTCCGCGTTATGAATTTCATCCCTGGTACGAGCGTTTGAACCATGGCACAGGCAATTACTACCAGATTCTGACAAATAAATATGATACGGGCTCGGGATCGCCGTGCTCATGAGGTAGCTTCTGCGTTATGAATTTCATCCCTAATACGAGCGTTTGAACCATGGCACAGGCAATTGCTACCAGATTCTGATAAATAAAGATGATACGGGCTCGGAGAACTTCAGGAGTTCGATGATCCAAGATTAAAAGGAAGGGCCGAGCCGCGATTCATGTGTACACCCAGGTAGGGAAATGTTCGTTTACTAAGGTACGAATTTCCTAATTAGTTAGTACTAAACGAGTGAAGAAACTTTAATCACTGAATCAAATCAGAACTCAATTTTAATGAAAAGTACGTTTCATGAATCATCTTCCAGTTGCATCGGGCTTAACGTGTCTGACGTGTTCCATACCCACTTTGACATGATATTGTGGAATCAATTGAAGAACAACTGTTGTGTACTTGTAGTTGGGCCGTCAGTAAATAGTTAGGCAGGTCTAAATAGGCTCAAAGAAGTTGGATCTTAGCTTCGAAGATGACCGAAATTGACCGAAAATGACAAGCGCATCCTGAGTAAAAACAGACGCGCTCTTGAAATTACGGTACAGAAATACGAGACGTTCCCACTGATCTGCCCCCTTTAACTCATACAGTGGAGACAAGTGATGAAACATGGTGATCTGACCTGTGGCTGAGTTAGTCTCAAAAATCGATATTGCACCGAAAAGGGGTAAGCGCGGGAAGCGAAAGAAGAAGAAAAAGGAACTGAAGGCCGAGAAAGCTAGGACCCACTCATACAGTTACGGTGACTTCCAGAAAAGCGTTCTTTCTGAACTGTGGGGTGCCTTTGGATCCTCATTTATGCCCGTTCAGCCCCGTGTTTCTTATGATTTACCGGTACTGTTGGACTCCATACCCCTCAACTGTGTAGCTAAGAACTGGACAAGCTACTTTAAACTGAACTTCTATACCGAAAGCCTAATTCATGCCAATTTACCAATTCTAACCTCGTATCCATAATAGGATCCCCAGGTAGCAGTGAAATCTAAATTATGAGCTAAGATAGAAATTGCACGGACCCCCTTCAAGTCCAAGTCCATGTCACCGAGTGGAGTATGCTTTTATTTAGATCGGGTATTCCTTTGGCTTCTACCTAAATAATACCTGAAGTCTTCTCTTAGGGGTTGATGCTCGGCCCCCCTTTTCCACGAGGGATTATGTGGATCTGGAAAATTACATACTGTACGGAGTACAGAGTATTGTCAGATCAAGATCTCTTTAGGCGGTGTAAATATGCGCGCTGTACTAGCTCAAAAAAGATTAGATGAAGTAATATATGAACTAGCACGGATTACTACCGCTATTTATGAATTGTCAACTAAGATTGATAATCAATTATTAAGTTTTAAGGTTTAATATTAAGTAGACAGCTGTTGGCCCTTTTTTTCAGATCAATCACATTAAAACCTTACTAGGCACTAAGGTACGTAGTATTTGCTATTCCCAGACTCCCCGACTCCCGAGTCCCAAGTTCAATCAGTTTTTCAAGGAATAACTTCAAGGTCACAGCCATGCTCCAGTCTCCAGAGCTCCCAGAATAGTATATGAGGAAATACTTTTCGTTTCATCTTCATCTCACCCTCCTGTCAATGGAGAACATGTACGGAATACGGGGTACGTAGATGCAGGATCCACCCTAAACTTCGAGTATAGAATTCCAAAATTTAAACATTGGAGGATCGCCCCCAATGATCTAGGCAAAGGTCTATTAGTAGCACGTGTACCATCGAAATAGAAAGAGTGGTAAGGTTCTCAGTGTGCCAGACGGGAGGGTATTTTTAATGTTGGGGGTTGGGGGTTGAATAAAGAGAATGTTCTTTATTGCTTCGATTTCACGTGGCCCCCCCCCCCCCCCCCCCTGCGGCTGAAAATATAGTTTCTGTCCAACCGAGCTTCAGGCTGATTTGCTCAGTTGTGGATGGTAAATGGCCAGTTCTAGCCACTGAACTTGAAACAGATTAGAACTTTTGATCTTAGAGAGAACGGGCCGCCTTTGGAAGTCATTTCGTGGCTATGCTGAAGTATAGGAAAATAATGGAATTACTGATAGAAGGTAATCAAGGATGAAAAATAATTCATGAGATGCAAATGGAGAGCATGTTATCAATGCAATGAGGTATCTAAACTAATCCAAAAAGAAAAAAGCAAATGACATGAAGAGAAGGAAAAACATCCAGGCATTAAAAAGACCAAGATAGAGAGCGAAAGTTGGGGTATGGCATGAAATAAACAATAAAAAATGTAGCCGGATCAGCCGGAATCAAAAGACGTATGCGATAAGAAGATATCGCAGACTAGAAGAAGCGAGAGAGGTCGATCACCGATCGACAAGATGTCCAGCGCCGCTGCCACCAGTGGCAGATCCCATGATGTTCATGCAATTGGTAGTATTTGTCCACTACCCCATTTTGCGCCAGTAGCGAAAGTGTGTAATTTTTAATACAAATCAGAAAAAAGAAGGCCGCCATTGTTATGAGTTGTGTAAAAGAGAGAAGTGCTGATAGGACGGAAAGTTGGTAGCAAATGAGCCACACATCCTTCAGTTCCAGCCTGAAAAGGATGGGTGATGTTCATGTACGTCGTATTTCGAAACATTTTACATGTTCGAGCTGGACATATTTGCTGACTCGCTGAGGAACTCTGAAGGAAGCTGACGCTTGAAGTTTCGTGGTTGTGCAAAGGGAGATGAAGACGCTGGGCGTCGCAAGTTCAGTTGCTGGGAGGTCGTCAGTATTCTTGTTCCTTTCTCGCTTTATGAGCTCTTAGGTCTGAAGTACGTACCCTACAATCAGAGCATTTGGAGCCTCTTTGGTTGACACGGCCTCGGCATCCTCGGGGTTGATTTGCGCATGAGTACATTGTGAAAGTAGTGGTATCGCAAATCCCGGTTCAAGTTTTTGTTTTGGTTCCAAGTTCAAATTCCCAGAGTGATCAGTGGTAGATCAAAACCGATATCAACGGCAGGTATAGAAGCAAAGGCTAAAGCGAAAAGGGAGAAATCGAGCTCAAGGAGGAAAAGGAAAAAAGGCCGATGACGTCGTAAAGGTCCGAGTGTTGGAGTCAGAAGTAAGGGTGTTTGTGGGAAAAGGAAAAAAGCGAGAGAGAGAGAGAGAAGGTCAAGGGGTCTTATATTCATATTCCCTTGAGGTAAAACATCGTAAAAATGATAATAAAATAGAATTACCAAAAAATAATATTAAAATAATAAAAATCAAATAAGGAAATAATATTAAAAAAACTAGAATTATTTAGGGTTCCATTGTTACGGGTAACGGAACGGCGCCGTTTGTTAGAGACCAAAAGAGAGCGAGAAAGACTGGTGGTTTTTTTTTATTTTGCTTTATTTTTCGTCCTTTCTTAGTAACTCCTCGTATTTCTCGTTTTTTAATTCCCTTTTCATACTTGTTGATTTTTATATGGTCTATCTATGCTGATTACTATACATAGTAGCTATGTTAAGAGCCCCAACTTCTTTTTTTATAGGGAAGATCCTTCAATACACACTCTGACAGCGGTCTAGCCTCTACAGATCGATCCTAACCCTTTAGACCCGGCAATGCGGGTTTCTGATCTGCTTCAGATGTTCGGAAGGGGGGATGTTAGCCAATAACAACAAAAAGAACTCAAAAAGAATGTGAGATAGTCAAGTGGACGTCTGGAATGACTTGCTCTCAATCCTCCTTTGTTACAGGGCTTTTGTGGAGCCGGTTGACGTAGTAGCTTGGAGCTTTTTTTTATAGAACTTATTTTGGATTTTTCGAAACAGTATCTATCAAGCTCTCTCGAGCATCAGATAAAGTGTTTTGGGGTTTGTATTGCCGAGACTTAAGGCTGAACTCCGGGGCTTTGGGAGATAACTTTGGGAGGGCTAGAGGGCTAGATGGCTTTAAGGGCTTTGGGCTGAGGCAGGGGGTTGTATTTCCCTTCCTTTTATTTTGCTTTCCCTCTGAGCCCCTTTTTCCCTATTTCCATTTTTCCCTGCCCCCTCCCCCTCATACCATCTGTCACTCTGTTTTGAGTTAATGTATTGTGATACCTGATCTAGGCGATTGCCTGTGGGGAATGAATATTGGTAGCGAATGCACGGAATAACCATGACCTTAAGAAAACAGCCTTGGTTCTGGACCTCGGGAGGCATTGGATATTCTGGTCATTTCCCCGCTATAGATTTATACTTTCAGGCTTGTTCGTACGGAGTATATTAGAGGATTTTCCTGTTTAGGGCCATCTCCAAGGCTTTCTGGTAGGCTGAGGCATCAGCCCTGTCCATGCCACCTTGATATCTTTGGGCAAATCAAGACTCATAATATGGTTCCGCCACTTTCTCCTACTGTCTTCCCTGTGTCTTCCCTACAGATGGATGTCTTCCCCCCTGTATATACAGCCCTGGTGTGATCAATGTGCCTAGGTGAATGTGATCAATGTCACCTGCCATAACCAGAATGCAAATATTTCCATGGTTGATGAGAGGGGCACGGCAATTTGCGCTCTGTTATTGTGGAGGCTGTGGAGACGGACCTTTTTCCGTCTGCTGTTCCGCTTAGAAATATCCATGCATATATCGTTTCATCCCTCCTGTCTTTCAGCCATGAACACTCTATGCATACGAGCTTCAACATAGAATCGGATGCCGGAACTTAGCCACTCCGAATGAGATCGTAGGGCACGCCATGAATTATAGCTACCTAGGTACTATTTTACAACCTTGGAACGCGATCATGACACTATACTCCTAGGTACTTCCTTGTTCATTGCTCTATGACCTTAGACTTCCATGGTTCATAGTTATCTAATGGATCTAGAGGTATTGTTGCCCTGTGATTTCCAGAAGTAAATGTATTCTATGGATGTAAATACCTAAGGTACTTACTAGTTAATCCTTTAACCCTACTGGTCGCAATGGAAGTTTCGTTGCCGTATCGGATAGATTGAAAACGCTGAATGCTGATTGATCTTCTCTAAACACATGCAGATACCCTACAAATATAGAGATGTGTCCATCGAAGTTCGAGGTCAAGAGAAAGGATTAGCATAGGTCCTGTTGGCTCTGAATCACGGAAATGACGACAAAACGCCGTAAAGCCGCACACTCCACCTTTGGTCTCCCCTCCAGAGCTATGACTAATTCTATGGTATCTATGGACAACCGAAATATATGACCACAAATACGATGCGTCACAGTACATAAATACATACAGAGTCTCCTACCTACTTGGGTAGAACGTACCTTACGTCCAGTTTCAAGGCCAACTGCAGATCAGATGTAGATATCCGTGAAAGAACGTTGGAACCTTGGAGTTCCGCAGTGAAAACATCGCACAGCCTGAAGGTCTAGAAGAGATTCGAAGCTATATAAGGTATAGAAGGTGGGTACTGGAACACATCGGAATTTGGGCCACCACATCCAGAAAAAGTACCCTACTCCACTAACGTGTGATCATTATGACAGGGCGTTAACAAGTGGATGAAACAAGGCGGTCTGGATCCGAGCGTAGGTAGGGATAAAACAGGTTACAGGCTTAGAAGAGATCCAAGGTTGTTTAATAATAATTGAACCTTGTAAGCAAACCAATGACCATTGCTAAGCACGTGAGGTCTTGGCAATACAATCAACACAAGCGATCATTCAATTTGCGCTTAGTTTAGGCGTCCTGGCTATTCTGACTCATACATTTATATGCGGCTGATCCATTTTATGTTCTAGTATGCCTCGAGATGGCGCCACGGCCCGCTACAAGACTTTATCTGAAGGTTCTAGGCCCTCTGTAATAAGCTCTCGTTCTCACCATTCAATTAAGATTTGGTCTCTTGATTAAGTCTTCATTTCTCATATCTCATAATTTCACAACTCAAGGAGTTTCTAAAGTTGAAAGAATAGACCGTACCGAACTTTGGAAAATAAGATGAAGATGAAGGTTCATCCCCAAGGCCATTAGGCTTCCCAGAGCGATGAAAACGATACCCATGCACCAAGAGTCACCAATATTGATGCAAACAGTAGTCCGTTTCCTTCCCAGGTCAAACCCAGGTACGCGAGCAAGCCAACAACAACCTCTTTCCGCCGAGCGGCATCTCTCCGAGACTTCCAACCGGGGTCAATTGCAAACGGAGCCATCGCTCTCACATCGCTTTGCTCTGTTTCAGGGGATAGATGTGAGGGATTAAGAGGAATTGAAACAGAAAGCGCAACAGGACGGTGGTCTGATTGCGGGAAAAGAGGGAGGGCAGTGTACACATGAGGGTTGACTCCCCGCCCTTCTCCGGTCCGGGGTAGACTGTCTAGGTACAGGATCCGATCGCACCAGCTAGGCCATCGGTGATTAGACCATATCCATTCTGATTCTGCCTCGGGCTGTCCGTTTTCCAGATTGAGTGGTGCTGCCTTGCGTGCCGCGTCAGAATATTTGTAAGTGGGCGGGAAGTCGACTGGAGCTTCAGATAATCCATGGAAGCTTCTGCCATGCTGCATCTCACGCCTCAGCTGATCTTCCCTGAAGAGATTAGAATAGTGGGAGGAATGATTTCGGTCTACACCAAGCCGAGGGAAACGTGCGACATCCTCTTTCTCTGGTCCTTTACTTGAGGTACGGTAGTTGAGGTCACCAGCCAGGAATAGGTACGCGTTGGGAGCAAAGAGATCGGTTCGGCGACCCTTTGTGCGATGTGATGGTCCTTGGTCACGCAACAGGACAGTAGCCTCATCTAGTGCTTCTCCGTCGAAACCATTTTGATTTTGCCAATCTGATCCCTCCTGTGAAAATACTAGTCGTTCAACAATACTTTTCCAATCGAGGTTTCGTTGTTCCAAGGCATCTTCCATTGGCGCAAGGTGCGCAGCAACAAAAGTCACATCCACGGTATTTTTCTGGCCCTTGATCATATAGCCCAAGCGTGCGCCGACTGCGCCCTTGTTCCCCATCTCTTGTACTCCAAAACCGACGTGTGCGTTGTCAATCCATGAAATCTGGTCGGTGACGTCAGCACGTGCGAAGACCATCAGAGCTGTCATGCCAGTATGATCCTGGACCACGTTGACATAAGGCTGCCTCCACCTTTTTGAGGTGGCCTGTTTGACAGCCTGGTTGAAGGCGTCAAAGTAAGGATCTAGATAAGACTCGCCCAGAAAGGAATAGGCGATCGGAGCTATTTCTTGTAACGAGAGCGCAATGAGCGCGGGCGAGAAGGTCACATCGGAGGTGGGGAGCGCATCGAAGATATGTTTAGAAAACAAGTCAACATCAATGACAGTTCTTGCACAATTTGCTGTAAGAACATAGATATTGAGATTATCCATCTTTGTGACGAAGGATTGGAAGGAAGGGATGTTGTGGCAAGTGACGTGGTAAACTGACCACGTGTGAGGGAACAATCAACCTTTTTTTACTTTATCTTTTTCGGTTGAAAAACAGATCGAAAAATGAACAAAATAAAAATCAAAAAGGTGAGAAAAGAATGATCTCGGAAGTAAAAATAAGCCAAAAAGGTAAATTCTGCATCATCCGTGAATCGAACACGGGCCTCGTCGATGGCAACGACGAATTCTACCACTAGACCAATGATGCTGATCAAGGGAGCGATCTGGATCGCTGATTGGCTTGATATATTACAGCGTCCCGAATTTGATTGTTAAACAACCTTGGTCCTTGCTTCAATAGTAGTGTCGAAGGTGCAACATTAGAACCTCTTAACCGCGCCAAATGGCTGATATAATATTTCGGCCTAGGATACGAAAATTTATCAACTGGAGTTTGAATACATGCTTACCTGGTTTTTCAGGTTCTCATTTTTCACTACAAGGGTTTTCAGAAATGTGGCCTGGTAATTCAGGCTCCCATGTGACGAAGACATCATTCTTATTCTGTACATCGGCACCCCACTATTTTAGGTGAAAAACACAATAAAATTGATCAATAAATTATCACAATTTCAACAAACCATTATATATTCACTTCAAAATGGTAATCCAATTTCTGGACGGTGGTCTGGGAACTTCCCTCGAAGATAAGTACGGTATAAGCTTCGACAGCACCACAACGCCACTCTGGTCTTCCCACCTCCTTGTCTCAGACCCGATCACGTTAGAAGCCTGCCAAAAGGACTTTGGCGCAGCAGGGGTAGATGTTCTTTTGACAGCAACATACCAAGTCTCCATTGAGGGATTTGCACGTACCAAAACAGCCGAGTTCCCCAATGGCGTCCCCAAAAACGCAATATCCCGTTTCCTACAGACGGCAGTGCGGGTCGCTGAGCGAGCTAAGGTTCGCGAGAGTGCCAACATCGCTCTGAGTCTCGGCCCGTACGGTGCATGCATGATCCCTGGACAAGAGTACAGCGGCGCCTATGATTCCGAGCACGATGGCGAAGAAGCGCTGTACAGGTGGCACTTGGAGCGTTTGAGACTTTTCTTAGCTGCTGATGGCGATTTTTTTGCGCGAGTACAGTATGTTGCATTTGAAACGCTGCCTCGGCTTGACGAGGTTCGCGCTGTGAGGCGGGCTATCTTTGACTCGGGCATTCGGGTTCCATTTTGGATCTCCTGTGTCTTTCCTCGTGAGGACGAGTGCTTGCCTGATGGGAGCTCCATTGAAAAAGTTGTACAAGCTGCTGTCACGCCTTTAGAAGGCGGGCTTTCGCCGTGGGGTATCGGCTTTAATTGCACTAAGCTTCATAAGCTTGCTGGCTTGATTGAGGGGTTTGGAGTCTGTGTTTCAGATGCTGTTGCTGCTGGAAAGATCTTGGCTGTGCCTAGCTTGGTTTTGTATCCTGATGGGACGAATGGAGAAGTGTACAATACGACGACGCAGATCTGGGAGAGACCGTTTGGTTCAAGCTTGGGAGATCAAAGAGATACGGTAGGGATATCTTGCGCGAAACTGGGTTTATTTGAAGACGTGCTAACTGGGTTATAGCATCCATGGGAAGCCCAACTTGCCAAGGTAGTCAAAAATGCCAGCGAAAAGGGCCCATTTGAGTCATTCCTTGTGGGTGGCTGTTGTAAGGCATCCTGCAGTGATATCCAGAAGCTTCGAGAGCAATTCTAAGGTTCTAAGGAGTGATTAAATGGTGGATTTTTAACAATTCATGAAACAATTCATGAATAAATTAATTGATTATGACATTTCGCTAACCTTGAAAGTCCTTGGTTTGTGAAAGAAAGCTATATATGCAGATATAATAGGGGTATTTATGCGAGCCAGTCGACGAAACGTCTCCAGAAAGTATTTGGATGTTCCTTTCTTGGGGGGATCTCTCCTTCTTGAAGACGGCCAGACCACAAGTCAATAGTAGCGGCACGTTGGAACTAAGTAATAGTCAGCAGATGATACATGAAAATTCAGACAAAGTGAGCTACTGACCTTGGTGCGGTGCCAAAGCTTCCAGCCAAAGATAGGAACGATGAAAATGGGAATGCCAATATAAGATGCGACAAAGCTGGATGTATTCCAGTTACCTTTGAGAAAGACGGAGAAACCAGCGACGAGAGTAATGATGATAGAGCCAATGAAGCCAACCCAGGCGGTGTAAGGTTGGAATGGTGAGTTCCAAGGCAAGGTGTCCCTGGAAATCCCCTGTGCCTTCATAGCGGCATAGAACCGAATATAACAGAGGCATAGAGTGGCCCAGGCAATCAGACCAGCAACTGTGCTCAGATTTTGAAGCCAAGCGAACGCCTGGGATGCACCGCCCTTTCCGAGACTCAGGTAGGCCAAAGGTCCAAATAGCCAGGCGGTAATCACGGCTACATATGGTACGCCTTGCTTATTCACACGACCAAAGACTTGGGGTAGTTGGTGATCAGTTGTCATAGCGACTATCATTCGTGATCCAACCCAACAATATGAATTGCCAGCTGACCAAGCAGCGACAAGGATACAAGCGTTCACGAGGGATGGAAGACCCGAGATACCAGCCTCCTTGATGGCAATGACAAATGGCGAACTATTTGCGTTGCCACTGCCTGATACGAGGAGGGAATTTTTAGGATTCACGATAATACCAATGAGCAGCGCACCGAGGATGTAGAAGAAGGCTATGCGGTAGGTGACGCGGCGGGCAGCCTTGGGAATAGCTCGATGAGGATCCACTGATTCGGCTGCTGCGATAACAACTGTCTCCACGCCAATGAAGCTGAATGAGGCGTTGACGAAGGAAGACAGAAAGCCAAGGAAGTGGCCTGTCGGACCAGTTATTCCATTGTAATTTGTCCAAGGGCCTGGGTTGTGCCAATATCGGAAGCCGATCGTCTCGTGGTTCGGACCACCGCCAGCTGTGATAACAATAGAAGCAACAACCAGTCCCAAGAAGCAGAGAATTTTGACAGCACCTCCAATGACTTCTGTTTCACCGTAGAATCGTACATTCATCAAATTGATGGCCAATATTAATACCAAGCTAACCGTGATTACCACGGCCGGTGTTAAAGTTGTCCAATAGGATACGACGACTGCAGCGGCGGAAGTTTCCGAGGCGATGGCTATAGTATAGCAGTAACCGTATGATAGGGCAAGTGAGAAACCGACTGCAGGGTCAATAAACCGAGTACCCCAGTGGGGAAATGAACCTGCAGTGGGTAATAAAGTCGCTAATTCAGCGATACTCTGCATAACACACCACAATATTATTCCAACAATGATATATGCCAACAACAATCCAGCTGGGCCAGCTTTAGCATATGCAGAGCCAGTTCCTACGAACAGACCAGTTCCAATGCCACTGGAGAATCCGATCATTGTAATTTGATAGTTTCGCAGACGACGCTGCGTACTACCACGGCCACCAACATTAATTGCCAACTCATCCTTAGGATGAGCTTCAGGCTCAAAGACCTTGGAATCTGAGTGGACAGTGTCCATATTGAGGACTGAGACTTCTTAGTCCAGATGTGTGGTGAGTAATATCTCCATAGAGAGAAGGGAAGTATATAAGATTTGAAGATCAAATGTGGGGAGACATCAAGTTTCTCATAAGCGGTAGCCTGGCGCAGATCACGACATCGGTAGTGTGCCATGGAAAGGACATAGAGTAGTAAATATCATGTAACATTTATCAAATTTAACTCAATAGTGGATCTGTTTTAAGGAACCTCGGGATCGGACCCCTTTTTAGCTACTCTAATTGGTCAGATTTCTTAGTTTCGCCACTTATTTGATCCAAGCGTTTTCTACGTAGAATCTCGAGGCAAAATAGTGTAAGGATTGCTAATATGGTGCCTTAAAAGGATCCAAATCATCATATCTAGCAATAATCTCTAATATGAACTGGTATCTTTGTAGTGCCTTCTAAGAAATGCCGCAGTTCATGTTAACTTTTGGAGCGATATTTGACCAATTATGTCTTAATCATTCCCAGACCTTCACTAGTCATAGCCTCGAGAGGAAGTGTTTGGCAACCAAAAAGCCAGTCAATGTGACATATTGCCTCTGCATTTTGATTCGTGACGGAATTCGGCTGAAGCGCAAATTCAGTTTATGAATATGGCTGAATATGGTGCTCATTGCCCGATCATCTTTCAAAATTCAAGTAAAAAATCAAGATGGGCCTTCACAGTGGCTGGGAAGAAAAATACTTTATGGTAAATAAATAAATAAACAATTATATATATCTAGGTAATAAGTGTTGGAATATGGAACAAAGCAGTCATGTAAGAATGAAACTCAGACTTTACAACCACTTCAAGAGACACCATATATTATAAGGGCATAAAGCGTTACCTGTAATAGGTGTTAGAAGTGGGCGTTAGCCTCTCATCCACCTTATCGAATAGCTATTCCACCGGTGTACCGACAGTAAGAAATAGTGTTAACTTTAGAATAATTTATGAATAGTCCTGGAGATCAGCTGGGAGCTGAACTGTGAGCTGAACTGAGAATTGAATTGAGCATATCCTTCTGATCTAGTAGATGTACAATATCCATACCTAGGTATTTCATTCACGAACCACCAGCGAATAAAAAGATAAAGCTGACGGAATAAGTGCACCCAGAACAATAAATGTAAAAACATCGTCCCAGCCGACCATCTGAGCAGTCATTCTAGCTGCAGTACCACCAAAAATACCCATCCAAACAACGAAAAAGCCCAGGTCATTCCATCGCTTCCAGGCCTTCGCACGCTTAAACTTGAACATTTCAGTAGTCGACCGCATAGATGTCCCCCATTCATCATGGAAAACCGTTATCAAACTCCACAGATGAATTGCTGGAAGGGGCACACTGTAAAACAGAAGACCCGGGACAACCCAGAACCAATCATTAGTCCGATCTGGGTTGCGGAGAAAATTATACAGAAGTGTATAAGTATAATGCATGCCTATGTCATACCAGTCGAAGTAAGCAAAGCAATTTCCTGTGAGTAGATAGTAGAGGATGTAGAAAAAGCTCAGTAATGGTCCGATTTCCTTCTTGATAGCAGCCCAGAAGAAAAGGGGATTGGTGAGGATGTAGACTTTAGGTTGTTGAATTGACTCGATGTGGCCAGCTCTGCCCCAACGGACCTGCCAAAATGTGAGATTTAATCTATTTAATTGGTCCATTTGTTAAACAAGGTATTAGTGCTCACCTGCTGTAAGATCCATCGACTTAATGTAGTCGGAGTGTCGGTTGCCGCTAAGACATCTGACACAAAGGTCACATTCCATCCACGCATGATTAAATTAGTAGTAAGGTGACGATCCTCATTAACAACCTAGATCAGAATATGAGATAATGCCAATACCAAACCACGGGACGAGAGAGCTTTTGGGGGTGAGAAAAAGTGTAGAGTAGAGAGAGACTTACCATACGATGTCCTAAGACAGTTTGAGTATACCAAGGATACAAGATAGCAGGCAGTGCGCATACTCGAAAAGCCGAACTTGGCCCACTTTGACAGTCGCTAGTACCTGACACAGCTGAGGTAGATCGAGCCAAATGCATTTGACACCAGTAAACCACACTTGCAAGTCTGGTAGTTATGGTATCAGCTTTATTATGCACAACGAGTCCCGCACTGCTTCCTCCAACTCGAGGGTCGCCCGCAATTGTTTCGATTGTTCGTCTCAGAGTATCGGGCAGCACAAGGGTGTCAGAGTCAGACGACCAAAGGTATTCAACTCCAATCATCTCAGAAATCACGATCGAGAATATGAAAGACGTGAACATGATTCCCTTTTTATGTAGATGTGGCTGATATAAACATAGCTTCTTAACTCCGTCAGGATGCCCTAGCTTTAGGTTGTGTTCTGCCAGAATCTGTCGAGCTAGCTGGCAACAGCTAGAGATGGTTGCTTCCATACAAGACTGAGAGCTTTTACCGAGGTTCGATAGCTTTTCATAAGTTCGTATAGCTATCTCACCAAAAGATTCCTCAATGTAGATCACCGCTGAATTATCAAGGAAGGCCTAAGGGCTAAGTTAGAATAGTGACAGATGTAAAAGCTTTGAAAGTATCAATCTACCTGTTTGAACACGCGAATCATCTCTAAATCTGGTGCATCATCGCCGTCAACTCCTACCAAGATAAACCGACATTCTGCCACAGTATCGTAGCTCTTCAAAGCTCGAGCGAACAGTTCAGAATCCTCTCGATATCCAACAATCAGCGCCATGGAGTCTACCTCCTGGATAATATTCCGAGGAGTTTTTCGAAAGATATGACTCTTTTTACCCAAAGTAGGGTTTGGTAATCGTTGACGACGGCTCTCATTTGCATATCGATTGTATTCCGTAGCAAGAACTGTAAGCAGGATGTCAAGCGTCAATGGATAACGCGTATAACAGAGGGTGCCCACATAAATAGCTAGTATTAAGACGCAGCCTATAAAGTTCAGACACTGCTGATAAGGAGAGATACTTAGGCCTCCTTGCTGGTTCATGGCGACTATGAGCACCCAGAGGTTTAAAGATTCAAGTGTATGACTGAAAAATGCAAGGAATTAAATCAACTTTGTAGCAAACACGATTTTCCCCCTTTACTACCCTCATTGCCGACAAAAAAAGCATATTGCTGGCTGAAAATTTTCCGACTTATAGAACTACGACCTATCATCATCAATATGATCGTCGTCAATATTATTCTCGAAGTGGAGGCGATGCAGGGCTTCTATTAGGCCAAGGCACAAGCCACATTGGCCGATAACTAATAATTGACTCCATATCTGCACTCTCCACTACACTACGTCTTACTCTATACACCGTACATACGGAGTAGCTGATTCCTCCAAGGTTCTGGTATCCACGCCCTTGCATCAGTATTTGTCTTTATTTTAATATCAAAGGTTCTAAGGCTTCATCACATATGATCTATCATCTACCCACATGGAAATAACACAAATAAAAGTCTAACTTAGTAGGTTTTATTTTTCGCTTTTCCGTCACAATAAATAAAATGCTACATGTCATGAATTTGCTGAACAATCTGGGAAAACTCATATACCGGGGTACTGCGCATGTTGAAAAAGATAAAGACAACCACCTGAGATACCTACCTCTGGGCATTGGAATTGTTTTTCATTCTCTCGCAAGCATGTGGCAGTCATTCTACCAGGATAACCGTATAGTCTCCTTGTGGATCATGCTATTGACGTTTATTCTCATTATCTACCATTTGAAGCTAGATCTTCAACGCCCAATAGGCGACGACTTCACGCCAAAAGAGCAGCCAACAACATACACTTGGGAATGAGTCTTCGTGACCTCAAATTCCAGAATGCAACAAACCTCATTCGATCCATCGTCCAGTGTTTGCAGTGGGCAGTGAAGCCAACTTTCTTGTCAACATCATATCTTTCATCATATTTTCCTGCTAGGCCAACGGTCTACTAAACCTGCCGCCACCGCCGCCGCTGCCGCTGCCACTACTGCTCTTGCCATTGGCTCCAGGACAACAACTGTTGGCACCAATAGAATCTGGTTTACTGCAGTGAATGGACTCGGGAAGTGAATGGACTCGGGAAGTGAATAGAACTAGTGGAATCAGGGCATACCCGATTCCATCGTGGGAACTAGAATAAAAACACACATCTTACCGCATAATGACTCCACGTATCAACGTAGTAGTAATAGTGCATCGAGATCCCTGTGAACCGAAAACAACGCTTCTGAAAACAATATCGTGGATGCGAACATGCTGGGCTAGTTGAGATTAACTTATCCATTTATCGGAAGCGCCATCCATTGATTTATAATTTAAATCTTATGGTTCATCTAAGGCCTTCCAAGGTTTCACGACCTTCTTGTTTAGATCTTCCCCTGGATGCCAAGATGACCGTGCATTGAAATCGGCCATAGTCGAGAAAAATCTTTGTTCAGAGGATAGCTACTATATACTATATATGAACTGCCTTGAAATGTTTTTGAAATTATTTGAACTTGGCATCAAATCGATAAGACAAGATGCACTCCAAATAATAACCCTACCTAGGTAAGTTCATAGCCCTGGAGAAAAACATCAAGGCCGAAATCTTAGAATCCTGGAAGCTTAGTACACATGCAATAGACAAAGTTCATGAAAAAGAGAAAATCGTTTGTACAAGAGGGGACAACTATGTGCAACTGAGGCCAGCAACAGGCTCTCCGTCGATGATCGCCCTCTCTAAGTGACTTATGCTCATAGCCGAGCCAGCATAGGCGAGATCTGGAACCAATAAGATCACGGAAAGTTGAAACTCCGTATTAAGTCCAGTTCGATAGCGCCACGAATAGATACGAATTTAAGAAAAGAAAAAAAATCTTACATCATCGTCCGTTTCCGTTTCCCCTCCTTGGCGCACGCACACTTGAGGAATGCGATAACAATTCCTTGGGAAGCAGGAAAGGTCACTTCTAAAGCTAACGGTAGCTTCGAAAAAGCAATATATTACTACTTCTCAAATCCCAATGGAAAGGATCAGTTAAAGCCCTATGTCTGATCTCCGACAAGAGGTGGGGCCTGAGGTGAGGCCTTCACCAGCAACAAGCATGGACGGTACCACGGAAAACGCGCCTATAGCCAAAGCGCGCAAGAAGCTTCCTCCTTTCCTGGATCATTTCAACAACCGTGATCTCAAAGTACTTTTTCGCTGTTCGGTAGCCGCATGGGTTGCGTCATTGTTGATATTTATCGGGCCGTCCATGCGTGAGATTGGGACTGCAACTTTCTTCGCAACGTAAGTGAAATAACTTTCTGATATATGAGATTAGAAGCTAATTAGAAACAGATTGGTGATATTTATGGTGCCTCCTACCGGTATTGTATTCATCTTCATTTTAGGCGCGCTTACCCTGATCGTTGGTATGGCGTTCGGATGGACATGGGGTGTAATAGCCATGAAAGCAGCCCAGGCAGCACGTCCATCAGCTGAGACACAAGCTTCACTGCAAGCTCTGGGTGAACTGGCTTCCAAGCAAGCTAACGCAACGGGCCAGAGCGTTGCAGTCGTAGAGCAAGAATTGATTTATAATGGCTTCATGCTGGATGCCCGTGTCACTGCTGTATACTTTTGTATTATTTGCTTCGTGATCTACATGCTGGTGGGTTGCAGGATAAAGACGTATCGTATTGACTGAAAGTGCTAATTTTTCCCCTAGGCCCGCTTCCGAGCCACAAACCCCAAGTTCACTCTGTTCCAGATCTTTGGGACTATCATTATGGACATATTTTTGACCATTGGCCCGCTGCTCCCATCTTTCAATGGAACTATACCCAAGATCTTGGTCGTACCCGCTGCCATTGGAATAGGAATAGGGCTGGCTTGTCAAATTCTTTTATTTCCCAAGTCAACATCTCATACTGTTCTCGAAGGCATGGAGAGTTTATCACGACTACTCAAAGGTCCACTAGATGTGACCGTGGCATCTCTGATCGAAAATGAACAGTTGGTCATGAAAGATCTAGTAGATCTGAAGATGAAGATCATCGCCACCCACAAAAGCATTGAGCCCGCGCTCGGCTTCCTTCAGCTAGACTTTTCTGTCAGTCGCTGGAATGCTGATGATGTTAAAAGCCTGAGAGAGCCATTGCGACAGGCTTCCCTTAGTAGCTTGTCCTTATTGGAACTTCAAATTAGCCGTCTTGGAGGTGATGAGAAACTCGAGAAGCTTCGCGCACTTACTGCACCTTCCGAGGACCCTCCGAGTGGTGAAGCCGACGAAAAGAAGGAGACAAAAAAACCTCGCGAGGTTGGAATGAGACAATTGCTTGAAAGTAATCGCGTTGTTGCGGCGTTTCGTAGCCCGGAAAATGAGCCTATTCGACAGGAGGTCCTCGACGCGATTCGGCAGCCCTGCAAAAAAGTTCTGCCTGTGTGCCAGGATGCGAGCGAGATTGTCACTGAATGCATTCATGCGGTGAATTCTGGTAGATGGTTTAGTAAACCGTCTAAACAGCACATGGAAGAGCTCCTCGAACGTAGCCAGTCGGCACTTGAGACACTACAGGAACTACGCTCGGCTTACGCAGCTGAAACTACGGAGCGCTTGATTCAGACTAACAGGGATCTTTTTGACGAAGAGGGAAAGCTGAATGATTCTGGAGATGCCACAATGCACAGAGTTACAGGCATTGCGCTCGGTATGGTCTTTGAAGAACATGTTCTTGGCGTGATAGACTCGTGGAAACAAGTACTGGGACAACTATCGGCCTTGATGAGAGAGCGTCAGAATACTCGGTTATGGCTGCCCAGGGGACTGAGGTATGCATTCAACTGGGTATTCGGCAAAACTGCCGTGGCGCCTGTAATTGCAGCTCAATCACCTGGGTTTGATCCCGATTTGGTGGAACAACAATCAAAGGCAGCACAGCTAAGTCTCAGCATTAGCCGAGGATATGGAGTGAAGCAGCGTAGCGGTCTTGAAGGAGTCATTCTTGGTTCATATCACTGGCTCATTAATGCGCAGGGCTTGTATGCGCTGCGCCTCGTGGTTGTGACTATTGCTCTTGCTATTCCTGCCGTAATTCCATCCAGTGCCGGGTTTTACTACCGCGAGAAAGGCCTATGGGCCCTGATCATGGGTCAGACGACGCTGGTAGTTTATATGCCGGATTTCACAATGTCTCTGTTTTCCCGTGCCATTGGAACTATTGTTGGTGGTGTGATGGGCTTGGTGGCCTGGTATATTGGCTCCGGTCATGGATCTGGTAATTCTTTTGGTCTTTCTGCAATAATGGCTCCAATGATTGTTATCTTAATGTGGGGACGCATCTTCTTCCCACCTGCTCTATTGCAGGGCACAATTATGGGTGGTGCTACGCTGATCTTGGTTGTCGGGTACAGCTTCACTGATACGTAAGTTGATATTAGTTCTTCAGAAGGAACCTCAGCCGAGGGTTCATTAATTCCATCGTGTTTCCAGCTAACCTGAATTCTAGGCACAACCCGACTTACGGCAACCCCGGCTTCGGATATAGTGTCTTCTGGAGGCGACTTTTGCTGGTGATAGTGGGATCTGGTGCTGCGCTGATAGTCCAGTTATTTCCTAGACCACCATCGGCCTCTCGACATATCTGCAAATCACTGTCGAATACCATTCGCTCGCTTTCTGACTACTACGCTTTACTCTTGTCATGTTGGGGCCAGCCTGACCGTGACGAGGGCCTGCTAGCCGAACAACTTGCATTTCAAGTCGCCGAGAGCCTCGCAGCGCTCGATGGGCCTGTCGCTATGTTGCGTCTCGAGTTCTCCAGCTCACCCTTTGACAGCGAGAGCCTAGTTCAGGTGAAGTCGCTTTGTCAAAAACTAAACCAGCATCTCGGTCGCCTGCTTTATCTTTCCGCTTCATTGCCTGAGAAATTCCAAAGCGTTTTCACACGTCGCATTGGACTGCTAGATCATCGTCAGATTGGAGATGTCATGGCAGTTCTCGGGGTTGTGGAACAGGCCCTTAAAACTGAGGACCCTCTACCTGAAGTGCTCCCAACACCACTGCTGAAACGATGTCTTGAATATCGTCAGGCCCACAGGATCGAGATACAATTGACCATAGACCTCATGCGGGATGAGGATTACCGCAAGTTCTGCGTGGCTATCAGTTCTTACCTCAAGTTCCTGGCTACGGTGGATGACTTAGTCCTAGTAATGAAGGGTTCATTGGGAGAAGCACATATTGTGAACCGGGAGTTGATGCAAGAACTGCTTGTATAGACTTGAAATTTTTGAATATCATAATAATCTATGGTCTAAACAATTTCTAGGTCGGGGCTCTGAGTCAATAACATTGGAATGCATGATTGGTTTCTCACTGAAATTTACTCCACCTTCTCCGTACTTATTTCTCCTCATCCCAATTATTTCTACCTTCATGAATCATTAAGTAACATCCCAAGGTTTTCACTGTCTCCAGCAGGCCCTGATAAACAAGCCCTTCTATCTTCTAAATTATCACTATATATACTCTAATTTATCCACACATGGTCAATTCACGACTGTCTCGTCTCCCGTGGTGGATAAGCCACTGGCTGGGCTACCGTTCCGAGAAGCCAGAGCCTCTATCAACATGGCGGATAGCGGCATGGTCTATCATCACATCATTCTGTGCTCTTTCAATACTACAAGCGATCTTCAATTACTCGCATTACTTCACTTCACGCCATGTTCCAGGCATTGTCGCCTCATATGTGAGCACCCCTTGGAAATGATCCGTATACTAGTGTTGAAGTGAATTAACTCAGCGGATAGGGGGCCTCAGCAGTCTTAGTATTTGGCTCTATTGAAAGCCCATTGGCTCAACCACGTGCCCTAATCTTTGGTCACTTCTTCAGCGCTTTGACTGGCTTATGCGTTACAAAGCTCTTCAGCCTCATGCCAGACCAAGCACGTTTCGAGAATTTTCGCTGGCTCGCCGCCTCGCTATCAACCGCTATTGCAATTGTCGTAATGCAGCTGACTGGAACTACCCACCCACCTGCTGGAGCCACTGCTCTGCTTCCTGCTACCAATGACGACGTCTGGAATCTCTCCTGGTATTTCCTGCCAGTTGTGCTACTATCTTCTGCGATACTAATGGCATGCGCTTTGCTGTTAAACAACGTAAATCGGAGGTATCCTGTATTTTGGTTCACACCATATCCACCACCGATACCTACTCCTGCTCCAGTGAAACAGCCTTGCAGTGACGCTTTGTCATCGAAAGAAGAATTACAGCATGTATCTGTTTGATAATACCTGGGTAGAAAAAGGTGGAATTCCGTTATATGCAATCCATTATACATGATCCCATCCCCAAGGATGCAGGACTTGCATTTCGTTAATAATACAAAACTGGCCTTCCTCGAGATTCTCATCGCTCAACGTAGTCCAGCGCTTTATCCGAGTTTGGACAAGGAGGTCCTTCACCCAAGTAGTAGTTGTCCAACGCAAGAGTCTATTTGTCCATAGGCCCGATAAGATAGCCCATAGTGAGAGCCAGTTGCTAACGGGATTGACAGCCACATAAGCAGGGCCATTGTATCCTACGCGGACCAAAGGATTGAGATATACGCCGTCTTGTTCAGATAGCGGATTATCTGCATGAATGAGGCAGCATTCCGAACCTTCGAGATGCACTGAAGCAAGTGAATCGGGTATACCCCGAAATCGTAGAGGTGGGTTAGCTGTAAACGGAGCGGCAGGCATTGCGACTGCGTATGTTAGCACTTATGAAGTATAGGAATCATAAATATGAATTACTTACCCATTCCGTTCCAGCAGCTTTTGACCGGCACAGGTGACAATGTTTTCATTGCATTTCGAGATTCCTCGCTGCGGAAGAAGGGCCATGTCGGCATGATAGTCTCATGGCCGTCGGAGTCTCGAAGAGCAAATGTGTCGTAATAATGTGGTGCTTTAGAGAAGTCTAAAGAACAAGCAGCCGCATAACTACCATGATTGGTATCTAGCAACTCGAATACATCATTTGGCTAGATACGGAGGAAAAAAGTGAGATATCAGTAATCGCAATGTAATGGAAATAGAAAAAAAAAAAATATCAATCAAACCTACCGTGAAGACCACGTCATTCAAAAAAAGAATCTTATCAAATGTTATACCTTGCTTTGCCAATTCTTCCAAAGGCTGCAAGCTCAAATTGCGAATGCGCGATAAATATGGAATGCGCCTCAGCTCAGTGTACCCTCTCCTCGTCTCGACCCAACCCTCCCCCGGAGTGGCTGCCATTTCATCTTCATGAGTGACATGTGACAGAATAATAGTACGAGGAACCTGTAGACGCTCTAATTCTATATCAAGATCCATCAGGGCACCTTTAGTATTATCATAGCTGCCGCTTTCATATATTGAGATATAGATATTTTCGGGTCCGAGTTTCCATGCAAGCTCTACTAGAGCCTTGCTCCAATGGGTTCTGAGTATAAGCTCATTATTCCAGTTCACACTCGCGATGAAGATACGTTCTTGTCGGCGGGGTTCGTCGTGGTAAGTTATATCGTTGTCGGATATTTGGAATAGGATAAGGCGCAACTGGATGAAATTGTACGCAATAAAGATGATAAAGAGGATTCGAGGAATGCGGCTCCGGATCACCAATCGACGGAGGGTATGAGGATAGGGAAGCAGAGGTACCATAAGGCCGGATATCGCGGCAAAATGGTCGAAGGTGGTTATAGTTAGGTGGCAGTCTTTTGCATTATGGGATGATTTTGATCGGATGTGGGCGGGAGAAAGGAGGAAATACAAGTAATCTAAGGACGTTCTAGAAAACGATAAAAGAAATCCAGGAAAGGAATATTCTAAGGAGTCAAGGGGTAAAAGTAGGCGTATTCAAGGCCGAAGACGTTCATACTTCCGGAACTAGTAAGGGATACGATGATCAAGGCTCTGTTATTTGAGGGAACTCTGGGCACGTTCTTGGCGTTAAGTGAAGTAGCCAAATAAAAAATAGGATGGTAAGTTAACTACGTACAGATTTGGATCGAGTGGGGAACTATTCTAGTGGACATGATCCTGAACGCGTGGTCGTTGTCTTGTCAGTCAAATTCAAGATGTTTAAGCGGGAATCCACAATTGACAGAAACTATTGAGTCAATATTGTCAACACTCTGTACTCAGGGGCTATAATCCCTTTCAATTATCTGAATTCTACCCTGTTCTTGAAAGTTGAAAATGACATATTTGGAAAAATAAGAATGAGGAAAATTGGCCTATTACGCCGATGCCTTTCTCTGTACTTTCACTTCAAAATCGGTAGGTTTAACAAACCAATAGTTCTGAGTGGTCCAATTCTTCCTTAATGGAGTAATATCATAGTCTCGCACTATTCGTGGGATCAATTTGGATATCTCAAGGATGGCAATATGCCTCCCTAGACATGTTCTGGAGCCCAGACCGAACTACAAATGGTCAATTACGCCACAATAAAGTGATTGGAAAAGAGATAATTCACTTACTGGCATGTACATTGAATTCATTTCCTTCAATCTCTCGGGGTCACTCTCAGCTTCCAACCATCTCTCAGGCTGGAAAGTCTTCGCATTTGGAAACACTCGCTCATCGTAATGGGCAACCCAGGGGTTAACACCGACAACCGTACCTTCTGGGAAGAACCGGCCACCGATGTCTGCACCACCTGGAGGTACAACCCGCCATAGAGGCAGACCGACGGCACTATGCATGCGAAGTGCTTCTTTGATGACCGCCTGGAAATACGGCATCTCTTGACTCTCCTTGAAAGTCATATTGATACTGCAATGACCTTGAACCGTGAATATTTCGATTTCATTACGCAACTTGGTCAACACTTCGGGATTCTGCGCAAGATACCATATAATAGCCGACAGACTTATCGCCGTCGTATCAGATCCAGCAGTCATATTTGACTGGCTCATAATGAAGAGATGGAATCCGGTTAGCCTCTCTGGGTCTTTGTTTCGCGCCAAGATCAGCTTGTCGAGGAAATCCTGGGTCTCAACTGTTTCAGAAGCAGCTTTCGAAGAATCATCAAACTTCTCTTCACGCAAACGAATTTTCTCCCGCACAAAATTGCTAATAAATGCCATTCCATTCGCACCGGATAGTTGAAGCTTCCTCAGAAGACCGAAGATACGAGGGTGCCATTCTGGATAAATCCCAATTAATGTGCTGTACTTCATTACTTTATCGACGGCGTCGATGGCTCCATTAATATCGTCGCCTCGATCCAAGAAGCCTAGTTGCAGGTCAGAATATTGGCTCGGTGTTTGAGCTATAGCTACTTACCAAATGTGTCACCAAAAGTAATGTTCCCAATGACATCAAATGCATAGCATTGGAACCAATGACCAAGATTGACAGTCTGCCTTTTATCCGCGAAGTCGCTCATTCGTTTTATGAAAATATCGGCGCAGTGGTCTACGAATGTCTCATAGTGCATCACAGAACTCATCGCATACAAGCCTGTGAACCGCTTGCGTGTTTCGGCTATATAAATATCAGCCTGGACTGGCAGGAGGTATCAGATGAGTGGTTTCACTGACCGTGCCTGTTGATATCTCGATCGGAAAATACAGTCCACTGCTGTGGGTGTCTCCAGCCATCGTACCAAGCTGACTTTGCAAAGCGAGACCTAGTTCCATATACCGTCTTGATTGCAGATAAATCGTTGATGCTGTACTGGTTTGGTGCAATACGTACTACTGGGCCGTATTTCTGATGGAGATGGAAGTTATCGTGCTCAAAGTTGCCTTGGATAACACGGTTAAAGTACCAAATTGAGAAGAAGCGAGTCCATATTGGACCAGGGATATCGCCTAATGAATCGAAAAGGACGTGACTAAGTCGTCGTAAAGCTTGACAGACAATAAACAAAGCGGGTAAACATAAAATGTATTCATACATCGTTCAATAAGGAGATATAGTAGAGATAAATACGAAGCTTGTGTCAACCTTGGAATATTCGGCGGTTTTCTAGAGAAACGAACTGCCGAGGTTCAAAGTTGTTGTAGCTATTAGGCTTGTTTCACCGGGAAGTACATAACATAATCCCGAGGTCTACAGGTGGTACGATACGTACAAAACGCTGATCATGTCTTCTTATGGCATATAAATTGTCATGAATTCATTTCAGTGCAATGAGATCAAATGGTATTGGCTCAATCAATAGACATGAAGACGTACTGAATTTGGATATAAGCCATCCAGGATATTACCCGAGAAAGAACAAAATGGAGAAATCTGGATTTCTGTTACAACGCCGATGGAGATGGGAGAAGGGACAAACGCAAATAAGGAATTTGTGGACAGAGGTGCGATAATCATCAATTCCCGACTGCCCACGGGAGCCCAGGAAATAAATAATTTCCTTCATGGCCGATCTCCCCATAGACCGACAATTCCCATAGAAAGTGCGATCCCGGCCAGCCAAGCTCGCACGCTCTGCAGACGGTGCTCTCGATTCATCTCAAGCTGGACACTCTCCCCGTTCACATTTACGTCCTCCTCGGACTCAACCATGACAATATCTTCGTCTTTCTTAGATGGCCGACGACTGAGGTTCAGACCAGTGGTATCGTGGATCGCTGTGATGACCCAAGTCTTGAAACCCAGGTGACGGTTGAAGAAGAGGTCGAGGCCGAAAGAGCTCACAGTAGACACAACGCACATCCATATGAGGAAGGGATGCTTTCGTCGCGATGGGGAAAGGGTATATGCGAAGAGAATACACCCGTTCGTCAAACTAGAGAGTCGCAGAGCATGTTTGCGGCTGAGGCGCTTCGCCTCATTGAGAGAGCGGGAGGCGGTGATTGAGGTGGGGAGAAGCTTGAGAGATGGGATAGTAATGGTTGAAGTAGAGTAGGATAGGCCCTAGAGTTCAAAACTATCATGTCAGTTTTGCTGTTGGGCAGCGCAAAGTAAGGCCGGCGCTTACAGTTAGCAGGCCGAGTGAGAAAGTTCCAACGAACTTGGAGACAGTCAGTGGACAGGCCATTATGCCAGTCAGAGACAAAATGAAGAAACTGCGTCGATGTGGATGAGAAGGAAGTCGAGTCGAAGCGATAAGAATAGGAATTTGTTGGCGTCACTACCGGGAACCAATCAGCGAATCAGCGACCGTCAGCAGTACAACTTTACATTTATTTACATGTACTTACTATTCACAACTCATAGTGATTGCTGGATTCTGTCTGTTGCTTACGTACTTATATATATGATGCCTAATTATGTATTTCTCATACTTATAATTGATATTTCCAATTTGATGAAGTATAACTATCTCGAGAGTATATGTTATGATTGAGGACCGAGAATTTACTACAATTATCACGGTAGAAACGGTCAAATAATCAATAACCAGTAATTCATTTAGAACTGGGATAGCTCAGAGAAAGCTGTTCTATATCACTAGTTCACTCGTATTATTTATAGATTTGTCAACAAACAGCCATTTATAAGTGCTAAGCCGAGGTTTAACGTGGCTTGGCATCTGATAACAGCCTTTATCGCTTTTGTTTTCCATCTCTTTCTCAACACCTCATGCAAAATGCCTCCACAGTCAGAGTATATGAGCGACGTCTGGAAAGATGGAATCTTTGGTGAGAATACCCTGATATCACCTGCTTCCCTCCAAGACTGTGTTAACCCTGCTCAGCAAACAAGGTTGTTTTCTGTACCGGTGGTGCGGGGACTATTTGCAGTGCCCAGATCCGGGCTTTAGTGCATCTAGGAGCCAACGCATGTATCATTGGCAGAAATGTTGAGAAGACTGAAAGTGTCGCCAAAGAGATTGCAACAATTCGCACCGGCGCTAAAGTCATCGGTATCGGCGCGGTGGATGTTCGAAAGTTCGATAGCTTGAAAAGCGCCACCGAGCGCTGTGTCAAAGAGCTCGGTGCCATTGATTTTGTGATGTATTTATTGGCATTCCTATGGGGCTGGAAGGTGTTATTATCGTACTGACTGTCTCATATAGTGCTGGTGCGGCGGGCAACTTCTTGGCCTCCATTGAGCAACTCTCAGTCAATGCCTTCAAGTCGGTCATGGATATTGATGTCATTGGGTCGTACAACACTTTGAAGGCGACTTTGCCATATCTCACTCAGTCTGGAAGCAAGCATAGAATGGATTTGGAGTCTTGTAAGTCCAAATCTAAATCCTATATCTTCAGACAGATAATGACTAGTTTTCAGTGAAACCCTCGCCGATTGGCACTGGCGGTCGTATCATCTTCATCAGCGCCACTCTTCACTACCGGGGTATGCCATTTCAGACCCATGTCTCAGTTGCAAAGGCAGGTATCGACTCTTTGTCTAACTCGGTGGCTATTGAATACGGCCCTCGCGGCATCACTTCTAATATCATCGCTCCTGGCCCCATCGCACAAACAGAGGTGATTATTCGGGTTTTCAATATTTTTTCCTGCTTTAGCTAACACCCTTCTAGGGTATGGAGCGCCTGCTTCCCTCAGATGCTAAATCTGCCTACGCCAAGGCACAGCCCCTCGGCCGCTTTGGACATGTTCGTGACATTGCGGATGCCACTATCTACCTATTTTCTGAGTCCGGAAGCTATGTCACAGGCCAGACATTAGTTGGTAAGTCATTTGAACTATGCTAGCCCACATACAGTTGGTGTTTGCTGACTACAATAAAAGTGGACGGTGCAAACTGGCGTACTTCAGAAGGCATGGGTACAAGTGCTACTATGAAATATCCAGACTTCCTTTTGTCTGGTCAGGAGGTCGCCAATGTTACTGGTAAGAAGTCGAAGCTTTGAGTTTTCTCCAGTCAGAAATTATAGAGTAGATTTATTTTTAAAAATCTCATTTCGGTTATGCAACGCCATTTATTGGCAAAAGAAGAAATAGCTCTTAAGGAGTACATTCTAAACTGCCTGGGTTTCATCCAGATTGAATGAGCTGGCTCTAATAAGCCGATCACATTGAAGCTAAATATGGCAATCTTCCGATGATATCTGTGAGACAGAAGAGGACTTCATCGCAATGAAGAAAGAACTGATTAGCTAAAGAAGCGGATCTACAAGCTTAATTGGAGGAGGTTTTGCAGCAGACAAAAACTGACTCCAGTGCGTATTTTATGGTCATGGGGAAATTAACGGTGCTTCGTGGATTTCTTTATAGCCTTAGAGCTGTTCTCGAGTTCGAGTTCGAAACTCAGCCCAGTAAAGAAGAGTATACCCAATTGGCCTATCACCATAACAGATTCTAGTCGAGTTTTTTCCGTTATTTTTTCTATTGCTGTGTTTCCTGCTGTTCAATTCCCACTCTTATCTTTAACATCAATCTGATTCAATCAAACAGTTCTTATATTCCTCTCTTATCACTATTGCCTCTAACAAGATAAGTAGTGTGGGTCTACGGAGTGAGTTAAGCTTATACAATTAAACCAATAGAGATACATAAAGCCGACGTCGGCTTTTGCGGCTCCTTACGGATTTTGGGTATTATACATAAATCTAACCCATCAACTTTGAGCGATTCTTTATTCAAACATTATCCATATCATACAGGATATCCATTAATTTAGTACCAGAAGCCTAGATCCATAGTTTGGGTCATAGTATCTCCATGGAATCCAAAAAAACTCCTTCCATCACCATTTACCGCGGATTCCTTGACAGTGGCTGTTACGTGTGGTCTCCATTTGTCGTGAAGCTTGAGTTACGCTTGCGAATAGGCAGACTTAACTACCGCACTGAGCCTGGTTCTGTTACCAAGGCACCTCGTGGGAAAATCCCCTACCTATCAATAGAGCGAGCTAACGGGGTCGAGACCCTGTCAGACAGCACGCTCATAGCAAAGTCATTGGTTGAGTCTGGAGACTTGGGAGAACTCAATAAGAAGCTATCACCAACCGAAAAACTCAATGACCTGGCTCTCATTGCTTTGCTTGAAGACAAGTTATATTTTTGTAATGTACATTACAGCAATCTTCTCCTCCCCACTGGCTCCTTACTCACTGGTTCTAGTCTAACGAGAAATGGATACATAACTACTATACCATGCGCTCAAAGGTACTCGCTGCGGTTCCCTGGCCCCTCCAGCTTCTTGTGGGCTACATGGTCTACAACAAAATGGTTCGGACACTCCAAGGACAGGGAACAGGCAAGTTTACCGACGAGGAGATCGAGTCTCTGTGTAAAAACATCTACGAAGCCTTGAATGGACATGTTACAAATGCCCAAGTGCTAAATCGAGAAAAGGAGGGTCCATTTTGGCTATGGGGGGATTCCCCCTCCGAAGCTGATACAGTTCTATTCGGCTTTCTTGCTGGGACATTAGTCTGTGACGCGTATGTACTAACCTTTGGCCCATGTGCCCGAGGATCTTGGATCTTGGGTCTTGATTTTGCTAAATTGATTTGGTAGTGCCCCCGCTTCGCAGAAGATGATCAAAAGTTATCCTGCCCTAATGGAATACGCTCGCCGTATTCATTATGCCTATTTCCCTGACTATCCTATTTGGGGGTAGATGTGATTGGGCAAGTTCTGGAACAGATTCTGACAGTACTCAGACCTTAACGATTCAATGTGATCCTTCATCATTACCCCTCCTAAAATTGTATTACAGGAATGAACCTAAGTGTATGACGGCTATTATAGCGCCACCCAACTAGGCAGACAAGATTAACCACGGTATTCATAGACCAATCAAGTAGATATTGATACTTGTGGATAGTAAAGTGTCACTTCAATCTTCGATGATAAAAAAGATATATTCGAGCCAAATGCTAAACTTAGCTGTCAGGAGTCCCTAAGTAGTAATCGGTGGTACTCTGTAGTTTCACGAATATTTTGGTTTGTTTCAGAATATATTAGGATTTCGACTCTTGGTCTTGAGGTTTTCCAAGGTCACTCTCTTGTATTCAGTCGCATCGTTGCAAAAATCGTCATTAATGAGTCCACCTAGATAGGGCTGATTTTTTATTATTCTGTGTTTATTTTTGGATAAGAATTCTCCATAAGAGCCGATCGTGGTGCAAAGACGAGTGGGTAATGCCGTAATAGCCCCGGAGCTATCGAAAGAGTATATACACTAATGATCGAGATTTAGCCTCATTATCTCAGCAAGATAGGGCAAGATAGGGCAAGACAGGAAATATCACATCTTCATTACATCTTCATTACATCTTCTTACAATTTAGTATGAAGATATTGAATCCAGACTCTTAGAATATAATCATCATGAACAGGAGGCGAGATGTTTTGGTATTACAAAGAATGTTCATAGAGACGTCGTAAGCAATGAATGGTTTTTTTCTGTTTTGTAATGAAATTTACGCCGTTTTGGACCAATTGCAGATCGTGCCACGCAGGAGCTGGCGTCACCAGCTCCACTTGCCCCATAAGCAAACTAAAGAACTTATCATCTCCACCCCCCTTCTACTTAAACACTTCAACTCCTTCAAATATTCTATATCTTCATTCAATTCTCTGTCATCGACGTCCGCTCTTTCACCATGTATGTTCGCAACATCCTTTTGGGTGGCGCGGCCACCCTGAGCGTTAGTGCTATGCTCGTTGTTCCCGAAATGGAGCCCCAGATGGAAGTGGACACTATTGAGGATGGTTTTGTCAATGTTATCCCTTCCACAGCTGGGGATAAACTCTATGTCGGCCTTGCCTGCAATGACTGTCCCTTCAGGGAGGTTGATGAAGAGTCCGGTGATGTCAGCTGGACTGATGGAAAGCCGTCTAACCTGGTACGTCAAACTGATTTCATACTGTAACGGAAGACGATGCTAATGATGTAATTAGCTCCTTGATTTCGAAATCAGCGAGAACCGCCTAATGGCTAACGACCGCCAAATATTCCCTCCTGTTTCCCCCAACCCCATCTACACTGTCCAGGAGCTCGAGGATGGCCAAACATCCGAGTTTATGCCGGTCGGCTACGCCCTGGAGGTGATGCCTCTGCACACACCTTTAGAGGCGGAGGGTGCTGAGCTGCTTGAGGTCCGTTTCACTATTCTCGACCTGGAGAATCACCCCGTGCCCGTCGACACCGTCGCTATCACTCTTATCCAAGAATCGACTGGCGACCTGCACATTGCCAAGGCCAACGTTGAGAAGACCGCTCCTCCCGAGGCTCTGTCTTGGAAGCAGTGCCATGGTTCGCCCAAATGCCTGCAAGAACTCATCGTGTCTCGTGTCCGGGGCCTCCTGGCTTCTGCCAAGAACCGCTTCATGGGTCTAGCCCACAAGGCCGGCCGCAAGGGATGCCACGGCAAGCCCAAGGGCCTCGAAGGCATGATGGATGGTCCCCATGATGGACCTGGCTTCGAGGGAATGCCCCCGCCGCCTCCAGCCTTCGGTGATTTCGACGGCCCTGAGGGTGACCACCCTCCTCCTCCTCCTCACCACCACCACCACGACGGCCCCGAGGGTGACCACGAGTTTCACCGCGGTCCCCATCATCATAACAATACCGAGGGTGACCGCGAGCCTCACCACGGTCCCCACCACGGCCACCACCACGGGGGTCCTATCTCTCACACCTTCTCCCGTGTTATCCGCTTCATTATTGTGCCTGCTATCCTGGGTGTCCTGGCTGGTCTGACCGCTTGTGCTGTCGGTATGCTTGTGGGCCAGGCTGTTGTTTTCATCTGGCAGAGCTACCGTGGCACTAAGCGCGGAGAGCACAAGGCTGCTTGGGAGAGTGATTCTTGTGAGAAGCAGGGCTTGATGACAGAGGTTTCAGAGGAGACTCTTCCTGCGTATACCGACGAGCCTCAGACTCGCGGATCCATGGATAAGCACTAGAGGCTCGTCTTGCCTCTGATCCTATCTCGTTGAATTCTCAACCCGAGCTATTGTTGACCGGAATCACATGATATTGTGAATAAATTTTTTTTGGATTAGGTCACCGTTGGTATTGGTGATTTGCGAACGTAGACTGGATTTATATTGTTCATGATTAACCTTTCTCCACATTTTTACACTTTAAGAGTGTGATACAGCTTGTACAGCAATATTTTCTCAAATGTCAACGTTTTCTGGAATTTAATTTTTGTCCCTTGATTTTTTGTTTTAGGATCATTTATGGATACATTATTCCCTATTATCTAACAAAGTCTAGCTTACAGGGGAAGTGCATCTCTGCAACTAGGCCGAAGAATTGTATAATAACTGGTCTTTTTAAGTAATCCGTTTTGTACTCCGAATAGGCTATCTAAGGCTGATAGTCACGTGAGGATACTTCTCTTCCCGTGACCCCCTCTTATCAAAACACCCTCCCCACGTTCCCCGAGCTGGAGCTCCAGTACTCGGTTTAGGATGATTTGAGTTGCAAAATGACCCTGAAGCTCCCACTTGAATTTCTTACGGGCTGCTCTACTTAAATCTTGCTATTCTTGATAAATACGGCTTACTGTGTGAGGCCGCAGTTATAGCTCCCTCCGTAACCGACACCGTCACTATACCCGAAGCTGGCTCCTGAATTCAAACAATTTCCGCCCACAATGATACCGTGGTCGTCATTTGTTCAAAAGGCTCAATCGCTGATTGACCCTGCCAACTTTAATATCCCATCCCTTTCCTCCTCCCCCAGTAGTCCCTCCAAGGCCTCCCTCTTCCGCCAACAATTCCGCCTTCCTGACTCCCAGAACCCTCTGCAAGAGATAACCGCCGATCTCGTTCTACCACTTCCAAACTCCTCCTCAAGCTCCGCAGATATATCTCGCAAGTCTGGCCATGTTGGGAACCAGTATACGGGACGGTTGCATCTGAGTGAACGTTTCATCTGCTTCTCCACTCAACCAACTAGTTTTATACCTTCGTCAACGCCCAGTGCTTCTACCGCCTGGACTGGTCAAACTCATGGTACTGGTCCTTCTGGAAATGGGTTCACGTTGCCTCTCTCCTGCATCCGTCGAGTCGAACGACTTCACAGCGCTTCGCATGTCTTCTCCCTAGCGTTGACGACGTGGAACGGTTTATTAAATAAACAGCAAGAACCTCATTTTGTACCTCAGCGCCTTATCCTGCAGCTTGTTGGGAGCAGACAGGCCTGTGAGCGCTTTTGCGACTGTCTCAAAAAGGGCCTACGTGAATGCATGAAGGATGTGGATAACCTGAGATCTGTTGTCAACGGCTGTTACTCGGAGTATCTTCTCTCTGCCACCGCCAAGCCAAAATCGCAGGAAGAGAAGGAGGCTGGGAAAGAAGCTGAGAAGGATATCGAGGGCCGTGAGGCGCGGTTGCCACCGGATGCAGGATTGGGTATGATTTTCCGCTACCCCGGTGATGCACGCAAGCTTCGAGATCGTAGTAAGATGAGATTGTGGGGTGAATATTTCCGAGGTAAGTTTCTGTTGCCGTCAAATTTTGAAAATTTGTTCTGACATTCGACTAGAAAATGGTCGTAATGCTACCCTTGTGCGTCAGCCGACATTTCACAAATTGATTCGTGTTGGCCTACCGAATCGTTTACGTGGAGAGATCTGGGAGGTTTCGTCTGGGTCTTTCTACTTTCGCCTTCGTTCTCCCACACTCTATGAAGAGACACTGGCAAAATTCGAGGGCCAGGAGTCTCTTGCTATCGATGAAATTGAGAAAGACTTAAACCGCAGTTTACCAGAATATCCCGGTTTCCAGAGCGAGGAGGGCATTGGCCGCTTACGCCGTGTTCTCACGGCATACAGCTGGACCAATGCAGAGATTGGCTACTGTCAAGCCATGAACATCGTTGTCGCCGCCTTGTTAATGTTAGTTGTCCTCAATTTTGATGCTTAATATTATACCACTGACTTGATATAGTTATACGAACGAGACCCAAGCCTTTTTCCTGCTCTCCGTTCTCTGTGATCGGCTTCTGCCTGGTTATTACTCGACAACCATGTACGGTACATTACTTGATCAGAAGGTGTTTGAGTCCCTTGTGGAGAAAACTATGCCGGTCCTTTGGGAACATCTCGCCAAATTTGATGTGCAACTATCAGTCGTATCCTTGCCATGGTTTCTCTCGCTATATATTAACTCCATGCCGCTGGTTTTCGCTTTCCGTGTCCTGGACGTTTTTTTCCTGGAAGGCCCCAAGGTCTTATTCCAGATTGGACTGGCCATTCTTCGAATCAATGGCGAGGAACTTCTCGATATTCAAGATGACGGATCTTTCATCTCTGTTCTGAAGTCATACTTCTCTCGGCTGGATGAGTCCGCACATCCAAAATCAGAGAATCCAAAGCTCCGTGCTATCACCAGATTCCAAGAGTTAATGGTGGTAGCTTTCAAAGAATTTTCGGGTATCACGCACAGCACCATTGTTGAACAGCGCGAAAAGCACAACGATGCTGTTTTGGAGAATATCGAAAGCTTCGCGAAGCGCACTTCTATTCGCAACCTTGGTCCCGAGAGCAAGCGCCTGAGTGTTGATGACCTTGGTACAATTTATGACCGCTTCTATGAGACCTTGTACCAATGGCAGCAACACCAGAACCTTATTGAAGAGGAGAGGAGACGACACCAGAGGACAAAATCCCATCGCCTATCGGTCCTCGGGCCACCCGTGAATAGCGAAGTAGGCCGCGTGGGACTTGGACCTAGCCCAACTCACATGGACTACGACGCATTTAGAGAGTTCCTGGCCGCCACTGCTAAGTGGGCTGTATCTGACTCTCCTGCGCCCAGAACGACTTCCGCTCACAGTCTCAAAGGGAACAAGTCACTTTTGTGGGCGAATCGACGTGCACCAGCCGACCATGAATTTATGCAGCGCCTTTACCGTAAATGGGCCACTGACCCTGAGGAAGGGTTGAACCTGCAGAACGTCGTTAACGGTCTAGCACGCCTGAAAGGTTCTCCGGACATCATGAACAATATTAATTACTTCTTCGATCTATATGATGATAATGGAAATGGTCAAGTTGATCGCGAAGGAATTCTAAAAATCTCCGAAGCGCTGCTTTTCCTTTCCCGTCGAGGATTTGAGGGCACGATAACTGCTACTCCGTCTGTGGAAGATCTAAATGGTTCCCGTGACCCTTTTAATGCGGAACAAAGCAGACTAACTACGGACGAGAAATTCCTCGGGAGCGTCAGTGCTTTCATTCGTCGATGCTTTGAATACGCGGATCCCAGTCACGCTGAAAATTTAAAAGCTGCTGAAGATTCAGCTACTGCCGAGGCAACGGAAAAACTTGACTCATTCGCTATTGGCGATGATGATGAAGAAGACTTGATCGATGTTGATGGGGACCCCAAGCCTAACCCACAGCCTGCCGCAGAAGCAAAAACTAAGTCAGATGAGTCTACGAATGACGCACAGGCTAGCCATGAAGCCAATAGACCAAGATCAGAATCTGCAAACCCAGCATTAGACCCCAACAACCCCCTCCACATCACCCTTCCCACATTCCGAATGGTTGTCCTGGCGGACGAGCTATTGGAACAATTCTTTGAATCTTACTTCCCTCAATCATTCCACCTCTCCGATCACCCCCATCCTGCCGCTCTCGCCGCATCCTCATCACTCTCATCCAACCTTACAACCTTCTCAAACATTGGCGCTCATCGCCCCACTCTTACTCACACTGCCAGTGGCTCTGTAGCTGGTGCATCAGGCGGCATAGTTCCTCCAGGCAAAGGCCTACGAGGCGTTCTCGACAACATAGTCTCCGACGGTATCCGTATGGCCGCAGAAGTTAAAAAGAGAATGGATGAGGCTCAACGTGAGTTGGAGCGTAACGCCCTTGGTCGCGATGGCCGTGATGAAGAAGACGAGGAGGAGGATGATGATGATTACTCCCGCCGTGATACGTCTGCTGCTGTCATGGCTGGTGGTATCTCCAGCTGGGGAGCAGGCGCTTACGGCGCTGATCCCGAGCGCCGTAGCGTCCGCGACGCAGACCGCGATCTTCTCGAAGGAGCCGAGGTCGAAGCATCTTCTCTCCTCGATGGAAAGGAGGGATCTAAATCCACTCCTATTGCATCTCCATCCTCGGCTGATGAAGCTGAGGTGGTCAGCAAGGTTGTCGAGTTTGAATCGTAATGATATCCCGCCTACTTCCCAAGTCTCATTTTCACTCTCTTCCCATTGCTGGTATTGGGGACTGGGACTTTAATTTAATCCCTCGTCTTATTTCATTGGTCCTGTAGTTGTCTGTGAAATTATACATTTTCTTTATAGACGCATTCTCCTGGTTGAGCATTGAAACCCCCGAAGTTTACACCTTTCCAAAGTTTCTTGTCTGAGGCTATCGTGTAATAATGTAACGCTTTGGGCACTCCATATGTGCACATCTGAATTATATCTTGAATACTAATAACGTCAATGATGTGGTTTACTGCCCCGATGGATGTTTCCAGTTTATTTACATTTTCCATTAATGATTGTGTCTAATTCCATGCTTCGTGTTGCAGTGACGTGAAATGTAAGTCAAGTTCAAGTAGAATAAGAGCTTCAACCCCCATTTCAGTCCTGTTAAATGGTAAACACTAGATACCCTCTCACTTTTCATTTTCATTCACATTGCCCACCAAAAGTCTAAGATGTGCCCTTTATGTACACCATTTCCTTCGATTAGTTACCTAGATATTAGATTAAGCTTACATTGGGCAAAAGATTCACCGGGAATATGATTTATTATGATTTCACTGGAGGGGCTCAACTCCTTTGACATGGTCTATGCCATCTCATGAATGTGCACAATTTAGCACTATTACTCCATGTGATTTTCAATCAAATGATGTCAAATTATTGGATGAAAAACAGATTTTAAAGATTGACAGTTTATATTGGGTGTGCAGGTCAAGATAGAGAGCTACTCACGTACCCCGTTGTGAGAATATGCAGATCACCCAGTGCAGTTCGAACGACATAGAGGTCTGATACTTTCACAATTAGCTGAAAATACCCGATGCGGAGCGTCTTATTTCCACCAATGCCCAAGTTCGGACTAGTGCATTCGATGACCCACTAGCTTAATTCCCAAGTGACCCATCTATCATTGCTAGTCCTTGACAAGACATTTTATCTCCTCACACTACCTAGAAGTTAAAATATTGTCTATCTAAGCTCCGCAAAGCGAGGTCTTCAATATAGTAACTGGATTGCCTCCAAGGACTTAGTAGAGTGTCTGTTCAAACAAAAAGGCGACAAATGCAATCTCACGTATTCTTCTGTTGGTAATACGTTCTCATCAAATAACTATAGCGAAAACTGCTTTGTCAGATCAGAGGAAATTCATGTAAAATGATTTTCTGTGCAGAGACTGAGCATCGCATCCAAGGCTACTAGCCCCGGATAGCCATATCAAAAGCTTGACATCACCGAGGTCATCAGATGGATGGATGTTTCGTTCACATTCAACACCCGTCTCCTGTCTGGTTTTTTCCTATACACGGAAGAGCAACTACCTAGGTACAGTCTTTAGTTAGACTGGAGGGTCTAAGCCAGCATTGAAAGAGATCAGATTCAAGCTAAACGCCTCTAAGATAGATGTGTTTGGAATATAGCGCTATCTGCCTAGGTATTAGTATAAGTTCAATTTAAATGGAGAGTCTAGGTAGTTAACACTTAGGTAAATGCCATGGGAAGGGACAGGGAGAAGAGGTTGGGCACTGATGTAGCCTGGAGGTTCCAAGGTTGAAAGTCTTGGACTGTGATTCATTCCAAGCTTCCCAGGTTTCTGAATCTACTGCAGTATCTGGAAAGCGTTCAAATATTCTTCAGTGTGTACAAGTGGATGACTGTGGGGCTTATATTATGCCCTCGAGATCATCTCAATACCTTTAGCGTAGCCAAGTCATATCATTTCAAATATTCACAGGGATTAAAGGAAGATGACAATGTAGTAGCATTTCTATGTACAAGCATGTCGTGAACCCAGCACGCAGCCGAGGCATGGTGAGGAAATGATAAAGGCAAAGGGTATAAAGTAAAAAAAATAACAAGTCCAGTATGCCAAGACTTTTGTGAAGAAATAGGGGAGAGCATGTAAACAGTAGATGGGTAAATATTCATGAAGACGTCATCAATCCTTCTGCCCTTCGTTCTCAACTAGCTCGAGGACGATCTGGCTGCGTTCATATTCGGGGTGTTGCATGCAGATCTTGACGGTGTTGTTGGTGTTGTTTAAGATGCCGTTGCTAGCACCGTTGGCTTGGGCGAATGAACCAGGTAACTTGCTGCCATCATCGAGGCAGACTACGCCGTGGCCTGGAATTACTTGTCTCAGGCGGCCGTTCATTGCATTGCGCACCTCGACAAAGTCGTCGTTGAATAGGATGAGGAATTTGCCGTAGAGACAGGCTGTGTGGGCACTGCCCACAAACTCCATTACCACGCTGCGAGAGACATCACCGTGTTTGTTAACGTATACGGCACATTCTTGATACACTACCAAGAACTCGCTTTCACTGAGACGGAACATGCCCAGTGGGCGGAGGTCTTTAGTTCGATGGGAGATGCTAGTGAGGGTATCAAGGGCGTCAGGCGTTGCGTCGGAGCGGAAGTCGGGCACAGACCAGGTCTGCTTCTTGTCCAGGTTGAGAACTTCAATACCACGTTGAGTGGAGATGGCGAGGGAGGAGTGGAACATGTTGATGCCGTAGCTCTCAGTTGGAATGTAGAATTCGTCGTATTCACGGAAGAATTCTGTTTGCCCGCGGCGTGTTTGGAACAAACGACCTTTGGATGAGGCGGATTTATGGATGATGGGTTCAAGGACCTAAAGGAAACCTTTTAATACTTATCACGTTGAATATTGGTCGGATAGGATGATACAAACCTTGAAAGTGGACGAAAGTCCATCTCGCTTTTTGTATAAGACCAAGTATCGGTCTTTCATACGTCCTGCGGCGAAAAATCCCACTTCTCGGTTTCCGGAAAGTTTCTGTGGAGCTCGGCGAGCAGAGTCCCCAGACTGAGAAGCTGCTCCGCTGGGTGGACATACCACGTCGAGATGATATGCAATAAGTGATCGATCCGAAATAAGCAGGAACAAGTTAAATTCTTCAAAAACAGCAACTTGAGTGACCCTCGAGATGGAAATAGCCTATTTCAAGCGTTAACAAGACTCAACAGAAAAGAAAAGCAGTCAATAATCCTTACCCGATACCATCCACGCGGGTTACTGAGATCAGACATGAAGACTCCGTAATCCGTTCCAACCGTACACATCATTCGGCCCGGAGGCTGCTGGAAAACTGTCGCACAGTTCACCGTAGTTCTACAGACAGGAGATGGACGGGGACCCGATTTCTCATACTGTTTCTCAACTTCCTTGATTGCACGATGCAGTGGTGTCCCCATAATGGTAACACTCTTTGAACCATGCGCCTGATCAGAAAATCCAAATGCAGTATCCGCAAGAACACGCAATCGAAATGGCTCTGCATTTTGAGAGAACAGGGCAGCAGCATGATTGGTCTTCGCTTCGATGATCTTCTGACACCAATCTTTGCGGCTCCTCGAAGATAATGCGTACAGAGTATAGGTACCGTTCTTGCCAAGGTGCTTGATTTTGAACGGATAGAGGATTTTATCATCCTTAGAGTCCAGGGATGCGACACCATTCTGAGTACCAGGGCCCTGGTGATTCAATGGGCCCACTGCGGTTTGGGGAGTCAAAGTTGCAACACCTCTCACCGCAGATTTAATGACAGGATCATCATTAGTGCTTTCCAGAACCAACAAATCCATGGGTATAGGCAGTTTTGAGACATCGTAACGTTCAATCTTGATCGTTCTGGTCGGGTCTCGTACTGTTGTGGACTTGGCCAAAACAAGGTAGTGGTCCAGTAGGATGGCATGTGTATCGACAAGAAAACGAGTTCTGGTTCCTGGGCGCTGAAGATCACCGCGGAAGATTATTTTGCGGCCGAGGTGCTCCAAGTTAAGTTCCACTTCTTTTTTCATCTCGGGTCGCAGCTGCAACTTGGTTGAGAGCTCCATCAAATCGGCTTTCCTGTTCATCTCACCAACCTTGTTGTCGCACTCCAATGCCACAATCTTGATTTCTTCAATAGCCTGTGCTACGTTGGTCTTTTCTTCACTATCCTTGACCATATTCTTGTGAACAGTGGCAAGGAGAAGAGTGTAGCGTTGAATTCTAGTGATGGGAGCTTTGAGAAAGGTGTCCCAGCTGAGACGGTTGGACAGCTTATGGTCACGAACTTGATTCAAGAATTGCCTGAAATGAGGATTGCGCTCGGCTTCCTTGCGAACGTAGTAATTCGCAGTCGGAAATGTGGCAGCATATTCGATATAGAAACTCTTGGCTTTCCGGATCCATTCTCGGAAGATGTCACTGAATCCCACAATGAAGGGGCCTTGCTCCTTTTGACGGTACTTGAGCTGCGCCAGTAGGAAGTCCTCATTGACCTTTTTAACCGCATCTACTCTACCAAACACGTCCAATAGGAACTTGTTCAGGCGTTTGATGGGGATAATGGGAGGATTCATCTTGGCCAACTGGTCTCGATAGAGTTCTCGTAGGACATCTAGTTGGCCAATAAAGGCATCCTCGGTGGTCACAATCTCGTGGAGATTATTTTGTCGATCAATTTCCATCCTTGTATGGGAATTAAGAAGCTCTTTGGGCACTTTGTAGAAGGTCATCCAATCCTCAATCTTCTTCTGCGGCGCCATCATCTGCGCTTTGAGGTTGACCTTCCTCAGGGTTCGCATGCAGTGATGAGAGTAGCAGCGTGCATATGAATCCGAATCCTGAATGTGTATCTCGTGCTCGTGAAGCACCCTCGAATAGCAGCCAGTTCCCGTAATCTGAAACAAAACGCCCGAAATCGTTCCATTGCCAAACTTGACCCACTCCTCATCCTTGACCAGGGCATCTTCCTCAAGCATGCCACTCACCACACGCGCTGCAAGAGTTTCAGCATCTGCGATGTTCATCGTCGGAACCTTGTGTGTAAATAGTGCTACAATTGCATCGACAATAGTGTGAACCCTGAGATCATTCTCATCTTCACACATGTCGCGAATCCAAGCTAGAATAGAGCCGAGGGCCCATGGCTCAGTACATTTTTTGAATTGCTCGGAAGAGAGCTTCGCTAGGTTGAACTTCTTGCGACGCCCAGCAGGAATCGCTGGCAGATCTAGTGCTATGGAGGCGGCTGCCTCTGCTGAGTCTATTTCTGTGGGCTCCTTGCTCTGAAGTTGCCAGAAGAGGTCCTGTTGCTGCTTGTATTTGACTCGATCTGCATCGGTCTTCGACCTGATAGGCGGGTCAGCACGAGGTCCAATTGGGTTGGACAGTGATGACGACCGCGGAACTTGAGATGGACTGAGCAGGTCTCCATACAAGTCAGCTGATTCCAATAAGTTTGTTTGGTTGTAATCCGCATGATCCTGCGCGTCATCAAGATCCGGAGGCTTGAACGTGCCAGCAGGCATCAAATGTGAATAAATGGAGGATCCAGTAGATTCCACGGGGGCTGGTGGTAGCGGACGCATTCCAGGATGGAAGAAAAGATCCTCATGCGCCGTTCGCAGTGGACTTTCATCATCAGAATGCTCCGCATCCTGGTGTCCCTCATATGGGCTCTCGGCCTCCTCGCCGTAATCGAAGCTCATGCGTCGATCATATGCCCCGGGAGCTGCAAGCCCACCTGTGCCGCCAGCATCAACACGGGCATCCGGTGGAAGATGATGAAGGCGGTTGGCATATTCATACGCAATATTTGGATGGTTGTAGTCGTCGAAGTATTCCTGACGTTCGTCGGGGGAGATGTTGGAACTCCGAAAAGAGCCAGATGTTCCTGTAAACCCTCCAGCAGGCGTGTCCGGATACTCCTCCGAGTTGTAAACAGGCTCGCTTCCGTATTGAAGATTCCCGTGGTAGCCTCCCCCATAAAGCGCCAAATCATGTCCAATGAATTCACTTTCTTCGTGAGTGGTAGACTGAGGCGATGGACCCTGACCCGAATTATGAGATCCGCGAGAGCTAAAAACCGAAGCATTTGTATCTGTTCGCGAACGCTGTTGGAGTCTTGCGCGCTCTTGCTGAGCCCTATCTTCTTCTTCGGCCATTTGCAACATGGCAAGCCCCGCCTCAGCTTCGGCATCACTATCGTCACTGTACGCACCGTAGTTCACAAAATGACCCGTGCCTGTTGCCTTGCTACCGTTAGTGTGTGTATGGCGCTCATCTGGAGACAAGGCGGCATGCGAGCCTGAGCCGCTCTGCATCGATTTTCTTGAGCTATGACGCCGTGTAGAGCTCGCCTGGGTATCATGTACTGCTGACTCAAGTTCCTTGATCAGCTCATCGTTACCTAAAGGGTCATATTCGGCATCAACTGGGGGACCCGGTAAGGGCCGCGCCTGCGGATGTCGGTTGAAAGTGTCAGTTCGCCTGGGGGCCAATATTGGTAAATCCTGCTGCAATGGAGGCGTGGGTAGAGTGCGACCAGCGTGAGACATGCTAGTTCGCTTCCCATAATTCCCATTGCCTTGTGTTTGGTGCGCGGGAGGCTCTGGGGGCTGTTCATCAAAGCTAGTGCCGATTGGAGGAATCGTGGGAGTGGGGTACGAGGAATCAGATCCAAAGCCATGAGACGTGGGGAAATAAGGTTGGGATGCCGATTGGGGCAAATAAGCCCCCGAAGGTGAATTCAAAGCCGCATACGAAGTAGAAATGGGAGAAGAGACTGTCTGGTAAGCTGTGTAGGTGGCGTTCGGGGCCTGTGGACTCAATGTAACAGATGACCCATACGGACGCGACCCATAAGGATGATCAGCGCCTCGAGGGGGAGGAGCTGGAGGCTGCTGAGAAAATCCATATAATTGCGGGTTCGGAGATGTACGTTCATAATGGGAGGATTCACTGGGACGTCGAGTAAGTGTCGGAGATGCCAGGCCTGAAACTGCGCCCGGCTTATATGCCGCGGGGTTATAGGGTTGGTAGCCTGGACCCGAGTTGTTGTAGGGGTGATTGGCGGAAGAAGCATAGGATGAAGGGTCATAGCTCAGATTCGGTTGTGTCTGCGATTGTGGCAGGGCGTACTGCTGGGGATTGTAGGCTTGCTGACTCGGCGCAGACTGGTACTGGTACTGGTAGGTAGGCATAGTTGACTGCGAGGCCGAGCGGGTGGGTGACATGCGTTGTATATCAGGTGAAGGTTGCGAGAATCCAATTTCATCATCATCTTCGTATCTCATGTGTGTGTTGTAGCCCCCCTGTCCGACATCGCTTTCATGCCCACCACTTTGTACCGCGTATCGCATGTTTCCATCGATCGCGCCCACTTCGGGAAAGCGAGCGCTATTGAACCATCGAGAATCGTCTCCCGCATTGTAGCTAGGCATGCGTCTCGGCAGCTGCTGGTTATGTGTAGGACTGCGATGCGGCGAGTAACTCTCATAGCGACCGGACACTGGCTGCGAGGGGTTACTGGACGGGTCATAGTAGGTCTGTTGGCCATTTGGATGCGCCATGGCTGTGAGACCACAGGAGGCAGTTCGGACTTGAGCCTGAGTTCTTGCGATCTGGTTAAAATGATAGGAGAATCAAGGACTCGGAGTGTGCGAGCGACTAGACGTAGAGCCGCAATGCAATAAATGTTGGATTTGATGAGGGGGGCGGCGAGGAACTGCCGATGAGCTTCTGGCTCAAGGCATCCCCTGATAGACTAGAATGAGAAAGCGGAGGGAGAAAAGTAGGACAAGAATGACGAAAGTTGTGAGAGTAAAATTGAGGATCCAATGTGTAAGTGTCAGTGGGGGGACTCGCGGTTCACAGCTGAGAGATTCTCCACCGCCAACCATAATTAGCCGCAGTCATTAAGTCATATACGGGGAAAATACGGATAAGTGCATACACATATTTGTTGCTAACTTCTTCTAAGCTCACTTTAAAGGGTCCTCCAGAACTCATAAAATTCAATCTCTCTGGAATGAAGCAGATCAGTCAAAGTCCCTAAATCTATATTACTAATACTTCAAATGGTAAATAGCTACAGATTACTACAGAGTACTTCGTTGGGCGTAGAATCAAGTAATCTTAGGGCTCGGCCCCACCGGCATTCAAATTCCGGTTTAAACTGCAAGGCTGAGGCGGCTGAGACACTTATTATTATGCCGCTTACAAGAGTACATAGAAGTGATTTTTAAATCATATGTTTGATATTCAGTATTTGAAATTCAGACGATTGGCCATTGGACCCAGGATACATCAATGCGATATATAAACCAATTCAGCATGCTGTAACCCCATACTTCTGATCGAAAGCCGTAGGTGATAGCAAATAACGTCTGCAAAACTCTTTAGCTCCAAAACTCCCCATAAAAAATGTGACACGTCAAACAAACAAACATTGAAATAAGCAATGCTCATAACAATGATTTTCTTTTTGGAGACTCGGTTAATTTAGCGTCCAGAAAAGGAAAGGGTAGGAGGTTGGTGGTAAGGAGAGTAGTCTCGAAGTAGACGGCAGTAACAGACGGCTTGTCACTGAGAGTGGGAAACTAAACGATAGGGAATAATATAAAATCCAGACAAAGCATGAATACAATCCGTTAGAAATACTCAGCAATTTGTTGATAATGGGTATACAACATATTGTAATATGTCAAGGTCTGCAAACCAATTTTGGAGATATCGATTGGGGTTGAAGAACTTGAGGGATTAGTCACCATGTCCATGGTAAGTCTGGGCAGGGGTGAGGGTAAAATCTCCCTTATGGTGTTCACTCTTGTCGACCTGGTTGGGCTTAATATACCGAGCAGTTAGAGCAAAGCGCAGCTTGTCAATACGATTCACAGAATGCTAAATCAAGCAAAACTTTTAGCATCTCATGTTCAATTCACAAGAGGTGTGGTAACAAACCTCGTAGTATTTCTGTAGGTTTTCTCCATGCATCACCACGAAGTCTCCATGGCACAGGTCCATCTTGATAAAGGATGGAGCTTCACCTGCTCGAGCCTTAAGCAATATAGAGCGCTCAGAATCATACTCAGCTTGAGTAGTTTCCCCTGCGAGAACTCGCCCTTTCAATTCTCGACGTTCTTCCTCAAACCGGCAGCCTTCGAGCACAACGTCGTCGGACAGAAGCTTTGACTTTGTTTTGCCATGGTAATATTTCCCTTTCATACGAATCTCCATGGTTGCTTGAGAACCAAGAGAAAGTGTTGTGATTGTGGGTCCAAGGGAAGATTCACCGTCATCGTGAAACTAAGATAAGTTAAAAAATAGCTATAACAGCTGGCTTTTGAGGAATAAGATCTCACCCCGATTTTCATGTCTTCCAGATAACCCAGTAGCAAAAGCTCATTCGGGGGTAGGAACTCATCTCCTGTGGTTGCCAAAGCCTGCTCAGTCGCCCATGTCAGACGACCAAGAGAATGAAGGATAACATCTGGAGCCTCATCAAAGCCCTTTGATTTGACTGCAACAACATATTTGTAAGGCATTCCCTGTTTTCAAAAGATTGTTCAGTGTATATTTTTTTCAATATTTATTCCCATGTGCCATCGGGTACCCACATAGTTCACAGCAAAGTGTGATGTAAGAGTCCCGGAAACTATCGTTCATGTCAGCTTATCGCACTTTGATATTATTTCTCATATCACGAACCCATGGACTGCTCAAGCGGATACCGTCTGAGACCAAGATCTTTCACTTGAAGATCATGGAACAAATCATCTGGCCCACCTTTGCGGCTGTTGATTGCCGAATTTGATACCATGTGGGTAATTGTACCAACACCGGGCAGGAGATAGGTGTACTTGCGGTATGGAGCTAGAGATAAATTATCAAAATTGGGCCGCATTGTCTTTCCCTGAAACTGCACTACCCGCTTGATTGCTGCAAGCTCATGGTTTGGCATAATGGATCGAAGACTGATGACTGGCATCGGGAACCACTTCTCAAAGCTGCAGTTATCACACTTCCAGCCCGACCAGTACTCACGGGGAATACATTTGAAACAGTTGGGGCACACAATCCCTCTCCACGAAACAGCACTGAAGCATTCCAGGCTGCCTTCTTCTTTGAAAGTGGAAAGAAGATCTGTCTTCAACTCATGCTGGGGTTGGATTGATGGGTCTGGATGACAACGGGAGTTGAGAAAGTCAGAGCTATAGGTGAGATCGGTTGGGGTTTTATTATTTTCAGCAGTCCAGAAGCTGACACACTTCGGATGAAGGCACATCCAACATTCTTGGAACACACGAGTGCTTTCTTGACCACACTCTTGGCACATCTGACGCTCAGGCTTCTTGTTGAAGTCACGGAATTCATATTGAAGAGGTGGAGGAGAGTTTTTGGCTGACCACCAGCTCTGCTTTGTGAGATTCAACTTTTCAAATCGAACTTTTAGGCCTGCATACTTTCCCATCTTCTCAAACCACATGTCTGTGATCTGAAAGTGTGCCATTACATTAAGGCGATGAGGCAGTCGTCGGTTGAGAGCGGTATTCTTACTTCCTATATAGGTAGTCAGCACTGGAACAACAAATTTAAACATGCTATTTTACCGATAATGAGGCCCAAAGCGCACCCCTGCTCCTTTGTTTCCAGCATACTTCTAGGGCGTGTGTCTGACATGTCCTGGTTCTTGGAAAGAGTAAGGCTTCCATCATCTTCTTTCCCACAATTTCCACCACTAAGAGAATTAGTAGAGTCATGCTGTTAATGAATTAGGCAACTCACATCCGAGTGATGATCACTTCATCGTCGATATAGGAGCGAGTACCAGCATCGCCGTCAATTAGAAAGCCTTTACAGCCACCTGCAATGATGTAGCAAGCGCCTTGTCGACAGCGAAACCAGGCCAGCGAATCACCGAGTGAAGCACGATTCTATGAGATAAGTTAGCCTGGTACATGCTGTGCAGGATTGATGGAATAACGAACATCTGCCCAGGCGGGCGGCTCTCCATGAACTTGTTCAATCTCAAATGGTTCGAGGGATGTGTTGTCAGATGATCTTGTGCCATCTGCCTCGAAGTTTTTATCGTCTGAGGTGAGAGTCTTGTCCTCGGATTCCTGACTCGGTCGGCCCTCCAAGGCCGCCACTGCTATTCTTGCAGATTTGCCTAAATGAATTCATTAGTGTTCAAGAATTTCGAAAATGCGCAAGTAACCCACCTCTAGTTATTGTTGAGTGTTTTGCTGTCTTGGGGATTTTTGATAGAGGGATGGATACATTGTCAGCCAATGCGGAAGGCAAGGAACGTTTTGTAGATGCCATAGTGAGTGATATGAAATTAAGATAAGAAGAAAAATGATTGGGACCAAAGGTCAAAAGAAGCGATCAGATGAAAAAGCAAATAGTATATAATAGCTTGGGTCGTGAAGGGATGGGTGTGGAAAAGACCCACGATTAACGACCAACAACCTCCCGACTCGGGACAGGCGCTGGCAGCGAGTATAAGTATAGTTTGATATCAAGACAAGGATTCAGGAGTCAGAATCCCAAATCAGAGAGCTCGACAGCTTGAATTGTTATACAAGACCAGATGAATTGAAAGAGGTGAATGGAGGTTAGGGTAGAGAAGGGAGATGATGGTGTCTTGTCAGCGAGTCACCTGTCACCGAGTGACTTGTCAACAAGTCACTGGACCAGAAGTTTAAAAAGACAAGCAGTTGAAGTAGATAGTATTCAAGTATTACGGATATCCTTCTGTTCTTATCTTAATCAAATGGCACTTGTCCCTCGGACTTCAATTTCTCAGTCACCTGTTGTATACCCTCACACTTGGCTAAATTTGAACGCTGTTGGTACTCCTTTTCCAGGAGCTATACGTAAATCTGCCTTTTTCTCAATTTGCTTAAATTCTCTCATTCTAACTTCCTAGCTATTTCTGACACCCCCAACTGTGCTCACCACCTGGATCTCCATTTTTGATGATGCTAAATATTCGCTGTAGCTGTCAACCGAGCCCTAATCGATAACGCCCTTGGCATTGAAGGGTAGTTTCATACTACAACGCTCGCAATGACAATGGACAGCCATTTAATTTGAAATTTAAATAGAATATCTGCGGAGATATTGTCTAGACTCTTAAGCTCATCATTCTAAATTCCATTCTTCTGGATTTTCAAGAGCTGATAAATCGAGCCTCAAATTCCCTGATCTTAAGCCTAATCGGGTAAGTCCCGGTATCTGTATCATGATTTTAAATACCAAAAATACGCTATGGCTTAGCTGCGTACTTCCGTAATATCTGAAATCGGTAATACCTGAGTCGTTTTAGCCGAAGTCGGCACAAGTTAAGCGAAATCAAAAGAGTTGATTCATCTAAACAACATAATATCCAAGTATCTACCTCGAAAAGCTGCCAAACCTGCCAAGACCTATCAGAATGTCCTCTGAAGCTCCGACCCAGCCCGAGTCCCAGGGTCTATTTGATCTTGGTGTTTTACCCACCAATTCCCGCATTTTTCCAACGGAAGAAGAGGCAATGTTCGCTATAAGAGAATTTGCAATGGGCCATGGGTATGGCATATCTACTGCTAAATCTTCATTTTACTGTGGCCAAAAAATCATCATTTATCTGCAATGTGACCGAAGCCGACCATATAAGCCCAAAAAAGCACCCACAATACGTAGAGGTGGCACAAAATCAACAAACTGTCCATTTCGCATGGCTCTTCGGCGTCAAAAACACCCTGAAAAAGAAGGCAAATTTCAGTATGTCCAAGCTAATTCTGAAAATCAGAGCCATAAATTGTCTTTAGTTATTTCATGAATATCAATGGCTAAATATCTTCTTAGCTGGCTTGTAACCGTTACAAATGGACATGACCGCCATAACCACCCTACACAGCCTATTTCAACACATTCTACTCACCGAAAGGCTACCATTCAGCAGCATGCTGACCAAATATCCATTCAAATTCGCCGTGGGATCTCATCACGGCAGATTATTCGGAATATCAAAGCCCCGTGGCTTTCACCTCGCGATATCTACAATTTCCGTGCCACTTTGAATAAAAACGAGCGTACACGTGTGGTCTTTCGAATTGAAGAGAACAATCGCCAGTCCACACAAGAGAATGATGATATTGTCGTTGAAAATAGAAATACTGAGCAGGAAATTGAGATTGATGATCAGCAAATGATTGACCAACAAATTCATTATGAGATGTCACTCGCTGAGATTGCTACTGAAATTACGGCAAACTTCGGAGATAGGAATCATGGGAAGTATAAAGGAATCCCGTCACAAATGACAAATGTAATGCAGTTTTAGTATACTGAAGTTGAGTTTTAATTTTGGTTCATACATTTTGACTTTAATAGAAGGTGTCAACGTACAAATTGCAACTGACCAATCATTCAAATGCCACAGATGATTGAAACTGAATTTATGACTAACCCATACAAAGAAATCGTCTGTAATACAGAAAGTGGGCCATGCAAACAGACCAAACATCGACAGAAGGACGCGGTCGCGTGACCAACCGTCGTGGCTTATTATCTAATCTGATAATACATGTACTCCACCATACCCTATTGGGTAGCTGAACGTCCTTTTATCAATTCTCGCCCAGCAATTCTTGCGTCGATTTATCAACTCCCTTTTGATGTACAGGTGGACAAGAAATGACCATAATCCAGTAGCAAGTTTCCGATAAGAAGATGCTTGTACATGGATCTCACCTCCTTTACACTCATTATTGGGGCGATTGCAGCAAAGAAAGGTTCTCCCACAAGGGCATGGTTCATGGATACACTGCTTGGAACGGTACAGGCACTCCAGGAACGTAGCTGGGATCCGCCATTAAACCTTCTGCAAAAGAATTTTGTATTTCACATAAATATTTGGAGAGATTTTAAGGACCTATGGAAAGAGTTACAGGATTAAGATATGCAGGAGGGTTTTAGTTGGATTTCGGGGGCAACAACATGCGTTGATACGCCGCCAACGAAGCAGATATCATTGTAATGGGTCGATGGGAAGTAATATTATGAGGAGAATTTACTTAAAAACAAAGGCCTTACACAAATTAACGAATTAAAGGACCGATTGAAGCACGAGGAAGGACAACTTAGTTTCCTTCAGGATAATTTCTTCCTGATATGTAATAGAATCAGTTCTGTTCTACAAGAACCCTATTCAGAGCTTAGTTCGCCCACCAAACCAGATACCAGCCCATACAATCTGACCAATATCATTGCCAGATACTCTAAGATTGACTAAGTAATTTCGATATAACTCTCCGCTAAAGCGAAACACATACTGAGCTGTTGTTGGAACGTCTTTGAACTGGACGTTCATTGTACAACATAATCGTCCCTCAGGAATCTGAATGTTGATATTTTCGGACGAATTAGTAATGACGATTAGCGCCTAGTCTAGTGAACAGGATTCGGAATTGGACTTCCATTTCCGTAGCTTACACTAAAACCTGTTGAGTCAAATTCTCCACGCAATGAGAGGCTAGCTGATGAGGATTCGTGGCAAATACTCGTAGGATTCAGGATATAAAACTCCGTATAAAGTGGGGTGTGAAAGCTCGGTTTTGAGAGATAATTACTTATAGTGGAGACCTGGCGGCCTGAGCCAATTTATGCTGTCCGCTTTTGTTGGTCACGGAGCTCGAGGTCAATAAAGAAATTCAAATTCGTTGGCATTATCAGCAGTTCTTGATTGTGATCTTCTCGTATTGTCCATGGCATGATGGGCAAAGCGGAACTCCATTCGCTATGGATGTGAGGCTGAAGTTAATAAGCCCGGTATCGGCCTAGAGATTAATCACCAGCTGCGAAAATACGTATTTGGATCTTTCTTACCAATCACATGAGCGATTTCAGGTTCTGCTGCATTGCAAACCCAACAGATGGTTCCTGATAAATGTCTCGCTTCTTTTGGACAGCTTTGATCCGACGACTTGGGGATGGTCGAGGCCGCGGCCGAAGACGTGATAGATTGTCGTGATCATTGACTGGGGTTTTTAACTTGCCTAGTGGGGGTATAGGACGCTGCGCCATGATGATGATTAGCTGAAGAGACTTCGATGATTCTGAGATACTTACTGGGTACAAGGCTGACTGCTGCAGAAAGCTTCTTCCTCGAGAACTCTTTTCTCGAAAACAGCTAAAGACAAGAGAACCGCAATGACAACTTGATTCTGGCAAATTAAAAACTACTGCCTAATCGATAAGGAAGCAGTATAATTTGATAAGATTGTGATAATACTAACCTGACGATAAAATAGAGTTCTGGAATTGCCGAGGTTGCTGTGCTAAAATAATATATAGTTTTAGTTATTTCAAAGCTTTATAATTCTAAATAATAGAAAAGACTTGGAATTGAAACTTTTGATTTACAGTGGTCATTGTGGGAGTAAAGACTATCCGATCCCATCTCAAGCCCATGGCCACGCTGTTAAATGAACTTGACCTTGAGTACATTGACCGCACTAAGGAGGATTTGATCAATGATAGCGAATAGGAAGAGGAGAGCACATATGAGGTCGAGGAGAATAGTAATGATGAGTCGAGGAGCAACTTACATATAACCAGTGAGTTATACATCCCGAGTTAAGACCTATCTTCACGTACGAAAATTTTGCAGCTTTGGACAGAGAAACTAGGTGCGAGAAAAATTGAGATTTGAGGCGAAATGAACGTTGGAAGATTTGTATTACCAAGAAGCTATAAAGACGGCATCTTGGGGGCATTTGCCTGATAACATTGATCTGAAATGATCATCATACCTTTGCAAATTACCTACATCTTTCTGCTCATGTGAAGAATCGAAGGATTCCACAGGCCTCTATCCTCAAACACCCTGGAACTTATTTCCAAGGTCAATCACGCCTATTAGTGTATCTAAACTCTCTTGACTTGGGTTATACATAACGTGCTTCTCCAGTATACCAAGCATTCAAATCATACAACATCGCTGTATCTCCTGTTAGTAAACCTTGAAAGTATCAAGCATATGCATTCATGTATAGCCATATTCCGATTGAAAAAGAGACGAAAGTCATACCAATAGCGAAAAACTCAAGAGAGTAAGCATTCCTCTGCGCTGCACAAGGGTTTTGTTGAGCAAGGGCTACACACTCATCAAAATGAATAGCGTGATCATCGGCTAGCATGTAAAAGTTAATAAATAGAACCAAGTGAGCTAAAAATTACCCAGATATGAGGGAACATACTATCCAGCAAAAGGTGAGTTATCTCATGGTATAGATTAGATCCAACAGTTCTCATTCTATGAATCTGAGTTCCTGCTCGCATTTCTTGATCCCGTTGAGGTAGAAAACTCGGGCGAAGGGTTTGCCAGAGGTAGGGACATAGCACAATAAACTTGATTCTTCCGCTGGTATCTTTGTCGGAATAAGCCCCAGTACGCTCATGGCATATTCTATCGGGACCACCATCCTGAATACCTCTGATTGTTATACCAGGAGGAGCCCTTGCCCCTGATGCAAGAAAATAGCGGTCTAAAAAAGAAATTTAGCGAAGAACACGTATACTATAGATCAAATGAATATCAAACCTTGTGTTGCAAGAGGCCTTCCTGAAGAAGATGTCGTGATGAGCTCAAAGGCACTATCGTCACAGTATAGGAATATGGGTAATTGAGTTCCTGGACGACCTGTTCTTTGCATTTCGAGAAAATCATCTGTGTAATAACTGGTAAGAATACACTGCTGCATTAAATATTTAGCTGCTGACAACTTGCCTCGCAAATAACCAATCTCCGCTCTATCCGGATTGAATATGTTAGTCACAGTGCTGCTTTCTATTGTAGTCCATCTGCTTGCAGCGATCGCATCATCAGCTGCATTAGCGAGAGCTCTATACTCAGCCCAAGATTTATTTAGATCATCCACACGACTCCTGCAGGATTGATCTGTCCAGGCAAAGTTTCGTCTAGCATCGGTTGCAAAGCAGATATCAAAACCGTTCAAGAACATGCAGAATAGGGCTAGTGATAGCATATGCCCATATGAAGCCATAAGTAGAGTTTGCCGAGCAGGTATAGAATGAGGGTCGCAAAGAGATGTGTCTGAAGTGATTAATTCATCCGGCTAGAACATGGACTCAGGAAGATGAAAGTCTGCTTAGGATGAAATGCTTTTTCGGTTCTAAACGTTAGTGCTTTTGGGAGTGGGTGAGATATGATTTCGAGTTAAAAAGTTGAAAATCAAAGCTAATAATCCTTCCGTAGATAAAATATCATCCAAGCTGGGCGCTGTAATTCTGACGGTAATATACTTGAAGAAATGGGGCAAAATCACTAGAGGAAATTCCTCTATTGTTTCTAAAAGTTAGAACCCTGATGCTATTAACCAACGCCTAGATATCTGAAAAACTTCTCCTGAAACCCGTTAGTACCCATGACTCAAGTAAGTAGTTTTGAAAGTATTGTATTATTTCCTGGTCCCCTATTAGCAACTAGTGGTGAACGAATCATGTCTCAACTCATTGGTGGTCAACGAGCGATTTGAAAGCCCTACACTGCAAAAACAAGACTTATTTGCAAAAGAGAAGAATTATTTTAGTTCTTCAGAAGGTTCTAATTCCTATATTTGGAAGTGGCAAAGAAGGGTCTATTAATGAGAAACTACGTGGTCCATTTCGGGTTAGGAGGAAAAGCGGGTCAAGGGTTTCGACCCTGGACATTTTTAGTTCTTCTTCTCTCTCCACTTTAGTATTTTGATATCACAGTGCATTCTATTTTTGGATTTGTTCCTTGTAGGATATTGACTACCGATCACAGAAACTCCCGAGATCTCGGCACTTTCCAAAAAGGAATTCAACCTACCCCTTACAGATTTATGCTACAATTTCAAAATGCTGAGTAGCATGATCAAAAAAAGGTCTTCAATCATGATGTTTTAGATGATATCTACAGAGTAATGAGTTCGTTTTCTTTTTTAGGTATTCAAAGTTAGTTCTCGAATTTCAATTCAAATATGCCAGTGACGAGGAAAACTCTTTCACGTTGGGCATACATATATATCTCTAATTAAACTCTTTCTTGAAAGCTTAATTAATTTGGCCTTTTGAAAGATTTCTAATTTTGCATTCATAAAACTATAGAATTATCCAAAAAGTACTAAGATCCACAAAATTCTTCCAACTCAATAACCGAATACCATACGATATCCTCGCTTTCTGTCTCACTCTCCATAGCATCACCATCGTTACTATCCATGTCTTCGTCATCTCCCTCGTCCTCGTCTTCTCCCTTGTCCTCGCTATCTCCCTCATCCTCGTTGACATAGAAGCTGATGCCTGTAATCTTTGCGACACTGGTGCATGCTAGCTCATTGGCGTGGGCCATCGCAAGGTAAAGTATCCCAATCGCATTTGGGGTGTGGACCACAGCGTAAAAGTCACAGTCTCCTGCAGCTGCATCGCAGCTATGAAAATTTTCTTCATCAATCGGCATCTCTAACTTGGTCGTAGTCCATGTTGTCGCTTGGTTGTTATTAACAGATAAATCATCCTTGTTATAGTGGCCGGCAGCGGTAGCCGCTTCTCTCATTACTGATCTGCTCACGCCATTCCCTATACTATCCCGGACGAAGTATTTCAAGTTTGCTTTCTGATGCGGACACACAGCTGACCACAATGCCCATATCACATCTGACCACCTATATTGAGAGCGTATAGTGTGTATCTCGTCATCCTCATTGACGACAGAGACTTCAAAGTAGCTGAGTGAGACAATCGCAATTCCTCTGTTGCAATCGAAAGAAGCAGTTTGTTGAAATTTTGGCTGTGCCCAATCATTGGCAGTGACTTCTTGTAAGTCAAGATCATGTGCTCGCACCCCTATGGTACGGGCGAGGGTAATCAACAACTCATTATCAACAGGGGACTCTGTCTTCCAGTACCTCCATCCTGGTCTATTTTTCACTGCTACCGGGACACTATATCCCTTCGCATTTATCTCCCAGCCAATTCCAGTATGCTCATCATTAAGGACCAGTGGAACTTCCACCGATGTGCTGCCAATGCGCCCCGATGATAGCGTAGATTGGTATTTCTTCCATGCCTGTGCACCTTTTAAAGCGTCTTCCATAAACACACTTGAACGTGCATCTTGGCGTTTAAATAACTGGTTGGGTTTCGATTCATGAACAGACGAGGGTGGGAGGATTTTGACTCTATGAGTCCGTTGCCTGGGACCAACAATATCAGGTGCTTGCTGGGCGGCATATGCAGCAGAAATGCCAATATATAGTAGCAATGGTAATAGTTTGAGAATAACCATTCCGAAAATTTTGTTTGGGTAGGAAGCATTTCAATTTTTCAACCCTGGAAGGCTCCAAAATTGTCCTTAGGATCCTATATTATTGTGAATATCTAGTGGTAGTAATCTGGCTACCTGAGTATCTTAATAGCTCTACAAATAAATTCTGTAGTCTTACTGCCTCGGAGCTTAATATCTGCCAAGTATATATATATATATATATATATATATATATATATATTGATATCATTGAAGCAGATAAATTAGCTTGAGTAGCATGATCAAAAGGCTAAAAGTGATCTTCATCGCAGGACCTTCCAAGCAATCCTTTCTTCATGTTGAATATCCACAGTTCCAATTTAAGAAATCCTTTTGAGTTTAACGGCGGAAAAATGCTACATTGAGCCCTAAAGCTCTGGCCTCTAGTTGCCCCGGGAATTTGAGGTCATGGATCAAATCCGTGTTGAGATAATTCATATAGTACAGAATAATCTTCGAAAGTTCCATAATGATTTATTTCTCAATCTCCACCTTCTTGTTAGTAAAGGGATACGGGTCGTTCTTCACGCTATTTAAGTTTCCCTATAGTGCTGATAATTTAAATTCATTGAATCAAACTTGGCATTAAACTATGCCCATACATGATGATGCATGATGATCCTTTTGGGGCCATTTCAGCCATCGGTGTGAAGGATCGGCGTGCAGGATTGAATGGAATCAGGATCTGAGTAGCTAGCTATTGCGATAATATATCTAAATATCCATCGTAATCAACTAGGTACTTAGGTACTTAGATCCACTCCATTTACGTACCTTACACATAGGGAAATATAGTCCTTTCGTAATTGAAAAAATAATTGATGAGACCTCCCGCCGCCTTTCAAAATTTGAAAGAAAACCAATTCTATGTATATTGGACACATGTCAAATACCCTGGACCCAACCTGCTACAGATAGGGTTGTCGCTGGTAATAGAGGCTGCCACCTGGGCAGCAAATACCCCTTGAACTGGATAGATATCATGTTTTCAGATTTCTAAGAGGAGACTCTTGACTCAGCTAAATTTATTCAAGTTTTGAATCTTGTAAATTGATTATCAAAGTATGTGCTGACATGCTTAGATCATGTAGTCTTGGTCTTCAGAAATATACATCACTTTATCTCATATACATACACCTATTATTCGAACAGAAATCAATTGAATGTATTCCTGCTTTGATAATAACCTAGTAAACTAACAGTATGATTCAAAGGCTAGAATTGTTGAAATTGGCAGTTTTCAGATGAATATCCCGTGCAATAAACAATTATTGATCGCTTCCATTCTTGACCTAATTGATATGCCTAGCCGGCTAGAGGCAATAGTAATCCGGATCAAACACAGCATTGTCAAACCTGTGACCGCAGTGATTAGTCCAGAAGACCTCCATCGCATAATGGGAGTAGGTATCGGCGTTATAAATGGCGTCGGTCTTGGGCTGTACATGTGACGCCCCCCAAGCTCCGTATGCATTAGGCATATCCGTTGTCGCCATATCCAATGGCGGCACCATCAAACTTTGCCAATGTGTGTATTCATGCAATAGCGTTGATCCCATTGTCGCCATCCTATTAGACATGGTGTCCCCGATACTATCGCATGTGACAGCCGGCGCTCCAGTATAATCTTTCTCAATTCCACCATAGTCTTCGAGCGCCCTGTCACAAAGAATCAACCGTGGAGAACCGGTATGAGGATCTGCTAGTGCTGCCTCTGTTTGGTCGTCGCAGGCATAGCCATGGTATGGCGTAGGGTAGTCTGTCACGATTTTCATATAGCGGAACATAGAGTTACCAGCATAATTACTACCAGCAATTTGTTGAAAGACGCCTTTATAAAAAAGTTAATAAGGTTTTAAATCATAAGCTTATCAACAATCACAAACTTTTAACTAGCGAATAATCTTCTCTTTCAAAATACTTCCGAAAGATCGGGCTTATGATAGAGGAAGGTGCAGTAAGTACTGCTTCCACCATTTCAAGGGCATCATCGATTCCCTCTTCAATCTTTTCCACCTGCTCAGCAGTAAAACGACCATGGATTACTGGTCTGGCGGCTAGCACAGTGGTTGCCAACAGGCAATGTAGTAGAACACGGGACATCATTTTTTCTGTCAAAATGCAGTAAAAAGAGAAATAGCAGACGATTCAGGGAATCAAGATGACCTAGTAAAATTATTTTGAGGTCTCATATGCCACCTATTCTGAATCAAATACCTTGTTGCGCGTATTATAAAGTAATCTACAGATCCACAGAATTTTTCTAACATTCCTCTTGTTTTGGATATATAATATTGAGTATTGGGTGCTACGAGAAATTCCAGAAGGAACCTTTAAATAGCCATAGCCCTATAAGCTTGTGTCTACGGGTTCCTTTGAAGAAGGGAACTTATTCAATTTGATCCACACCACTGTTTACCATCGATAAACAAACTATATCGGCAGTCGATTTGCAGAATTTCACCAACTGAGTCATAGACTAAAAATAATCTTCCCGTATGTCCATAACTTCGCGGGTGTTTAACTACGCTTCAAAGCTGGGAATTTGCGTTTCCAATTATATTGTAGAAATTTCTAAACTTGAAAGATTTACTACATTCCAATATTGGAAGGTGTATATCAGTCAACTTGTATCATACGTACATAGCCTTGTTCCTTCGGGACCTCGGGATGTTTGGCCAGACGGCGGAGGTCGGGATTCCTGAGGTCCGACATAGCGGAAGATCTTCTGTCATCTTCCATCCATACTCCATACAGCTTTCCAAATTTAGAACCTTGGAAGTTTGTTCTGCCACGTACATATGAGACGGATTTAGGCTGGCCCGAGACCCTTTTTGAGCCACTCCATACGTCATAGCTAGTGTTGCTACTATTTGGAGATCACAGTCATGTGATAATTTTGCCAAGCCTTTATAAAATCCGAACAATACTCAAGTTCAATTAGGAATAAATAGCATGAAAAAGAATAACTGCGAAATACAAAAAAACATACAACAGTCAGGATTCGCATGTGGTCACCCACCATACTACTAACTGACCGGCGTGTGGCTTAAGTACGGCTGAGCGGACGGGAAGCCCTGTTCTCCACACCCTGTGGTCGTATGTGACAGTTGAAGGACTAAAACTAATTCTATATTCAGAACTAGCTCGGCACAACTGTGTACAAAATTCTACAAGCATGTAAGAGCAATGTGGAATTGAGGTTGAAAGGGCCTCGAATCACGTGGTAGTCTAATTCAAAGAGGACAATGGGCATGGTCCATTTGGCGGGCATCAGCCCGTTACATGATACACCTCAATACGAAAGATTCATAAATAAGACGGGGGAGGATGTTACATAAAAATGGGTGAGCGCTGCTTTAGCATCGCGGGACCGGGGATGAGTAAGGTGAATATGCAATAGACAAGGTATAATTGCTTTGACTTTAAATGTATAGTATGGATGAGCCTATATTTCAAATAACAACAAGCTCCTAATTAGGACTAGTATTTGATTCAAGGTTTAAACTTTATTTAATGGAGGAAGTGCTTTGACTAGGCTAATCGTGGTCAATCTGATGGCTAGGGACAAGGGATGGAGTGAGAGTGTAGGTCGTTTATGAGGTAGGCACGTAGATGGAGCCATGGACATCTGGGTCGGCAGTCTCTCCCGTGCCATTCCTGACTTAAGACTATCCTCAGACTTCCATATCTGATACCCCAATTTAGTTTTTTAATATTTCCTACTTCTTCTTTATCAAAATGACGGAAATATACCTTCGTTTTCCCATAGCACCTCAAAAGTCCTCCATCGCAAACCCTCTCTTATTCCCAAAGTCACCCACAAGCTGCTGCAATCGATACTGTAAAAATCCTCTCTTCTCTACAAGAACTTCACATTCGCCCACAAACCGCTTTAAGCAACAACAAGTTGATTTAGAAGTCGAGATGGCTCATTCAAACTTGATACCGAGTCTGCGTCTGAAGGTGCCTCTGACAACCGCCAGCTGGGAGCAGGAGATTTGTCCGATAGCCACCCATTAGTAGCAGGAAATATCTCCGACAACCTTACGTTGGAAGCGGGAGATTCCCTCCTACACAGAAGATGCGTGCGAGATCCAAATGATCTCGAGAAGAACGGTTTTGATCCTGTATGGACTTCCTGGGGTGGGTTCCCAGGAGATATCCCGGGAGACATACAAGAATGGCTGGACCCGGACGGAACGCGATGTAAATTCTCAAGATCCATGAATATTACAAACTTCAACGTGGCTAACTTAAGAATGAACAGCCTGTATCCAAGTCATCGGACACTTGTCGAGCCTTGCATGGCTTGGGGGCCTGGACGAACTTGCAAGGGCCATGCAATACTCCGTATACCGATTCGCAGATGAGGTAGCTGTGGTTCCGATTGGAACCTCCGTATTGTTCCCTTTGGAGCAGTACATCACAGCTGGACTCCTCCCACCGCTTGATGATGGCCTACCAGTGCCACCATGTCGACAGAAGGGGGCATCCGTCCCCAATTCGGTTACCTCAGAGCCAAAAATTATCAACTTTAAGGACCTCTATGCCACCGCCCGCGGGCAACATCTCCCAGAAGTCGTGCGCACAGTAAAGGTGCCTTACCAAAAAAAACAAGAATAAGTTAGAAGCAAGTGTTACAGCACTACTCGGATCGCAAAGCAGGGACCTATGGTTTCGAGGCTTAAGCCTCGAGGCCCTCGAATCCACACTTACGTTCTTTGTTCCACAGGTGAATTCCATTAATAGGTTCAATGAGTTCGGCCCTGTGTTCTATTCCTCAAATCGACTAGCATGTGCGTTGAATTATGTCCAGCGTTCTGGTGCAATCATGGTATTTAAGGACACAAGCTTCCAACAATCTACTATCTGGGAGCTAAGCCTTGTGGAGTGGACCGCCTGGATCTCTCACTGGCTAGGCCTGAATCTCCAAGAAGCCAGAAAAGATGTCCCGCCGCAGTATCGGCTAGCTGACTTTGTCAAGGGGCCTGTAAGCGAGACTCACCCGAATGGGTACGAAGCACACCCTCCAACACAGTCAGATACGACGCAGCTTGTTGCTGTGAGCTACGATGGTTTGGGAACCATGTCTCGCTCGCTTTATATGATAGTTTATGTTCAAGGTGCTTGAGATGTTTAAGCACCATTCTTTTTTATTGTTCGTTATCACTGTCGCTCTTTATTGTGATTCTTTGTCTTATTGCTTCTGTTGATACTAAGGTCATGTGCTTACCACATGACCTTTGGCTATCATACCTACAGCAGCACACACACGAAGAATCGAACACTTCTTACTACTCACAACTATCGCACGTACACTACGACCAACAGTAGGACTTACCTGCGACGTGAACATAGAAGTCTTATAGCACACTATAGTCAATACTCCTGATACGAGTATCCCGACAAATATATATAGCTGCATAAAGATTTCACGTTCCTTAACTAAGGAGTGATTCAACTTGTTGATACGGCTTTGGCAGCTTAGGACGAGGAGAAGAATCTAGACGAGGGCTGCTTCTGGCTCCAAGTCCATGACTCCTCCGAATAGTCTAAGCAGTGCGATTCTGAATATCGTGGAGAAAACTAGGATTGCTAGTTGGTTGAGCAGGAGTAGGATATCTTTAACGTGAGCAGAAAGGAAGCAAGTCGTGAAGAATACAATGGACTAGTTTTTAGCTGTTCTTGATACCACGACGAAAATAGAGGTACCGAAAACGCATACAACGGCACCCCATCCATAGTTGCCATACCACCTTCAGAAATCCAATGATCGAACTCGGGCGTATCCACTAGTCGTGACTGGGTCAACTCAATAGTTTCCCCAGATGTGATCATCGCGTCCCCTTCAGCTACACCAGACACCTTGATGTAAACGCAGAGAACAATTGCACTGGTTAGCAGGCCAATAGGCCATAAGACGTTAGATACCTGATGATTATTCAAGTTGTAAAGCATTTTCTCGCGCTCATAGATACATTTCAGCTGTACGGCATGATATACTGCTTGTCGACCGTCAGTGGACTGAGCCCAGGTGGTGGTCGCATTGTCGATATCTGCTTCTCGACAATAAATGCTGCATTTATTGAACTCTAGCATTCGTAAATTCGCGAACATTTTCAAGCAGAGTAGGTGGTATAATGTGAGGTTGAGACCAAGGAAAGGATGCCAGTCAGCAGGAGCGTCCGCAAAGAACGAATCTTCCAGTTTGTCGGTATTTCCTATGTGCACCCACCAATTGTGGAGGTATCCCTTCCACAGCTTGACACGCGCCGAAGTACGGTTCATCTTGGGTGATAGATAGTTCAGGTGTTGTTCATTCTGAGCCTCTCGGGAAATACCCCAAAGCTCCGACAAAAACGCACAAAGCCTGAGATTTTCGTGTTCAAGGGATAGGTGAGGCATTTGTATATATCCTGTCTCAGAAAATTGTCTCTCGAGTCCGTCCCGAATAACTGTGGAGAAGGCGCAGCGCAGCCCTGTCGGCCCATGCCAGTGTAGTCTTGCTCCGGCTTCCATTTTTTCGGCCCTCCAAATATCTTCAGAGACGGGTAATGGCAATTCAATCTCCTGATATCGCATCGTTGGGGGCCGATCTAAGATAAGGGACAGATATGTATCGATTCTCAGAACAGTATAAACTAGCCTAAAATCACAGAATTACCCGTATTAGAAATGAAAAGAAACACTGAAAACCTTGGAATGGAGACACTGATTCGTACCGCTTCATCTGCTCTTTAAGAACCCAGCACTCCTCGTTTGACTGTTGTTGGCCCTCTAGGGGCCATCGATTATCCAGGGCCCTAATTCGTCGAAATGTGGATATAAAGATATCCGTCCACTGTGCCACCCAAGTCAATGTTGTTGTCTGAGCCTGTAAGAATGAGTAAGTTTCCTCTTAGTTCTCATGAAAAGTATTCGCACCTCATTCAAAATTGCATAAGTTAAGATTGTCACTAAAGCTTGCAAAGTTTGTAGGGGTACATCTGCAGGCTTCCCAGTCAATGTATTCCCCATCTAGAGAAATATTAGCGCAAGTGATATCCGTGGACTGCGAAAGTAGAGAATCTATCTACTTAGGAGGTACTGCCTTCGGCATAAATGCTAGGGTCAACCTCTGATTGATTGCATCAGGGACAAAATGATGGTGGTTGGCATTCTGCATCCATATAAACAGATTTGCTAAAGCACTAGTCAGCAGAGTATTCTGCTTGTCAGGTGCAAAAGTAGGAACATAAATCCATGGCCATGCTTGATGGAAATGGTCAAAATCAGTTGCCTTGACCTGCGCCGTGATAAATTCCGCAGTCGAAATCAACTCGGTAGCATTTTTCTTGTTTCCTAGTGGCGGGTTCATTTCCTCTCCAATTAATTTTTCACTCCACGATCGCGCACATTGAACGACCAGCTGCACACTGGAAGTTTTGCGTACGCATGCTTCCCCAGAGTCTGCGCATGTGGTGCAGGGATAACCAGAATCGCATTTTGTCTTGCGCCTTCGACAAGCTTGGCAAGCTAATGGGGTTCGCTTGGCTGCATCAGAAGGCACATTATGCTGTAGCATATGTCGATTCAGAATATCGCTGTCGCTCGTTAGGAAGTGAAAGATCTACATACTTTTGCAGCGATCTCACCTCCTAGTAAAACTTCGCTCACAGATAAAGCATTTGTAATGGCGGGAATTAGTATGTACCACCGAGTGCCGATTGAGATATTCTTTACGTAGGAATGATTTCCTACAGTCTGGGTTTGTACAAAAAAAAGGCCCCGAATTCAATGAAGCGTTTCGTCGAGAATGTAGGAAGTCCATTTTTATAAAATTAGTGATCGCCGGTAGATTGCGGATTGACAAGTTTCGACATCCTGTGTTTAGAACAGATGGCCCACAAGGACCATGTATATCAAGGGGATTGATACAACCACCCCATCTCCCCCATGTGATATAATGCCTTAGTAAGAGATAGACTTGAATAACATACTTCTTACAACTCCCGCATCACGTACGTACAAGCTTACTTACTGCATGGCAGTGCATGCAACGAGCCAGTTTCGCTCCCGACAGCATCTACGAGATTGAAGTTGCGAGGCTTTGAGTTCAGCAATTTCTTATTAATGCAATTTCTCTAATTCTTAGCCTTGCAATGAATTGATGGAATCGAAATGCGCCAATAATAATAATAGCCATGGGTGAAAACATAAAATATGCCAGCAAAAAACTTCAATCAATCTTCAGTCAGTCATACCGGACAATTGAACACAGGGCAAAAAACACAGGCAACGCCAGTAAATGACTTCAGTCAACCTTCATTCAAACCAAATGATTGAACACAGGGAACTTCCGAGCGCGGCACAGCCACTATAACTAGTGGCTACGACTTGAGTAAATGACCCTGGTTCCGGCATGCCTCTTTTCCTATCGGACTCTGAAATTGGAGCTCGGATTATGTCTGCAGCTTTCCACCCTTCTGGTATTGAGTTGGGATCATCTGAAAGCGACAGCTTCGTCCACGTTGCCACAACCTCTTTCCAATCATTTTTCGATGGCTTCCAGATATTGAGGCGATGGAAGTCAGGGTTTCGAAAGATCATCAGTACTCCTGAGCGAGTGAAATTCAACGCATGCGTTAATGATTCTGATGTATAAATACCTGGTCCTAGCTCATTATCATGCGAATTCGAAGAAAACGATGGGATAAAGAATGCTAGTATCGCTGGGAGAGCCGCTCTCGTCATACTTCTGAAGAGGAACTCTCCAGTGCCTAGGCTCTCAACATGCTGCTTAATCTTTTCAGAGAGCTTCTTTCCTTTTCTCTTCACAGAAAGATGTAGCACTTGGATGTTTTGAGGGAAGGTGTTTGCTCGAGCGTATGGGAAGAGTGAATCGATTGTGCAAGTTTTAGAAGTAGAGGAAACTTGGCGAGGAATGGATTCAATTCTGACTGGGAAAATGATGGAAGAGAAAGGGCGGAAGTCCTCCATTGCCCGTTCATACATCTCTTGTGGGAGCTTCCCCTCTCCATGTAGATAAGGGAGTATCCAAAAAACAGAACATGGCCATGGAATAAGAGCAATCTCGTCTTCTAACACACACGCGGGGTTTGTGGTTCCAAAAACCCGATTCACATCTTTTATTTACCACCTATTAGCCAGCTCCATCCATCCAAGCTCAGTAAACTGTAATTAGCTAGCCTATACAGGTCCTTCCAATCCTCCACATTTGGCTGTGACTCTCGTGTAAAACCATAACCTTGGATCTCATTCCTATCCCAGGCCCCAGGCTGCTCAATATAGTCACCATTTATATTTCTCTCCAGATCACATGTGCGTTTAGCCCCTGCATTGCACAGGATCTCGATAACCTCTGGATAAGATTTATATGCCTCAGCTGCACGTGCTGGAGGACCTTGGTGATCATCATAGACGAGGTTATTCTCAAGTGCCTTTGTCCGAGAGACACCATATCTGTAAGACGCCAGTCCCCGTATATGTGCACGTCGACTCAGTTCTGCATAATGAAGAGCATGGTCAAGCGGTGTCCATGGCGGAGATTTGGTGCGGTCAGGATCATTGATGCGGCTGACGAGGCCGAGAGTGAGAAGAAGAGCCACAGTCAGTGGCTTTCCACGACCGGCGGCAGCGGAAAGAGTGTTTGTGCTGTTGGGGTTGGGAAGAAAATTAGTCTCGTAGACCTTTTTCATGTCGGTTCCAAGATACAGGAGAAAGTATTGAATCAAGTCGTAGGATTCTCTGTCTTTGAGAACGGCATTATTGGCGATGAAAAAAAGAATATCTAGTCCTTGGTCATTGAGCACAAATGGATCAGCACCCTTCTCTAGAAGAAAGCGGCCCCGTCGTGCAGGATTCAAATCGGTACCAAGAGCAATAGACAGCGGGGTAAAGCCACGACGGTTCTTTGCGTTCAGATCAGCCGGGAAATCGTGACAAAAAAGAATTCTACACGCCGCCTCAAATTCTTCTTCGGGGTGATACGTGGTGGCAAGTAGATGAAATGGCCTGTCCTCCAAGAAACGCCTGGCAATGTCGAGATTCGGCATGGTCTCAACTATCTTGCTGAGGGTTGAAAGGTACGATTCGGGATAATCTAAACGAGGCCCAACGATTGAGACCCATAAATGTAAAACTGTATCTCCTGCACGGGACAGGGAAGATTCCTTGAGGTCAGCCCCTGCTGCCAGCAAGGCACATATCAGACCCCCGTCCCACACTCCAAGATCGGCCGCTGCTAAAATGGGAGTTGAATAGTCATTCTTATCTTTTGCGTTAATGTCTGCCCCAGCATCGATTAATACTTTGACTAGGTTTTCCATTTGCACCAAGTGATTATCCCAAGTTCCATGACGAATCCAATAGTGCCAACAATGAGGAAGATAACCATGTCTCTCGGGAAAGTATTTCGTGATCGAGTGTAGAGTATTTCGACCTATAGAGTCCAGCAGTGTACCATCTGCACCGTGAGATATCAGATATTTGGAAATTTCAAGCTCTCCAAAGTATGCTGCTAATGAAAGTGGTGTTGATGATGCGTCTGAGCCGTAGTATATTGCATCAACATTGGCCCCGAGAGAAATCAGGGCCTTGATAGCAACCATATTGCGGAAAAAGCAGGCCCAATGTAGTGGTGTTCCATGAGGTAGTTCGAACGGACTATGTACCATAATTAGTACGAAACTTGGGCGGGCATGATGAACATACTAATGAAGCATTTGCATCTTCACTGGAAATCCACCACTATTCTCTATGACGGCAGGTTCCATTACTGCATTCAACTCTGCTCCAATATCAACCATCCTCTGAGCGATTTGACGAGTCGAATATTCTGGGATCATGAATAGCCAATGAAGAGGTGTCATCTTTTGCCGGGTTTTGTGGAATGAAGTCGCGCCATGGTCAAGAAGAAGCATAATTGTTTTTGTATGCCCTGCCTGGAATGCCTTGTAAAGCGGAGTCTCACCATTATCGTTCTCTGTGTTCACATCGATCTCGATGGCGTTAAGTAAATCATGTACAGCATCAACAGCTCCAAAGGCAGCGGCGGCATGCAATGTTGTATTACCTTTGCGGTCGACAATCAAACCGTTATTTTTGGTCCACTCGAGGACTTTTCCAGTCTTTATTGCCGTCTTAACATTGATTTTTGTGACGAAAGGATCTGAGCAGAATCCTCCATCACGTCGAAAATTATCCATACATTCCTCCATTTTTTTCTCTAGCCGGCCAGGTTTTGCAAATAAGTATCCCTCGGAAACGGATTGGAGCATCCATTGTTCCAGAGTTTCCTGATCAATCTCAGGAGCTCGACCATGTGCCTCCATGACTTGTGCATAAACAGCCCTAGCAGGGGTATATCCCGACTTCGCTGCATCAGTGAGATATCTCAGCATGCGATCAAGATAAGACGGTTTTTGGCCTGTGATTGTTTGGGCAATGCCAAATAGTACATCGCCGTCAAATGAAGCGCTGTTTTCTCCTTGAGCATATTGCTCTTCAAGTTCTGAGCGAATACTTGCGTCAAATCGGTACCAGAAAAGTGGACCTTTATTATATATTGGGTCAATCAATCCCGCATTATTGTTTGTCGGTTTTGATTGAATTGAAGCTAGCCTTTTTTATAAGTTAGTATGAAGAAAATAAGTGAATAAGTGCTCATCCTACCAAGATTTGTAGGCCGGTGTGTCAGCTTTAAGTAAAGTTGGACTAGGGAGTGGTCGCTTTGTAGGATTCTCTGTGAGAAGGCTTAATGTTGCCTTGCGCAACTGAATGCGAACATCAGATGGCATGTTTTTTTGACGGTTGAACATCTCAATGATACTCTCTGAACACCTGTTAGTCGGAGGCCGGCCATTACTAGTGAAAGTTGACAAAAGCACTAATCCAAAGCTATATGCATCAAATCGAAACATAAGATCGGGTGAGAAGCCTCCAAATCTGTCAATGCCACCACGAACAACTTCAGGCGCTATCCAAGCTGGCGTCCCCCGATAATCACCGAGCGTAAAACTTTCTTCGGGTTTCTCCAAGTCGAGGCAAACACCAAAGTCACTTAATTTGGCCTGAAACGGTACACTTTTAATCTGGCTAGCGAATATGAGAATGTTTTCTGGTTTCACATCGCCGTGTACAATCTTGAGGTTGTGTAGGACCTCAAGACCATTCGCTATACCTAGCGCAAGTTGATACTTTACCTCCACATCCCTCTCTTCGGTGATCAGAAAGTCTGTCAAAGACATCAACGCAGCCTCCACAAATAGTAAGGGAACAGCCAGGTCTGCAAACGGGTAATCGAACCCCCACGCCAAGAGACTAGTGATATTCGAATGCCCTCGCAGGATTGGGTTGCACAGGGATAGAACTTCCAGCTCCAGAGTCTTAAGCTGAGAGCGATAGCCTACACTTTCAGCGAAACGTTGTTCTGCTCTACTTGATAGTGGAACATTGATGCGTTTAACGACCTGTCCTTGGAAGTTGGGATGCTTGAACACTGTGAATTGAGAGCCGTTGCCAATCTTCGTGGCTGTTTTAGAGAGGTTTGTCGCTTGAAGAAGATGCGGCCCGGGGATACCAGTTTGAGAGAGAATAGTAGCGAATTGTGAGAGGGTGCTGAGGACTGATTTGGAGCCATTGCGAGTAGCTGTTATTGCGGACTCTAAAGGGTCTACCCATGAGTCGGAATTGAAAGAAATTTTAAGACTGTCTAGATCTATTTCCTCGACATCAGTAAAGTTTGACCAGGATTGGAGGGAAGGAGAGAGGTCATTTATATCTATTGCATAGTAATTTTCATCCTCAAGGGAGTTGAGTATATCGTTGTAGGAACTAGTCATCTCTAACGATGGAAAGAAAGTATCAGAGACTTTGACAACGGATGGTGGAATGGCCTCGGAAAAAGCAATATTACTGATCTCACGCGGGGTAGCTGACAGTACTTATGTAAATAGCTGTAAGGGTTAGAGTCCAATGCGGTTGGACTACCGTAAACAAGAGAAGAACTATTATGAGAGGGCTACCAGAGGACGGAGGTGTGGGTGTGGTATCCCATAGGGCTCAACTCTACTAGGGTAAATTGGGGACAAGAACAACTCTTGAACTCCTTCAAGAGTCCAAAGACCTCAGAGAGCTAAATACATCAAGAAGTGGCAAATCTCTAACTAGCTTATCCGGGGAACCCCTGCTTCCCTGACAGCTGGTTCAGCCAGCTTATGTAGAGAGTCCATTGCCTCTCTCAGCCTTCTTGCAACCCACGCCGTTACAATAGCGCTCAGCTTACGTCTGTACCTTTGTAACTTCCTTTGACGTTTCATCCTCCCAAGTTCTCGCCTAACGCAAAATGGACTTCTATGGAACAGCCGTGACGGCAATAACACAGATTTACCAGATTACCGTCTTCATAAAGGGTATCAGAGATGATGTCAAGGACTTTGACGATGACCGCGCCGAAATCCGCCTGAAGTTGGATATACAGCTATCTACTCTGTGGTTCTTCAGACGGATCTTCTTCAATCAAAACCAAGGGTTAATGGTATCGGGAAGGATAGATCCCTTCATCGCCAACACGGTGGAGCGGCTACTGGTGCAGATGCGAAAGACGCTGGCCGAATACGAGATCTTCGCTACTAAGTACAGTCTCATTGATGATGAGCTCATTATCGGTTTCGAGCAACCCGAACTGCAAGAAGCGTCTTTGTTAGAGCGGGTAAAGAGCAAAGCTAGATCACTCAAGCTCAGGGGGGTTGACTGGTCGCTCTTTGAGAAGAAAAAGGTGTATCGCATACTAAACTTGTATACAGAGTGGTCTGAAAACCTGCGAAATATCATGCAGCACATGACGCAAGAAGTGCTGACCGGAATAGCTGGGAGTGACTATCAAGGATTGAAAAGCTGTGGGCTTGAACCAGTTATGAAGCGTCGAGAGATAGCCGGAGCTAAGGCGCCAACGAGCTACCGCAGTTTGACAGGAATAATCTCGGAAGCAGGAAAGGCTACAGGTGAATTTCACCTAGCCAAGTGGTCATCTAAATCCTCCGAAGAACAAGTTATTGTTGAGTACCACGAGTACGAAAACATGCTCAAACGCGATGATCTGGAGCCGGACGAAATAGAAGAGCTCAAGGAGCCCATTCGTAACCTGGCGTGGCTCCTTCAGAGCACAAGTTTCTCTACAAAGTCGCCACACTGCCTTGATCAGCCCAAGATATATGCGCTAGAGTGTCTTGGTTTCATCGACCAACCCACCCAACAACGAAGTGTCTTCCTATATCAACTTCCTCCATCCGAATCGGCCCCTAGTGCATCTCTGACAACCTTACATGCTTTCATTAACGCAGTTGATAGCGTAAGCAAGCGACCTTTAAAGAGACCGTCACTCAACGACCGTTTTAGTATGGCATACAGCCTCTCTTTGACCATTTCAAATGTTCACGCCTCGGCATGGGTCCACAAAAACATCTGGAGTAGAGGGATTCTTCTCTTCCTTGAGACATCCTCCGGAGCTATCACATCCGGTGTCTACGAGCATCGTCTCTCTAAGTACACTATGGGAAGCAAAATCATATCATATCTCAGCGACTGGGGCTACGCCCGGTCCATCCAGCAAGGTACAGACATGCGATCTGACTTCGAGGTCGAACCTAATTTCTACCGCCACCCCTCGCGACAGGGTCGTCCAACGCAGCAGTTTAGCCGCCTGCATGATATATATGCATTAGGTGTAATACTTCTAGAAATTGGGCTGTGGGGTACAATATCCCGGCTGATGGCTGTTAAGATCAAAGAGGCAGAGAGCAGCGGGCGGCTCCCGAAACCAAAGAAAGTCGTTGAGGAATTTTTAAATATTGCCACTCAGGGCTTGCCAAAGGAGATGGGAATGGGCTATACAAATGCAGTTCTTTCCTGTCTCAAGGGGGAGTTTCGGGGTACAGACGGTCCTTCTTTAGCTATGGACTTTCAGGAGAAGGTTGTTAGCGTTCTAAAGGGGGGTATTGAGCTATGAGAATGATCTATGATATGTGACCTGGGCATATTTTCAAAATTTCGGTAATGACTCCTCTTAAAAATTCAGCTGCTGTGAAATAATATTAACATAAAAACATTAAGAAGTTTGAATCATTCATTCCTCAAGTAGAACGGCCAAGCCCAGCGCCCCAAAAACAATAATCCATTTAACACATATCATTATTATTTCATGAGATTAGAAGATCCCGAACACTCATACCCCTTGGTCGTGGATCCGAAGCGGTCTCTTTTCATCGAGGGAATCTCTGACAATACTACCAGCCATATCCTTGCTTATTGAGTCAGCTGTCCCTCTACGGTCTTGGGTCAGCATAAGCAGGGCGGTCGAAGCCTCATGGTCAACGCCCTGGAGCTCTTCAAATGGTCCCATTTGGTAAGTTTGTCCTAGTGCTGGACTGGGAAGAACAGATGATATATCGGGTATGTTTGAGACTGAGGTTATGAGGTTGCATGGTAAGAAATACGGCGCGAGTCCACCCTTAGCTAAGAACTCTTTATAATTATCTATTTACTTCTTTAAAGTATAGAGATAGTACCTCGAAGGAAGTCGATACACCATCGAAGTCCTAATAGATTACTAGAATCCCTAAAGTTATATCAATACGACCTACGTATTTTTAGATCAAGGTGTCTCTTAATAAACCCAGTGACCCAATATTTGCCTATAGAAATAGGGGTGTCGGTGGTAGTTGAAATTCGTGATCGGACTAAAAGACTAGCCATATTTCGACACATCTTACAGTTTAGAGCTGTTCCTTCAGAATTGATAGAAAGTAGCCAATTCTTTAAAGATTCCTCTTCAAATTCAGAAATTTATGGGGAGAATGACGCTTCTCAGTCACACTTTCAACACCCTTCATTCGGTAGCGTAAAGTTGATCTTGGAACATCAAAAGACTTAGAAGCAGCTGAAACAGAGGCAAATTGACCATTCTTAAGAGCTTGAATAGCTAATAAGACACTTCCCTTCTGCTCTACCAATTTCTGTGTTTTTTCAGTGCGAATTGGGGGCATGGTGTGTGTTTGAAATCAGTGGGTTGAAATTAGACTAAATATTTGGGTTGGGTGGCGGAGCAGGTTGGCGGCGCAGCCCGGAAACACGTTCGATGGCGGTGTCGCCTATTTAAGCTTGCAGCGTTAGCCACCTACTAAATGTTTTCCAAGAGACTATGGGCGACGTAGGAACCTATGATTGATTGCCTCCACGGCAGTGGCTTCCGGAAGGCCAGCGGAGCGTAAGTGCTCAACAACCCCTAAGCATTATAGCCCTGCGATGTGCGAAAGACTAGTTACTAAACTAAAGATGCGAAGAATTGCTGCTAAACGGCAGCGATTATAGGAATTATGACATTTGTCCCTCAATAATCAGATATGGAAGTGAAGATAAAATGTTTAAGTATCTGAAAAGAGAATAGAGGAACCATGAGAGAGTAACTCAAAGGCGGAACAGGACGAGGGACGGAGATGACAGAGACAAGGGGAGGTGCTTAGTCGCTATCGTCACTTACTAGGTGATGAAGACGAGCAAAAAGCTCTGCTTCCATTCGCTCAGCGGGCTGTGGGCCAGCGAGGATCTCTCCGACCATGTCAGATCCTGGGGGAAAGTCTGACTCCCAACCCGACTCCGCTACACCCTTCATATGAAATAGTAGAGTTTGCTGCCAATGCCAGCGGAGAAAGTCATCAGAGACCCGGTTAGGGTCTCCTGGAGTACGGCATACAGGGTCCAGAATTCTCCTGTCTACTCCCTGATTGTTTCCTCCAAAGTCATAAATTTTGTAACCGTCGTCCGGATTAATGGCAATAAGAAAATCATCGAATTGGTCGTCGATGTCATTCCTCATACACATTCCATTCTGGACAGAATTAATAGCAGCTCGATGAGTTTCAGCAGCAGTGTTAGTGATAAACCGTGAAAAGTTTTTTGAACGCCAGATCGACTCGCGTGCTAGAGGGAACACATAGGCTGACTGAAACCCACGCCATGTTTGATATTGTGGAGCGTCCTGGAGTGTACGATTTATTGTTCCTGAGATAACGCACTTTCCATCTCGAAGTCGCACCCCGTCACGGAATGCTTTCTCCCGGGGAGTAGCATTAGTCGGGATATAGGAGGGGGCCCGTCGAAGGCATACAGAGTTGGTGACTTCAATTTTTGCATTGGCGGTGGGATAAATATCATAATCGCCGATCGCAAGTGGTTGAGGACTTGCCAAAGGTTGAACACCAGTCTGTGACGAGTAGATTATGATAGGGGCCGATGATTCAATGATGAAATTAATCATATCAATGAAATTTGTATCAGTGATTGATCCGTGTTGCTTTACCTGCCCAAGCTTATCTCCCGTCTGGCCATGAAAATATCGCACCCAAACGGAGTTCATCGTAGTGGAGAAGTGAATGTTCGGTATTGAAAGACCAGAAACCTCCTAACCCACTTTCGGCATGTGAAGGTGGAGGTGAAGCTGCTTTCTGCCTCCCGGAGCCTGAGGATCTCTGCCTTCCGACCAAGACCTAGTATACTAAAATATGAATGCGAAGAAAAAAAACGTGTTGAACTGAAAGTTCATTTCCATCTTGCCTAGGCCTGTTATTATTCTCCTCCTCTCTCTTCATTCTTTCTCCTTCCTGATCTCTCCTCTCATCATTTCTCCATGATGCCTCCCTAGACATGTTCCAATCTCTGTTAGTGCCTTAGGCATTTAATCACCCGATAGTAGGCTATTACTTAGAAGGCAAATAGCCGCCGGTATTAGGAGTTGTCAAGGGCGATTGGCCGCGGTACCGTGATATTTTCGTTGACTTCGTAAAGAGATGTGTAGCTTGAGACTATATTTTCCCGATCACCCACTATCAACATCTTCATCCTGTCATTTACTCTGCCACTCTGCATTTTTCCTTCAGCCTATCAGATTCGCTATCCCTATTTCAAGATGAAGCCACGTTTATCCTTCGATGATGTTGCCTGGGAAAAAATCGATGAGGTTGAAGAGTCCTCAGTCCTGGCTAGATTTTCTCGTCATAATTAGTTAACAGAGGAGATCTATATTATGACCCAGCATGTTAGCTCAGTGGAAGAGTGCCGGGCCCCTCACCCGGAGGTCCCTGGATCGACACCAGGACATGCGCATACTAAGCATCTTCTTTTTGCATTTTTGGTCCATCCAGAAATCAAATCATTACGAAGATTATTCGTTAATAGTTAACTATAGTGATGTTATATAGTCATTCAATCTAACGTGAATCCCGACTGCTCCGTCATCCTGGTTGTTCCGTCACCAAAATATTTATCTCTATAGTAATCCATTGTTTTCAAACACCAACTATGCCAACAATTCGTTCTAATATACGACAGAAATGTATTGATAAAGGAGGTCTTTATTTTGTTAAGCCATCCAGGCTATAAAAGATGGCTGATACCATTCTATCGCAGCTGCTGTGCGCTCATTTAATGTCCCAAAAACAACTTGGATTGATCGAATGAAGGGGGTTGAAAGTTGGGCTGAGAAACGTCATTATCGTCATAAATCTTCTGAGATTGGAGAAAAATCGATGGAGAATTGGCTAGTCTCTATGGACAAGAGAGGTGCAGCTCTTACCCCCGCTATGTTAAGAGATATAGCCAATATTTTACTCCGCTAGCATTTTTCAACCACATCCGATACCCCCCTTTCTGTTGCCAAAAACTGGGTAACAGGCTTTGTTAAACGTCACGAAAGCCTGACTTCTCGCCTCTCTCAGAAATACGACTATAAGAGAGCTGAAGCTAAAGACCCTAGAATTATTTTACCAAACTGGTTCAAAACACTATTCAATGATATGGTATAGATTCGAACGACATCTTCAACTTTGATGAATCTGGCTTCGCTATGAGAGTAAATATGACCTAACCTATTATTACATCTTCTGAATATTATGGTTGGAGAGCTATTTTATAGCCTAGGAATCGTGGATGGGTTACTGTTATTGAAGCTATAAGGTCTTCTGGAGAAGCCCTTCCACCCTATATCATCTTCAAAGGGAAGTTTTTTTTTGGTGCGATGGTTCAATAAGCTCCCTAGAGGGGTAAATGGCGAATCAATATTATTCAAAATGGGTGGACTAGCGATGAGATTAGTATCGATTGGCTAAAGACACACTTTATTCCTAATATTAGGATGAAAACATCTACAATGAGATTGGAATGTTTCTAGCTGAGCACCATCGCCCTCGTCTATGGACTGGCTTCAACCTATTCAGGACAGGCGGTTTTAATATTAGTATTTCATCATGGCGAAGACTTCAGGTGCAATGCCGATTTCAGTCCCCATTATCTCGTGCTTATAGGGAGGGAGGGGAAACGATGCTATCGACTCGGTCGATGATTGCCGGCGCAAATTTGTTGTTAGGTACCTATTTCGAAAAATTATTCAAGATCGGGAGCTTAGGGATAAATGCTTATCTCATGAAAATGGCCCATTCCCAGTTTGGTGCGACGATTTTCGACCACAAAACGTCCTGGTCGACAAAGCTGAAAGAGTTGTTGGTGTAATGGATTGGGAGTCGACCTATACCGCTCCGGTTGAATTTTCTCATGCTCCGCCCTGGTGGTTTCTTCTTGAAAAGCCGAAGTGTTAGACCAAAGGTTTTGATGATTGGTGTGCTGATTATGAGACACGGCTTCAGATCTTTCTTCAGGTAATGATGGATTGCGAAGAGAGCACATTTCAGATTCGGAACGAAGGACCCAATAGGAGTCAGCGACTCTCTATTCAGATGCAACAAAGCTGGGATAGTGGAGACTTTTTGATCATGTATGCTGCAAGGAACAATTTTGCCTTTAATGCCATCTATTGGAACAAGATCGATCAGCGAATTTTTGGATCTACCAAATGTGTTGACAATATTTGCGGTTTATGGAAGAAAAGACTTGACCTCTTGGAACATGAAGAAAAGGGACTATTTTAATTATAATTTCGATGGATCGTAGACTATATGTGATTCCGTATGATCTACGGTGATGGAGGTGAGAAGATTCAGCGCCTTAGTCATTAGGGTATTCCTCCTCGGCGTTCAAATCCAAATCGGCGAGAAGATCCGCCATATTCACCGAGGGGTCTCTGTAACAGGCCCGCCAAATGGATCATGGTGCCCATTATCCCTTGAGGTTTGGTCAACTTGGGCAGCAAAGTGGGATTACAAGAACCAATCAAAATGCTTAACAATCTCAAATATGTAGGAGACCACCAGGTGATTTGATGTTCCTTCAGCTTCAATTCCCCCTGATTCTCTTACATCCCCTATGGATTTTCTACACAGTTTGTGCCTAGATAGTTCTGAATCTAAGCTTAGCTTTAGCCCTTCACATATATTTTCCACTACTATAATAAGGCGGTGGCAGAATTTAAATGAACACAAATATATTCGCGAACATTTCCAGTGGCCACGAATACGAACACGAACATTCTGAAAAAGCTCGAAGATTATTCGTGCCGAGCTCTATTAAAAATCATCCATTACCACGGTCCACGAACGGTTTTCAATTCATTCATCGTAACTAGGCCGTGACACTAAGTCTTGGAAAAGCCTCGTGATGGAAATATGGTATGATTTAGTAACCCGAACGACTTCGATATCTAAATTACAAATTCATATCTTCAGATATGTACCAGTCACCAGCTTAAACATGAGGCTGAATCCATCCTACAGGGAATGGCAATCTTGAATCCCAAAACCTCATCTCCAGATCCCTATAAAATCTACCTTCAATCTCGTGTGATTGGCCTGCGGTTTCCGAGCATCCAGTCACCTCGTATCAATTGATGGCTGGAATAGATCCATTTACATAGATCTAGACCTCCTATTCTTACTGTCATTTCCAAGGTTGACAGGTGCGTACTCCGCCTTAATGTGATATGCCAAGAATCACGGTTTACCAAATCCGGCGATGCTAGCTAACGTGTGGCTGGCCACCTGGGCAGTTGAATTGACTTTCGATGATGCTTGATTGATGCCTTATATCGGGGTGGTCTATATGAATCTATCAATTATGGTCGTAATAGTAGTACTATAGGGTATTCAAAGCTCTGGCCGAGGGAAGTTCCAATACTTCTTAATACTTCAAGCCCCAATGTCCATGCAGTTGATGAGGTCATGCAAGCCAAAGTAGCAGTGAGACTGCTATCACCCTCTTAAAATGCGGAGCAGCTGGATACTGTACCCTACAACTTGTTCGAACGACGAATACGAGATACACCATAGGTAAACCTTGCCACCTTGGAATCTTTCAATGAGCATCAATGGAGGCTCTTGTTGGTATCAATAGGGAATACTAATAGTGGCCCAATATGATTGGTCTTATCTTTATTTTAAACAAATTAACGGCTTCGTGAATAGACTTTCGTCAACTGACAGCTCTAAAATTAGATAAGATGCAAATTCCAAGGTAATCACATACCGTATTTATGGATTGCCATGGCTATATCGGTCTTAAAGTTGACGTACAGCCCTGGAGGTATCATGTGAGCTCGTCTTGAGATGAGGAACCTTGGAATGAAGCATGAGCCACTGCTGAGACTCTCGGCTTAGAGATGAGGAACTTTGGAATGAAGTATGAGCGAGGAGGATAAATACCTAATACAATGTGCTATCAATTACAAGATTCATCAACTCAAATACTCATATACCACTACCGATCAATTGCAAAAATTCATCCAAGATGCACTTTTCAACCCTTGCTATCCTTTCCTGTGTCGCCTCGTCCTCAGTATTTGCCGCTCCCCAGGCCTCTCCAATTCTTACTGCCACTGTCCAACTCGTCAATCGTGATTCTGGCGCAAGTGTCAATGTCGTCATCCCTATGGATGGTGTGGAATACGACGTCCAAACTCTTTGGAAGAATACCGCTGTCGACAACGCACCTGATGGTACTGTTTTCGCTTCAAGCGCTCAACTTGTTGCTTTTAAGCAAAATACCATCTGCGCCTTCACTGAACTTTCGAATGTGAAAGGAAAATCTTTGAATGCCCAGAATACTTGGACTGAGTTTGCTTCTAAGCCCGTGGATATGTGTGGTTCTAAACTGACGTGCAAGTCAACTTGATTTGGAGTTTCATATCTTTGTTGGTGAAAGGGGTAGACTATATTATTCTGGCTTTGATTTGGGGCTTATATATTCAAGGATCTACATCATTTCAGAGTATTAGAACCTTTCCAGAAGTCCAATTATTTGAATTTTTTTTGAAAATTGACTATCTTGCTGTGATTGTAATCACGTAGTGTAGTCCCATACCCCGACTATTATTATCATTAAATAGAGCTACAACTGTTACATAATAGAATGAATAGGCTTTAGTGACAGCCTATAAATTACAGATTCCGGTTTCGTATTACATTCTCATATTTGTTGACTATAGCAGGTACGAGTTATCCATGGCATATAGTGTTCTCTTATTCTCTTACATCCTGGTACTCAAGTGTAAATCCACGTGATGCGGCACTAGGCAAACACCCGATATAATCATCTTCGGCGTAGGGTGGGCCTGCTGAGGTCAAGGACCGCCGGTTGTTTGATATTGTACTCCCTGTGATCGCTCCAGCCGCGGTATTTGTCCGAGGTTTTTGGATATTGGGCGTCCCACCAGGCCAACCTGGCCTCGCCCCTGAGGTCCCTGTAGGCTGACCTGATGCCGCTTGTCCTGAGGCGACTCCGCGGGTCGCCCCAGCGTCTGCCAGGGCGTCTACCGCTTCGTTCCCCTCTATGCCTTTATGTCCTAGGGCCCACTTGACTCTGACCGGGTGCTCCTGCATGGCTTTCTGGCAGGCAAGAAAGGCCCACTGTGAGGATGATGAGGCGTTGCCCCTGATGCACCAGACCACTGAGGTGCTGAGCCATATAGTGCCCTGCGGTTCTCTTGGTATCCGGATGGCTGCCTCGAGGCCTCTCCAGGCCCCGACGGCCTCCGCGTCGAACACATGGGACACCGTACAGATTGCCCCTGAGTCCGAGGCCACCTGTGTGCTTCTTTGATAGACTGCGTAGCCGTACCCTACCTTCCGGCCCTGTTCGTCCTGCTCCGAGCCGTCTGAGTAGACTACGGTGTCCGTTTTCGGGAGCAAGGCCGCCCATTCCCTGAACTGGGCAGCTGCTATGTCCTTGTCCAGGCCCTGCGTTGGGTCTGTCCGGCACCCAGGTGAGTAGTGGGGGGCTACTAGGGTGGGCCCTGTTACTGGGGGAATGATGGTCCCTAGGCACTGTATGTTGGTGAAGGGCCTTTACGCAGACTAAAAAGAGGTCTGAGGGATCATTACCATAAACAACGCTATTCTCCAGGCGAATGGTTGCATTTCGATTCCTAGTAACTTATATTAGCTTTTCATACTTGAAAATCAAGACTCACTTACTTACATGGCGAGGTGTGCAGCGTGCAGAGAATCGATCCGAGCATCTAGGCCATCAAAGCGGAGATCAAAGCGGAGATTGATGCGAACCTCAAACTTTGCGACTTGGGCTGCAATCATTTGTCCCATGTGGTTGATAAGCACATAAATGTTGAAGGAAAAAAGCAAAAAGAAAAACAGGTTTCTCCCACTGGTAATTTCAATTCCGATCGAGCATAACCTTCTGAGTTCAATCGACTCAATCGTAGTAATTCTCGATGAAGCCCTTCTCGATGCCATCCATTGTGCCCTCCCGCAGCATTTTAGCGAGACTGGCCGCAGTGATGAAAGTCTGAACTGGGATAGTTGGAGCCACATCTGCGGTCTCAAAACATTCACTGACAAGATCTGCTGAGAGGTCGTAATCTCCAATCACCTTGCCTAGCTCTACCAACACCGATCGTCTCAAGTAATCATCCGGCCGAGCCGGTGATGCCCATACTTTTCTGCACGAAAGTTTCTCTATGAAGGAAGAATCGAAACGGGTCAGAGCGTTGATGTATGCAATGGTGTGTCGAAAATACATATAGCGGCGTGCGGGGCGATTGGTAGTCAAGAACTTCAGCTGTCTACCATCAATATCCTGTTGGCACGGGATTAGCTTTACTTTCAACTTTCAAGAGATGGGGGACCTAGAAAGCACATACTTTCCAGCGCCACAATTTTCCGTTGGGCAAATCATGCCAAAAAAAAAAAATCAAATGGCCAGTTTTGGATCTAGAACAATCATTTTCCACTCACTCGGTTCAGTTCCTGGGATAGGGACAAAGGTGAGTTGCAGCTTGTCAAAAGCTTTCTCGATATTTTCGTCCGGGAATAAAGCATTGCGTGCCACGACTGTGTTATCTCCTGCTGAACCGAAGATAATCTAAAGATCTGCCATGGAAAGACTGGGGCACTAAGTGTGCTGTGATGACGTCATTATCTGTGAACCACACTTCGCCTGTATCTTTTTCAGTCTCGTAGAATTCCTTGACGCTCTGCGGCCAGCCTTTGCAATTTTTGGGAAGAAATTCGTAGCCTTCACCCAACTCGAATGAGACATCTCCTGGTTTCAGTGGTCCAGATCTTGCGACCCTCTTGTATAAGTCGAAGATTACAGCAGCTTGCGAGACTTTAAGACTGCGTATCTCGTCATAAAGATGTTTCCTCTATCTGGCGGTTCAATAGCCCGTTGGCCCGTCGATTTTGTGCGACGGCCATAGAAACCCCGTACTTCTCCAGGAATTGGTTGGAGAAACCTTCAATAAGGTTTGGATCGAAGTCAGGCGAAGACAACATCGCCATATCGAACCACAGAGCTCCGCCGTAGGCGAGCTTGTTTCTCCGGTTCTGCCCATCCGAAGGTCTATACTCCCCCATCCATTCGTAGTAAACGGAGCATCGGAGAGAGATACCTAGGCTCTAGAAGCGCTCCAGCTTTTCGTTCATTGCTGCGTTTTCAGTGATGCGGGCAGCTTTTTCTGTCTCAATAGTAGCACGTATTGAAGCTAGCTCTGCCAGGATGTGGAGGCCTTGCTCATTACCAATGGCGGTACGGGTGTCGTTTACCCGAGTAGGCTCATGACGGAACATCGTGTCGATTATTTCTGACATGGAAGCAGTGGTGTTAAGCTGAGAGGTTGAGTGAAAGATGATGCATTATCACTATCTAATGTCAAAGGAAGTGATTTGGGACCCACTCTTCGGTGTGTATTTAAGCCAGATTACACTCTAGTTAGAAAATTCAGTTTCATTCATTTGTGGCATTTGAATGATTGGCCAGTCTGAACCAGTCGACTTGACATCTAACCTGGGTCACCTGACCCTAATATATGCCGGAACAAAAGAAAACGATCTCGACCTCGAGATCGCTCAGAGTGAAATGAGGTTTGAGTAAAGTGAAAGTAAAAGCGTACTTGTAGGATAAACACCTTCACGAAGACTGGGCAGCTCCGAGATCAAAGAGCCCATTCAAATTCTAGAGCCAGTTTTCTCTCGTAACAAGCGGCCATTCCATTTTCGAATTGTTCTTGGTTTAGGTCGTTAGCACGGAGAGCAAACTTCAATCCTTCGATTTCGCTATCGACGACCTATTGAACGGCTTTCACATATCTAGATCCTCAAATTAGCATAAAAAGCATTATTTTTATTGTTTAAATGAAACTTACTCAAGTCTCAGCTCCAAAAATTTCTGAGGTGCATTCGTGTGGTGATTTTGAACCCGTGTTGGTGTGCTTTCAAGACCTTTGGAAGCCTTCCTCTTGAAGAAATTTATCTTCCCTTTAGCTTTCGGGCTCATGGTACCAAAAAATAGAGTATCATGATTATAGACTGATGGAAGGCTATCTGATGGCTGAAGGGGATTGACGGTGGATGATGACGATAGCTCTGGTTGTATTGTCGGGTTGAGTGGATTGGAACGGTATGGAAGGGACTGCTGGTCGGCCATGGTGGCGTGATTGTGTTGGGAGAAGTTGAATATGTCGAAGAAGTTGAGAGGGATTGAGGAAGTTAAGAAGAACTTGAAGAACTTGGAGAACTTGAGAGAGTAAAGAGCTAATTGGGAACTGGTCAGCGATATTGGCCAGCTGAGATATAGGTGATTAGGTTTTGTCAGTCGACAGTATTTCCGGGTACATAGTCTACTATATTCATTATAGGTATGCAAGTGATAATATATGTGTATTCCAAATGATAGCTATTCGTTCTAAATACTTGATTAGGTTCAATCCTTTGGATATCGATGGCGGGGCACCCAACGCCTATATGCTCCGTTAACCCTGCCAGGATGACAGCCTCTCGATACAAGTGAGTGACAGAGCCAGTTGCAGCACATTGATGTTGATATACCGTATTAGTAATAAGAGAAGATATAAATAACTGTTAGTGTTTTCGATATCGTAGGGAATAGAGACTAGATTTAGCTGAGCCTGGTCGCAGCACCAATAAATCTTCTAAATTAAGAGCTAACTGTGGAAAGTAAATACTTATGTGACATCCAAAATAACACCCGGTTTCGCTGTACGGCAAATAAGGCTATGCGGGCCGTTTTTGGGTGTTCCAAGGTTGCGTTCATTCCATGTTCTCCTGGAATGTATCCGAGTGGAGGCACATTCGTTTACAGCGTTTGCATTAGAAAGGCAATCGCACAATTTCTACGCTGCGAAATACATAAAATCAGGCTGCATCAATTCTTTCCCTAATTCCGAGCTTTTTATCATGATGGAACCCGTTTCACTATATTCCGAGGATGACAGTGGTCATTCCAATCCATGGTAATATCATGGTCTCAGAAGTGTAGTAAGTCACAGTAACCTACATTAAATCAATTCCCAAGGTTCATTGTAGTTGACATTCCAGATAATACCTATAGATACGACAACAATGTAGCATATCAACTGAATATAGATGCTTCTGGTTAATTTCAGAATGTCAAGATGTATTTACTCCGTATCTAGAGAGCAAAAGTACTGGTATGATGCACACTTTTCGTTTGACATTTAATATCTTTTTAAAGGCCATTAATCCTCTCGAATCTTTTAGTCTTCACTCTTACACCTAGTGGCTAGTTACTATCTGAATTTGACCTGAATCCTATTCGTTGCCCCTCTCTTCCAGCATTATGGTTCGAAATTTCTCTGGACCTGGCGCCTTCATTGTTGGACCTGGCGTCTCCAATGTCGCATCTGATGATGCCAAAAATCAGACAAAATGGCCCAAGAACCCCAAAGACGTTGTTGTAAACGAAATTGACACCGGTGCACTCATCAATGAAATGGCAGCACTTCACCTTTTACCAGGGAAACTCGAGCTACCACCACGCGAGTTCATCCCGGAAAAACGTGTGAATCAAAACCCAGAGGGTCTAATTTGGGCACTCAATGAAAATGAGGAGCCTCCTAAAATTCCGGAAGGGACATATCGGGGGACTCGTCTAGCGCTGACTCAAGTCTACGATCTTATCGAACAACGGTACTTGCATTGAAATTATAATCCTTGGGCATTGCCACTGATATTCTCGACAGTTATGTATCTTTTATGGATATAGCCCAGATCGAATCTTCGATTCCATCGGCTCAGACCTTGGACAAGAAACAAGAACTATTCAAGTTCACACAAGCAGCGCCTGTGGAGGACGGCGGCGACGGATATCCACCCCATCTTAATCTTGCAATTAATCTGGCATGGGCGAATTCTATGAGCGAGGCGGATGTGAGCCAGAAATCAAATTTTCCGGTCTGGGGTATTTTCGATTTTTTGCGCTTGGCGCAGTTAAAGGGAATCATGTTAGGAATTTTGCCGGGCAAGTTGGGTGGAGGAACTCCTGATGTAGGAAAGAAGCTCGCCGATGTGGAGGCTTATAATAGAAAGTCACTCGAAACTTGGGGCTGGGTCAAGCGCATACAGTTTGATGTGTTCGATCGCCGCAACATTGGCGAGTTAAAAGATTGGTATAGCGATGCCCGGTTCGCCCAACAACATTTTACAGGTTCAAATCCTACAACAATTGAACAGGCTTCGGATGGAATGATCAGGCACTTTATCGATGCCGCAAAGACACAAGAAGATAAAGTAGCTAAGGATACCATCATCGAGCTTAGTATCGACCATCGCAAGTCTCTTTATATGCAGGACTGTAGCTATTTTCGCAAGGCTGCTGGTCTGGATCTAGCTGATGATATTAGATAGAAGATAACCGAGGAGTCTGATGACTGGCCTTGGAGATATGGTGAATCCTCCCACTACTTATGCCCCTACGCTATGTGCTGACTTTTCGGTCCTTATTATAGCCAAGACCTGTGTGCAATGTAGTGATTGGCTTCGGCATGAAGTCACCGTGCACCTTACATGTACTCATATGATTGAAGTCTATCATCGTCGCTGCCAACCGAATGATTAATCCCAAGCACGCTGTGTTTCGGCTACTTCGTCCGCACTGGAAGAAAACCCTAGCAGTGAATGGAGCTGCCCGGAGCACGCTTGTTCCTTCTGTGATTCTCCCTATAATCGGGCTTCCGCAGAAAGAAGGCCTCCATTTCATCCGCTACGAATATGAGAACTTCAACTTCCAGGGGAGCTACGTACCAGCAGATCTCAACACACGAGGGTTTCCTCCAAACGAACTCCACACCGACAAGTTTCGTAACTATACATATGCTAGATGCATCAATAGCCTATGGAATAAGATCAGGGAATATGTGGAAGGCATGCTTTCTCTAGCCTACCCAGGTACTGAAGCCGCCGCCAATCAACAAGTCCAGAACGACAAAGATATTCAGAATTGGTCTGAGGAGATGCGGTCTACTAATGGTGCTAACTTGAAATACTTCCCGACTATTAACACGCTTAAGGATCTAGTCGACTGCGTGACCATGTGTATTCACCTCGCATCGCCACAGCATACAGCTGTCAATTATCTACAAGACTACTACCAAATCTTTGTGATCAACAAACCTCCTTGTCTTTTCACTAAGCCTCCAACTTCTCTAGAGAGCCTGCTCTGCTATACCGAAGCTGACGTCGTCAAAGCGCTACCTATGAATCATAGTCTTGAATGGCTTCTAGCCTCACATGTTCCATACCTCCTCAACTTCAAACCGAATCCAGATAACGAAACGCTAATTGCGTATGCACATTCGACGTGGAATATTTATAATAAGAAGCCTAAGCCTCGCTCAGATATGGATGAGCAAATCTACAATGTGCTCAAGAAATTCTACGATGCGCTTCAGGAGAGCGCTGCCGAATTTGAAAATTACTCTGGGAAGAAATCTGACGGCATCCCGTACAACGTGTTGAAACCAGATTGGAATGCAATGTCGATTGTTATTTAACTGTATCAGAACAAATGGCATAGTTACAGTCTGGTCGCAATAGTCTAAATCCATTCACAATTATGTATCCAAAGCCGGAATTGAAGAGAGACAGGTTGTTCAGGCCGGAGTTCACTCGGGGGCACATGAATAATGTCAATGTTATAGTTACAGATTGCTTTTGATTTTTGTTTGCAGTTTTCCAATTGTTTTTTATACTATTGAAATAAGTATAGGGAACTTTTAAATGTACGGCCCCTTTGATTACTTGCACGGCCCCCTGCCTTATTACTAAGGTTTTAAGGCACCATCAGGCACCCATTTAGTTCTGCCAATATTTCTGCCAGTATTATTGAATAACTATTCAGCCGAAAACCGGCCACGGTCGCATCTCAACTTAACTCCCAACTTTTCCTTCGGTCGCATCTGCCTAATTTTACACCTGTATTTTGTTTGCTGTATAGAGAATGTAAATATTTACAGGGGTTGGAGGACTTGGCTCAAATATGACTAATATAAGGCGTTCAGGCGGTAATTAAAGCGGTCAGGAAAAGTAGAGTAAACCCTTAGTAATAAGGCAGGGGGCCGTGTAAGTAATCGAAGGGGCCGTACATTTAATATTAATAGTTCCATAAGTATATGGTACCATCCAAATGATAAAGGCCGCACAAGTAATCCTATGAATATCTGTGTAGTGAAATAGAGGTTCAAAGAAGGAGGCTTTTATATACAACAAGAATGACTATATATGGTGATGTAACTTTTCTCTACCCTTGATTCAGGCCAGATACAAAAGAAACTAGGGATGTTGCTTCGATGCCGCTCCTAGTGGTAGAGGCCAATACGCAACGATTTCATCTGATGATGAATCGTATAGAGGCATAGACATTAATAAACTATTTTCACGTAATGTTCTTATTTCAATATACGCTCAACTTCGATATACCTGTTTGGCCTTGAAGGAAACTGTTGGATTTATGTGAGCCATTTTCGTGGAGTATTTGCTAGATCAGATTTGGTTCCGAACTTCAAAAACCATATTCTCTTTTTATCTGACTTTTGACTGATCTTCACCGACTGTAAAATCTACGGCTTTCCATTGACGATGCTATGACGCCTATGAATCCAGATCAGACTAGTGCTCTTTCCCTTCTCTTCTCTACAGGTCTCACATTGTTCATTATTTACCCATTTAGCAACCCACAAAATGTCTGAACTACGACCCGAAATACCACCCCGTCTCTTAGCTCTTATGCCACGATATCGAGATACACTTGAAATGAACCCGAAACCATCGGTCACAGTGTCACGATCAGTCTCTGATTTCCTTGAGGCCAAGATTCGCCAGTACCACTGCGAACTAGACTATATCAAGTGTGCCCATGCTGGGCTATCCGAGATCTTTGTAGCAGAGAATCTGTCACCATCTGATTATTGTGAGGCTCTCAACCCTTTTTTGGCTCAAACTAAGAGCGTGACCACCGAACTCCGAACTATTGCAGAGCACCGCAAGTTTATTGAGGAAGATATCGAAGAGTACTCAGCAAATAAGCGACAGAAGACTAGTCAGCTCGAACCAGAGGTGCTTGAAAGAGCCTATACTAGCACAATATTGACAAGAGTGATGGGGGCATGTAAGAAACGGAAGGCTCACGACCAATCCCATTTTAAAGCACGTGTTCTGAAGTATTACGATCTTCCAAAAGGCCGCTGCCACTTATAAGTCGGACCTTGGCTTCCAAAATATATCAAAGCAGCACATCTGGTACCAAAAAGTCTAGCCACCGACGAATTCGCCGCTCTATCCGGAGTTGATGAACTAGAGCTATCAGACCCGAGAAACGGTGAGTATCCTCTAGGCTATAAGTTGTGAAGTCATATCCTAATTCCAAGTTTTGATTTAGGTCTGCTGCTTCATCAAAGTATCGAGTCAGCACTAGATCAAGGAAAGATTGTTATCAATCCCCGTTCTAGAGGACGATATAGTGGGCACTTAGTCGAAATGGAAGTGTGTTTTCACAGATAAAACTCTTCTTAACCAGTCAGCAATCGAGGAGATGAGTTGTTATGGGCCTAAGTGGCGTGACTTAGATGGAAAAGAGCTTGAGTTCGCTAAAGGCTCGGATGCTCGCCCTGCAAAGCGTTTTCTTTACTTCCGCTTCATCATCACATACATCTTTTGCAAGAAGAACTCGAATATGGAATTTACAAAGGAAATTGAGGCCAAACATGATTTCTGGCCATGTCCCGGGCCATATCTCCGAGAAAGTATGCTCCGCGTGCTCGCACGCAACATTTCCGGTTTCGATCTCCCAGGTTCGATGTTGGAGCAAACTACCTTCTCAGACTCAGCTCACCCATGCCCTGACGATAAAATTTCTTCCAGTCTCATCGCCGCACAAGATATCTATACGGCAGTAACCGCATGCATGAAGAATTCGGGCGAAATAGATTCGGAAACAGGTTCCGAAACTGAGAGTGATGATGAGGATGATGAGTTTACGGTACACGAGGACGATTACAACAAGTACTGGTAGATTTTCTTCGAGGCTTTGATTCTTGTATTTTGTGTTGGCTTGGATGTTAGAGGATCAATCTTTCATGTTAAAGATTAATACTCTAAATATATCATTATTGGTTCATGTCTGATTTTCAGTTCAAATATTTCCTTAACCCACTGATGCCCGAGCTTTAGTCAATATTGATGATAAAGTGTGCGATGAGACCAGTTAGTTGATGAGGCCCTTGGGCAAGACTTCCAGAGCAGCTGAAAGAGTGCTTAATTCCAAAAATCCAAAGAAAAGTATTTCATAGTTAAATCTACCTGATAATGTCAACTGTACTCCGTACAGAGATGAGTGAAAATGTGATGTGAGAAGAAATTTCGCCGTTCGAACCCGGTATAGGGAATCGATAAAAAGAAAAACCAGCAACGTATTAACTAAATGCCTGGAAAAAATATACAAGTATCCCGCAGAATACGTAGGCAATAATGAAACCGTAATGACTTGAATGAAAACCATGTCGCCCGAGAAAAACCAGAAAAAGATGAGAAGAGAATAAACAAGATGAAAACAGAGAAGCAAGCTGCAAGCTGCAAGGTCCACGTATGGGGTGGTTAACCTGGCCACTGTGTATATATTGGTATTCAAACACAGTATAGACAGGTGGCTGACCACTTGTTGCAACTATGATTGATCCGCGTTGGCATTGGAAGTTGTACCTTCGAAATAACCGCCCTGGGGAGATGGTGTCCCGGCGTTCTGCGGCATTGCAGATTCTTGGGTCAGCGCAACGCTATCAGCAGTTGGGACCTGTGAATTCCTTCGAAGTGCACCACCCAGCCAAGCGAGGCCACCATTCAATGAGTCACTGAAGCTGCGGAGACGAGTGACCTGATCCGATTCGTTGGTAGACCGACCAGCATCTGGAGATAGACCTGGCAGGATTGTGGCTGATTGAAGTAGCTCAGAAGCGTCCGTTATCGAACTATCATGAAAAGGTGCTAGTTCTTCATCATGGTATCGAATATTCTGACTTCCGTAAGCACCATCAATTTGTCTTCGACGGCCTGCCTTCCGTCTACGATCTTTGTAAGGACTGACTTCCCCGCGGCGAATAGACTCTGCAACTACAGCACTGAAACCAGCTGAGAGAGTAGGGAAAAGCGGGCCGGGTGAGAAGCGGTTGGAGATAGAGTTGCGTAAAGCACGCCGTGAAGGTGTTTCAATATTTGCTTGTGCTCGGTCGGCAGAAATGACCTGGTCTGCAGTCGTAGTTGAGGCTCTTCGGAAGGCTGCGGCCGCGGCGCTTGATGAACCTTCTTCAATGCCGGGTGCTGGGGGAAATCGAAGAAGCACCGTTGACTCTTGAACATCATCTTCCGCTTGTGGAGGAGTAGAAGTGCGGTAAATCTCTGGGTCAGATGCAGGTGTCAGGACAGTCTGATCTTCGAAATCTGCCCAGGGGTTTGTCATGTGAGATGGAGCGTGCAATGGCGAGGGCTGCTCCAACGAGGCCTCTGAAAGCGCTGAGTCAGCTGTCAATGATTCAATGGGAGAAGAAGGTGTGGCAGAAACAGCGCCTCGAGGTGTGTGCTCGTTGGCATCTCCCCCGTCTAGACCGTAGTTTCGATGAGATACAGGCGGGGATCGATTATCATTGCCGTTGATCTCAGGTGTATTGAAGGACTTTTGCAAAGGTGGTGATAGATCAAAGCTATCACGATAGAGCTGTGAATCCATCAAGCCAATAGAACCCTCTTCGTCTTCGCTTGAAAATGATGACTCGTCGTCAGATCGGACCCTGCCACTTGTGATAAAGTACACTCCCAGGAATGTCAACAGACAACCCCCAATGAACTTGGCGGCACGACCAACCGTCATGGAATTGAAATCACGGTAGAGTACTGCACTTCCAATTATCACGGACAGAGTAAAGAGGACAAACTGAGTCGGGATCACTTGAGTAGAGTCGAAGCGCTGCAATGCACGATTGATATAGCGAACTTGCATCAAAGCACTGGCCACGAGGATAAAGACAAGCAAATAGGTGATAGGAAACGTAATGGCATGCCATAGAGTAAAGGTGAGCATGGAGGAAACACCCTTAGTTGACAATGCCGTATAGCCGCCTGGAATATCACATTAACACGACAGTCCTATCGCATTTATGACAAGAAGAGGGCCTAGACTTACCAAACAGCGCCACTAGCCCAACGTCAATGAAAATTGACTGTCGACCGTACTGATGGCTGATCCACATCAGTGCGATGATCAGCCCAGTAGTCAAACCGAAATAAAGCTCGAATTCCCATGTAGTGATCCTTTCCAAGATTTCATCAGGGCCAAGCTTCTCCTCCGAAGAATTAGCACTAAGCACAACAACCGCAGCACCAGCTATAGAGATCAACACGCCCCATAGATCTCGCTTGCGGAACTGTTCCTTCAGTAGGCACGGCGCAATAATACAGTTCGAGATCAGCGCAACAACACCCAGAGGGGAAACAATAGACGCCGGCGCAAATCCATACGCCATGAAGTTGCCCATCTCTCCTAAAGTCATAAGTACAATACCCGCCCACCAATATGGGGAACGAAGGTACGACTTCTTTTTCCCGTTATCAGTTCCATCAGTGCGGGAAGTGCGATCGGATGTAGAAGATTCTCCTCTCGAACTTCTTTGAGCCAATTTCCGCCGAACTGCATTTCTGGGAGGATTGTCTATTTCGTCACAATACGCTTCAAAATCGCTGCGCTCGTGTTGATCCCGCAATCTTCCCCGATTTTGGGTCCGAGTGCCATTACTTCGCACCGTCCCATACGAGCTATGTGTGTCTGCTCCCAACTGTGAGTTTCGCCAGTCGGTTTCTTTCTGCGTCTTTCTGAGCTCATATTCGCGTGCGATTCGGATGTGCGCATAGCGCTGGATGTTTAGAGCGACAGATATCAAAACATTACCAACCAAAGCAGTCACAATGCCGATAAGGGACGACCATTCAGCTTCCCCATTGTCATCACCATTATGGTCCTTTGGTAACGGCGTAAAGGTTGGTGTGGGGTAGGGGGTACTGTATGAATAGGAGGCAGCATATGGTGTTGCCGTCGGCGGTATTAGAGTGGAGGTAATGAGGGATTTCAGCAGGCTGGCTACCACAGGGTTTTGTGAGGAATCCATATGATCAGATATAGTAGATCGAGGCAAGAGCGCAAGCCTGCGTATTCGAAACTCGATTTGATGTACACAGGTGCCGAGGGTGGGTTATCGGCCGGAAGTCCGCAACTCTTCCACAATTACTGATTGAAAACAGCCGGGATAGACGGTTAGCAGGTCAAGTCGCTGAACACTGCATGATGGAAATTTGCACAGGGTGAAAATCTCGACAAAATGCTCTTCCGACAACTCCTCGCAAGTCGCATGTGCGGAGAGGAGATGCGCGGTAACTGACGGAGGAGACTAAAAATGCTCATGTCAGCATGCGGGTCTTTACTTCTTGAATCTCCTTACTAAACCAAGCCACCGATATTTAATACATTCGAGTGAAACACGTCCAATCCGAAAACTGCCCGCAGTCAAAGCTACTGCGTTGCTTCGTTCCATTGGGTAAAATGAGCAGTGATCAACTGTGGCTTGGGAACGTCATGCCGCAGGAAAGACAAGACCCATTCCAGAGCTGCAAGGAGGGCCGCCATGCGCGCTACATTATTTAGATACTACGGAGTACAATATCTATCAGTATAGAAATTCCAAGTGGGAAAAAAGATGTACACGTCTTGTTATACGATGAATCCGATAGTGTTCGTGCATATTTACGTGCATAAGTTAATCACCGCCGTGGCCTTTTCGTTTGAGGCTTCTCCTCTTCTTCATCCTCACTAAGTTCCGCGAAAATCGCCTTAGGTTGAGTTTCCTCGTATGCTTTCGTAAAGATCGGGTCTTTCTTGGCCTGTTCCGCGTACTTCAACAACGCCTCTCGAGGATCCTCATCCCGCATGGAACTCAGCGGAATGTAATCGCGAATATGCTTTTCATCAGGCTGCGACTGCGCAAATGGTGTGGTAGCTGGAAGATGCGGTCGGCGAGGGTCGCGAGAGCGACCTGAGGCTGTTAGTCCCACAGTCGGGTGACGAGCCGAAAAGCTCGCCGAGCTGTAATGCGGAACACCGTTGGAGCTAACAACTACAGAGTCACCGGCGAGACCCGAGCTCAAGTGCGCAGAAGATGTGATGTCATCAAGATGGCGGCGCTTAGGTGCCTTGGACATGACCAAAGCAGCACCTTTTGTCGACATGGTCGGGTTGTAAAGAATGTGTGTTTCAGCATTAGCTGAGCCGGTGAGGATTTGATTCAGCTTCTCATGCCAAGAGACCGTTATCAAAGGTGATCCAGGGGTGACAGGAGTGATAAGTTCTGGCTTCAGCGTGATTGCGCTGAGAATGTGCAGATGGCCGGTTTCCGAACCCACAATGACATTAGTTGACGACGGGGAGAATTGAACGTTCGACGTGGGGAAACGGGAAGATGTCGATGTATGGGTGATGGTCGTGAATGGGGTCTTGAATTTCCTGATATCCCATAGCTTGATCGTATCATCTCCACCTCTACTGACGACAAACCGTCCATCAGAGCTGATATCCAAACCACCAGTCCATGTCTCTCGAGTGTGAGCATCCTGCACTTCACCACTAGGGCGTCTATATGGTCCATTGCCACCATATATCATCAAACTGCCATCAAGAGCCGCAGCAACGAGGATATTTGATCCACCGTTCTTTGGGCAGCCCCAGGCGAGGGCAGTCATCTTGGTCCGACCAGCAGACCCAACCACCTTCGACCTATGCGTAATGACCTCCTTCTGTGAACGACCCACGTTGGCATCCCAAATGCGCACTGTGCCATCGAATCCAGCGGTAGCGCATATGTTATAATCTGACGGAGACCATGCACCACTACTCGCTTCTGCGGTATGTCCCTTTGTATGATGGAGATCACGCAAGTACATGTCACCTTTTGCAAATTCCGTCAACGTCTCTCCATCTCGACTGATGATTCGCGGCTGGGATGTTGCAGAAACGACTAGAACGTGACTCGGCGAGAGTGGATTGAAGGCGGCATAGTGAACGGGGTGGGTGTCTTGCGCCGCGGCTTGTCTCTTAAGTGAAGGGTCAACAGATTTGAAGGCGCGAATAGTGGATGGTGTCATGGATGCAAAGTCATGAAGTTTGATCGTGCAATCGGCTGAACCTGTAATTAATCGGGCCCCCGAGGGGTCCAATGTCATAGTTGTAACAGCACGCTCATGTGTTTTGAGTACCATTTCATGGGATATAGGGAATTCATCCTCGTCATTGGAATCATCTGAATCTTCATCGCCTGAGTCGTCATCACTATCGCTACCTTTTGGCTCTTGCGGTCCGTGTGGTTTTTCCGCAGGGCCAGGTGTTTGCCCTTCGTCATCTGCAAGAGGTTGCGGTGCCGCAACCTCGGCTCGCTTGGACCGATTTATTTGTGAATCAACATCAACAGCTTTCTCTTGCTTACCAAACCCTGAAGGGAAGAACTTTTTGAACGCTTCCTCGTCAAACCCTTCCATTTCTGAAGATGTGAGTAGTTGCGCTGGCAAAAGAACTTGCGCCGCGATAAGACAGAGCTTGTTTGCAGTGTTTGCACATCTATAAGCATAGTGCGGAACGATGACTATTTTACATGACTTATCTAGTCATATAAGCTACTACTACAAATATTTCAAGGATAAGACATGACTATAATGAATCTAGAATGATGAGGTTCACCAAGTTTACTTTGAATCGGAGTACCAGTAAAATAAACCCATTTCACTAGCTATATTACGGAGGGATACAGCATGATTGAGCTCAGCCGAGTATGAAACGGTGCTTACAAGTACAACCCCTCGACAGGACCGCCATCCTGCTTTGTCTTCATGATGCGCTCGCGGGCTGCACGGAAGTCGTCCATTTGAACTCTCATCCGCCGCTCTCTCAAGGCCATCAGACCGGACTCAGTACAGATAGCGCGAATATCGGCACCAGAAAGATCGTCCTTCTGATTAATGAACTCATCAAGATCAACGTCATCGCCGAGAGACATCTTTGATGTGTGGAGGGTGAAGATCTTCTTCTTGGTATTTTCTGAAGATGTATGTTAGCAATTTTGGACAAAAGCAGATGCACGAATTGCTACTTACGGTCCGGGTTCTCAAAGAGAATCTTTCGGTCAATACGACCGGGTCGAATCAAAGCAGGATCCAGTGTGTCAATCTTGTTGGTGGCCATGATGACCTTCACGTCGCCACGGTCATCGAATCCATCAAGCTGGTTAAGCAGCTCCAACATGGTTCGCTGGATTTCACGCTCACCGCCGGATGTCGAGTCGTAACGCTTGGTACCAATAGCATCGATTTCATCAATAAACACGATAGATGGAGCATGCTCAGCAGCAACTTGGAAAATCTGGCGAACCAGACGAGGACCATCGCCCAGGTACTTCTGAATCAGCTCACTGCCGACGATACGAAGGAAAGTGGCGCTTGTCTGGTTGGCGACGGCCTTTGCCAGTAGAGTCTTTCCGGTACCGGGTGCACCGTAGAGAATGACACCCTTCGGGGGCTTAATACCCATTTCCTCGTACAACTCTGGGTGCAGCAGAGGCAGCTCCACTGCTTCACGAACTTCCTGGATCTGAGACTCAAGACCACCAATGTCCGCGTACGACTCAGTCGGAGCCTTATCCAACTTCATCACTGACACAAGAGGATCGGATTCTTCGGTCAGAACACCCACGACTGATACCGACTTATGGTGCAAAAGAATGCTCGCACCGGGCTCGAGGAGGTCTTTGTCGACAAATGACATGATCGAAACGTAGTACTCAGGACCGGTGGCACTGGAAATGATTGCATGATCATCGTCAATCAACTCTTCCAAGTTACCCACGCCCATCGGGCTGCCTCGCATGTCATCGACTCGACTCCGTTCATCCGCATTCCGGTCCATCAGGTCCAAGTCACCTCGGCTCACAGGATCTTGGGTGGCCTGGGCCTTAGACTTGCGCAGTCGTTCCATATTCTCAACGTATTCCTCTTCTAACAGCAGATGGTCATGGACCCGCTGCATTCGGAGATAACGTAGCTTGCATCGAGAGGTTGGGTAGATGTCTGGTAGCTTAGAAGCAGTGCTAGGGCCAGCAGCCTTGCGCTTCTTTCGTCCGATACGGGTAGTAGGCGGGGGAGGGGGCTCGTATCTCGGTTTCTCTTTCTGTTGGGTCAGGTCATTAGAGCTGCGCAACTAACAAAGAGCATGACAACACCATACCTTCTTATCCTTGTCATCGCGGCCATCGCCACCAGGGCCACCGCCCATGTTGGACTGCTGGTTACCCTATTCACAACGTGTCAGTATCAAGGCGAAGGAGAGATCGACCAGGAAGGTCACAAAACGAACCATGTCTGTAAGATACTGAGAAATACACTGTCAGGAGTGCAAGGTGCGAATTTGAAGATATTTAATTCCAGGTGTAGATCTGAGCTTCTTGTTATAAAATGGAGATGCAAAAATCGAGGTGGAAGGGATGAGCTGCCAATGCAGTTATGATGATGATTGATTGATTGCCCGGGGGCCGAGCTGGAAGCTGTTGCCATAGGCACGTGATAATATTTGTAGCCTCAGGCTGCTAATGTGATCATTGCTGCCTTAATGCCTCGGCAGGTCTTTCCTCGAGACAAACAATTGAAGCTATTTGAACTCGGTCTGACACGAACGATCAACAGCGGTTGCTTGCAGACGTTCGTAAAATACTTATCGATCCTTGAATTGGAGTCTCTATCGTCGCAGTCTAAAATTACGAGGTTCGTCGCCGAAGCTAGTTATTCACTCATACTTCCCCCTCCATTGGTGAGATTGTTCGAATCCACCCTCTTCTCTATTCCAAGGAATTCAAGTACGGAGTAAGCATCTCTCGCTTCTTTCACCTACTATTCGGGCTCCCAACTTTACCGCCATTTTGCTGACTTAATTTGCAAGACTATTTTGTTTCTATTACTTGATTTCGCTCTTTCTTCACTAGATTCTGAGTTATCATAATAACTCAGTATTTCTGCATCAACATGTCAAGCGCGCAGATGCGCCGAATTGGCAAGGAGCTAGCAGATATTCATGATGACACCAAGAGCCAAATCAAAGCAAAGCCTGTCCATGGGGACAATATCACCCATCTGATGGGTTCTTTTCCCGGGCCACCTGGAACTCCTTACGAAGGCGGCACTTACAATATCGAGATAAAAATTCCAACTGATTACCCTTTTAAACCTCCAGTCATGAGGTTCGATACAAAAATCTGGCATCCGAATATCAGCAGTCAGACGGTAAGTGTCCCGACTTCACCTACTTAGATAGGAAGCCCACTAATAATTGACCTTAGGGCGCCATTTGTCTCGATACTCTGGCCGGTGCATGGTCACCTGTATTGACTATCAAATCATCATTGCTCTCTCTACAATCTTTGCTCGGTGATCCTGAGCCGAAAGATCCTCAAGACGCCGAAGTAGCCAATATGATGTTGCAACGGCCAAAGGAGTTCATCCGTGTTGCCCGGCAATGGGCTATCATATATGCCGGCGCCATTCCTTATGATACTAAGGATGAAGATGGTGGGATGGATGAGGTTCAGGAAATTCCTATTGATCTTTCTCGGTGAGCAAAAGACTCTTGACACTTGACATGTACAAAAATTATCTAACTATGTGATGAAAGGTACGATGGATACAGCCAGAACTTGGTTGATCAGTTCTGCAGCATGGGATTTGATGTGGATCAAGTTGTTCGGGGTTTTCAACAAGCTGGCATGAATCGCAATGAAATGTCGCTGGGAGAAGCAGACGTGGGCGTAATCACTGCCATACTACTAGGGGAGCATTGATCGGAGTAAAGCTTTTTTTCTGCAATAGCTTTAATAGTTTCTTACGATGAAATGTAAAATAATTGATAGTCATTTCATTAATGCAAACAAGGAATACCTTCAATTACTATTCGCAAAAATTCAAAGTATATTTAGTTGGAGTAACTTCAGCTAGTCTCTTGGTTATCGATAAGGGCCAAATCTAAGCAACTTCATCGACTCGTCCACTTCCGTTTCCACTTCCACTTTCACTCACTTATGCCATGTCCCTTGTCTTGCCAAGTGTGGTCTTGTAGTTGCAAGCAAATCTCATAATAATATTTCATCCTTTTGATACCTCAAATTCCGCCTCCACATTCTACTCTCCCGCAGACCCTTCATTTGGTGGCTAGCATGATCGAAGACGATATTTACCGTACATCCTCGCAATTTCGGCTATGGTCCTACACTCAGGCCTCTTTACAGTCTCTCAGGGCCAGCACAAATATTATCGCCAGTGAACGAGTGCGCATCGCGTTGCAGCGAACTCGCGAACTTCAATCCGCCACGTCTTCTGCGGCTGGAACACCACAACCAGGGAGCGATAATGAGGTAAAGAAGCAGGATGAAAAGGGCATCGATCCTTTGACTCCTGAAGAGGAGCTGATTCTCGTGCGATATTATTGCGAACAGACGTTGAAACTGGGAGAGACATACAAACCACCGCTCCCCACAATAGTTCGAGTAGGTTATTCACACATTTCAAACAATTATTTAATACTAATTCTTCGTCTTATCTATCAGGCAACAGCTATCCAGTATCTTCGCCGTTTCTATTTGACCAACTCTCCAATGACCTACCACCCTAAATCAATCATGTCATGCGCACTCTTTCTCGCGACAAAGACCGACAACTATTACATGTCTTTAAGACAATTTGCCGAAGGTATCCCCGGCGAAACATCGCAAGAAGAAGTTATTGCTCCAGAGTTCCTGCTTATTCAAGGCCTTCGTTTCACTTTCGACGTTCGACACCCATTCCGCGGACTAGAAGGTGGAGCTATGGAACTCCAGGCTATCGCAGAAGGACAGGGCCTGCCTACACCACACTTCCCAAATCAAGATCCAATCCAGCTTCAAAAGACCCTCCTCTCGATTGCACCACCCACGACACCTTCTTCATCCATCACTGATCGAATCGCACGGGCACATGGCATGACTCGAGAGACACTAAAGTCCGCGGCGCAGCTGACAGACGTATATTTCCTTTATACTCCTTCTCAGATCTGGCTTGCGGCCTTCTTACTCGCAGATAGGCCACTGGCTGAGTTCTACCTCGAGACAAAACTCGATGGACCAGCCACCGAAACAGATAACCAAAGCCCACTCTATGAGCTCCGCATCAAGCTGTTCAAAATTCTCAATGATTGTGCCGCTATTCTCCAAGCATACACCCCTCTTTCCACGGATCCAGAGCAGATGAAAAATCTAAAACGCATTGCCAAAAAGTTATATCAGTGCCAAAAATCCTCCAAGGGTAACCTGAAGCGTGATTCGGCTCAGCCTCGAGTTCCGGGTGTTGCTGGGGTTGCCGACTCGGGACAGTTGACAGAAAGCGAAACGGATCGTCTAGCTAAAAAGCAAAAACTAGAGCAAGATCAAGATCAAGGAAGGAATATGTTTGGTCCTGAGCTTGTGACTGATCGGTTCAAGCAATAATTCTAGCTGCAATGATTCCCGATGCAAGCAAGACGATAGAAAGCAACGGAATGATCATAATCTATGCATGAATATCGGAATGAAAAACTAAGATGAGCCAGCAGTAATAGAGCATAACAGGTTGGTTCTATTTTCTACTATTGCTTGTTTCAGTAAATGCTACACCTCATGAAGTAATCAAAGGCTCACGGTCCAAAGAGCCAAGTCTTTCCTTCAGTTTTCTCCCAAACTGAGGTCGACACTGAACCATTCAGCTGCCTTAATATTTGTTCTGTTATCATGTACATCATATTAGTCTCCCATCAAAGATACCTGGAGTACCTTGATAGTATCACGAGGGACTCTAGCTAGGTATGTCATCGGTTTCGAAAAAATTATACAGATTATTGTTATAGTCTACCTAGGTATATTGAGAAAATGAACCTAGATGAAACAGCTGTGTAGACAAATTATTGATGTCGTAGCTTCTTCATGTATGTGAGCCTGATAATTCCGTGAGGCTTAAGCTTAAATAGGGTTAGCTGAATATATTGCTCACCACGATCATGATGAATAATCAACATTGAAGGTTTTGGGGTCCGCGGAGAAACAATCAAAAGTGCTAGAGAAATGGCACGAAATAGCCTAGATCCTGATAAAGTAATTTAGGTCCGCGGAGAAATGTAGACAACGGGTGGGAGAGACCATCTTTTCCAATATTCCATGTTATTCAGGATACAAGTCTGCCTCTATGACTCGGTTGGCACGCGATCCTGGGTTTGTCTCTCGAGTCAATACCTGGAATATTGATATCGATCGGTCCTTAAACCCGCTAATTCCAGCACCTCGGTGGCATCTAGTCCCCACACCTATCGCGCATTTCCTAGGGTACCGGGATGGACCGGTCAGGCCACTGGGGAATGTGGTTTGGGCATTTTGGTCTATGCTTGGTGTTTTCTGTGGAGTAGCCCTAGTGGCATCAGTCTCTGAGCGAGTGCCATCTTTTCAAAGTCGAGATACTCCAGCTATTATCGGTAGTTTTGTAAGTTGCGTTAGAGTGATAGTTGGCTGGACCTTGACATACGCTGACCACCAGATTAGGGTGCTGCAGCGGTGATTCAGTTCTGTGCCATCGAGTCACCTTTTGCTCAACCCCGTAATGCATTCATTAGCCAGATGTTTGCTTGTCTCATCGGCGTGGGCATCTCCAAGCTTTTTGCCCTGAATGCAAATGCTGAGTCTTACCTATCGTTAGGAGGCGCTCTAGCATGCGGATTGACCACTGTAGCTATGCTACTTACAAACACCATACACCCACCGGCGGGAGCAACAGCATTGTTAGCCGTCACGAATTCAGAGACATCACAGCTGGGTTGGTTTTTGTTCCCAGTCATGATCCTCGGTATCACTTTGATGCAAGTAGCGGCCTTGATAATCAACAACATCCCAGCTCGATATCCATTGTACTGGTGGACACCCCAGCCTCTCTTCCGGCCACGACATGACGTTGAAGGATATCAAAAGAAAGGCTTTGATGAACCAAGTCAGTGTGAGGATGAAGATAGTGTAGCTGATATGCCTCAACGATTAGTGATTCAAAAGGGGAAAGTTCAAGTTCCTGATCGAGTTTTTGTATCACCCGAGGAGAGAAGTATGCTGGACAAGATTAGTGAGCGAATGTGACATCTATTTGTTAACTATTTAGTATTTACAGAGTAACTAGTTGATGACAGAGGAAACAGCTTAGTTAGCGGTAAAAAGTAGACACCTCAGGCCTCGGAAAAATTGTGCGGTGACGTCGAACTCCCAATCAGCGATAATTCATTTGCGGCCCACAACTAAAATTTCTGCTGATTTTTCTCCTTCTCTTCGACCACATTGTTAGGGGGCTTTGGCCAAAAATTATTCATACTCTACAGACCTCTCAACTTTTTATACCGTCTGAAAGCACTTCCGATTGAGAAAACTTCTTCAGTCGATAAGGGCTTTTCTTCTAACTTCCCCCACCTCTCACATTCGCCCCTCTATTCGCCCCGCCGTTGCTCCACTCACTTTTTACATTTCTTTTCGCCTTCAATCTCTTCGCGTCTTGTTGCGGGTTTCACATTCACCCTCCCCCCTTTTTCTTCTTCCTTCCCCCTCTCTCCTATCACATTTCATTCCTCTTCAAATCGTCATAATGGTTTCTGCCTCGAAGGCGGCCCGTATGGCCAAGCGCGCCGACGACAAGAAGACCAAGAAGCCCAGCAAGAAGGATGCTGAGGAGACACCCGACGAAGTCGAGGCCGGTGATGAAAATGCTACCAATGAAGCTAAGATGAAGGAGGTCGAGAAGCTCACCTCACAGATGGACAAGCACGGTCTTTCCGACCGTGTCACCACCGGTGTGCTTTCATCTCTACCTGCCTCCCGTGACGCCAAAATCACTTCTGCCTCTCTCGTGTTCCATGGAAAGGTCCTCATCACTGATTCTACCCTTGAGCTCAACTTCGGTCGCCGTTATGGTCTGCTTGGTGAGAACGGTTGCGGAAAGTCCACTCTGCTTAAGTCCATTGCCGTCCGCGAGTTCCCTATCCCCGAACACATTGATATCTACCTGCTGAATGAGGGTGCTCCCCCCACTGAGTTCGGTGCCCTAGAATGGGTTGTTCGTGAGGCTCAAGCTCAGCTTGATGCCATGGAGAAGCGGGCTGAGGAGATCTTGGAGGAGGACGGACCTGAGAACCCTATTTTGGAGGATCTGTATGACGTGAGTGATGCAATGGGGAGAAAAATTCAATTTGAAATAAGCTAACGCCTTCTCTACAGCGTATGGACAAGATGGATCCTTCCACATTCCACACTCGTGCCTCTTTGATCCTGACTGGTCTCGGTTTCAACAAGACCACTATTGACAAGAAGACCAAGGACATGTCTGGTGGTTGGCGTATGCGTGTGGCCCTCGCCAAGGCCCTGTTCGTCAAGCCCTCTCTGCTCCTGCTGGATGACCCCACAGCCCATTTGGATTTGGAGGCTTGCGTGTGGCTTGAGGAGTACCTGAAGAAGTGGGATCGAACCTTGATTCTGGTTTCCCACTCGATGGATTTCCTGAACGGTGTCTGTACCACAATGATTGACATGCGTGGCAAGCAGCTTCTCTACTACGGTGGTAACTACGACTCTTACCACAAGACCCGCTCTGAACAGGAGACCAACCAAGCCAAGGCCTACACCAAGCAGCAGGAAGAAATTCAGCACATCAAGAAGTTCATTGCCTCTGCTGGTACCTATGCCAACCTGGTGCGTCAAGCCAAGTCGCGTCAGAAGATTCTCGACAAGATGGAGGCCGATGGTTTCATCCAGCCTGTCATCGCCGACCGTGTCTTCACTTTCCGCTTCGCTGATGTTGAGAAGCTCCCTCCCCCGTTCTTTCTTTCGATGATGTTAGCTTCTCCTACTCCGGTGAATGGGCCGACACCCTGTACGAGCACCTCGATCTCGGTGTTGACATGGACTCCCGTACAGCCCTTGTCGGTCCCAACGGTGTCGGCAAGTCGACTCTGCTCCGTCTCATGACTGGCAAGCTGAGCCCCATTGGCGGCCGTGTCAGCCGTCACACCCACTTGAAGCTCGGTGTCTACAGTCAGCACTCTGCTGAACAACTTGATCTGACCAAGTCTTCCCTGGAATTTGTCCGTGACAAGTTCCCCGAGAAGTCTCAGGACTACCAGTACTGGCGCCAGCAGTTGGGTAAATACGGTCTCAGCGGTGAGTCCCAGACCGCCATCATGGGTACTCTTTCTGAGGGCCAGAAGAGTCGTATTGTCTTCGCTCTGCTCGCCATCGAGTCCCCCAACATGATCCTGCTGGACGAGCCTACCAACGGTCTTGATATTCCCACCATTGACTCCCTAGCCGATGCCATCAACGCCTTCGCCGGCGGTGTCGTCGTTGTCTCCCACGATTTCCGTCTCCTCGACAAGATCGCTAAGGATATCCTGGTCTGCGAGCACAAGTCTGTCCGTCGCTGGGATGGCGGTATCACCGCTTACAAGAACCACCTGCGCAACAAGATGCTTTCGGCTGGTGCCGTCTAAAGCTGATTGGTCTTGATTTCTTTTAACCTCCCATCATCCCCCTTTACCTCTTGATACGACGACATGCTAGACGAGAATTGAAGGAATTGCAATACGCTCAAAAGTTCAGATTCCGCGACTGGGTATCATGATCACGGACGTCCAGGATAGGGCAGCTCTTGGTTCCTCCTCCCACCATCTCACCTCCTGGTTTACTTGTTTGGCCTTTTGTTCTTAGATTGGTGATGGCCTTTATTCATTTTTGAGAATAGAATTGGGCTCTCGAGGAGGACTCCCTAGGGATGAACTTCATTTTTAGTTAGACTAAACAGTGGAATATCCCTGCTGCTGATTTCTGCCTTTCTCACCCCTTTTGCATTTTTTATATAGAATACCTGAGTTCTCTTTTCTGCACGATGAAGGTTTTGTGTCTTGATTTTCTTGTTCTTGGTCGATGTATCTACGGGTCTTCGCTCAACGAACAAATTTAGCTCGTTTTCTACCTAGACAGTACAAAAGCATTTGAGGTGGGTTCTGCCTAGATCCGGTACAGATATTTCCCAAGCCATTCCTTTAGGATCTTATTCCTTAAATCTTCTCTTCTAACATTTAACGGTTGGTTTTCCAAACAATACTCATATTTAAGTGTTCGTTCAACTACTTCCAAGGCTCAACATTAGCCCGCATGTAGCCTCCTGCGTTTGCCGCGAGTCGCGAATGGTGGCACTAAAGAGTCGTCTTATAGAATATTCACTCAGTTGGATTCTTTAACTTGATTAACGTACTATCACTAGTGTACACTTCGTGAAGAGCTCCCAAGAGAAATCTCGTGGGACGACGACGACAGATTTCTACCAGATCCCAAATAGAGCTATTCTCCTTCTGAACTGGATTATGAGTGATTACGCCTTCGAAGACAATTACAGTGGTGACCTCGTGATCAAATTAGATATATGGCTACATAGGCGCAAGGTGGCTGGCTCTATGTAGAAATATAACCTCGAAACTAACCACCTTGAGAGCATTCAATTGGTACCTAACTTGATGATTGTGACGAGATTAATCATTATGCACTCTAGTCCTAATTATAAAGCAATGGCAGATTTATTCGGTCTCCTGGGCGATGCACCAATCCAGATTGCCGATATCTCCAGCAAAAAGAAGACTCAGTTCTTTCTTTGATTTAGCAGAACCATAGCGAAAAGAACATGTCATCTTATCCCAAGACCTTCACATAGACATTAGGGCAAATTGTACTCACAGATAAAGGAGTAAAAGACGACGAGATAACTCCCCTTTTGCGCATAGGAATCATATTCTGGCCATGTCCCGATATGTGTAATCATTCGGAAAAGGCTGAAGATGGCTTCCGTCCGCGACCTTTAAGAGATGGCAAATGAGTATTGATCTACCTATTGAGGATCCCATTCCAAAGGCTCGGCTTCTCCTTGATTAGCCCACATGTTTTTCTTTCAAAATTATCCGTCAACATATGAACTTTTAGGGATATCTAAACTTTGGAATACCTATCTAGGTATCCAACTGAAAGTCATGAAATCGTAAAGCCCGTTATTTTCCAAAATAAACCATTGGAAAATACTGGGTAAATAAATATATACAAGTAGTTGAAATATAGTAATTGATGTGGAGCGCCCATGACCCTTCCAAGTCCAGCCTTTGAAGGTCACATTGCATCCAAAGCCCAGATTCACACTCGATACCTAGATGGGTAGGTACGGGGAATCAAGTCCAAACCCTCATAGTCCACCGAAATTCTTACAATGCATCCTTTCCATCACCTGAGATGAAAGTCCAATGCACCATGCCCGGGGATAATCCATGCCCCATTTCGACATCAAGCTCTTCAAGTCCGCCTCATGCCCAGGAACCACATTCACAAAGATCCGATCCCCGTGAGACATGGGCTCAGAATGCACTGCACCTTCATCCTCTCCAACTCTGACGAAGACACATTCACCAGGTTGAGCCTGAATAGTGTCGCTGTACTCAAGTTCAGTTGTGAGATGAGCCCTTACCGATTCTGCTGCAGTGGCGCAGCCTATACATCGAACAGACAGACATGTATGTTCAGCATTTTGATTTCGGGCTTTCCGTTTAGCCTTGCTGTTTATTGCGCGTGCGAAGTTGCTCGTCTCGTGTGGAATAAAAATAGTTCCCGGGCCAAGGAGAGTCGTGATCAGTTTCCAATTTGGTGGGTTGGGACTTGTGGTGATGACTTGTATCCCTGAGGGGATTTGCTCTTTCTCTTGAACTATAGCACCACTGGATTTATTTCTCAAGTGTTTCCTTCTCATACTGTGTCCTCTTTGAGGGAGTCTAATCGCATTATGGAAGGAGAATTGTGACAAGGATAAGGAGGTCCGGTGGGATCGTCGTGAGATCGATATAGGTCGGGGCAATTGCGATTGCGATTGCGATTGAGATGGAGATGGAGATGGTGATGGCGAGAAAAACAGATCATCCGTATGCCATCTTGGAGTATCATATTCATGAGATCCTCTCTCAGCTCGAATCGTGATCCAGTAATGCGAGAGGTTGTTGATGGCCAAAAAATGGTGCACGAATTTCAGAAAGGAGAGAAGTGGGCCCACTAAACCTCCGTTGACAGTAGCTTCAGCCCAGGTATCAAAGGAGTAAGGTAAACTGTTGGGATCGAGAGGTAATAGAGGGCCACAATAAGTCCATGAAGACGATGCTTTGAGAGTGATAGGGTTTCTGAATGGAGAAGCTGGGTTTAAATCGGAATCGAGGTCTATTGTCGACAAGGGCAGAACCTTGAAGTCTGGAAGGGAGCGAGCATCCATGACCCCCCTGAATTGTAAATCGATATAGCCCTGGTGTGCTCTCAGGCAGATTTTCCGGTATACCTAGGTAACCCTCAATGTTGGAATTGTCGCACTCGGGCAGCGTCAAGTAATATAACCGGGTGATCGGATACCCCGACGGTTACAGTTGATAAATGAATGTAAGCAGGGACGGCGCCACCTGCCCAGGTAAGAAAAGGCAAAATCCAATGGCTCTCGGACCCACGCATTCCTTCATGTTGTACAAGTTGAGTTGTGAGCTAGCGAAGTACTAAAAACGTGGCAATGTGCATCCAAGCTTCTAGCGCTTTCAATCCAAGGTTCTGTTGCAGATCAGCCACGTTTCGGCTGAATCAGCATACCCATAAAAATCAAATAGATGTGAACATTTACGCGATATTGGATTAAATTCATTACATTAGTAGCATTGAATAGATCTTTGGGAGGTTTTGGTAAAGGGGTTTCTTCGGAAAGCTTAATATCAATAATTGGACCCATTGAAGGTATTTGAAAATTTCAATATCAGGGGTATCGCTCGATTTACAGTTGGACCAAATACTCCGCTGTGACTATGCACTTCCAATGCACTCGGCAAGAACTTCTCAAGGCCCGGTAGCGTCTTTCGGGAGTTTTAAGGAACTCCATAAGTCCCGAGATCTTGTATAATGTACCAAAGTAATCGGCAATAATACCCTTGGATCTTTGAGAGAGAATTCTCAAATCGCCTTTCTTACTCCTATTATTACTCCTTGAACAGTGGGCCCAGAGCCAATCACGCAGGGCTCTAGATGAGCCTTAACCTTCTAACTACAGAGTTAAAGTCATCACTGAAATACACATGTGTATTTTTCTATATATTCATAGAAATATTTCATCACTAGGTAACATTGAATCCTAGCAGCTGGACATGTCGCATTGCTGGGCTCTTGTCGGAAGTTAAGTCTCCCGAAGTCCTTCCGAGGCTTTTTGTCCACATCCTTCGAAATGAGAACACGAAGCATACTAGAATAGTAGTAGAAACTATAGAATCCATGGAAAAATAGGTTTCAAGTGGTTAAACGTATGAAGTTATAGTTCCAGTTGGCCTCTTCCCCTGAGCTCAACCTGGGCAAGATGCTATGTAGGGATACAAGAAAGGGTTCATAATTCAGAATTGGGCTAAGTGTTGCAGTACTCATTGCCATGAACAAAGTCGATCTCTTTATTGGAGATTATATATACGCAGTCTTCCGCGAGGAACTATTACCTCCTGTCCGCTCAATATACCAACACCTTCTCAACAGTTTGCTCTCCAATGAATATCTCTAACACGTCGATAAGAGAGTTCATCTTCTTCAGTTTCTTTTCTCTTAGTCTGGAACCAACAGTGAAACTCGCTCTCTTGGTCATTGGGAAATTGTGAAGGAAGTAATTAATTAATTTCCTAAACCTAGGGGGCCAATCTAGGAAAATGCATGCTGGTGGAGTGGAAAAAAGGCTGTCGAATTTTGGAGAAGCCTGAATTAACTCGAGCATATGATTCGTCGAACCTTTGAAGTAATGAATATTTATTTCTATCGAAAACACGCCAAGCAAGGCTCTTGGGGGGGAAGAGCCATAGTTAACTTATGGAGCCTATGGTGATCGATGACGAATAATTGGCCACCTTCCAAAGAACTCGTCTTAATACATTCGATGCGCTTCGCCTAAATCATTCAAAATATCTGGAAATTCTGATTGCTAAATAAATGCCTTTGATTACTTACAAAGCCTGCGCGCTAGTCGTGATCGTCATTTCAATCTATAGTTATACGTCGGAATATTACAAATCCAGAGTCTTTCCGGTTGCGGAGCTCTCGCGAGCCAACTCGATCAATCGGATGACCTGGCTAGCCTCATCGCCAGTAACGGGCAAGTCGCCCTCTCCAGCGAGAGCACGCGCAATCTTGCGGTAGTACTCGGTGTAAGTAGGAGGCTCCACAGTAGGGTAAACCTCCTTGACAGGCTTGTCACCCTGGATGGTGGTCAGAGTACCATAGCGCTCCTTGGGCTCAATTGCGTAGCCGTGGTCCTGGGGCATGATACCGGCCTTAAGCTGGTCCTCTTGGATATCGAGATGGAACTTTTTGAAGCTACCCTTCTCACCGCGGACCCAGAAGCGCAATTGCTCCTCCTCGGGGCTGACAACAGTTGCTTTGGCCGTGGCCAGGGTACCATTTGCGTAGTGCAGCAGGACGGTGAAGGTATCCTCGTAGTTGGAGGTGTTGACTGCGCGAGAAGAGCCGATGAAGGCGGTCACCTTTTGCGGCAAACCCAGTAGGTGCACGACCTGGTCGATAAGGTGGGTTCCGAGATCATAAATGGAAGATCCACCTGGAATAACTTTGTTCTTCCATGAAGCATTGGCGGCGGGCTCCTCGGGACGGTGGCGGTCAAAGTGAGTTTCGAATTCGGCGATGCGGCCGAGCGAGCCGTTCTTGACTAGCTTGGAGAGGGTAACGAAGTCGGCATCCCAGCGACGGTCTATTTCGCGAAGAGGTCAGAGATAGAGAAATGAAGATCCGGTGATGGTTTCAAACATACTTTGGTACACAGCGAGCAACTTATTCTGCTTCTTGGCAATGCTGACAAGATCGGCGGCTTCCTTGTAGGTGGGGGTGAAGGGCTTCTCGCAAACGACTGTATATCTTTAATTAGTAGCTTTTCCAAACACCTTCAGTTTTCTTCCGCTGCTAACCATTCTTTCCGGCCTCTAGCGCCAGCTTGACCAGATCATAGTGGGAGTCTGGAGCTGTGGTGACGATCACAAGGTCGACGGCGGGGTCCTTGACCAATTCCTCTGATGTGCGGTAAGACTTGACACCGGGGTAATCCTTCTCCGCATCGTCATTAGGCTTAGGGGTGCGCTGCACGAAGGCATAGAGGTTGAGCTGGGGAACCTGGGTGACGAACGGAATGTGAAAGATCTTCGCGCTGAAGCCGTAGCCGATAATACCAACGTTGAAGGTCTTAGAAGCCATAGTGATAGGACATAGAATTGGAAGAATGAAATTAAATTATAAAAAGCTTTCAATGGTAAGGTAAAATGCAAATCTTTATATGTAGCCTGAGATGCGGGGAAGAAAAAGGGAAGGTCCTTGCGACATCGACGGAACCGAACTTCTTCCTTCAATTATTTCTCTCCGCGGAACCGGAAATCCTCCCTTTGGCTCAAGCGGGGCTTGAACGCCATTTCGTCACACCATCAGATCTTTCTATATGACAAGGTATAATTACTTTCGGAGTCTAGTCGTCCGACTTACTAATATGTTTCACGCCTACTGTCTAAGGCTGTGGATTCTACTGTAGTCTGCTCGGAGTAACCGATAGTAAACTAGCCAGATAGATAGAACTAGGATGGAATGAACCTTAGAACACTCATATTGATTCATCTCTTAGATTTTCCTCTTAGTCCGTCACCCCCTACTGCAGGGCCTGTTCTTTAACCGCTTATGCTTCGACTCCTACACAGCGCGTAACTTCAATTGCATCCTTAAAAAGTTAGTGTCAATTCATGGTTAATATAAAATTACTCACACTTTCGCCTTCAGGCTGTCGTAGCACACTCTGGTAAACGAGATTGGGATTCCCAATTGTGTTGAAGAACGGTTCATCGCCCTCGGGCATAAAGGAATGCACAGCCCGTTCCAGCATACCCGTTGTATTGTATCCCTTGGAAGGTCCAACCTTAGCGAGCTCCCTCTTTTGCTCGACTGTGCTCCGGACGTATTCTAGGTAGGGCGGGTTACCCGGATAAATGACATTGTCAGCTGCGATAACTGAGCCAGGGACAATCATGCCGTGGTGTTCACACAGTTTCAAGTCAGTCATATAGGCAGGCTTGTAGTGGTCAATGAAAATCAGCTCGATCTGAGTGACGTCGCCCTCGCGGTGGAGCTTTTCCAAAGAGACATCGCTACGACCAACAATCACCCGCACAAATTCCTGCAGACCAGCTAGCTCGATGAGTTGACTCGCTGCTGCTGCCCACTCTGCATTCAGCTCGAGACTTAAGTAGCGCTCACCGCCGTTGCGACATACCACATCGCCAAAGAGGATGGCAGAGTAGCCCACGTAGCATCCAAGCTCGATCATAGTCTTCGGCTTTAATTCCTCAATCAATTCGGTCACAATTTGACCTTTTGGTCCGCCAACTATCATCATATGATGATGGTTATCAAACTCTTCCATAAGAGCTAGAATCTTTTGTGGATTACCTCGGGCGTCATCGAGATGTTCATGGTTGTGGATGAAACTGAGCAGCTTCTTCGCATCTTCATCGCGGACCTTTTTAGTGTGAATACGACTTGACATTTGATAATCTGGGGCCATGAAAACTTACATTCTGTGAAACCATTGTGGAGTAGGTTATGGTAGGATGGATTGAATGAGATACTCAAGTGACAGCAGAGAAAATAGGTCTTTTATAACTCACATCCATGGCAGACAAGTCAGAACATAGTCTTTGATCCCGGGAACGCCGAACGTGCGTATTATTGAAATGTGCTGTTCAGGTGATGAAAGCCGAGATAGGCCAGCCAACGAATTGACCGAGAATTGATCGCTTAAGCATAGCGATGCGATTGTTGAAGTATTCCTTGGCATACATAGGTATCAAAAATAAATTACGGCAGTACATAGACCCTCATTATAAATAGCTAGTTGATCATTACCTACGTAGAGATGAAATTAACAAGATTGAATAGTTTATGTATAAAATCCAAGATTATGAAGATCGAATGGGACTGAATGAAACCTTCTCTTATATCCATACAATATTATCAGTATAAAATACCGAATACAGTCGTCTTGTACGAATGCATCATTACACGATCTTGATCTGATCTGTAACTCGTTGGCGCCGATCACCGTTCCGATCTGCCCCACTCCTTACATTCCCAACCTCCAACCTCCTCCATCTTCATATCTTCTCACTATGCCTCGCATATTACATTCACTATTGTGATGACCATCAAGACTGACTTCCCGATGAAGAGTCTGAGTCTCACGATTTCAGCACAAGGCTTACTCAGCTTTGTTTGGCATCTATTCCGCATTTCGCTATCGTTCTCGTTACTTTTTGCAGACAACTTCATTCTGCTGGCCTCAACTGTGCTAGCCTGGTTTAGTTTTCGAATTAGACGCCGGTTTGTTACTAGGAATGTACACTTCTACCCAAAGACCATCTTGGTCACAGGTATCGGAACTCTTCATGGTCTGGCCCTTGCACGAGCCTGGAATGCAGAAGGCCACCGGGTAATTGGCGCGGATGTGGTCAATCTGCATCTCCCTATACGTTCTGGTGGTAGCATGTCCAAAGCTTTACTAGCTTACTACCGTGTTCAAAAGGACCACTACATCTCCAGTCTTCTGGATATCGTTCATCGTGAAAAGGTCGATATATGGATCCCATGCTCATCCAAGTCCACTGCAATGGAAGATGCAATGGCTCGTCAGGTTATCGAGAGTCGCACAAGCTGCCGCTGTATAACCCTTGATGTTGAGCTGACAGCTTGCTTTGCGCACCCGGAATCGTTCCGACAGTATCTGGTGGAGAAGGATCTGCCTGTCCTTGAACACCACACGGTGCAGTCCCGCGATTCCATTCATAAAATCTTGCACCGATCACCAAGCAAGTCCTATCAGATTCAGCGACTCAGTCCAGGCGTAAATGCAAAGGCCCTCACTCTGCCAAAGCGTACACTCAGCAAGACATATTCGGAAGTCAGTGAGATTCAAATTAACAAGGAATGCCCATGGGTTTTGCAGCAGCAGCCTCGACTAGGGGAATTCTTTGCTGACCTGCTGGTTGTGAGAGGCCAAGTTCATGCCATCAAAGTCCGACTGATAGAATCTCGATCTCCTCACTGGGGAGCCTCACCCCTCGATGAAGCTTTGGCGGTGGCTATTCATCGTTTGATGGGTAACTTTGCTCAGAAAGGAGGCCTCCGTATGACTGGTCATCTTTCAGTTCAGCTTTTCATCGATGAAGAGTTCGGTGTCTCCTCCGTTCGCCATACAATTCTCATAGCAGACTGTATTCCTGGCGCCAATGCAGTCAGAAATCTACTCCGCGATGCACGCTGCCCTGTTAAGGGTTATATCGCGATACTGTCACCGGAGTCAAATGAGCCAGCTTCCTGGGATGTAACGGCGACTCTTTCACCTATGTCTCGCACGCTAAAGTCTGTTGGTGAAAATGCTGGAACCCATCTGGTTGTCCGGTTCCACTCTTGGAGTCTCGCCAATAGGACGATCGCCGCAGTGAAAACAGAATTGCAACCATTCATATTTTGGAGAGATCCTCGGTTTTCCTTTGAGGATCCTCTTCCTTGGTGGTGGCATGTGCATGTGTACCAGCCCCTGCAGGACATTTTGTTGCTGATTAAGCAGACTCGGGAGGCAGGATTAACTTGATGCGCGTGTGAATCAGTATATGCGTTATATGAATCACGAATATAAAGAGTGTCTTCATTGGGCGACATCACAATGAATCCTTTTCTTTGAAAGTTGGAAGCAGCTGAAGCAATTTTTTTCAAATAGCCTCTCTCCAGGCACACCCAATTACCTAGCATTTATCCCCAGGTGATCAAAGATTGAGTATCTACCTACTCCGTATGCCGATGAGCAATTTGAAAATTTTGATGAACCAGCCGAAACTACGGAATACTGTCTACCTATTATGGAGAACAAGTGGGGAAAATCCAATCAATATCTGCGCTAAATACATAAGTACCAGCCATTTGACTTGATTTTCGAGCTGACCATATTAGTCAAGTAAAACGTTTCTGTTTAAAATTCATAGTGGCACAACGAGTGCGAAGAGCCACTCCTGGATCGTGACGAGTGGTGTATGTTGCTACACTTTTAGAGCTCTGAGAGTGGTTCAGGGGTACTCAGGTACGTACTTTTGATACCTAGGTACTTTCTAAGGCTTTTACATACCTCGGTCATCGCATATTTATCCGAGGCTCAGTATAGAGCTTCTATCCGTCCGAATCGAGCCTTGAAAGTCAACATGAGTAGGTATGGATTGGCGCAATCAGAATTCACATCTTCGGCCATCAAATATACTAGACTTATTAGGTAAGGTTTCACAGAACTTCAAATTCATTTCACTTATGGCCCAATGACTACGTAGTTTAATCTAAATAGTCTATCTCTATGTGCCAACAAAGCCACTTCCCCGCTCCCGCTCCCGCTGCCAAATCCCCAGATTTAGGACAATTGAGAAGAAATTGAGAAGAACCGGTTCTTTTCAACTTTCAATTTATTTTATTCTTCATCTTAAAAGAATTCCTAATCGCCTGAAAGCCCAACTTCCTTTAATATTTATTATCGCTTTCCATTCTCACAAATTTGACTCAAATCAAAGCCCATCATGGTGTTTTTACCAGACAAGCAGTTTGGTGACCTTGCCACCATTCCCGACGATGTTCCTATCTGCGAATTCATGCTGAACGAGCGGTATGGCCGAGTACCGCATCATGACTCGAAGGACCCCTACACGTGTGGCCTGTCCGGAAAGTCATACTCGTCACAAGAAGTCGTCAATCGTGTTGAAGAAATCGCACGAGGTCTAGCGAAAGAGTTTGGATGGGCTCCTAATGATGGAACAGAGTGGGATAAATGTGTGGCTGTTTTTAGCGTCAACACCGTAAGTGGAGAGTCATATGATGAGAATGTGCGTGATAGACTAACGAAATGATAGATTGATTCTTTGCCTTTCTTCTGGGCAGTCAACCGACTGGCGGGCATTGTATCACCTGTAAATGCTGCAGCAAATGCCGCAGAGTTGAAACACCAAATACTGGACTCTGGTGCCCAGGCATTGTTCACATGTGCCTCGTTGCTTCCGGTTGCGCTCCATGCCGCATCTTTGGCTGACTTTCCCAAGCATAAGATCTATCTGATTGATGTTGTGCCGCAACTTTTTGGTGCAAATTCACAAACTGAGTTCAAAACAGTCTCTCAAATTGCAGAGACCGGGAAGAGTCTCCCACCATTAGAACCACTGAGATGGGGACATGGCGAAGGAGCCCGCCGAACTGCATATTTATGCTACTCCAGTGGAACGTCTGGCTTACCGGTAACGATATCTCCAATTATCGGACGTAAGCCACGAAACTAACCGAAAGCCATGCAGAAAGGAGTCAAAATCTCTCACCGGAATGTTATTTCCAATGTCCTGCAAATCAAGGCGTTTGAAGATAACTACCGCAAGACCAATGCATCCGCCAACGGGGATTCTGTATACACTGACATTGCCCTAGGACTTCTACCGCAGAGCCATATATATTCATTGGTGGTCGTCTGTCATGCGGGCGCCTATCGGGGTGATCAAACTATTATTCTTCCCAGGTTTGAGTTGAAGTCATACTTGGCCTCCATTCAAAACTTCAAGATCAATTCTCTCTTCTTGGTACTTCTTTCCGCATAATGTAAAAGACTGCATCCTTGCTAATACACTCGCCAGGTTCCTCCAATTATCATCAACATGCTTAGAAGTCAAGAGATGTGCTCTCAGTACGACTTGAGCTCCGTGGAATCCATTTTCACTGGAGCTGCTCCTCTGGGAGAGCAAACAGCCGTCGAATTCCAGAAGATATATCCCAATATCACTGTCCGGCAAGGATATGGTAAGACTAGAAAGGGAGATTGAAAGCCATAGCCAGCGCTGACCTTCAATATGTAGGTCTGACTGAAACATGTACGGTAGTCACCTCGACTCATCCCGATGATGTTATACTGGGATCTTGCGGCTGCTTGCTTCCTGGATTCGAGGCACGTATTATGTCACCAGAGGGCCAGGAAATTACCAGCTATGATACGCCAGGCGAACTCGTTGTTCGTTCTCCGAGTGTTGTATTGGGATACTTGAACAATGAAAAGGCTACTAAAGAAACATTTGAGAACGGATGGATGCATACGGGAGACGAAGCAGTCGTTAGCGTTGGTCCAAATGGAACCGAACATATCTTCATTGTGGACCGCATCAAGGAGTTGATAAAGGTTAAGGTATGTTGCTTCTTCTTTATTCAACCCAAATGATCACTAACGATGTATTAAAGGGTCTCCAAGTGGCACCAGCTGAGCTCGAAGCACACCTTCTAACACATCCCGCTGTGGCTGATTGCGCTGTGATTCCTGTGCCTGATGAAGCTGCTGGTGAAGTACCGAAGGCAATTGTGGTCAAATCACCTTCAGCCGGCTCAGATGAGGCTGCTATCGAGTCAATCAAGAAATACGTTAAGGATCACAAGGCACGCCACAAGTGGCTAAAGGGCGGTGTCAGATTTATCGATATGGTCCCTAAGAGTCCGAGCGGCAAAATATTGCGTCGACTGCTTCGAGACCAAGAGAAGGAGGCACGGAGAAAGGCAGGGTCCAAGCTTTAGAGTAATTCAATTCGTAGTTCAAGTTAAATATGCAGTGAGGAACTTCAGTAATATTGGTGTTTGCACTGTTTGGAGCGGGGAATGGATTTCTAAGCGGGGAGACCAAAAAAAAAAAAAAAAAATTATTAGCAAGAGCTCACTTATCTTTTCTCCTCATGACAAATTCATACAGAAATCCATCCTTTTCTCAAGAAATTCTTCAAATTGCACTTTTCTAAAGTCCTTGTTCATATACCGACTGGGAATCATCGACTCGAAAATTCCATTCGAAGAGCTGCGCCACGAGCCTCCACATATAGAAAATGTCCGCGCAACATCCTCACAATGATGGCGACGAGGACATCTACCTCGGTGCTGATGAAGGAGAGGAAATCATCAACCGCGATGAGGACCACCCCATGGACTCTGACGGAGAGGATGAGGACCAGGCCATGACCTACGAAGAACAAATTACCTTCCAGAATGATTCGTCTGCGCATTTCGACTCGCACTCAGACTCTGTCTTCTGTGTCGCACAGCATCCTGTACATAACAACATTGTCATTACTGGCGCAGGTGACGATACCGCCTACATTTTTGACTCAACCCCCAGCCCGCGCCCCGTTCTCCCTCAGAGCTATGAATCGAACCCCCAACCCCGGGAACGCGAGTCTCTGGTACCTCTGGCTAAGTTCGATGGACACACTGATACCGTGAATGTGGTGGCATTTACTGAGCCGGCAGGAGAATATGCGTTGACAGCGGGTCTGGACGGCAAATTGCGAGCCTGGCGGGACTCGACTCCTCAGAAGACTGGCTTCGCCTGGGAATTTTTGGCCGAGGCTCAGGAAGTGGAGGAGATCAACTGGGTGTCTGTCTGCCCTTACCAGCAAGGCAGCGAAGAAAAGCGCAATGTGGTCGCTCTGGGTGCCAATGACGGCAGCACTTGGGTATTCCGCATTGATGCCGCCGACGCTCAACCTATCTCTATCATTCAGACTTTCTTCCAGCATACTGCTTCCTGCACGGCTGGTGCCTGGACACCGGATGGAAATTTGCTGGCAACAGTGTCTGAGGATGGAAGTCTCTATGTCTATGATGTGTTTGGAGCCGCCGCGGCCGCAGGTTTCACTGGATCTCCTGGTACCAATGCGGTTGTCGTATTGACCGCAGAGGACCAGCGATTTGCTGTGGAAGGTGGTCTTTATTCTATTGCTATTTCTCCCGGTGGTGGGATTGTGGCAGTTGGCGGTGCCGAGGGCCATATTAAGATTGTCGGTCTTCCTCGACTTGCAGGTGCTGTGCCTACCGGAAAGGGCAAGGCTGCCAGTACACAATCCGCTACAACCTCTGCCGCAGGCACTATCCTTGCCGATCTCCAGGCTCAATCAGACGGTATCGAGACTCTGTCCTTCTCCCAACCCCCATTGACCCTCCTCGCCGCGGGTTCAGTCGATGGGTCGATTGCACTCTTTGATGCAGCTCATCGCTTTGCTGTTCGCCGGCATATCAGAGACGCTCACGATGGCAATGCTGTTGTGAAGGTTGAGTTCCTTCAGAGTCGTGCTTCACGCCCGGGTCCACCTGCATCCGCTAGTGCGGGACGCCCATACCTGCTTACTTCAGTTGGCTTGGATGGTGTTGTCCGACGGTGGGATGCCCGTGGAGGCACTGCCGCCGCTGGAAATGGCTTGTTGAAGGAGTGGAGGGGACATATGGGAGCCACGGAGAACGAAGAAGGTGAACAAGCTGGCGGAATTATGGGCTTTGTTCAAGGATTTGAGGGAAAGCGTATTGTCACTGCTGGTGACGATGGGATCTCACTGGTGTTCGAGGATGAGTAAATAAAATTTTCAATATATAGACCTAGCTACTTCGATTCTCCCATACATCCGTGGGAGATTCGATGCGATTTATGATATCATGTTACCCCCCACAATACATCCATGGATACAAGAGAATCCGGAAAGCAACGGACAAGATCTCTAGTTTAGGATCCTATAGATCCGATCTGATCCGTGTGAGCCAATAAAAACACATGTATAGTAATTGAACATAAAGCTATGTACAGCCGACAAATAAAAACCAAGAGCGCCAGTCGCACCTCTGAACTGCAGATGCTGGGATTGCCAAAAACAACGCGACAAACAATCATCTCATGACTCTGCCGTGGCGGTCCATGTCGAGGCTCAATGTTATGACTTTCATGGAGACTAAACGGACTCTCTCGTCCACGGGGGTATCAGTCCTCCAATCAATTGTTCGTCGGTCCGTGGCATTTTCAATTACTTCATTTGAGAAGTATCTTAGTGGTGATCCTCACCGTGGTGGGCATCGTGGTGGTCGTCCTTCAGGAAGAAGTGCTCGTATGTGCAGTAGGCAGTAAAAGCAACGGTTGCAATACCCAAACCGGGGAAAAGTCCCTTGAACCGGTTCCACCGGCTGAAGGGACCATAGTAGCGCCAAGTTTCACTGCAATGGAGTTAGTAAATTGGGCGTGATTCGTCTTTAATTCGAGGTAAAAGTGAAAACCTACTGGCGAGCCCAGGGGTCCTGCTTGCGGTAGATGGACGACGGGGAAGCCGCAGCCTTCAATTGTTTGATATCAAACCCAGTTGGATTTCTGGCAGACATTGTGATAGAGGAGAGAGGTGAAGAGTGGGGTAAGTAAAAGAATAGAGGGCAAGTCAAGTCGCACTTGAAGTGAGGTGAGTTGCCGGGGCTTGGCAGGACAGATTGACGCTAACCGGATACGGTCGGCCTTAGGAGGGCCATAGCTTTCCTCCACCTTCAATCCACGAACGCGATCTTACCTCTCACAACAACTCGCCGATAATGCCACCCCCTGTTGGTAGATATGGTGGGCCCTCGGGTCTCACTACTCCTTACACGCTCCAACAATCCCACCTTCAATCTCAACATTCCCACGCTCAGTCTAACACCGCACTTCCTCCTCCTTCCCTTGGAGGCCACCCAGGTTTTGCGGGCAACCCTAATACAAACATAAACCCATTTACACTTTCTAGCGCGGGTGTTTCCAATGGTATGTCTGTCGCCGGGTTCTCGGGAACCACCAGTGACGCCGGTGGGACTGGTCTTGCAAGTCATGCGGCGCAGATGGGTTTCGCTCGCGGGGCTCAGATGCAGCAGCAACAATTACACCAAGGACACGATGGGCGTTTATCACTTGACGCCAAAGGAGGATTCGCCAAGAGCCGGATACGCGATGTGTGGAAGCAAAATTTGAATCAAGAAATGGCGACTTTGAGATCGCTTGTTGACAAATATCCATACATTAGCATGGTAAGATGAACTGTTTCCATTCCTCTGATTTGAAACGATACTAATTCCTGTATGCAGGACACCGAATTCCCCGGTATCGTCGCGCGACCCATCGGCTCCTTTGCAAACAAAGCCGACTACCATTACCAGACACTCCGATGCAACGTCGACCTTTTGAAGATGATTCAGCTCGGAATTACGCTATTTAATGAGGATGGAGAAGTGCCCCCCGCCATTTCTACGGATGCGAATGGCCAGACTTATGGAAGTGCCATGTCCCCGGCCCCGTGCACTTGGCAATTCAACTTCCGTTTTTCGTTGGAAGGAGATATGTACGCCCAGGACTCGACCACCATGCTCGCCAAGTCCGGTATCGATTTCAATATGCATGAAAAGAGTGGCATCGACCCTTTCGAGTTTGGCTCTCTGCTAATCAGTTCTGGCTTGGTGTTGTTAGATGATGTTCACTGGGTCTCCTTTCATTCAGGTTACGATTTTGGCTACCTTATGAAACTCATGCTCTGCAAACCATTGTCAGAGAACGAGGAGGATTTCCACAAGCTGCTGAACATCTTTTTCCCGTCCCTCTACGACATTAAATATCTGATGAAGCATGCTGGCCGCAACCAAGCTGTCAATGACACCCCCCTTACGCCAGCTGCCGCTCAGATTCTCGCCAGCCTCGGTCAAAAGTCTGGTCTCCAGGACATTGCTGATGAGCTTGGCGTCAAGCGTGTCGGAATTGCCCATCAGGCTGGTTCAGATTCTCTTGTGACAGGAGAGATTTACTGGAAGATGCGACAGCTGGTGTTCAATGGAGTTATTGATGAGAGTAAATACTCTGGTCAGATCTGGGGCTTGAACGGGCAGATGCCAGCCATGTCGTACCAAATGGCACAACAGACCCCAAACTTAAACGGAGCAACAATTTACTCCGCTGCTGGCACCCCAAGCACCCCTATTAACGGTCACACTCGGACAGCCACGCACACCCCAAACCATGGCTCTGGCTATCCCACACCCAGTGGATTCCCAGCAGGCAAGGTTTAAGTCGAAGAAAGATGCTTTTAATATCGTTATGATCATGTAAATAGATGAGCACGAACTTTGTGTCCTTTTTCATCTTCGATCTTCGGCAGTGCATTTCCACATATCGCTTTGCATCAGTTCTATTGCGCGCGGTCTCTTGCGTTTCGGGTGGTGGTGTTCAAGGGCAAGGCGTCTGGTTTCGTTGTCTGAACACATCTACATGGCGTTCTAGTGCTCAGAGTGATCGTCTATTTTGCGTATTTTTTCTGGCATATCTTATTTTCATATGCCTTACTTTCTCGCTATAGCCGGTTCTATGAATATGGAGAGGTAGACAGTCTCAAAATAGGCGCTCATGTATCTTATGCACCATAGTTCTTTTTCGTTTCTATTACAAATTTACCCAACCCTCATCACGTACTTCGTCCCTACCCAGGTAGCCTTCTATGAGGGATTACTATTGAGGCGTGTGTGACTTTGTTGAGACTCATCTCAAGCCCGAGTCTGTCTCGACCTCGAGAGTTGAGCGAGAATTGATCTTGTTTCAAATCCATGGATGCAGTCCCTACAGATTATTAAATGACTATATCTAGAGAATAGGTCGTTGAATGTACCTAGGTACTACTAGTAAACAAACATATCCTCTTTGAGAGTTCAGGCTTACTCGAGTAGTCAAAAATGCGATCTGATCTTCACAGTCAACATTTCATCCAGTACAGTCTCTGATGTAATCGCAGTTGAACGTATCGGAAGTGAATAGGTCATTGAATGGAGTAATCGCAAAATATTCCCTATCAAGGATCACGATGTATGTCGATATATAATGCGCTAAACCAAATCAGGATATGCGATCCGAACCCCCGCAATTACCACTTCTTATCTTCTCTATCAGACCTCGATGTGTTCAATCACTCCACAATACATTACATAAATATACATATGCCCGTAGGTTTGAGAAATTTAATCATCATAATACTTTTAATTTCCTCAATTGTGTACTTCTCACATTAGCACTCTTTCAAACATCGATAGGTATAATTCATACTACAACTTCATCGCGATGGTGCTCGAACGACTTCAACAATTGGCTTACCATGTCACCGGCACTTCTGCTCCCCCGCATCCTTTCGACCCACTCTCTACTGTGGAAATTGATGCTGCTGTAGCCATCGTCCGCAAGGAGCACGGCTCACTCAACTTCAATGCCGTTACGCTCTATGAGCCTCGCAAGACAGAGATGATGGCCTGGTTGGCAGATCCAGAACATGCTCCTCGTCCAGTGCGTTGCGCTGATGTGGTTGCTATTGCTCCGGGTGGCAATCTATATGATGGTGTAGTCAATTTAGAGAAAAATGAGATTGTCCAGTGGAAGCATGCACCAAATATGCAACCTCTAATCACAATGGAGGATTTACAAGAGGTAGAGCATGTGGTGCGCAAGGATCCCAAGGTCATTGAGCAATGTGGAATAATCGGTATTCCTCCAGAGGATATGTACAAAGTTTATTGCGATCGTAAGTTATTCGATCTACTACTTTTGGGCTGATATGGAGCTAACATCTCGATCTAGCATGGACAATTGGCTACGACGAGCGTTTTGGCACTGGCGTACGATTACAGCAGGCTCTGATGTACTACCGCCCTCACGTTGATGACTCCCAGTACAATTACCCTCTCGACTTCTGTCCTATCTTTAACGCAGAGACCAAGAAGATTATTCACATCGATGTACCTTCGGTACGCCGACCTCTCAGCAAGGCTGCTCCCAACAATTACCACCGGGAATCAATTGAACAGACAAGCGGATACCGAACCGATATCAAGTCTCTCCATATTACCCAGCCGGAAGGTGTCTCATTTGAGATGAAGGGTCGTACCATTGAGTGGCAAAAATGGAGCATCCACATCGGCTTCAACTACCGAGAGGGGCTTGTTTTCAACAACATTACCTTTAGCGATAAAGGAAATATTCGACCAATCTTCTACCGTCTCTCAATGGCGGAGATGGTGGTCCCGTATGGAAACCCCGAGCATCCTCACCAGCGCAAGCATGCCTTTGATCTGGGTGAGTACGGCGGTGGCTACATGACCAATAGTCTGTCCCTTGGATGTGACTGCAAGGGAGCAATCCACTACATGGATGCTGCATTTGTGAACCGTGCCGGTGCCTCAACTATTATCAAAAATGCCATCTGTATCCATGAAGAGGACGCTGGTATTCTCTTCAAACACACTGACTTCCGCGACGGTTCCACGATTGTAACCCGTGGCCGCAAACTCATTATTTCGCAGATCTTCACTGCTGCTAACTACGAGTACTGCGTGTACTGGATTTTCCACCAGGATGGTACCGTCCAGCTGGAAATCAAACTGACTGGCATTTTGAACACATATGCCATGAACCCTAATGAGGATACTAAGGGCTGGGGAACCGAGGTGTACCCAGGCGTCAATGCCCACAACCACCAGCACTTGTTTTGTCTTCGAATTGATCCCAACATTGATGGTCCAAACAATACAATCTTCCAGTCCGATGCTATCCGAGGTCCTGGAGATGTTGGCAGCGCTGAGAACAAATACGGCAATGCTTTCTTCGCTAAGAAGACCAAGTTTACAACCCCTCACGAGGCCATGTCTGATTACGATGGATCCACTAGCCGTACGTGGGATATGGCCAACACCAACAAGTTGAACCCCTACAGCAAAAAGCCCGTCTCCTACAAACTTGTCAGCCGTGATGTGCCATCACTTCTTCCCAAAGAGGGTGGACTAGTCTGGAAGCGTGCTGGATTTGCCCGCCATGCAGTCCACGTAACTAAATGTGAGTATTTCCCCCATAATCACCTTATAATCAAATGAATCTAACAAAACCCAGACTCCGACGATCAAATCCATCCAGCAGGTCGCCATGTTCCCCAAACTTCGGGTGAGCCCTCAGAAGGTATCCCCGCTTGGATCGAGGCCGCTGGACCAGATTCGTCGATTGATAACACCGATGTTGTACTCTGGCACACCTTCGGTCTCACTCACTTCCCGGCTCCGGAAGATTACCCGATCATGCCTGCTGAGCCAATGACCGTTCTTTTGCGTCCTCGTCACTTCTTTGACCGCAATCCTGTTCTCGATGTGCCACCGAGCTTTTCACGCACACCTTCGCAGGTAGCTGCAGGTGGAAACGCTTGTGCTTGTCCGAAAAATGATGGATCAAGTGTTTTGGTCTAAATTTGCATATGTATTTATCCCAGTTATTAAGCATCCTTGAACACAAATGTGTATCAATTCTTTTTCATTCTTACGTAGTTTGCATAAATCATGTATAAAGCTATCCCGGGCATCCATTTGTAACTCCAAGTTGTATTTCTCAGTCTATAAATTTCTCTTCTCAATATCAACGAAAACATGTCCCAAAGGGCCTTTATCAGGATTCCAGCCTCCATGCACGATCTTATACTTGTCGTCGCTATCCAGCACCTCGACCAAGTTGGTAAATTCTCCTCCACGATTCTCCCAATGGAGCTCGCAGATCTTGGATTCGCCATGAAAAAGATCAAGGCGACCCTCACTGCCACGGCGGCCGTGTGCACTTATCTCGCCAACACCAAGCGGGGGGATCACGAGCTCGTCGACATCTTCTTCGGTGAGGGATTGGCGGCGGTCATTCACGTTGTAGAACTCGCCACTGCCGGCAGTTAGTTTTATGAATTGAGAGAAATAAGAAGACTGTAAAAACAAAGTACTTACCCCCCTTCGATGATGGTGTTTTGCACTAATATCTTGCCTTCGCCAAGATGGTCTCGGATATGGAAGGATACCCATTGCGAGTTGTAATTATCCATATCCATATTGGAAATCAGGATGAAAGAAGTTGATAAATTGTGGTAAGATATTGTAGATGAACACTTTAAGATGAATCCACGTTATAACTATACCTGGACTACCAATTTATACCCCAGAAGGTCATTATGGTGATGTAATTCATTTTATAGTTGTTGTTGTGGTGATGATGTTATTGGCCAATTGCGGCCGAACCCATGGAAACCTTTAAACGCGGGGTTGAAGCAAATAAGTTCCCCCATATTCATGCCTATTTAGAGCCAATTACAGAAGAGCAGATATTCCTAATTAACGATGAATCTCTTGTTTCTTCAGGTCTTTTGACCTGTTGGAATCGAAGTCAGTACTAACCTTGGAAATGCCAAGGGGAAATTGGGCTCGTGACGCTAAATCCAATTTCATAATAATGTACAATAACACACCTGATAAATTGATACTTAAAATTACAGATTAACTCGTGAGAAATAGGTACCTAGAGAAGGGTGGTGCACCAAACATGTCGAAGTACGGAGTAGTTATACCCAACTTGGCAATTTCGAGCTAAGTTTTCAAGACTTCAGAAGGTAATGCGTACCTAGGTATCTCTGCACATAATACAGTGCATTGCAACTGGGAATGTCGTTCTCAAGGCTATCAGTTCTCTACTTATACTTAATGCTGGGAAATTCTTTCTAAAAGCGTTTTGTTGTGGACCTTCTGTCCATAAACTCTGTATTAGTAGCAGTCATTTGTTAGCTACTGGTAGTCTTCAATCTGCTAGCTATGATGTTCTTCGCCTCTAATTTAATATCAATCAAATTCTGAATCTAAATTATATAATAGAGTGTACGGACTCTGAGCTCTTTGCTATTATATAGTCATCATCTTACACGGCGATTGTTCATTTTACATCCGTCATTCATGACTCAGAACTGGAGGCCTCGTCCATATGGCCAAATTTCTTCTCTCAGTACATGAATCAGCATGTTAGCTCAGGGGAAGAGCGCCGGGCTCATAACCCGGAGGTCCCTGGATCGAAACCAGGACATGCTATCCTCAACCAAATATCTTTTTTTGATTTTTCCTTACTTTAACTAAGGTACCTACTGACGATGAGCAACAGGAGTTTCTGGTAAAACGCCGATGAAAGTGTTGTACGTTCGTAAATCTCCTGTGGAGTCATTGGATAGTCTGAATATGACTTCGAATTACTCCATACGTCTGATTATCATTCGATTATCACCAGCCAGGTAGTCCAAAGTGCTTCAGGATATTTCAACGTGATTAGTTCTTTTTATGGATGATTTGTGTACGATGTTAGAGAATTTATCTACCGTTGGACCCACTTTGTGTGTGAGAATAGCTATTTAGTAGGGTAGGCGAATGTTGTCGAGTCATATCTACAGTCAATTGGAATTAAGAGCGTAAACACGCGTAATAAAAGAAGTTGAAAAATTCTTTTATCATTCCTTAAGACTGATAAAACTTATCAAGTGGACTGAGGATGACGAAAAAAGAAAAGAAGAAAAAATTACTTCGCAGACGATAGCATGTCCTGGTTTCGATCCAGGGACCTCCGGGTTATGAGCCCGGCGCTCTTCCCCTGAGCTAACATGCTTATTGTATGAAAAATTGGGCCATCTTTGACACTATAAATTAAGGACATTGTAGAACCTCTCGACAAGTAATCCAAAATTTCTTCAACGTTGCATAACAATCTTAGTAGTCTATGGTCGAAAAAAAATTCTGAAAAAGATTTATTCCCTCAATTTACAGTCTGGATTCATGACGACCTGGCAATGATCATGAATCTTCTCTGTAATAATCTGATTTCTAGGTGGGCAATAAAGAAAAAAAAAAGAAATGTTCTGAGTGGATAGCATGTCCTGGTTTCGATCCAGGGACCTCCGGGTTATGAGCCCGGCGCTCTTCCCCTGAGCTAACATGCTTGTTAGATAATATGGGGGGCCGTATTTCATTATATAATCCAAAATATTCTTTATTAGTCAATAGAGTCAATAGAGTCAAAAAGCCCCGAAAAAGGAAATTCCGCGTCGTAAAAAAATTTGGTTAACGGCCTTTATCATTCATTCAGTTTACAGACTAGGTTGAATGACTATATGTCCTGAATATATGAATGAATCTTCTTCGCAATGATTTGATTTCTAAGTTGACAAAAAAATATGAAAAAAGAAGATACTTGGTAGAAGATAGATAGCATGTCCTGGTTTCGATCCAGGGACCTCCGGGTTATGAGCCCGGCGCTCTTCCCCTGAGCTAACATGCTGACTCATAAAACGTATCGTCCTTATTAACCACTTATACCAACCATCAATTAAAATAAATCCTTTTCGATCTTATTGGTTACTAAACTATCCATTACCTGTTTCCAGTATCATTATGCAGTTTCGACGAATCATGTCCAGTTGTACTTGATGAGTATCAAAGGAGTGAATTGTGAAAGAAATAGTGATAACCTAAATATCCCTCGAGTTTCTGACTAGGTACTTGATGCGATCACTCTTTCTTGATCAGACGATCGAAGACTTCGTGCATGACTCTGGCACTCTTCTTGGGGGTTCTCTTCTGATTATCCTCATAGTCCACATACACACATCCGAATCGGGGCTCAAATCCATCGGCCCACTCGAAGTTACTATGAAGGTCGTTAGTATTTATATTTTCCATTTTGAATGAGAAATGGCTTACTCCATCAAACTCCACCCAAAATAAGCGACAACGTTCACTCCATCAATGGTATACGCATCAGCCATGTTTTCGATATACTCCTTGTAGAACTTCACGCGGAACTCATCATTCAGAATCTGTTCGAGTGGCATCTCAGTCTCACCCTTCATAGTGGTGCCGTTCTCGGTGACATAGATTGTGGGATAGTCATATCGATCACTTAGCCACTTGAGAAGTTTCCTGAAGCCCGGGGGGTTAGGACGCAGCCAGTGCGATGCTGTTTCTGGTCCAATGCTTTCACCGGCCTTATTGACTTGGGGAACCTCGAGATTACCCATGAAATCATGGTATTCAGGTGGGGTAGTTTTATGCTTAACGTAGGTTGAACAGTAGTGGTTCATTCCGTAGAAATCATTGCTCCCCTTTACGAGTGCAATATCTTCGGGCTCCCAGGTAGGGAGGCGGTCACCAAGCTGCTTGATCATGCTATCAGGGTATTTGCCTTTGTAAATGGGGTCGGCAAACCATCCGATGGCAAACTCCAGTCTGCGAGTCTGGGCTTCAAGATCCTCCGGATCTTCTGGGTCCCAAGGCTCAACCCAGTCACCTTGATAATAGAAAATTAAACTTCTATTCTTGAAAGAGAAATTTTTACATACCGTTCAGGGTAATTCCAATCGATCCCTTCTGTTGAGGTTTAAACTCCTCGCGATAGATCTTGACTGCTGCACCATGGGCTACCAAAATATTGTGACCAACGATCCAGTGTTCTGTCGCACTGCTGTGACCGGGGGCAAAGGTTGCTGTGTTGTATCCAAGCACAGCAATGCAGAACGGCTCATTGAAAGTAATCCAATGCTTGACTTTGTCACCGAATGTCTTGAAAAGTAGTCGGACATAGTGCGAGAAGTCCGCAGTGAACTCCTCCTTGTTGAGGAGACCGCCGTAGCGGTCATGCAAAGCTGCAGGGAGATCCCAATGGTAGATGGTAACCATGGGGGTGATACCAGCAGCGATGAGGTCATCTATGAGCTTGACATAGTAATTCAGGCCCTTTTCATTGATAGGATCATTTCTTCCACCAAGGGGAATAATACGAGGCCTAGTCATACAGTGTGAGCGGAATATTAACGAGCTTGAAGTCTTCTTAATGGATGAAATACCAGGAGAAAGAGAAACGATATGAAGGAGTCTTGAGTTCCTTCAACAAGGCAATATCTTCCTGGGTCCTGTGGTAGGCATTGCAAGCGGTTGCGGCAGTGGTGCCATCAGCAATTTTTCCAGGTGTCTCGCAGAAAGCGTCCCAGATAGAGGCACCACGGCCATCAACGTCCAGGGCACCTTCGATCTGATAGTTAGCTGTCGAGAAACCCCAGATAAAATCGGGAGGAAGACTGGATGTAGTCATGATGAAGTGAACTTGGATATATTCGAGCTTTTTGAAGTTTCAAGACGTTCGAATGTCTTTCATATCCTATCTGGAACTGTATGTCTTTATATAAGGTGGCGTAGGAAAGGAAATACCCAGACAGGTACTATGCGGTAATATGCAAACCCCACCTGGGAATTTAGGTGGCTGGCTGTGTGGTGAAGACTTCGCGTGCGTGCAGCATCAGGGTCTCTAAATTGTGATAGATAGAGTACCCAGGTAGGTACTTGACTCGGTCCGAAGCGTAACCCAAGTGCTGATCCTAGATGAACCCACTCAGTCGAGCCTTGGATTGGCTCCAGCCGGACGCAAGACCTGCGTGTAGCTTCTTCATACAGCTCCATCATGCAGCTTTTCACCATGAATGAGACAAATTTGAAGTCAGAAGACCTCTCACTCATATCACACCTCTTATTAATGACATACTTGGGGAATCTCAGCTGCCGTTAGAACTATAAGTTTATTTGTTTGCTATTGGTGACAAATGCCTAAACTTCAGAGATGCTTATGCGGTGTAACATCCATGAATGTCCGTGGACTGCGGGGATACCGTCCGTGTAGGCGAAAATGTGATACATAACGTGTAAATATGCAAGCCTCTATTTTTTCCCAGATAATACGCGTGCATTCCAATGCTGACTCACCTAGGTATGTGTTGAGGGGAGACTGGATTATAATATGCACGAAATGGATCGAGATTCAAATCCGATATGCTTTCAAATAGATATATTGAATTTTTAGATCGAGGTGGATTGGCTACAAGGACTCTATTCCATGCTTTCCAAGTGGTTGCCAGATTTTCGGTTCTAGTTGAATCGAAAAATTTCATCATAAGCAAATATCTTTAAAGATCTCTGCTAAAAGCAAGTTCAGAAGAGGCGAACTGAAAACCTGTCTACAACATGGAACGTAGCTCTCTGCACGTAAGTCAAATAATTGAATGCAGACGACATGATGCGTTATACTCGTATACTGCGCTTTGAATATTCAACTGCTGCCCTTTCAGTGGGCACATGCAGCTTCCTGGGCAACTCATAGTTTCGCTCAAGGATGCGTTGGCACTATGCTGTGGATAATTGCCTCATACATTCAATTTTGCCCGTCCCGTACTTTTCCTAGAAAACAACACATACACGGCATCATCGTTTTGCCGGTCATATCAAGAAGATACTGCATTTTTTTCCATTTACCGAAGGTGAATCACTGTTTTTGCTCATATAGCGGATGAGATATCACGGCCCAGAAAATGAAAATCGACTACCTAAACATGGATAGGGACTGCCAGACACTGTAGACTATGTTCCTTCTGGAGGGCTTTTTGAGTTATATGTTATTTACTAAAATGATTTTAGTTAAGTCTAATCATTAAGAAAAATTTGAAGAATTTTTATCTTGTAAGCCCAATCTTTCCTAGCGCCCCAACGTGTTGAGGACCACATTCTGAGAAAACTACAAGTATAAATGAGCCATTTTGTGAGGTAGAAATTTGGACTCGTACAAATAAGCCAAGTAGCCTTTACTATAAAAACCTTGAACTCAAGATAAAAAAAACCCTCGATTGAGATATAGTGGCGTAGGAGATTGAGGTATAAATTACTTTACATCCTACGTCATATTTTAGGATAATAGAGGACAGTATTTCTCTATTGATGACACAAACGGGTCAGTTTTATTGCCAGTAGCTTGCAATCATATGGGGACTTGGAATCTAGAATTGGCGCATTTACCATGATATAATGGCGGTTTGTTGCCGTATCTTTCTCATCTTTGCTCTAAACCAAGATCAAATTGGAAGATAGATGACTCCAGATATAGATAGACGATCAATTAAAAAAAAAGTCAGAGGCTACCTGGTACTTTCTAGAAAACAAATCTCCATAAAATACTGATCGCAGAATTCTAGCTGTGTCGCTCGCTTAGCGAGCGTAGCTAGCTAGTCGCTCGTTACCGAGAACAGTGAGCTCCAACGAACCGCTACTCAACACCGTAGACAATCCACCGATCTGGTAGTGGATTCCTGCTAGTTGAATATTGCAGTTGTTGTGAAGTCTGCTTTTTCATTGATGAAAGAACTAGCTACTTATAGTATATGGGTGCCCCTCTGCCCTGGACGAATGTCAACATTCGTCCGAGACAGAAGAGACGGTGAAGACGGGACATTACTGTCGCGAATGCGCATCGCTCAAGGGTGTCGTTTGCGATGAATGCATATCGTTCAAGGATGCCGTGATATACTAATCCAGTTCCGGAGTCACTGTCTTGGCAGAAGCTTTTTCGGCCGAAATACTTTCCGTCTGTTGATGGCCTTGTTTCTCGGCTGTCGCAACAAGCTGAGCATATGATATTGCGGTGTCCATTCCATCTGTTAGCTTGAGGGCGGAACTAGTGAGTAGAAACTGTCGCTCGCAAGGGTAATATTCGAATATTATAACTGAGAATGGTGTTCAAGTTTTACTGCTGTAAAAGGGCGTGGAGTTTACTGCAGTAGAAACAAAGAGTTTGGCGAGCTCCAACTAACTGCTACTCAACCGTAGATAATCCACCGATCTTGGTAGTGGATTCCTACTAGTTGAATATTGCAGTTGTTGTGAAGTCTGGTCTTTCATTGACGGAGAGAACTAGCTACTTATAGTACATGAGGGTTCCTCCATCCTGGACGAATGTAACCATTCGTCTGAGACAGGAGAGACGGTGAAGACGGACCACCACTGTCGCGAATGCACATCGCTCGAGGGTGTCGTTTGCGATGAATGCATATCGTTCAAGGATGCTGTTGGAACCAATGGAATCTGGTTTGCTGAAGTGAATGAACTCGGGAAGTGAATGCCAGATATTCTGCCAGAATTATTAATTCGGCCTGGAATAACTATTAATGCGATATTTGTAGACATTTGGTTGCATCACAATCTCCTCTCTATTTTACACTCCTGTATCTAGTTTGTTTTATATTCTGGTTTACATACTTAAGAGTCTATTTGACGGTATAGGCTTATGTGCTTATTTTGACCCGAATGAAGCATTCAATTTGAACTAATAGTACTGCATATCAGGGTCTTCAACTCGCCGCCAACTCCGAACAGGTCTTTGGGAAGCTGTCGCTCGCTTGGCGATATTCGAATATCTTAACTGAGAATAGTAGACGTTGTGAGCTCCAACAAACCGCTACTCAACACCGTAGAAAATCCACCAGGTGTAGTGGATGCTACGATACTGAATATTGCGGTTGTTGTGAAGTCTGCTTTTTCATTGATGAAAGAACTAGCTACTTATAGTATATGGGTGCCCCTCTGCTCTGGACGAATGTCAAAATTCGTCCGAGACAGAAGAGACGGTGAAGACGGGACATTACTGTCGCGAATGCACATCGCTCAAGGGTGCCGTGATATACTAATCCAGTTCCGGAGTCGCTGTCTCGGCAGAAGCTTTTTCGGCCGAAATACTTTCCGTCTGTTGATGGCCTTGTTTCTCGGCTGTCGCAACAGAAGCACTCTGAGTGGTGCCAGAATTTAGAGTGCTTTCTTCAGACCCCCGTTTTTCGGCAACGCCGACGCGACGAGCAACATTTCGAGCAGCATTGATAGTTGGACTTAAATATTATGAAGAAAGGCGGTCAAGCGGTAAATAATGCGGTAAGGAAAGTGGAGTAGACACCTGATTTATAAGGCATGATGGAGTAAGATAGCCAGGTAATAATAGCAACCAACGCCCGTGATAACCGAGCTGGCTGATCCTATTTTGTGATGTAGTAAGATTGATGTCGTCGAACTAACTATTTATGCTTGACCTGTTTAGTAATATTGTTTGCTACGTTTGCATGAACGTTAACTAGCCTAAATAACGAGTGTGATCATGAAAAGGTAATAAAGAACTTCAGTTCAACCATGTAAATAGACGGAATATTATAGTAATCCCGCATGTAACCATAATACTATCTATCTATCCTAAAATTTTTATTCGGAAAAAAAATGACAAAATGAATGAGCGACGCAGGGATCGAACCTGCAATCTCTTGTGCCGAAAACAAGCGCCTTGCCATTAGGCCAGCCGCCCATGGGATATGAATCATGACAAACTTATTTTATTAAAAGCCAAATTAGTACAGACCAGTTTTTTATTTCCATGTTTGGTTATAACTACCTATACCAATTCAAGGCTCCTCCAAGTTTTATTGAAGAGATTCAAAACACTCTGGACCTCTAAAATATCTATATTTAGGTAGATGAATGTCAGTAATTGTCATGTTTGACAAAATCTAAGTTAAAATAGGTAGTAGCCTAGATGAATATATATTTCGACATTTGTTACCTTGACTCCACACCTTTCTTCATATATAATTACCTAGATAGGTAGGTAAGTAACAATCTTGCATTTCCTCCCGCTGAAAAGTGTCCCAATCTACTTAGGTACGTGCAGCTTGGTGAATAGTAGAAATATCTCGCCATCCCCAATGGATTTGATGGCAAGTAAGATTATACCTTCTCATACTCAGCCTTTAGAAGTCTCGGAGTATCTTATGGGATAAGTTTGGTGGTCAATGAGAGGAAGACCTGAATCCACCGAAGCGTAGGATATTGCTAAGGTGCAAGTGTGGATTGAAAACAAATCTTCGATCGCTTCAACCCATAATACCTAGGTCAGAATTTTAATTACAGGCCCAGGTCTGATGGCTTGTGAACCTACGTACTTCATGCCTCCCCTTGCGAGCTTGTTCCCCTCACTATGGCAACCATCTCAGGAAACAGGTTGGTACTTCTTAGATATTCACATATTAGCTCTGGATCCCGTGCGCCGTCTTGAAGGCCCATTAGCATGTGAATATCAAAAATCTGCATGGAACCTATGGCATGTCTGCCTACTTGCTGTTGTCTACCTGTGGTTATATTAACTCAATCCCGTAGGTGTACATTGTACTTTCTGAGGTTTCCTTCACAACAAGTTCCGCCCACACTACAATCTACAACAATCCACCCAGTTACGATATTTCAATCGCAGTATCCTGGATAGGAAAACCAGTGAGAATCTGTCTCCAGATACCAAGGATTTTAGTGCACTAAAACAAAACCACTAGCAGCTCCGGAAGTTCATAGGATCTGCAATGAATAAATTGGTTGGCAACATAGTAAAATTCTATTAGTTCCACTATGAGTGTCTCAGTAGCGAGTTGAAGGAACGACTTTTGAAGGAATTGTTGCGACAGCCGAGAAACAAGGCCATCAACAGACGGAAAGTATTTCGGCCGAAAAAGCTTCTGCCGAGACAGCGACTCCGGAACTGGATTAGTATATCACGGCATCCTTGAAAGATATACATTCATCGCAAACGACACCCTTGAGCGATGCGCATTCGCGACAGTAATGTCCCGTCTTCACCGTCTCTTCTGTCTCGGACGAATGTTGACATTCGTCCAGAGCAGAGGGGCGCCCATATACTATAAGTAGCTAGTTCTTTCATCAATGAAAAAGCAGACTTCACAACAACCACAATATTCAGTACTGTAGAGACCACTACACTTGGTGGTTTGTCTACGGTGTTGAGTAGCGGTTCGTTGGAGCTCACTGTTCTCAGTAACGAGCGACTAGCTAGCTACGCTCGCTAAGCGAGCGACAGGAATAGCCATTTAATTTAATGGAAACCCCAATAATATCTTTTGGGCAGACCTAATTTTCACGACACTCCGCTCTGCCGAAGAAATTAATGATATGTAGCTTAGGCAATCACCGTTCCTAAATGGCTGTTAAAATAAATCCTTCGATTCATCACACCTATGAATAATAGACTTACATCTCGAGCCTCTGGTGGAGATTATATAGACGTTTTATATATTCCATCTGGTATGAGTTGTCTTTCTCTTCCAAATTTCTTTCTCTCAGGATCATTCATCAATGATGAATTTTTTGTAGGTACAAATTTATGTGCACGCTCTTGCAATGTACCGATCTCTTTCCTACTGGGATGGCCCTGATGTATTTAAACTGAGAGACGGTTTCCAGCATTTCCTTGAACGGCCGCATGCAAGCCCTACAATCCTGTTATTTCCACACTGTGAGCCATTGTCGCCAGTGTTTGATACGAGCATACTTTGCTGCTGGTAAACAAAGAGGTACACCTAGAAAATGATTCTTTGTCGACTGTTTTGTGGAACCAGACTGAAATCTTAGTCACTGTTGATTCTATTCAAACAACCAACCAATCTGACAGTGTCTAGAGAAACTGATCTTAGCAACGAGTATATTTAGTGCCATAATCGGAATGACATTTTACTGGGTTACAGAAAGGTGACCAGGGTATTTGGTCCTGAAGAGAACATAGTTCGATCAACCATGAACTATATAAAAATCCCGGATATCAATGCAGGTAGGTTTGATTTCAGGGCATTTAACGTAAATCAGATTTATTCACCCATAAACGCCCAGATAAAAGGGAACCATAGACTAGTAGAGTAGGAAGGTATGCTACAAAATAAAAAAGACATGGGCGTAGCACAGTAAAATGTGCTGACACAAGCGTCAACTGGCAAAAAGGCCATTCAAGAGGATCGCTTCAGAGCAGCATCAACATCCACCAACAAACTCAGCAACTCTTTCCCACCCTCAGAATCCCTCCCCTCAATCTCAAGCCCCTTCTGCACATATCCGCGTGCCTCCTCATACCGAGTCATCTCAGCCAAACACTTAGCAACCCGCCACCAAGCCTTGACATTATTCACAGGCTTTGAGTCCACGCTGCACTTTGCATCGACCAGCCCATCCGCCCACGCTTGTTGCCCCATATGTGCTTGTGCGCGATTTCCATAGAGACCGGACAACTCGTCTCTGGCAAGATTCACAGGTTCCCAGCTAGGTCGGGTGATAGCCATTTCGATTGCATATGTGTACAAGCGCACAGCCTCAGCGTAGTTGGATTTGCGGTAAGCGGCATTGCCGCTGTCGCGGAGCTTGTTGACTTGTGCACTGCGCTTGGGGTTGACGGGGAGTGGTGGTGGGGGTACACCGCTGGGATGTTCAACGGTGAGTAGGGCACGGTGCAGTTGGTTCAGTTCGGTCAGCTCTGTGTTGATACTTGTTGTTTGGATAGGTGTGTAGGCGGAGGATTGGGGCAAAGAGATAGATTTGGAAGCCGAGTCCATATGTAAAGGATATTGGATGTAGATATCAATTTCACTGGCCATAATGGATGGTTTTCAAGTGAATTTCCTCTAAGTCTGTTTGTGGGATTTATTACTTTGGTTAATGTTAGCTGGAGTTGCGAAGTTGTAGGTGGCCCGTTTTGGCTGGTCCATTCATAGTGTTCAGAGTTGGGCTCAAACACTTAAATGACATACCAGATCAACTGACTGATTTAGAAAGATAAAATTGCAGGCAGTAATGCAATTCACCTTGGTAACACTGGAATGATTGGAGCTGATGGAGTCTTAAACTTGGGGAGAGCAAGCTGTCCAAAAGCACATCGGTCAAGAAAGCGGTGGCAGAACCTTGGCACTTATCTAACCTTCTCGTCATTGAGGGCAGTACAGAGTACTGTAACAATGTGTTATCGTTATGAATCTATTGGTCTGAATCAAATGCAAACCTTGGAACTGCCCAACCCATATATATATGTTCACTGCCTTGACGGCTCAAACGGACCCCCATAATCACAAAATATGACAAATATCTAGACAGCAACCTCTCCTTGGCGAGCCAAAGAAGAAAAAATAAATATGAAAATAAAAATAAAAATATGCGCCTCCCAACACCAGACATTATCATGCCGAGGACATTAAGTAGGGCTATTCGTTTCCAAAATAAATGACTGCACATCTCCTGTTATACAGTCTACCCATCAAATATCTTTATCTGCCGTATCCGCTAATTGATGATTCTCCGAACTCGGACGGAGGCTCGTAGTGCTGTCCATGTGCACCACCATAGCCGGTGCTATTATAATCATGCAGAACACTGCCTGGATCAGGTGCAGTAGGGTCATAAGAGCCATGCATTGCAGACCGGCCATTCGGGTTGCCTAGGTCGTCAACCTCGCTCTGCTGCAGCAGGGCATAGTCCTCATCCTGATCACGCAATGAGGTACCCATGCCACCAACACGTGAAGATCGGAAATCTTCCTCGTCATCTTCAAAGTCACCGGTGGGATTTGATGAGAATGCAGCTTTACTCTGCGCAGCGAAGGTGGGATCGGAGACAGCATCGGGAAGGGTACCAGTTTTGCGGAAGTGTATGACGTTACGGACAGAGATCCAGGCTGTAGAAATAAAAAGAAGGCTATGTGAGTGTCTTGTGTTAGTTTTGCGAAACCATTTCCTGACAAACGGATATGGGCTTATACGTACAAAATGACGACGCCGATGATAGTGGTAGCCTCGCTGAGGGTGCACTTGGAGGCACTTCCGTAAGCCCAGTTATTACAGCCGGTTAAGCCAGTGGCAGTACTTGTACTTGTACTGGTGGTAGTTGTGGCAGTTGTTGTAGCAGTGGTAGTGGCTGAAGTGGTGGTTGTTGTATCGCGGCGAGATTTTGTTGTTTTGTCCGAGGATGTTGTTTTACCGATGCTCTTACCTTCGGCGACGTAGGAGGCAAGACATGCCCAGGCACTCAACCAGAAAATTGTATATACGAGGTCAACGCAAGCGAATGCGTAGACATTTCCAAAGCGACGGGCTCGAGGCCACATAGGCACGGCGGAAAGGTAGATCAGGGCGGGTATACTAATCCAGCACTGTTCCAGATCCGTTAGTGTGGCTCCAAGGAAGAGAGCAGGGAAGGATTTACCAAAATCCAGTACCAGACTGTGCGGCCGTCCATGCCATCGCCTTTAGTCCAAATAGCGATGGTCAATGCCCATGCGAGGAAGATAATAAATGCTTGTGCAAAGTGTATAACATTTTTAGTCCTCCCCAAGCCACCGCCAGAAGGAAGTCGCATGTTGTTGTAAATTGATTGTTTTGAGGGGCCTAGTTGACCTTGGGATCCCAATGAAGTTGTCACCAACGAGGGTAGAGGCGGACACGGATGAGAAGTGAAGCGCGCGAAAAATCAAGGCTCGGAGCAAATGGTTGGTTGCTATGGCTAGTTTAATGATGAGATGTAGAGGAAGTACAAAATAACTTTGAGTACGGAGCTGAATGAAGTTACGTATTTGCTTTTTCGGTGATCGCCCCGGCGACCGGTTCTATTCTATTTCGGGGGTTTCAGCCACCATCATAATACGCAATACCAGTTTCCAGTGTGTGGCTGAATACTCTACCTAACACTGCCTCAAATTATGTACATAAATAAGAAGTTGTTTATAACTCAAACACATGAGATGTCTAGTGGCCAAAAAAAAAAAAATTTTCAAGTCCGAAAAAAGAAAACTGGACTCCGATAGGGGGAATCGAACCCCCGGCTGCCGTGTGAGAGACGGCGATGTTAGCCACTACACCATATCGGATATTTGATATTGGTTTGCCATTAAGCCTAATCTTACGCATTTAAGTTTAGCGCCACGAGTCTCAGTGGCTCCACGTGCGTGGATCTATAAAAGTCTCATTTCCCCCCTCAACTCCGGAATTTTCTCTCAACTTGAGGCAGTACTTTTCTTGGCTCCTGACTCTGACCTACTATCTAACCATCTCTTACTTCACAATCAGTTGATCCGGAGTCGAATTTCTGTGCTTATACTGAAGAACATAAGAGGGGGCAGTGTATGCGAACACTGGTGGAGGTGTTCAGGCTCCACTGAAGGTCAAGCAGAATCTCTAATAGTGTGGGCTTATATAGCTGGTTCGATTCAACACTAATACACCTATACAAAGGGCAGCTGTCTACGTTAGTAGATAAGTAGATGCTCGTTTTGTATGATGGTATAATGTGTTGTTCTTCATTCTCTACTACCGGGGATTCTATATGGCATGCTGTAACGGCGTGGGTTGCAAGAAGGCTGAGAAAGGCAATGGACTCTCTACATAAGCTGGCTGAACCAGCGGTCAGGGAAGCAGGGGTTCCCCGGATAAGCTAGTTAGAGATTTGCCACTTCCTGATGTATTTAATTCTCTGAGGTCTTTGGACTCTTGAAGGACTTCAAGAGTTGTTCTTGTTCCCAATTTACCCTAGTGGAATTGAGCCCTATGGGATACCCCACCCACATACACGTCCTCGGGTAGCCTTCTCATATTAGTTTTTCTCTTGTTTACGGTAGCCCAACCGCATTGGACTCTAACCCTTACACATGCACAACCATTCACTCGTACAAACTGCCGAGGTCCAATATCTCGGGCTGTTCCATTTATTCCAACACATACCTAGGTATCTGTTTTGAGATAGAGAACAGTGTAATTAGCCAAGCCCACAGGGTCCTCTAGATGTAAATACACAAAATACCAATGCAAATAGACCCACATCTCTTAGTTGTTTTTGGAGGTTTTTTAAGGTACAGCTGATGTTCATCGGGTAATATCAGATAAATTAATAATGGACCTTATATAATCTTCTGTAAGGGTTGACTTGAAATGATACGAGAGATAAAGTGGAACAGTATGAATCAAATATATTGCAAGACTAATTCTTGAGGAACCCGGGGAAACTCGTCCAAGACTCGAGTCCCAATAGGACGGTGTTAGACAAACCCCCTACCTGAAATCAATGTCCTACTAATAGAAGTGTGCTTAATAGTTAGCGATATGAAAAATGTCGCATATTACTAATCAGAATATTACTAACTAATTCAAATGAAGCTCAATTTCTCTAACTCCAACTATTGTAAGTAAACTCCTAGTGGATGTGTAACGGCGTGGGATACAACAAGAGGGACTAGATTGGGAGCCGCCAGAAGGCTGAGAAGGGGAATGGACTCTCTATACAAATTGACTAGCGGTCAGGGATCAGCGGAGTCGGTGAGCCGATCCAAGGATCGACCTCGAGATGATAGCGAGTACCGATCTCTAGGACATGACCCACAAAATTTCACAACAACCGACAGTGGGTCTTGTACTGTAGAGAGGTCTTTTAGTCTTTCAACATAATATTGGTATAGCTCCCTAATGGCAAAATCGGAATATCCATTGTGAAACGGGGTTTTTAAGAGCCATTCTAGTTTGACTGAAGAGGCTGTGACTATTGATTGAGAAATTATAATTGCTTAGCTACAGTAATTGTTCTGCAAAAACACTGCTCAGACAAAATGGTCGTATTTAAATGATAGATCGACAATGATGAATCGATAATGTGCTGCGCCCCCATCACGTACTGAGGTCTTTGAAAACGATTTGGCACTTGTAGATAGTCACCTTGTATTAGAGCTTTGGTTTATCTTCAAGGTAGTTGCTCTACGATACATCTTTGGAGCCAAAGTGATATGTGGCCAGTCTTGAACGGAGCCACGACATCAATATATCTGGGTAAGAGACAAGGTTTGGTGATCGATACCCACCTGGGCATGAATAAATGAGGGGGATATGGGATTCACCAAGCATATACCTGTATACTCTTCCCAGAGAGTTATGTGACGACTGCTGACATGCAGGTGGTGACTTCTAGTGCTTGAATCATAGGTACCTGCTCTTTTATCGGACCAGCGGGTACCTATGGTAAGATTTACATGATCGAGACTAAGAATCAATCTTTCGATAATTGGAAGTTCGATTGTTTGCATTTCGCCCAAGCCATCTGATGATATGCACTGATAAAATGTGCTCGAGGTCAATGACTGGAACACCTCAGCGGTAAAGCACCTAGGCTGGTAAAATGGAAAACAACCTAGTTTTCTTCTGCGCAACGTATAGTCGCTGGTTCCCGGGAGTCGTCGCAAAATACAGATGGTCTCTCATCGCTGCTCCAGATAAACGAGCTGTCGAGGGGTCATCTCGACGAAAGACACAGTTCTCTTCAAACCAAGGTGTAAATTCCTCACTTCCCGTAGTCTGCACTTGTATCTCGATACTGAGGCTCGTTTGATAATTTGCCCCATCCGCAGACAGAGTCTGACGCTATGGATTGAAGATGTCAATGTTTAATGCCGGATAATATAGCATTACCTGGAGGTCGGATGCAAACACCGTCAGAACATTACTTCCGGTATCGTTGTACATGATAATATTATGCATGATTGTAGAATTGCCGTTCGCCCTTAGGGGAATTCTCATGCGCGCAGGAATCTGGATTTGTCAGTTTATAGTTCTTATAATGACAATTCAATATATCATCATACTGGATGCATGCTTTGGGCAAAATCGAAGGGAAACACGCTAACAAGAGATGCCTGAACCATTTACTGATACTACTTACCAGAGAAGATTAGTTTGGTGTCTTCTCAATTAATTATATTCCCATATTTGCCTGAGAATATTGATGATATTGGGGGAATTCCTTAAAGTAATTAGTAAATAGAAATGTGGTCAGAATAGGTGATGATACCTCGCACCAGCGAGATGCCGTTGCGGGAACAGTGTCGTCTTTCCATGGATTCTTGTCGACCATTTTACCATCAACAAAATACACCGGGGGGTCTCCGAGTCTGAATGGTCCTAGTTCTCCATTCTGATACATCTTAATAGCGACATCGACATTGATCTGCCAGTATTCCTTATATCCGGCGGGCGCTTTCATCAGTCGCGCGAGGAACTCGCGTAGCTCTTCGACCCGAGTAGCGGGGTCCACAACAGAAAGGTCCTCGCCGGGCTTGAATGGCCTGAATGTGTTTTCGAAGATAGGGAACCACTCCGGATCCAGGTCACTGAGGTCAGGCATTTTTGAAGGGAGTTCTGTGAAGTAAAGATTTTCGGAACTAGTGTACAAGGTCTGTGGGGAAGAAGAGTGGAGAAGAAGAGTACCAACGCCCATTTTTTAAGAATATTAAACTAACCTGTTCAAGTTAGCTTTCCCATTTCCGAGTTGGCGCTATTACTAAACAAGAAATATGGGCCCGGAAAGCATTTTGTCAAGATCTAGAGGAACCTTGGAAGCATGATTGAAATTTACTCCTGCTTCTATCACATTACACCATAACAGAAAGGTATAAGACTAGACTTAGGAGCATTTAACCGCATCCTTCTGATATGGTGTAACTCGGGGACGATGAAATCGCCATGATTATGTGTGACATTGTTGTAGGAAAATCGTGGCGATTCCGCCTTACATCTTAGCGGCTCTTTCATGGGTATAAACAAAGAATCAAATCATCGGAACGAGGTTTTTTCTCTTAACGAGACGAGTAATGAAAAGCTCGTGGGGGCGCTAAAAAAAACTCATGGGGTGCTAGAAATTAATGCCATTTCCGACCTCTATCTCTTGGAAATGGTGATAATGCTAGAATTAGGTCTTTTACCAAATGAATCTATCCCTGATATGCCAATCACTGTGTGAGTGCCCTCTAAGGTGATGTCCTACCCGCCATACCCTTGAGGTGAAAAGATAAGGTCGTGATCGAAGAAGCTAAAATTGTTTCTCGTCTCCCACTTCTCTGGTTCATCCAGTTCTTCTGACATCCTGAACCTACGAATATACCTAATACACGTTAAAACAAGAAGATACAATATAATGAAAGGATTAGTCAGGCATAAATTTGACTAGAAACTTCTTCATAAATGATGTTAGTGGGCGATTTGAAATATAAAATGACTGAATTCTAAAAATTGCCTGCTTCTTCTCCTTCATCACCCTCCATCCACTCTCCACTTCATCTAATAGAGTGACAGACTTGACTGTTGTCATCACATCGCCACTGCTGAAGAAAATGCTTTATGGTTCCAAGCCTTTACTGCCTGAATCCATACCTATGGAGTCAAATAACTAGAGCGAGGACTAGATCCCAAACATTCAGTTTACGGAAGTATCAGTCCAAGACTATCGAAAAATGGAACCCGTCCCCGTATCTTCTCTGACCGGTCCTGCCTCTGCCACTGCAGTCCTGCAAGCTTTGGCAAGGTATCCTGGTGGCCTTAATGAGGCCACTGATTCCCTCCAAGGCCCGATGGTAACTGCCAACTTGTCTATGTGAGGTATGGAGTGCCCAGGTGGCTCGATTTGATATATATATATATATATATATATAGTAACACTGGACTTCCAAGATTAGAAGATATTTATGCCTACGTAGTAAAGAAGCCAATCTTGGAAGCTTCGCACTTCGCCCAGGTGAAAGCCATTTTGTTTATTGGTCGGTAAATATCTATCCATGCACAGGTGGATATAGCTCGTTGTGCCAGGAGGGCTCGCGGCCTCAGACGTAGTCTATAAAAACAGGGCTGGTGACGACCTTTTCCCCACTCCACTCTCGGCCAACGAAGTATATCGAGCGTGATGATTCCGCGTCTTGACCACTGAACGATGCTCTTCCTTGTACCCGCCGTGGCAGCTCCACTTTTGGAATTGCTTCCACGCGAACGAAAAGCTCTGCACCACCCAAAATCTCTATCACCTTTCCATCTGGACGCTTGGCTTCCTCCCAAGATGCCTCAAGCTGAAATGTCGGCTGAGCTTTATGGGGGTTCCCAGCCAAAGAGTCTCCAACCTTGACATATCCACCTAGTGAGCCTGTAATGCATATCTTTTGCGGAGATTTGTCACCTTGTAGGGCAATGTGGACACCGTCGAGGTCACCACTTGTCTTGCTTGAGAACTCAACAGTATGCTTTCCTGCTGATCGAGCGTAATCTTCTGTGTTGTCCTCAAGACCTCCAAATACCAACACATCCTGCACGGAGCTTTCCTCTGAGATTGTGATGGTTCCATTCCAAACGGCTTCGCGGTACCGATCATACAATCTTGCTCCACCCCATGTAACCCGCAAGATCGTGGCAGACGTGTCAGACTCGGACCAAAAGTGTCGGCGCCAGATCAAGCCCGATGCATCAAAGGCCTCGATAGAAGAGAAACCCTTGTCACCGAAGAACTGGTAATCTAGTTCTAAAGTCCCTTGTCCTGAGACCTTGATTTCATCACCTTGAATAGCAGACCGGTCGGCAGTATGCACCAGCCCCACCAATCGCTGGCCAGTTGTTGCGAAAGTGTGTCGTGAGCGTAAAGCATGAGCTACATCTTGACGCTCTAGCTTTGGGGCCACAATTCCGGTAAGACCACCTCGAGTACCGAAAACTGCCGTTCCAGGAACACCACCACCACATCGACCTCGGTGCTCGTCGGAATTAGCAGAGACTCCGAGTTTCCAACCTCTACACACAGCATCACGCAGAAGCCATTCAAACTGGCCCCATGCACTGCCGATTTCGACTAGGCGCTCTAGCTTGGGATGGTGCCATGCAAGGTTACAGCGACGTCCGCCGACGTGAGGTATAAACAGATGAGTGTCTGCCTGATGAGCATACGTGCAATATACCTCATCTAGTGGCCAAGCTCCAGGGACAAGATCTTTAGGGCCGTGTTCGGACCATTCAAACGAGCGGGCAACATTTCCATGTCGGTCGAAGGGGAATTCGGGCGGGTTGGTAGCTGGATCAGCCAAGAAAACAACATTATGGTCTCCTCCTGCCGCAGAGTTTCCACACCACTCAGTTCCGGGGAAGATGACAAACTCTCCAGGCTTATTGAGCGATGTTATCAAATCAGTCGTAGCATCCCAGCGCTCCTTTGTGATTTGGAAGTCATTGGCCGTGTATCCAAGAACATCAAGCGCAGCAATTTCTCGACCATAGGAAAAGTTGTAGATAGATGATTCAGTTCCCACAGTATCATCGGAGTGCACATGCAAGTCTCCAAACAGAGCCTTGGGAACTGAGAGGTTAGAGGAGACACTGATGTGGGTAGTCTGGGATGCAATCCGCTTTCCATCATCCTTAGATTTCACAGCAACATCGATTGTATAATCACCATCGTCTTCTATGTTGAGACCAGAGAATATAGTATTGGTCCAGCCCTGATCTAAGACAGAGATTTCTCTTGCAAGAGTAACCTCCGAGTGCTCGTTCAGAATTTTCAATTCGAAAGAAAGTCCCTTCAAGTCACTTGTTACATTTCCCCAGACATCCTCAGCGTGAGAATGAATTGCGAATGGAACACCGGGCTGTAAAGCCCGGGGAGAAACAGTCTGAATATGATGGATAGGACCTGCCACGATGTTCCAAGATAGATCAGGTTGGATCGGAGCGAACCGGCTAACATACCGTCAGATTTCAGATTTTCCAAGACTTGCAAGGGACACAGCAGTTGCTAAGGTACTCACGAAGTTCCGACGGGATCTATGTAAAATCTCCAGCGAAAGTCCTTCTCTATAAATGTCTGGGCCCGCGTTCCTCTACCGCCAAAGCGACGGTCACCCAATCGAATGAGAATCCGATCTCCAGGGTTCATGTAACCATCTTGAACATCAACAATTACAGCCTTTTGAAAAGGTCGCTCATGGCCTTTTTGATCAAACCGGATGGCCAGTGACTGAACTGTGGCAGGGGTTTGTTGCGGGAAAAGGCTGTTGGGGATATACTCTGCACTGACATAGTTGTCTTTTGAGGGATCCGACGTTTGGAAAAGTGCCCAATCCTGCTTTCTTGTCAGATTTAACCTTACTACGACAGGTAGGATGAGCCTACCGAGTAAAATTTGAAAGTGGCTTTAATCCAAGCACCATCTGCCAAACCTGAGGCGCCAACTTCATATTGCAGCGTTATTTCTGTCCATTCACCGGCCACAAGCGATGATACATTGCTATTCACTCGACCGGTAAAGGGCAGGCTCTTGGTATACTCATAGAGTCCTTTTGGAGCAAAGTAGCTTCCCGCCAATTGAAATCTCTCATCAGCGCTTAGATTCTTCATGTCGGCTAGAAGCTTGTTTTTATCTAGAGATGGTTTGTCGACGAATGAGATATTAACAATAGATCATATAAAAATACAGTACTAGATTTAACAAATAGTTTAAGTTAGAAACCATCTAGATTGATATTCCGTCACTACGGGGCAGTATGTCGACATCGGTGTGCTATGTGGTTTTAGTCAAGATAGAGTGGAGTGGAAGGATGCTAATTGAATCCTTTATCTCCATATAGTTACCGCCTCCATGGTATTGCTAAGTTATGTTATTTAGTATCGTAGCCTTAAAATTGTAGTTGAGGCAAGGAGTGGAGTGGAAGGATACTAATTAAATCCTTTGCCTCCACATAATACTACGATATTGCTAAGTTATCTAGTATCACAACCTTAGGATTGTAATGTGCGGCTCCTGGTGAGATTGCGTGACCATGGCCCGACAAGTCGACATCAGTGATCAACAACTGATACAAGAGCAATAAAGACGTTACAATGAGATTAGGAATCGGGAATTGTAATCGCCAAGAGAAGTTGATAATTAAGTCTTCTACTTTTTCGGCCATTGTCCGTAATCAACAAGGGATCTCTTTTTACTTCATCAATCGATATTCTGAACCCTTCCGCGCACAATTTATCTTTGCATATTGACATAGTCATCTTCTCCTGGCTAGTTTATTAAAAGGAGCGTTATATCTAGGGGATGAATTCTAGGGTGAAGGGCTTGAGAAAAGCCATCCAAGAGGATGCCAACATCAGTCGCTTCGTGGACTTGACCAATACACATTTACCGAGATTGCCAAGAGCATCAGCGAGATACCTTGTTGCAAAAGTTCCTATCGTGCAGTGGATTCCACATTATTCTCTCCCTTGGCTGTGGAATGATCTAGTGGCCGGTAAGACAGAATTGTGCAGCTTCGAGGGATATGTGCTTGTAACTAACTGACAGTGGAAAGGCATTACCATTGGAATTCTTCTAGTGCCCCAGAGTCTGGCATATGCAAAAGTTGCCAATATCCCTTCCAGCTATGGTCTCATCTCAAGTTGGATCCCGACGCTCTTCTATGCAATTATGGGCACTTCCAAAGGTTAGATATTTCTATAAAGAGCTATCTATCTTGGGTCTGTCAGCTATACTAACTGGCATGATTTGATAGATGTAACTGCTGGCCCAACTGCAATCATGGGTCTACTCACTGGTGAAATTGTGAATGACCTAACCAGTGAAGGTTATAGCGCCCAATCTATCGCGAGTGCAGCTGCTTTTTGGGTGGGAATATACTCGCTGATTCTCGGTCTCTTCCGCCTTGGATTTCTTCTCGACTTCATCCCTCTCCCCGTTCTCTCCGGATACATTTCTGCCGCTGCCATCACCATAGTTCTTCAGCAACTCAAAGGGCTGTTTGGCGAAGGCAAAAAAGGCAGTGGCACAGCGGGTGTCATCCGTGAATTTTTCGTCCGTCTTCCTTACACAAATTGGCGGGCTTTCTTAATTGGAGCATCCGGCATTGCTTTTCTGTTAGCATTGCAATTTGTAGGTCGCAAATGGGGCAAGAAATACCGTGCTCTTTGGTATCTTTCTGTTGCCCGAAATGCGCTCGTTCTTATTCTTTTTACATTGATCAGTTGGGGTGTGAACAAGGACCGCCGGAAGGACCCTCTTTTTGGAATCTCTAAAGTGACTGGCACAGGAATTATTCCTCCAAAGAAGCTAGATAGCGTTCTGCTTCTCAAAGTCGCTGGTCGCAGCGTGGCAGTATTCGTAGCTGCTGCCCTGGAGCACCTTGCTATTGGGAAGGCATTTGCCCGGCGCCATGGCTATGTTATCGAACAAGACCAAGAACTTGGATACATTGGGATCGTCAACTTGTTCGGAAGTTTCTTTTCTTGTATGCCAATCACCGGAGGCTTTTCACGTACTGCTGTGAACTCAGAGTCTGGTGTCAAGACCCCCCTTAGTGGCTTGGCCACCACTGCTTGTGTGCTTGTTAGCATTTACAAACTAACTGGTGCATTCTACTGGATCCCTTCCGCCACCCTTGCAGCGATTATCACAGTCGCCGTATGGCAAATTATTATCCCATTCCACGTTTTCTGGCACTATTGGAAGACCTCCTTCGCCGACTTTATCGGCAGTATGGTTGCCTTCTGGGTAACGCTATTTGTCGACGTTGAGATTGGAATTGCTGCTGCGGTCGGCTACAGTCTTGTCTACGTCTTACTGAGAATCGCCTTTTCTCGTGTGACTTTGGTCACAACTCATAATTTCTCAAAATTATACCCATCAGAGTCATCAGAATCATCAGAGTCCAAAGTCCCAGCCATACCTGATGACACTATGGTCTTTTTGCTTCAGGACTCTGTGCTCTACCCTAATGCTGCTCGTATCACACGTCAGATTACTAATGCGATCTATACATTCAGTTCGGGGACAGATGAAGTCACTTCTGATAATTACACAACAAACAAGGACTCAGCTGGGGACGCCAATAGATTGTGGAACGATACAAAATCTGCTCACATCAGGAGACTGCGGAAAGACGCGGGCACTGAAAACACAGAGGAGAGCCCTCTACCCAAGCTTCGAACTGTTATTTTGGATATGACCCGTGCTGCGCACGTTGATGCTACTGCAATGCAGGCTTTGGCTGATATACGAAGTAATTTGAAAGAGTGGGCAGGCCCAAATGCAGAGCTCAGATTTGTGGGTCTCAATGAGAGGGTCAAAGACCGTTTTAAGCGGTCCGAGGACTACTTTCAATCTTTGAAAAGTAACAAGTCTCCCAGGGACGAGGGATACATTGTGTTTGATGTTTTGCAGACTGCACTTTATGATTCTCAGTCAGGAGACGAGGAAGTGCACGCAAAGCAATGATGCAGGAAGTATCCATAAATACCCATACCCCAGCAAATTAAGCATATCCTTGTCAAAAGTCAAACAAAGTACTATTTAATAATTCAGATACCAATATATCTTTCCCACTGTCTCTCATGTGCATTTGAAGTGATAGTCGCATCACTTGACTAGGTGACTGTCATTGAGATGAATACTATAAGTGGTGATAAAGCTGCAGTATTTTATTGAACATCAAGATTTTTGGCATCTAAAAAGGGTCTTTTCAGCCGTCTTTGGATGAGTACCACTTGACTATTGATGATGTAGGATTATATAAGGCAAGTATAGTATGTAGTTATCTTAAGAGAAGTCTATCTATCTCTTAAGGCTCTGGAGCCTGGTGAAATCTGGTGGATCGCATCGATCCTGAATATGAAATGTGACTGAATGTCCAAATAAACCCTTCCAATGCATACGCTTGTTCCAAGGTTATAGAGAGAAAAGTTCTTTGACACTTGATCTAGACTTCAGAACAACTCTGTATATTATTGGTGAACCAACACAATTATCCATGAATTTGTAGTCTGCCGAAGTCTCATTAGGAACATAGCTTATGTAGTAGCAATTTCCATGGATGTAGTGTGATACTGATTTCAAGGTTAATTACGTTTTATTGAAACACGATTAGATGTGAAAAAGTGGGGTTTTAGGAATGAAAACCTCTATCATTTCTATATTTATTCCATTAGAAATTACGTAGTCACAATATTTTAAAACTGAAGGAGTGGTAGCCAGAGTCTCAGAGGTACCCTGTTACCGACTCAACAGATTCCCAGCCTTGGTCAATATCAGGCTCATGCGCTGAGATGCACGCTTGTTCTCGGTGGGTGTAGCCACCTCGCCCTCAGCGATCCCAGGTAGTGTCTGTGGCGGCTCAGCTTCCTGCTCAAGACTGAGAACAACCTGAACGGCATGTTCGTCTTCAATGACTTTCGGGTGGCGCATAGCAAAGTAGCGGGCATATTTGTATAAAGACCAGTAACAGCTGACCACATTAATGAATGTGAGGGCGATTTTGTAAAAGGTGTAGTAAAAAATGAGAACTAGCCAGGCGATGCGCTCGTTTTTGAGTCGAAGGTGGATTTCGTTGAAAATTATCACATTGATAATATACATGCCGATAGTGGCACCAAGCAGTATACCGCAAAATGATGGACGAATAACGAATGCAATAGGTAGCATGAACGGAGCGAGTAGATAGATCAGAGTTTCGTAGACCTCCTGAAACACGCATAGTTTAGCTCCGATCTCCCACCAGCCAAGCTTCCAGCTCGTCAATATATATTTCATATCGTAGTACATATCAATGACGAAGAAGAAGTTCCATCGCTTAAATCGCTGTTGGAAGATCGTCATCTCACCAAAGCCACCGCGGCTTCCACCACCACCACTGTAAAAGACAGATGCCGGAGTCTCGGTCTCTACGAACACCGAGGAGCACATCTTGATGCGCCCACCGAGACGACGGCAACTATCTCCAAAGAACCAGTCCTCGGAAACTGAGAAGCCGGGGTGTTCGTTAAATGTCATCTTGAGAAATTCTGTGTTCCAAATAGAAATGGCACCATGCGGAAAGGTTGCGCTGCCCAGTTTGCCGAAGAAAGCCCGCTGGAGACCAGACATCTTGTATTCCAAATCTTGGGCTTGCTGGCAATAGGTTCCTTTGGATGAATTTGGACCCACGCTCTTGATAGTATATCCAATACATTTGACCTTCCCCTTAAGTCGATCGCAGACAATAGGGAAGTTTGGAGGTAGTGCGCAGTCATCATCAATCAGAAGGACATTCTCAAATCCTTTGGCTGCATAACAGCCAGCAAATTGAGCGACGATCTTCGACCCAACTGGAACCCAGAGGTGGTTTACCCCATAAGGACGACAGACTTCTTCAGTATCATCAAGAGGCGTTTCAGAGTTTCCATTGGCAATGACGAATATGTTTTCGGGAGGAAAGACTTTCAATGCGGCTTTCAAAGTGGGACCGATGATTTTGGCGGATTTATAACATGGGATGAGTAACGCAGTAGATTTTGCATTTGCCGTGTTGCTTTCCAGGTCGACATCATTTGTGACTATTGATTCTGCCGAGGGAGGATCAGATTCAAACAAGATCAAAAGAGGCAGGAATGCATATCTAAAAAGCAAGATGTGGGTAGTTAGTAGAGTGAACTAGGGTAGGGTGGGGCGAAAGGGTTGCTATAGGGTGACTTACAGAAAAGCAAGACCTATAGTGATGGCCCAGCCGCCTTGGATCACGAATTTATGGCTGACGACCCAGTAGAGCCACCAGACAGCACCTCTCCACAATGGCATACCAACCAAGACAAAATATATGAATAGCACCAGAAAGGCGTAAAGGCTATACTCGAATAACAGCCGCACCCAATATCTTCGCTTGAGTGCAACACCTCTCAGTTTGGCCTTTTCGTAGACATCTTGCAAACTCTGACTCCCATCACTATCAACAGTTGTAGTGCTGCTGTTTGAACTCATAGAGGTGGGATATACAGCTTTTTCTTTGAATGCCACGGCTGGGTCCTTTTCATCTAGCAAGGTATTGGATCTGACGACTGGGAGTGGAGCATCTTCGATTTCTATCATCTCGTTCTTTTGATCAGAATCATACATTGAGGTAGTAGATAGGGCTTTATTTCGTGGTCTTACCATCAATCAAAGGCTGATCTCTCTGAAGCCGACTTGTTGCTGGCCGCGTGGGAGTTTGCAAGAACGAGAGACTGCCAGATCGCTTGATACCAGTTCCAGATCGACCAAGAGTAGGCTTTGTCCTACCCGAAAGACTGATCGAACGACGAACGAAAGACTTTTCCTTCTGACTGGTCTTAACTCTAAGACTGACAGATCGACCGAGACCAGTAGGATGTTCAGTTGCATCTACATATTGTAGACGGTCATTATTTGGGAGAGACCTCTCCCAGTGTATCTTATCCAATGGCGTATCGAACTTTGCCGTTGCCAACAAAGATCTTGGGATGAAGACATCCTCCACAATCGACGTGGAGGATGGTTCGCTAGTTCCCTTCTCAGACATTTAAAGATATCCAAGCATATAAAAGAGTGTATTTTAGAAGAAAAAATGAAAGGAGTGGAATTGAACCGAATACTAAAGTGAGTGAGAAAATGAGTGAGAGGCAGCAAGCTGCTACCGATGCAAAGAACGGTTCAAAATTTGTTGAAAGAGAGACTGGTCGATCATTAGTAATGGGGATTCACGATGAGATTTATAAATCTCTCTCTCACCTACCTAGGTAGATACGCTAGATCTAGCGGGCCATACTCGGCGTGTTTCCTCCATCAGGTCCACTCTGGACCCAGATGGAGCATGAAGCAGAGGTGATGATATGATCATAGAAACCTCGGACATAGGTTATCCAGTTCGCAGGACGATCTCTAAGGTTATATCTTAGACATAGCCCTATAGGTACTACGATTGTGTTAATTTGACATGATATAGAATCGTTCAGTTGATATTTTCATTGACATATCAAAAAGGCACTTTAACAATGCTACTATAGTACACAGGCCATTGCGTATCCTGAGTTCGTCTTAGAACGGTAAATTATTACGACCATAATGATTGAGCGGGCCTGCTTAAAGCACGTTAAGTGGAGAACCAGGTACCAGGAGTATGCACGGAGTAACTAGCACAAGTAGTGGGAACATCCGGGATAAAAACTTCGCCGATCAACCATTTAATCACCACGTGTACTCAGTAATTAGTAATACCGAGTCTAGTGAAATTGACACAAGACAATTGAGCCTGGTCATCAATCGTAGCGCGATTACCGATTACGGGTGAATATGGTGGTTTCTTATAGAGCTTCAAGAAACAAACCTTGATTTTATTTTTAAGCTAGAAAATAGTAGTAAGTACTGTGTAGAAACTCAATTTAAGTGTTAATCTCCCGGAAGCAAGATTTCTGTATTGCTTGTAAGCTTGTGAGCTTGTGAACCAGAAATAGCTAGAAAAAAATCAGCCAGGAAAATTCAAGGCCCCACCCCTCATGAGTTAAATTTGAAACACACTTCAGAGACACTATTGTATTTCAGGTTTTTCTCAGCGTTCATGATTACTGAGAAAAGTGAGCCTCTATATTGGTACGTTTCTACTAGCGATTGGCATATCATTCGAATAAAGTTTGAGTTATGCCTAACTAGGCATGATTTCTATACTTAGTAATTAATACGTTGATTTTGGCTTCCGGTAGTTCTACTTTGCAGCGATCACTGGATTTTTGTTATTTCTGATCGAGTGTGAATTGATAGAATCAGAGTGTCTTCTTTCCGGGATAGCTCAAAACCCTTAGAAATATTTGCTCTTTCTATCCAGGAATATTGCGGATATACACAATACGCACATACACGTGCACCCCTGAGGTCCACTCTAAGTCTAGCGGGTGGTAATGGTGCGTGGGCATGTCATCATCAATGACGAGTCCACCTATATCAAGAGATTCAAGTACTTGAGAGTGTCTTTCTGTCGCCCTTTACGTTAAACAGATACTATGAACTCAATCCAAGGCGGGTTGAAAAAGAAAATACATCGTGCTATAGATGAATATTAGACTGCACCTCGTGTTTTCTAGGAAAGATCATAGTAATGCGTACAGGTTATGGAGTACAAGATTTCAAAATTCGTTACCTCAAGAAGCCTGGGCCTGGATTTCCAGCTATTTTCAATTGAAAATGGCCCATAGGCATAGTGGAGCACCTGTATATTCCAAGACCGTATGACAGTCCCGAGAATCGTTGGTATTTGTTGTGCTATAAAAATTACAACGAAAGACTCAAGCTGTGACTCAAAAGCCCGTTATAAGCTATAGAAAGATACTCTTGGCTTCATTGAAATGTAGGTATAACAAGACTATTAAGGCTTATTTCGTGTGAGGTCTCCATGAGAAGGATTTTCCGCTGTTGCCGGGCCTCCACATTAAAATACCTGCAAATCTACTCTTCCTGGTTGAACCGATGAAATTTTGTGATTTCCAATGTCCGAACTGATCTGCAAAGAAATGTGGACCTTCCGATGTCTTCAAGTTCTCGAAACAATCGAACTTTTCCAAGCTGGGCGATAGTGTTAATTGATGTCATTTGAAAACACATAACTTTCCAAGAGTCTTTCAATGAAGGAGTGTATATTATGGCTAAGTCCTTCCATGGTTAGAACTGAGCTCTAATCCGTGAAATATCCTTAATACTCCGTATACTGTGGATATATTTGCAGGAATTACACGATCCACAATATTTTTGCTAACTATAGCCACACAACATTTCGTTATTTACATACAATATTATCTAATAACCTACCTATCCGAACTAAGACCATGTCTCAATAACCATCTGGGCATCAGAATAGTAGGTATCTCTCCACAAGTGGCGCATAAAGAGGTAAACTTCAGTACCAGCCCTCCAGGGCTTGTAATATAGCTACCTACAATTACAGATTGCTTCACTAAGAAAGGCTACGACAGAAAATTAGATTAGCTGGTGGATGAAAATGATGCCCAGTTAGTCTCGCATTGGACTTGGAATATCAAGGCGAAGAGCATACCTAGGTTATCATCGTGGTAAAACTGATGTTAGCTAACTTTGAACGTTTCGTTTGAAGTGATCGGTCCTAGTCTGGCGCCTCTTTCTGCGCTTCTGCCAGTACAAAGGCTGCAACCTGTTAGAAAAGTGTACCCATCAAGTTCATTATTAGATTGATCAGGAGCAATTAAAAGCGGACCTCTTGGTTTAGTAGTAATGCTATTGATTTACTTATCAGTGTGTAGATCATAAAATAACTATTGGAAGATTTAAAGAATCCTAAATATGATAGTGTCACGAACAGGCTCACAGCTGCCCATTTCTGAGACCTAATCCCAAAATTCCACTGAATATATGCAACATGCTAACTTATTCAGTTTTTTTATCTGGTTCTGATTTCTTTGAAGAATCAATTTCCAACAGTGGTGTGAGCGGAGTGTCCAGTATCGTACCCGCTCTTGTATTGGATTGACCTTCACTCGAACGGCCCTCTGCACGCCGCGTTTTTGCACCCTCTTTCAGCTTCTCCCAACGATCCCGATAGCGACCAAGTACATCCTTTAATTTGTCATTCTCATGCCCAATCCGCGCCAGCTCCTTCTCGCCGCGACGGACAATGTCCTCCAATTCTTTAATACGTGGATCCGGTTCTGAAATCGCGGGTGCGGCAGACAAAGGCGCCGACGGTGAGACCAAACCAGCTGATCCATGCATAGTCTGCTCTGGTGATCCAGTATTGTGGTGGTGTATTGCCCTCAGAGACTGCTGGAGAGCCATAGACGATGACTGGGCATTCACCTCCCACATATGCAGCCGCTTTGAAAGAGTGTCGGATAAATGCTTTAAAGCCTGGTTTTCCATCTGTAGCTCTTCCAGAGTTTTAGAATTTTGTGAAGTTAGCTGTTTGTCGGTGGTGCCTCGACGCCCCGTCCTTCCGACACTGCCTGCACTCTGGCGCATCATTTCTGGGGAAGATGGGGTTTCTCTTGCATCTACAAAGTCGTCCTCTCCATCTTCCAAACTATTTCGACGGGCCTCCTTCTCGGCACGGGTCATAATGCCAGTATATGACATTGTTCCACCCGTTGTAGGGACAACATAAAAAGACTCGGCTGGATTTCCAGGGCCTAGGCCTGATGTTTCTCGGGTGGACCGCAAGGCAGCACGAGAGAATATCCGACTGACATCGGGATCTGCCGATACTGATGCACGGTCCGAAGTCGCATGATATCGATCTACCTTGGTCTCGGCGGGGGACTTGCGACTCGCAAGGCTACCTTTTGCAGAATCATCTGCGCCCAGAGGAAGCCCTGCGAATGCTAGAGGTGCCGATATCCTGGAAATAAGACCTTCAAAGGTAGAGTAAAATCTTTGAAATGGCTCGTCAGCAGTTGGTTTGGTTTTTGGATATGGTGTTTCATTTTCCAAGGGTACAAGTTGTTGGGAGGTGATATCGGTGGGACTGGGCAATGGAGGCGACCATGGTTGCCTCGAGGCTGATTCCCGACTTGCGCGATTCTTGCTAGGAGCCTCTCGTAGCCTCTCACTGGTTTTGATCTTTGACGGTCCATCAATCATCTTTGCTCCCGCTTGCTGTGAAGAGAGGGTTGGTGACACGGGCGATCCACGGGAAGGATGCGCCGGGATACCCCGTGCCGATGCCAGGTTGCTAGCGATGGACGAAGACTCCCGACTTGGTAATCGAGGATGTCCGGGCAGTCTTGGAGGTTGCCCTTGAGGGTCATGACTGGCAGCTGTGCCCGCTTTCGCTCCGGAGTCGGATGACTGGGTTATAATGTTGAGGGAACCAATAGCGGTCGGTGGTGTGTTATTTGCTGATGGATGCTCATGTTGAAATCTTAAAATTTCCGCAAGCTTTTTGTGATGTTGCTCGAGTAGCTGAAGAGTTCGAAGGGCCTGTGTGTCGAGGTCAGTCAATAGTCTGATAAAGTCTAAGTCCTTCAGTTATATATAACAGTAACTTACCTCTGGATCTGAGCTACTCTTAGCTGCAGATGCGAACTCACCAGCGGCCAAATCATGCTCTTCGCTGGCGGCGACCGGGTTCGACTTACGGGTCTCAAACACAGCATTTCTTGCGTGGGTCTGGGCCTGTATCATGTCAGCAATAAGTTTAGCGGGGTACGGATGAGGATTGACAAACTAGAGTGAGGGGTGCAGTCTCCATTTGAAGATACTGAGCGATAAACACATTCCTCGAGAGTGATGAGAAGGGAAAGTAACGATATGGATAATGGGCGCAGATGGAGAGCTGAGGTCACGCCCCCTGATTGTAGTTACGGACCTATAGATCTGTCTTCTACCACGCGAGCATGATTATCTATGCTATTTTCTGTTACTTTTTAAAATGAATAGAATTGATATCTTAATTTCATTCAAATAGAACAATCTGAAAGAAGATTAATACGAAGTATCAGTATAATTGATTTACTGCAACCTGCAAGCAGTAGCTATCAACTATAGAGATGTGACATCCGCATTCTAGCCAGTGGAGCAAAGACTGAGTCCAGACCCTGTACTCAATAGTAGCCGAATAAAATGAGTTTAACTGATTTGATGCTACATTCAATTTTCCATGTTGGTGATGGTTGAAACTGGTTTTTTCATTTGTATGAGACGGAACTCCTGACTGACTAAGGAGAGAGTGTTCGCTGCCCGCACGAACCACTCAAAGCCCCCAATCCTTCTTTACTCCGCACCCTGAACGTCAAGTTCCAGTTTACCATGCCCCTTTAACCCAAAAGTCTACTTTGCAGCTTTTGACAGCTTGGATCTGTCCTGCAATTTGCTTCGTTCTTGTATTGCTTTTCCTTTTACGTTTCCGTCGGGTGCTAACACCACATCGTCATGGCGGACTCCTCATCCTCCAGCGCTAAGGGTGGAAGTAGGACGCGCCGCGCGTGGACTGTGTCTGCTGATACCGATATGATGGAGAACTCTAGTCGGAGCATTACCCGATCATCGATTGATTCGAATACAGAGCGCCCCAAAACACAAGCAGGGGAAACCTCGGATTCCTCCAAGACGGCCCCGACTGGCTTCTCCAAACTTCTTAAGTCGCGGCGGGCACGCAAGAAAAAGAACCAGAAAGATTCGGATGACGTGCCACCTGTACCTGATCTAGTTTTGGACCAGGAGCTGGAAGAATTTCCCTCGAGCGAGCCTCACGATGGCATGTTCGCGAAAAATAACTCCATACCCCAGGAGGGCGAAGTGGTTAATCTGTTGACTGATGACTCCGAACCTGATAGGTATGAAAAAACAAATTCATGTACGGTTGATTGGTTGCCAATTTTAACCATGCCGCTTCATGCAGAACCCCACCCCTCACATCTCACAACTCGCACACCGGCTTCGTTACATCCTCTTCCCCACTCATCAAAACAACGTCCGTTGATACCAACGAAACAGAAGGTGGTGTTCTGGCAGATGTGGAATCTGCCATCAGCGGTGGGTCAGATTCGATCCAAGGCGAAAAGGCCTCAAGGCTATCTCAGTCAACAATGACGCTGGATGTCCCAAATGATTCAAGTGGAAAGCGACGCAGCCCTTCTCCTGGCAGACGCCTGAAGGGTGCTTTCTCTTCAGATAATAAGAAAGATACTGTTGAAGAAGATCACTCGTCAAAGTCCGATGGTAGTAAAAGCGGAAGGAGCCTATTTGGAAGTCGAAGGAGCAGTCTATCAGCAAAGCGGGCGCAGACAACCCCAGATCAGCCACCCCCAATACCAGCTCCTATCCGCACGGATCTGACAGATGACAAACCTCGTTCGTTACAAGCGAGTCCCTTACCAAACACTCCTCCCCATACTGCCACCAAAGCACCGGCCACCACAGTGACCCCTCCGACCCCTACAGAACACCGGCCTCGAATTATTACGGAACAGATAATGGACTCACTGGACTCAATTCCATCTCGCAATTCAATTTCCTCGCCGGAAATCACAATAAGCCCGTCTGGTAATATGATCTCACATCGACGGGTTCGCTCTGCCTCGACAGTTCATGTTCCTAGCAAGCTGTCTAGTAATGTCACCGCAATGAGTCCATTGGAGGAGTCAAAATCGCCAAAGAGTGCTGCCAGTCAACAAAGTGGCTTCTTTTCATCTGTCTTCTCTGTCGCCCAGAACGCTGCATCTTCTATAAGTAACACTCTCAATGCTCAACAACGAAACCGTGCCTCCTCCCAGTCTACTGGTACCGAAATTGAACAATCAAATGGTGAAGATGACCTTATAGAAAAAGAAATTATCTCAGAACAGGCCAGTAAAAGCGACGTTGGAAAGCCGTCCACCATCGAAACCCTGGGAACGGGAGATCTGAACTTCAGTCACTTGGATATCGATGCGCCAATCTCCACTGCAGATGGCTTGGTAGTGACCAAACCAGAGACTCCCATTAAAAAACGAAATGTCACGGCTGTGCAGCAGCGGGATGAAGAGGCTGCAAAACTTGAGGGTAAACGTGCAGCACGTGCAGTTGATATGGCTTACGAAAAACCATCTGATACATCGGCAATTGGCTCTCCTGGTACTGGAGAAGATAGCATGGACGTTCAGTCCAATCATTCTTTTCCCAGCCAGAATATGATGGCAGGAGATCAAACCCCTCCAACAGGAAGTATTATAGATGGTGAACTTGGCAGTGACAGTTTGAGGCGAAGTGGCAGTGTGCGCAGTCGACTTGCGCGGCGTCACAGAGGCTCATCTGGGGCCACAGCTTCAACAATTGGTGCAATTGGTATGAACGCTCTCGCTCTCGGCATTCCTACTGTAAACCCCAGTATACCTCGCTTGACCGGCTTCGCTGTAGCAAGCAAGAAACGCAACAGGGACTTCCACCAGCTGTTTCGAAGCGTTCCTGAGGATGATTATCTGATCGAGGACTATGGTTGTGCACTGCAACGCGAGATCATTCTTGCTGGACGCATTTATATCTCTGAAGGACACATCTGCTTTTCCAGCAACATTCTTGGATGGGTTACCACTCTTGTCATCAGCTTCGACGAAGTCGTCGCTGTCGAAAAGGAAAATACGGCAATGGTATTTCCCAATGCCATTGCCATTCAGACCCTACACGCTCGTCACACCTTCAGGAGTCTGCTCAGTCGTGAATCTACTTATGACCTGATGGTCAATATCTGGAAGATCAACCATCCATCTCTTAAGAGTTCTGTCAACGGAACTCGCGTTACAAATGGTACCGGGGACAAGACAGAAAAAGTTGGAGAAGGCGAAAGCGAGTCAGAAAGCGGTTGTTCTGACGAAGATGAGATTTACGATGAGGATGAGGAAGGGGACAATGCCGAAAGCTTCTTCGAAGCTGGAGCTAGCGCCAATGCCAGTGAAAATTCCTTACCAACGCGAGGACTTACCCAGCAGAGTTCTGGTCTCTCTGGGAATGGGACGGCACTTTCTACCGAAAAGAGCAGTAGCGGTGATAATAAAAATGGTGACAAGTCGGGGGCTTCCAAGGAGAACGATTTCCCTGGTCCCGCAACACATGCCCCCACCGAATATACTGAGCCCGATGGCCAATACGAAAGGGTCATCAAGGATGAGATAATTCCAGCACCACTCGGAAAGGTCTACTCATTGGTTTTTGGACCAGCATCCGGGGAGTTCATGACCAAATTCCTTGTGGACAACCAGAAATCAGGAGAATTACAATTTGAAAGCACTGCCAAAGGTCTGACCAGCGAGAGCCCAATCAGGAAATACTCCTATATCAAACCTCTCTATGGAGCTATTGGTCCAAAGCAAACCAAGTGTATCAGCACAGAGAACCTTGATCTTTTGGATTTGGAGAAGGCAGTCCTCGTCACACTGAGCACTCAAACCCCCGATGTGCCCAGCGGAAATGTATTTGCCGTCAAGACCAAGTATCTTCTTACATGGGCACCTGGAAATGCAACTCACTTCTTGATGACATGTAATATAGAATGGTCGGGCAAGAGTTGGCTAAAAGGTAAGCTTTTCTTTGCTTGACATTTTGAGATATCAAATACTGACTCCTCTTAGGCCCCATTGAAAAGGGTGCCATTGATGGCCAAGGCACTTTCGGCAATGAATTAGTCAAAACTCTCAAGATTGGCGTTGTTCCTCGCGGTCGTACTCCCGCGGCCGGGCGAGGCAAGGGCCGGCGCAAGAAGGGCGGTTCCGATGAGAATGATGTGACTGCGACAACATCGCTGAATTCATCAACAGATACATCCACGAGCCCAGCACAATCTTGGGGTCTATTTGAACCAGTCCGCCCAATACTGGAACCTATCACAAGTATATTAAAACCGCTCCTAAGTGGCAATGTTGCTATTGTGCTCATAGTATTTCTTCTATACATGGCATTTTTCCGCGCACCCTCAAATCAATCCATGTTATCACACGAGATGGGTTACCCTAGTTCAACTCTACCTCAGCGGTTAGCTGCATATGAGGAAATGTGGCGTCGAGAGGAAAGCGAGCTCTGGAACTGGCTCGAAGACCGAGTGGGTATGGACGGAATGGTTATTCCTACTCTGCGCCAAATGCCCGATCCATCCGCCAGGCATAAATCTTCGCGGTTTAACGCAGCAGATCAGCGTGATTTTGTTGCGCAACTTCGCGAGCAGAAGGTCTCAGATCGAGAGATGAACCATGCTATCCGCACGACCCGTCAACGGCTCGACATCCTCGAGGGGATGATGAACAACCGACAAGTGCAAGACGTTCCCAATGGGGAACCAACTCATTCTGATCTATGACAGTCTGCGTATCCTTCATCTTGAATTTCTAAATTCCACCTCTTATCATCCTATCCTGAACATTTGACATGCTCTTTCATCAATTCTACCTTCTCATCTCATCACCACTCTTCCCATGAGGTCGATCATTCGAAACACAGGGCAACAATTACTATATCATTCACTTCTACTTGTTATTTCTAGGATTCTTATTGTGGACTCACCATAAAATTAAACTCTCAGCCACTCTTATCCCACTTCCGTCTCTCACTCAACTCTTTTCCTTGACAGCCTTTTATCCATCCCTTTTTCAAGCCTTGCCATGGAAACGCGAACATGTGCAATCTTTTACAATCTTACACATGGGCGCTAAGTGAATTTTCTTTTTGGCAGAGCAAAGAAGTGGATTTGGTAACCTATGCCTTGGCTATTGAAGCATTTCTTTTTCCAGCTTCTCTCTGAGATTTCATTGTATATTTTCTTTCAAACCGTTATCCAATCTTCTGGAGCGCCTTTTCGTGCCCGTCAGGTGTTCATCGTTCAGCATTGACATATTTCCTTTGTAATTGCATACATAATAGTTATTAGCAATATATATTTATAATCCATAATTTGATCGATAACATTGACCGTTAGGTATTTCGCATACAGTACAGTTATTAGATCTGAGCATAAAATAACGGACAATCATCCCAAATATTGGAATACATTGCCAATCGTACAGAATCTCAGTACGAGTGTCTTCTAAGGTTATCATTCCTACTAGGGTTTACTTAGTATCTTTAAACCATCTTCCACATAGCACTGCCTAGGTGTATCAACACCATTGCAATAGTGCCAAACTATTTAACTTGGCTGTATAGACTTTCAATGCCTCGTTCCTGCTAACTTGGGAACCCTGGAAAGAATGTTCCTGTAACTAACCCGTTTTGTTGCGTTGCCCCTGTACCTAGCAAGGTATGCACAATGAATGCAGGGGCAGGGGGCCACTCAGATCTAGTGATTGTAGTTTCCTTTAGATCTTCTTCTCTTCTAACAGCTATCCTTCACGCGAGGAAAGAGGGGTTTGGAAGGGGATTTTGATCCCTTAGGTAGCTCACAACAGGAGGTTTTATAAGGACAACAATTTCCTCGTTCTTTCAAACAGTCTTATCAATACAACAATTACCCTTTTGATGTATCAATTTCTTTTTACGGCTCTCGCAGCCGCCACGGCTGTCAGTGCTTATGACCTGGCGAGTACCAATTGGGACACGGCATATTCAAAAGCCCAAGCCGCCCTACAAAAGCTCAACCAGACCGAAAAAGTTGGCATTGTGACAGGTGTGACTTGGGAAGCTGGACCTTGTGTCGGTAATACATACGCGCCCAGTTCAATCAATTATCCTTCATTATGTCTGCAAGACTCGCCTTTGGGTATTCGATTTGTCAACCCGGTAACTGCTTTTCCAGCGGGTGTCAACACAGGCGCGACATGGGATCGAACCCTGATTTATGAGCGCGGTCACGCAATTGGAACAGAGGCCAAAGGACTGGGTATCAACGTGCAGTTAGGACCGGTAGCAGGTCCTCTCGGGAAGAACCCCGATGGTGGCAGAAATTGGGAAGGCTTTGCTATCGACCCCTATCTGAGTGGAATTGCCATGGAGGAGACGATTCAGGGTATGCAGGATGCAGGAGTTCAGGCCTGTGCCAAGGTATGTGATTTGATGTCTTGATCTATGTGAGGATTATTCTGACCTGATGATAGCACTGGCTGGGAAATGAACAGGAGCACAACCGAGAAACAATGACCTCCAACATTGGCGATCGCGCAGCTCATGAGCTGTACATCTGGCCGTTCATGAATGCTGTCAAGGCGAATGTCGCATCGGTCATGTGCTCTTACAACAAAGTCAACGAGACTTGGGCCTGTGAAAGTGATGTCGTTCTAAACCAGCTCATGAAGAACGAGCTCGGCTTCCGGGGTTACATCATGAGCGACTGGAATGCACAGCATACTACCATCAACAGCGCTCTTTCAGGATTGGATATGACTATGCCAGGTAGCGACTTTGCCAGCCCACCTGGCAGCATCTTCTGGGGTCAACACCTGCTAGATGTTGTGGCCAATGGTTCCGTACCTCAATCGCGTCTGGATGACATGGTGACCCGTATCTTGGCAGGTTGGTATCTTCTCGGTCAGGATGAGGGCTATCCAGAAGTAAAATTTAGCTCCTGGAATGGAGGTAAGGCTAGCATTGATGTTACGAGCGACCATTCCATTATTGCCCAAACTGTTGCACGCGACTCAATTGTTCTGTTGAAGAACGAGGACGCTTCCTTACCTCTCAAGGAACCCAAAAGCCTTGCCGTCATTGGACTGGATGCCGTCGTTAATCCTAATGGACCTAATGCATGCAATGATCATGGATGTGACAACGGAACGTTGGCTATGGGATGGGGGAGTGGTACTGCACAGTTCCCGGTAAGTCCCTCAACTTCCTCTTTAATGAATACTGAAATTAACAAGTTCATAATAGTATCTTGTCGCTCCTTTGGAAGCGATTCAAACCGAGGCCCAGAAGTCTGGTACCAATATCGTTACAAGTACCACTGATGACACGACTGCAGCTGCTTCTGCAGCGGCAGCTGCTGAGACAGCCATAGTCTTTATCAACTCGGACTCTGGGGAAGGGTCAGTTCCAGATGACATTGGAGATGCAATATATTACACCGGAATGCTAACATCATATGCAGATACATCACCGTGGAGGGCAATGTTGGTGACAGAAACAACCTGGACCCATGGCACAACGGCAACGAGCTTGTTACAGCTGTTGCAGCTGTGAACCAGAATGTTATTGTGGTTCTACATAGCGGAGGTGCAGTTATATTGGAGACAATTTTGGCACTGCCATCCGTCAAGGCCATCGTCTGGGCTGGAATGCCCGGTCAAGAGAGTGGGAACGCCTTGACTAGTGTATTGTACGGCACCGTTTCCCCAAGTGGGAAGCTACCTTTTACAATTGCTAAGCAGCGCAAAGACTACGGAACCGGTTGGGTGGATGGACAAACCGATAACTATGATGAAGGTCTTTTCGTCGACTACCGCCATTTCGATGTGAATGACATTACTCCGCGCTACGAGTTCGGATACGGTCTATCATATACAAGCTTTGATTATAGCCCAGTTGTTATTAATGTCGCCACTGCGGCTGGTCCATCTGACGGACCTGTTGTACCAGGAGGACCCGAGAACCTCTTTGAGTCTGTGGGCACTATCAGCACTGATATTCATAACAGCGGTACCGTTTCTGGTGCTGAGGTTGCTCAACTCTATATTGGTCTGCCGGAATCTGCACCATGGAGTCCACCCAGACAACTACGTGGATTTGGGAAACTGGCTTTAGAATCACAAGTATCCGGGAAGATTTCATTTGACCTCACCCGACGTGATCTGAGCTACTGGGATGTACCGACACAGAAATGGATCGTCCCTAGCGGGCCCTTCAGGGTCTATGTTGGCAGTTCTAGTCGAGATATCCGCCAAACTGGAACATTCAACGTCTAAGATGAATGAGCTAGGCTACTGATAAATTGAGTCCTAGATATTACGGGACTACTAATTCGTAAAATTAATTGAACTTGCTATCATCACAATCCCTTTCATTGACTGTCAACTGACTACTTGAGAAACCTTAGGTCGTAGACTTCCTACATTTGATCTTTGAAACCAACCGGGCATCATTCACTGTGGTTTTTACCAATTATATGCATTAAATATTAAATATTGTACAAGTTAAAAGGAATTGGCAACGTCTCAGGTGCCTTGAAGGAAATGAAAAGAATGGTTTAACCTGTACATTCAAAGATCCCAGTTCATTCCAATCCCGATCTCTGGCCTTGTGTTTGAGCAATGACTTTGTTCCTTGCTAACGAGGTTTTCCAAGGCCGAATTTCAGAAGTAAAGATATCATTTATCTGCTCCAAAGTGAGAAGGGCAGTCTCTGGCACAAGCAAGAAGACCAGGGCTCCAACCACAGCAGTCACACCGGCGTAGAAATATCCCACGTCGGGTCCCATGCTACCGTAATTGGCATCCAACATGTATGGCGTCCAAAAACAAGCCGCAAAAGAAAATATGCCGTAGAAAACAGTCGTATTGGCCTGCCCGTATGTGCGAAGCGAAACACTGTGCATCTCAACTGAAGCCAAACCGGCACATGGGGCAATGGTCCCGCCAAACACGAATGCCCAACAACAGAGCAAAATAACTACGGCCACCTTTGAAATCTCATTTTGGCTCAGAGCTGTGCTCACACCAGAAAGAATGAGCATGCAGACTGACATGGCACCATATCCGCTCAAAAGAGCAAATCGTCGTCCACCATATTCAACCACGAACGGACCAAATAAAGATCCTCCCAGAATGCAGATGCCAATGATCACGTTGATAAGATATGGATTGCTCATTCCGACGCCCTTCAAGAAAGTAGTCGCATACGGCTGCACGAACTGGATACCAGTGATTGAAAGCCCAATATTAATAAAGGCCGAAATGATGGTGCGTCGAATATTCTCCCTTTGGTAGATCTGAAACCATGAGGTAGATTTGGCACCAGCGCGCTCGATTTCTAGATATGCTTTGATGCTTTCGATCTCGATCGTGATAGTATCAGAAGACGGGTCCAACCAATATAGCATACCAAAGGCTGTCCGTGCCTCTGCCTCTCGTTTGCTGTCATTGTTGAGAATCCAGCGTGGTGACTCGGGGAACATCAAAATACCCGCCCCAAGAACGATCGCAAGCGGAATTTGGCACAGAATTGGTGTTTTCCATTGCCAGTTGTTACCCGGTTCGAGCCGGGCAGATGCTGCGCAAACAGCAGAAGATGCAACGTTGCCCATTGCCAATCCAACATTGTAAAGCCCCAAGGCAAGACCACGCTTGTTGGCAACAATGCACTCTGATCCATATATCACACTGGCGGCAACAAGCTGACCGACTCCGGTCGCACTTATACATCTGCATACCATGTAGTGGGTAAAGCTTCCAGTAGAGCGTCCTGTTCCCAGCATACCTGCCGCGCCAATAATAGACAGCAAACAACCGATTTGTATGGCGCCTCGTCGTCCAGTATAGTGACCTGTGAGTGCGGATATGCCACCTCCAACACTGATGAAGAGGTAGTTCAAGCTTATGAGTGACTGTTGGAGAGGTGTTATGGAGCAGTGCTCGACAATGACGCCAGTATTCGAGTTCATAAGCTGGCTGCAGGTACCGAAAGCTTTTTGATATGATGGCATGATGAGAATTGTCCCGGCGTAGCCATCATCAAAGTTGGCGATCCAAGCTGCAAAGGAAACCCAAAGTGACAGACGGAGCATAGCTCCTATTGAGGGAGAGTCTGGTATTTGACTTTGAACTCTCTGCATGGAGCAATCGTCAATGTGGGATATGGTGACAAGATCCTTTTCGGAATCACCATCGTGAGAGTCCATTGTAAAACTAGACACAAATGAAAAATTGATGAAGCTGAATTGACTACAGTTCTGTTAGACTCTTTGAAGATTATGGCACAAGCTTTTACAATATTATATGCGCAGTATCCCACTTGCATACCAAGGCCACGCCATTACATACCTATGTATATCATCAAGAATGCTGCTCACCTTTAGCCAATGAAAGATGAAAGTAAGTTCATGTAACTGATAAACTTTGAACATCCTTGCTTGATCAAGTGCCAAGGATCAGCTTTATTTACTTTGCACTTTGTTAACCAGTCATAGGGAAAATAAGATAAGCACGACATTTAGGTACTTTATCTGATAATATTGTCGTAATGTGAGTTTTCTGAGTATGTCAACACAATGTTACAAAGTTTTCTCGGTCATACCTTCAACCATGTTTTATCTTGAATTTGCAGAGATACTTTGAAATCATTATAGGTTTGCCACCTCTAGAGCTTTCTGGGTAAAAACATAACATTCAATATTCTAGCTTCGAAGTTCATAACATCATTGCTCAATATTGCCAAGTGACCTTTACCTAGGTGAACCTCAGCTGGGGATAGGAATCGCTTCATATGTTGCAGATCTATTCCAATCTTGAAAGGTTGAACCACTCCTGAGGTCCTTTTATGCTCCAGAATGGTTTATCTAAAAGGGGGTTTCCAGAGACGCACCGCTCCGGGTCAGTATCATAATCCATGGGACTTTGACTGCTTCACCTAGGCAGGCTGTAACCCGGAATGATTTGGACCCTGCAAATCGTCTATGATATTTGAATCAAACGTGTACGAACTCCCCTCATCTGGTAGCTCCCGAATAGGAAATTCTTATCCCCAATGGGAGCTCCTTCATCCCTCATATTTGACAGGATGTACTGGTAAAGTTATATATTACGAAGTAAACACATGAAAAATTCACAACCTCAACTTTGACTGTCAAAAGATTTCATCGAAATTGGGGGTGTTCCATTGGTGGTGAAACAGGAAGACCGTTCTAGGTTCGCGCCATATAACCGTAAAATCAATCAAATCCATTCAATTTTAGAAAATTGGTAGGCCTAACAATATGACATGACTCCCTAATAGTCACTTACCTAATAAATATGTCTCCGTAGCAACCATAAGTTTTGCAACACACACCATGCCCCGATACCTTATCTTTAAAGGAAAGGTGTTTGTGGAGCGTTGATTTCATGAGAAGGAGCCTGATTGGAACTTAACAAGAGATATAATGGCTGGACTAGTAATAAGATTAGTGTCGATTGACTTGAGATGCATTTTATCCCTAATATTCGGAATAGAAGGGGTAAATATTGTCTCTGATCCTAGATGGGCACTCCTCATTTAACGCCTATTCCCGACGACATTTACAAGAAGCATAATATCATTACTTCATTTATGCCTCTATATGCATCATTTCTTTTATAGCCTCTAGATGTGGGTTGTTTTGTGCTACTAAAAAATATGATGGTGGTGCTGTTGCAGAGTTGATGCGGCTTGGAATCAACTCGATCGATAAAGATGATTTTCTTGAGATCTTCCCTGATGCGCGTAAAAAAAGCTTTTAAGGCTAATAATAGAATCAGTAGCTTTTAATCCACTGGTTTAGTGCCTTTAAACCATTAGAAGTGCTTGAAAAGCTGACTATATAGCTCGAATATCTACTAGATCTAGAACTGCCCCTTGATCGCCCGATATCTTCTAGCTCTGGTAGCGATGATAATGCTATTTGGAGCTTAAAAAACTTGAAGAATCTAATCTCGCATCGATTCTACTCTAAAGTTCTCCTCTAGTTTAATCCCATCTCCTACTAAAAAGGGGTGGAAGATGTTCTCTGATCGCACTACCCGGACGGTCCACCACCACATTTTTTTTACATGATCGCGGTGGCCATTTAGAGAAAGCGAACAAATAGAAGGTGAAAAAGAAAGCTAGTAAAAAGAAGTTAACTTGTTTGGGCAGTTTAAAGGATTTAGAGGAGATTCCGGCGCCTGTGATGGACAGGAGTGGTGATAACGAGGTTTATATATCTGGTGTTGAAGCTGCTTAGAATGGCCCTATTGAGATCAAATTGCAGTTTTACCACCTGTCCGGCGTCAAATTACCTGCTCAGAGTGCCATAAGAAGGGGCATAAAATTACTAGATCTCAGGATCGTGTTATTTAGTTTATTTTATTACTTTTTTGTGCTTAAATATGAAATTGAAATTGTGTATCATTAGGGGGCGGACCATTAAATAGGGAATCACGTTAGTTAACTATAGATCGTTTAATATCACGTGATATCTGACACCATTGATCTCCACTAACACCCGCACTTTTTCTCTTTCAACCCACAATGGAGCTTTCAACTTTAATAATTGGAGCAGTCCTCTTCATAGGTACGTAGCGCTAAATAGATATCAATCCGTGTTTGCCAATAAACATGGCAGTCAACCCGGACAAAATGGTTCAAACGAAGACAATAGGCTGACACTATCGCAAGCTTACCGCATCTACAAAGCAAACAGCGCACCCTCAGAGCCCATCATGTCGCATGGAAAGGTCATCAACGTGGACAAGTAAGGAAACCTGCCATGTGTCAAGAAAAAAAAAACATGAAACCCCCCTATTTTACCCTGGATTCTAATATCATATCCCAAAATAGTGAGGTCATCTTCAAGGCCCTCACCTCCGCCGGTCCTGTTGTTATCGACTTCTACGCCACCTGGTGTGGCCCCTGTAAGGCAGTTGCACCCAAGGTTGGTGAACTCAGCGAGAAATATCAGAATGTGCGGTTCATTCAGGTCGACGTTGATCAGCTGAAGGGGGTTGCTGGCCAGTATCAAGTGACTGCCATGCCTACATTTGTCTTTTTGAAGGATGGGAGTGAGGTCCAGCGAGTCCGTGGCGCGGACCTTCGAGCCATGGAGGCTGCCATCCAGGCTATCTCCGCATAATGGTTTGTGAGCAAGGATACATGTAATTATTTATAATCATTCCGACCCGTGCACTGACTTGAGCTGGGCTGGGTCCAATGAGTGAACATGGATGCCCAAGATTATTATCTGTTGCTTGCTACTGTTTGGAGATCATATGACTTAGGTCATGTGACCAATATACTAAACAGTCTGTATAGAGATTCTACACCAACTTCTCCACCAGATATATATATTTACCATCCATCCATCACTCTATTCACTATTTATTGTACAAATATCTTCTAAACTTCCTGGGCTGCCTTTGTGGGTTTGTGGATAGACTGCTCCTTACTCGCTACCCGTTTTTTTAAAACTGCTTTTGTTCAATTATTCTAAGTGAATGTGGTAAGAAAAGTCATGTGTATATGGGATACACGGCTGAGCTGTTTAAGAAAAAGTCTGAACCCGAAACGAGAGACTTGTCCAATCTGGAAAGACTACACGTGGACAGCCTGGAGAAGGCTATATATATTAAAAACACTGGCAAGCGCTTCTAGATTTTCAGTTCAGATCAAATGAATCAATGAGGTGTGTATTAAAATGAGATATATCTAAGATGGATATCGAAATCGATCAAATCTCATGAACAGACATAAAGAAATAACAAGCGAAGGTATATCACCAATCCTTCCAACTTTCTAATTTTGTATAGACCATTGCGAGCATTAGATCTCTTACAGAATGGAGCCGAGGGCAACACAGGGGAGACCGGCGCCAATAAGGTCGTTGCTCTGTGAATGTGTGTCAGTATGTGCGAAACTGTTAGGATATGGATGAGAACTTACTGCAGTAGAAGGAGAGTTGGCACAGCAAGCAATGTTCTGCTTGCAGTTTTGCTCGAGAAGATCCTGGATGGGAATGCCGATAATGGGGACTGATATGAAATTAGCAGTGTTAAGAAAGCTATGTTATATAACGTACCCTGAGCATCGAGCTTGGAGCATTGCTCGAACAGACCAACACCCTCAGCACCTGAGCCGGAGCCGATCAGGTTGGAGAGAAGACCACCACCGAGACCAGAGTTGACATCGGTGGTATCACCGGCATAGGTGGCCTTGTTGCAGCAAGACAGCTGAGCCTGATCACCACACTTGGACTGGGCCTCAGAGACAGTCAAGCCCTTGGGAACCTTCCACTTGACATTGTCACCCTGGCCCTTGAGACCACTTTCAGCAGGGAGAGCCACAGCAAGGGTGGAGATGGCGAGAACAATAGTGGCAATGGAGAACTGCATTTTGAATGTAGAGGATATTAAAGATATATCTTAAGAAAAAGAAACTTGTTTTTGGCTTGGAAGAAAGGAAGATTGAAGAGTGAATGGAAGTGTGTGATGGAGAAGTTTGACAGGAACGAAGTCAAGCTCTTTAAGAGCAATGATCTATCCGTTAGGGCTCATGCGCTCGTGCGAGTTTCCATCTCGAAGCTTCAAAACATTCATTTCCTTTTTGCTGCAAGAATGCAACACGCAAGGGCGACCCTAGATCTCCAGAGACTAAGAGTCCACGATTGGTCTACTAGGTCTCTCTTCCTTCCGGAATCCTGCAAATCAGACCCCCTTTGGCCCCTAGAAGTGGCCCAACCCCTGCATGCCATCAACGAAGGCATGTATCTAGTCCTAGTAGATACTCAGAGACATACCTAAGGCATGAAATGCCCTCACATGGACGGGATCAACACATGGAGTAATTTACTGATTCCAAGGTTTTCCCCCGGGGCCTTCATAATGAACAGTTTCCTTCCGAGTGTGGGTATCCAGCAACTGAGAATGCACCACTTAGCTCATACTACTCAAGATCTCTGCCAAGGCCTTGAGATCTACTTACATGTTTATTCTATGCCAAATTTTCAGCTACATGATGTCACTACCCTGTTTGCAGATTTAATTTTCAGAAAGACAACACGCTTCCATTCTTCTTGAACAAAATCGGACCATTACACCAAATATTTTGTGATTGTCCCGTAACACCGTGCATATTAGACTCAGCTTCTTACAATTAATCTTGAATCTCTATTCATTTCTGTACAAATATAGATAGGTCTGAAAAATTACCTCTACTTAATTAGCTGTACTGATCGGCCGCATACACTCCACGCCATAGGTATCAATATTAAATTTTTTAGTATCAAGTGCTGTTCGAATGTAAAGGCTTAGATAAAACCAGTAAGCTTCAAAGAGTAGCTCTTTTTAGATAACTTTCTAGGCCATAAAGCTGCTATTCGAGAGATCTCTGAAACATCTGAACCTCTCAGAAATACTAAAATCATGTAGCTTCATCCGAATACAACAAGTCGATATCAACCACTTGATCAGGGGATTATTCGCACGCGGAAGAAATTCTGGCACAGAATAGACTTGGTATGTTATTCAGTAGTACGATTCTAGTGGCAATCCTTGAGATAGTATAAATATCTTTAAGATGTCCTAGTCGTTTCGCAAGTTTCTACGCAAAAGCCTACCATTAAAAGGCCACCCTCCTAGGTAATTTTATCACTCTCAGACTTTTCATTACTTAATAGGCCTTTGCTGACTGCGGGTAGAGAAGAAAGGATTGATGATGTTTTTGAAGTTGTTATGATGCCCTTGGGACGAGCGTCACTTGTATTGCTACTCTAAACCATGCCAACTTTTGGCAGTAGTAATAATAACAATAATACATCTGGAAATTACACAAGTTCTGCTCATTAGCTACTAAATTCACTGACTGGGCTGAGTAAGTACCTCAGCCAATTTCGTCATCATGACGACCAATCACGGACAACTTCATAGTTAAAGAACCAGCTTTCTCGGATCAGTCTCGTCAGAAATTTATTTTAGTCCTAATCTTGGGAGCCCTATCTGATATCATCTCTCTTGCTTCAGGCACAACGAAACCCAACTTAGGCTCTGATTATAGGTCGACACAGCAGTGTTTCTGCCTTGTGACCTTATCAAAATGAGTGGATATTTTGCAGCCAAAAAACATGCAGCATCTACTAGTAAAGTACCGACAATTCACTCAGCTACTTGCTTGTCACGCTCTTTTTCAGATCCTCCACCAATGGATTACATCAACAAAGCCTTAGATTTGAGCAGCAAAACCAAAGACTCGAATGAAAAAAACCTCGATTACAACCGTCAGATCAAGACAGCTTCGACTGAGATCTTCAACGATGGTCGAGTTGAATCGAATTCTCAGAGTGGTAGACGCCTTCTCAACATACTTATGGAAACTGAACAAGATATGAGGAAACAACGACGTAAAAAACGCAACCAAGATAAGAATCGCCGCTCATCTTTTACTATGGGAGATCTAATTCTCCTCTCAGACCAATCTCATCCCAATTATGCACCAGAACGCTCGATCTGAGTTACACTCCCACGAGTTTGCAGATTATGACCACACTCGAATGTTTGCTTTCATTTTTTTTTACTTCAGTATAAGGCAGTTCGTCTCACGACTTACCACCATATATGATTGTTCATCACAAACCAGAAACCTGATATACACACGGCTAAAGGAAGAAATAATACTTAATATGATGATAATATCTATCCTGATGGCTCACATTTATCTGAAGAGCAAAGTGCGATGAACAAACATCTTACTCGTGATGCTGGAACAGAAGATGCTTTTAAAGGGGCGACTCCATTTTGTAAGAAATAGCTTAATGACATCCCATTCAACCTCCAAAGCTTAGAAGGTCATCTTCTGGTTTTTCATAGAAAGTGCTGCATTCGCCCCAATTAATATTGTCAGTGTAGGGTAATAACCATTCAAAAGACATCAGAACGTAGCATATGCTCGATAGCATACCAATCCCGCATTAGCCAATAACTCTAATTCAGCGTCTCTTGCAGCAAAGTAAACATCTCCTTCCCCAATATCATGAGTGGTTCCATCACCAACAGTCATCTTTCCGGATCCTTCAGTAAAAACAATGATACTGGGACTTTGAAGTGCCCGGTGTTTCTCAATTTCTCCACGAGAAAGAGCCACGCTCAAGACATTGAACTCGCTGAATGGAGGCGTATATTCAATAGTCTTCCCTCTCTGACCAACTTTGCTCTTTTTAGATGGGAGCAGAGACTCTTTAGGACTATGCGGTTTGAAAGTAAGCGCCTGTGCGAATAACTCAACATCATCACGGTCAGGACGGGGGCAGAAGCCTGTGTTCAGGACATTGTCGGATCGCGCCATGCACTCTATAATGTCGCCTGAAAGGTATGCATGCATGCTGTCGGCTGGCACACAGATAGCTTCTCCAGGCTCCAAAATCATATAATTCATTAGAAGAGCGGCGACTAAGTTCCCGTTATCAAATTCTGAATATTGCTTATTTAGTCGATCGAGAAGTGATGGAACATGGGGATGGTCTCCAAACTCGGACAGAGGTGTATTCTGTAGTGCTGTGATCACCTCAGATACTAGATTCGGTGGCAAACTCAGGAGAGTCTTGCAGAGCTGTCGTAAGGCTTCGTCATCAAAATCATGCTCCAGTGGCATTAGTTGCTCTAAAGGCTCCAGCCGCATAAGCTCTGCAATCTCTTGAAGAGGTTTGAATCCAACGAATGACTCAAAGCGACTCAAAGCGATAGCAATCTCGGGCTTGTGGTTGGCGTCTCCAAATTTATCGGGGTTATTTGCATGCAGCTGCTCGGCAAGGCCTTTGTCTGGATGAATTTGGAGTGGAAGCGCTTTGGCGAAGGAGAGCACCTTCGTTATAGTTTAGAATCGCATTTATTTACTTGCATTTGCTCTGTCTCACCTTTGGGAGAAAAGGGATATTGGGCCCATATTTATCGTAAACAGACTGACCAACAAGGTCGGGGTTAATCTTGATATGTTCGGAGAGGAGCTCCCCGGAAGAATGAATCCGCGATGGAACAGTAGGGTATGTACCCATCCACATCTTCATGATATTAATACCAATGATTTGTTGTGCTTATATGGAAGGATAATACTGACTTCCGAGTAGGTCTCTGATTCATCCAATTCTCCGGCGTCAGGCATATGAGACCATAAGCGGCCGGCAAGAGAACTCTTGCCTTGTTTGCCCCATGGATCGTGCTAGAGATAGATTATTAGTTTCTCCTGCAATATTGTCGCTGTGAAGGCTCTTACTTTGCATTCGCATGTCAACTTTAAAATTCCGTCTGTCATTTTGTAGGTTATGATTGAACGGTTCGAAAAGTTTAGACCCAGATTCGTGCGCAGTTTGAATGTTGCAGGAGGTATTTCACTATACCATTTATGTCATCCACATGTTTCAAACATTCAAGGTCAAAATCAAAGATTATGTCATTTCTGATTCATGACTAGAAATTTGATCCTGTTTATACTTGGATATTCAGGTATCTCGGTAGTTTAGCTTATTTTACCGTCATACTGACGTCAATGGTAACTGTCTCAATTGTACACCATATTTACGACTATGGAGTAGCATTAACATCAAAGATGATGGATTTTACAGTGAAGTGCTATACTGCTAATATACCTTGGTAGGGTTGAGTGGCCCTACAGGTCAGGTCTGGCCGCAACCTTGGAACCTTGGAATGTATGAGCTGGGATATCATGTGCTGTGATAAAAAGTCGATAACTAATTATATATTGATAGATAAATAGGTACTAGTAATAATTTAAAATTGCTATTGCCGTCACAAACAACTGTCAACTTCCAAGGTTGAAGAATTTATCATCATATCGTCGGATTGGATGATGCAACCTCTCCGCCAAACTCGAAGACATTAGCCTAGATCAATGCCTCAAAGCTCCTCATAGAAAGCTTGCGTCATTATTTCTAGGCTTTGGCAGAACAAGACTAGAAAATGGCAATGAAGAGCAGAATGCAAATGCTCGATCATAGAACCTTTTGTCTTCAACTGCCTGAATTAGCTTTGACCCTAGCAGTTGAAGCTTGGCATACACCAACCTTTCTGCTCAGTTTCTGCTAGCAATACGCAGGTAGAGCGCCACAGCAAGTGTAGGTGTTGATATATGCCGAAGTGCCGACTCCATGACGTTCTAAGAAGGTGTATCTTTGAAATCAGCGTCGTCCTGTGCAACTTTATTGAGGACCTCATTAAGGACGTAAGAGCCTTTTCTCATTATACTCATATTTCCTGCCGGAAGGCTTCTTAGTACTTAGCATGTCGATCGCTATATCAAGCAAGTATACCTGGTGCCTCGCAACTCAGCATAGTCATTCCACTGGCTGAAAATATCTGCGATAGCATCGTAGTTAACGTACCAGATGGAAAATTCAAGACCTAACTCTGAGAAAGCGAGTGCCAACTGCGTTAAAACTGTTTCAAGGCATTGTCTTTGCCAGAGTTTATTGCTATGGCGGATATCGCCCTGGATGCTGTGATACGGTTCAAATGAGAAAGAGATCTTTTGAGACGATCAAAGTTCACGTGAGAAAGACGTTTTCGATGCGATCTTGATCAATGATTGAATCAGTCTTTGATACTAATACTTGAGTACGTAGCTTCTTCAAAGTAGGATAATATTGACGGTGCTTGAATGATTCATATGATTGCCACACCACACATTAAAAAATATCCATGGATCATATCTTGGCATATAGAAGATTACCGGATTATTGACAAGACGTCATACTGACGAGATCCATAGATCAACCGATCTATATAATTTACACTAGCCAATACCTCCAAATCAGTTATTGATTATTTCCATCACAACATCTTTCAGCAATTTCATCATGCAACAAGAAGTGGAAAAGCCCTCCCAGGGACCTCAGTCTCAATATCAACAGGGTTAGTAAATAAAGACTCCATGGAAATGCATATATCTTTCCTATTAAAATCGAAACACGCTAGGGCATCAGATTCCCATTGAGCATCACAAAAAGCCTGGCGTACAGGCTGAGATGGAAGATCCAAAGCCCACCTCAAGCCAAATTCCAACAGAAGATAATGGGTACCAGACCTACAAAGCTGCGGGGAAGCTTTCGGGGAAGAAAGCCATTATCACTGGTGGTGATTCGGGGATCGGTCGTGCAGTTGCTATTCTCTTTGCTATGGAAGGGGCGTCGAGCCTCATTACTTACTTACCAGAGGAAGAAAAGGATGCGCAGGAGACAAAAAGACGAGTGGAGAAAATTGGACAAAGCTGTCTTTGCTTCGCGACCGACCTTCGGGGTAAAGAAAACTGCAAAAAGGTGGTAGACAAAGCCCTAGAGAATTGGGACAGCATTGACATTCTAGTCAACAATGCTGGTACTCAGACGATGATTGAAGATATCAAAGATTTGGATGAGTATGTAATTTCTAGTTCCATGACGTCAAGAATATTCTATTGATTTCTGTTGATCAATCTATATAGGGCCCAATGGGAAAGCACATTTGACACCAACATACATTCTATATTCTACATCTCAAAGTACAGTCTTCCTCACATGAAGAGCGGCTCGACGATAATCAACTGTGCTTCTGTGAATCACTATATTGGTCGACCTGATCTTCTCGACTATTCAGCAACAAAGGGAGCTGTAGTTGCCTTTACCAGGGGACTATCTAATCAACAAGTGAAGAATGGAATTAGGGTGAACTGTGTGTGTCCTGGACCAAGTAAGTGGATAGAGTTAAAGCAATATGTGTACCAATACTAATAAGATGATAGTCTGGACCCCTCTGATTCCAGCAACCATGAATTCCTCAGCCCAGGAGCAGTTTAGCGGCACGCCGATGGGTCGTCCAGGACAACCCAGTGAGGTTGCAACATGTTTCGTTTTCCTCGCTAGCCAGGATAGTAGCTTTATCTCAGGTCAAAGCTTGCATCCTAACGGAGGAGTAGTTATCAATGGCTAGGAGATTGGAATTTTAGTGGTTTCATTTCAAAAACAAGCTCGGAGCATCGATATGGCATGTTGCTGTCTTTGGCTATAAAATAACTAATGAAGAAGATGTTTTGTCCTGAAGATTCGAATAATGTTCTTATAGAAGCTTTTTACCAACATCTCATGTACAGTGGGCCATACAAACAGAACAAAAACAGCCCTTGAAGTGTCAAATAGACTGTGACTGGCTGGCCAATCATTCAAATGCCAAACGAATGAAACTGAATTTTCTAACTAGTAATCTGGCTTAAATACACACCGAAAAGTGGGTCCCAAACCACTTCCTTTGACATGAAGTGATAGCTCAGTAACCAAGTGGGTCAATTTCCCCAGATTTGATTAAAATGTGGATCGTTTCATAAACGTGATCGACACAAGAAGCACGATTTTTCTAAAATATGTCGAATTCCATGGGAAATTATTGGATAATGAAGGGGAAAAGAGCGGTATTTGGCAGAAACTCAACTCTTACTGGTATTTGGAATACAATATCAACTATTTTAATTTTAAGCTTGTAATGCAGCCTTACGCTGTAGCTGAGATGGCATTTATCTCAACCTTGAAGGGCCAAAAAGTCGCTGAGGCTACCAAATACAAGCCAAAAGATCTATTACTGAGTCTAGGTACGGATGCTGACGGGCACGTTACATGTGTAATAGACAAGATCGCGAGTTTGCTGTATGGAGTCGTCAAAAGTGGCAATCTCAAGGTGGTTCCCCTCATTAATGTTGAGGTCAATATCCTAGCAAGGGCTAGGGTGAGAACAATCGTTGAGGATATTGACTAGATGAGGTATGAGGACGCAGAGTTGACGGGTCGCCGTCAAAATTCACCTCAAGGCGGAGATCTTATTAGCATCTCAGTTCCAGGATCAAGAGACTCGCATCCAATGAAGGGAGCAGTTTCTAGCATAAAATGTGCCTCGGACTTCCATAACAAAGCTTATGAGCTCTGAGAAAGTACCTCTTTCTCTGCAGGACAAAAGTCTAGGCTTGCAGCGTATATGGGTTATCTCAGTGTGAGGAATCTGGGAATAGTGACCAAAGATATGAAAGTCATGATTGTTGTTGAATGGGGCTATTAATGTGTACTTTCGACTGGGGACCGGGGCCCAAAGGCAATTTTCAACAAGTTTCACCTGGGTAGTAATTATCCATTGATATAAGATGAAACGGGTATAAAAGGATTTAAGTTGCTTCGAACTAGCAACCGGGATGACCTATTGATCATTGAAGCAAATGCGCCACGCTTGAAAGAGCAAAACAAAAGAGGATAGCGAATATCAAATCATAAGCAAGAAACGGACAGCAAGGTCAGACAGATGTTATAAAATACAAAAGCATATCCCAGCGCATGTATAAAACCCATGAACTCCACGAGTATATATAACAAATAAACAAACTGTATAATCGTAAAGCCGTGAAGAATCTCAAAGGATGGTCAAGTGCTAGGGTGAGTTTCTGGACGTTCAAGCTGCAAACTTCGGCGTTCTTCCTTGAGCTTTCTTTTCTCCATCTTGTGCATGGCCTCTGCAGTCAGCTGTTGCCGGGCGATCCGTTCCACGACGTCCGTCTTTCGTGCCATACGGTCACCGATCATGATCAGAATACCACCTGTGATATTACAGGTGATTGAGCAACAGAGGATGACGGTGGTAAGGGCAAATGGTCGGTATTTCGGTGGTTCCATACTCCAAGTGCAGGCACCAAGAGCCATCTGAAGCAGGGAATGACAATCGAGGATGACCACAATGGCAACGAGCATGCGAAGTGGAAAGGCGTGATGGGTAAAAGTCTCATGTGGTTTGTAGAAAGTGTGTGACTTGGCAAACTTGGCCTGGTGGTGCTGCAGTTTCGATTGTTCTTCAGGGCTAAGAACTGAGTACTCAAATTCCTCTCCTGCTATCTCTTTTTCGACCTCGATATCATCATCACCGTCAACTCGCTGTTCGGGAATGTCATTTTTATCTTTGAGGTCGGGAAGCTGCCGACTTTGACGAATTTTCCAAGTTTTGAATGAATAGTGGGCGATGTAGGCCATATGGTACGTGTCCACAGCCCTGAAGGGGGCTAGTCCATCACCCATGATGGCAAACAACGCGACTAGAACGTTGTCGATGACATTAATCAGATAAGATTGCTTGCCAGCAACGTTGATCCAACCTGTAAGAAGAATCTCAAGTCAGTATCATCTGAACAAGTAACTAGGATCGATGTCATACCAATCAAAAAGAGCACCCATGCAAGGCCGAATAGGGTAATCAAAGTGGCGTAGAGAGTAACAAGGAAGCCCAGTGCTAATGAAAGAGACCGATTAGCTTCCCATCTCCTAGATGTGACTGTACATTATGTGAAACTTACGTTTTCGAACATATTTTCCAAATCCACGCATCGTCCGCTTGAACTTGGATCGACGTGAGTGAAGCATGTGTCGAACGTGGTCATTCAGTTCAGCAAGTTCTTCTCGAGTCCATCCTTGCAACTCTTGACCATCGGGCAAAACTGCGTAGCGAGGGCCATCTGTCACGACTTGTGACAGACTCGAGATATTGCTGAGCCTTTGATCCAGGGCTGGCCGCTCTTGAAGCTCAGGTCTATTGTCTTCCCTCCCAGCCTCACCCTCATCCGTCGAACTACCTTGTTCCTCGTCTGATTGTGGCCGCGTGAGAGCATATGTAGGCATACGGTTAATCCAATTACCCAGGTTGGGCACAAAAAGTGAATTTTGAACATTGTTGAGTGTCGAGAGAGCAGAGACTTCAGGGTCAATCACGTCCAGCACGTCGACAACATGAGAACCAATTTCATTTGATGGCTGCCCATTTTGAGCAGTAAGAGCGACTGGTGGTCCGCTTACAGTGCTTGCGCGATTTCGTGTAAATCGTCCTAGCGCTGCTTGGCTGGTTCGCCGAAGCATGCCGCGGCGCGGATTAGGCTGAAGAGTGGGAGCGGACCCATCAGGAGCTTGATCAGAGGGTGGCAGGTTTGGATTGCTTGATTCCTCTGACAAAACACTCATTTGGATGGGATTCGCCACTCGTGGGCCATCCTGTGCAGGGGGGACTGCGATAGGAGCAGAATATCGGCTTGGTCGTGGTTCGGAGTTACTGCGCCGTCGATTTCCTTGCCAAGATTCATCTTCTTCCTGCACAGGAGATCTGATATCGAGTGGGCGACTGGCTTGATTAACTTGTGAATCAAGGACATTTAATGAGGAAGTAGAAGGAAGGCGGGTGAGGCGAATGCTTGGTCGTCGGGCTCTGCTCGCTGAAGACGCGGAAGGGGCTCTTGGACGGAGTACGGCCAGCGGTGGCCTTGATGCTGAAGAAGCCTCTGCATGTCGCTGATGCGGACTAGTGGCCTGCGAACTACTCGCCTGAGTACTCGATTCCTCCGCAGTCTCATTAGGATCCATCTCCGAGATCTAAAAGTGGGGACTTGGATTGATAAAGAATACTAGATAGAATCAGGGACAGGGAGATATGTAGATTAACAAAAATACTGGTAGGCCGTCACCTAGGCCATTGAGGTCAGAGGTTGCCAGTCAAAGATTCAAAAGATCCGGCCGGTTGGGAGTGTAGGCCCGGATCTGGAACGACGGAAGGGGATGCGGTAGTTGGCTGACTCAGCCTCGGGAATCTGGTTTTGTGCAATGACGACGAGGTGGAGTAGAAAATTGTCAGTGCGCGGGCTAATCTAGTGACCGTCTGTGTAGATCCTTTTGAATATACAATAGAAGTTCAAGCATATTCATAAGGAAGAGTTGCAAGATTAAAGCGGGAATGAAAGAAGAAGACTATAAAAGGGTTTATACAGACATGAAATACAAGATCAGGGCCAAATGATACTTTTCTTTCGCTGAAAGTGGACTGAATTTAAGATTTAACTAAAGTGCAATGTGCCTATAAAAGTGGAGATGCTCTTAACCATAAGTCCCCTTTATGGTCCACTATTCCCGTGATACATCACAATTCAGAATAGTAGACAATGCAAACAATATTTAAGATTAAGTATACAATGGAAGATCAAGACTTTTTCACATATTTTAATAATATTGCCACACTTCATTCCAAATCTGGAAGTCGAAGTTGAAGTCGAAGTCATTATATTCTCTTTAGCTCACTTACAATGATATTCAAGTGAACTTCATCTCCTTTCTCTCTCTCTCCATTCTTCGTCTCACATCTTAGTTATCTCTCATAATCTTTGTTGCACATCTCTCCTAATCAATCTCGGATCAGCGATTCACAATGGTGTTGACAGTTATCCCCATGCCAGGTAGCCGGAAGCGACAAGCTTCAATGGATCTTGACTATCCATCGAAGAGACAAGAGGGCCCCGATAGCATGAACCCTACCTTGTCAGACTCTGAGTCAACCCACAATACATTCATGGACACATCCATCGCTTTGATGTGCGACAATCCCGACCATTCCGTCTCCACTGATACCTCTGTTGGGACACTTGGTTACCAAACTGCCCAATTCTTTGCCTCCTGTTGCGCCATTGCCCTTAGTCCTCTCTTAGCAACCTCAACCGAGAATGGTGTTTCTTCTCTTTCGGAATAGGGAAAGGGCCTTATCTCTAAACGGCGAAATGCAATGAATAATGGGAAAGCCACATTCCCAATCATTATTGCCAACCCTCCCAGTCCTCCCAGCTCTCCTGCATCTCAAATTTATCATGAGAGAGCTTCATTTGTGGTACCACCATCTCCTCCTAATGAGCCATTAACGGAGTGGCAAACATCCGCAATCTATGATATGAATAGGCGTTGTATCAAGTTCCCACCCCGGATAAAGGTTCGACTGTGCCACTTGGGAACAATTATTCGTGAGGATAGATGGGACGACCGCATTCACAAACTCCCGGTCGTTCATACAGAAGCGCAAATGGCACAATTCTTGGATGAGGAGTTGGAAGAAATCCGGGCAGCAGATGAAGAGTTTGACACCTGGGCAGCAGTTACGTGCCCCAAGCTCAAATATAAAAAACCTCGCTATATCGATGCTATGGATCTCGACTGATAGAGGTAAAGAGAAGAAGAGAAAAAGGGAAAGGGGAAATGACGAAAGACACTTACTACGGAGAAATGATCCTCTGTCTTTCCAACTGATTGGTGCGGAGAAAGTTTTATCTAACTGTCATGATTTGTTTACCTTAACAGGTAGCGACCAATACTTTTCTTGTCAATTCCAATGAAGTCCTTGAGGTCAATAATGAGCTCATGTAGTGTTGAATACCATATACTTTAGGCTCCATGAAGCCTAGTGGAGCTTGAATTAAACCATTTTTCAATTTTGAATTAACCAGTTCAATTTAGGATTATAAGATTGGGTTAGAAATGTCGGAGAGTAAATGTGCGCAAATATATAGCAGGCCGACCAGGTAGATAAAATTCAAATACCTACCTATGCCCAGGGGTAAGAAGTGACCTCGGCTTTCAGGCTCCAAGGCTGCTGGAAGCCCTAAGTTTAAGGCCCAAGCTCCCCGACCAACCCCTAAATATACCCTAAGGTTGCCAGGACTTCAGATAGATCCTAACACGGTTAGCGCACACCGCCTCCTTTCACTTCCATCACCTGCCTCTCCTTCTGAATCTCTCTCTTCCTTTCCCTTGCAAGAGTTCACTTTTAAAGATTCAACCCCTTCTCTTCCACTTTAAGATAACGTATCTAGGGCACTAAGCTACCCTGCTCCTTCCCCCGTCAAGTTTCCGCGAAGGCAAATACACCTTCCTTTTCCCACCCCACTTCTCCCTCTCTCCTTCATCACACTCCAAGCTTTTTTCATCACCACAACACTTGGAATTATCAAGATGTCTTCCGCTGAAGCTGTTCCCGAGGTCGTAGATGCCGCCACTGTCAACGACACCCCCGCCGTCAACGGAGATGCTGCCATCCCTGCTCCTCAGGTTACGGACGCCGCGGCCACTAGTGCGGATGAGGGCCGTCGCCTCTACATTGGCAACCTGGCCTATGCTACCACCGAGGAGGAACTGAAGGAGTTCTTCAAGACCTACACCATGTAAGTCTTGAATTATATCGCGGTCGAATTAAAATACTTGCTTTTACATTCGAGGATCGAATCCTCAAATCATTGACTGAATAACTTATGATCGGAGCATGCTAACTCGAGTCACAGCGAGAGCACCTCGATCCCCGTCAACCCCCGCACCAACCGTCCTGTTGGCTATGCATTTGTCGATCTCGCCACTGCCACCGAAGCTTCTGCCGCCATTGAAGAGCTCTCTGGCAAGGAGATCCTCTCGCGAAAGGTGTCGGTGCAGCTTGCTCGCAAGCCGGAGTTCACTGAGGCCAAGGATGGTGCAAGTGGCGGCGAGGGAGCCAGCGGCACTGAGGGTCGCAAGCGCGCCGGCGGTCGGGGCCGAGGCCGTGGTCGTGCTCGTGGCCGTGGCGGACGTGCTTCTCACGGTCGCGTAAGTCCTTACTAGGATTTGATTTTGATTTTGATTTGCGCTGACTGGATTATCAATAGGAGAGCCAGGAAGAGACTGATACCCCAGCTGTGGCTCAGGCTCCCCAGACAGAGACCGCTAAAGAGAGCGACGATACTACCACCGAGGGAGCCAAGCAGGCCAAGCCCCGCGCTGCACGCCCTCAGAAGCAGCGTGGACCCCCTGAGGATGGTATTCCTTCTAAGACCAAGGTCATGGTTGCTAACCTTCCCTACGACCTGACCGAGGACAAGGTGCGTCACCTTGAATTGTCTGACAACCTCTCGTGCGCATACTGACAAGTGACTTCCATTCCAGCTTAAGGAGATTTTCGCTGAGTACAACCCGGTTTCCGCCAAGGTCGCCCTTCGCCCAATTCCCCGTTTCATGATCAAGAAACTCCAGGCCCGCAATGAGCGTCGCAAGACCCGCGGTTTCGGTTTCGTCAGCATGGCTACTGAAGAGCTCCAGGCCAAGGCCGTCAACGAGATGAACGGCAAGGAGATTGAAGGCCGCACCATTGCCGTGAAGGTCGCTATTGACAGCCCCGGCAAGGAGGACGAAGAAGTCAAAGAGGCCAGCGAGGAGTCAAAGCCCTCTACTGAGGAGAACACTGCTCCCGCCGTCGCTGCCGTTGAGGCTACCACCGTTGAGGCTTAAATAGCGTCTTTTTGGACCAAGCCTAAACACCTCGCTGATAGACAGTTGCCCTTGGATTATTTATGGGTACATAAGCTTTTCGGCAACTGATCTTGAGAGGTGAATCCGTGAGGTGTTCATGATTCTTATGGAACATATATATGTCCATGCCGGAGTGCAATTTTTGCTAATGCCTCCATTATTAACGACTTTTTGCCTTCTGTACTGTATCTTAGCACCCATTTAACTTTTTGATGACCCCATTGTTTCGTCCTCGTAAATTCGAGGTCTCTCGTTGTATAGTTTCGTACCTAGTAAAACTTGGCAATGACGCTACGACGACCACTGCCGATCGGCCGAGCATTGTACTCCGTACAGTATCCTCATTCCAATACCACCCACCATCAATCTACTCTTGTTTTGTTCTGTGGAGCTCAATTTATACCAGCTTATTTGTGTGATCCTAGTGGAGTGACTTCGTAGGAGAAAAAGGGGTTAGGCTCCAACTCCAGAAATAACGCCCCAATTCACGTGCAGTGCCGAGTTCGCCCTATACTGCACATACCCTTGGACGTCCGACACACCTTTCCTCTGGTATATCTGATTGGACAAAATGGCTCCAAATTGGGAGGTTGATCCAGAGACAAAGACAAAGGTGCGCATCAGGGCAGACTTGACCTATTGAGTCCATCTTGTCAGGATTGCACGAAATGTTGAAGCTAACACGGGTCCCCTACAGCTCCTTCAGATCTCCAAAACAAACGGAAATGACAAGTGCTGCGATTGCGGGGCCCCATCGCCTCAATGGGTATGTGCTTTGATTCCCTTATTTACCTGAAATCCAGCTATTTTCCTGAGGCCCTCGGAAGAGAAGCACTCCGCACCTATGGTAATGGCCATAGACGATAACTGACAATTTGCCGCCATGGCATATTCGAGCAGGCCTCCCCAAAATTCGGAACTTTTATATGTCTCAACTGCGCGGGAACACACCGCGGGCTCGGTGTGCACATCTCCTTCGTCCGCTCCATCACCATGGACGCCTTCAAACACGCCGAGATCCAGCGCATGGAATCCGGAGGCAACGAGCCTTGGAAGTCATTCTACGATGCCCATCCAGTGACAATATCCGAGGGCCGAACATTCGAGGACTCGACCATCAAGGAACGATACGAAGGTGATGCGGGCGATGAGTGGAAGGAGCGGCTGTCCTGCAAGATCGAAGGCCGCGAATACGTGCCCGGCCAGGAGAAGAAGAATAACAACAACAACAATCCTTCTCGGTCTAATACGCCTTTGAGCCTGGGAAGCAATGGAGTCGGTGCTGTTAAAGGCGTTGCCCGCACTGCCTCTCCCGCGACGACGAAGAAGGAACAAAACGAGCAATACTTTGCGAAAATGGGAAATGAGAATGCTGCTCGATCTGATGCACTGCCTCCATCGCAGGGTGGAAAGTTCACTGGTTTCGGCGGTGGTATGCCTCAAAGCCCTACTGGCGAGCGTCGTGCGTCGCCATTTGGAGGACTTGGTGGAATTGGCGGACTCGATGACTTCCAGAAAGACCCTATGGGCTCCTTGACTAAGGGCTTGGGATGGTTTGCGTCAACAGTTGGAAAGAGCGCAAAGACAGTGAACGAGTCATATCTACAGCCTACAGCAAAACAGGTACGTGACTATATAACCTCCCTTTTTTTGGGCAACTTTACTTATAATGTTGAACAGATTGCCGAGTCTGACTTCGCTGCCCAGGCCCGTGTCCGAGCTGCAAACTTGGGACAAAACCTGCAGGCTGGTGCCCGTGGGGCTGCAGATCAATTTAACCGTTTCGTCGAAGGCCAAGAAGGTGACAGCCGCTCCGGTATCAAGTACTCTCGTGTTGAGCCTGAGCGAAGAGAATTCTGGGATGACTTTTCAGACTTGGGCGTGCAGGATAAAAGCGACCACCAGCGCGCTGGGTCGCGGTCCGATGTTGTCGGAACTGCTGCTATGCGAAAGAATCCTGCTCCATCACTATCTGGCTCTTCTACTGCTGCTGGAGAGTCAGGTGTGGAACATGATGCATCGAAATCTAAGTCCAAGGCGAAGGAAGAGTGGGATGATAATTGGTAGATGGGTATATAGGTTTATCCACGGTGCTCGTTATTATCTCTCCTTTTCTCTCTCGCAAAACTACGAGCTCGGAGTTTTCCCGCGGTTGTATACCTCGTTCATCCTATGGTTGGAATGAAGTTTTTCTGGTAGAGAAAAGGTAATAAAAGGTACAACGGAGAGATCTCAGATATTCAAAAATTAATGTAACTTGTATGTACAGAATTTTTCTCGTATATAGGACAAAATAGAGACAAGACTTCAAAGTTTAGAATATACCGCGAAGCTCTGCCAGCGCAGCTTTCTGTCTTGGAGCAGACATGTTTTCAAACTGATCAACACTCATGACGAATGTGCCACGCCCAGCAGTGAGGCTTCGCAGATGCTTCAAATACCCAACCATCTCCTTAAGGGGCACCTTGGCAGTAATTGTGCGTTGTTGTGACACGGAGACGGGAATCTCAACTCCAACGGAGGCAGTCTCAAATGGATCGGGGGGTGCATATACTCGCTTAGGATCGATGGGAGGCAGCGAGTCATCAACTATGACATCCGTGGGTACTTCATCATCGAGCGAAAGAATATGCCCGCCGCGAGAAGAGGAAATGTCATGAACGACAGAACCGAGGCTTGCTTCGTCAACACTGATGATGACATTCATAACTGGTTCCATCATGACCGTTCCAGGACCCGTGACAAGGTCCAGAAGCGCGGAAGATGTGGCTTGGCGTGCTGCGGCTGAAAGAGCAAATGTTGTGGTGTCGCTACCGAAGAGATCTTCAGTCGGGTTAATAGTAAGAGTTACACGGGTGTTATGCACGGGGAATGCGAATTGTGGTCCGCGGGCAAGTGCAGCCAGTGCGCCATTTTGCAGAGCTTCGCAGAGAGCCATGGAGTCCATGCCAGGAGGCAGAAGCGGGCTTGTCTTCTCGTCAGACCGGGCATATTGGTCCACTTGCAAGCCGGGGGCGCGAATGATAACTTGATTCCCATCAATAGTCTCTGCGAGAATTGTCTCTTCATCCGCAACATCGGCAGCTTCTTCGCCATTAAACGGTTCCACCATTGCAGTGCAGCCAGCTTTGCCTTTGCGGCCGGCGACTTCTTTGTCGAAAATCTTCGTGATGGCAGCGGAGGTACCGAGTCCAGTCTCTCGATATCCTATCTCGATACGACCCATGGACGCTTTCGCCTTGAGATCGTTGATTAGACGATCACGCGCGATCTCGAGATGCAGCTCGCCCATACCGCTCAGTAGTGTCTGGCCCGATTCATCGTCTGTACTGACGTGCAAACTAGGGTCCTCGCGTAGGAGAAGTGCAAGTGACTCTTGCATCTGCTTCTCCTCGCTGAGGCTATGTGGTTCAACGCTGGTGAAGAACACAGGCGGAGGCACATCTATTGGACGCAGTTGAAGGGTTGTCAATGGCTCTGGAGGTGTGGGCTTGTTTCCTGCATAAGATAGCAAGGTGTCACCAGTACGGGCATACCTAAGGCCGACAACGACACCAATATGACCAGCGGGAATTGATTCCACTTCAACTGCATCATTGGCGTGCATCTTAAGCAAGCGGGGTGCCCGTTCTGAAATATGAAGATTCGTATTGAAGAGCAAACTGTTGCGATCAAGCGACCCGGAATACACTCGTACGTAGACCAGTACACCACGCTTGTGGTCGTTGACCACTTTGAATGCCAGTGCGCAGCTATTTAGTTTGGAGATTGCATCCTTAGGGTCCACCTTAGCAGCGACCCTCTTCTTTTTCTTGCCCTTGACTGGAGTAGAGGCTTTCTCGTTCTGCTCCACGATTAAGTCGCCGGATATTAGGCGGCGAAGACCGCCTTTGACGCCATCGATACTGACTTCCGGGTCTGGCGCCTCAGGAGGGCTGGGGAGAAGGTTGACCACGGCGTCCATCAACGGTTGGACGCCCATATTTCGAAAACTGGCACCTGCAAAGACGGGAAAGATCCGACTTGTTGGGTCAAGCAAGCATTGTCGAAGACTTTGGACTATATAAGCTGGTGGAACTGCTAGGTGGTCTTCTTCGCATTCGAAAAATTTCTCCACGATGTTCTCATCCTGCTCACTCAAGAGTTCAACCAGAGCAATCCGTGCCCGCCGGAGCTCTTGTGCTAGAGACGGCTCTTCTTTCTCCAATTGGTCAAGGCTAAGCATTTTAACATTACGACCATCCTCTCCTTCCTTCCACCGTAGCCCTTGAAGGTTTATTGCATCTGCCACACCAATGAAACCTCCATTACCTCCTTGGAACCAAGGAATCTGACAGACTGCCGGGTATACCGCCAGCCGCGAGCTAACTTCACGAACTGTTCGACCAAAAGCTGCGCCATCACGGTCCAGCTTGTTCACAAAGATCACCCGGGGAATCTTATATGTACTTGCTTGTCGCCAAACCTGTTCCGTCTGGGCCTCGACGCCAGCCACAGCATCCAAGATGCAAACAGCACCGTCCAAAATACGCAAAGATCGCATAACCTCAAATGTGAAGTCTGCATGACCAGGAGTATCAATCAAATTGATGGTATGTGAGGTTGTAGACCGCGGCAAGGACGGATCTTGAGTGCTGGCTCCCTTGGCTCCATCTCCGGGAGGCCAATGGAAGGTAATGGCAGCCGACTGGATCGTAATACCACGAGCACGTTCCGCGGGCAGGAAGTCAGTTACAGTTGACCCTTCATCCACATCGCCAATTCGTCGCGTGGCGCCACTGTAGAAGAGCATGCGCTCTGTAGTCGTGGTTTTACCAGCATCAATGTGAGCAATGATACCAATATTCCGGGTTCGGTCTAGGGCTTCGTTCTGCCAATTGGAGGGTGAGGTTGAAAAGCACTGAGCCCGTTGGATATGGAGCTGTAAGCTCTTTGAGCAAACATGGCTCCTGACAGAGTTGGATTGTGCCTTATAGAGATAGCTTATAGAACGCACTCCCGGCTGGGGGAGGCGCAACAAGGAAGCAACAACCATAGATAAGCTGAGAGCTTCTCATGTAATGTGTAACAATGTGCACTTTGAATATTAAGAGGACAAAGCCATTGCAATTGACGTTATCCCAATATGTTGATATTGTCGAAGCCTTGAAAGGGAAAAAGAATCGCGCAGCTGCAGGGCTTGGCAGACGGCATTCCTGTTCACTACGTAACTTCCCACCTCCAACTCTCTCTCTCTCTCTCTTTCTCCTCGAGTCATTGCCGTTCATTCTCTTTTTCTATCTTTCATTAAAATGCTAATTTGAACATCTAACCCTTTGTTCACTAAGTTGCTCCAGGTAAGCTGTTGGTATTATTGGTACCTAGCTGGTCTACTGTGGGGGTCCCCAGCCATTAACCAATGCTAATGCCTAACTTTGGCTAGTTAGCTAGTCGCAACTTCCGCCCCTTCGACTCTTGTGAAGATCCTCCTTACATCTAATTTCGATCAAGATGGATTACTCTTCTATTTCCCATGATCCAGATCTCCCTGCAGATGCCTCGCCTTGGGGTTCTCCGCGCCCTGACCGCACCACGTTCCCCACCTCCGGCCATGCCGACATTCCTCCATCTCCTTTGGGTCATGATCACTCCACGGACGACGTAGAAAACCACGATGTCGAACCTCAGTCTCCAGATCTTTCTGCGCAGCTACAGAGTGCACAGCTAGGGGATCCGGATTATGCCGATGACCACTCTCCGTTTGCTGCACCTAACCCCGACCACCAGCAGTCACAGCTCCCCGCGCGTTATCAAACCGGGGCACGACAACATTCTCGGCCACCGGCACCTGCATATAAGATTCAAGCCAAGATAACTAGCTTGGAGAGGACGGGAAAGAAGGATATCATCCTTCGATTCGATGTCCACGTGAGTCGACTCCCAGACCAAAAGCCAATATGCCGAGGTCGGACAGCAACTGACTATCTCAATTGTAGACCAATATCCCAAAGTTCCGTACTACTCAATACAGAGACGTACGTCGCACTCACTCTGAATTCTCCAAACTCGCCGACCACCTGATCTCAGCCAACCCTGAAGCTCTGGTTCCTGCTGTACCGTCTTCGGTGACCCCTGCTGGCGCTGGAACCGACGAGGATGAATTTCGGGTGAAGGCAGCAATGCAACGCTGGCTTAATTGCATACTGAGCAACGATGTTCTTATTCAAGATGACGAGGTCGTGCTATTTGTGGAGAGTGATTTTGGCTATAGCCCTGTTATTCGCATGAAGCAACCAGCCACCGGCGTGCGTCGCAAGATGTTGAAGCAGTTCGCGCCCCCTCCCGATGACACTCCTGAGCTCCAGTCTGCCCGTCCTACCGTAAAATTGTTTTATTTGGCCTCAATGGACACGAGTCACAAGGTGGATCGTGTCGTCAAGGCCCGACGAGGTATCTAATTTGCTCTTTTTCTCATATTCTCCATGCTTAAAGCTGACTGTCATTTAGGCCTCGGACTAGCTGAATCTGATTTTGGCGTGAAGCTTGGTCAGATGCACGTTCAGGAAACTCATTCTGGGTTGAGTACAGCTTACCGTAAACTCGGCAAGGTGATTCAAACTGTGGGTGATTTCCACGCTGTTCAGGCTACTGCGGAAGCCACAACGTTGGGAGAGCCATTGAACTACCACTCTTCGGATGCTTTCATCGTGAAAGAAACTTTGACCAACCGACACATTCTACTGCGCGAGCTTCTTCAGGCTCAACAGAATGCCCGGAGTAAACGTGGTGCGGCAGACCGATTGAAAGTCAGCTCATCTGTCCGCCAGGACAAGGTTGATGAAGCGCTCAATGCACTCAGTGAAGCAGAAGCCCATGAGGAATTTTTGACTAAACGTACTCAGCGTGTGACTACCAACCTTCTGCAAGAGAAGCGCCGCTGGTTTGACCGAACCACAAGCGACCTTTTGTTCAGCTTACGTGAGTATACATTGCGTCAGATCGAGGCAGAGCGACGCACTTTGGCAACACTAGAGAGTGTTCGACCTGATATTCGCTCCATTGACTCTTCTGGTGGCTTGAGCCGCCTGGGTCGCGAGGCACACCCTGCAGTACGCCGTTCCAACGCCATGTCAAGCCAGGGTCCCAAGGGTGACGCTTGGAGTGGTGTTCCACGTCGAGGTGATAACATGGGTCGCAGTATGAGCGGTAGTTTCGTTACCCCTGCCCTTAATGACGAGGATGAAGAGAACAATCCTGAGTCTGGTCAGGGCCGCGTGCGATCCACTAGCCAGGCTAGCTCAATCGCGGAAGATGATGACCGCTTGGATGCCCGAAATGCTGCTAGTCGACTGGCCACGAGTACCTTCTAGTCAGGTTGTCGGATTGCATCCATTCTGTACATGTAATGTAGCCTGAAAACGACATGTTTCCCCTTTGCTGTCACTATACTCCTGCCCTTGATGTTTATCTTTTTGAGCCAGTTTTATCTCGCGTTCAGATACTTCCTAAAACCGGCTCGCCGGAAACCCCTCACGTTTTCTATTCAGGTATCAAATTATGATCTAGATGGAATTATGACAATAATTGACCAAGCGAAGCGAGAGCAATAGTAGTTAAAATCTGCCGGTTTAGACTTAGGGGTGTGAGTAAAAAAGCATCTGTGCAAGCTATTCCCGAGTTCCCTTGTTGAGCTTTGTTGAAGGTGATTGAAGACATCGAAGTATCATTATCTCGATTCAACAATTATTTTCACGATCTATCGCTCCCGCGGTCCCACCTAGCTGCTCCATCTTCCGGCAACTCAAACCAGGATGCTTTTTCCTCCAAGTAGATGTGCTTGGTCGGTGGTGATACTTGAGCTTTCCATTCAGGACTATCATCAAGCGTGCCAGCTGCCAGGCTCACCTCGTTAGGGTATTTTTTCATGGTAAGTGTCGAGCCGCACTGAGGACAAAAGGTGCGATAGGCATCATCACTTGATTTCCACACTGTCGGCTCGACTGACCACTGGATGTTATCAGGTGGAAAGTGCACCCAGGATTGATAGGGAGCGCCCGCCTGCTTTCGACATGTTTTACAGTGGCAGTTGATCAGTGAGGTGGGCGGAACTGATGTTGTGTAGCGGATATAGTGACAAGCACAGCTTCCTGAGGCCATTGTGATATTACTGAGCCGTAAACGGTATGGGACTTCAATGTTGGTTGACTGATTGATAGGTCGCTGAGGTTAAGGGTATATGAACATTCAAGTCATATATTACTAGGTAAGGATAAATTGGGAGGGGAGTCTGCTTTCTAATTCTTGTATCTTTGATAATTCTATGCGGGGTAGGTTAGCTATGTTATAGGTCATAAGTGTAGTCATCTAGATGTTGATTATTAATCCTCAAGAATCCTCCAGGCCATTATAATTTTATATAACATTTGAAGCAAGTTTATACGCCGGGCATCCATTTCGTATCTAGATGTTAGACTCCTCGCTTCCAAGGTTCTAATCCTACTTGGGTAGAGATTGATTATTGATCCGAAGCAGGTATTTGTTTAAAGATCCATCTCGGGATTCTACTGAGTCTTTCAAGGCTCTTCCAAAGCTAAAGCTTATGTCCGGTTTATGTATGAAGGCATATATGTACTTTAATCATGCCATTTAACATAAACGTAGGTATAGTTCCTAGTCTCGTCAGTAGCAACCCTTTTCTTTCACCCTTCAAAAAGCGCAATAATTGCTTGAACAAAGTGGAGAGCCACCTATGTAATAACATGACTAGGAGGTCAAGACATAGTGGGAACTTTGTAAGTATTATTCAAATGAGTGGAAGTGGAAATGGAAGTAAACATTGAAAGTAAAGTTGATTAGAGCCGCATGACACTGACACCTGAGGCGGCAACCCCATCTTCATTCTGATCAAGCTTCCTGCCATCATCTTTCATCCTTCGACTTCGACTTTCCATTTCCTTTCTATTCTACCGCACGCAACCCCTACACGTTCATTTTGATTACCATATCCTTCTAGTACGATACCTTTCGCTACTTTTTTCTTATCCTTTATTCTTCATCAACCCAATTTCAATCGCTGACTATCTCCTACGTCGCTCAGAATCAAATCTCCATGAGTTACAACATTTTTGCAACTCAACCCCCCCATCTCTGCCCTTTGTCGGTAGGTCGCCACTGAAATGGCACCTCAATACAATCACAGCAAGAGAAAGCGCGATCGCCAGTGGTCCGGAAATTCGGTGAATAACGATCGACCTTCACCTCATCGTCCCGGTTCACTCCCTATGGCGCAACACCCATCTCAACCTGGCGCTCAATCCAGTCACAATCGAGATCAATATGACGGGCGCGACGAGTCGCGTCGGCAGTCCAACCGCGCCCATGGCGCGCGACACAATTCTCGCCGCGAATCTCACAACGGCCAGAACACTTCAAATTCTCAACAAATGTCCCCCCCCTCCTCCGACTCAGCCAAAGGATGTTGCAGAGTCTTCACATCCAAGTATCGAATTTCCAGTACTGCAGCCTATCCCCTCGTCTACTCCCATAAACCCTACCCCCCAACCACAGCAAGCTCCACCTCAAGTTGCCCACGAAGTTGTGTTTCGACCTCCCCCAGGTCCACCCCCTCCCTACGACTATGAAGTGGTAACGGATAGTATTGTCAAAGAGTGGTTATCGACCGGAAAGGGAAAAGTTGTCGAGGAAGGCAAGCTTGTTCAATCTAACCAGGATGGTCGACTTTCTTTGATATACCAAGAACTCATTCAATCCACCATTTACTGCCGCTTGTCGCCATCCGAGGCCGGAAGTACTGTGAAGCAAATAATTGGCGAGAATGAGGATGTGGATATGGACGACATGGAAAAGAATGGAATATTTTCTGATCCTCGCTCGATTTTCCTCGATACACTGTCCAGCGTCACCGATGCTGATACATCCAATCCCATCTTCAGACCTCTGATTTCCGCAACTGGAATCTCCCCTGCTCTCATGCGCATCCATCTTGAAACTCCTTTGTTGCAAAATCTAGGCCTTGTTCGCGAGACCTTTGCTCGCATGGGAATTCGCAAGCAAACCAACCTACTATACCGCCAATCAAATTACAACCTGTTGCGAGAAGAATCTGAAGGTTATTCCAAGCTTCTCACGGAGCTTTTTACTACGAGCAACAATGAGCCACCCTCAAGTGAAGTGGTCGAAGATACGTTTGAGAGAGTCAAGGCCATGATCGGCGCATTCGATATGGATGTCGGCCGAGTTTTGGACGTGACATTAGATGTGTTCGCCGCAGTGCTTGTGAAGCAATATCGCTTTTTTGTGAAATTGTTGCGAGCCAGTTCTTGGTGGCCCGTGGAGGACACGCTTCCTAAACTCGATCTACATGAGTGCAATTCGGGATTACCAACATGGGCGCTTCCGGGATCATCTGGCTGGTTCACAACCGAGGAAGATCGTGCCGTCATTCTGAAATTTAATGAAGAGCGGGATAGGAAGTTCTGGGATCGCGTGCGACAAGTTGGAATTCAGGCTTTCTTCGAAGTTGGACGCAAATCACTTTCAGAAGAGGACAAACATACATCCTTTGAAACCAGCGGCCTCCCTGCAATCGCAGATGCGACGCAGGCTTGGATAGAGGCGACTGGGACTATGCCACCGAAAGGCAACCGTGTCGCGGCTCAACTTCTCGGTCTCAAGCTTCGCTTTTACTCTTCAACGGCTCGTTCTAAGTCGGATACCTTGCCAGACAACCTTATTTATCTAGCTGCACTGCTCATCAAAGTGGGCTTCATTTCTCTCCGTGACCTTTATGCCCATCTCTGGAGACCGGATGACTCCATGGACAAGCTGAAGATGGAGAAGATGACAGAGAAGACAGAGAGAGATAAGGCAGCTCGACATGGTGGCTCTGCCAACGCTCTCATGATGGCCGGGGCTTTGTCTGATGACACACTTCCAGTGCCTCGCATTCGCGAATCAGAGTCCCGGGCTACGCCAGGGAAGGACGCGGACGTGAAAGCAGAAGATGACTTACCAGATCCATCCGACCAAAAGGTTCTACTCCTGAAAAGTCTTCTTGCCATTGGTGCTATCCCCGAGTCGTTGTTCATCATCAGCAAATTCCCATGGCTGATGGACCTCTACCCTGAACTGCCGGAATTCATCCACCGCATTCTTCATCACTCTTTGAGTAAGGTTTACACCCCTCTACGCCCTCTTTCATCTATGGAAACCTTTCCTGGTGAGAAACAAGTCGTGAGCACAGAACAGTCTGGTGTCGCCAAGGGTCATATTCGACTTTCAAACCCATCTGCAAGACGTTCTCTCCGATGGGCCCAGCTTGATAAAGAAGACACAAATGACGGAACCGACTACAGATTCTATTGGGACGACTGGTCAGACAGCATTCCAATCTGTCAGTCTGTTGATGATGTATTCGCTCTGTGTTCCTCGTTTTTGAATCTTTCTGGTCATAGGATTGGCGAGGATGCAAGCCTGCTCACGAAGCTTGCGCGTATCGGCAAGCACAGTCTTTCTCAAGATGGCTCAGAGGAAAATAGAACACGCTGGGGAGATCTATGTAAACGTCTCCTATTGCCATCTATCAGCTTGACCAAGAACAATCCTGGCGTGGTCAACGAAATTTTTGAACTCATTAGTTTCTTTCCTCGTCATGTTCGCTACAACATGTACGGAGAGTGGAGCTCAGGACAAACTTCAAGACTGCCGGTTATTAAAGCTGCATTTGACCAAGCTAGAGCAGCCACAAAGGATGTTCTCAAACGACTCAGCAAGACCAACATTCGACCCATGGCTCGTTTACTGGCAAAGATCGCCTACGCCAACCCTGGTATTGTCATAAATGTTGCCATTAGTCAAATCGAGTCGTATGAGAATCTCATTGAGTGCGTTGTCGAGTGTGCACGCTATTTCACCAACTTAGGATACGATATCACAACATGGGCTCTTATCGACTCCCTTGGTCAGAAGGGAAGAAGCCGTACGCAGGAGAGTGGATTGCTGACAAGCAAATGGCTCAATGCCTTGTCTACCTTTACTGGTCGAATCTTCAAACGCTATTCAGTCATGGATCCTGGTCCAGTTCTGCAATACGTTGTGGAGCAGCTGCGTCAGAACAACTCAGCAGATCTCATCATTCTGGAGCAGATCGTTACCTCCATGGCTGGCATTATCTCAGATACTAACTTTAATGAAACCCAAATTCACGCCATGGGTGGTGGAGAAATTTTGCAATCACAGATTATTCTAGAATGGCTCGATAAGCGACACGAGTCAAAGATTACATCGAAACGGCTACTCAAGTCGCTCACCCATACCCGAATGGCCGGTCAGCTTCTGGTCGCAATCTCTCAGGAGCGTTTGACTTGTGTTTATGACGAGTCTTGTTCAGAACTTAAATTGCTCGGCAACATCTTCGACGAGATTCACCGTATTCTTACTCAATATCTTGACTTCCTTCGCAGCAGTCTGTCAGTTGATGATTTCGACTCCTTTGTGCCAGACCTTGCCACTTTGATCAAGGACTTTGGAATTCAGCCTGAGATCGCGTTCTGGATTCGGCGAGCCAGTGTCTCCCAGAAGATCGCAAATTACGAGCAGTCGAAACAAAAGACAGAACTGTCTACCACGAAAGATACTGTGGTTGCTACCGATGCTGCTTCTGATATATTTTCTCTCAACCCAGTTGTTCAAGAATTCATTGAAACAGTCAAGGATGCCTTGCCTTCTGAATACTGGGAGGTTGTAGGCGTGCATTTCTTTGCCACATTCTGGCAGCTTTCTCTCTACGATGTGACCATGCCGCAAAAGTCTTACGAAGATGAGGTGGAAAAATTGAGACGTCGTATCGTGGCTATCAATAACGACAGATCTGATATCAGTATGGTTGCCTCGCAACGAAAGGAGCGAGAAAAGAAGCAGATTACACAACTCCAGGATCGAATTTTCGAAGAGAACAAGAGTCACTTGGCAGCATACCAACAAACCCGAACCCGGCTGCAGAAGGAGAAAGACCGTTGGTTTGCTGGGATGCGCCTTAAAAGCGATAACCTCAACGTCGCTCTGTTGGAACAGTGCTTCATCCCCCGACTCCTTTTGTCGCCCATTGAGGCTTTCTTCTCTTTCAAGATGTTGAAGTGGTTGCACAGCTCTGGAACGCCTTATTTCCGGACCGTTGGTTTGATTGATCAACTTTTCCGGGAACATCGACTTGCTGCGCTCATTTTCATCTGCACTTCCAAAGAAGCCGATAACCTAGGTCAATTTTTGAATCATATTCTGTGCGACCTTGCCCGCTGGCATGCTGATAAGGGCGTCTACGAGAAAGAGGCGTTCGGTACTAAGAGAGACCTTGCTGGATTTGCGCCAACTGTCGACTCTGAAGGTGCCCCAGTCAAGTTTATAGAGTTTGAGGACTTCCGTCGTCTGCTCTACAAGTGGCACCGTCATTTGTGCAGTGCACTCAAGACCTGTCTTAACGGAGGCGAGTACATGCATATTCGCAATGCCATCAGTGTTCTCAGAGCAGTTGTTGAAACTTTCCCGGCTGTCAATTGGATTGGTGACCACCTGTTGAAGTGTGTCAAAGATCTCAGTCAAAATGATGAGAGGGCGGATGTGAAGATTTCTGCTGCCTCTCTTATCGGACATCTCAATCAAAAAGAGAAAAAATGGATTCTTCCACAGGCCTTCCATCTCCCCATGGTTCAGCCCGATGCTGGCCAGTCTAAATCTGGTTCGCAACCTCCCGGCACACCACAGCCTCGATCTTTCACCCCTACCCCGCTCAATGCCACTGCGGCTGAATTCCAGCCAGGAAAACAAGAGTACGTCAAACCACACATTGAACTCTAACTCAGTCATCAACTAACAGCTTCCAGCGCTGCGGATCCTTCCAAGCAAGCATCAGGTAAGACCGAAGTGGAAGATGGCGAAATCGAAGACGCTAAGATGGTTGATGTTGCCTCGGCAAAAGACGTCAACGATGCAGAGCCGGTTTCAGATGGAGGATCTGCCCATGCCACCACGGACACCGGTGTAGCTTCATATTCAGGTGGCCTGCTCGAATCAGAGCAACGTGGTCAAGCAGAGCCACCCTCGCGACCCCGACCCAATCCACGAGCCCTAGATTCGGCTCGCCCAGCCGATATCCCGAAACGTCCAGACACTGAACGAGGCAGCATTAATCCTCGCGAACAGGCCCTTCGGCCACGTATCACTGAGAATAGACTCCCTCCTCGTCCTGACCTGCTGGAAGACCGACGAGACAGACTCTCTGACTTTAACCCTCGAACCCGTCACGGTCTGCCTGAGCATGGTCGCTTCGATGGATCTGGGGTCGACGGTCGAGGTCCCGTACATGGACGAGATCGCGACTTTGGAATGAGACCCACTCCTGATGATCCGATGCGCGGACCTCCTTATCGCGAGGGCCGACTTCCCCGTGAACCCGAATGGCCTGCTGGCCCCGGTCGACATTCGTTCCATGGACGAGAGGGGCCTATTCGCGGCGAACTTCTGCCCGACCGGACTATCGAAGGCCCTCGTAGGGGAGAGAAGGAAGACCGACGTCCCTTCCCGCCCAGCTCGCTGCCGCCGCGATCGTCTGATCTGCCCAATCGACCCGAAAGATTCCCCGATGAGCATCGCTCTGTAAACTTTCCCCAGCAACCACCACGACATGAGGAATTTCCTCGGGGTCCTCGCGATCGCTCCGGTGGTGAGCCAAGAGATGCAGGTATGAGCTCGGATATGACCCATGGCCGGCCACGCCAGCCTGAACTTCTTCATGACATTCCCTCTGGACCCCGCATGAGAAACGGCCGTGGCGCTCGCAACGCCCCCGTGGCTCCCTCCATGAACAATACGAACAATGGCAACGTCGCCACAGCTGAACGTCAGCTTCCCACTGGCCCTGGTCGCCAAGGTGGACGTGTCGCTCCTGAACAGCCGTCTGCTACCCAGCCCTCACCGTCGCAACCTTCTTCATCGGCTGGTGCTGATACTTCTGGCGTCCATCCGGATCGGCTCACACGAATAATTCAACAACCTTCATCCCAGCAGACTCCCTCACAGGTCCCCTCAGGTCCCATGACTCCTCCTTCGGGCCCTCGTGGCGCATCAAGTGGTCAGCAAGGAGGTCGTGGGCCCGGCGAACGTGGGCGTGGTGACAAGCGCTTTGCAGCCATCAACAATGTTCTCACTCAGGGAAATAGCCCTGTTGATCGTGTGGGCGCTGCTCCCTCTATCCGTGGACGTGGTGCAACCCGCCAATTGAATAACGCCGACGACTCCCCTCAGACGTCGGCTCGACCCCCCAATGGACCCGATGCCTCTCGAGACGGCAGCCAACAGCGTGGACGTGCTAGTGGACGCGGTGGTGATCTTATCGATGATACCGGTTCCGAAACCCGCCGTTCCGGGCGCAACAACGATCGTGGCCGTGAGAATGAGCGAGATCGCCGTGGCGACGAATCTGCCAATGGCAGCAAGCCTAATGGCAGCCGGCGCGAAGAGCGCCGTGAACGGGATCGCAATCGCCGGAGCGATGTCGGCAGTGGTACTGCCCGAGAGGAGAAGGACCGAGAGCGCCATGCCGAGTCCCGCGAAGCGATGCGCCGCAACCCTAGTTCGCGCGAGGAAATGCGACGTCGTGACCGCCGTGATCGTGAAGATCTGAAAGATAACGCTGACAATGATGGCCGGCTTCATCAAGCCTCGACAATGGGTCCTCCATCCTCACACCCTGCGCCTCCCCCACCACCTCCCCCTCCAGCTCCTCCAGCTTTGCCAACTGATGACAACGGACGTCGCTGGGGTGCGGGCAACCGACCTGAAAATCGAGATCGCGAACGTGAGCGTCGAGGTGAGCGCGATCGTCGGGAACGTCGCGAGTCTGGCCGCAACAAGCGCCGCCTTCCCAACCAGGAAGACAACTCCCAGATGGGAACTGAGAATAAGCGTCCTCGCAGAGGCATGTGAGTATCAATTGATCTCATATGATGTTTCCAATATCAAAAGGCAAATATTTTTTATCCAGATAGCCTATTAATGAAAATTCAATATCAAGAATTAAGATTGCCTGCGTAATGTATCAACTCCTGGGTTCTACATAGAGAGCTCAATTCGGAGTACAGAGTATCGAATTATTGTTTCAAGGAATTTACAGCTTGATAGCAAATATTAAACTACCTGGAGTTATCGTGAACAGATCGATCAGAAGATTTGGCAAAAATTCGCTACTAGGCGTAGTATTTAGTGGTTAGTTATCGAACCCTCAGCGAGTCATCACATAATCATGAAGTTATTCACTCTCATCCTTCAAACTCTCAGATATGCCAAGATGAGTAATTTCGTCAGAAATCTTTTTACGATGACAAAATATCCAAATGGCTCCCAGAAGTCCTTAAATCTGCTTCTCAAACAACAATTTTCTGCCAAGCAGAAGAGGCAGGTTACTGTTCCACTGGAGGCTTCCACCCTGTCTCGCTAGGAGATACTTTCAAGTCTGGAAAATACGAAGTATTAGGGAAACTAGGCTATAGGCAGTATTCTACCGTCTTGTTAGCGAGAGATTCAGAGTGGGTATATTTCTCCATCATTGTCAAGCATGCAGCTGATCGAGTACCCAAGAGCTTTGAGACACGTACGCTTAAAATACTGAGAGCCGATTGCTATGGTGGCTCGAGCGAGATATTTGAGCGAGAAATTCTTTCAAAACTGTCTGCTTTATCTAAGAAAAGCATCCACCAGGGTCGACGTCACGTACTACCTGCCCTGGATGAGTTTTGACACAATGGGCCCAATGGAAATCACGTCTGCTTTGCTTTCGACGTTTCAGGCCACCATTTGGGCTTTCAATCTATCCTTTATGAAGATGGGAGATGACCCTTTAAGGCAGTGAAATCAACAACATGACAACTTCTTCTTAGGCTAGATTTTCTCCATAGGGAGTGTCAAATCATTCATACAGGTATGGACATACGCCACAAATGCTCTTTTGCTTATAACTACCTAGGTAGGTTTTTGACCAAGCTGAAAATAGATTTGAAGCCTACGAATATCCTTCTCAAGCTGGGAACCCCGGAACAAGCCATTGTGGAATACCTTTCGGAGACTCCTGTACGAATCAGTAATGAGCTTGATTCTCCTAAGCCACTTCCAGAAGTTATCAGCACACCTCTTATATCTAATATGACTGAATCGCAAATTGCAATTGTTGACTTCGGTGTTAGTACGTATCACCCACCCAATTATTGTTATTCTCTAGATTATACCTAGGTACTTATACACAATCTACACCCTCTTGGGTTGACAATCACCCGATGGATGCAATTCAATCATCAGCTTTGCGAGCGCCAGAAGTCACAATCGGCGCCGATTGGGATGCCAAGGTTGATATTTGGAGTCTTGGTTGTCTTGTAAGTAACTATTGAGTCTACCAACCGGTAGTAGCATTCCTAACTATTTTAGGTCATCGAGTTTGTCCAGGGCTTTGTGCTTTTTGCTGGACAGGCGTCAAAAAATGGTTCATGGACTCGCAAGAACGATTGAAGTACTTGGTGATTTCCTGCCTGAGCTCCTGAAAAGAGGGGAAAGGACCACAGAGTTCTTAACCGGGAGAGTGGTCTCCTTCGAATCTCGGATATGAAAGCGACAAGTCTTGAAAGGTCGATAAATGGTGCCGAAAAGCAGTTCATCAAGCCTCACGATATGCCTGGCGCTGAGATCCATATATAATTGTTGACTTCTTGCGAGGAATGCTTACAATAGACCCGATATGTCAAAAGTCAGCGACAGAGCTACTGCTGCATGAATGGTTGAAGTTCTAATTTACTCCCCAAGCTTCAACTGCAGCTAAAAGCCCTGTAAGTCACACCGCTACCTGGAGGTTCTGGATAAGTAGCACATTGAATGACAAGTCCAGATTCTACCAATGCGAATGGTGTTCTAGCTGGAGGTAGTTTACCTAGGGCTGGAGTCTTCTGCTGAAGTTAAGAACCTTGGAGCACTTCCAGGGCTAGACCCTGGGGTATCCACAGCATTTCGGGTATTCGCGGTATCTAAAGCTTTTAGGTCTTGAGGTTCTCGCCATGAGATACCTAGATCTAAAAATTCGAACATTCAATTTAAAGTCACAAATATTTTAAACTTTCCTGCCACCTCAAGCTAGATCCCTTACAACCCATCTATCTGGTTTATAGTGGCATAAATTTATAACCCATCATACAAGCCCTGCCGGGCTAGCTCAATCGGTAGAGCGTGTGACTCTTAATCACAAGGTTGGGGGTTCGACCCCCCCGTTCGGCTATTCCTACTACGAACCTTCGAGTCCCTCTTTTTTTTAAATTTTTGGTTATCTCTTTGGCTATTTATAAAACATTAGAATTTAGATATATACTTTTTCAATTTTTGCCCCATGGAATAACTCTGTAATCTTGATAAGACCCCTTAAAAGTCGTCCTATTTAGGCTTGCTTGGTGTAGTTGATCACGTGAAAGTATTCCCTGCATAAAAGTTTAAAAGGTTAAGCCTCAGTATCTCATACCGCCCATTATACTGCCAATAGTATTATCATATTCAAGTAAACAACAGGTCGCGACACCACTAATTGCAACTTGCAAGTTTCGAATGACGAAATTCCTTCTTTAGGAGTGAAATAAACAGTAAACTCAACCCTGCACTCGAAAAAGCTTCTCGGATTGACCTCCATAACCTTGCACCATCATGCCTTCAAATCAACTTGACCTGATCCTTACAACATTGGAAAGAAGAACTCACTTCCTACTATTGCAGGGCTGTAACGAGATGATTCTTAAATTATCAGAGCAAATGTATTCAACTTCATTATCTGAACGTACATTATAAATTCGATATAGATTTTGGCAAGTCCATGTACGGTTATAACCTGATCCGAATCAGTCACAATCAACCTTGAAAATGTTGAACCTCGAAGAGGCATTCTAATCTCAGCTCATCATTGGCCCGAATCCTTATCAAACTACGTAACCAGAAGTGAAATGCGGGGGTGGGGCTTCCCTGGATATTCGATCATCCATTTCAATACAAGAACCCACGCCCCTCGCCATCCTGACCAGGCCATATACGAATACTGACGTATACAGCCCACAGCCCATGGACCCTCCCAAACAAGAAAAATGTCCAACGAATTCGGCATTGCAACCCTATCTCTCGGAAATTGGCGAGAGCACCGACTTGAGCCCAGACTAAAGGCAGCAGCCAAAGCCGGCTTCAAAGTAATTGACCTATTTGACGAATGCTGGGCCGCCTACTTAGAAGAACACAATGTGCCAGGAACAAATCTCTGGAACGCCACACCCGAAAATCTCCGCATAGCCCACAAACTAGGGAAGTTAGTCAAATCGTACGGAATGCGCATCGCCTGCACGCAACCCTGTCGTAATGTAGAAGGGATCCTAGATGCCGCCGAACGCCGTGCGAGTCTCGGCCTCGTCGCACAGCGGTTCCCCTTCATGCGCGCTTTCGATACAGACCTTGTTTTCTTGTGCGCTAGCGTGCGCACTGATAGCGGCGTGACATCTGATTTGAAAGTTGTTGCGCGTGATCTAGCTGAGCTTGGTGATATGGCTAGGGCTTATGCAGAGGCGGATGGGGGTCCGATGTTGAAGATTGGGTATGAGGGATTATCTTGGGCAGTGAGGAATACGTGGTCTGCCTCGTGGGAGGTTGTCGAGTTTGCTAATCGGGGTAATGTGGGTTTGGTTGTTGATGCGTTTAATGTTCTTGCTGTTGAGTTTGCGGACCCCTATTGTCCCGATAGACATGGTCGTGTCTATCCTACGCTACAAGAGTCTGTTGATGTTCTCGCCGCATCTATGAAATCTCTGGCTGCTACCGTGCCTTGTGAGAGGATATTCTTCTTCCAGTGCGGTGATGGGCAGCTAGTGAACCCAAAGACTTTTTTGAAATCGTCTGATCCGGAGATTCCTGCTCTTCTTCCTTGGTCGAGAAGTCATCGTCTTTTCCCTTTGGAAGAAAATTATGGCGGTTATATGCCTGTGGAATTGGTTACGGCGGCGGTTTTAGCTACTGGTTATCAGGGACCGATTTCTCTTGAGGTCTTCAATACCTCCTTGAACTTGCCTGGTAATGATGTTCCATCCGTCCATTCAATCAGAGGCATGAAGGGATTGCAAAAGCTCATCGAGACTGTTGATACTCTATCACCTTTTTGGCAAAGTGAGGATGATGCTCGGAAAGCCAAAGAACAGGTCATCAAACGGGTACAAACTACCAGGTCTATGTTATAAGCTTTGAGGTCTCCGATATAAATTAAACCAAAGATACTAGTCTAATGCATGCCCTTGAACGGAGGTTTTTTGGAGCCAAAGCAACTTCGGAAAACACGGAGTATTACAAAGATACCGAGATAGTGAAACAGTTTTGTGTCTTGGAACCTTGGAACTGATAACAAGTATCCAGGCTTGAAATGAGCAAAGGACCAAAGGGTATATACATTAAGCAGACCATATGAAACATGAACAAGACCGAAATGACAAGGGAAAAAAAAAGGAAACCAAAGAGGGTAAGGCTAAAGCAGAATAAAAAGTACCATCGTAAGGATCATGCAACAGGAACAGCATCCACAGTGCCAGTCATGCGCGGATTCAGTACCATGACCGATTCCTTCCGTCGCATACCCAGACCAGCCAACTTTCGTAAAAGGCGCGATGCACCCTTTCGCCGCTGATGATGGGGCGCATCAGTGGGGTAAATGATAGAATAAAAAGTCTTTCGATTATCGTCTTCGTTGCCGTTCACATTCACATTCGCCGTGTCAGAATCATGATCTGTCCAGAATTGCAACAGGTCATTCGGACTCCTGTTCTCTTCTGTCCGTGATGAAATCGAGTCGCGACTCGCGCGCATATTGAATGATGTCCATTGTCGCGCACCGAATAATGTCGTAGATGGTATTTGCTGTGTGCTGTAAAAACGGCCCTGAGACCCAGAGCCAGAACCAGAACCAGAGCCAGAACCAGAGCCAGTGGCAGTACTGGGCGCAGACACGGTGCTCATATTAATGCCAAAGTTATTGTAGGGGTTTTGTAATTCAAATTCTGCTCGGAACCAGGTTGCGGAGTTTGGCTCAGTGTAAGGCTCTGGTGTTTCTGTCCCCTGGGTATCGTCTGTCGGCCATTGTATATTCTTTGCCGATGATGGGCTGAAAGGGAAAAATCCTGGACTGGACGATCGAGAGCGAGATTCATAGCGGGAGTGGAGAGAAATATCATCTGTAAAGTTGTGTTCTCGACCTCGACCCCTTTCACTTTCTCCTCGTCGGGGTGAGAGGGACAATGGCTTCCCATAGAACCTGCCAGTACCTGAAGTAGCTGACCTGGGTAAACTGTTCGGGCAGAAACCTCCCATTTTAGGTGGTGACTGCAAACTGAGACCTATACCGGAATCTAGATTCCCCTTCTCACTCAGAGAAGTTGACGAATAAAAGCGCGCTCCCTGCTCCACAGACTTGGGGGGTGTTGCAAGTGGTAGGTGTTTGGAGATGGCACTTGTAGATTGGGATTTTTGTAGTAATTGAGCTTCACCGTGAAATGATGGCCACATGGGAAGGCCTCGATCGATACTTTGGATGAGGAGAGCACAAGCAGAGGCCATGTCATCTTCTAAATCCTCGTCTAGTTTCTGTCGGGTGATAATTGGAGATGAGGGACAGAAGTATCCCGGCTCGTCTTTGAAATCGTAGTGGCGAGCACGATCTGCATCATTATCCCATTCAGACTCACAATTGTTTGAGCTGGGACCTGTTGATGTGTGGGGTCGGCCATTGGATTGGTCAAGGACATCGACTGTAGATGAATTCATTGTCGGCACGCGATCAAGTCCTTGGGAGCTGCGAGAAAATGGGAGGCGTTGACGAATCTTCGAAGCTTTCTTTGAAAGTCTGTGCTCCATTGTTGTGGACAAAGTTGGAGTAATGGATATGCCCAGGTGAGAGTTGTTGAACGAAGTTTCCAGAGTGTGGTGGAAAAGGATGGCTGGGATAGATCTTGATAGCAGATAATGAAATAGATACCACCGACACCGACTATGCGCCACAGAACAGAAGTGGATAAATTGGCAAATGATAGCGGGTGGATCTACACAAGATAGCAAATAGATTTAAATTGGCAATGTTTTGATATAGAAAAAAATGGGATGAGACTGTTGTCATTACAACAGAGGAATGCTGGAAGGGATGCCGATCGAAGAAAAGGACGAAGTGAGACAAGATAAAGCAGAAAGCAGAAGGCAGAAGGCAGAAAGCAGAAGGCAGAAAGCAGAAAGAAGCAAGCAGAAAGCAGATCTGGGGGTTACAATTAGTTTATCAGTTAGATAAAATAAAACAAGGTACCAGAAAGTGGAGAGTAGATTAGGGAGCGGCTAGGGCTCCAAGACGATATCTCGAAAAGATAGACCAATTGTAATGACTTGATGTACTTTTGATCTCCACTTATTTACTTATTGAGAACTCGGCTGGTCTAGCCTTATCGCGCTGTCTTTAGTCCCCTAATAAAGGGTTTGAGGCGCAACTAAACCAATTTGGGGGTACATTTCATCAGCTAAAAGTGACTCAAAGCAGGATTCAATGTTTCGGTTTCTGTTGAGGATCAACAGTGAAGCATCCCTAATATTGAAGTAACAATGTCTTATCTCTAGCCCCCACCTTTATAGGCTATGAACGCCACTTGTAACGTGCATAATCAGTTCTAATATTTTGCCATTTTCTTATTTACCCGCTAGTTTATGCTAGGATGGCACGATGGAGACCTAGAACCAGGCTCGATCCATGGTCCATCCCTTAGTCGGCAAAATAGATCAGTAAAATCAGAAACTGAACTAGTTTTTGGATAAATATTAAAATTGAAATTCATCGTGTGATTTATATGACATTAATGCGTTTCTTTAGGTCTAGTTTGTGATGGGGCTGACTTAGCTCTGTGCGACTCGTCTGAACATATCAAACATGCAGACTCACCACTCCGTAGCCGAGTATAACCACGGAATCTTCAATCTTCATAATCTTTATAATGGAATACTCCGTATGGAGAATTTATTCTTTTTTATTACGTGGCTTCAATTAGGCTATTTTAATGATAGCTACTTAAAAACGGACCCATAAGCTGGGTAATGGGTCTGATGGAGCAGTTGGATGCTTCTTGTGCTGTCTTCCAAGGATAGATCCATGTGGAGTTCGAGAGTGGCAGTTGGATGCCCATCTCCCTGACTAGCTTAAACGGACAAAAGAAACTGCTCTTTACTTCCCCTTTTCTTTTGGTGCATGGGCCAACGACACGCGGGAGGTCCGTGCCGACCACCCCGTTACGTTACCCAGGGGCCGAAACCCGAGCCATGACAGTGCAGAATCCACTGTGACCTAAAGGAACTTTTCGATAAGCTGATGATTTACCATGCTGTGATATCATCCACCTCAGCCTCGCCGAAGGTGCTACTCTTCGCGAGCTTGGTCACACTCGCAACGGCGGCAGCTCCTTCCGCCGTTTTCTGGGCCATGATGTCTGGCAGCACTTCGTGGAAAAACTCGACAATGTAACGGTTGACTTGTTCAAATTGCAAAAGGAAAGCGTCGTGGCCCTCCGGGCTATCAATGCGTTTGAGTCGTGAATCGGGAATGCCTGCCGCGATCTCCTGCTGCTCCGCAAAGGTAAAGAGACCGTCTGTTTCAATTCCAATAACGAGGGTGGGCTGTTGAATTTGAGACAGAGCCTCCCGAACAGGATCGTCCGAATCCGGACTTGCACGATGCCGGGACACATCATGGGTGTCAAGCTTTCGAGTAATCGCGATATAGCAATTGGCATCAAACCGCTTGACAAATTTCTCTCCCTGGTACCGCAGGTAGGACTGAGCTGAGAAGTAGGTTGCTGGTCGCGATCGGCCCGAATTGGGGGGAGTCGGCCCCGACAGGATCTTGGTACCGGAGAATTGGGGGTCCATATACTGGACCTCCTCCACCTGCGGGACTGGTGAGTGCTGTCGGCTCTCGGGACGCGATGAGCCACCGCGATGGCCATCATTATGAATCGCCCAGTGCTCATTGTTCGGAGGAGTTGGCGCCTTCTCGACGCCGTTGATATTTTGCTTCTTGGATGGATCCGGCACGTTACGGCCAAAGCGGGACTCGAACGAGTTGCGACTGCGGTATGTGAGCAAGGCCGACATGCGGGCTGCTCCTAGACCAGCCGAGGGGGGGTCATCGAAGGGATAATATCCGTCGTCGTACTTCGGGTCACAGTAGATGCTCTGTCTCTGCGCCTCGCCCCAGCTGATGCACCACGCGGAATGGCGTGCAGAGGTCGCAATTGGCACAATGCACCGAACATAGTCCTTTCCGAAATAGGCATACTCGAGGGTAAGCATACCTCCCATGGAACCACCAACCACAGCTGCAATCTGCTTGACACCGAGATCATCCAGCACAAGTCTGTGGATATTTACATCATCACGAACAGTGGTGAGGGGGGAATTCCGGGCCATAAGGGCCATTTTCAGGCTTGCCGTCCTTGTATGTCACGGCGCTGGCGCTTCCATAAGGACTACCAAGACTGTTGAAGCAGACCACGAAGAATCGAGAGACATCAAAAGCCTGACCGGGACCACCAAGCAAAGGACCCCACCAGTCTGCAACATCGGCACTTCCACTGAGGGCATGGCAGATTACCAGGGCATTATCTGCCGTGGGCGACAGTACACCTCTAGTGGTATAAGCTACAGGAACATTGTGTAGTGTCACGCCGGATTCGAGGGTGAAGGATGGGATAACCGCGATTGACTGCTCATCAATCAATGCGCCAAACGGGTTCTCAGGTTGTGAATCGACTCTCTCTACGGGATTTAGTAGCCGTTTAGGTCAATTGAGGGGAAAGGGGCATAAACTGACGGAATTTCGCAGGAGAAACACTAGCTTGGTCGACCATGGTGTTTATCGACTGTTGAAGAATAATGTGGAAAGAAAAGAAGAGGAAGGGTTAAAATATTCCATCCCGCAAAATGAGTCAAGCCACTTACAAAGTAAAGGCGGTGAGTTGACGCCCCACTGATTTATAATTTTTTTAATCAAAATCTCTGATCCAACTCACTTCTTCTCATCAACACCACCGCCTCAATTCAATTTCTATCCATCTTTCCACCCACAATCATACACAATGGCCAAGGTTAAGAATTCTAGCGAAAACATTTCCTCCCGTCTTGCCCTTGTGATGAAGTCTGGCAAGGGTGAGTTTTACCATCAATTCTGCAGGTCCAAATAATTAACTGACGCGCTCCAGTCACCATGGGATCCAAGTCTACCATGAAGACCCTCCGCAACGGTAAAGCCAAACTAGTCCTCATCGCCGGAAACTGCCCTCCCCTCCGCAAGTCCGAGCTCGAATACTACGCTATGCTCGCCAAGACTCCTGTCCACCACTTCAAAGGAAACAACGTACGTCGACCCTTTCCAAGCCAATACCCTTCGGGGCTGTTGCAGCTGGAAGCCAGCTTTGCTACTCTGAGAAGAAGTTGGCTTGTCCGCTTTGGAGGGTGAAGTTGCTCAGCGATGGGATCTCCTATGAGATCCCGGAGAGCGAATTAACTAATACCCGTATAGATTGAACTCGGAACTGCTTGCGGTAAGCTCTTCCGATGCTCCAGCATGGCTGTCCTTGATGCTGGTGACTCGGACATTCTTACCCACGGACAGTAAATGTGCCATGTCCTCGCGTGGGCACTGTCGGGATAAACAGACCTAACAAAATTGATGATTTATGAGATTCCGGGTCTTACTATTACCCAAATATGGAAATCAACACATTATAAGTAGTGTGGATTGCTAAGATTGACGGCATTTGCGGTCAGATCAGTCATAGCTTAGGAATAAATGAAGCCCGTTTCCTTGGCAAATACTTAGTATGTCTAGTAAGCTAAAGAATTTTACAAATCTTGTAATGTAATAGGGTTTATTGTTATGGCAATATTAGATTCAGTAAGACACTCTGTTAGGATCTGAAAGGTGAACGTTTTCGCTCCTTTTTGTTCATATCAGTACCATATCAGAGGCCGACAGCCTCTACCTGGAGAGAACCTGTTTGGACAGGACCTGTAGGCCCCTCATTCACTCTCTGCTTTAATGTTCGTAAAATGTCGTCAATTCCTTCCACCTGATCACTCATCTCCCGGAGCTTGTGGTACAAAGCAACCAGAGCCTCATATTTAGCGGTGGCCAACTTCCACACGGCACTTTGATTATCCCCAGCACCGCCTGCCACGAATTCTCCATACGACCGTGGCGGCTTAAAAAGATAGGGTAGAACTGTAGTGAGAGCCGGTGGTGTGAGGACAGCCCATGGTCCAGAGATTGGGAGTCGTCCACCAACGGCCGGGGAGAGTTGTCCCAAGCTTTCTTCTGACGGTAGTGGGAATCGTGACGATGTGTCTGAAGTGGGAGTTGCCGGCAACGGTTGCCAGTTAGCCTCAATGACGGATTTTATAAAGTTGACAGCAGCCAAAGCGACATCTTTCATCGCCACGATATCGGCGGCAGCAACTACATCGGTCCAGAAAGTCGGATGCTCATTCAGGTAGCTGAAGTAGAGTATGCGCGCAGAAGCAGCCTCGTGGTGCCAGCTCGTCGGAATTTGGCCAGTAGTCAGATCCGTGGAGTCAGAGATTGCCGCCTGCGTTGGCCCATGAAAGATTTTTCCAAGAACATCCAAGGCTTCTTCGTTCGGAGGATTGGTGGGAATTATTAGCAGGGGATTCGTGTCGTTCTTTCCAGCTTCCACAAGCAGAACTCGAGGAAGTGAAGCTAGGATGGCCAAATGGCCAGTAGGTACTTCTCCATGTGCCCACTGTGTGGCAGGGATGGCTAGAGCTCGCCCAATACGCGAAATAAGGTTGTCTAGCAAGGTAGAAGGGCTCGTCAGCAGATGGTTGGGGTATAACTGAGCATATCTAGCCACATATGCCATAATAGGACCAGAAAGGTAGATCAAGTCCATGGGATCAAGTTTCGATTCATCAAGGTAGTACTCCAGCACTTTGAAATGTAGCTTCTCTGAGATCAGAAAGTCAAGCGCAGGTGATGAGAGAGTTGAAGCAGACTGAACATAACCCTGGGCACTTAGACCTGGAGAATCTATTTCGAGCAGCTCTCGATAAAAGCTAAGGAGTGTCATATGCATCAACACGTCGCTGGAGTCGATCATCTGGCACGCAGCAAAATGGAGAATATTCTTGCTCGCGTACTTTTCCTCGACGTCTGGCACTTGGGACTTTGAAATGAGATCCCAGCGCAAGCCGCCTACCTTGACCAGGAGACTCATTAGCCGTCCCTGGGCAACGGTCCGTTCGCGCCTGGAGAGCTCTCCCGGCGCATCGTCTTTAAGACTGCATAGCCCGAACAGAAGGCCGTAGATATCCTTATCTGTGAATATTCTTCTCCATAGAAGGCCTTGTCCTGTGCGTCCTTCGTTACGAGAGTTTTCATAGTCGCCATTTTCGAGGGGGCTAGCTAGGTCTACCTCTAACATAGCCCACAGCGCATCGAGTGCGGCCTGAGCAACTGCCGTGGAGGATGTTGACAGCCAGAGTTCGAAGAGTGAGGCAACCAACCCAGAGTCTGTTGCAACGATAGCAGCATCACTAGATGTCTGACCTGCCTTAGATAGCAAAGATAAAGTGACAAGGTTTATGGGCGGCCAAGGAGCCTTCAAGCCGGCGACGAGGTCGATGGGCGGCTTGATGGAGCGGAGATCGGCGAAGCTGAAGTAAAGGGTAGCCCTGATGGCTAGGTCAGTGAGAGGCGTCGGATCCTCTTGTAAGATAGGCAGAAGCGTTGAAATCTGAGATAGCAGAGTGGCGGCAACAACAGGAGGCGTATTTTCAACAAGTTGAAGCTTCAGTCGGTCGATCAGGGCAATATCGAGAGATATAGATGGATCCTCCTGGAGCTTAGCCAGATGTTCTTTGACTGCATCAAAAGTAGAAGGGATGGCCATGATGGCCGAGTACAAACTTAAAGCTTTTAGTAGCTCTTATATCGAAGGTGAGATTGTTTATATACAATAGCGGGGAAAGCTCTCCTGATAGCCTATTTAATAAGGCACACATACAAACCAGTCAAACATGACCGCATCGCCAATATCTAGACCATCTTAATGTTATCTTCTCCGCATGCATCTTCACCTTGATTAATTCCAGACTTTATAATGTCGCTACCGTCTCTCATTTCCCATAAGTCTTCTGACTCCGGACTACAAATTCATCTTCATCCTCTTGTGCTTCTCACTATCTCCGATCACATCACCAGACATGCCGCACGACACCAGGAAGGTCCCATCCTCGGCGCCCTCTTTGGCCAACAAAACGGACAAGTGATAACGCTTGAGAATGCCTTCGAATGTCCCACCAAAAGCGATTCTAATGGTCAAGCCCTCATCCCAGAGCCATGGTTTGCAGAGAGAGTGCAGCAGTGTTAGTAACCTAACCCAATAATTGTGGCTCCAAAGTATTTACCCACTCTACAGTCAAGGACGTGTACAAAGATCCCCCTCTCGAAATAGTGGGTTGGTGGACAGCCGCCGCTCCATCAGGTCCTGATGCCTCGCATCTACCAATTCACCGGCAAATCCTCCAAGATTACAACGATTCAGCTGTAATCCTGGCATTTCACCCCGAACAACTCCAACAGTCCCGATCGCAAGGCGCACGACTTCCCTTGACTATCTATGAAAATGTACTCGAGGGAGATGATGCTACTGATGGGGACAAGGAAATGCAAATCGACGGCGAGGAGTTGGCGCAAAAGATACGTTTCCGAGAACTGCCATATACCGTTGAAACTGGAGAAGCTGAGATGATTGGCGTTGATACTATTGCCACTGGATCTGGAACCGCTGCTTGGCATGGAATACAGTCCACTACTACAGACCAAACCTATGAAAACCAAAGTCCATTTGAGACGGGCGAGCAGGCACTGTCTCAGGAAGAAGAGAGTTGTAGGTCTCTCAGTACACCTACCGATATTGAAATTTCTAACATGAATCCAGTAATTGCAAACCTCAGCACCCGCCTCAATGCTGTCCGCACACTCCAGTCTCGCATTTCCCTTATCAAATCTTACGTTACCAGCATTTCAGAATCCAACAATGCCGACACTCCTCTGCCGCATTCTATCCTTCGCAATGTCAATTCGCTCATATCAAATCTTGCCATTCTCTCACCTTCTGACGAGAGCACATTCTCCATGGAAGTTATCTCACAAAATAATGATGTTATGCTCGCATCGCTTCTCGGGAAAATGGGCGAGGTTCTTCAAACTACCCTTGAGATGGATGTCAAGGCGTCCATCGTCAATCAGGCCAACCAGACCAGTCAGTCCAGTCTTCGTGCCAATAAGGCTTTCGATGATGAACTTCGTCGTAACCCTCATCTCAGATGAAAACAGGAAGAAAAAGGAAGGGCACAAAGTATAAGGCGATATCAAGTATAATTCAAACCATGCATTCCCCTTTCCAGATTCAAAAAAAAAATTAATTTATGACATTCCTGACATCCACAGAAAGACAAAAATCAAGACAATAAACCCATTTGGATTTAGCAGAAGACTTTATTAAACACTGTTCAAGACTTTATTCACAGATTGTAAAATAGGCCCCATATTCCGGAGAGGGATTTTTACTCTCCTGCGCGGGACATTCTTGGCTGAGGGCTTTGAAAAGGAGACCGTAGTAGCATAACACAGTGAGAAATTTATCAGTCAAATAAATAGCTAAATATTTAACTATTTACCTAAATAGTTAGTGATAGTTAACTACTCAGTCCTGGTAAAAAATGTAGTAACAATACTATGGTATCTAATAGTTATAATGTTGTTTATCTGCCTAACTTTTAAGTCAAATTGATTTCTATCTCTTATTCAGGTGATATAGCCTCTCTCATACTACCGAGTAATACCTTCCTGTCATATGCATTTATGAAGGATCTAGAATGGTATTAGGAGCATTGCTTTCCAACCAGGGCTGTTAGATATTTACACTATGGCCAATCTTCTATTTCATATCCGGGGATTACCAGTACATCCAATATTAGACTAGCACAAATTTTATTCAGTATGAATAACTGCACACAGTTCTCTCCTTGTTTTTCTTCTTTCTTCATCATACTCATCAAACTATCCAATTATACACCAAAAAATGGTCGCTTATGGGCTTTCATATATCGGCCAAGACATTTACGGCCATGAAGCCCAAAAGTATATCCCTCAAATTGGATTAGATGTCCATGCAACCGTTCTCTCCTTCAACTCCCGAACTGTCATTACTCAAAAGTTCTTGAATCCCTTATCAACCCCCATCACAGAGCTTTCATATGTCTTCCCTCTGTACGATAGCAGCAGCATCGTTGGCTTTACTTGCTCCGTCGGCAACACAGTGTTGCAAGGTCGAGTGAAGTCGAAGGATGATGCCAACAAGACATACCAACAAGCAGTCGATCAAGGGAAAATCGCCGCTATTCTCGATCAGGCAAATTACGCTTCTGACGTCTTCAAGACCCGCGTGGGAAATGTGCCCGCTGGAGGAACAGTTGATGTCAAGATTACTCTTGTTTCTGAGTTGAAACAGGATATCCAAACGAATGGACCAAGATATACTGTCCCATGCTCAATCGCACCCCGATACGGTGGAAATCAGGACATCCATACATCCTCTACCAATGTCGTCCTTAAAAAGACTTCAATAAAAGTTGATTTCATCCTCGAGAAGAGTGTTGTCATTCGTAGTATCCAGTCGCCCAGTCACCCCATCCAAGTCGATGTTGGCCGCACATCAACCATGTCAGAATCTACATTCCAGCCTTGTTTTGCATCTGCAAAGCTTCGCGAGAACCTTGCCATCGATTCAGATTTCGTTCTGACCGTCAAATCATCCACAGCGGACACGCCTGTTGCTCTCCTCGAAACCCATCCTACCATTCCGAATCAACAAGCACTGATGGTTTCCTTGATGCCAAAGTTCAATCTTCCCCCACATGCCCCAGAAATCGTTTTTGTCATCGACCAAAGTGGAAGTATGTACGATAAAATACCCACTCTCAAGTCAGCTTTGGAGATTTTCCTCAGATCGCTGCCAGAGGGGGTGTACTTTAACCTCATATCCTTTGGATACGATCACTATACCCTCTGGGATCGGAGCCGAGAGTTAAACGAAGCAAGTCTCAACGAAGCACTCACATACATCCAGTCGGTCAATTCCAACTTGGGTGGCACGGATATCCTTACTCCTCTCAAAGCGGCAGTGAGAAAGCGTGATGTAACCAAAGACCTCGAACTATTGCTTCTGACTGATGGAGAAGTCGACAACCAGCGTGAAGTATTCAATTTCCTCGATCAGGCCGTCAAGCGAAACAATACCAGGGCTTTCGCGCTTGGTATTGGAAACTGTGTCTCTCACTCCCTCATTGAAGGTGTTGCGCGAGCTGGAAATGGATTCTCTCAGACTGTGCTTGAAACCGAGGAATTGGATAGCAAAGTCGTTCGCATGTTGAAAGGCGCTTTGTTGCCTCGAATCAAGGACGCTACCTTAGAAATCGAGCTACAGCCCCTGGATACCGATTTCGAAACGCTTGAGCCAGTATCCCCCACCAGTACCATCACCTAGGGGGAGGAAGATCAGCGCAAGGCGCCTCAGAAGCCTATCTCACTGTTCGATAGCGAGCTGAAAGAGCCCAGCCCCATTACATCAGTCAAGGAACCTCTTCCTGAGCTGACCATCCCAAGAGTGCTCCAAGCCCCAACCCAAGTTCCTCGGCTGTTCCCACTCGTTCAAACAACAGTTTATGTCCTTCTTGCTCCCATTTCTGGTCCTCTGCTTGAGAAGATCATACTTCGAGCAACCAGCAAGCATGGCCCACTTGAGTTGGAAATTCCCATTCAACACATCGGCCAAGGTGAAACAATTCACCAGCTAGCTGTGAAAAAAGCTACTCTGGAGCTTGAAGAAGGCAGAGGATGGATCATGGAAGCCAAAGACTCCAAGGGGAAGCTCATCAAGAAGAGATATGCGAGCCAACTCGATGAACTCGCTCAACAGGAATGTCAGCGACTGGGAATCATGTTCCAAGTGCCTGGAAAATTCTGCTCATTTGTCGCTGCGGATGAGGCCGATGCTTTGCGGGCCATACCCATTGTTACAAAAGCTGCCAGTGCCTATCCTGCGGTGCAATATCAAGTAAGCCAGCTCAGACAGCTAAGTGCGAGGATCGGTCCTTCCAATAGTTATATTCAGCAAAGCCAGCCTTTTTTCGGTAGTGCTGCGAAAAGGATGCGTGGCGGGGATGCGCAATTTATGGGTACTCGCCTGGGTGAGAGCAGCCAGCGAAGTGGTCCATATTTACCCACAAGATCTAGTATGTTGGCAATCCAAATGACCTGAAGAGAGCCTGTTGAAGGGGGGTCACCATCTGGTCTGGCTTCCTTCAGATGCAGAACTAGAGCTGGTAGAAGAGGTGGAATCATCGGAGCAAGGGGAGGAGGCATGGGAGGAGGAAGAGGAGAAATCGGTAGCTCTCCCGGTCATTCAATGTTTTTAAATTGCGCCAACAGCTCAGATGAAGACTTGAAAGAATCCTCAGGTGAAGAAGAGGTACATTTTACACGAGCCCTCATCCGTCTCCAACGATTTGCTGGATCCTGGAAACTGGATAAAGATTTCTTCGAGGCACTCAAACTTGACGAGAAGAGCACCTGTGCTAAGCTGGAGACAGAATTCAAACAGCTTTACGGTGAGAGTGTCGCTCTGTCGGACCGCTTCGATATCAAGTGTATCCTAGCAACCTCTCTCGCGGGAATCTTCCTTGAGAGTAGAGCTGCTGATTCAAAGAATGTTTGGGAGTTGGTCAAGGCCAAGGCTGATCGCTGGCTGGAGAGTTCTCTTGAGAAATTGGGAGAAAAAGACCGTGAGAAGGTCGGCAAGATGATGGATAGCTTAGTTTCGTTTTGCTAGTGTTGTGTTGTCCACCTGGACAGCACACCTTTGCTTTATTATTTTATTACTAGGAGATGAATAAGAATGGAAATCAACCTCCCCATCTGGTCTTTGAGCCTTGTAATCTGTCTGAAATACATATATACATATATACACCTAGATAAATCTAGATATTCATGAGTGTGGGGGAACGAAGGGGTCTTTTTGATAAACAATCGAGGAAAAGTGTTACTGTACATTATTAGTACATATGCATGTCAACTGAAAAACAGATAAAAAGCGATTCAACTCCAAGGCTGAACATTCAGCATAGAGAATTTGAAAAAGAACATGCCAACAGGTAAATCCAGCGGGTATTCAATAGCGGAAAAAGAGATAGAAAAGAACAGCCAAACTAAATTTATGAATAATGCTCGTGGGTAACATGCAGTCGACGGCATCTCGTTCCAGATAGACTAGGCCACCAGAAACATCAGGACTGATCCGACGTTCTATGAGTCGTGAAGGATGTTCTTAGTTTTATGAATCATGAATGTGGTCATAGATCATATGGGGCGATGGTTTTCATGCCCGTATGGGGGTGGTGGTGGCGGTGGCTGAAAAGGGTCTGGCATCGGCATAGGAACCTGCTCACGAAGAGGAGTTTCTTGCGAGTAATTATGCTCATGTTCAACGGCATCGTGGGAAATGTATGCAGTGTTTTCGTGCTCGATTCCGTCATACGGCGAAGGACCATGTGAGTAGAAGCGGCTTTGAGTCTCATAGAGATTTTCATCAGAATCGTTTGCCCACGGAGAATTACCATAATGCGGTCCCTCCGGGTTAGACTGGGCATTGGAGAGGAGGACTGCGCCTTCTTCACCTGGGACACCGTAGCTGGTGCCAGACCCTGTAGTGGCAGCGCCTCCGTACGCTGTCCCTTGCACGAGGGGTCCGGAATCGGAGTGGTGCAGGCCAATGGCTTCGTGGTTCGTTTGATAGCTGGAGTCTTGCAAGCGCTTCTTGCGACCCACGAACAACCATCGTGCACTTCGACCAACAGCCTTCAGTAGGTCAAGTGGGTTCATGGCATCGACAATAGCCTTGACGCCAAAGCGTCCGCCCATATAGGCTGCTTTGCCATTGCCGTAAAAATCGGTCACTTCACCTGTCGGGGACACAGTAGCGTACCGTCTCCAGGAGAATGCCCAGATGTGTAGAATAGAGAAAATAAACATTTCAATGTTAATCAGCAGCTCCGGAAGGCTATATTTCACATCAATCATTGAAAGCTTCTTGGTTGCTGTTATGGCGCCGCCTGAGACCAGCAAACTGATCAAGGTCTGGAGTAGATAATTATCAACAGAGAATACAAAATTAAGTGGAGGGAAAGAAACTAACCGTTTGCCAGAAAGAAAGGAAAATGACCAATTTGATCGAGATGATCTTCAACAAGGGACGGTGCTCTTTGATGTCCTTGTTGATTTGCGAATAGAACTGAATCAAGCAGTACATAGCGATTGACACGCAAACCGACTCAATGACAAGGACCTATTCAGGGTTAATTGGCTTGGTTATATCAAGTCAGGCAATAAGATGATATTTACCCAGATATGCGCAAAGGCCGGGTTCAGCGACTCTTCGCAATATGTATCGGTAGCCTGCGTCACGACAGCAACTATGGTCAACAGTACACGACACAGACAGTATTGGAAAACGCCAGCCCAGATGATCTAGCGACACATTCCCATTAGCTTTCATCTCTCGTGACTGTACATTCCAGCGATCTGTCTCACGTTAAACCAGGTAAGTCCACTGCGCGGAGTCCGCCACGCGCCGCGCGGTCCAAAGCAGCACCTCCACTTCTGAAACCAGTTCAATGGAAAGAGCCAGTCGTTGGGATGAATGCCCCGGAAGTAGTCCTTTTGACTATGCAAGTCCGGCGCAAGATAACTGCATAGGAGGGAGAAGAACGCCGATATAGCGAATGCTTCGTAGCAGTTACCGAGGACCGTGAAATAGACGGAGTAGTTGTATTTCCAGATACTCAGAAACGCAACAATTGAGTAAACAGGGACCATAACTAGAATGCGGATGATACTGTTCAAAATAAATAACCGGTCAGTTCGGATCATAACGGGGGGCTCGGAACAAGATGTAACTCACTGTCGCTGCTCGACTGGTTTGCTGTAGTGTGTAGCGTGGGCCATAATCAAGTATGCAGATACTAAACATGCAGCAAGAGCGCAGGCACCACCCAAGACGAGACTCAGGTGGTGAAATGTGAGGCCGCCATCCCAAAGAGCTTCCTCGGAGACTGCTATGAGTTAGTTGGTTGTCGCGAAGAATTCAGGGGAATTGTAATATACTCTTTAAATGCTCCTGAGTGGCATTACACACTGGCCAGCCCATACTGGCTAGCGTGGGAAAGTCGCGACAGATATGAAGGTGAGTGGGAAGGGGAAGATTAGCGCCTATCTTATTTTCGGGGGTCTCTTTTACTATTATCTTATCCGCGCGGATCAACAGGCAAGGAATGTTGCAAACAACAGGACAAAAAGACAAAAAGAGAGTAAGTTGTTTTAGCCACGTTAGTTCTGCCGATCCTTGTCTCGAGATTACCTTGTTTTAGTAGGTCTTACGGCGTACGTTTCGGCTTCTTTTTTCACAGCCACAATATTAGGCCAAAATTAGTATCATAATCTGAAATTCAAAACTACTATCCTACATGCTCAGTTCTATTGGTATACTTTTTCATACATTCGTTTCTCAATCCTGATTCTCGGCCTCTTCTTTTTTGGAAAATATATGTTTTCCTGAGGCTCTTCATTTGCTTCGTTTGGTTCGGAACTCAACGTCCGCCACGCTTGCCTCCATGGCCTCCACGGCGGCCTCGGCCTCGCATTGAAATATTGTTGCGTCGAGCTTGAGCTCCATACTCTGGGCCGTTATCCACGAAGAAGTCGTCATCTTCAAAGGTAATACGGCGAGTCTCGTCACCACCACGGCGTGAAAAGGTTCCTTTGGAAAGCAACTCATCAAACTGGTCCAGTCGCTTGTCGGCAACGCTACGGGGAACAGGGTGATAGTACAACATGGGCTTTGCGATTGTCGACTTGAAAAGTTCATTGAGAGGCTTGAAGCCTTCTTCCGGCTTCTCAGGCATTCTCACTTGATGAGTGCCCATGCCACGAATCGACATGCCGCGGGGACCAGTGGGTGGGGGGCGGTTGAATGCGGTATCGCGTGCGGGCCCCTGAGGGCCTGACTTAGAACCAATTTCAGCCAAAAATGCACTCGTTCCTTCGTCGGAAACGCGATATTGGACTTCGTAGCGGACAGGGGGACCTGCGCGGGACTGCGTCGAGTTTTCTTGGTTAATCCACTCGTCCATTTTGTCATCAGGAATGAAATCGACCGAGAGACTCTTGCGATTGCGCTCGTCGGGCCAAACAGCCCCATGGATGACATCCCGAACTCCGACTGCCACTTCCACGCCTTGGAAACGGACAAAGCAGTGGGTCTTGATGGAATCAAGGAAAAATTGCACCAACAACTCGGGAGTGGGAGTCACGTCCATTTGCGCGGCTGCAAGACTAATCAGGTGTTTGCGAAGCAAATCAGGCTGCATGGGGCGCATCAACCCTTCAATGTAAAGAGTCGAGGTAGGAGCATGCTTAGCGGGCTCTGAAGTTCCATGGTATGGAACACCCGAGCTGGGAGCCGACTCGGTCGAGGCAAAAAGACCTCGAAAGCGTGCATCACTTTTAGCAGCCGCCATTTGTCCCTGGTTTCCCGGCACATTGTGCTCCTGGGAGTGGTCCTTGGAGGATTCACCTCCCTCAGTGTGAACTGCCGGCGCAATCGCTTCCTCAGCTTTGAACTTCTTGTGAGCGATGGCTTCGGCCGTCGGGATGGGGCTCTGGCTACGGCGCTTCCGTTTCTGGTGATCCTCTAGGGCTTCTTGGGTGGGGACGGTAGTCGAGAATTTGGTGTCTGCTTCCGAAAGATGGGTAGCGGAGGGTGCAATTGACTCAACAGGCTTTGTGGTGACTGGGTTGAGAGTGTTCGCAATTTGTTCGCGATTTTCCGCAACTCGCTCGGGGGTATCCTGAACTGAATGCTCTAACGAGGGATACTCCGACATTTCAGTATCAGGCTGGGGGCCCGATTGGACTGATCCATCCGCAGTGGTAACAAGTGACATCTCAACATCCTTGCGATTCTGTTCGGCTAGGTCTTCAAGCTGAGTAGTATCAGGCTTGGGGCTGTTCTCAGAATTGGCTTCTGGCTCAGCTGCAGAGCTGGCTGGCGAATCATTTTTGTCGGCTTCGAGCAACTTATCGATAAACTGTTGCTTGAGGCGCAACCCGGTAAGAGGAATACCACGGCTCTTCAACTTCTCTTTTAGATCAGCCACCTTGAGTGGAGAATAATCCATGACGGGAGAAGAGTCCGCCATAATTGTGACGCATAAAATTGAAAAGTGAGAGATGTGAAGAAGAGAAGACGAAGAAAAGCAGAAGAAACGCGACTGAATGCGCGACAATGATGTAGGCCGCTAGCCGGATATAGTTTAGCGTGATTACATTAGCCGTGTAGTTGCGGCTAATCTGCATTCACTTTTTGAATATCTTCAATTTCCGCTTCTGATTATATACCTCATGGGCGCACGCCCAACAACTATATCATTCTAATACCAAATATATAATACAGCCATGTCACGGTTTGGTGGAAAGAAGGGCAAGAAGCTACCTGGTGCTGAATTTAGTTGGGAAGGTGACGCAGGTGGTGAGGCAGACAATGCTCCCACACCTTTATTCCCTGTAGGCTCTCACTCTCTTCACTCCACCATTTCCTGTTCTTGATCTAAACATGGAGGCTTACTATATTCTCACATATGTGGAGACCTATGTTATCCCAACTGGCCGCGTACTCAACCATCAAGAAAAAAATGAGGTAGCTTACTTCCGGAGTTTGCGCGAACAATTCCACGAGGGACCTTACTACTCGCTCCTCAAAGCTTCTGCGATAAATGCGAAAAAGGGCAGCACTGCCCGCGCCACCATGGATCCCTTCACCAGCATGCCCACTTATTCGGCGCGCTACCAGAAGAAACACCGCGTTGTTCCTCATATCAATCCCAAGGATCATGAATACAGTATATCTTCCTCCAAATACTTCAATTGACTATAATCACTAATTACAAATTTTTTTAACAGTCTTGAAATTCTTCCCCCGCAACCTCTGGCCCATCATCCAACCCAGCTTCCGACCCAATGGAGAAGCAAACTTCCAGTCTGCCGTTGGCACTCAAAAGCGTGGATTTGAAGACGACGAAGATGAAGGCCCCTCATTCAAGCTGCGCAAATCTAGCGATAGTGATAACGAGGATGATGTGAACAAGGGAGACGATGAGGAGGGAGCCGGAGATGGGGAGTTGTTAGATGGCGATGAGGATGCCGAAGAGGAGATTGAAGACAACGACTTTGAGGATGATGAAAATGAGATGGGTGGTGATTATGATGCTGAGCAATACTTTGACGCCGGTGGTGACGATGAAGAAGACTTTGGTGAGGGTGGAGGTGGCGATGAAGATACCTACTAGGGGCATTCCATTTGCCCTACCTGATACGAAGTATAATTAACAATATTCCCGAGGTACTCATACTCAAACAAGAAGCTCTCTAGGTTTGCAGCTCCATAACTTACATCCTAAGTATCTAACGAGCGCAGACGACTAACGTAACTAGTTATACATATCAATGGCGCTGTAGACTTCTAATTACTTGAAGTAAAACTTGGAACTCCAAACTCGTAATTATCTAGTTACAATCTGACTCTCAAGATTCACTCTGAACTGAGATGTAGAATACGAAAAACCTCCTACCGCATTTCATGACCACAAATATAATCTCCCTCGTTCTCCGATAATCAGCGCCTGGTGTAACGAATGGCCAAGGCACCGCGGAAGACCTCTCCTTGTCATTGACATGGTTTTTTATGTCAGCTTGATGTGAACAAGGTACAGAATCTGGATCTGAGCTGGGTCATATACCACATACTCACAGTGACCCAGACCCGACCCTCCAAATCCAGTTACTATACCAGCTTCAATGTTGGGCATCGTTAGACGATGGAGGTCTGAATGAACCTTTTTGCCAGCATTGCACCATTCTCGATGTGTGTATGTCCCTTGCATGAATCTGGACATAACATGGCCATATCTCTTGTGCTTAACTTGGTTGCTTTCGTCAAACTTGCCCCCAAGCTGGACATCGCAGAGCAGCATCAAAGCGTCTGTTCCGGCGGCCTGGCGACAAAAGCCAATCGACTTTCCCGCAAAGTCGGCGAAAAAGATTCCGGGATTTTTACCTTTGTACGCGGCTACTGAGTTGAAAGTCGGGTTGACTCGAAGGCCCTGGCCCAGAAGGCCGACGAAGTTGGTGCTCAATGATCCATGCCAAAGGAGTCGACGATCGCTTTGGACACCTTTATCTGGATCACAACTCCATTTCTCAATTCTCTTCTCTTCTCCTGGGCGCTGGATCCTGAAAATATTCAAGATCTGTAGACCGTTAGTGTCAACCAGTGCGTTAAATGGACATTTTGACTTTCGATATTTACCTTGGCGGGTTGATGGCGTTGCTGATTTATTGACCCATTGAAGTATTCTTGCAAGCCAGCGAATTCCTTCGATTTTTGATGAACTAATTCCAATTCAATGAATATCTCAAATATTAGGCAGGGACCTCTGGATCTACCTACCACAGGTCATTTTTTCCAAGCCCAGAACTCGATAAAGACGATGGACCTTGTCGAATGCGGACACAGACTCGTTCATGATTTCATGAGTCAGCCTCAGGTTGTTCAAGAATTGAAGGCAATCCCTCTCAGCAACGATCCATTTTTCGCGTTTTGACGAGGTGAAATCTGGCTGGTTGGCAGCGTAACCGTATGACTTGCCATTTGCCTGCTCGCACAGCATGTCTCTGTAACAGTCGCCCAGAATCCTCATCTGCTTTTTATCGAAACCCTTTTCACTTATTTCAGACATCTTCTTCAAGATTGCAAGTCCCATTCGCAGCTGATGCATGCTGGTAGACGGAGGTCGACCAATGGATACGCTGGCCATGACTTTCTGTATTCCAAAAGGGACAACAGCCCCAGCGTAACTCATAAGCCCATTGTAAATGACGCTGACTGCGTTTAATTGTTCCGTTGCAAGCTTCTCTTCAACAGTAGCTGGGAACTGAGTCCGTATATCGTCATAGCAGCACTCAAGATAAAGAAGCTTGTCTGTCCTGGGATTTTCGCCGCGTGATTTCCATGAAAGACCAGTTGCCTGCTCAAAGTACGTTTTGAACTTGTCCTTGGCTACTTTCAAATCATCACCCTCCTGCTCTTTGACCTCGTTCTTGATTTGTGCGCCCGCGGATGCTGTCTCAAGGATGCAGGTCTCATATCCGTCCGTCAAGTGGTTATGCAGGACCTGTATATGACAAACTGTCACCTCAGGTTTCTTGGCTGAAGATGTAGTGGATCCGATCAGTGTGGCATCCCAGGCTATTCCTGCCTTATCAACATAAACTGAAAAGTGTTCTGCATCAATTCATAGTGGTAAGCACTATGGCGTTTGCATCTAAATTAAATTTGATGGCGTGAATGAAATACTCACCTCCTTTTCCAAAGCGCTCATCCACTATGGCCGCCAAATATGGGTCAATAGACTCCAAATCCTTGTTCTTTTTAGCCGATATGATATGACTGCTTGGCTCGTCCTCCGACTTTCGCTTCAAGACCTTCGTCAAGCTCTTCCCAATCTTTGAGCTGCTGTCATCGGTTGACTCATCTGAGTCTTTCTTGAGGGTATACTTTTGAAGGAAGGATGTAGACAATCGAAAGCTTGCAGCATCCACCAACTTCTTCTTCTCAAGGCACGCGAGTAGCCAATCTATAGTGACAAACTCGCAGTTTTCGATTTTAGAGGCTTGTAGTACTGTCAAACGAATATTGATTGAGCCTTGAGCATATAAAAATGTACAAGATAGTCACTTACCCTTTTTCGACATCGTTTTGATAAGTTTCTGCGTCGATATAAGATGGGTGCATCTAATGAGCTCTTTGCCTTCGAACCCGGCGCCGAATTGTTCAGCCATCTTCTGAATACCAACTAAATTCAAGATTAAAATCTTCAGTTAGGTTTATTGGCCGGTATCAAAATCCACAGGCCATGGCTTTTGAGCTGACTTACCATGCTTATAGCATTGGATGTTGCCGCTGACAGCAACAACAACTCCATCAAGAAACTTCTCATTTGAACTCACGACAGGCTCAACCTTAGCCGTAGGCTCATCCCTAACCTCGGGCTCATCCCTAACCTCGGGCTCATCCCTAGCCTTGGGCTCATCCCTAACCTTGGGCTCATCCCTAACCTTGGGCTCATCCCCAACTCTGGGCTTCTTTTCCAAAACGTCTTCGATGACATGGGAAAGTTTGGCGCCCATCACAGAAGATACTTCCGCCATAGCTCACTTCTTGGGACAAAATTCAATGAGAGCGTATATTCACTCTCGAAGATGATGAATAAAGGAAGAGTGGTGTTGGATTTATGATGGAATGAAGGAGTACTGCCTTCTCACGGGGCTTAAGTATTGTTTGCCAGCTTTGACCTAGAAGGCAAGTTCCGAGTATTGAAAAGATTGTCTGGAATATTCCGGACGTTTTTCATCACTCTGGTCAAAGGTCACTTTTACATGAAAAGGGGAAGATTTTTCTAAGGATATGCATGTTATTTAAGTTACAATAGCAATAGACAAGTTGGCGATGGCCTAAGAGCTATTTAAGATCGAGATAAAAGATAGCAATACTAGCACAAAGCAGCATAAAATAAAAAATCAAGTCATCAATGAAGCAGAGCCACAAGTTCTTCCAAGAGGTGCAGTAGAGCCAGCCTTTTCGCCACAAGGAGAGATACCTCTTGCTATAGGCCTCTGGTGGCACGGATCATGTGAACCGATTAATTACTGTTGAAATAATTGAAAGCCAAAAGAGGACCTAAGTTGACCTCCTTCGACCATGTGTCAAAGTCATGACGCACGCGAGCCCACGTATTCAGATTCGGGCCCTCGGCAGGAGCAAACTTCTCAAATCCAGCAGGCTCCTCAAAGAGAAAGAAGGTATAGCGATGCGGAGCGCTACCAGGTGGTGGAGCCGGGCCAATATAGCTAGCAAAAGCCGGGGTGGTGATATCGAGAGTCTCACCAGAAACCTTCACGCCGGGCTGAACCCAGTGGATAATAGGACCAAGGATAGTCCAGGAAGGGAATGGAGCGTCTGTATCAAGACTGATGACCAGGTATGTCTTTTCGGGAGAAGCTCCTGCAAATGACATCTCAGGTGCTGGTTGAGCCTCTGCATATATCTGTTAGACATGTAGACAGGGCTCTAATAGATTATGAGAAGCGTACCATCTCGAGGGATAAATTGACCTGGTTGGATGTTTTCATGAGTTCCAACAGTCAGGCCAAGGATCTTGGAGGTGTCGGTCTCTATGAGAGAGAGAGCCTCCTTGAGAATTGATGCAGATGGAGCCATGATGAATTTTCAGGGTTCTAAAGGCTGGAATAAACAATTGAAAAGCAAGTTTGTAGTCGTGTGTAGTCCAAGATAGTAGTACGAAAACAAGTGGAACTAGCCGTTTTAGGATAGCTTTCCTGAAGGAATCGTACCATACGAAAGCATCCCTAACTATCAACAATGATCATCCCAAGGCGCGGTCCATGGGTCAATATAAGTCTCCGTGTACAACAAAACCTTGGAATCGGTCAACGCTACATGCCCATTTGGGCAAGTCAAGGGCACTTCAATCATTTTTCCTTCCACTATTTTAAATTGATAATGTCCAATTAGAGGTTAGCTATCTAGGTAGATGCAATGCATCTAGCAAGTAAATTATGTTATATGAACAAAACAGGGACTAACAAGATATTAAGCCCATGAAAAAGAAAAATTGAACAAAGAGTCCATCGCTAGAAATGCAGAAACGCTATAAATGCAACGTATAAAACCAAAAAAACGGTATTTTTTTCTCCCAGAAAAAGAATACCATGGTATACCTTATAACTCCATGGCTAGCCGACAGACGTATCTTGAAATATATGCATGAGAAAAGAGAGGATGCCGCATTATAAAGAGTCAATGTTCATTTAGACAAAGACGTGGTTCTCCGGCTTGGAGTTGGCGGCAATCTCTGCATTGAGAGCTTCAGACTTGGCCTCAAGCTCCTGTGACAAAGACAGGAGTTCTGAGTGAGAATCGTCCTCTACAATTGACTTGATTGATGCGGGCTTGGACTCGGTGAGGGCAATCGACTCCATATCAGCTGTCTTCTCGTCCTCAATGTTGTGAGGAGTGATATCTTCCGTGGCTACCTGGGTTGTTGTTTCCTCATCGCCGTTGACTGAGTGAAATTCATCGTCCTTATCGACAGGCAGTTCAGAATCAGAGTCAGAGTCGGAGTAAAGGAGATCATCCTCGTCCACCACAGCGGGGAGAACGACATTGGTCTGCAATGTCTTCACGTTGGACGGGAGAGGGGCAGACGAAAAGGTTGGCTCCAAGATGGCTTCGGCAGTGGCTTCTGTTGGCTCAGTGCTGCGGCTGGATTGAGAGAGCGCAGTCGGAGATGTGGACTCGCGGCTAGAAGTCGAAACCCAAGTGTGTCCTGGGTGACGAGGAGGAAGTGGAGGTGGGGTGGGGCGCTTGGGGATGGTCACCAAACGGGCACGAGTGAAGGTAGGTGAGTTACGCTTAGAGTCGTCGCTCATTCCGCTGTCCTCCACTGGCGTTACAGCACGGCTTTCCGGCTTGGCCACGACAACATCACACACATGAACATCCTTGTCGACAGCCTCTACATCTGGAACGGGAACGGGTTCCTTAATATCAACATCACCCTCTTTCTCCTCGCCATTGTAAACCGGGACCTTATCCTCCTCGATGGGGGCTTTTCCCAAATTTTCTAATCGGTCGGTAACAGTCTCTTTTACACTCACGCTCCGCGAGGACGCTCGACTCAACGACGATCCGGATGGTAGAGGTATATCAGTCGTTTGGGTGCCACGATCAACACTGGTGTGGCTCTGTATACTAGCTCGCCAGCTGTTGGGCGTCGAGCTGTCAATGCTCCGCCGCGGGAATGTACTATACAACGGACTGCTTGGGTGAGGCCGGAACTCAAACGCTTCATGGCTAGGCCTCACCTTAGTCCCAGCCTCCCGAATGAATGTGCCCTCAGCCTCCAACGCTTTCACTCCGTACGGGTCTGGGTCATCTGGCTCCGGCACACCGAAATGGGTCTCATGAATCAGTTCAATATCGCCAGGCGCCTCCCCAGCAGGCGGGAGCAGGCTCTCATCCACGTCCCGATCACCTTGCGCGGCCTTGATTGTTTGAATAAGGGTCTTGATCTCATAAGGTGGGTGTCGGACCTTTCCGGCTAGAATGTCCTGGACAGAAATTCGTTCTCCGTAGAAGCGCTCGTTCTCATCGGTGCGCTCGATAATTATGGTTCCGTCGACTGCGACACCAGCATAGAGACCCTTGCTCTTCATATAGGTCCAAATGGGGGCCTGTCGCGCATGCAGTTCGCTATCCATCGTACCGCCCAAGCCAACGGGGCCGGCAGCAACACTCACTTCACCGCCGAGGGTGCAGCGGACCTTCTTAAATGCTTCCAGAGCTTTGTAGGTGTTAATTATGACGACACAGTCGTAGATATCGATACCGGCAAGGAATCCAATGCCGGCTGTGTGAAGCATGATGCCTGACGGAGGGCTCCATTCGCCAGTCTCTGGGATTCGAGCCAGTAACACACCACTACCTCCAGAACCACTCACCCAGAGACCAGTTCGCATAGTGGTGAAGATACAGATACCCTTGGCATTCTGTATGACTTTGGGGGGATCTTCTTGAGCACCCTCTGATTTCCCTTGGGCCGATTGATCTTTCCATTTTCATCAGTATAAATTCCGTCGTCAGGGCTGTAGAACCCATCTGTGCAGAAACTGCGCAAAATGCGAGCAGCTTTATCGCTTTCCTTGTCTATGGTCATGGGCCAAAAGGCCTCGGCACCTAACTTGTTGGAGAGACGATTGACTGGTGCCCCGAGGAGATCGACGGTAGCCCATGTTTTGTCAAAGCCCTTTTTTGAAAGACGCTTGGTCTTTTCCCACGCTGTTTCAGGCATGGCTTATAACAAATATGATTCACGCAAGTCGCAAGGATGCGAAGTGAAGGCCTCACTCTCGTGAGGCGCGCAAATTCTATGAAACGGTCTTTCTCCCAGTGTGCTGTTTTCAGCCAGAGGAATGTAATTTTGTCTTTTCAAAGCGATGAGAAATGCAGTTATCGATTGGATGGTTTTGGGGAGGAGATCTGCACGATCGCCACTTGAGGGAATGTGTGCGGGGGGAATGAAGGCTTTGCCCCAATGTATCGGTGATATGACAAATGATCCTAGGCCGTAGGTTAATACCAAGAAATGACATGATAGCTCCGATTTGAAACTTGACAGCTAAAACGGGGAAGGAACGCTGGGAACTTACTAGGGCTAGACGTGTAAGCAAGTATAAAAGTGAAAATGACAGGCACCAGGACATGAACCTTTTAATAAGACGGGGTCAGGCGGAACAGTAATCATAAACTGTGGCGCATTTGGGAGATCCAGATTCTATGGAACCATGGACGTCATTGAAATCGGTTGATCGGCATTGTTACTTGTAGTACTGTTTTTCTTTCCTTCTGGTTTTCTTCTTTTCTTCTTTATCGACATCTACTGTGATCTACCTAGGATTTATTATCGTTCATCATAAAATAGTCCATTCTATAACATGCACCGCTCGCATGAAGGATGCGATAGATCAGATTCGCCCCACTTCAGCGAACTCCGGTAATCAGTGTTCGAGACCTTTCTTCCCCAAATCTATCAAGGATTTGTGGCAGTGGAGATCAGGAAAATTTCATCTCTCGATCAGGATCTGTAATGTCAACCTAGTAAGCTACAAAGTATTTATCTAGATTTACTTCATTTGAATTTTCTATATTTTTCATACCATACATCTTACATGTCATCTATCAAAAAGTTAAATAGTCAACTACGGCGTAGTAAGTTATATACCGGATTTATAAGCATAGTGAACCCCGAAGCATAGGCCGAATATATATCCGTATCGATACACAGTAGCTTCCTACGGAGGATTAACCTGGGCAATAACTTCATAATATCTCCGGCTTCATTACCTTAATAGTACTCGGTACAGAGTACTGTGGTAGAGAAAACCCCCACAGTAATGAGCAAGTTAGGTATGGACGGAGTTGTTAGGTACAAAAGTGGAGTGATCACAGCAAGAGATCTTTCAGTATTGAGCAATCATAAAGTGTTGAATTGTATTCCAGCTCACTGAGTGGTCGAGTGCCAGCTAGTAACTCACAGCTGACCTTCCAAATTTTTTATACACAGTAAAATTACCTAAGGCACACCTCTCACATGACCCACCCCGGAGCAAATCCATTAGGGACGGGATGTCCTTGAATAGTTTTACGTACATATTAATGTCTCTACTATGTGTCTACCTAGGTAGGCAGATAGGTAGCTTTGTCTCATCTCCTGAGGTAGTCCACGTAGCCCTGTGGTACACATCTGGACCCTGACATCTAGCTTCTATAGTACTAGATCATAAAATCTCTGTGATGCAGCACGAAGATCGAGACATTGCTGGGTTCTATCTAGGGATCCTCATGGATCAATCACCTCCACTCTCTCTTCTATCGAAACATCGAGTTTACTGTTACATAATCGAATTATACGGCTTCCATTTCAGGCCGACTGGTCTTCAAACCCTGTGTTTATATTATTGTTCTCAACGTTGAAACGCCACACACGCAGCCAAAATTTCCATTGTATCTCTTCCCGTAGAATTGATCTCAAAGATATCGAAATATCTAGACCGCCAGCAATAGTTCGTTCTAAGGTTATCATGCCGCGCGTTGTACGAAAGTTCACTCGAGAATTTCACTAAGACCTATTACAAAAAATCTGCTTCATTGTGACAAGCGAAAGTCTCCACGAATTGGAAGAACTATCCAAGTCAAATGGTCTCCGCGAGCAAGTCCAAGAGCTATGGATGATACCAACTGTGTTCGAGAGCACTGAAAGGTCCACAGGCATGGTATCTATATCATCAAAAATCTGCCGACAAGTGAAAGGCGATGAGCTGAAGACCCGACATACTGTCCATAAAGCCATGATCACAGATAATTCCAACCTGCTGGAATCGGAAACGTTTAGTATTCGACTTCGCGGGTGCTTGGACCGATCTCAAAAGCTCCAAATAATAGGGCTCGCACATTACACAACCGATTTTTTGCTTGATCCACGGCAGCAGACAGTTCCATTCCTGGTAAGGCAACAGATGATGAGCCGAATTGATTTTCGATTCGACATTTAAAGCCTTCAATCCATTACTCACGCCAATAAAGATAGCCAGATAAGAAAACAAAACTCCTTAGCATTATCGCAACTTTTTCTTGCCCTCTGTGGGTCAAGCTGCAGACCCCGGAAGCTATACACCTGCAACCCTGATTTCTGTAGTAATACAGGTCCCACAATTGCCCTCACAGAAGAGCAATATTACTCACTACCGTCTGTTTTAAGGCCTAGATGAGCTTCATTTATGTATTGATCTCCATGAGCCCGCTTGGCTGAAACTATTCACGAATGTCGCACCTCAACTAAAACGACTGACTTTGGCGCAAGATCATATGCCTGCCTATCTTGTGTAAGACGATATACCTGACTATCCTGCAAAAAGCTACGTTAGGAATATGTTCCAGAAAGTCAACTTCATTCGACTTCGAGAACTTCACATTCATGAGCTAGACATTTATTTTAACTGTTTAAAACCGCTGTTGATTGGTGTAAAGAAAAGTCTGGCCATTCTTACACTTGAGAAAGTGACAATACGCAGCGAGAAGTTGAAGGCTGCAAATGATTCAAGTTCGCAATTCAGCGAATATTCCGGCCACCAAGAAAACGAGAGCTCTATTCCGTTGATGCCTACCTACATACCTGACGACATTTGGAGAACTTCCATGCCACCCAAACTACCCACACATTCCGCACTTTTACACTCGACCCGAAATGCAACCAGTGGGTCCACCAGGAATGATATCACGCTTTCAACTGACTACGACTTGTGTATCTAGCCTTTTGGGCCTTTTTCAAAACGAGCTATCTCTAGAAAAACTGACATTGGAAGAGATTTTTTGTGACAAGACCTATTATTACTTTAAGAAAGCCAACGAGATCAAACCGACTTTCTATGTGGAATTTGACATTCGGAGCGGTGATATCTCGTTTAATGAATGGATTTCCCACTAAAAACCAGTGACTTCCGAGCCAGACTCTGTACGTTCGAGCATAAGAGAAGACCAAGGTTAGTAGCGCTTCCCTCCTATCAAGCCTCTGCATTTTCTAATATGCTCCAGAAATGGAAAAATGGTTCGATAAAATGATAGGGAAGGACAGCGGGTCGTTGAATCACTTAGACTGTGACTGTAAGCGAAATTCTTCAAGGGACTGCCCTTTCGGTTGTGGTCGATATCCGGAATGAGGTAGTTTACAATTATGTCTTGCATATAGTTGTACTCTATCGTTACCACTGCATCCTCAGGTTCTATAATAGGGACGGGGATTGAAGCAGTCTTTCTTTGACAATATTTCTCCATTGCATACCAAGAAAAGAGTTTTCAAAGCTATGAAGATTTATATTTGCCAATTCAGTCACAGGCAACTTTTTCAACAACTTAAGCCTTGTTCTTCTACTATCCTGTTATATAAAATGAGTACGGAGATGTATATGTGCCAAATCAAAACTGGGATGCCAAACGAGGAGAGGTCCTCAGGCTTGGAGACAATATGCTTCAAAGCGGACTAATTGTATAACTAAGAGAAAAGAAATTTTCACAGCTTTGGAACCTTGGAGCAGAGCTCTTCATTTTTACTCGCTACAGAGTAGTGGACCTCGGAATTACACAGACGTGCTGTATGCCAATATGGTCATGGGAAACGTCAGATGTGCCAAGACCTAAATGCCAAGTAACACATCGATTGTATAGAAACAAGCACAAAATCAAGCAATTGGCCCTCTTCTTTAGAGAGCACCCAGCTCCTTGAGCTTAGCAACCAGGCCATCAACGTCGTCGACCTTGCCACCACCTTTGCGCGGCGGGGGTTCTAAAGGGAAAACATGAGCGGGGAAAGAACATAAACTAGGGAGAAGTTCAACTTACCAGTCACCTTCACCGTCTTCAATCGACGAGTATCCTCGACACCAAAGTCTGCCAGTGTCTTCTTCTCCAAAGGCTTCTTCTTCGCCTTCATAATGTTGGGCAGACTGGCATAGCGGGGCTCGTTCAATCGTAGGTCAGTGGTAACAATCAAAGGCAGCTTGGCACGTAGAGTCTCAATACCCCCATCGACCTCATGTGTCACTTCAACGGTACCAGCCTCATCCTTGATCTCGATCTTGCTAGCCTGCGTTGCCTGCGGCCAGCCCAAAAGACCAGCCAGCATCTGGCCAGTCTGGCCCTGGTCACCGTCAATCGACTGCTTGCCCAAAAGCACAAGGTTGATGTTCTCTTTCTCGACCACAGCCTTGAGCAGCTTCGCGATGGTCAAGGGCTCAGGTGTGCCGTTGGCCTCGGGCACGTCGATATGGAAGGCCCGATCAGCACCCATGGCCATGGCAGTGCGCAGGACATCAGGTGTCTTGGGTCCACCAGCAGACAGGGCCAGAATGTTCTCAACAGCTAGCGGGCCCTTGCGCTCACGCAGCCGTACGGCTTCTTCGATCGAAAGTTCATCGAATGGGTTCAAGGAATGTTTGACACCGGAGGTCTCGACGCCGGTTTGTGCTTTGTTAATGCGCGGCTTGATCTGTAATGTGACAATTGCGATGTTAGTTTCTCATTACTTGAGGCATTGGGTTCGTATGGCCTCAAATTCGGAGCATGTGCTTGCCCTTGCATGCTCCGATCATCGGTCGCCGTTTTTGGTTAGGAGATGGGAAGTCCTGACCGCGTAGTCGATCACCCGCTTGACGGGCACTAATATCCGTAGGCTGCTTGCCATATTTATTCGCTTTTGCTCATTTGTGAGCAATAAATGTGACCTAGATGGGTTGGGGATCTAAAGTTGGAGTTCGGCAAAGATGTGGGAATGCCAAGACCTTGAAAACGCCGACGCGGCCCGAGTATAACCTGCAATGAATATTAAACCAGCCGAGGTTATGCAAATGTAGCTGTTGATCTACTACGTAGAAGTGTATTGGATATGAGAGCTGAGTGCGGTGCGAACATTTTACATTTTTACTCAAGTGCTCTTAGCTGCATGCAAGTAGTTGGCGATGAACTTTCAAGAATCTATAAGATCTGCTAAATTTGCTCCGAAGTATGAGACTAGACTTAAAGCCAATAGGTCTACCTATGTAGTATGTACTGATTACCAGATTTCCTTTGCCAGGTCTTCCAATGCTGCAGATATATCATCTGGATGTATCCTTCTAAGACTTACTTCGACTATTAATTCTTACTGATGTAAGGAGTACTTCGTAGATAATCAGCCTATCCATCTTTTCTCTCGCCAACGAGCTGGTGAACATTTTAGTTGAGCAATACGCTAATCTTGCTTACTCATTGCTTAAACCCTACTTACCGTAGATAAGCACTCTGTGCGAAGGTCGCCTAAGTACTTTTGAGTGTTGTCCTCTATGGTTCATATCTAACTTGGATACCATGTAGTCTCAGGAGGGAGAAAAAAAATCAATTGGAAAATTTGATTATTTGAGTTCTGAAACCCCTTTTACCATGTCTCCTGTTTATATCGGCCGCTCTTCTCCATGTCAATCAAGTATTCCCCCGCCTGTGACCGAGTATACGGGTGCGATCCCGCACCATTTTGGAACGCTTCAATAAGAGCCTCTCGTACAGCAGATGGCATTTTTCCAGAAGAGCCACATATGTACACAGAGCCCTGCAGTTCATGAAGAAGACGGAAAAAGAGCTGGAAGTTCTGGCGAATTGTATCTTGCACATAAATCTTCGGTGACTGATCACGCGAAAACGCAGTGAGTACCTGTAATGGAATAAGTTTACTCAGCTGGTCCCACTCCTCCTCGAAGAAGAAATCTGCAGCGCGGTTACGGCCACCGTAAAGTAGGACTGTCGGTCCAATTGGGGGCTCGACTCCGGGGTTTTGTTCACGGTAAGCTTGAACTAGTGCTGCTTTTTCCCATAGCATTGATCGAAGTGGCGCGATACCGGTACCTGGGCCGATTAGTACTGTTGACCCAGTCAATTGCTGAACTGATGACTTGAGGCCGCCTGGCTGGAGCTGCACTCGAAGCTCACTGCCTGGTCGCAGGGCTGCTAGGTACTTTGTACAGACACCCTCGCGAATCCTTTTTATCACAGTCTGGTACTTGACGATGGCAATCAGAAGCTCGAACTGTGTCTTTCCATCTTCTGTACGTTTTCGTTCGCCACCACTGGCAATACTAAACTGCCGTGCTCTCATGACAGGAAGAACAGAGACGGCATGTTGCCAGGGGATCTTGACCGAGTGAAACTCGTGAAGAACTTCGACAATACTGCGCCGCGGTCTGGAGGTATAATCCCAAAGCTCATCGAGATACTCGGTGTTGGTAAATTCTAGTAAGCGGTCTTTTTGCACTTCGTCATTGGTATAGTGGACGAGAGCAGAAAAGAATGATCGACGCGGTATAGCCTTTATGTCGAGATAGTCTATGAGTAGCGATCGCAATGTCAAGTTAGGGTAAGAGTCAAGACCAGGTATCGGAGACGTAGTTAAGGTGGGGCCAGTTGGGACGAGCACAATCGGTTTATCTGCTTGTTCGTTCCAGTCCATCAAATCAAGCAGTATTTGAACATCTTCAGGTGAGGTCTTCGGTGTGATAGCAAGCATATCACCCGGGGCATATTGAACGAATTCTGAGGCGGTCAAGGTGATACATCGAACGTCCTGCCAATGCGTTTGCGGTGTAACACGCCTGTTCTCGACCAGTGTTGCTGTAAGTGTATCTGGAAGTGGTCGAACATCATAATCTATGTGACGCAAGCTGGGGTTTTGATCTATATCGGTGTGCTTTGCTAGTGTCTCGGGGCGCGGTACTGTATTGCCGCTTTCGTTCCGTAGCTGTAAAATCCACTTCGGTGGTAATCGAACATCATCTGGAATTGGATGTATTCCAGATGGCATTGGATGTCTATCCAATAGATGCTTTCTGAACCCTGTCATCCATGGTATGAACGTGCCTTCGAGTCTATATATGCTCACTGTAAGTGATTACCCGGCGATAATAGGATACGAGTATCAAACCCACCCCTCAGGATGTTGCTGATCTGCCTCAGCTGTGGGATATATATCATTTGCACCAAGCTGAAGCAGCCGCTTGTAAAGCTTTCGTATTGCCCAATTGAACCTAGTCATGTAAGCATTCATTCATGCTTCCTGTCCGTTTCACATACTTTGGATAGGAACTATCACCCAGTCCAAAGGTTGCAAAATCAGCGCCTTTCAAGTACGTCGATGATAACCGTTTGAGGAGCAGCAATTTCCAAAATGCCCGTGCATTCGCTGGCAGATCGCCTTGCCCGGTAGTAGATACAACGAAGATGGTCAATGTGTGGGATAGGAGTGCATCCTATGCGCAAAGAAATGACATTATATTAATACCTAGTTCACACTAAACCAGGGTAAGCCAATTATAGTTTCACTCACAGGCTTCGACTGATTCAATTCAGAAATATGTGTGTTGAATCGTAGTCTCTCGGTCAAGGCACCCAACTCCTCAGCCACTTCCTGTGCATTGCCAGTTTCAGACCCATAGAGAATCAATACTGATCTGCCTTCAGGTCCCTGACCGGTTGATGTGTCCATATCGTGAGGAGGGAGTTGAGATGCTCATCTATCCAAATTACCAAAATTCCCAAATTTGGACGGGCCGATCGCGCTGGCTGACGTCATCATTTCAAGGTAACCTTCTTTTTTCTTATTTTCTCTGAGAATTTATTGCGGTTAATACTTATGAAATCTCAACCCTTCCATCAGAACAGGCTTAGTGGTCTAGTGGTATGATTCGTGCTTCGGAAGAAATTCCCATGTTGTCCAACAACTTGCAATTGTACGAGGTCCCGGGTTCAAATCCCGGCTGAGCCCTTTCTTCATTTCTTTTTTTTTTCCCTTTCCAAAATACTCTAAAGCTACTTAAACCTTTGATCCTTCTAAACCGAGTTAATTTTCTATTCTTTTTTGCACAAAAATTAAGAGAGTATTCAATTTTGAAGATTTCAACTAGAAAATAAATGAGTAGTCGCTTATGTTGAGTTCTATATACGTTTGAAGGTACGGCCCGGTCGGATGTCGTAACCTTGGAAGGTTATATATACATCACTGTGGAGTACCTACGTATTGACATCAAACCTTGGAATACATACCTACCTATATAGAGCAGTATATTAGGAAACATCAAAATGGCAGGGGCCGACCATGACGTATTTAAAAATAGAATCTATCTTTTCGAACATGCTATCTCGATCCTTCCCCTGTTGAGTATTTCGCTAGCAGCCTTGGAGTACATCCCAGTTGCGACAAAGCCATGGAATAGCCTTGAGAGTATACCCAGGTAGTATGACTGTTGGGATATCGGACTAACGACACATCACGAATCTCTGTTCAGAGTGCATCGCAAACGATAACCCTAAACAGTATACATATAACTGTGATGTCCCGTCTTTACCGACTATTCTGTCCTAGACGATGGAACACATTCGTCTCAGACAGAAGAGCAACTTGTAGGATAAATAGCTAGTCCTCACCATGAATGAGAACCAGATTTTACAACCACTTCAAGAAGACACACAGATATTATAAGGGCGTAAAACGCAACCTGTAATAGGTGTTAGAAGTGGGCGTTAGCCTCTCACCAACCTTGCTATACCCACCAGTGTACCGACAATGACGGAATTCAACTGTCAGGCCGCATAATTAGTGTAATAGTAAATATTGATAAAGGTCATCTGCCGTAGGAGTAGTCCCAAGGTCTTGGTACTGCTTCCAGTTAGTCACTATTTCCGTATCAGTATACAGCCCTGAATATCACTCCTATCCCAGCGTACCTAAGTATTTTACGGTAAACTGAAAGGCTATTTCCTTACTGAGTAAATGTGGCTTCTGTTCCCACACCGACGGCAATAGACCTCGCCAGCATATAAAATTGTATTATCACCCTAGAAGCCGGGTAGCTACTAGTGTATTACTGGTATTTATAGTCATACCCTAGGTACCAGTGGCGGTAGTGTTGATGGAGGACGTCACTAGCAAGAAGTACTCTGTCACCAGTTTCAACTTGCATTACTTTTGTCGACCAGAATCTGCACAGCTCCGCGGTATCATCCAATTATAGCGCAAATAAGAGCCGATAAGCTATCCGTGGGTTAAACGCTGGAAGTTTCCCGATATTGGGGTGTAGATGATGGCCATGATGGGGCATCGGGAATCTTGAAACCTTTTCTTTACACGCCCAACTACTAGGTATTCGGTTAATCTGTGTAATTATTAATACCTAGTTACCTGCATATGAAGGGTTATTTACATTGATATGTCATCTGGGCACTGACTTCAATGTTACCTAGGTACATTACAACATTGGAATTGAAATCGAACCTGCCAGGACCCGGGGTGAGAAATCGGTGCTCATCTGTTATGAGAACTACCATTTAGTGACCTCGGTAGTAACTTAGAAAGAAAAAACACTTTAATTAGATCAGGCGTACTCAGCAGGTAAATAGGTAAAGGCCAGAATTAACCTCAAATAGAGTTCGATATAGTTTAAACCGTCGACTCTACAAAGTAGTCAGCTGATTGATCTCCACTTTTACTTATCTTATCATAGGCGTCCCCGCAGATCCGGTTCTTAGATAAAGGTAGCTGTAGCTTCCCATTGTTTCTTCTTCATTCTTCTCAAGTCTTTAACCACTCGTTCTACCTCCTCATGATAAGCTCTGCATAGTTATGGCTATCTATAAATGGTTGGCTTTTTCTTTAGTGGCTACAGCTACTGCCCAGTACTTCCCACCCACGCCAGAAGGACTGAAAGTGGTGAATTCAAAGCACGAGGAAGGCGTCAAAATCTCATTTAAGCAGGTTAGGACTGGCTGCAAGCTCAAAACTCAGAAATTAATCACTAACATTTTACATTATTAAGCCGAGGATCTGTGAGACCACCCCGGGGGTCAAATCATACTCTGGCTATGTGCATTTGCCCCCAGGATCCCTGGACGATGTGGGAGTTGAGCAAAAGTACCCTATCAATACCTTTTTCTGGTTCTTTGAATCCCGTCATGATCCCAGGAATGCACCATTGTCTATATGGATGAATGGCGGGCCGGGGAGTTCTTCCCTAATCGGCCTCATGCAAGAGAATGGCCCTTGTACAGTGAATAAGGATTCCAATTCAACCGAACTCAATCCTTGGTCTTGGAACAATTATGTCAATATGCTGTATATTGATCAGCCAAATCAGGTCGGGTTTAGCTACGATGTCGCTACTAATGGCACCTTTGATCAGATCAATGAGGTCTGGGATGTGTCAGAGTGGAGCCACGGAGTTCCAAAGCAGAACAACACTTTCTATGTTGGTACCACCACCAGTCAAAATGCAAGTGCGAGTGCAAATGGCACAGAAAATGCAGCTCGTTCGTTATGGCACTTCGCCCAGACCTGGTTCTCTGAATTTCCCCATTACAAGCCGCATGATGATCGTGTGAGCATTTGGACAGAGTCATACGGCGGTCGATATGGCCCATCGTTTGCCGCTTTCTTCCAAGAACAAAATGAGAGGATAACCAATGGTAGCATCACTGCTCCTGGAGAGTCGCACTACATTCACTTGGATACGTTGGGCATTATCAATGGTTGCGTTGATCTGCTCCTACAACAGCCGACATACCCTAAGATGGCATACAACAATACCTATGGCATCGAAGCAATTAACAAGACTGTATATGACCGAGCGATGGATGCGTGGAGCCGTCCGGGTGGATGCCAGGACAAAATCAAGAAATGCCGGGCTCTCGCAGCCGAGGGCGATCCACAGATGCATGGAAATAATAATACCGTCAACAAGGCCTGCCACCACGCAGACCAATTTTGCAGCAATAACGTCGAGGGTGCCTACGTGGAGTATTCAGACCGCGGTTACTACGATATTACACACAAGAATCCAGACCCATTCCCACCACCGTACTTCCTTGGATTTCTGAACAAGAATTGGGTACAGAGTGCGCTGGGAGTACCGATCAACTACACTGAATCTATTGATAGTGTTTACAAGGCTTTCACTTCAACAGGAGACTACCCACGCTCCGACGTGCATGGCTATCTTCACGACCTGGGCTACGTTTTAGACTCGGGTATCAAAGTGGCACTTGTCTATGGCGACCGTGACTATGCCTGCAACTGGATTGGTGGTGAAGATGTGAGTCTACAGGTCAACTATGCCAATGCAGATAAATTCCGTGCTGCAGGATATGCACCGCTGAAGACAAACTCGTCGTATATTGGCGGCCAGGTCCGTCAGCATGGTAACTTCTCTTACACCCGAGTCTACCAGGCAGGTCATGAAGTTCCTGCCTATCAACCACAAACAGCGTATGAAATCTTCCATCGTGCTCTCTTCAACCGTGATCTGGCAACAGGCAAGGTTGATACTGCAAGAAATGGATCATATTCTACCACTGGCCCTGAATCTACATGGGATAAGAAGAATGAAGTATTCGACAGTCCAGTTCCCGTGTGTTATATTCTATCACTCGAGGGAACTTGTACTCAGGATCAAATTGCCAGTGTCATCAACAACACGGCCAAAGTCAAGGACTACCTTGTTTTAGAATGAGCCTTTTTTGTGTAAAGGAGCTGAAAAAATCTAGTTAAATATTTGTTACTAAATTGGAATTCCTTATTGTGAGATGAAATCTATCTAGGCATTAACTACTAAGTAGAGATTTGAATTTTTGATTTTCAAATATCGGTGCTGCCCGACCTGCCCAGGTGTATATAGATGCAATGTGGGTCCAATGCTTAACTACCTGGCAGATGGTTGGTTATTAGCAGTGACAGGCAACTTGTATATTCAATATGTAGACTACTATTTCACTAGGGAGAATTAAGATGAAATAATTAGAATCAAGATCAATAGAATAGATAACTGGTTCTAAACAATCATGCTATGAAGAATATTCTCGAAGCTTCGATCCCACCTTCTTTCTACCCGGCTACGTCACACGTCACTAGTCACTGACAGATACATTCCGGCTTTCAACAAAGTGGGCTCCTTCACTTGTATTACTTCTTCTCAATTCTTCTCTTCTTTTACATCTCTTTCACCAACTCACATCTTTTCTTTATATCTCGCTCTCCCGCGCACGTTTCGAATTTCTCATTGATCAGATCCCCAATTTTCAACATCTTGGCAGAACCTTCTGCGTCATTCGAGAACCATCCAACCTACTCTCTGAAATTCGTACAATCCATACTAGATCCTTGGGTTTTAATACTTGAAGCTTTCACATTCCGCGCAACTCATTGCTTACGTCAAAAACTCAATTCCGACTACATAAAACATGGTCGCAGAAACAAAGCTCTACGATGCTTTGAACATCAAGCCTGATGCTACTCAGGATGAGATCAAGAAAGCCTATCGCAAGGCCGCCTTGAAGTGGCATCCGGATAAGAACAAAAATGATCCCACTGCATCTGAACGGTTCAAAGGTATGTCTTGATCAACAATATCATGATCCCGACCCTTCCCCGCACCTCATGTTGACTCTTACTAACCCAAACTCCTAGATGTATCTCAAGCTTACGAAGTACTTTCCGATCCCGAGAAGCGAAAGGTTTATGACCAATACGGACTCGAATTCTTGCTCCGTGGTGGTTCTGCGCCACCCCCGGAAGTGGAGATGCCGGTGGTCCCCGGCCTGGTGGCATGCCCTTCAACTTTGCACACAGGTCTAGTGATCATGGTATGCCTGGTGGTGGTGCCAGAGCTTTCCACTTCTCTACCGGTCCTGGAGGAGGTGGCAGTGGTTTCCGATTTAGTAGTGCTGACGATATCTTTCGCGATTTCGCTAAAGCCGGTGGAAGTGGCCTGGGCGACGACCTAGGAGGCATCGGCGATGACTTCTTGAACGCCATGGGCGGTGGTGGCGGTGGTGGCGGTCGCGGTGGTCGCGGTGGTTGGCCTGGTCAGTTCCCACGAGGATCTTATAATAATCAAGCCGAGCCGACTGCTGTTGTTGAAAAGGATCTTCCTCTCACCCTGGAGGAGATTTTCACCGGTACCACGAAGAAGGTCAAGACTAAGAGCAAGGCATTTGACGGTACTGGAAAACGCAGTGTTCAGGAAATCACTCTTGAGGCTACTATTAAGCCTGGTCTCCGTGCGGGTTCCAAGCTGAAGTATAAAAACATTGGATCCCAAGAAGAAGGTGGTCGACAAGATGTTCATCTTGTCATTTCACAGGTGTGTTGACATTTCTTCCCATTAAACTATCTAAGCGATTGCTAACGATTAAATCTACAGATCGAGCATCCCACATTGAAGCGCATCGGCGACAACCTTGTCACGACCGTCGACCTTAGCTTGAAGGAGGCACTGACTGGGTGGGAACGCCATGTCAAAACAATTGACGGCAAAACTATCCGAGTCCAAAAGCCAGGTCCCACACAACCAAACTTTGAAGAACACTACCCTGGACTGGGCATGGTTATCTCAAAGAAACCGTCGGAACGCGGCGATCTCATTGTGCGTGTTAACATCAAGTTCCCTACCAGCTTGACTGCAGAGCAGAAGAAGCTCCTCAAGGAAGCCCTGCCGTAAAAAACTTTACCCATTCAGCATCAACTTTCTATTTGCATTTATTACTTATATTTATTATTATTTTTATTGGCGTTTGGGGGCCGGGGTGAGCGACCTTGGCGAATTCACGACAGGAACGAATTGATTCTTTGTTCCATATTTAAATGTTGAAGGAACATCCATTCGACAGATATCTCCCTTGGCTAGGCTCATAACACTGTCTAGCATACGAGATAATAAATTTAAAATGATTATTCAACACTAGATAGATGAAAATTCTATATATTCATGGATCTAGATTATCACCGCAGCCTTCCAGGTTGTATCCAAAGCATTAATTGCTTATTACTGCTCTGCGGCTGGCAATTGGCTTTCTTAGCACCCATTTTTATCCAAACTATACAGCTTTCGTAGTCTCTCCAATTAGCTAAAACCATGGGCTCAATAGCTCCAAGACCCAACTTCCGAGGACCATAAAGGCCCTGTGCATGATACTATTGGCGTGCCTTTCCATGTATTAACTGAGATCTCATAGCCACTCAACTCTAATTGCTCACTGACACTAGGAGAGCTCAGCTTTGGGAAGTGAACTGGTAGCATGGCAATATGATTTTGATATACGTAACGAACGACTCTGGCTAGATCGATGCAAGTGGAGGATCAAGCCTTCTGATGACACCCGAGTGACCTGCAATGGAATTGTCTCTTAGGAAAACTGTCATTTCAGTGATCTCATTGGAATCTTGGCGACGGGGTCCGTCGATGACTTCGTAGTTCTGGTTTCCACTGTAAGCCCGGGACTTCTTGTCGACTCGCCATATGTGACTGTTCACTCTCCAGCTTCTCAGAATAATTAACTTTCTGTATCTTATCGATATAGCTTTGTAAGGTTGCTTTTTTAGACTAGGAGCTCGTATCCTTGTACCCCTATCAAATAAGGATTGATTAGGCAATGAAGGGAAACCTCAACAAAGCAGATATATGATTTACCATCATTATGATTTGTTGCGAGTGAAAAATGCCCGGCTAGTACAGGCAACTAGCCGGATGATGCCTTTTTTTGACCAGATGCTGCTTACATGTTCGATGGTTGGAACTTGGCAGGCTATAAGTATCATTTTTCAGGACCCTTTTGGTGCTTCAATCAATTTACGCCGTAGTCTAAATTACTCTCCTGAGAATATGACTGGTCATCGTCGTGGAAGCTGAAGGTCTTGATAGGGTAGCCAATTATAGCTCCAGGTTTCGCCAAGGCGCTAATGGTTACCATTTTGCCGGTAACATCATCGGTCACGTGCTCTCGTACTCTACATAGGCCTAAGTGCGACATGACTCGCTTCTAGGAGATCTCGTGATCATTGGATTGATAATAACCCTTAAGTTATTCTAGCTGGAGGCCAGATAACTTCCAAGGTTTAATATGGGTGTTTTATAATGGGTTGATTGTATGTATGCAAGATGGTGCCAATAAGTAGTATCGTGAATAGTTAGAAAAAGTAGGTATCGAATATGCAAATCGTGACTCGTAATATCAATAAGGTTACTACTTCTTAGGATAGGTATGATGGATTATGGTGGTAAGGAAGTAATACATTTGTTTTTGAGAAAGTAGTGTTATATGCACACCTCTCTCGTCTTGAGTAAGCCATGCCCATGCTCACTCGCTATCGTCGGAGTAGTCGACGAGGCAGGTCTTCTGAGGCTTCGAGGGATCGCGCGGCTGGGGTTGAGAACCCGGAATTAATCCAATACTGCCCGCTGCGATCAGACGATCTCTGAGCACATTATTAGCGTCCTTTTGGGTATTGTATCTGTGCATGAATTCTCGTGAATAGGTCGAATTCTGAAAGTAGGGGGGCCAATGTGGGAGCCACTCTAACTCTGGCGGCCCAGCGGCCTGTGCAGGTGCGTTTGCAGGATGAATCGATTCCCCTTGTTCAGCCGCTGTGAGCTGACGAAGCTGACCTGGCTGACCTGGAGCCGATGCCGGGCCCTCCAACTGTCGTGTCTGGGCATGCCAAACGTTATCTGGAACTTCGTAGCCCTGCAATCCGTGGCTACCCTCAATCTTGCGTCGTCTCTTGGCTTCCGGGTCACGACCTTCAAGCTCAGCAATAAAGTCTGCAGGTAGGGCACGTCGAATTGCTTCCGCAGCCTGTTCCTCCAAGCGTTGTGCCTCGCGTTTCTGGGCAGCCGGATTCGGATCCTCTGTCGCCCAGCGTACGTTGAGTATCTCTTTATTAGCTAAGGACTGGCGCGACATTGCTTCTTTGGCGAATTGCGCGTTAACTTCGTTCATGTATGTAACGAAAGCTACACCCCGGCCTGTCAAAACACGGATACGCTCAACCTGACCCCATTCTGCAAAGTGGCGCGCCACAACTTCCTGTATTTCATCAGTTGATTTTCGCGGCCGAGTTTGATTTTAGATCTGCTCACCTCAATATCGTCTGTGACGTGGATTTTGCCAACGTAAAGTGTGCGGTTTTGTTTCTGGTAAGAATAATATTAGTGTGAATAGTTGCGCTCTGGGGAGAAGGAGAATACATTGAATGTTCCTACACCACCCATATCGGATCTGTAATCTTGGAACTTATCTCTGCCAAAGCAGTCCATAGTCGGGAGAGGCATGTCGTACGGGCCCGGGAGACGATGTAGGTATTCGCAATCAGAGCCTTTGGGGCAGGTGCCTCTGGCGAACCAAATGCAGAAAAAAGAGCTGGCGTTTTTATCTCCCATTGTATATCCGCTGTCTTCAGCGATGACGCACCGTCTTGGTGCTGGTGTGTTCACTCCAAAGTTGTCGCCCCGGTTGCCGCCTTCGAAGCGATTGTACCATAAGTTGTAGGTGGTGCCTGTCTGCTCGGGAGCGAGGGTCTTGATAAATTCTTGATCCACTTGCACGCGAGCTGGGGTCTTCTTTCGGCGAATTAACTTTGTCTTTTTCTTTTTCGGGGGCTCCTGCAGCTGTTGATCTGTTGGCGATCCGCCGCCTTGGACTGGTTGAAGCTGGAGCTGCTGTTCATCATCTTGCGACGCGCCGCCTTGAACTGGTTGACGCTGGAGCTGCTGCTCATCTGATTGGGTCGCATCGAGCACAGGCTCAGTGGATGTGGCCATGGCTGAGATATGAAAGGTGCGGAAGATAAAGATTGAGGGAATGTCAAACTTTTTTGAAAATCAAGGTCGAGTTTAGCTCGAAGTTGCGCGGCGAGATTCAATGTGATTACCTAAGTGGGTCTTGGCATGGATCACAAGTGACTGTCGAACAAGACTGACAATTATGATGGAAAATGTGATGAATGGAGATAAAAACTGAAGGAACGCTGAAGTGGAATTGAGAAAAAATGGGAATGAAAAAGGAACGAGGATGAAATAAAGAGAGAGGAGGAAATGAAAGATAAAAAGATGAGAGTAGATAATCCGCGCTAACCCCTTTGGGAAATGGTCAGAGCACAGACTTATTAACCATCTTCTGTCTTTTGATGGTTAACTACTCGTCCCATACACACAAGGGCTCGCAGAGTATCTGGTTCGGTTGAGCAGTAGAAGGATATCTTCTCTCGAAGCCGAAAAGAATAACCTATCAAACTAACAGAGAATTTCTAGTGATTCTGCAGGCGAGAAGCCTCCACAACAGGCAAAATGGTGAACATTACGGAAAAAATCAAAGAGTATGGTCCTTATTATGAACAATTGTGCGTATTTTATGAAAATTTACTTATGCTTATACCTCCAGGATCGAGGATGAGATGCGACGGACGCAGAGTAAGTCATACAAGCCCCAACTCGATCATTCACCCTACTAACATGCCCCGCAGAGAATAAGGCCACTGGTATGTTTCGTGATAGTGAGGATCATAAGAGAGAGAAAGAGAGATCTAATATTTCGAAGAATATCACTTGGGTCTACTGAAAGGGTGAGTATCCCTCCATCAAATGCTCTCTTTACATGCAAATCAAATACTCATACTAAACCTCTTCCAGAAAACTCGCCCGTCTACGAGCTCAACTACTCGAGCCAGTAGGTGGTGCAGGCTCCGGTGGCGGTGCCGGATTTGATGTTAGCAAGAGCGGTGATGCTCGCGTGGCGCTTGTTGGTTTCCCATCTGTCGGAAAGTCCACTTTCCTATCCAAGATCACCAAGACCAAGAGTGAAGCTGCATCTTACTCCTTCACCACACTTACTGCCATCCCCGGTGTGCTGGAGTATGGCGGTGCCGAGATCCAGATCTTGGATTTGCCCGGTATTATCGAGGGTGCATCCGAGGGCAAGGGTCGTGGACGACAGGTCATTTCGGCCGCTAAAACTAGTGACTTGATCCTGATGGTTCTGGATGCTACTAAGCGGGCTGAGCAGCGTGCGCTCCTCGAGGCAGAATTAGATTCTGTGGGTATTCGGTTGAACAAAGAACCACCGTATGTACTCGAAGGTTTCGACTCTTTAGATATGTGGGTGGACTAACCATGTTAGAAACATCTACTTGAAAATCAAGAAGGCTGGTGGTTTGAAGATCACCTTCGCGACACCACCTAAGATCCTGGATGAGAAGATCATCTTCAACGTTCTACGTGACTACAAGATCCTCAACGGTGAGGTCTTGGTGCGAGATGAATATGGTATGTTTGAATATGCGTTTTCATCGAAACACCCACTAAATAGGACCTCGGGACAGCCACAATCGACGACTTCATCGATGTTATTATGAAGGATCACCGCAAATATATCCGCTGGTAAATTCGACAGCTTATGTTCTATCGAGAGTTAGTACTAACATCGTTGGTAGCTTGTACGTTTACAACAAGATCGACAGCGTTAGTCTTGAGTTCCTTGACCAGCTTGCCCGTGAGCCACACACAGCCGTCATGAGCTGTGAGCTCGATCTCGGTGTACAGCAAGTTGTTGAGCGAATCTGGAAGGAGTTGAGGCTCATGCGTTTATACACCAAGCGGTACGTCCCTTGTCTTGGTGAATTCCACCATATGATCTCTTTATCTAACATTACGAAAACTATAGCAAGGGAGTCGATCCCGATTTCAGTGAGGCGCTGATTGTGCGTCAAGATTCCAGTATTGAGGACGTGTGTGACCAAATCCATCGCACACTCAAGGAAACGTTCAAGTATGCCCTAGTATGGGGTGCCAGTGCACGACATGTGCCGCAGCGCGTGGGATTGGCGCATATGGTTGCAGATGAAGATGTGGTATCGATAGTTGCCAAATAAGCCTATCTACTGGATTGAGAATGAATGAAAAGTGAACTTGATAATTCTTTGAAATTGATATCGAGAATAAAGATGTAAGAGATATGAAATGCTTCAACTCGACGGTCTTTCCTGACCAATAGCCCAAACTCCTGACAAGTAAATTATTTATGCGGCAGTAGCAGCGGCAGCAAGGATATTTTGCATGCCGATAGTGGGCTGGACACCCACACGCTCCTTGGCCAATAGGTCCACGAGTAGCTGATTAGGGCGGCTGTCACGCTGAGGGTACAGACCGGCCTGGCTGGTCTTGTACTTCAGGACACTGTCAATGTAGATATCGAAGAGGTAAGAGGAATCCAGGGGACCTCCCTTAGCCTCGGGGTGGAACTGGGTGCTGAAGATAGGGCGAGACTTGTGGATCATGCCCTCGTTGCTTTGGTCGTTCAGGTTAACGAAGTAGGGCTTCCAGTCCGAGGGCAAGGTTGAGGCATCGACAGCGTATCCGTGGTTCTGGCTAGTGATGTGGCAGCGACCAGTGCTCAGGTCCAGAGCGGGGATGTTGTGAGCCCGGTTTCCGTACTTGAGTTTGATAGTGGTGGCACCGCTAGCCAAAGCCAGAAGCTGGTGTCCCAGACAGATACCGAAGATGGGGACTTGGGAAGTCTCCATAAGACGCTTCAGGTGGTAGACGGTGTCCTGGCAGTGAGTTGGGTCACCGGGGCCGTTAGAGATAAACACACCATCAAAGTGGTGGGCGACCTTGTGGATGGGGAAATCGAAGGGGAAGACGGTGACACTGGCACCGCGGCCAACCAAGCTCCGCAGGATATTCTCCTTCACACCGCAATCAATGACGGCGACGTGGCACTGGGGGTCGGCAGCGCTGACGTGGAAAGGTTGCTTGGTGCTGACCTGGCGCACCAGGTGAATCTGCTCCGGGTCGGTGAAAGCCTCGTCTTCGTTGGCATCGTACTCCTCACCAACAGTGATTTTGGCAAGGGAGGAACCGCGCTCACGCAGGAAGGTGACAATGGCACGAGTGTCCACGCCGGAGATTGCAGGAACTCCCTCACGAGCGCACCACTCACCCAAGCTCTCCACTGCCGTCCAGTGGCTGTATTGCTCTGCAACATCAGCAACGACGACACCGGCGGCCTGCAGGTTGGGGGACTCGAAGTACTTGAGCAGGCCATTGCTGTCCTTCTCGGCGGAGGGAACACCGTAGTTGCCAATCAAAGGCTGGGTGAAGACCAGGATCTGGCCACGGTATGAGGGGTCGGTCAGAGACTCGGGGTATCCAACAAGAGAGGTGGTGAAAACGGCCTCGCCGGAGATGTTGGAACGAGCACCAAATGACTTTCCGGTGAACATGGGACCGTCACGAATGGTGAAGGTAGCAGGCTCAAGAGCAGCACGCTGACGCACGGTAGCCATGAAGCGAGACTGAGAAGACTGCTTCATGGAGGCAAAGGCCGAGGCCCGGGTGGGCATGGCCTTGACAAGGTTCATGAACATTTTGAAGGGGTGGTTGTAAATGGGATTGTAGAGTTGTAAAGGAATTGAACGTTATAGTATGTCAATTCAGTTAATGGAAGCTTTCCAAAGGTGATCTAGAAGTGAGTTTAGTGGTCAGTTTCGATTAGACAAGACCTATAGTATGACATACCCGAGATGTAGTCCTATAGAATAAATTAGCATTGAGTCATGGGATTGAAGGAGGTGGAATGTACCTGGGAGGTGAAGATTGAGGGTGCCAAACACATAAGCGCGACTGTCAAATAAGCAGTCAAGGAAAGAAAAAAGGTAAAGGGATCTAACGGGACATGGGTAAGTGGAGAAGATGTATCGGAGAAGAAGAGAAGAAGAAGAGAAAATGAGGTTTTCAAGGTTGAGTCAGTGCGTGCACGTGCCCTCACCGTATATTGTGGCCAATTGGAGAGATAAGCCGACATCGGTGGAGATATTATTGGTCAATTTCTATCTACTGAGTCCATACGCTTATCTGCGCTACTAAAACGGATTAATAGATTAACCTACTTCGTATTAGTACACTTAACCACGGGTTTACTATTTATCTCTTACTAACTAGAATTGTATAATTGGTATCTTCATTATGTCCTTACTTTCATCCTCTTCTTGGTGGCAACATAAGAAAAGAAGGTTTACGGAGTACATGCAGATTTGCCTCACCGGGCCGGTTGCATCTAGTCAGGGTTACCTATCCTACCTCAACCTTGTATTTAAATATCACTAAATTAGTTTACAGATTAAATACATAAATAATAGCTAAAAGTACTGAACATCTCGTATCCCGTGACCTCGTGAGTAAGCTTGGATCTATGTTATCACCGAAATGACTCTGTAGTCCCCACAACATCGCCGGTGAACTTCGACATTGACAAATCCTTGGCGTCATTGTCACTTTACGTGATGAGAGATCTTATTTAAAGAGGATCGCACAGGATGTTGAAGTATAATCGTAGACCTGTGTTTCGTACTACAATGTATACTCGATGTGACCACGGAATTTCCATCCAAGTTGAATGGGAATATTTGATTAAATAGCCAGATATTCCAATTTTGAGGACCTCTAATTCAGTGCTATCCTTTTCAATATTTCTTTGCGTTAGGAAATTTCCAGTTTGAAAAAAGAGCAACTTCCCAGAAATGGTGATGCACGTCTACTCTCCACCATGCTCTACTATCACTCCACGCGTCATTGTCTGTATCTCATGCCACACACGCAAGCGCAAAGCTTCAGATGACCAGCCCTGCGGCAGATACGTCCAGGCTGGACTTGACTGCCAATACTGCTCCTTATCACCGAAGGGACGTGCCCGACCAGATAGTAAACATCACGCCAATATATGGATGCTAGATGATTAGAACAGAGTCCAAGATGGTTGGACTAACAGAAAAATCGACCCTACCATAATTGCAGACCCCAGGTCAATGATCTGCACCTCCCAAGCCGGCTGCATTCGTGCGCAAGATTGGACTCTGAGTTGACCTAGCCCATGCGCCGCGACTGCAGCTATTTGCATGGAATGTCGGTCAACGGCCTGGCTTCGTGTCTGAGTCGGCCGCGGCATCAGCATCGGCGCTTATTACACAGATCGTCTCGCTAGAAGAAACGAGGCGACTTGCCTCCATATTCTTTGAAAAAGTCGATCCATGCTACAAATTCTTCCGCCGGGATTCAATACTAGCTCCTATCTACCAGAACTGGTCCAAAGAAGCCATTAACCCTGCAGAACAGCTTCATGACGCGGTGTTTTATTCTTGCGGCGAGACATTTTTTGCGGATCTATAATTTGTTGAAGCTGCGCACGTCATCATCCTCGGACAGAGTGTTTTAGGCGCCAAGAACCCTTCTATTGACACGGTCACGGGTTGGGTACTTTGTGCGGCGTATCTGAGTATGAGAGCTTCGCCAAACGCTGCCTGGATGGCTAGCTATATTTTCATGCATCTAATTGAGCAGTACGCCCCCATATTGAACCTCTTAATCAAAGAACTACAAGTCTCATATCTACGAATTTCAAGAAAGTCAGGGCGGAAATGTGACTATGCCAGTCCATTGTATGGCCCAGACATCCGTCGATATTTATTCGGAACACTTTGATATCAGTTGTCCTAGGGTGGATCTCGAGCAATTCCCCACAGTGCCTTAATCAACGTACCGACTGCAGGGATTGAATCATTTCCCGAGCCAGACTTTTTGAACCTTCTCCCTCTTTCTGAAAGTCTTGACCCAACAGGGCCATCACAACAAGATCTCCCTCAATTAGAACAAACACTAACATCCGCCTTGGACCTAATATTCCACGAGTCATCCCTGATTCTAGTTCAGTGCAACTTGATGCTATGCATCTTCCGCCGCGTCCGCACCCTCAATGCACATGCACTACTATCCAGCCGACTTCCACACCGTGTATTGTCCCTGGCAGATTGTGGTCTTTGCGCCGCTCGCGTCATGGTCGCATCCGCCTGTCCCTTGCAGCAGACTGCCAATGCCCCTTCCAGGTGGTCTATACTTATTGTCAATTGACAATTGATAATCGCGCTACACTAGACTTCCTTCTAGCTGCGATGCAAACTCTTGAAGTCCTCACCGTTTATGATACGACGGTAGCAGAAAATGGCATCCATGTCTGATGTAAAAAGGAGTCGTCATGGCTTGGGGACTTGGTGACTGATATGTCTAGCTTGCAGAACTGTGACCTGGATCAATTCCTTTAAACGGACGTGCCGTGGCAATTGCCGGATATGGGGATTTGAGCTCCTTTGGATACAAAATGGATGAATTATGAATATCGATATGAGACAACTGCATCTGCAGCAAAATTCTATTAACTTCTATTGAGAAGTTGCCCCCCAAACGCCTAGTATAATGATGATTATTATTTTCAATGCCATCTAGTAAGATTGAAATAGATACTAATCCTCCTTCTTGTCGTGGCTCTCTTTGGAACTTCTGGATTTATCCTCCCTGATACCAGATGACCATGCCACACGCAAAAGACGCCAAAGAACCCACAAGAAACCGAGAGTAATAGCAGCACATGTTGCCAGCTCGATATTACGCGCTTGGAAGATACTATTGCCACCTTTCAGCTGTAGAACGGGCACTTCAAGCTCCTCAACAAGTTTATCAGAACTAGGATGTAGCTGATAGAACATGGTACGAGGGCCAAAGAGCCCATCCCAACCTAGATTGGTCCGGTCGAACGGGTTAACTCCCATTTTGGTACCATCATCCATAGTGCAAGCCCAGAACACCACTGGCCAAGGCACATTGGCAGTTTGGTACCCAGATTCTGATGGGGGGAGGTATCGCAGGTGAAGGGGGATGGTGGCGGTCCAGTTAGATACTGCGGGGCTGCTTTCCAAAGCGGGGGCTGCTAGTTCAAAGAGCCAGTTCGAGCCCCAGCGCTGCACAACCCAGTCTGGTGCTTCGAGGTCTGTTTCGCCTGAGAAGCTGTGTAATGCTGCGAGGTTGTGCAATTCTCGGAATAGCGGGTCTGTTGTACCGAGTTGGTACTGGTCGCCGAAGATGGAGGATGGGAGGGTTAGGTATGTGTGTAGCGCACATTTTGTGCCATCTGGTGCTGGTGGTCTCTCCAGTGCGGAAGAAGGTAATGATATTGACATTGTTGGATGAAGGCCAGTTGGGTGATTGAAAGAGACGGTGTAGCTGGCTGTAGCAGGGAGAGCATGATGCCGTGAAGGGAACGAGAACATAGTCGGTTCTATAGATGATTAGCTTGGTTGGTCTTGCTACAGTCAATGTAGTGATACATACTTAATGTCTTGTCCGATCCAACAACAGCTAGGAGTCCGCCCATCTTGACATCCTCCGGAGCAGCGGCATCCTTCTCTGCTGTCAGAAGCCCAAATTCGATCTTATCCGCGCTAGAGACTGGCTTCTGAATATCCTCAGTCCAGCCACCACTTGGGGGACTGGCCCAGAGTCCTGTTACTGTCACAGTGGATGAAATGCTATTGTAGTCAATGTCGACAGCATCGGCACTGAGTAGGGAATTGCTATTTTCATGGCACTCGGCGCTACCAGTCTTCAGCTGGCGACATGCAGTATTCTGAATGAACGAAACTAGAGCTTGGAGAGAAGGGAGTCTTGACCAATACTGGAGTGAGGCCGAGGCCGCGAATCTCGTAGATAAGGCCGGTGGCGTGATAAAGGAATCCTATATTGTAGACATGCATTGGTTAGTGATAGTTCAATTGAAGTTTAGTATAGTAAAAATAGGAAATTTTAACAGAATTGATGATGTATGGAGCTTTTTACCTCTGGTTTGGAGCAGTTCACCTTCTCCCCAAATATGGTGTGTAGCACTGAACATAGTGCCTCCCTTAGACTGGTCAATTTCACCTCGAGCATCATTCACATCCTTATTTCAACTCACGACGACAGATCTTTTTTCAAGGGAGTGTAGTGCACATGCAGGCCAGGTGAGACCCTGCTTGCGAAAGGTGCGATAGCAATATAGGGCCGTTCTGTGGCCCAGCGGAGATGGAGCTCATGGGACTGCTTTAGGACATCACGGAGCTATAGATCAAGCCAAAGAACAATTAGCTGGCTAAAATAACTCGGTTGAAGAGGACCCAAATCGTCTCACCTCCTCCGGAAGGTCCTCTAGCCCAAATGTAATACGGTTTTCACGGGCGGCGTCCAGGTCGCGAATCACAAGGTTCTTTGATGTGAGGACAACCTGGTCCTGCTCAAATGGAGCATTGGGGGCTTGGAAATAGGTGATTCTTCGTTTCATCGTAGATCTGGTAACTGGCATGTGAAGGACAAGGTGGTAAACAAGAAGGTTGGGTTTCTCCAAGTTTGAGGGGTTTCTCCGCATTCCCAAATTGGGTTTAGCGTATATATCTAGCGGGATATCATTGCTATCTGATATTCAAACATTTTAAGAGTTTTACTTGATAATTGCTCAGAGTATGGTGGTGCAGGAAATAATGCTCTTTAGAACAAAATATTGATATTTATCAGTCCTCATCCTCCTCATTTCAGTCCAATGACCGACCTATGGACAATGACGACTATCCTCAACAAGTTACCCTGTTCTGGTTTCTCGGCGCCTTCCTCGTATTTAACTCTGAGCCATTTGATTCGTTTGAGTAATGCTCGGAATCCATCTGCTGCTGGCTAATCTCCTTCTTGAGGAACATGCGCAGGTCTGCTGTCAAATATTTTGCCCTCAGGGAGCTCGACAAGATGTTAGAGTGTGAGGAAGACTTAAAGAGTCCAAGGGAAACAGACAAGCACGAGGAAAGAATATAAAAGATCAAGATCAGAGAGAGGGAGCGAATTGGGTGAATAACATAACATAGATGGGCTTAAATACCTACCTAGTTAGGTATAGCAATCTCTAAGACCTCGGAACCTCGGGAAGTGTGGACGTACACATGGGCATGGATCCCCATGAATAGGTTATATCCTTTAATGCTCGATAATCGTTATCATTGACCATAATTCATAGCGGGGTATCAATATATCAGTATGAGAGGAGATGTTATAGAAGATACATGGTTTTCGATGCCAACAGGACAAACAACCTTGATATCAGACAACCTCCCATGTCATTTTGATGCAAAAACCAAACAAATAGAAAAAAACGGACGGAAAGCACAACTGCTCTTTTATTCATTGAGTTTCATTTGTCGGATGGGCCGAGGTCATAATAAACACAAGATCCAGTACGGTAGTTGTAGATGAAGGCATTGGTGTAGGTTTGTGTGGTATCGCTCGAGCGAGCCTCGGATGCAAAATCTGTGAGCAGGTCATACAGCTGACTGACATACTTGCGTTCATTAAGAGGTGCATTCTGGATGACAGTACGCCAGCTCTCGGGGTCAGAGAGTCTAGTTTCTCGGATAGCATCTAGGACCTCGTCACGAGTGTCAATCGCAGCGACAGGACCGTGACGAGCATGTTCGGCGACTTCGTGTGAACGTAGAAGAGCTAAAATACGTAGCTTAGCTTTGGATGGAAGAGTACCGGATCAAAAGTTTGAAAAAACGTACCTGATTCGACGATGTTTCGTCGGTTTGTCTTCTTATTTCGATGATGTGGGACAAGGATGCGGACATCGTTGACCTTGTCTTGGGACTGTAGAATATCTTGTTGGCCGGGTTGTCGGGATTGGCGCGGGTCAAACGTGCCCTCGCGATGGTGGCGGGCTTGCACTTCAGACCGAAGCCATGGGATAAGCTCTGAGCTGCGAATATCAAACTCCTCTTTGCGGGCCACATTCCGCACTTTGTAGCCTCGCTCCTTGCTATCTTGCTTTGCAATCACGATCCAACGGTGGTTGTGATATTTGTACTTGATCAAGAGTTCTTCGAGAGACATGGTGTCCACTGAAAGCTCAGCACTGATTGAGTTCGCCCAAAGATCTTCGACGATCCTCACTCCTATTGTGCGTAGAACTGTTGCATCAAAACTGGCGACGAGAACATCACACTGTGATTCTGGTCAGTATACAGCGAAAGAAATAATGCAAAATCAGAAGAATAAACATACTCTGCGGGTTGACCAGTACGCCTCGGCACCTGTCTCGGAGTCTCTTTGTGAATTTTTAGACTTCAAATATTCGGCCATGGACGAGCCGAGTCGATCCGAGCTCAAGTTGAACCCGACTGCGTGTGCTTGTGGTCGACTGGACAAGACCTTTGGTGAGAATTCCTGGATTAACCCGTCATATCGCCCACCTGCTGCAAATACGTCACGTTGCTTGCTATCGAAAACACACTGGAACAGCAAGCTACCTCGGTAGAACTTCTCCTGTAAACTGCTTAGAGGGTTGATGTAAACTTTCCGCTTCACACCGAAGCTTTGCAGGTAGGTCATGAGCATATTCAAGCGAGCAAATATCGGTGGGATCCGCTCTGCCTGTTCTGTACCTTCCATTATTACTTGTAACCTGCGTTGAGTCTCCTTGATGTTGTCTAAGCATTTAAGGTTAGCATTCATTAGGCTAGATGATTAATAAAAAGAAAGTGTACCTCTGAAATCAAATCGACTAAGATCATCCAAAGCTGTCGAGGCAACACCGATTGCAGGTGACCGAAGCTCACTGCGAATCTTCTGCATCGTCCATTTGCCAATATTCAACTTGCTGAGGACATCCTTCACTAGTGGAATTTGGGAAGAATTAATACGACAGAACTCCATGATGAGTTGCAGGAGATCGGAATGATTGACCAGGAAACACATCGGAGAGGCTTGGAGAGGTGGGAACTCTTCGATAATCTCATCAAGCACCTTGATAACTTCCGCTTCCTTGAGCGCCAAGTCTAAAGTGTTGTATGATACAATGTCAAAATCAACCTCACGATGGGTCCGAGGCTCACTGCCATGAGTAGACTCTCTGTAGACTGTTCCGAACGCAAAGGTCTTTTCTAGAGAAGGATCTTGACGGGGAATGGCTCGCGCATTCGGAACAGTAAGGTCAAATGGCAGCTGGAGGAGGTTTCCAGAAACATCCAACAGACGCACAGCGCCACCAGAGTAGTGATGAGATCTGGGGAAAAGCATTTGTCTCGATGATTCCACAGCGCCATGTCGTCGGAATATTGAGGACAATTTCTCTCTCACTAGGCCCTGAATGAGGAGCTCATTGGCTGCCGGTGCACCACGAGAGTCCATATCCCAAGCGATATCCTCAAACTTTTTTGGGGACTGGGAGAAAATTGCAGAAAGAATTTTCTTGTAGTCAGGGGAATCAGGGTCAGATAGCAGGTGCACAATAGCTCGTCTAAATGTCTCCTCTTCAATTTGGAGCGGAATCTTGCCACTGGAAAGAAGCTCAGTAGCTGTTGGACGTTCACTTGGAGTGTGATTTAAGAGGGATTCGATGATCTGGCCTTGAACAGCTTTTTCGGACTGTTGGAAAGTGTCAGGGAGAGTAGGGTTGGGCTCCCTGATGGCTCGCAGAGTTTGATCTCGCTCCATACCTGTCGGTAGTGGGTAGCACATCTCGAAGAAAATAACGCCAAGAGAAAACATCTGAATTGTATTAGTCTACATGGAAAAGGGTGATGGTCTTGGTGATGGAATCTTACATCGACTTTCTCATTATATTGCACCGCGAATCCCGACTTCATCTCTGGTGCAACATAATATGTTGTCCCGAGACTACGAGTGAAGTTGCCTTCCAGGTCTGCTGCGGCGGAAGAACGTACTGCTGTCGAGAAATGCCCACTAGTAGCAAGGCCAAAATCACCGATACGAGGGTTGTTCGCAACATCGATGAAAATATTATCTGGTTTCAGGTCCCGGTGAATGATACCATGGCTGTGAATATGACTTAACCCATCGAGAATCTGGCGAAACAGGCGCCATGAACGATCAATATCATCACACAGTCCGTTTTTGATCAAGTCCCGCAGTGTCTTGAAATTAAAGGAAGTTAGTATCACGACGCCAGGAGGAGCCACCTTTTACACTTACATGCTTCTCGCAGTACTCCATTTGGATATACAGTGTAGTCAAGACAGGCCTACTATTGGAGCTGGATCTTGCTCGACTAAGTTCGTCGTCTGCTCCACTGCCGGATCCCCACGTGTCAGGGGTTTCATTATGGCCTTCATTTGAGATCACTTCACCCTCATCATCGCTATCAGAAGCAGCAAATTCAATTTTCGGGTACCCGCTGGAACTAATGAAATCGAGACCTCCCGTGCTGAACCCATGGTGACTAAGTGTGTCACTTTCTGAGGAAGAAATAGCATCATCATTGATGGAAGTGAAATCTTCCTCAATCCAGGCAGTATAGTACCGGACAACATACGGATTGTTTAATCGAGACAACAGCATGATTTCTGAGAGGGTATCTTTTAGGGCCGCAGCGGAAGCCTGAGATATTTTCTTGACGGCGTAGAAGCGGCCATCGAGCTTATTTCTAGCCTTGACAACTTGACCAAAACCACCACGTCCTAGCTGGCCGGCCTCATCAAAATCTTGATGATATCTCGAGAACACCGCTGCCCCAAACGAATCCAGTCTCGGTCGTCTCGCTATGGACACCGAAATTGACGCCCTTTCGCGCATAGTCAATGGCGTATCCACGCGAAAGAACTCAGATGGCTGAAGTTGAAACGCGGTCGGGCGTTTTCTCGGGTCAGGGCGGAAGAACTCTCCAAGCAAGTCTTGCAACGGTGGGGAGACACCCAGAGTCACCATTAATTGGTTTGCCGAAGTGTATCGAAGCAAGACATCTTTCCCGAATGCCATCTGCAACATGACCACACCAAGGTTCCATACATCGGTCTTTAGGGTTTGAGAAGCGTTGTCTTCAGTCAGCTCTGGAGGATGCCATAGCGGCGACTTGGATGAAGTCAAAGAACGGCTTCCTCCTGGAAAGCCTGGCAGTGACCCTTCCACACTAGATTCCAATTTCACTATAGTCTCTCCGGAAATTGTCCTGCACAACATTATTTGCCCACAGTGGATGTTACCATGAACAAATCCACTGCGATGGTAAAATTCCAAGGCCTCAAGAAGTTGGATCATCCAGCTTCGGAGTGTATCCACCGCAATGGTGCCTATAATATCAAGAAGCTCCGAGAGAGATCCCTTGTTTGCAAATTCCATGAGTGTGAATACCTCCCAGGTGTTTTCAGGTGATGGAGAATGGCTGATAGGACGAGCTATCTTGAAACCCACAAATTCGAGTAAGTTGGGATGTCGAAGCCGCTTGAGGCCCTCCAACTTATCTTCACTCGATCTCATTTCACCTCGAAATGGGAGAGAGTCTGAATTACTCTCATTCAGGCAGATTTCTTTGAGAAGGAGCTGTGGAACATCCCGTTCCTCGAAGATGAGAGGCCTCACGGTGTAGGTCTTCTTGCCCTGTTTTGTTTGCAGCAGCGTTTTCCCATGAACAGCACGAAATACAAGCAGCTGCTCATCTTGACCCTTAACTGTCAGGGGCAGATCGAAAGAAACTACACCAGGGGTATTTTCAATGCCATCGGAAGCACTCATCGAATCCGCCCCACCTCGACTTTTACGCCTCATGTTGCGGGCTTTGCGCTGTCGTGCTCTGTCCTCGAGTTGTTTCTCTATAACACGATCTTCGGCCGCCTTTGCAGCATCCATTTTGCGCTGTTCTTCTTGCTTTTCAAGTTCAGCCCTCTGATTGGCAGCAGCCTTTTGTTCCATTCGTTCCTCTTCGAGGCTAGGGAGATCTTTGTCCTGCTCTCGTGCTTGGGCAACTACTTCAAGGATATCTTGAATAGCTAATGCCAATTCAAAGATCATCTCAGCCCCGAGAAGTGACTTCGGTTTTGTCCGAATGATTTCCTGGATTTGAGAGCTGGCGCCTTCCCGAAAATCTCCTAGGTTTCCGAGCGAAAGATTTGGAAGGGTTTTAGGGTATGTTGTAGGAAGCTCTACTAGGAGCTCGAGGTGAACGTCTGGGGCTGAGGAAGCTCGAAGGTTAAGCTTGAAGCTCACATCGGAAGATTGCTACGAAATAGATCAGCCCCGCCAATGAACAGATCCTCGGAGATACTTACATGCCATGCTGACTTGCGATGCTCAACCTCTTCAAAGTCATCGCCATAGATTGAGCGTAAAGCTTCCACCTCAGTCAGATGGATTTCGCGGTAATTGGTTGTAGCTATATTGGATGTCACAGAGCTGTCAGAGAAGTTTTGCTGTTTCTGACGAAGATTTTTCTTCTTGTGTTTGGCAGGCATCGCGAGGGAGCGCGGCGAAGTCGCCCTACATCCAGGTTTGGTTACACAGCATAAAGAAAAGAATGTATTGGTGCAGTAAAGGTAAGAGAGCAGATTGAGGGGATTCTTTTTTCGCAGACAGGCGGTAAGACCTCAGTTGTTATCGTTATCGTTATCGCTATCAAGGAGTGGGATAGGATGATGCCCAAGTAGTAGTTCAGTCAAGAGAACGCATAAAATTTGAGACATTAATTAATTTCTTTTCCGACCATTGATTTTCAATGTCATATATCCCTCAATGAGCAGAATTGATAGGAGGTGATGGAGCAGCATAATGCCCAACAGTGGGTACAGTCTTGGCTGCTGTTCAATCCAAATGCTATGGCCTAATGCAATGGCAAATGCAGTTACCCGTGACCAGGCTTCAGATATCGATGACACGGAGTAGTAAGATTCCAACCAGGGTAAGTATAGGTGCATATCCCCAATGGTACCACTCTGGCCATGAGACCAGCAGACAGCACCATCGACAAATGCAACTGCACTATTAGCAAAGATCAAGGTATAGGCCAAGGATTTGACATTCCCCAGAAATGCTGCGCATAAATTGCAAGGCCATGAAGATGTCCCGGACCTTATAGATAGTCAGTAACATTGATATCAAAACTAACAAAAAGGGTTCCGAAGGCAATAGTAGCTGTGCTAAGAACGGAAACAGCCTAGCTTTTGAAGATAGTGTTAGGTGTGGTAGTTATTTGTTTATCACGGAGTTATATATTAGGTGATGGAGGTGGAAAAGCTGAAAGATGGGAGAAAAGGTAGAGGACCGAAGACTGTGAACAAGAGGAGGTTGACAAGGGTTCAATTAATATAATTTATCAGGGAAACGTTGTCCTTGAAAGGCTTTCTAGTGAGAACGTGCTAGAAGTAGACCGGGATATCCCAGTTGGGACAGATCGGCTTATCGATAAGCACCCGCCTTTCCCCTTGACGCGTTTGTGCGGAGTAAACAATTCACCTTTTCAAAAGACTCGCCTATCATGCTAGACTGGATGAAAAACGAGGCTGATGGTTTGTTACACTCCCCTCTATTGAAGCCAACATTTCTCACATAACTAGACACCTCCAAAGTGTTGGAACCCCCCGAGACTCCGGCCCCAGTGTTCGCCCTACGCGCCTTCAAGTCCGTCTTATTCGGAACGCCTGCCGATGAGGAGAGTGGAAAAAGCGCGTCTCAGTCAAATAAAGCATCCCAACCATCCGGCAAAATCAATACATTTCCCATTCCAATCAAGAAACAGGAGCCTGTGAAAACAGAGCCGGATCAGATGAATCTCTCCGGTTCGCCATCGAAGAGCATTCTTGTAACCCCCGGTACAACCTCCCACCGACGCAAGACTGTTTCTTTTGGCGAAAGTGTTGTGGATAACGAGGGGAAGCGTGAAGACTTCTCGAGCAACCTGGTGAAGACGCCCCCAAATGCATCGGGCAATATTACCGCCCAATGGACTTCCTTGTCATCGGATGGCAAGCCACAGAGCAAACTCACGCAAACACTCATGGCTGCTCGTGATAACGCGTTGAAGAACTCCGAATCAGACGCAAACCCCGTCGCATCGGCTCAGTTGGAAGCAAACATCGAGGACGACACCTTGAATCTGAGTAATCCGCGGTCAGAGTCCGGACAGTATTGGAAGACCGAATACGAGAATTATCGGCTACGGACCAACCAGGAGATCAAGAAACTGATTCAGTATCGATCAGTAGCTAAGAACTTTGCACGCAAAAAGGATTCTGAAGCCTCGCGGTTGGCAGGAAAGCTTAAGGAAGAGGAGAAAAAAGTGGCAGATTTGGAGCGACAAGTGGCAGATTTGAAACGACAAGCGATACGTCCGGCATCTACCAATTCTGGGGATCTTGAAAAGGATAACGAGACCCTCAAGCAGGAGAACGACGCACTGCGGCAGGAGAAAGACACAATTAAGCAAGAAAATCACACGCTCAAGCAGACCATGGCACGAGTTAAGCAAGAAATGTCTCGATACGATGGCCGGCGCAAGGAAAAAGAGAACAAGTTGAAACAAAGGGAAGTAAAACTAGAGGAAAGGATCCAAGATTACCGAGAGCGCTTGAAGATCTCCACCCAAGAACATCGACAGTCAGAGGAAGCTCTACGGAAGAACTTTGATGACGAACGCCACCGCATGCAAAATCGACTCGATCTACTGAAGGACATGCTGAAGGAGAATGCTCCTGTAACGGATCGAGTGCCTATACTACGACCTCAACAACGACATTCCTTCAGCCCCCGCAAGGAGTACAAAGAGTACTCTGATAAAGAGTACAAAGACTACAAGGGCTCACGATTGTTTGGCCTTGTTGAATAGCCTGTTGGATTTTGACTACCGTTCGAAGCACAAAAGACTCGTTGTAGATACCCTTTCACCCGTTTTTCTAGCCAAGTTGTTAATTATAGCGCTATCTTTCTACTTGAATTGCTCACCACAGTATTATAGTACAATCAGTAACTGCACTTTCAACTAGTTACTCTTGTATTTGTTAGTGGTAATGTGGACTATTTTCACTGCCAAGATAGAGTATAAACTCGGGACAATCTTCATCTGTACCCCAATTCTGAACTAATGTTAATGCCCTCTTATGCTTAATTTGCTTGTATAGCATCTTTAGAGCTCTAAGTTCCATCCCTTTCGTTCCTCTCTATCTTTGTGACTATACTTGTTTCTTCTTCTGTCGCTCATTATATCAACCGATTCAACATGATCCGATTACAAGATACTAAACCCGGGATCTGATACCCGTTGATCTGGATTGATCTAGGCTATAGGCTCATATGAAAACCTTTCCAAGTACAGTTCATCGTACTTTGAGACTCAGTCATTCCAAGGTTCTATATGCTTCTCTACATTGGGTACCTTTGTACACAGTATCTAGGTATAGGGACTTTGGATGACCACATTAGCCCTGTACAACCCCTGAAGCCAAAGATAGTACTATATAGCCTTTCAAACTTCAAATATTGAATGTTAGCATGGGTTTTCGAGGGTATAGTACAACGTCATCTGGCTGGCAGTGCTTCTACATTACTGAATGTGTTATAAAACGAAGCTCTCTCTTCTTACGAGCTGGTAACAATAAGTCATATCCTAAGCTTAGACTCTTTATCAATAGATTACCATCTGCACCCATCAGGTTCGAGATAATACGCATAAGGCTGTAGTCTAGACCATTCACTGTTCACATCATCATTGAGCATACGATCTAAACGTATGATAATTTGAATTGAGAATCAATTGAGTTTGAAATTTAAGTATGGTTGTTTTTAAGTAATCCCTTTTTCCTCTTCATCAGTGAATGTTTTTCTTATTGTTTTCTCTTCCCACCCTCTCCCTCTTCCCTCTCTTTCTCCTTCCTCTTCTCTCTGCACCACCTCTTTTTCCAACAATTTTTCCCAATACAATTTGTTTCCCATAGATCCCACAGCTTATACTGGTGTCAAAATGACACCATCTGTACTCTCTGGCGATTTTGCGGGGTGAGTATCAAGGTTCTTCCCTCTTCCCTCTACACAACATACTGACCACCACTTTCTCTTACAGCATGAACCATAATGTCTCTGGAAGGTACTTTTTCTTTTAACACCATGGTTGGAAGTGAGTCTAATCATAAGCAGAATTGAAAACCCCCTCGAAGGTCTCTCTCGAGACCAGCTTATCCAGGAAGTTGAGCGCTTCGCAGGCGACAGCGGCCTTGTCGATCTGCTCCCCCTTCTCCACAAGGGAGCTGTAGCTGCTCAGAGTCCCAATGAGATTGACACTCTTGAGCTTTTAGATTCGAGGGACCGTGCCATTCTCCATGAGGAGGTTACCCACCGCTGGAAGCAGCCCTGGGCCCTATACTATACTATCATCCTGAACTCAATTGCCGCTGCTATTCAGGGCTGGGATCAGACTGGTAAGCATGATGATCAATACATCATAATTACCGGAGACTAATAATTATGGAAGGATCAAACGGTGCTAATCTGACTTTCGATGTGGTTTTCGGTATTCCTAACAATCCTCCAGCTTGCCCTGACCAGGCAACCTGCACCCGCAACCAGTGGATCATGGGATTTATCAACTCGTGCCCTTACATCACCATCTGTCTTTTGTAATTATATCCATCCTCCGCTGCTTCCTACCAGTTTCCATCTTACATTTTTTCCTTATTACAGTGCTGGATGGTTATCGGACCCGTTGAACGATTACCTCGGTCGAAAGGGCACCATCTTCTTGGCCGCTCTATTCAGTCTTATTGCTCCCATCGGTTCCGCATTCACTCAGCACTGGGGACAGCTCGTCGCAGCTCGCATCCTACTTGGAATTGGAATGGGATTAAAAGTTTGTAGCAGCAACCCTATCATGCCTCAAACATGGAGAGCATTGGCGACGATATATCCCAGGTGTTATTATGGAATCAGGTAGTGTTACCGTGATTTTAAGGAAGTGACTGTTCCAGTCTATAGTGCTGAGAATGCTCCCACCAACATTCGAGGAGGTCTAGTTATGTCGTGGCAGGTGTGGACCGCCTTTGGTATCTTCATGGGCACATGTGCAAACTTAACTGTCGCCAATACTGGAGATATTGCCTGGCGTTTGCAGCTTGGTTCGGCTTTTATCCCTGCAGTCCCTCTGGTTTTTGGTATCTGGGCTTGCCCTGAGTCTCCGCGTTGGCTAATTAAGAAGGGAAGACACATCAAGGCATATAAGTCTCTCCTCCGTCTCCGCAATAGCCCGCTTCAAGCTGCCCGTGACCTTTTCATGATTCATATTCAATTGGAAGAGGAGAAGACTATTCTGGTAGCATCTGGATTTGCAAAGACCAACAACATGTTTGTGCGCTTCGGGGAGCTCTTTACTGTGCCCCGCCTTCGTCGTGCTACTCAGGCATCTGCTGTTGCAATGATCTCTCAGCAGATCTGTGGAAGTAAATTCTTCACCAGATCCCCGCATTCGATTGAACTGTGGAGATATACTAACTTATGCACTTTTTCTAGTCAACATTATCGCCTTTTACTCTTCAACCATCTTCCAGGTAGATTACAAGACTGCCATACTTTCAATGGCGTCGATCTTTACTTTTCTCTCGGCTAATTTTTATATTAGATGGCTGGTGCAAATAACATCGGAGCTCTGCTTGCATCATTTGGCTTTGGATTTATCAATTTCATCTTCGCTTGGCCTGCAGTTTGGACCATTGATACCTTTGGTAGACGCGGCCTGATGCTTTTCACTTTCCCACAGATGTGCTGGAGCCTTCTTGCCGCTGGGTTCTGTTTCTGGATTCCGAAGAGTAGTAGCGCTCATTTAGCTCTCGTGGCCTTTTTCATCTACATCTTCGACGCATTTTACTCTCCCGGAGCTGGTCCAATTCCGTTCACCTACAGTGCTGAAGTCTTTCCCATCAGTCACCGTGAGATTGGTATGGCATGGGCAGTGGCTACCAACAATTCCTGGGCTTCCGTCCTTTCGTTCACATTCCCATACATGCTGCGAGCCCTCACTCCTCAGGGTGCATTTGCATTCTATGCTTTCCTGAACATGGTGGCACTGGCGCTGATCTTCTTATTTATGCCTGAGACCAAGCAGCGATCGCTTGAGGAGCTGGGCTTTGTCTTTGGTTTGTCCACTCGAACCCACGCGCATTATCAATTGACCAAGGTGCTTCCGTGGTGGTTTAAGCGATATGTCCTCATGCAGAAGGGAACGATGTGCCCCGAGCTGTGGAACGCAGCCAACGACACCAACATTGCTGCTCCTCGCACTGCTACTGAAGTTGTTTGTGAGAAGGAAAAAGATGTCGTTCTGTCTGCTCCCCAGCATGCAGAGGACGTTTCTCACTAGGTTGGTGTTTTGTTGATTAGCGACTGGCTTTCATGGATGGATCGGTTCTCTTTATTTGATCAAGATAGAGGCTTCAGCCGACGCAGTCTACCATGAAAGCGATATTCATATATGACGTATGCTTTTGGGAAGCAATATGCAATCATATGTTAATTAGTTCATGAGCTCAGAGCTCCGAAGCTCCGAAGCTCAAAATTCTCTTTTATGGCTACAATTGATTCCCATCAATTATTGGAATTCTCCCTTAAGTTTAATTGTAAAAGTAGATTATGTGGATGAGTAGATATATCAACTAGTGCCTTCCCGAGGTCACCGATCCCGCCATCAACAACAACCTGTGGACTAAACACAGAATGAGTCCATCTATGCTCCGCTTGGTGGCTAGCAAATCTCAAAACTCACTGCGATACAACCTCCATGTTGCCTGCTCTGTGAAACCAAATGTGTCTGCCAACCGGGTGGGTGTAACCGTTGAGGGATCTGATAGAGCCAACCTCTCCGTGGCAGTGTCGGCAGTTCCTCGAGACGGAGCATCTAATCGAGCTGTCATGCAAATGATTGCAGAGGTGTGTTTGAATATTGTTCTTCTCTATAATTAATATCATTTCTCGGCATAGAACCTACCAATTTCCCATAATAACAAATTTACTAGGTTCTAAAGGTTCCCAAGTCCAGTGTTGAAGTGTTGCGTGGTGCGAAATCTCGAGAGGTAAGAACATTCAGATTTCTGTTTTTTACTTCTTTCCTGAATACTCATGGTTCTAGAAAGTATTGTGTATTGCAGACGTGGATATTGGGGACAGCGAAGAGGCCTTTCTACAGCAAACAACTCAAAGATTAATCGATGCTTCCAGGAAGTAGATTTGATTTTAGGTAAGGAAGTCCCGTGACATAAAATCCCACTTTTTTGCTTCATTCTTCATCAACTTCTTCCTTTACCCACATTCCAGAATAATGACAGATATAAAGCTGCAAAAATCAGAGATGGCTTCTTCACCTGAAGCTTTGAAACGAAAAGCTGAAGCTCCCATCCCCAAAGTGGTTCAATTCACCTCGCGTAATCCACCCTGGACCTACCTTAAGCTTCAGTTGTAGGCATCAAGCTCCAGACATTCTTAACCCTGATCGCTAACAAACCTATAGGATTCCTCAGCCAGATGGCACATCCCCACAGCCCATTGATTCCCTCTCCGCCCGCACTTATCTTTCATCCGCTCTGTCGCAATTTCTCGGGCTCACAGGTACAGCCATTCCAATAGACATCCTGCAAATTGAGCACAGAGCTGCATCTGGAACAAAAGGCTCAAAATATGATGGTGTCTGGATTCGTATCCCTCGAGATGATGCAGCCGCAGTTGTTGCTGCCCTTAGCTCGTGGATTAGCAGCGGCCCAATCAATGTAGCCTGGAGAGTTTGTGCCAAGAGCAATTATTTAGGTGCATTGGTGGCCGGGTCTGGTAATGAGCTATTTTCTCCTTGATTCATGGACAAAAATATCTAATTCTACACGCCGCACATGCTTAATAAGCTCTGTATGGGGTACATACCCAGAAATGATGGGCATCGCCTTGGTCCATTCTGCTGAATGATCTAAGTCTATGTGCAGTCTTGACTTGGTCGTCGACTTTCGTCTGCTCCACTCTGGTGTTGTCTTTATCCCAGTCAGTCCATGTTGACTGGAAACTTCTCTCGAATACGCTGGCCATATCGCGAAAATATGATCGGAATGGGTATGCATGCCAGCGCAACAAATCCAAGCAGAGAATTTCCCCAGCCCAATCCCAGCCTCTGAAACATCGACGGACCAGCTAGAGGTAGGAGCGCGCCTACCAACGATCGGACTGCAGTCAGCGTTGCATTTGCCGAAGCTGCATATGCTGGGTATGAGTCAATGATATAGGTCTGAATGGGGAGGTAAAGTCCCATCATGCCGAAGCTGAATGGCACCGTGCCAATAATAGGGATGAGCCAGAAAACGTTCTTTTCAGCGGTCCAGCCATACCAGAAGAAGCTAATCGGGAGAAAACAAGAATAAAAAATCATCATTGGCAGGCGCATCTCCGGTTCAAACTTTCCTCCATTTCGCACCGTCAACTTGACCACTAGTCGGTCGCTAGTGAATGCCATGGTTACGAGGCCCAGGATGGCGCCAGACCCAATCCCTATATAGGCGAGGCCTGAGGTGCCAGTTGAAAACCCATATTGGTTCTGAAACACAGTCGAGATAGTCGTGAAGAAGAGATAGAGAAGACCATATACGAGCGCCATATAGATCGAAAGGGACATGACAATAGGCGACTTTAGGAAGAGTACGAAAGGACGTTTCAGTCCGACTTTGAGAGTCGCAGCCAGCGATACATCTTCACCACTAGGTGTATATGCACTTCGAAGATCGCCCCGAGCCAATTCCTTGGACAGACGTATGGTCTTGCGGCGGATAAGGACAGGTGCATAAGTCTCTTGGTTTAGAAATTGGATGGCCAGTGTCAGCACTGCACCAACTATTGTGAGCACCCAGAAGACCCAGCGCCATCCAATCTCCTCACCCATAAAACCCCCTGCAACAGGACCAACAATTGGTCCGACTAGTGGGCCCAAACTCCAGAGAGATGCTGCAAGACCACGCTGCTGAATGGGGAAGATGTCCGCAATAACCCCGGCACCAAGAGTCAAGCAACCAGAGCCTCCAATGCCAGCCAGCAACCGAAATATAATCAAACTTGTGATATCTGGAGCGAGGGCACATCCGATCTGCCAGAGCACGAAGAACCAGTTGGCACAGTTGAGAACAATTTTTCGACCGTATATTTCGCTTAATGGGGCAAGCAGAAGCGGGCCGAACTAGTCTGGTCAGAATTGGGTTGATCTACCCACCTGGGCAGATATTAAAACTACAACTTACCGCATAGCCGATCAGATATATGCTGACACTGAACGAGAGTAGAGTTTCATCAGCGACTCCTAGATCTGTTGCGACATAGCTCACAGTGGGGGAAAACATAGTCGACGCAAGAGGAGAGATAAAAGTATTGATACTCATGTAATTCAGCAGAGCCCATTTCCGTGCAGGCGAAAAGTTTTGAGGATTATTCGGATCATCTTGTCCTTCCCAACCAACAATTCCCTGGCTGAGATCTGTTTCTGGGTATTGTTTTGTACTGCGTTGTTGCTGTTGCTGTTGCTGTTGCTGTTCGAGACCCTTATCATCAAAAATAGTGATCACGTCTGTCTGTTCTTTCAAGCTAGTTTCAACATTTCCTGCTTCTTCTAGCTTTTCCGAAACCAAAGTCCTCATCTTTGAGGGTTGAAAGAGGAGATTTAAATTGGTTGCATACAAATACAGAGGAAGGGAATAACTAAACTATGCAAATTCATGTATGACACAGTGCCGCATAAATAGACTTCTGGTGGTATGAACCCCCTCATCTTTAGACCTCGGGAATAAGTCAAACCTAGGGCTTGTTCAATTGTAGGAATAATTCTTGCTGATCCACAGCGCACTTATTGAAGCATTGATCAATCAAAAATATTGGCCATTCTTGATTGAAATCCTAGGTTAATCCTAGACCTTAGGATGCAGCTGATCTTCTTATTAACTTTCCAATTCATAGATGTCGATTCAACTGTTCATTCAGGTGGCTTGTAGCGTGATCACTTATTAAATCCATATACCTAACTACATAGGTCAATACCTAGTAATACAACCCATATTTTCTTTGGCTAATATTGTTGATTTGAAGCTATACATTGCTGCTTAATGAACATTGGAACTCATCTGAGAAGAGCTAGGCTCACCGAGTAAACCTCAGTCTGGGCTCAGACCTCGGGCTGCTCTGAAGTGATTGGAAGCACTTACCTTGATAGCAATATCTATGCCCCAAAGAATCCATACCAACAAAGGGAGCACGTAGACAACCTTGGAAAGTTGTAGTAGAAATATCTAGCCGTGAGTTTGAATATGCGTAGGCAACAAAAAAATTGAATGCATAGATAGGTCCATACTTCGAGTTTTAACTAAGTCCCTAAGTGATTGAGGGCTCGTGGACTGGACGGGCCGTTCCCACCTCGGGAGGTCCGGTCCACCTGGGTCCTTGGAAGGTTATTTACCGAATTTGAGATCCACAATGTAAAGCGTCAGGTGGTTCAGTGCAATCAAATCCCGGAAGATAGATTACCTAGGTAGGTAGCAATGCCCAGATGTGGAGAAGGAACATTGAAACCCCATGGCCCCAACGTTGAAAGGCTATATCGCATTCCAGCCCTCCAGGGTTATACATACTAGTCAGTACCCATGTATGGATGTATGCCACCTGGATAGCAGATCATATTGGCCAAGTTCTAGAGGTCTCAATAGATATTCCATATTACCTAGGAAGGTGTGCGGCAGGGACAACCTTACTTCAGAAGACTGAAAGAGTTCAAATGCAGCCTTGGAATCGATTTCAAAAGTCCCGTTGGTGGAGGTTCTCCAGTGATATTATTGGCTTATCTTTGTCACTAGGTAGAACATGTCCCCAAATCTCTTGCAAAATTCAGTTATGGATTATCCTGAGGTCTCCGCTTTTCCAAAGTAGACACCTAGAGCGGGTAATATCGCCTAATACAAGTTATCTAGGTAGTTCATTAGACAAGATTCTCGAAACATTTATCTTAATTTCTTGAATCAAAGTGAGCAAGGAAACAAAATTAGCTACAATACGTGGTGCTAAGCTTGTGATAGGCCTTTTGATGTGGGTCAAAATTTTCTGTACATCCTGCTGCACCTAGCACTCTACTGTGTACATTCAGATTAAAAGGCCGTATCTAAGGATAAGCCATACGATACTCGTCCAATTCATTTCAGCATCTTTATGTACAGAGTCATCAATCTACGTCTTTTTGGTCCGGACAAATCAGCATACACCGGCTATATTACCCATAAAATCTGGGGTGAAATGGAAGCTTAAACATTAGAATCTGTCATTTCTGGTTCAAAGAATGAGGAATTGAGAAATGGAAAAGCCTAGAAAGAGTTATAATTTCGGTGCTTTATGCGCAGCCTTGGAATCAGACCGTATTGAACCTCCATAAATAGCCACAATCCAAGGGTATACGTAATGTGGGCTTCGTATTCAGAATCAAAACTATTACATCTATGTAAATAAAAATGATTGGAGTAGAAACAGTTAAACGGCCTTATTTTAGCCTGGTGATGGTGGGTCACTTAGCGTAGAGATCATCATCGGAGATTTTCCGCCGATACTCCTGAACGTGGTTTTTCCGGAAGTTCGAACGATTGATATACATTATTTTAAAGTCGCACTTTTGTTCGGTCAGTGAAAGGTTAAGGTACTCAAGACCTAGCCATCTATATAGGACTAGCTAATATTTAGTTTCTGTTTAATTAAATAGTAGCTACTTAGTTTGAGTCCATAGGTTTAGGGCTAATCACCGATCGACATATTCGTTGTGCCAGCCACCTGGGCACCATGACAGGAGATTCCGGCCAAAATCCGGTAATAGTCATGGAAAAATAAGGCCAGATGATCCACACGATCTTCGAAGGTTCAGATCTATCACATTGATGTACTCAGTGAATCTGGATTGGTATCTTGATTTCAATCTAGATGTCATCGATGCATGTATGATGTGCCTAGTCTCGAGTACAGATTACCTGGGCACCAACCTTGGAACCTAAGCACTAGAATTTTATTGGAATGTAATAGCTGATGTATCACAAATCATACTGATGGAATGACGTCTGGTACCTTCCTCTCGCAGATCGTTGTAAACATTCCATAGATCCAAACTTTGAAACATGTCCAGGTTCCCTGGTCACAAATGTCAGACTCTAAATTAGATTTGGGTCACAGAATAATGTTCGTACCAAATACGACCCTGGAGGGTGAGCACTAATCCAAGAATGGAAAGGTCGTGGAATATTCGCTAATGTATCGGGATCATACGGCTGAACCTATTTTAAGGGTGGATCCATCGTATTGAAGTATATTCAGCTCCCCCCCGCGTTAATATTTAGATTGGGAACTCTAACTGAGCCTCTGTGCGATTGGAATGTGAGAATTATCCTGTTCAGGAAGGATTGAATACATTTTGAGGGGCTTTGAGATCCAAACATGTGCGAGTTTGAAAAATTGAAAATTCTGATTAAGTCCTGGTTTGAGTTGCTACATACTATGCTTCAGATCTGTCCAAGTGGGTATTGAAAAGGAGCTACTCCGTAAACAGACTAATATGCTTGTCGAGATCTTTCTGTCGCCCTCAAAATAAAATCTCGTATCTCAAATCCCTGCTAGCCTAGTCCCGCTTCTTGACAAGTGGATTCTCAAGTACCGAGTGCCCTGAGTATTTGGTCTATCGTTGGTTCACTGGAACTTTCCTCGTGCCGTTCATCGAGGATTTTAAAACGAATCAGCGGGATCTCAGGGCTACGAATCAGTTCCTACTTCGGCTCACAATCTATGTGGTACGAAGTACTCCGTACTAACTATATCTGCCTCGTAGATCCCTGCCCAAGTCCATGGGTGGAAGGCGATCTATTTTCCCTTCTTCGTCATTTTCACTACTTTATTTGCTATTTTTATGGGAACTCACTGATATGACAGTTTAATTCCCAGTATTTTCTTCGTCCTTTGTCTTACTCTATTCCGTTTACCTTGTTCCATATCAATTCCAAACGTTCTTTATACAGTTCCCACATGCAATTATCAAATTTTACAGCCAGGGCAGATTTGCCAGAGCCAAATTATGTGAACCCAGCCACTCAAGGCAATGGACTTCTGATTGTGAACATCGTCGGCATCTGTCTGGCTTTTTTGGCTGTTTCTCTCCGTCTCTACACCCGTTACCGAATTACCTGCACTCTTGGTTTTGATGATGCTCTCATTGTTCTTGGATTGGCTTTTGCTTTTGCAATGGCTATAGTGACATCGGTCGCCACACAAGATTGGGGCGCTAATCGGCACATCTGGGATATTCCTGTAGATTGGCTACCCGTTGTGGCGCAGTTGAACTTAGTCTTCCAGATTATGTTCTCGTGGGCTTCAAGCCTGACCAAGATATCTCTGTTATGGTTCTGCCGTCGTCTTGTCGGGGCTAGTAAGGGCAACTATGTGGTGTTCAACCATACACTCGCTGGGTTTATGATCCTTGTCTTCGTGCTTTGCGTGATATTCACATTTTTGAGTATATTTCAATGCTCGTGAGTTTTTTCATTCATATTCGTTATCAGGCTCGCTTTTAGCTTACATGAATGCAGACCAGTCAAGGCATTATGGGACGTTAACCCCACGTATCCGTATAAGTGTATCGAGGAGGGCCATATCATCTTCTCCGCCAGTGTGATCAATATCTTTACCGATTTTGTATCAACTATTCTCCCGATGTCACTCATATGGAGTTTGAGACTTCCTACCCATCAGAGACTTGTGGTCATCTCTATATTCGGACTCGGAATTCTTGTCAACGCTGCAGGTGTAGTGCGCACAATCTATGTATGGAAGGCTTTCTTTGTCTCCAGCACCGACAGAACATGGATGGCATGGATAGTTCTGGTGTCTGCGTCATTGGAAATCAACTTGGGTCTGGTACGTAAAGCCATGAGAGTACAGAGTCCATCGAAGACTAACCAATGATCAAACTTAGATCTGCACCTCAGCACCAGCTTTGAGACCACTCGTTGTAGCATTACTGCCTCATCTACTCGAATCCAACCCCACGTTCACCGAATATAAAAATCCAAACCAGTCCCAGAACTTCTTGGTCTCAGCCGGCCTCTCTCGAAATCGATCATTTAAAGTTTTTGGCAATGACTACAGACAAGCCGGATACGAGAGTGACCATCTCGAGATCATGCGAACTGTTGAATTGGAGACAAGAACTGATCCAATAATTCCCTTCACCGTTACTGGAAATAGTGAATCTTTGAGTGACGAGCAAGGTGATACAAAGCTGGGTCCCGTCTTCACTACTGGGAGTGAAAAATCCCGTGGCTCACTATTACGCAATGATGCTCCTCGTCAGTAGATACTTTGCTTTCTTTTGGTCCAATACTTGTTCTCATATATCCCCTTGTTGTTTTTATTTTTTCGTTTCAAATTTCAGGACTAGCTAAGAATATTTCATAGATTTTGACATCGATTTTGTCCATTTTCTCAAACCATCGCTTTAACTCTAGGACCGTTTAATTCTAAGTAAACTAAGCATTTACATACCTACAGATGTCGGAAAATTCATCCTTTATTACATAGATATTGGTATCATTTCAAATCTGAGGTTTTGTCCCTTTCGCTATCATGTGGTAGAAGTCACCTATTATCTTTGGAATATTTTCTAGAAATAAAAATTAGATTTCTCATCGCTCTCGAGGTTCAAGGTTAAAATTTATGCAAATCCATCTCTGCCATTCCAAACAGATTTAAATCCCTTCCCCTTTGGACGGCCCCAGGCTAGATTCAGAATCTTAGCCTTGACTTCCTCCGCCACTTTTCCAGTTCGAAAGCTTTCAGGATCTGTGGAAACCAAGTACGCTGCAAGTCCGGAAACAATTCCTGCTGCGAAGGAGGTGCCTTGGTCCCTGTTAATACCGCGCTTGACTTCATCTTCGGTTGAGCCCTCGATATTGCCCCAGGCACAAGTAATTCCTTCGCCGCGCCTTGAATTAACTGCCCCAGGCGCATAGACTGAGACAAGATTTCCAATCTTCGAAATTTCCGATACGCTTCCATCGACATCGACTGACCCCACCACAATCATATTCGGAAGTTCCTTCACAAAAAGAGCTGGATAGTCATTCACCTCACGAGGTTCATCACAAGACGCAAGATAATTTCCTGCAGTTGTGACCATAACAGCATCCAAATCGTAGATCTGTTTATAGAGATCCAAGTATTCTGATCTTTGCTTTGCTGTCTGATCATATTCTTTCAGCCCGTAGCTGAGATTAACAACTGCCATATAGCGCGCGTTCTTCTCTCTTTCCTTTTTGATGTCTTCTATTATAGCTTTAAGTCCAGCTTGAATAGTATCGTCATATCCAGAGTCAATCAGAGGGACAAACTTAAGGTTTGCTCCCTTTGCAACGCCCCAATTTTGACCGACGATCTTGCTCGCGACGCAGGTTCCATGGCCATCAGTATCACCGGCCTTTTTTATTGCGTTGAGGTCCTCTGTTGTAACACCAGGGCCTGTCTTAGGGTATAACAATTCAATAGTCCCCTTCTGCACACCTGAGGGTGCTGATGTCGTGAACTCCTCATGCTGAAGGTTAATGCCGCTATCGTGTACGTACACAGTTACGCCCGAGCCAGCGGCATTCAAGAAAACATAATCGAGCTCTTCATCATCTTCCCGTGCTGATTCGGAGGTTCCAGACGGCCATGAAACGAAAGTCAGCTCCTCGACTGCCTCATACTGGCGGATTTCTTTCCATTTTGAGCCTCGCTTGGTGATACGTGAAGCTTTGTGTTTGAACTTGGGAGGGGAATCATCCCATGTGTAGTTGGTAGTTTCTGTTGAAATTTTCTCGAACTCGATACGTGGAATCGTACGTAAAGGTGTTTTGTCGACGGTAGAGGCCGTTGCAAAGGCTAGGATTTGTAGCAATGATGTAGTCAAAAGAGCAGGGCATGCTAACAGCATCTATTAAAAAAGTATAAGTCAAAATCAAACTTTGAGTGTCTACCTTATATGGCGGATCATTTGGAACTGGTCGTTTTCAGTATCAATTCTTACATTGGGAACTTGTTGGAAGCCTTCAAGCTTCGAATTCTTGGAATTCCTGGATATCCCTTGATGCACAAATCTACGAGTGATAGCTTCAGGCTTTTTATAGCTGCCCAAGTGATCTACCAAAGTATATCAACCGAGATATAAAAGCTATGGGTCAAAGAAAGGATTGCATGGGGCGGAAGATGCACTCATGGCCCCAGCTATCTATAAGCTTGGACGAGAAATGCTTGATTAGCTTCCAACGTTGGAAGGTCTTGTTATTGGCATATAAAAGTGTGCTATTTCAGTAGCTTCCCTAACTGTCGCGTGCCTAGGAAGGTAAGCAGGAGCCCCGAAGGATAGTAGATCATTCTAGATTCCCTGACCTTGATATTGTCTATATCTTCCTTTTGGGGGCAGTAGCACTTTTCGCCCTATTCTCTTAGTCTTTCGGAAGGAAGCGTACTTTAGCCGCATCCATCAGAGCTAATAGTGAGAACAGCTCATATTGAAATATTTTTCAAAATACCCAAAATGCCTGATATTGATATTGAATTAACTGATTGGTTCATCAGAACGTATAGTTGATGGATGTATCAATATTAATAAACTTATAACAAATATTAATGTATGGAGTGTTTGTGTTATAGAGGTTGTTTAAAAATAATCCCAGCGAAAAGCATAAAGCGTAAAGCACTCCTGATACAGGGCGCAAGAACAGCTTGCAGTGTCAATAAAAAAAAAGTCGAAATATCATGCAATCACACGTATTAGGAAAAAGCAAAGAGATTTAGAACAAAATTCAATCATCTAAAATCTAAAATAATTAGCTCCAACTGGTTATCTGACGTGATCCGAAGTGGGTAAGATAGCTCATAGTCTACCGCCGGATTTGTGAGTTAAGGATGTTCAGGTAATGTGATAGCGGTAACCGGGTCCGACCTCAACGAAGAGATGGTTTTCGGGTTCATAATATTGAAAAATGTATAGTCCAGGAAACTTGATATTACTATTTGTTTTTGTTTTATCTGTAATACACTGCTCTCCGACAGACAAGGGGATAAAACCCCGAAAATATATCATCCTTTGACTTTGGGTTCCAAGAATTGATGAGGCTTATATAATGCCCAACAATCGGCCCAAAGCACTCACAAGGTACTCAATGAAGCAAATAACCCAAAAGAATATATCAAAACTGAGCCAAAACAAGTAGTTGCCTAGGTACTCAGGAATATCTGCCATCTCGATGTCCTCATCCTGAATAGGGGCTGGGGCTGTGTAGAACCCAGTACTGTTGGTAGTGCCTGAAAGTATAGACACCTGGGCATCCGAGGCACACGCTGGTTAAAGCCTGCAAATGTAGATGTTGTAGATGCACGATGTTTTCCTGAACACTTGGCACATGCTATTGAACTAACTACCTTTCTACTGTGCGCGAGAACAGATGGATATGTATTGCCATTAGATTTTCAAGAGTATGCTTTCGAAGGGAAACTTCACTAAAAAAACGTTGGAATAAAAATAATCATAGTATTTTTGTAATAAAAAAAATACGGATAGCATTTACCTGAGGGTAATTAGATCTTCAGAAAAGTGTAAATATTTCCATCTGGAATAGAACTAGTGAGGCCCATCGACCCATAATATAGCTGTTCACTCTCACTATTCATTGCCCTTGAGTTCGCGCACCTAGCTCTTGGAATGAGGGCGCTGGGGGAGAATCATGGAGTAAAGAGAATGCTAAAGTCCAGCATATTATATCTCGGTATGTATTACAGTGTCATAGATATAAGTGATTCCTTGTTCAAGTATACTGAAATACATTCTTTCCATGGAGTAGACAGACAGTGTCGGGTATTATGCTTAGAAGATACATCATCCTCGGCCTATTGTTGAGCAAGACAGCGTCACCTTCCAAGGGTTGTAGTTGAATTTGGAAACCAAAATCAAGATAAGGACAATGGTTGGTGGATCAACGACGATGATATCGACTCTAAGATGAACATTGAAGTAAATAATAAACAAGTCGTCAGACTAAGGTCAAATAATTTAGCTTGAAGAAATAGGAAGAATGAAAAAAAAAAAAATATGAGTGGTCCCAGAGGGGGTCGAACCCTCGACTTTGGCGTTATTAGCACCACACTCTAACCAACTGAGTTATGGAACCATTCTATATAATGATGGTTAAATAATTTGATATATATACCAGGATTGATGGAAGGTGTCCAAAAAGTAAATGATATGCAAATCAGTGACCTGGCATTTTGGTCATTGTGTCATACAATAGCTGGCCAATAATATGACATTGCAATACTACCACTTGACTGCCCTTTACAGTTATGGTTCGGTAGTTGTATCTTTTCTATTGGAGAATAAGGTATAGGACCATATATAAAAGAGATTCAATGGATAGTGTGCAGCTCCGCTGTCAGCTAAAATGGAAGACATCAAGAGAGATCATACTGTAACCCCGTGATCAACCTGTAGCTTTGTCAGTTTTCATGCAGCAAAAAATAGAGAGATATATATATATTTATTTAAAGCTTCAATATTGTTACTAAGGGGGTCAAGCAAAAAGGCCGCAAAGTAATTTGCATGATAGTGTGGTCGGGAGTCAGCATGGCCATCAGGACCAAGCCCAACTGCTCCGGGAAGGCGATTAAGCTATGTGTAATCTAGATGAGATAAGATCTTGAGATAAGGTCTTTATGTACCACCGGACGATTTCCTCGAGCCGAGCAGACGGTGCGGTAATGACCAAATGATTGATTTTGCCAGTTCCGCCCAGTTTGTATTTCTTAGATAATATGAGGTATTCAATGGCGTCAGAAGGGGGTCTCAATTAGAGTTGCGGAGAATACTTGAAAGTTCGATTCTCTGGGGGCTTTTGCATTCGAATCATCCAGACAGGTCTGCAGCCCAGGTTAAACCGTTTGCAGACTTAATCGCGTTCGTATGATATCACGCGAGCGCGAAAATTCCATTGAACAAAACATTATCTTTCCACCAGATAATGTTTCACCGTATGGATCTCCTATTGTATCACTCTGTCGGTTCACAGGGATCTCGATGCACTATTACTACTACGTTGTACGTGTAATAAGTTATGCGGTAAGATGTGTGTGTTCATTCTAAGTTCCCGCGATGGAATCGGGTATCCCCCGATTCCACTAGTTTCATTCACTTCCCGAGTTCATTCACTTCAGCAAACCAGATTCCATTGGTTCCAACACACTCAGTGTAACATTGTCCGTCACATTAGGTTTATGGGATATTGCCTTCATGATACTTACACAAGATTACGTATACTTCCTTCGGCTGGAGAACTCTTTGTAGATTGCATACTGGCTATGATCTATAAAAGCCACCCTCATACCTCAGAGGAAGGCCAGCATACACGGATATTCAACAGATCGTCAGAATGCCTGAGCTTCACCAAGGATACGCGCAGTTTTACAAGTTCTTCTGGGGTAAACATGAAAAACCAGACGGGGAGCTGTTTAGCGAGACACAACGGAATAAAGTTGATACTTCGAAGGACTTTTCCAAGGCAGATTCCGGCCGTGGTTTTTGGGAAACTGTTATCGTTGAAACTCTTCCCGAGATAGTCGTGAACGAGAAGTACAACCGTGCCAACTTCTGGTGGCCACCCTACCATCCCCGAAGTACACACAAGGAGAACTCGCTTCATTTTGCCCGTAACTCTAAGTCGTACATGGATGTGCAAGGATACGGCGTGATCAACCGGTCTGAGATACCTGACAATACCATGTCTGATTTTCGGGGAGAATGGGGCGATGATGATCCATACGATCCAGGGTTCAAACTCCATGCGCCCACGTACTATTTGGCTCTTCCCATCCGTAAAGGAGGATTTCAACTCGGAGACCATCTCTGGCTGGATACCGTCAAACCTATCCGTGCTGTCTACTTCCCAGTCTTCTTCGAGGAGTCAGAAACATTATGCCGATATGGGGTCTACGTGAAACTTGACCTGTTGCATCTGGAAAAGAACCACATTATCGGGCCCGATGTGTCCTGTCCGAAGGATTGGCGGAAGCTCGGCCAAGCTAGTGCCTACGAGATCGGGAAAGAGGGGGTTAACTCCTGGAAGCATACGCTTGTTATTGATGTAATCAAGTACATTTCCCTGGCAACAGTGCCCTATGGCCAACGCAAAGTCGAGCCAATGACTGCAGTTAAATATACCGACCCAAATGCCATTCAGACCCGTGAGGTCGATTGGCACTTTTCCTGGTACTATGTATCAGTAAGCTGGGAGACCGTGCACAGCTTCGAGACCGGGAAGAAGATCAAGGAGGAACATCCACCGCCGGAGAATTACATTGCCCGCGGCATTAGCGTGTTTAGCTTGATTGGCGGCTTTATCCCAATCATCGGGCCAGTCTTGACCAAGGGGCTGGGTGTGGTTGAGAAGCAGCTGGAGACAGGTAAACGGCCAGACTATTGGGAATTAATTGGGATTCCAAGGAAAGCCTGGGACGGCATAGATGATCGTCCCCAGAAAGACTTAGTCAAAAAATTGGAATTGTTTGTCGACTTTCTCCATAAAGAGGTTATATCAAAGTGATGCTAGCTATACAAGGCCGAATAAGACTACACGTGAAGATTCGGCCACCAGTTACCATCGAAGATCCTAACAGATGGGGGTTGCTGGAATGTAGTACATTCCACGGGATAGGGTTTCAGCTACCAATCAAAAATGTTAAAAAAAGTAAGGGAGTGAGTACATTTCAGCAGTCAGTCTCGAGTATATTCTAGCAACTTTTATTACTCGTACGAGGTTGAGATTCTTAGAAGTTCTAAGTTCTAAGTTATTTAGTATGCTATTTATTTAGTAGAGTGTATAATTAAAGTCGACCAATTAGAGGTCTCGGAGCCAGCGGCCCGGGATCCTCTAGTTCGAAAAAGGCTAGTACCGGTGGTACCTGGAATCCTTGTTTTCATTTTCCTGAGACCAAACAGCACCTTCCTGGCTTGTGCTATTGGTCTGTAGGCTGTAAAAATTGAAAAGTATCTTCTACATTATCTTGGGAGTGATATTGGTCGAATGGGGCTTTACCAACATCTCTATGAAGAGGACTTGGCAGGATTCGTCATAACATTACATGTATTGAATTCCCCGCAGGCCGCATACACGTCACGTTGACAGTCGATTTCTCCAATATGATTAACGAGATATGGAAACAGCTGCTACGATACGAAGTCCAACAAATCAATATATGAGATTTGTTCCATGGATGTCTATGGTAATTGTTTGAGTAGAGCGAGAGCATATTGCTGATACCTACTGCGTTGGGCTATAGTTTCCTGCAAACCTCGACAGTATTTGGGAATTTTGAAGCTCTGAAGCTATATACACGATTGTTTCATTTGTTTTCAGTCTCTTTCACGATGATCTGATTTTGCGTAGTTCAACTCTAGAAATTTTTCATATCGAATAGTCATAGTCCCCTATTTAGGTAATCTGCCCTCGGATCTGGTGATAACCTGTCTTAAACTTTATTTCGAGGTATTATCGTAGTTATGATAGTAGAAAGCGCAAATTTAACTACATGAGCTATAATGCGCGCTAAGAACCAGCCATGAATATGCTCTCGTCTCCGACCTGCACTAGAGGGTATAGCGTTGTATTGCGAAACGTCCGAAGATGTCCAGGTGCCCGTGCAGTCGACGACGTAAGGGCAGATGTGGGCCGAGATACTGTAGGCCTACCCTTATCACGAGGCTTTCGATGGCGTCGCGGGCCGGGGCCGGTCGCCTGGTTTATTGCGATGAGTCTTATATGCGGAGTACTCTATACTTCATTGCCAACTATGTAGGTATGCATGTACCCAGCGGTAGATTTCCCTTGCCCTACCATCCACTACAACCAATGAATAGTTTGGGCTACAAGCTTCGATTGAACCTAAAAAGTATATTTGAAATGAACATCCATTGATGAATGACTTCCTCTGGCACGCCTGGGCATGCAGTACATCATTGATGAAGTCGCAAACAAGGATCGGGTTGTAAATCCTTCAAGCTCATTCAATCTCTAGCTATCGACGGGTTGGGCTTCGGGAACACCAAGGTGAATATTGAGACTGAAATAACTTTTTGTGGATATCTTGACTAAAAAATGATCAATTGGATGGTATTCGTACTCCTGTTTTAGAATGGCTTCGAGAATAATAAGAATTTTCTTTCTTCATTGTATCTCGTAGGAGGTTTGAATCTCGCATTTTGTTCGAGTCCTAGAACTCCCGTGCTGTCACCGCTATTGGAACAAACTTATAACCCCAGAGAACACCCTTTAAAGCTTCTTAGCCTGGACGGCCTCACGACCCTTGGCGATCCGTGCGAGAATCTGCTCACGGTCCTTGTCGAGGTGGAGCTTGGTGATAATGACGGAGGAGGCGGCGAGGGGGATGGGAACGCTCTGGCCGTTGCCCTTCTCGCGGACAACACGCTCGACGTGGATGACGTACTTCAGACGGTAGACGCTGGTGATCTTACCGGCCTGACCCTTCTGGCTACCGCGGGCAATGAGGACCTCATCGTCCTTGCGGAGAGGAATAGAGCGGACCTTGGATCGATGTTAGAATTTTGGGGTGTTCGTCCGGATTTGATAAATTTCGAGATTTCAAGATCGCTAGTCCTTCAACGTACATTGTACTTCTCCTGGAGCTCCTTGCTCAGGTGAGCACTCATCTTGACGCGGCGCTCGCTGGAAGGAGCGCCGAAGTGCGCAGCGCGCGACTTCCGGCGGCTGGAGTGAAGGCCTGGACAATTTATTAGTTTATCGAGTCGGGTGGTGACAAAACGGAGGAATTCGCAGATAAGGATCGAGAGAGCGACGTACTCTTGTTGGTGACAGTCATTTTGACGGAGCCTCAAAAGGGATCGAGAAAGGGGCTCGGGGCGGTTGTCGTTTGGATCGTGAGCGTTCAAGGCTAAGGTTGCTTTTGGGATTCAAAAAATGGTTGTGTGTGAGTCACATGACATCCCGCTCGCTACCCAGGTAGGGCTAGGCTCTGCTGACTAAGTGAAGAAGTATATGCTCACGTGACTAAACATACAGGAAAATCAATTCGTTTCATTTTATATTCGCAAAAAAAAAAAAAAACCAATTGGTTCTGAGTACATAATACTCCTGTGACTTGCACATAACTAAATCAATATGAGAAAATCAAAGAAGCAAAAAAATGGACTCGCGGGGAATCGAACCCCGGACCACTCCCATGCTAAGGGAGTATTATACCACTAAACCACAAGCCCATTGAATGAGAAGAGATCCGGATTAATGTTATATGATCCACCGCAGTGCTTTTATAGAAGACCCACTAAGTGGATGTGGCGTTCAGCCTTGGAGCTATCCCGTTCAGTACGAAATACATATCTCGGGGGTATCCAATTACACCTATGTGAGAGGTATGGAGCTGGACTCTGCTGGCCTTGTAAAGGCGGGATATTCACGGTCAGAGCTGCATATTGCATTTCTTCGGGTTACCCACCTGGAACTTCTCATCGCTGTACTTTCGGTCATGATTCCAAAATGCCTCAAGTTGGAACACTGGGGCCACGCTCTGAGTTAACGGTTTACAAGCCCACCGGGCACACATTCTTGGTCTGTAATATCTTGCACAATATATATAGTACGGGAGGCGTTGTGATGACATTCGAAGGTTAAAATAAGCTTTCTAGATAAGGCTTGCTGCTTGTAGAGATTTGTGTAGCTACAGATCGTGGACAGCTCTCAAATTTTTTCATAACAGGATAGTAGAAAAGGTAATGAATTTTCTAGCAATAACCGTAGTCGTAACTGGAAATTTGATCGACCACATAGGTTTTACTCGATTCAGAATTCGCGTATGGAAATCCAAGTATCCCAAAATTACTGGAAGGTGAAAAGGATATTCATAGGAACTATGAATGAATGTCCTCAACCTTGGATGAGTGCATCTAGTTCCAAGGTTTATTACTTATACGATGGAGATCCACCATATGAGTAAATACCTAAATAGCTGGGTATTGACGTAGAAGAGCTTGAAAATCAAGTGAATTCGAAGAGCTGCACAAGTAAAGGGTATAGGAAGGGAAGAATGATGCTCATGAGTCAATTTCATTATCACATTAAAGCTGGCCTTGTATGGGCTGCTATCAGGCCTGCCTGGCTGTAGAGGGGTTGAGATGCCGTCTACTCGTCTTCACCGGAGCTTCCATCACGTCTGAAAGAAATAACCTGTTAGTATCGATGAAATCGCGCTAGAGGTCACATATATCTGTAAGAAGTAACACATACGGGACATATTTGACTCCAGAATCCTCCAAGAGACCGATAACCTCATCGGACAGCTGGAAAAACAGAAAGATGTTAGCTTATCAAGTCTTCGAATTATATGCAGACCAGATAAAGCTCACCGATCCTGTAACCTTGGTCGCATATGTTCCTGGGATGTAGTTTTCCAGCCGTTGCCAGCGCGCAACCCAGCTTGAAGCAGGATCATGTAGCACGATCAGCCCCTCGAATACCTGAGAGGTACATTCTCCAATTGTGTCGAGATTTCCACGGAGCCCAATGATGGTTTCGCAGTTGGGGCATCCGTCACGGTTGAATTTCTAGATCAAAGGGTCAACCTCATAGGATGCGCTAAAAGAGAAACGAGGCTCACATTTTGTGTCTGGACAATCGCACAGACCATGCATGCACGCAGGTTACGCTGCTGGTTGGGAGGGACGTAAAACGACGACATATCGAGGTTGGATGAGGGGAAAATTTGGAGAGTGAAATCGAATCGAGGGTTCTGGAATGGTTGACAGACTATCTAATTACGGCCAAAGTGCAATTGATTCACCGCCTTTGCAATATGATCTGAATACACCTCAAAACTAAGAAAATATACGGCTCAGCAGTGATGTATAGTAGTACTGGTAGCTAGCTTAATACTTATGCTCTTTGTAAATAGTTTTTGTACTTAAAATAACATACCAAGCAAGAGGCTACACTTATATAGGCAAAATCACTGTTGATTATTCTGCCGCTTTCTGCATCTTGGCCGCAACACCCGTTCGGAGAAAAAAAGAGAGACAAGGTCCACGCGACTTTCCTCTCCTCTTTTCTCTGATCATCTCTCCCCTCACGCATACCCTCCGATTCCGATTAATTGGAGAATCCCTGGATTTTCAATCTTCTCCGTTGTCCTTCTCAGCCCTACCTCGCGCTCTGATCATCGCGGTCTCGTGCCCCTCTCCATTCAATGGCTTCGGACCTAGAGGCGGCTAACGCCCTCAAATTGCAGGGCAATAAGGCTTTTGCCCAGCACATTTGGCCTACTGCCATCGACTTTTACAACCAGGCTATTGAGAAATACGACAAGGAGCCTTCCTTCTTCTGTAACCGGGCCCAGGTAGGAGTTCATCTAATATACATATTTGAGATAGTCGCTAATTGTCAATCTATCTCCACAGGCCCAAATTAAAGTCGAGGCATTTGGCTTCGCCATTGCTGATGCCACCACGGCTTTGGAATTGGACCCGAACTATGTCAAGGTGAGTAGCCCCACGAACAGCGAAGTTGCAAATATGCAGTATATTGCCGGGCAATTCGTACTAACAAAATATTTGCAATAGGCTTACTGGAGACGCGCCATTGCCAACACCGCTATCCTTCATTACAAGGCGGCTTTGAAGGATTTCAAGGCTGTTGTTAAGCGGGAACCTAACAACCAGAACGCCAAGCTGAAGCTTGCTGAATGTGAGAGACTCGTGCGTCGCATTGAGTTTGAGAAGGCGATCGAGATCTCAGATCCGCCCTCCGCATTTGAGGGGTTGGATATCGATGCGATCAAGGTGGAAGATGATTACGATGGCGTGCGCATTGGTAACGAGATGACACAAGATTTTATTGACGATATGATTCAAAGATTCAAGGACGGAAAGAAGATTCACCGAAAATATGTCTTCCAGATCATCAAGGCTGTGAAGGAGATTGTCTACAACGAGCCGACTATGGTGGAGATTGGCGTGGACACAGGCAAGAAGTTGACAGTCTGCGGTGATACTCACGGTCAATACTTTGACTTACTGAATATTTTCCACATGAACGGCGCCCCCTCCGATACCCACGCCTATCTCTTCAACGGTGACTTTGTTGACCGCGGATCGTGGTCTTGTGAAATAGCCTTGCTTCTCTATGCCTACAAGTGGCTGCGACCGAATGGTCTGTTCCTGAACCGTGGTAATCACGAAACCGATGACATGAACAAGGTTTACGGATTTGAAGGCGAGTGCAAGGCCAAGTACAACGAGCGCGTTTTCAAGGTCTTCTCCGAGTCATTCTCTGCCCTACCCCTGGCCACACTGATCGGCGAAAAGTACCTCGTCCTGCACGGTGGTCTTTTCTCTGATGATAAGATCACCTTGAACGACATTCGCAAACTCAATCGCCATAACCAGCGTCAACCCGGCCAACAGGGCTTGATGATGGAGATGCTTTGGACCGACCCACAAACCCAGCCTGGCCGCAGTCCCAGCAAGCGCGGTGTTGGTCTTCAATTTGGTCCCGATATCACCAAACGCTTCTGTGAAAACAACGGCCTCGAGGCAATTATTCGCTCCCATGAAGTGCGCATGGAGGGATATGAGGTCGAGCACGATGGTCGCTGTATCACCGTCTTCTCTGCACCCAAGTATTGCGACTCAACCGAGAACAAGGGCGCTTACATCAACATTGGGCCCGAACTTAAGCTTGAGTACCAAGTGTTTGACGCAGTGCCCCACCCCGATATTAAGCCCATGGTTTGTAACCCCATTGGTTCTTTAGATATTTCATGATATTGGAGCTGACATTTATTTTAGGCATATGCGCAGAACTCGATCTTGTCGATGATGTGATGACTTGGTAATTTCTAGGGTTGCAAGCGACGGCGGTAGTTAAAAAGAGCTAGAGATCTACACTGATGTAGTGTCTACATTGGTGTATGAATGCGCATAATGATATCTATGCCCAAGCGCTCTTCTTTCGCTTCATTATATTTTCATCTTGTTTGTCTTCAAATCTGTAAGAACTGGCAGTGAAATATCTGCCTATATGTATACCGAAAAGATCGTTTCTTTCAGGTCAGAGAATACTGCACTTAACGCTTCTTCATTTGATGAGGGTTCCTCTTTCTTATCACAGCGATAGTTTTCGAGTCGACAAAGGGCGCTGTAAGCAATGATAGAAGCGATAGCCACAAACAAGCAGGCCAAGAGACCTCATATCCCCGAGAATAAGATGGAGGTCATAGATCCGAAAGACCTGAAGACCAATGAATGATATTGCTAATTCAATAAGCCAAAGAGAAGAGTGTTCATGGTTAATTGCTTGGAATGACCACTAGTATTAGCCATGAGAGTGAAGTAGATGAGACGGATGGGGCCAGTAGGTGTAGAAAATATAGTAAGATGCTAGTAGCCTGTGCTTATTATCGTGTGGCAGCTTCCACATGAGAATAGCGCACGCCATGGGAACGAGGTTGGAGATGGCGATAATTGCGCATCGGGAATTGGGCACTAGAGCAGCAATGAAGCCCAAAAGTATTTGCCACACAGACGCCACGACACCGGTTGGTATGCCCAGTACAGTGGTGATCAAACTAGAATAGCCCAGACCTATCACAATGATGCGGAGAAGGTTACCAGATCACCGGTAGGAATGTTCTGTGCCAGAGAAAATAGAGCTAAAAGCCATGTCTTGGGGTCCAGAAGATATTCACGGACTTGGTACCATTTGATGGCCTTGTCTTCCATGCTAGCGTTGTTGTCCTTGACACGCTCGAAGCAGCCAAACTTTTCGCGGTCTAAGAAGTAACAGCATTGTATGGGTGAATCCGGTAGGAATATGTTATGCACACCTGCTCATATGATGGAAAATCCACCCAGCACAAGAAATAGTAGACGCCATGGGGCTACTGCCGTATTTTTTTTGGCCAATGCCATAGCTGATCACACCCATAAAGACATATGATAGCTGGTTAAGCCAAAATACGACAAGTAGAGGCTGTTCACTTGTCCTAGGCCTCATAGCTGTCAAGATACTGTAGATGGAGAATGAAGAAGCCTCTATCATGCCCATTAGGAACCGCACTGTTGCTAGTCCGGCGAAGTTGTGCGTGGCACAGCATCATAACTGCCCGTCCAAACATAATCCCTACAAGATTTATGCCACTGGGAGTCGAAAGTAAGCACAGTAAAAACCTAGGTTTGCATATTCGAGGTAGTGTTCATGCTTTTAATGCCATGGCTTTAGCGGCAATGTAGATAATCGCCCTTGACTGCAGGTGGTTAGAGTTAGTATTACATTCCCCCTTAATCTTCAAATTGCATTATTTTTGTAATTTTCGGCGGCTCCAATACGGAGACCATTCATATAGATCGCCAACCCTGGACTCCTTGTTAATCTTAGCTGCTCTGAAGCGTAAGTTATAGTTGCGCACGTACTGGCCATATCCGGGGAAATAAGCTCAATGAACTGTGATTGGTCAAACTGAAGTGAAAAATACGGATCCTCCACTTCTTAATGCAACGAATTTAGTCACTTGTCTCCAGGGAAAACTCCTAGAAAACAAGAATGAAGTATCTCGACACCGAATAGACACCAAACAGAATATTTCCTACTATATTTGGATATATCTTTTGCCCAGGTATGAAGCGATTATCAGAGCATGACCAATTAGGGCTAGCATGCCTATGATCAGTAACTCTACTATGCAGAACCATGGAACCCGTGAATCCACTAGAACTCAAACTATTCCGCCTTTTTCAATCAGGAGAATTTCGATGAATCATCTGACACTTCGGTCCTCGGGAGAACTCCAAACATCTCAATGCAGTACAACAAAATTATGAATTAGTTACAACCTGACCGATTAAACCCTCGAGGGCGACTCCTTCAATCCCGGAAATGCATTTACAATATGTACAATTGTGTCTCACCCGTCCAAGGCATCACTGGCGCGTACCAGGGTCATAGTTTGGCCGTGCAAGCCTCGGTCGCCAGCCTACTAGGATGCGCAGTGTACGGTGCTCTAGAACTGATTGCTCTGATCTTCAGTATCTTCAATGGGTACCGCGGTCTATACTTCTGGAGCCTCCTCCTCTCTGGTCTATTCGGCGTCATTCCTGATGCGCTCGGCCTCGCCATTAAGTACTTCGAGCTCGGTCCAATATGGGTTGCTGTCACGCTATCGACAAGTGGTTGGTTCATTATGGTGACAGGCCAGTCACTTGTGTTATACTCGCGGCTGCATCTGGTTGTTTTAAATACAAAGGTGTTGAGATTTGTGCTGTGCATGATTATCTTCAATGCGATTGTACTATCGATTCCTCAGATTATTGCCTCATATGGTGCAATATATGCTTGTCGCTATCAATTTGGTGTTTTCTTTAACTACTGGGAGAAGGTGCAGATTACTACATTATTTACACAGGAGGTTATCATCTCCACTATATTTATTGTCCAGGCGACCAGGTTGTTACGCCTATATCCGACATTGAATAAGCAGAGGACAGAGATTATGCATCAGCTTCTGGCGATCAATGCGGCTATCATCTTGATGGACATTTCAATTGTGGTTTTGGAGTTCAAGGGTCTGTTTATTATACAGACATCGTTGAAATGCTTCTTCTATGTCATCAAACTCAAGTTAGAAATGGCTGTCCTATCGCGGTTGGCTTCAGTCGTTCAGATTCATGTCCAGGGATCATCGGGACTATCAGAAATAAGCTAGTCAGATACTGAAAATTGAAATAAAACCGAATTTATACCTGTCTCGTGGCTGATTCTTATATCTCGTATTTAAACGAAGATAAACAAAAATCAAGATAGAGAAATAAGATACACAAGTCTAAGACTTAGATAGATGAACAAGAAAGAATGGCTGATCTTAACCAGTGGTGCCGAAACCTGACTGAATGAAAGAGAATCCCCCCGGCTAAAGAAGAAAATAATATAACATCATACTACGGACTGCAGAATCAACCCAGAAGAGTCGCCAGATCGGCGATACGAGTTGCCCGATCTTCATATCTTTTCTTGCCTGTCTCGCGGAAAGCAGACAACATAAGTTGTCGCTTTCGCTCTTGGATTTCAAGCACTCGCTGCTCGATGCTGCCCTCCACAATCAGTCGCCACACAGTAGTTGATCGCTTCTGGCCAAGTCGGTAAACTCGGTCAACAGCCTGATCTTCAATGGCAGGGGCCCACCAGCTGTCACAGAGAATAGCTTGATTGGCGGCTACCAAGTTGAGACCAACACTGCAGACACTGAGACTAGCAAGAAGGACTGTACACTCAGGGTCGTTGCTAAATGCGTTGATAGAGTTATCACGCGCACCAGATGGCATGCGCCCATCGATGCAAACAAACTTTATTCCGTGTATTTCAAGATGGGGCCGCACAAGATCCAGGAATGAAGTCCATTGACTGAATACCACGGTCTTAGTGCCAGGTTCTTGACCTTGTGCAGTGAGGATCTTTACGAGTGCCTCAATCTTGCTGCTAGGGTGATCGGGATCAACGGCAACCGAGTCGTCTTCGCCGCCCTCAACAGCGGGAGAAACTAAAGAGGATGTGTCTTTTAGATCTGCGCGGCAGAGCGGACACTTAGCTTGCCGCTCAATCACTTGCTCAATACAGCCCCGACAGTACGCATGAGCACATGCAGTTATGACAGGCTGGTCAAGAGTGTCGAGGCAAATGGCACACATTTCCTGGCTCTCGATCTGAATTTGCAGCATTTCCTGAAGCCCCTTCATGTTCTCTGGTGTGAGCGGAACTACCTTTTGCTTATCCAGCATTTCCAGGATTTTAGTAACTCGATTTCTACAAAGAGCCCAGTGATTGCAAACTTGGCGCATACGCAGAAGAACCTCCAACAGATGTGAATAGCCCGCGCCCTGCTTGTCCTTGTAATCCAGAAGAGCACCTTTTGCCTCAAGCCTAGTAAGACTATTAGTGAGAATTCAGGAAATATGAATGGGATGTAATCATACTGAAATGCACTGTATTTTTCCAGTTCATGTGGATGGAACTTGATGTGAAGGACCCGGGAAGTCATTGGTGGTAGACGCAAGTTGATGAAGTTCATATCCTTTCTGCGCCGAAGGCATATGGTCCCCATCAGGGCCTCAAGAAGCAAGCGAGCTTCAGGATCGCCAGCCATCAAAGGCCGAATCAAGACGCTGTTGAATACACCCTTGTCCTCCAATCCGCCGCTTAACTTCAAGAATCGGACCTGGGAGTAAAGGTCTAGGAGGGTATTGATAATGGGGGTTCCAGTCAATGTCCAGCGAGATTCGGCCTGTAGGCTACTGGCAGCAAGAGAGGCTTGAGCGCGAGGGTTACGAATGACGTGACCTTCATCAAGCACCACCCGGCGCCAGTGAATGGAGAAGAGATCGCCAGTCGGCTTTTTCTCCGGTTTGTATTCCTTGTATGCCTTGGCAAGAGCCCCGTAGCTGGTAATCACCACATCGTAATTTGCTAGATTCTTCGACTCCTTTTTGGCAGAGCCGTGATAAATCAAAATATGCGGAGCAGTTTCTTTTCTAGTATGATCCTGTATCTGATTTCTCCAGTTGCTCATCACACCGACCGGTGCAATGATGAGAGTAGTTTTACTTGAATCTGATTTTGTGCTTGAGGGAGTCGGGTTGGCTAAAATTAACGATATTATTTGAATTGTCTTGCCCAGCCCCATATCATCAGCAAGGATGCCGCCACTAGCAAGTGGTGGCGCAGTGTTGATAGTGAAGTTGGTCGCCACATTGGTGAAGTTGGTTGATCCATCGCGCTTCCATAGTTGAATGACAGCATCGGAGCCTTTTTCGGGAAGCTTAGGTGATTCCTGGCGAATCATCCATGCTAGACCCTGTTTCTGATATGGCAGTAATTCGGTAGAGAGACCCACGGGAGTATCAGCCATTGGCATTTTCTGCAGATCCGATTCTGTCTGCCCAAAGGTCTCCACTACCTGACCAATCTCTCTGGGGTTGAAATGGCTGCTCTGCTGTAGAAGCTCCTCCATGCTTTCATTGTTATCACCAATCCCTGGGATTGACAGGTTGGAGAACTGAGAATCATCGTTTTGTTGCCATTGTTCCTTAGCCTTGCCCAGAGCCATTGCACGAGCCTGTTTCGCGGCCTTTTTAAGAGCCTGTTCTTGCTCTTTTGCCGCTCTAGCCTCCGAGAGTTCGTATTCAGTGAGGTCACGGACAGGAAGCCTATCCGCTTGCATTTGCTTTTTGATGGCTTGCCGCTTTATGAGATCACAAGAACCATATAATTTCAACATGACTGGGCAATCATACACCTTGATCCTGTCTGTCAACACAGCCTCCACAAGAAGATCCCCATTATCCTATATCACTCATTAGAAGAAGATCACAAGGCGAGTATGGGGGTCTCGAAAGGTTTACCAAGTATTTTGCAAGCTTCGCAGCTACCTGCCGTGGGATGTGGCCAATTCCTACACCCATCACGTTGAAGACCTTGATTGCATTTCGATCATACTGATTCTCGGGCTCTCTCTTTGGAAGTACACGCTCTCCTTTGACTGCAAGCCCCCTGTAGTACTGAACCCCCACGATTTTTGAGGGTAGAGTACCTATCAAAATTGGTTAGGTCTCTGTGCACAGAAGTGTACTCATATATTAAAAAAACTATTGGAATACAAACCATAGAGGATACTGGTTGCTGATGATGATTCATTGACAGCCTGGGTACTCTCAACAAGCTCCGCAGCCCGCTCATCCTCATCATCGGCTCCGGCAACCTGGGATAATTGGAAAAATCCAGTGTTTTCACCAAGTCGCTGGCCGCTGCTAAAAGTTTCAGTAGTATCGGGTTTGGATTCTGAAAAGGATACTGTCTGTCTCTGTTTAGATGTGCGAGGACTCTCATCTCCCGGCACGTCGACATCGGCCTTGCGTTTGGGCATGTTGACGAACTTTGATCCCTGCGAGATCAAGACTAGTGGTACGTGCCAATTAAAGTTCGAAGATCATTAAACAATTCTCGGTTACTCGCCATCAATGATTTCAAAAACGCATGGTAGAGATCAAAAGAAATACCAATTGTTGATCAAATGTGCTCTAGCTCGATAACGATAAGGAGCCTTGACACGTGGTCACATGACTTGACACCAAAAGGTACATCAGTCTGTACAAACATTCGGCATCAACTCGTAAGAATCAGGGTGAGTCAGGGTTTTTGATATCAGTTTCCTGATAAATGACGTGACTTCCTACGTAGATTTACTTTCAATGTCATTTTTATGATATTTTTGCCGTGATATCTACTACCATTGATCTGTACTTGGTGACGAACAGGCTTCCGGAGCTAGTGGCGCCCATCTACACGACGCATTCCCCGCAATGCACTTCTCTAGAACACTTGTGCAGAACCATGAACAGGAGCTCGATGTCCTCTTGCAAGATGGAACCTACAAGCCAGTCTTCCTCTACCATCTCGTTCTATTCCACTGTTTGCCCCTTGTAGGGTTGATTATCCCCTATCGCCGAGGCACCCGATTTGTACGGCCATTCATCTTCACCCTTTGTGTGGGGATTGCTGTCGAGGCTATTAGGAACCACCGCGCTCTCCTAGGTGCAGGTGGATATGTGGTTGGCTTAATGACTGCATGGTGGCTAGTGTGGTCAGCTACTCTGTTTATATTTAGTGACGTCGAGAATGACTTTTGCCGGATCGAACGACGATCTGTAGCTAGTTATACATCACATGATACCACGGTTTTGAATGATAAGTCCACCTCAGTCATCATTGAAAAAGGCTTCCATTGGCAATCCTACCCTGCTAAATTATCACATCGCGTTGACTGGTGTGCCGGACTTTTGTTCAACCTCCGAGGCCCAGAATGGAATTGGCGCGTTACTCGCCTGGGTCCTCTTCCTCGATCTGTCTATGCACAGCTACATTCACGCTTCATATCAGGCGAGATACATGCGCTGGACGACCACATTGCTATTGATGGGAAAACTCGTTTACGTGATGCCTTCTATACTTTTCTCAAGGCATATTTGGTGCTGGACATACTGAAGGCGGTGATGATGCGTGACCCGTACTTCCGAGGCGAAGATACTATTCAAGCAGCTCTTCCTTTTCCACTTTTCTACTTTGGCTTTTTCCCCTTTGCCGCACGATTCTACCGCTGCTTTCTGAGCTGCATGGGCGTTTATGTCGCCCTCAACTATGTGACTTCACTCAACCCGCTATTTTTCCTAGGGTTGTCTCGATCATTCCCCAGTTTATCTCGCAGCCTGACAGCTGCTCCACTCGATGAGGCCTGGCTATATGCTGAAACCTTCGGCCCTTTTGGATCATCCGTCCTTGATCATGGGCTGGGAGGAGTTTGGGGCAGGTGGTGGCATCAGCTTTTCCGTTGCGGGTTTACTGCTCCCACTAGGTGGATTTTCTCAATTCTTCCAAAGAAGTGGAGTAATAATCTCGGAATGAAGCGTGCAGCTTCTGTAGTGATTGCATTCTCAATAAGTGGCTTCGTACATGCTTGTGGCAGCTATACACAAATTACGCACACCCGTCCTATCTACGGGCCATTTTTGTTCTTTTTTATGCAAGGTATTGCTGTTGTCGCAGAGAACATCTTTCAGACTATCATTTTCCCCAATGCTCCTATCTCGAACACGCCGCGGTGGTTACAGCGAACCACCAACGCTGTGTTTGTGTTCTTTGGCTCCTTTATTCTGGGCCTTTCATCGCAGATGACTTTGCCAGGGGCGGACTATGGTTAGTTGAACCAATTCCGATCAGTCCCCTCCGAGGCTTAGGTATAGCCAATGGTGGGGGATGGTGGTGCTGGCAAGGAACATGGTTTCGTTACTGGAGCGATGGAACCTACTGGGGCAGTGGAATCAGAGCTTGTTAGACTTCAGAGACTGAAATGGGTGATACAAATAAAATACATAAATTTGGACTTTTGAAGACTCACGACATTGTATAGTATTCTTCTCCGTAGCCAAGAAAACAGACCAAATATGACGAAATTAAATATGACTAGCTAACCATTCGAGTGGTAAGTACTTAGACGTAGATCCGTTATCAGTAATTTCCAGACGAAATACTCTTGTCCGACACTGTATGGCTCAGTGGTAAAACAGAATGCCGTGTCTGTAAAATAAACTATTGAGCTTCTATACTTCTAGACTCGAGTATAGAATACGCAGCTACCACCAAGTCCTCTAGGGGTCTAATAATTAGTGGACTTAATAAGGATTAAGCCCCCTGGTGGGTAGTTAGTAGATCATACAATTCTCCCCTTTACTTTATTAAACCTGCATCATCAACCTTCAATGATGAGATTTTTCTAATTTATGGTAATGAAATTATTTCAGGACTTTCTTTCAATCTACTAATCAGAATATATAGGCACATGTAGTCTTGACAAGGCTCGTAAAGCTCGCAATTTACACCTTTCATCTCCTGATGGATATATATTCTAATTTGTGAAAATCAATCCTCCATGGTGACGTCTTCTTCGTCATCTTCCTCATCAGTATCCGGGTCAATGTTCAAAGTTGGAAGTTCATCATCGCTATCCTCCTCGGTCAACGCAGGTGTGGCTTTATTTTGCTTTTGCGGTTGAGATACAGTGGTTGAGACTTGAGCCACAGCAATTCGGCTGCTGGAAGTAGTCTCTTCGATGCGTGCTTTTTTGGCTTGAGCGGGAGGCTCTGTTGCCACCGAAATGCTAGGCAGTTGAGTGGTGGACTGCTCGAAGTAGGTTCGCTTATTTACTGGAGACTTCACTAAGGACTCGCTTTTCTTGGTTTCAGCCGGGATACTGGAAGGTTGCGTCAAGAATTCTGCAGTTTCTGGCGCAGCATTGTATTCCTCATCCACAATCTCATCAGCTTCTTCGTCTTCTTCCATCTCAGTATAGGCATCAAGCTCTGGGGCAGACATAAGAACCGGCATTCTGGGACGAACCAAAGCCTCGACCTCCATTTGTTCAGGATGGCTTCGCACCAAAAGCGGCATGATGCTTGAGCCAGCACCACGGCCCTTGGCAGCTGGAACTGGGTTCAGCACACTAGCCAGCATTGCATCCTTATCATCGGTCAGAATTATCGTGCGGTCGATTTCAGCGCGAACTGATGGTGCAAGAAGCTCCGAAGGAATGTTTGCAAGAATACTTTGCAGAAGCTTGGAAGAGGCCAGTTCAAGCCGAGGGAAACGTGAACAGAATTGAGGGCCCGAATTTTTCTGGAGATCCGGGTTCAAAAAAGCATCAACATTTGCAGTACCTGGAGCTGTTTTTGACTTGGACTTTGAATCAGACTGGGCCTTGGTTTGTTGGCTGTTCTCTCCTAGCTGAGGCAGGAGATCATTGCAGCATAAACGGGCAACATTGGCAATGGAAGCTACAGTCTGCTTGGTCATGGCAGGCCCATTCAGAGATACCAGGGAGCGAAGCAGCTCATACGTGGCCAATCGAACCTCTTTGCTAGTCTTCTCATTCCGGATAACCCAGGTAATTTGTTCCACCATGGTCTGGGTCAATGGGGTCGTGTCAATCTCCAGCACAGCGACAACATGAGCAAGCAAGCTCATGCTGGCGGCATGGATGCGCGGCAATTCAGTCCAGAGCATCTCACGCTCATCCCGACTGATCTGGGGATTGATCTGAACCCCAGTTTGAGAGCTTTCATCGGAAGGAGCAATTACAGAGGTGAGCCGTGATGTCACGTCAAGAATAGAGCCTAGAGGAATGGCAACCGCAGCAGTGGATGGCATGGTAATAAAATTCGACAGAATTTTCATGAGGATGATCAATCTGTCAATTCCGGCGTGCATTCCACTCCACGAGGAAAGTCCTAGAGCATCGACACCCTCATCGGCCATTTCACTGCTGTAATTTGGCCGCATGTGAGTCAATGTCGCATCGACAGACTCCCATTGCTCGACAATAGCACGGAATACATGATCAGTTGCTCTGTGAATAGACAGTACAGTCGATCGACAATCATCAGTCCAGCCAGCACCCGACTTATCCTTCGGCGCACACTTGTGAAGAGATGCAAATACTTGTTCGGCAGCATTGACAACAGGCTCCGGGTAATAAGCAGGTGAAGCAGCACTAAGAATTTCAGTTACCAATGATCGAATTTGGGAGCCAAAGGGTCGGAAGATCGTGGGATGACGAGGAATCAATTCCAAGATGGCATGAAGGACGGTTTCCATGAAGCACGTATTGTGCTTGGGCGTCCGGGTAGATCCTGAGGGAAGTTTCACAAGGGTCGAAATCAAGTTAAGCGCAGCCGTGACGAATCCTGGCATATGCGGTGTGGTGATCTCACGAACCAGAGTCGGATACTGGTAAGTAAGGTGAAAGATGCGAGTTAAAGTAATAATGCACATCTTGCGTGTCGAAATAGGGTCCGGTTTCTATAGACGAATCAGGAGTCAGTTTATTAGAAAATCCACTCAATCTCCTAGATAACGGGCTACGTACCGCCAGAATGGTGATCAAGTTGCGAACGATAGGCTCATATCCTCGTAAGATCTCCCATTGACCCGCCTCAACCGCGGCTTTAACCAGAACCACAGCAGTCCATCGAGCTTCAATACTACGGTCCTGTAGCAAGCTGGCTAGGCGAGTCTTCAACTTGTGTATCTGAACGACATGATCCGAGTCGGTCTTGGCCAATTTCTGGTTTTGAGGCGCAGACAAAAGCTCGGCGCAATCACTAAGCGAGGTCGCCAGGAATGAAGCTATCGAGGGCAATTGCTCGACAGGGGTGGTGGTTAGGCGATGCGTGACAGCACGCAGAGTAGTTGTGGTCATGTTCACGACTCTGACGCAAATACTCTTGAGAATGTAAAAAATGTACGTATGGGAGTATTCCTCGATCAAGAAGTTTTTATTTCTTATCGATAAGAAAAGCTTGGGCCATAAGCAGTGTCTTATGTAAGTTATGTAAGCGCTCTAAAGTGAACTAGTTAAACATGCCAAATCTTAACGAACTGTTATTTATTTAATAAATGGTAGTTAATAATTCCCAAGCCTGACTCTGCCATTCAAACAGCAGTTTGGAAAGCGCCAGCTATTAATATCTAAACCTTTTTTCCATATTAGGTTACTGGATCACAAGGGATTGAATGGTAACTTTGCCTTTTTTCTATGCCGGGGCTTTCCTATTTACACATCTAAAATATAACTACAACAGATTCCAATACTTATTACATTAATACATCAGCTTGCCATTTCAAATTCATAGCTTTCAGTAGCCTTTTATATGAAATACACCAGGAAACTAACGGCGTTCTTCAAGGACCGCTTCATCTGGAATTCACAACATCCGGACTTCACAAGCCCCACTAATACTTTTGATATCCTAGAAAACATCCTCAATTAGAGTGATGTAGCACGTGTCGGACCTCACACCTCCTGCATGAAGAATACCAGCAAAACGCCCGTCGATCTGCCAAACTAAGGATCCAGAATCTCCAGGCTCGGCGAATAGCTTGGCAGGTGGTGAGACGATGCATTGCTCCCATGTTAAAACGCGATTTTGTTTGCTCTCATCTGAAGGATCTTGTACTTCCGAAATCTTGAATTGCTGGAGACTACCCAGAAACCATGAATGAATCCGCTCGATCTTCCCACTTTGAACACCTTTTGACCATCGGTGATGTTAGAAGATCCCCCAGGCGAACAAGATAGAGATTTGATATCACCCCTGCCGTAATCGAAGAGCTATCAAGAGTTTTAGTATTGCAATTATGATAAGTCGCTAGATCAAAAAGTAGACAGACCTGTGGGCTTGCTCCGCGCTTTCTTATATCAATAAGTGCCCAGTCCAGTATCATGCTTCGTTGATCTTTCCTTGAGCATGTTCGTTGGAGTCCACTTCCACAGAATACGTGTCCTAGCATGTAGCATTTTTTATTGCAGAATTGAACCATATGGTTAATAGCATCGTTCCTGGCTGCATTATTTTTGAGGTTCTGTTGCAAGTGACGGATTTCGGAAGGTATCATGAAATATTCATAGGAACCTTATTGAATAGACTTGTCCCTTTTGAAGAGCTCTTGGAATGATTGATCTTTGAGGCTTTCTTCAAGTTCAGCCTTTTTCATTTCAATAGACCTGCTGATATCTTTTCTTGAAGGGTGGTCGATTCTCAGAAGCTTTTGCTCCGGGCTTGGATCCTTTGTAAAATTCGGCCATACTGGAGAGAATTTCCAAATTTTCAGGGCTATTTCTGAATCTTTGATGCGCGGCAGGTTGTCCCGATGCGAACCTTCTCTCGGAGGATAAACGGCATGAAAACATGTTAATGCGTACATCCGCCATTTCGGGGAATTTGCCCAACGAAGCTCAACATTTCCCCCCAGGGTGGAGCTTCCTGTACTGCAGTTGTGAATACCGATGCTTACACCGGGTAGGACCTGCTTTCTACATGTTTTCCAGTGTAATTCTGGGCCCTCAACTAGTTTTCTCATGTTGTTCTTTATGAAAAGAACCTGGACATCTGGCTCTTGGTTCATGGCGAGAATACCAATGATCTTTTGCGTTGAGGTAAAGAATTTTTTAGTTGACTGTTCCTTAATTCTAACAAGAACTGTGATAGGGTTTCTTGTGGTTTCAGCATCAACTCCGTAGTGCCAGAGCTCGAGTGCTGTCCAATCATCCATCTGACAGCTGCCAACAATCTCATCAGAAATGCTATGCCACTTATTGAAAATCGATTTGCTGCTCGACACAGGGTAGCACGAGGGGTGTAGGTCCAACTTTTCTTTGATTAGCTCAATTGTGATACCGGGAAAGGTATCGCGTAAGTTTCGATAGATGTCTTTTGCAGCTCTGTATAGCGCTTCCGATGAAAAGTCCTTTGAAAGAACAACAAAGACTGTCGGAGAAGGTTCAAGCCCAGGATTCACTTTTGACATAGGACCCAGTGTATCGATTGACTTGAACTCAATGTTATACTTCACCAGGATTTTGGTAGCCTCATCGGTCATGAATTCCAAATTGTCATAGAACTTTGTCGTACGGTTGTAGGTATCGCTCACCGAAACACAGTACGCAGGAAGTGGTGTCTCCAAAATTTAGTGAAAGCTTCATCTCCATCACTCTCATTAGGCAGATTGTTCAATTGATCTTTTTGAATGATTTCAAGGTAGCTGGACGTGGAAAAACGTCACTCAATTCTCAGAACATGTGAAATGATGAATAAGCGGCGGCATTAAATGCTCGCCTCCACTCAGTATCAGCTTCTGGAAAGACTGAATATGAGACATCATTTATGGAAGGTCCACAATATGGTGAGGATTGAGAAATTGCGAGACAAATGATCTGGGCAATGTTCCAAAATGCGGGGTGTGAGTAAGAAAGCACTTTTACCAAGCCGTGGAAATCGGTGGGTGTAAATTATTAAGAGGAAAGTTGCTAGAGAAGAGGTGGAGTACAGAATTCAAGGCTTTAAGTCTATCACTCTATATTAAATTGTTTGTTTGTTTTACCACATCGCTTGATAATGGGGAGTGAAATGAATGTGAATGTGAAAGTTAAGGTCGAATTTGAAATAGAAATTGAAGGAGAATTAAGGTAGCAAAGAGCGGGACCACCTGCTCTATTTCGGGACTTGAGAAATCCATCATGATCGATGGCCAACGATCTTTAGTAGACGGAATGCTCGAATCTCGGAGTTTCGGGGCCCCAAAAACTGAGGGCGTGTGAGCTGAAAGATAAGAAGAATTAGTTTAAGGCGAGGTGTAAGCAGTACCGACATACCTTGTAGCATCCGATGAACTATTCGAGACGATTGTTACTCCCATCATTTTAAGAAATTTGATGGATCATGGAAGATTATAAAAAAGGAGCCTGAAGAGTTGTGGAAGGTAAGGGAGATGGTGAAAGGTAACAAATTCAATCTAAGTATTGAATATTGAACTAGGCTACTTTAGGTATATGCGTAATAATAAAAATGAGGCTCGATGGATAGGGTCTATCACGTGATGATAAGGATCGCTTAGTCAGCGAGCCAGACTGCAGGCTGAAGTCATAATACCTCTATGGCGAGGGAAAGCTTCAGGGTTGTATAGCCGGGCAATGGAAGAAAAGGAATATTCGCCAATATTTTCCCTGTCCAAGTTGAGGTCCCCGCAATTTTCCTCTCAGTAAACAACTTGTACCATTGACTCGATCCTCCCTTACTCCCGAGGAAGCCCATTTCCTCGAAAAATTCAAGTGCTTCAGATTCCAATTCAAATTTAGATTCACCTCTATCAACTTCACTTCACTTCTCATGTCTAAGTAGCCTATGCTTGAAGTCACGACTATTTAAACACATCTTCAAGCCAATGGGTTCCGCCTTATAGTATTTTCTAAGCACCAGCGTATATTGAATTGTAGTAGAATTAAGGTCTTTCTGCTCTTATCAGCGAGGCAACTTGTAATTCGCGCTCCCCTGTATCATGAAGAATAGCCTTTCTGATCTCGCACGAAGCAATATTGGAAATCATGGTGCAAATTCGTCTAATGCCTGGGCTAAATGAAGTGCTTCCTAGGAGCTTACATTCTGAGATATGAATTGATAGACCAATCAAATAAAATACGCAGTAAGGTTACCCCCTAAACAGGAGTGTGGCTCCTAGGATGAACGACCATTCTAGTGAAATCCGACATTGATTGATGGGATAATGTAAACAACCTATGTGGGAAGGGACGGGACTAGTGTGTTGCATTTTATTGAGGTGCTTACTCAGTGAGCAAAAGCAGCGAGGAAGTGAGCACTAATACAGAAGAACAACGCCAATAATGGCATAGGAAATCTGGTACCTAGGTGGTGTTGAGGGAAGAGGACACATGTATGATTTGCGAGCACCTGGGCAGGTATCTACAACGTATATAAATATATGATACACCTGCGTACTTTATCTACCTAGGTGGGTAAATTTTGGTCTTATTCATAAGTTATTAGGTACCTAAGAAAAAGAGAAGTATTCTGAAAAAGCTCTATATATCCCAAGGTTGTCTTGAGCATCATCACTTGACCCTTAATTTTGCACTCAGGAGTAACAGGGGTTGGCGGGTATTAGGAGGAACTATGGAGACCAGCCGTCATCATCACGTGACTCTACGGAGGGCGATCATTCTCGGCCCTGACGATGTCGCGTTGGTGAACTTATACATGGTTTCTTCTTCATCTTCATCTTCTTTCGTGCATTATTTTGCAATCCCTTCAAATAATGGTGGTGAGCTGTCTCCCAATCCCTCGACCACTCCTATCGATCTCGATCTATGAACAAGTATCACCTAGCTAACATGACCTAGGGAGGAAATGTTGAGAAGGGACAGCGATATATCGCGTCCTTGGATCAAGCACGAGCCCAGGGTAATTGGGAAGAGGTCCCCGAATTGATTCGAAAGGTCACAAAACACGCACCGCAAAGAACCTGTATGTGCCTTAGATGGGCTCAAGAACCCCCCACCGTCTCGAATACTGCGCTAACGAACAATTTCAAAACAAAAGGTTTGATCCAGACCGCCACGGCCGAATCTAGAGTCGTTGAATATCTTCAAAAGAAGAGCAATGCTGAATCATCATCACCTCCTGATCTCTCAGGCCTGATCCCCACTTTATTGACGACAATTGAAACCAACGATGGAACCCCGCAGGAGATACTCCAAACGCAGGTCTGCTTGGGCCAGATACATTGGACTTTGAACGAGCCTGGACTTGCAGCAGGACGTCTACCAAAGAACTTTACATCAACTGTGGAGGCTCTGTTGTCGACCGAACATCAGGGCCTATCTGCATGGACCGAGGTGTGCTTGATGAAGGGATGCTACATAAAAGGTGTGTATAGAAGTGGCATGTAAAATTGTCAAACCCGATGTGCTAAATAATTTACAGCATGTGCGCAGGCTACGGGCACCACAATTGGAGAGACATTGGAGACCTTTGCCTCCCTAGCAGCATGGCTAGAGAGCGGACAGCTCACCGCAAGTTCCAACTCCCAGTTCTTGAGCTGGGCTGAGATGCTGCTCGGCAAAGGCGCCACAATGGCCAGCGAAGAAGCACGCAAGGTTTCACCCTACTCTGATCCCCGGTATGTGGAAATTGCTCTGCGATTGTTTCGTTTGTGGTCTGTGCACCCATCTGTGAAGCAAGGGCTGCCTTCTCCTAAGGTTGCTTATGCCGACGAATCTGACCAACCATCGCGCACTTCCATCTGGAAAACATACTATGCATTCCTGACATTAGTCCTGCAAGATGGACTGCTCTATGTACCTCCCCTTGACGGGCCAGAACGCCCGCAATTTGCCAGTGAACTTCGTCGTATTGAAGGTATTTGCGAGGGCAATCTCCTCCGAGAAGCCAAGTTCCCCGCTGCTCATTCCGATAACTTTCCTGTTGAGAAATGGGTGGAGCAGGTCATCGGTAACTGGGAGGTCCTTTGTGGCCCGCGTTGGCAAGACCAGGATCTTGGCGAAGGAGGCCAAATTTCCGTTGGGCGCAATGTTCTAGATGCAAGTACTACCGCTAGTTGATTGTTTTCCTTGGCTGTACTAACCTTTTCGTTACAGATTCTTTATCGCGCCGCAACCAAGACATACCACTCGCCCCTCATTCTGCGTCGTTTATTCCATGTTCACTCATCCCTGGCGGACTTTGATCTTGCTGTTCAAGCCCTTAATTCTTACGTCGAGATTGTGGTCTCCGCTAAGGATAGGGCTGAGAGTGGGGCCGAATATGGAGAGTTGGAGAAGGATGAAATTCTGCTCAAGACTCTTGCCGAAGGTATAACTCTGTTGGCATGTCTTGGTTCATTAGAAGAAGCAGAAAAGGCCAAAGAATTGACGGAACTGCTCAAAAAATACATCGACAAGCAATTCAATGCTTTAGCGGACGACCAGGTAGTGCTTTCACAAGATGCTTCACCGGCTGCGTCACCAATCATACCGCCTGACGTTTTGGCCGCTGCTTACCGCGCAGTTGGAGTTGGCCTTGCTAACTGGGCGAGCTACACTCCTCTGAATGAAGCACGAGATGAAATTCGAGTGGAAGCCATTGAATATCTGGAAAAGAGTCTTGTCCCCGAGCTGAGTAACGAGTTGAGCTACGCCTCTCTATATACTCTTTCTCTCACTCTTGCCGAAAATCGGGATCTAGATACTGCGATTAACTATATCAAGTCCGCACTGACCTCGCACCAGTCATCTGGTGTTTCAGAAGATCTGCCTATAGAACGGGATCTTGTGCCTTGTTGGCATCTACTGGCGTTGTTATTAAGCGCAAAGCAGGAATTTGATATTGCAGAGAGGTCATGCGAGGCAGCATTCGAACAATTTCCTCCAGAATTATTTTCAAAGAACTCCCGCGAGAAACGCTTGTCGAGACATGGTCCAACTGGGACTAAGCGTCCGCTGGTCGGTCAACTCCAAGGTCGGGAGAAGGAGCGCATTGTTGAGACTCGTATCACGCAACTTGCTTTTGTTGAAGTTCTCGAAGGTCCTGAAGCTGCTGTCAACCAAAGTGGGCAGTTGTTGAGTTTGTTTGCCTCGTTGTTTCAAGACTTGAACCTTGATCCCGAAACTGGAAACGCCTCGCAGTCAGAACACTTGGTGCCCCCGAAGAGTTCCGCAGGAACAGTAAAAACATTCCGTGGCGGCATATTTAATCGGCACAGATTATCCCAGCTGCCAGATCGCCGAGCGGATCGATTTACTAGCGCTCAACCTTCCATTCCGCCTGTTCCGACTATTAATGATGGTGTAAATGGCACAGATGCACCTGCCATCCAAGTTACAGACGAAGATCATCCTCAGTCATCTTCAATTGTGAGGTCAGACTCGAAGCGATCAAGGAAACGCAGCAGCACCTTCTTTCGAAATGAGAAACCTAAAGGACCGGAACCTCCGCTTCCAACCGAAGGAGCACCTCCAGAGACAGTTGGTATTGCAATCTCAGGAAACTCTGCTCCTATGTGCATCGAACATGCTGCACATAGTAAAGAAGCACCCCGGCCCAGTTCCCAAAAGGAGCAACTTGCCCCTTCTGGCTATGAGAACCAGATCCCACAGCAAGATGAGCCAGCGTCTGTTTACCATCGCTTCAACTCTCCTACAAACGCAAACATCAAAGTTCCTCTAATCCAATCTAAGAAACATGCCCTTGCCCTTCTTGTCAAGATTTGGATCGTCATCGCTGGTCTTTATCGTCGAGCCTCATTATTTGATGATGCTCGCGAGGCCTGTGAAGAAGCCTGGAAACAGGCTGCTCGGGTTGAAGCATTATCGGCTTCCGAGGAGTCCTCGGCGCGTTCACTTAGCAAACGTAGCTGGACCTCAGCGAAGAGCTCTGAAGAGCTATGGGCGGATGTATTTGCCGAACAGGGACTGTTATCTCAGGCCCAATCGCGCCCTCATGAGGCCATAAGGCATTTCGAAGATGCGCTTTTGCGTCACTCCGAACATCCAACAGCCACTATTGGCCTCTCCAATCTCCTACTCGACATTTGGGACCAAACAATGCCAGCTGAGCCAAAGAATGCGGACGTAGAACTCAGCACCTCGCGTGCCTCATTGTTGTCCGAAACTCCGAAGTTGAGATCGGTGAAGGCCGTATCCACTGAAGAAATGAAGATTCCTGATGTCGCAGAAACCCTGCTGCCAGTCGAGGCATCTGTGTCTCCACACGATGTCGACCCTAAGCACCTTCATCGTCTGGCAGCTCGGGATCGAGCGTATGCTCTCCTTTCTGCATTGACCAAACTCGGTAGCTCATGGGATAATTCTGAAGGGTGGTATGCCCTCTCTCGCGCCTATGAAGCAGGTGAACAGGTGGAAAAGCTGAAAGAGGTTCTGTGGTGGTGCATCGAACTCGAGGATAGTCGGCCGATTCGGAATTGGTCGAACATTGGATCGGGACTCTATGTGCTGTGAAAGGCAACGGGTCAAAAACCTGATCACTGTTGGATTTATGCCTTCTTGTAACTATCTATTTGATTTTCTGTCGGTTAATGCTTGTCTCTAGTGCTGTTGTCTCTTTTCGCAATAGCCGATATACCATGTCCACTTTACGGATACACTGCGGATTGGAGCGTGACCAGGCAATTCAGCTGGTAATTTTTGAAATAGATGTATGTGTTTTTTTCTCAAAAATTTCTGAACTATACTTTCTCATAGAATCACTGGTAGCACAACTTTATGTACAGTACTCACAAGCCCAGTTAAAGTGCTCAGAGAGTATTAAAAAAAAAGGAAAAACAGAAGCCAGTCAAAATGTATGCAAGTTGATTTCAATCTGCTAGATCACCAGCTTAATTTTAGCGAGGAGCAGCAACAGGAGTCCAGGCAGAGATCTTAGGACGGGTACTGTAGTATAAAGTTAGCTAATATAGACTAAAAACCAAGAAAATGTCGGTAAGAACGTACGTCGAGTAGGTACGGTAAGCAGCACGGGTCTGGGTAAGATTAGGGCGGTGCTCGGGGAGCTCCCATGGCCGCTGGCCACCGGGCTGGAGCAATTTATCCACAGTTGGGGGGAGCATCAACCATGTAGGAGATCCAGGCATGCCTGTGTCAACCGATTAGTTTTGGAATATAGCCTCCAGACCAAGATCAATCCATTGTTGGTCTGTATAAAGCGGCACGAAACTCACCAGCCAGGCTCAATCTCGGAAGGCTCCCAGTTAGGGAAAGCGGTCTTGTAGTCGACCCATCGTGTGCGGACTGTGCAGAGGAGGTCAGATATATGTTTTTCATTTGCTAATGCCTTAGTTTTCCTTACGAGGCAGCTCCTCCGTCACGTTCTCGTAGTACTTGTTGCCGAAGCGATCGGTGCCGATCAGGGTTCCGGCTTTGGTATCACCTATAATCGCGCCCAAGTCAGTCATCTGCTACCTAGATCTACAGGGTAAGGACAGCATACCGATGTTCTAGAGTCCGTCGCAAGGCTCATAGTTAGTTTTCCGACCGTTCCCACCGGCTTATATCGTGCGCTCGCGAGCGATTGACGTACCTGCATCTGGTGACCGGCTTCCTACACATGTGTTTTAGTATTCGGGCCATTGACATGATAAAAAGTATGCGACAAACCTTGAGGCCAATTCGGCGCAAATTGCGCAGTGAACGCAGAATGGTCGACATGGTGGTGGTGGAATTGGAGGGGAGAGTAGTGATGTCCAATAGATTCAGATGTGAAAGTAAGGTAGGGTCGAGGTTGTTTGCAGTGTTTGCATACTGTTCTGGTCTCCCATTCCCGATTTAGTAACTCTTCCTGTAGCTTCAATTGTTCAGTCGCAAGTGATGTTTGGTCGTATTGGAGGGCAAGCGCTTCGTATCGGAGTACGTCGCCCTGTCTCGCGTCTCAAGATTTGTGATCGCAAGTTCTCCGCCAATACTGTGCCAAATACCCCTACCACCACTGCACCGTCACCTCTCGGAGGAATTACCGTTGAGCTTGATCGCATCGCGCCTCGATTTGAGATTTCAGCTTCTCAAATAACAATTCTAGACTCGCCAGCAAATTTCTATACGACATTGAAGGTGCGATGTTGGAGTATATCCCGTAGATTCTGGAACTAACTTGAAAATTATCCAGAACAAAATCCGCAATGCCCGGCGTCGTGTGTTTCTGTCAACACTATATATTGGCAAGACCGAGTACGAGCTGATTGAGACATTGTCTGAGGCTTTGCGTGACAATCCCGACCTCAAAATTTCAATCCTCACCGACGCCCTTCGAGGTACTCGAGAGACTCCCAATCCGTCATGCGCCTCGCTGCTTTGTTCGTTAGTGGCCGAGTATGGACCAGAACGCGTAAATATACGAATGTTCCATACGCCCAATCTCACTGGCCTGAAGAAAAAATGGATCCCTAGACGCATAAATGAGGGCTGGGGGTTGCAGCATATGAAGCTGTATGGTATAGATGACGAGATCATCCTGTCAGGGTATGATACATTTACGTTCAAGCCTTGCGGTAACTATGCGCTAATCTCTTCACATAGAGCCAATCTATCCCAAGAATACTTTACCAATCGTGTTGATCGGTATCATGTGTTCGACTCCACGAAGTTGACTGAATACTATGCTCGTATCCACCAGACGGTCTGCAGCTTGAGTTTTCAGGTCCTTCCAGACCAACAAAACAAATCCGGCTACCTCCTAAATTGGCCTAAAACAAATGCAGCACCATCACCACTGGAAAGCCCTAAAAAATTCATAGGACACGCAACAACAGCTTTGAAGCCGCTTATTGAACCTCATAGCAACGAACCGGCTCCCGCGCTCTCTTCGAATCAGACTTTTGTATACCCTGTTGCGCAGTTCACTCCACTTCTCGAATTAGATACATCTACCGAGCTTCCTGTTGTCACAAGCATTTTGCGTCTTTTGTCTGAATCATCTGCATTTGCAGGGGCTCGCTGGCTCTTTACAGCAGGATACTTCAACATCCACCCCTCCCTGTCTTCTTTGTTGATTTCTAGTGTTTCTAATGTCTCTGGTGCCCACTCTACTACGAAGGGTACAGTTTTGACGGCCTCTCCATGGGCCAACGGATTCTACGGTTCTGCTGGTATATCAGGCATGCTGCCTGCTGCTTACACCCACCTTTCAGCACGCTTCCTCGACCGAGTTGCGGCCGCTAAAGCAACAAACTCCATCCAACTTAAGGAATGGCGACGAGGCACCGTTGGCACGCCAGGTGGATGGACTTACCATGCAAAGGGTCTCTGGATCACTCTTCCAGGTGAGGAGTTTCCCAGCTTGACCATTGTTGGTAGCAGTAACTACACAAAACGTAGCTATAGCCTTGACATCGAGGCTGGTGCTTTGGTTGTGACCAATGACCAGGATCTGAAACAGAAGCTGGGTGAAGAGACCAAGCGACTGCAGGAAAACGCCAATCCAATATCGCGTGAAGATCTGATGCACACAGAGCGACGCGTTGGTTGGAATGTTCGGCTCGCGATGTGGATTGTTGAGAAGGTGGGTGGGGCACTTTGATATACTGTATAAACAAGTCTGCTTGTCTACTGTATCAATATCTGTAAACAATATTTCTGTTCGGGAGCACCTATCCGTTTAACTAGTCAACCGGTGGTAACTTCTATGGAGGTTCCTTGAGGTATCTACCGTGTAAAGAATATCTAATGGGTGTCAGAGGTCGTGTATGAGAATCTCTATCCTACCATACTGCTTAGTATGATGGATTACCATCAGACCTTGCCGTCAGAAAATGACACGACAGCCCACTTTCCACTCCACGCCCACTTGCGGGATTTTGAGCCGCCTCCATCGGGCAGTTGGCGAAGCCTTTCATCCTCACCAGCAGGGAGACCGACGACAACATCAGCCTTGCAGGTACGGAAAGCCAGGACGCGAATTCCGGACTTCGGACCCATGGGGCCGATAGCAGTTGTAAATGGAGTTGTTGGGTCCCATTCAGACTAAACGAGGTCAGTAAATTACGCTACCAAGAGATGAAAGAAGGAAATCAGTTTACGTACGTCGTTGGTAAGCTTGCGATAGTTCAGGTCACCCTTGAACAAAACAAGCTCACTCTCCTTTAGATCTTCGAATAGATCTGGTGCCGTGTGGGGCATGCGCCAGTAGCCACCCGGAGAGGTCCAGAAATGGTGCGAACGCATAATCAGCTTGCCATCCTGGTGGAAGCCACTCCACTGATTAAAGAGGAATTTCACATCGGCGGCCTCTTTGTCAGATAGAGGAGGGAAGGTCTTGCCTGTGCCATCGTCGGCCGTATAGAAAGCTTGCGGGTCAACCATTGAGTTGAGAAGATCTGAGAAGTCCCTGGGCGTAACATCAGACACAAACCAGGGGAGGCGCTTGGGGTGAAGGACGACCTCTGTCGCAAGGCCGGTGAATAGGAGATATCCAGCAAGAATTAGATCGACAAAAAGCTCGAAGCCGGAGTTGTCAAGGACGATGTCTACGCGTCGTTCCCCATTCTTCTTCTCCTTGCGCGCTTTTTGCATGACATCGAATGCGGTATCCATGTCATTGACGAGGATGTTTTTCTGAGACTCCTTGCGGGCTTTTGAGCCCTGGAGTTTCTGGATGTCTTCGTATGTGATAGAGGTCAGGAGTGACAGGTCGGTGGCATTACCCCACAGGCAAATCTCGCACATCTCCGAGAAAAGAAGCCTCTCGGCTTGTTCAATCTCATCAGCTGATTTGCTTTCAGAGCTCTTACTGGTCTCTGCCTCATGTGCCAGTTCACGGTACCGAGTGGCAAGCTCTAACACGGCCGGGCGAGACGATTTGAAAGTCGACATCTTCTGACGAGCGAAAACATCATATCCCTTCCAGTACTTTGATAGTGAAAAGAAAGTTTCAATGCGGCGGTCTGTCGTTGGCCGTAATGTTAGCACTAGTATAATATTCGGTTTGGACTTGCAACGATGTTTTTCGCATACAGAGGTAGCACTCGGAGTAGAGCCATGAGACGTTGTGCCAGCTAGGGTTTCCACGCTCCTCTAGCTCCGTGTTGTATTCGGCAATATCCCGCTCGCCATCATCATCGAGTGGACTAGTGAATTTACCAAAAGTCAGCAGGCTGGTTTCGTTTCGATGTCAAAGACTGGGGATTACTCACGTCAGTTGTCGGTTGTGCTGTAGCTCATACTTCAACTTTGCGAGGTTCTCGATGATGCCTTTGCCTTCCTTTTGCTTTTCTTCATCCGACACAGCACCTACAGTCCGGTGGAGATCATCAATAGCACTAGTCTATGAATGTTAATAAAGATTAATCGCCCATTGCCGAAGTAACTGACAATAATGACGGGCCATCGGTCGTTGGCTGAAATCGAGGCAAAGCTCGATGGGTCCGAGGTCGAGTATTGAGCTGAGCGAAGTCAGTTTTTGGAATCTGAAATGAGCAATAAAATCGTCACGTACGGGTTTTTGGGTCAAATTCCATGTTTGAGTGGTTGTTTGAATAAAGTTGGATTGAAGGAGGGGAATCGCGGGGCCGAGAAAGCGGTAACCCGGACAAAAGCTGGAAGCCGAGTAGTGAAAAGTTGGGGACTTTTTGTTGATATTGCACCTTTTTAACGAATAGTCAATCTCAATCTTAATTCTCAATTTCCCCAGCTCTGAAGGCTGAAGCAGTTGGATACCTACGATGTAACGATAGCAGATTCTACCTTAGGTCAAGCTTAGCTTCCATCCTCCCAGTACTATTTCATACTCTCATTCAAACTTGGATTCTTGCAGACAATCTCTCTCCTTGCTTGAGCTCTCAGCCTTGCCACCCTTCCGCCGCTTCCTTTCATCTTGAACTAATATATCTCGCTGTCGTCATGCCATCTTAACAACCTCCATAGCAGGAGCAATGTTCTAAGTATGGAATTAGACAAATTCCTTATTGAACGCTAGGTAGGATCCCGATATGACCCCAGATATGCATGACGCCTTCAAGACTTTAAAAAAATTGCAAGACTATCACACGGTCTTCTTCATTTCGGGCACAACATCCTGCCAATAATAGAGGCCAGAAGGGAACAGCCGCGGCGCATCATGCTCGCTTTATTTGACAGTATCAACCCCAAGATCTGCTCCACGTAGTCATTATGTTCATTCAAAGATAACGAAGTAGGATAAATATCATCCTTGCAAATTTCATGAAGAAGAAGAGCACCGAGTCGATTTACTTCTGCAATGTCCGCACAACTCGTTATGGAATCAATATCCTCATCTGGAACCTTTTGGTCGAGATTTTCGAGAATTTTCTTGAGATAAAAGATATTGACAATTATGACGTGGTCTTTTTTATCTTCCTGAGCCCATGCAAGCTCAGAGACTTGGTTTATCAATAGTAACAAGGAGTGACTGAGTCCCATATATGGGTTCATGATATTGGGTAAATCGCATGGCGCATCATCGACCGCAAGTGCAATTCGAGCCCAAGACCAAGTGGAAGGCGAAATATCGGTTAAGAAATTCATCAATTCCTGACTGAGAACTGATCGACCGGGACGCTCTTGTCGCGCACGTATCATGTCTTGGAATCCTTTGTGTGTGACCCATGATGAACGACTGCAGTCTGATATCTGTAAAGAGTGAGTATTGAGGTAACACTTTTAGGAACGCTGCTTAGATCAAACTAACACAGCATGAGAGCTGACCTAACATCTTATCTAGTTCCCCCTCACTTCGGACTCTATTATCAGCCTTCAAATTAGTAGTAAGATGGCTCAAAGCATGATTATGATGCTCTAACGCTGGAAGCTGATATCTGGAATCCGCTAGTCAAAGAGTGTTGGCTGCAAGGTCATTGGAAAAATGAGGTATATATACGGGTTGTAATAAGCGTTGTCGACAAGTGTGGAGCTGCTGCGAATGATATGCTCGAAGTACGATATTAGTAGTCGATTATATTCTGAGCGTCGAGTATTCACGAGAATTGAGATCAGAATCCAATTTGGAAGCTGGCGAGCCGATCCTCAACTTGTCCTTGGAAATGAATCTCTAAATTATTTATTGTCGTGTTGATATAGTCATGATCCATTTTTCCTAAATAGTAAACAGGCTTGAATATCTACAGAAGATCAAGACTTAACTAGCCTTCATAACCCAGGCAGATACCCAAGTATTTCATGTATAAGCGGCTTGTATTCCAAATCCTTCATATGCGGGGAAGAAAGATAAGGCCTTTCTACTTCAGCTAATTCAGGATTCTTACATATCGTGCTTCCAGTGTTTTAGATCGTAAATATGCCGCTAAAACCTAACTTCTAAGGCTTGAATGATGTATTAATCATTGCTCTAGAATAGCAAAATCGAAACCTTGCCGAGACTCTTGAATGATGCCATTTCCGCCCAATTTTGTTGCTGGCAGAATATCTAGTCTGCCGAATTAAAACAAAGCAGTCTAACGATTTAGAGAAGCGGTGTTCATTTAAGGTAAGCGGTGAACAACATAGCGGGGAAGAATAGTGGGAAGAAGAAGAAAAAGAGTGGGGGGTAAATTGCTGATAAATTGCTCTACTCTGTACTTTCTCCTCCATACATTCTTCTACAATCTGGACGTTTGAATTCACAATGAGTTCAGTTTATGCCAATTACCCTCCGGCTTTATCCCCGGAGCAACAACAGTTCCTAGTCACCGAGACTAAGGACTGGGCAATTCAAAATGGCCTGGCAGTTCGACCTGCACCGACTGCATACGCAGATCCCAATCGAAGCCTGGCAACAAATGCGCCTGTAACACTTTTCCCAAGTCCATTCCCCAAACTATGCTTTGAGGAAGCCCAAGCTCTTCAGACCATTTACAACCAGCTCTATGCCAGAATTACGTGTAATGAAGAATGGCTCGGCAAGATTATCCAAGAGTAAGAAGATGTAAAACAGCCATTGTGGTTTCTGAACTAAGCCTTTTGCTTCGAATAGACTCACAGATGTGGATGATTTCGTCGCAAATCTATGGAAAACTCACCTGACCGTGAAGGAAGAGGGTTACGTGCAATCGCTGTCTCTGGGTCTTTACCGGTCTGACTACATGGCACACGTTACGTCTGACGCTCCACCAGCTCTGAAGCAGGTCGAGTTCAACACGATCTCTTCGTCTTTTGGAGGATTGTCTGCTCTCGTGGGGAAATTGCATAACCACCTCATATCTTCAACTGCAGGTCTCCCAAGCTATCCACCTCACCCTCTCCTTCAATCTGGGACAGTACCTACGAACAACACAGTCGAAACCCTAGCGGGAGGACTTGCAACCGCACACAAGGCATATGGGTCGTCCAAGTCATCTCCAGAGCTTCCATTATGTGTGCTTTTCATAGTCCAGGACGGAGAGCGGAACGTGTTTGATCAATTGGCACTTGTGAAGCAACTCACAGAGCACCACAAGATCCCTGTGTTCCGGGTGACTAGCAACAAGATCCTCGATCAATCATCTATATCTACCTCGAATCCTTCTCGGCCATTGGTCTTCACACCTGCTCACTCTTCATCCTCTGCATTCGAAGTCACTACTGTCTACCTCCGAGCATACTACTCCCCGGATGAATACACATCCAGTCGTGACTGGGAAGCGCGGAGACATCTGGAGCGCTCTGCGGCCATCAAATGCCCTTCAGTGCTGAATCAATTGGCTGGTTGCAAGAAAATCCAACAAGTTCTAGCAGAGCCGACAGGGCCCGATCACCTCTCAAGTTTTCTGAAAGATATTGACCCCGCGCTGATTTCGAGATTGCGTGACACTTTTGCTCCGCAGTATGATATCTCAGCTGCTGGCCAGGGACGGGATTTGGCCCTCAACTCTAAAACGGCTATGGACCATGTTCTGAAACCCCAAAGAGAGGGCGGAGGTAACAATATCTACAAGTCTGAGATTCCTGAGTTCTTGCGTACTATCCCTGAAGCGGATTGGAAGGGCTGGGTTTTAATGGAACTTATTAATCCTGCGGGGAGTGCGGCAAATGTCGCTTTGCGAAATGACGGCGAGGTTCTCCGCGGTAATGTCATTTCCGAGCTGGGAATTTATGGTACAATCCTGTGGGATACCAAGGGCGATATCCTCCACAATGACCAAGGTGGATGGTTGCTGAGAACGAAGGGGAAAGAGGTCAATGAGGGTGGAGTAGCCGCAGGTTTCTCCAGTTTGGATAGTCCGCTTCTTTTCTAGTTGTAGAGTACAATCATCTTGGAATTTATATAAATCAAATGAGAGGTTACAATTGATCGAGTTTGGTTCAACTGTAGGAGCTGTATAATATCACTTTTGTTCTAACCTATGATCAGCCCTAACGCAGATGTATAGATAATAAACCTGGGAATGTATAGAAGAAAGATCCAAACGCCGTATCATGATTGGGGGATTCCATTCAATGTCGTATCATGTGCAGTGTAGTGCAATGCTGTGCATTCATCTATACTCTCGAGCTGTTGCTCGAGAGGCGAGCCGGTCCTAGACCCGAGCGAACTTCATCAAGCATGCGAATGCCAATAGCCTCATTACCATTCTTTCCGCGCTTGTTCTTGGCCCCCTTGCGTTTTGCCTGGGAACTAGTATTATTGTCCCAGCCGGCAAGGAAGTCGTCCATGATGTTGTGGAAGTCGCTACGCGAGACTGCTTCTCCGCTGCCATTAACGAGACTTGGGGCCTGAGATGATGCGGCAGACATGCCAGTCATACCGGTCATGCCTGTGGCGCCAGTCATCCCACTGACCATCGACATGCTGTCGTCGTATTCGTCTTCTTCATCAAGCGCGTACATAGCCTCGACCCGGTCAAACCGATCGTCCAAAAGTCTGTGACCTTCTGTGCGTAACAGAGATGACGATGTCATTGAGTACGCAGATGGGTTAGTCATGGCACCTTTGCGCTTCTTTCGCCGAATTGGGGTACCGCCAACTGTGAAGGCGGTGGAGGCGAGTGTCCGTGTCTCTGAGGGGGCAATTGTGGGAGCAGCTGGCGTGGGAGCCTTGCCAGACTTGGCGTCTTTCTTGAACTTGGAGAATTCCTGCATCCATCCTTGGTCTGAGGGGTGCAGATCAGGAACCGGTTGGTCGTGCTCAGGCATCTCCCCAGGAGCAAGCTCCTCCGAGGCTTCCTCGGACACATCTTCATGTCGCCGGGCGTCGGTGCTATCTGTTTGGACTGGCGCCTTCTCGGTGGCATCCGACTCCCATCCTTCGTCGTCCTCGTCATGGTCAAACAAAGTATCCTCCCAATCTCCACGTTCCATCTCATCTGCCTGCGCGGTGAGTTCACCGAAGATATCATCGTCTTCGTCATCAACATATGCCTCATCTTCCAGCGCTTCCAGGGCCTCTCGTAGTCGTGGGTCCATATCGGGCTGGAAACCTGCAATGGCGTCTGGAATATTCTGTTGGTCTTGGTATGTTGGCTTTCTAACATAAGAAGACGCCGTTGATCGCATGTCTCCGTACTCTGATCCATAAGCACTCTGATCGTCCAAAGAGACCTGACGTAGCGCATCTTCCAGCTTCATGTTCTTAGCTTTTCCCTTCTCTGCTTTGGCCTCGACAAAGTAAGCATCACCACCACCTGAACCAAGTTCACGCATGTGCTGCATGTAATCATATTTGGAGTCATCGTAGTAGATGCCGTAGTTGGCGGCCTCGCCTTCGTTGCGGCGGATGGACTCATCGTGAAATTCGTTTTCGAGTGCGTTCAGATTTCGGGGGCCCTTTGAGGATGTAGAGGGGGCCGAAAGAGCCGCAGCAGGACCGCTGACCTGGTGTAGAACTCGGTCGTCTGCTTCGGGGTTGTGAATTAGCGGGTCATGTTGGGACCGGTGGAAGAGCTGAAAAGTGCTCGCGTTCTTCTTGTCACTGGGAATGGTCAGTTAAAGATCTTGATTGGCAAAATTAGCTTCACGTACATCCACTGGCGGGGCGGCATGATGTCCTGAGCAAGTAAATGACTTGTATGAAAAAGTGATAATCAAAAAAAAGGAAGAAAAAAAGTGGGATAGAAGACATAGTCACGTGCGTCTTATCGCTTCCTGGCATCAACTACATCTACTTTTCTAATCATTCAAGTGAGGTGAGTGTCATGATGCTTTGCTCAAATCGTCCAAGTAAATAGTGAATGTAAAAAGTATTTTAAATTGGTTCAATACTTAAGAAGAACTTGATGTAATGATAGTTACATTTTCAAATAGATTAGAAAGGCGCTGAGTCAGCCTTATCTTATCCGTGTCTGAATAATCTAAAATATTTCCTTTTCTAGGCGGGGTTAATATTCTTGAACTTTTCCACCCGTTTTACACAAACACGAACAGAAAACACCACCATTCATCATGGTGCTTGCTAAATCCAAAAATACCGTGGGGCTGGGTAACAGCCTCATGAATGACCGCTTCGGAAAAGGAAAATCCTCAAACCAGAAGAAGGCCTCGCACAATGCTATTGCGCGAAAGAACATGGACGGCGAAACCTACGTCACCAACGAGGCAAAGGAGGCATCGTGGGTGAAGATGCGCTCTATCACTGAGCAAGCTGCCCTCGATGAGTTCCTCAGCACTGCTGAACTTGCTGGTACCGACTTCACTGCCGAAAAAATCAACAATGTGAAGATTATCCACTCCGATCAGAAGAACCCCTACCTCTTGTCTGCCTCTGAGCAAAAGTCAGCCAGACAGAAACATCAGCAGAATAAGGGTCGGTTGACGGTGCCGAGACGACCCAAGTGGGATGCGTCGACAACACCCCAGCAGCTGGAGAAGATGGAACGCGAGAGCCTGCTGGACTGGCGTCGCGGACTAGCCGAGCTGCAGGAGAATAACGATTTGCTGATGACCCCATTCGAGCGTAACTTGGAGGTCTGGCGTCAGCTGTGGCGTGTCATCGAGCGATCGGACCTTGTTGTCCAGATTGTCGATGCGCGAAACCCGCTCCAGTTCCGGTCCGAGGATCTCGAGAAATATGTCAAGGAGATTGACCCGCGAAAGAAGAACTTGCTTTTGATTAACAAGGCGGATATGTTGACCGACAAGCAGAGAGAGGCGTGGGCCGAGTACTTCGAGACGCACAAGATCAACTTCCGTTTCTTCTCCGCTCACCTTGCCAAGGAAAAGCTTGAGGCGGAACTTTTGAAGGAGTCCCAAGAAAATGCCAGTGAGGATGAGGACGAGAGTCTTGCCGCATCAGCACAGAAATTAGACGTGGAAGACGAAGCGCCCGAGAAGGCGGAGGAAGCCTCTGCCGAGGCCAAGGAGGCTCACGCAAAGCTTGTAGACCCCGATCAATCACTCGGAGCACACATTCTGGATGTGGAAGAGCTTGAAGAGCTATTCTTGGTCCACTGCCCAGAGACAGTGCAAGACCAGGATCCGGCTAATCCCCCAAAGCAGAAGACCACTATTGGTCTTGTCGGATACCCCAACGTGGGTAAGTCTAGCACAATCAACGCACTCCTTGGTGCCAAGAAGGTGTCCGTCTCTGCTACTCCCGGTAAAACCAAGCACTTCCAGACGCTCTACCTGTCGCCAGAGATTCTTCTGTGTGATTGCCCCGGTCTGGTGTTCCCCAACTTCGCCTCTACCAAGGCCGATCTGGTCGTAAACGGTGTGCTGCCAATCGATCAGCAGCGTGAGTTCACAGGTCCTGCCGGTCTAGTCGCCCAGCGTATCCCCAAGCACTTCTTGGAAAGCGTATACGGTGTGAAGATCATCATCCGACCCACCGAGGAGGGTGGAACCGGTATTCCCACTGCCAGCGAGCTCTTGCGCTCATATGCTCGTGCTCGTGGTTTCTCTACACAAGGTCTGGGTCAGCCCGACGAGTCGCGTGCTGCGCGATACGTTCTCAAGGATTACGTCAACGGAAAGTTCGTTTTCGTCCAGCCTCCTCCGACGGCAGAGGGAGAGCCAACCATCGACCCACACGAGTTCAACGTCGATCTTTATGACCAAGCTCATCTCCCTGTGAAGCGTCAGGCTCAGATCGCCGCCAAAACCGTTGGAGACGTCGATGAGGATGACTTGGATGTAGACATCTCGTCTTTCATTTCCAAGGATTCCGGCGCAGACCGTCAAGGCCCGCGATCCCGTAACATCGACAATGGTTTCTTTGGTACTGCCACCGGCCCTTCCGCTGGACGCATTTCCCTTCCTTTTCAAGCCCAGTATACAGCGCAGGGCCAAGAGCTTCGCAAAGCGCCCACTGGCCGTAAGGAGCGTATGATGATCGCTTTAGATCGGGGCGTGGATGTTTCTGAAGTTAGAAACTCAGGAGGCAAGAAGCACTTCAAGGGAAACAAGAAGCGTGCGAAGGGCAAGCGCAACAACGGCGATGATGATGACTACAATTAAAAGTGAATTCTTGTTTATATCTGGCTTGGGTTGAGTTTATCTTTATACTTTCGAGATGGTCATTTCTATGTCCATGTCTCTTGGTTCTCCTCTCGATCATGTTTACGTGCCCCATGCTTTCCATTTCTTCTAGGAGGAGAAATCAAGGCCGGAAATGACGCCTGATGGGCCACGGGTTTCCATATACGGGGTTTGCATACTTTCAAGGCGTTAAGGATTCGTATGATGAGTCTACATTCCAATATTATACCACATCTTCGAAATGTCTTTTCACACCTATCTTTGAGTAAATCTCCACAAAATTCATTCCGACATTCAGCATCGACAGCACTGTATCCTGATGTTCATTTTCACAGATGACTCTTAGCCTTAAATCCAGAAGCAATAAGCAAGCGATCAGACTCCTCCTGCTGCCACTTTAACTTAGCAATAACCTCATCCCTTCGTGAACGATTCTCCCTCCGACCCAACTGCTGCAAATGAACCTCATCTGGCCCATCAGCAATGCGCAGCGTCCGAATCCCAGCCCACAGGTATGCAAGTGGGGTATCCTGACAAACACCCGCAGCGCCATAAGCCTGAACAGCCCGATCGATAACTGTCAACGCAGACTGTGGAACAAGGACCTTAGCCTGAGCAATCTCCTTCAACGCAGACTTTGCATCTCCCTGATCAATCTGAATAGCAGCGTTCAGAACAATTAGCCGAGCGGCATCGATCTCAATCCGCGACTTGGCTATCCATTCTAGGATCACGCCGTGCGCGGAAAGAGTCTTGCCGAATGTCTGCTTGCGCTCGTCGTTCACGCGCGCGATCATCCACTCTAGCGCTTTCTCTGCTGCGCCGATCGTGCGCATTGCGTGGTGGATGCGGCCGGGTCCTAGACGGCCTTGAATTATTTCGAACCCGCGCCCTTCGCCTAATACCATATTTGCTACCGGGACGCGCACGTTTGTAAAAGTGATGTGGCCGTGGCCGTGTGGGGCATCGTCGTACCCGTATACGTGTAGCATGCGGTTCACTTTGATGCCGGGCGTGTCGGCTGGGACTAGGATTACGGATTGTTGGCGGTATGTGTCTGGGTTTTTGGGGTCTGATTTGCCCATTACGATATAGATCTTGCAGCGAGGATCGCCGGCCCCGGATGACCACCATTTCTTTGAGATATCAGTTCTGAATCGTAGATAGGTATTCAAGGAATTAGAAAGGAACATACCGAGCCATCGAGGATGTATTCGTTCCCCTCACGCTGAATGCTTAACTCAATATTAGTCGCGTCACTTGACGCGACATCCGGCTCAGTCATTAGGAATGCAGAGCGGATTTTCCCATCAAGCAACGGCGTAAGCCACTGCTGCTTCTGAGCGTCGTTTCCATACTTGGCCAGAACCTCCATATTTCCAGTATCAGGCGCGGCATTATTAGTTGCCTAAAACATGAAAGAACTTAGTAACATGTCCCTTGATGAATTTGTTTGGGATGTGGAACTCACCTCTGACGCAATCTTGCTCTTGCCTAGTAATTCAGCCATTAGTCCGTATTCAAGGTTGCTAAAGCCTGCTCCCTGGCTGAAGTGCCTCTTGGGCAGGAACATGTTCCACAGGCCGAGCTTTTTTGCCTTTTCTTTCAGATCTTCCAGGACGGCGGGATTTGTCTTCCATCGCTTCTCGCCTGAGCCGAGCTGGGCGGAGAAGACTGCATCGCCGGGGATGCAGTCTTTCTCGACGAACTCCTCGACCTGTTGGTGAAATATGGTTAATTAAGTACTCTAGTATGAGAGGTTCCATTTGATATGGTGACCAAATGATGTAGAGCAACTCAGTCGGAGCTTACTAGGTCAAGAGTCTTTTTGGCCCGGTCGCTAACGAATGGCCGGGCGATAGGAGGGATTCGAGTGGAGGCAGACATTTTGTTAAAGGGTATAACAAAGATGATGAGGTGAGGTGTCCCGCATCTGAAATATTATATAATATTGGAGTTGAATTGCGGAGTAGCTCGACAGTGGAGAAGCCGGGATTTTGCCTCGGCTTTATTTGTGTTATGGCACCACTAATAATACTACTACTCGGAACTGGAGTAAACAGACTGGAATCTAATGAAGTGCCCTAGTATTGAAATGATCTAGGATAATGAAGTTACTTCAATAATAACTACCTATGTGGTAATAAGATCCCTACATTAGTTCAAGCAGAACTACTAGAAATCACTACAATCTACAATCTACTCACATCTATGCCATTGAACACACTCGGTACCAAGCATTGCTCCATTCCATTCCCTCGACGGGAGAATTACCCTAGATAAGCATAAGCGAGTCCAACCCGAGAAACCCCAATAACAGACCAAAACCGAAAAGAATCATCGCGGGTCATAACAAAGGAAAGCAAAGAGGAAAGAAAAAAAGAATAGAAACCGACTTTTACAAGACTGGACATATCCTATAAGTCCAGGAATGGAATCCCTTTGTAACGGAGGCGTCCAGCGCCCAAAGCCCAGGAGATCCGCCGAGGATGATATGGATGGGCCGAGGGTAAAAGTAAGCCAGACTTATGCGTAGTCTCCGATGTCAAAGCGAGATCAACAAAATAATCAGGTCTTTGATTTCAGACTTCGATCATTCTATTCAGTTCGGTTCTGTTCAGCTGTCGATTGCTCGTAGTTCTTCTTGCCAAGCTTGGCGAACAGGGACTGAGGCTTGCCGGCGCTGGAGAAAGATATAAAGATTAGCCAGGTTCACTTCATCGTTCCATTTGAGTAGATATACGTACTTCTTGAACCGCTTGCCCTTGATATCGCTGAGCTTCTTTGTGCAGGGGCTCATGAGCTCGTCCGATGGAGAGACATAGGCAGTGGGTTGCCTGAGAGAGATCCAGTCAGTATATTGATTTGAGCGTTTGCATGTTTCTGAATAACTCACTTGTCACCACTCTCCAATTTGCCCTGCAGGATCTGTCGGTGGTGATCCATGGATGAGAGATCGACAGACTTGAGATCTGTCTCCACGGTCGCGTTGGAGAGGTGGGTGTTTGTTGGGCGGTCGGCCAGTGGCTGTGCTTGAGTAGTTGCGTCCATTGTGTGGGGAGCAGGAAGAAAAGAATGTGAGGATGTGGTTTGTGTGAGGTAGAGAAAGAAGGGCCTGGAGAAGCGATCGGATAAGAGGAAAAAATGAGGTTGTTGGTACAGTGGGGAAAGTGGAATGATTGTTGGCCGGGCAACGGCTCAAACTTTGACTCAATTCCATATGACGCCACTAACAAGGACCATTCTTGTTTTAGGGGTCTAGACTTGATGACTCTTTGTTTATTCCGTGTGTATTATACTATGTTAAAAGCCTCGCCCTATTGGGAAATCGATGTCGTAGTTCATACACTGGTCATGAAAAATAGATGCCTCCAAACGCCAAAAGAGAACAGTTAAAATGCAATGACATGGCTCAAATACAATCCAACAATCAAACAATCCATACAGGCAGCAAAAGGACTGGGGAGTAAATGCAAGTAGGGTAGTTAATATGATGGCAAGCAAAACTATGATAGTGGTCTATTGGATGCGTTCAGTGCTTAGGATGCCAATTCGACATCTTCGTCCTCTAGATCGGAGGTCGTCTTCCCATTCATAGCAAGAGGAACGCTTTGAGATCGGTAGAGTGGAGTCCCAGGTGTAGGGGGTGTCTGTGTATGCTCACACTTGTCATGGTCTGGTTCATGATCGAGATCGGACGTAGGAGTCGGTGGAACATAAGCCATTGTCGGACTTGCGGGGCCTTCTTGTGAAGTAGAGCTGCTATCAGACAGATTCCGCCGGTGAATTGCATTCTTATGGTATGAGGAAGTCGGCCGTGTAGACGAAGGACTCGCAGAGGGTGATGCAGAAGCGAATATCGGGGATGAGGGTCGCAAGCTGTACGATCGATTGACCATTCTCTGTACGCGAGGGAATTCCATGTAGTTGCTGACATTCCCTCGAGAGAAAAGGACCAAGGCAAAACAGCAGAGGACCATAATACTCTGGATGAGGGTGACTCTTTTCTGTGAGACGAGCTCATCTGCAAGAACGCCTAGTTGAGCACTTAAAGCGTGTACTTCCTGGCGGTATAGGACACGCTGGTGCTCAAATTCAAACGCGACGGTCTTCCAAACTTGATCATACTGTTCTCGGAACTCTTTAAGCTCGTTGAGAACGGTCACATTCAAATTCTCGAGGAAAGTGGTTGTCTTCGCTAGCTGGCGTTTCTCTACTTTGTTGAATGCATCCCGAAGAATGCGAGACTGATCCTCGATGTATAGTAGGGAGAGGCTAGAATTGGATTCAAGCATCTGAAGCCGCTTGTGAACGGACTTGAAGAAGGACTCCTGAGTAGTGGGATTGGCAGATGGCGGCTGCGTAGATGTAGGTCTAATAGGTTCTGGTGATGGTGGTGCCTGCATGGTTTGCTCCTCTTTCGCGTTACTAGTACTCCTGCCGGTGTCCTCAGCTGTAGTGTTTTGCTGAGCCGACTCTACTGCCGCTACTGCTTCTGCTGTGGATGCACCTGGTGCCGTCACGACAACCTGAGGGTCACCTGTCTTTCGAATGTCTTCTGCAGCTTTGGATGAGGAAGAGGAACCAGCCTGAGTCGCAGAAATAGTATCACCCATGACAACCGTCGAGTTCGATGTTTGGACTGTCTGGGCTGTATTGGCTGTTTTGGAAATTGGCTGCATTGGTTGCTCAAATATACCACAAGTCTCTACGGGCTTGGTCGGAGCACCAAAAAGTAGCATTTCCAGTTCGGTGAAAGGATCCGGGAGAGACTCGTTCTGCACATTACTGAGTTCCTCTTTGACCACAGCTTCTGGTACAAAGATCCCATCAACGGCTTGGGATTCTGTTTCTGCACCATTAGGTAGCCCGGGAGGGTCAGCTATCTCCGCTGATTCCTCTACAACCTCAGGCTCCTCGCGGCTAACACTCTCGTCGTGTTTGTACTCTTCCATCATGGTGGTGCCATGGACACGAATAAGACTGACAGGACAATAAAACTCATGACCATAGTGAGTCAAAAACTCAATGCGGAGGTACCGAGCCCAGATAAGTGAGTTTGCAACGGCAAAAGCTTGCACTTCACGAGTGTTGCGTGCCTCGTAAATCCCCAGTTCTTTCCACTGGTCCGGTTTTGCAGGGTACCTGTCCGAGACGCTCACCCGGAAAGTGTGAAAGATGGAGCTAAAAAACTCGTAATTTGCCAAGACGACAGTATCCACGAGAATGTCATCACACAGCTCCAGAATAAGGAACTTGTTCTTAGCCCGACACTCATTCAACATGTAACTATCTTTGTTTTCAAGGAGCACAGAGGACGAGCCTTTACATTCGGAGTTCGTCTTGAGCACCGTAGCTGCACAATCAAAGGAAGCATAGTTGAACCGCTCTTTGCAAGTCGTACCGGCATCTTTGCGGCGGGAGACGTCTGCCGGTACAATGCCCTGTGCATAGGTGGGATCATCATAGACATCTTTATCCTGCCTATCCACTTGCGGTGTTGGAATAGGTGTACCCCAAGACGTCAGACTGACAGCCGGGGTCTCAGCTCCAAATCCTCCAAAATCCAGCTCAATCTCTGCATCATCTCCTAAAGAGTCTAATGCATTATTAATTCCCGTTTGTTGTCTGCCATCCTTCGCATTTTCTGCTGGCTGTCCACCCTTGGCCAAATTCTGCTTCTTCCAGTCTCCAAATGAGAGGAAGCTGGAACCGCCAAGTAATGAGTCCGTGTCTTGTTCCTGGTCCTGTGCCAGCTCCACAGTCAACGCTGCAGCTGTAGCTGCTGCACCTCCTGCAGTTGCTGCAAGATCATCCGCTGCATGAGATACAACCACAAGTCCTGAGGCTGAGGCATGTAACTCAGTGCGCAAGCAAATGGGATACCGAAACAACTCTGCCTCTGATTTCCAGTGGCTGCTAGCCTCAGACTGCTGATCATGCTGAGAGGATTGCGCAAAGCCTGCCAATACAAAAGTTATCACGAAGTGTTGTACCAAGACTTTCCATGACCGTCCTGCGGTCAACATTATGGATCCTTGTCTGATAGATAACCGCCCTGCAGAGAGATCTGCAATGACTCTCTGGTCTGTATCGGTGCTCGAGAGTACCGTGGCAAGTTTTGTCTGTGGCCCCCAAAGGATGAGACCTGCTTATTCTCACTCTGAAAGCCCAGGCTGAAGGTTTTATGATTATGATGTGCACATCGTCGTGGTGTGGCTGGTGAGACCAATCAGGGCCCGGTCGTGATTATCTTGAAGAGTTTTCCGATCGGTGGTTGGGAAGTAGGGGCGGTGTAAGAATTCGGTGGGCGAATAGAAGATTAGGGTTTTCTAGGGCAAATGTTGGAAGGGTTGTAAACCAAGCCAAGCTCGGACTGTGGGAAGTGGATCGTGGCAAGTCAACTGCTTGACACCTGGGGTCACCGCCCTTTTCACCGCCGGGTTTCTTAAGGAATATGAGGAATACGTAGTATGGCCTTCAAACGTGCCAATTTCACAGTAGAGATTATCAATATTGCAATTTCTATCCGAAATCAGAGCTGGTTCTGCTGAAAGTTCAATTAATGCATGTACAGTGAAAAGTTAAAACTAGTCCAAATGAACTGCTGGTCAAGCATCAAAGCATGGACCCACAAGTACATATGTACGAACTAGGGCTAGTAGCAAGACAACAAGACAACATCCGTGCGCATGCAGAAGTACAGATGCAATGCATACTCACGAGTCTTCGCAAAGCTCGCAAGTTTTGAATGTTACAAATACGAATACAGATATATATCTTAAATGTTCACGGTGATCAATCTCCATATAACTATAGCTAAAGGTAGTTCCGTACATATAGAGAGCATCAATATCGGTAGTTGATGCCCGCGCTGCCATCCATGGATGTTTCCCATCCTTTCTTTTCCGAGCTTTTGTCCGTATGCAAAAATAAAAGGTCCTCTCCAAAATGAAGACATCCCGCCTTCTAGTGTTTTTTGGTGTGCGATGTCTCGCCGTTCTCTCCTGCCCATGGTCTTGTATAATACAATGAAGATATGATGGAGTAGAAAGAGTAGAAGAGAAGAAAGACCATGGGTAGGGTTGCGATACCGAGGCATCTGATATCAGCAACAGGTTGGAGAGCAAGCAGAGACATCTGCAGACAGTAAATAAAAAACATAAGAGGTAAGAGAAAAAAAAAAAAATAGAAAACAATAATCAAAGTGAGTTTATCGTTGGTGGTTTTTGAATTTGTTTTTTTCCAACTGTTGAAAGTGCAATAGGACGGTAGAGACTGCGAGAAAGAGGAGTTGGGGGTTGAGTGGAGTGACGGGCGGTTGGAATAGACTACAGATGAAGGTCGTGCCATCCGCCCACGAGGTCGAGATCCTCGTCAAGGCTGCCGTGGTAGGTTGAAAACTTGGCTGAAGATGATTTGAAAACATCGGCCTTGGGGGATCCAGCGGGATGATGACGCCAGTCCTTCTGAAGGAAGGGTCGACGTTTCCGATCATGCTGAGGGGAGTCGCGCTTGACTGGAGGGGGCTGATCAAACCCCGAGGACCCGAGACCCCAATCGCGCCGCCAATTGTTGGCAGATCGTTGAGGTCCAAATAAATCACGGCTCTTGCAATTGCGGCGCTTGTCACCAAGTTCAGCCCAACGGTCGAGGTTCGATTTCTTGGGGGTTGACTGTTGGATGGGACGAGGCGTGCTGTTGGAGGATCCAGAATCGCTGCAGAGATCGAAAGATATAGCTCGAATGGGAACAGGAGCAGCTGTCTGGATGGATGACTTGTCGTTGAGTTCAGGAGAGGCGGAGACCAGCTCGCGCGATTCTCCCAGAGGCTCGGTCAGGGTGACATCCTGGCTTTCGTGACTCCAACTACGAGAGTTCTGCTCATGGCGTTCATGGAGCGCAAGGTCCTCGTTCTCAGACTCTTCCTCGTCCCACAGATCGCACCAACTCTTCGAAATCTGATCGTTCGCTTTCTTACCACCAAAAACCATCGAAAGTGACGGCAGAGGCTTGGTGGCGTGGCTTGGTAGCGAGCCAGTGATAGCGACAGGATCCGATCGAGGAAGGAATGATCCTTGGGGCTTAGAGAACTTCATGGAACGGAAGGAGTCACCCATACGAGAATCCACAACAGAGGCCAAGGACAAGGTCTCGTGAACAGAGAACCAGGAGGTACCTCCAGCTTCGGAGGCAGGGAAGAGGTCCTCAGAGTAGCTCTCGGTATCAGGGATAACAGAAAGCTGCCGGCTGCAAGGAACAGGGCTTGAAAGCAATGCCTTGGCCCAAGGGAAGGAATCGCTCTGGGCATGGGTACTCTGGAGGGATGGGGTGCGTAGGGGTTCGCGGTTGGCACTGGCGGTGACAACCTCGCGGTCCTCGGTGCAGAACTCATCCAAAGACTCATCATCAGTGGTGAAGCAAACAGCCCGGAGGATTGACTCGCGAACTTCGGAAAGAGAGCGCTTCTTAGGGTCGATGGCCAAGGAGTGGTTCAGGATGGAGAAGGTGTCTTCAGACATGTTGGGAAAGATGTCGAAGAGGGATTGGCGATCACGTACGTAATCAGAGAAGAGGATATCGGACTCAGTGGGCGTGACAAATGGATTGCGAGAAAAGAGGATATTCAACAAGCAAATACCAATGGACCAAATATCGGCCTTCGCGGGAGAATAGCCACCGATAGGAGGTTCATACTGTTCAGGAGCCATATAGCGGTCACTGCCAACACACGCCTCATGGGACAGGGAGTCACGGGTTGCCAGACCAAAGTCACCAAGCTTCATCGAGCCATCCTGCATAAGAAAGATGTTTTCAGGCTTGATGTCGCGGTGGTAGAGGCCTTTGGAATGCATATGTTCGACGGCACTGATAAGCTGAAGCATGAAATCGCGCACATGCTCGGTCTCCAAGGGACCCCGGTTCAAGCGAATGGCTTCGTAGAGATCGCCATTGGAGCAGTACTCCAAGACCAAGTAAGTGTGGGACTCAGTCTCGAAGGAATGGACCATGTTAACCAAGTTGGGGTGGTAGCGGAAGCGCTGATGGCATTCGACTTCCACGAAGCGGTCGATGGGAGAGACGTTATCTGGAGAGGGAGCCTTAGATAGGCACTTGATGGCAACATCCTGGCCAGTCAGATTATCGGTGGCAAGAAAGACCAACCCAAAGGAACCTGAATTAAGTGGTTTCTTGGTGAGGAAACGACCTCCCAGGAGTCGCCCTGGGACAAAGTTGTTCTTCAGGCACTCTGAAAGAGACATTGTTGATGATGCTCGAGGGGAGATAGGATGAAAAGGTAGTAGAGAGGTAGAAAGGAGAATGAGGAGCGATATATGAATCGCTCTCAAACAATATATGTGAAGACGTGTCCACACGTAACAACACAAAAGCAACCAGGCTAATGTAAATGATTATAAAGTGCAAGAACAGAAGGGAGGCCCAGAAAGGAAAGCGACCACCGCAAAGGAGAAAAAAGGAAATGAGGTGCGACGGTGTTTGCTCGATAGTTCATAGAAGTGTACTGAATCGATAATGATAAATGGATGAGTATGAGAAGGAAACGAGATAGCGCAGCGGCGCAAGTGAATGTACCCGAATGGGATATATAGACGGTTCAAGGAAAGATTGTAGAGACCGTTATGTGCTCATTTGTATAAAGGTTTCGTTGTGTATAGGTGAAAGGACCTTGGAAGATGGACGAAGAGAAATTGTCGAATGAATGGACAGTTGATAGGCCAAGGACGGCCAGGTCAAAAAGTAGTTTTGAGTTGCGCTGCGTAAGATCGTAATTGGAAGAGAGGAAAGACAAAGACAAGCGAGCCTGTGAACACCGGGTTCAAGGTGGAGAAAGCTGATGACTCAAGTTGGTGGAAGAGTTGAGTATTAATGAGTCATGGAGTGAATCGATTGACAAGTTGATTACTGATGGAAATGAGTCGAGAAGATCGACTCGGTACTCAAGATATTCAGGCTAGTATTCACTGAAATTGGGGTAGATGGGGATCCTGGAGGAGTACCTTCAAATCCAGTTGGAAGCGTCGGTATACTCAAAGCCAGGTTCCCAAGATTGTATATATCCGAGCAAACAAAACAGGCTAACGCTCGAGAAGTCAAGGACCTAAGGAGGGGTCGAGAAAACTACGTATAGCTGTTTATCGAATGAGTCAGGGACTCGGGATTGGATCGGGTGAGGAGAGTAGGAGAGGGGCGGAAGTAGGATAGCTCGATTCCAGGATAGCACGTGTTGATCAGATTCAGTGGCAGTGACAAGTGGCAACTGTTGACTGTTGAATATTGGATCAAAGTGGTAGAGCCGGGGGGCGGATACGAGCAGGGATAATGGGCGAAGAGGGAGATGGAGAAGGAGAGAGAGGAATGTGTTGATGGATATTGTAGATTGGATGATATGGGAATGGGATGGGGGAAAGAGAGGTATATAGGGAAGGTAAAGAGAGAGGATGATAGAGATTAAGAAGGAAAGGGCAGGGGGATAAGGAGAAGAGTCACGGATGCTAGGTAGAGTTGGTGTAGAAGTGGGGAATCCGAGTATAATGGATACTGGCCTAATCACGCCAACCCCAATCACGTATATATTACGGTACAGTACCAATACACCACATCCTCGTGGAAACGTGCGATCTGCAGTAAAGGAGAGAGGCAACACCGTTTTTGTGTTACCATTGACTCACTCCAGAAATGTAAGTGACAATACAACAATACGTAAATACCGGGTCCAGGCAATCCGTAGGCGCAATCTTTCTCCCCAATTCCTCCAATGTTCATGAACCTTCCATTCCATGACCCTTGAAGGCGTCACTTGAATTCCTTTATTATTCAAGTTCCGTTATTAGTTCGCATCTTTGCGTTATCCTCCCAATTGCACAATCCTATTTTCATGGATTCAAATCAGCCTACACATGATTCTTACCATCCACGGTTCCAATTTCTGAATTACTCTATACTAGGTACTCAATATCGGGACCTGCAGTCCAGGCCGACCCTCCCTAAAGCAGCAGGGGCAATGTTTCGACTCACGGCCGAGGGCGGATCAAGGTGGCGCACTATACCTAATGCGTCGGATCGCGCAGCGGAGTCTATGGCAACAGCCAATGATGTCTTATATGTCCAGCACTATGTTCAAACCTGCATGACGGCATGGATTGGGCATTGCGTGATATTCTTCTGATTGGTGATTATCCCTTCCCAGTCCTTTCTAGTTCGGATCTGGCTTTTAGACTCAAGCTAGTCTAGCTCAAGGTACTCAGTACCTGATGGCATAAATATTTACTACTAAGTATTCATAGTATATACTATAATACGTATGTATCGATACTGAGTACACATGACTTGAGGAAATGACACTGTCCCATTTAGACTAGTGTGATCCAGCAAGTCATACCCCCCAATATTTACCTAGGCACGGCATAAGTAAATAAGATGGAAGAAGTAAGAATATAGTTCATGTACTATTATCTGCGTCAGGTACCTCTGTACCTGGTACTTATATAACATTATGCACCTTTTGGCGCGCGGGATTTTTGAGACGTTTTCTGTCCCAAAATTAGGTATCTTGGTCTTGGTCTATCAGGGGCAGTTAATGTCGATGCCGATCCAGGTGGAGCTCATCGATGACAAGAGCCACGTAACTAAAGTAGATCATAGACTATTATCATGTGGGAACTTTGAAGTGGAGTTGTCATTTCTGAATATAGTTAGTTGCCTAGTTGATTCCATTCTGTAAGGATCGTTGGGAAAGGAAAGTCTTACTTTGACTCCCAACTGTTTACTTACACTCTTAGACATAAATCACGGGATTTGTTCCCGTGTTTTCATGCGGTGAAGGATCTTGATGCCAGACCGCCTCCTGGCACGTACCTATACTTTTTAATCCTTGCATAGATGGCACGACGTGGTCATAACTGATCCTGTTATGTACTTTATCATCTATCGATCATTCACTGATCCTTTCCACAGGTGGATCGGTGATCATCGATCATCATCACACCTTCAATTATGTGCTAGTACCATCCTTTGAGTCTGAGTAATGGCCACGCAATACTCCACGGCAATGCACGCCATACATTACAGCCTGTACTCTGGATATTTGTTTTCAATGCACCTGGGAACGTCTATCTACGCCGTAGCAGTCATAGCTCCTTTAATGCAGTAGGCCTCGTCATATTGAGCCACATCTCATGCACATAGTCAAACCTCATTATGCGACCGTATGCGACCGTAGTTTCAAGGTTCTTCATTAAGTTCCAAGGCTTCGACTGGATCCCTAGCGCTGACGGTGATCCTGCTTTCTAGACATTACAATCCCTTCCTTCTTCCTGAAGATATCAGTTACAGTACTGTATACTGTATTGTGGTATATAATGATAAGGATAGAATCCACAATAGTAACTTTGAAAGATAGGGAGATAAAGACTTCTATGGTTGAATTGTTATCTTATTTTCGGCTTATCACCTTTACCCCGCACGATCATCTTTCAGAATAACATACTAAGTAGTAATGAGATCATGAGCGTATCATTTCTATACCAGGTGTACTCTAGTACTACTATTACTATGATCATCTATCAATCAACTTTTAATTTATTTAATTTATCACTAGTCACTATGTAAATATGTAAATAACTAGGTGTTCTTATGAAGGCTATAGTAGCCTCGGTTCATGGCTGCTGTAAAGTTCAAAAGTATCAATATTAAGTTCTCCGGGCTCTGGTCCGACCAAACCAATATTAACTTAGTACCTAGGTAATTAATATTATGCGTACCATAATTCCTCTGCTATCTTAGTTGCCGCCGCTTTTATGAGGGTGCTCAGAGTCAGATTGAGTAAATTTCAGTCCGGAGTGCTAATCACTGAGGGGGCAAGTTGAGAGCGGTGAAGAGGGCGGTAAATGAAGGGAATTTGTGGAGAAAACATCTGAAATCTAAGGCCGGCGTAGTATATATAATATGAAACATAAGACTCCGAGGCTGTTTTCACTTTAATACTAAATAGTGGTCCGCTAATCTAATGTTATTGCGCATGCGGCATCTCATCATTACAGACAGGTCGTAATCGCAAGCACGAAGATTTTGGAGGTATCTCTAATAAGCTGCTCACGCAGTTTCATTGGAACATGGAATCGGCAGCTCTCTCCTTCACCATATTTATACCGCCGAATACACTACGCTTCAGAACAGCGGTGGCGCTGGACTCGATTCACGAGTCCAGTCAAAATGTAAACTGTATTTTCCTATTGATTAGCTGCGTAAATATCTGTGGAAACTTTCGAATCCTATGATAGCATCTCATTATGTGGCCTTTTGGTAGTTGTAGTTTAGAGTACTTGAGCCAGGTTTTAAGGTCATGGTCACTCGGAAGTGGAACTCCTCGCCTCCCTCTTCCTCGTCCTCCTATAGTTTCTTGAAATTTTTGTTCTTCTTGTTGTCGGTGAAATTAGTGGCTTTGCTTACATATTTTGGTCCCGTGGCTCCTATGAAACCGTACAAAGTAAGTATTAATATTTGCGGTTTATTTACAGTTGCTGACTAAAGCCGCAGCCGCAATCGCACGTTTAAAAGCAGCGAGGACTAATACGGAAGGGGATTGCTAAGAAGTGGCAGAGGAAATCTGGTACAAAGGTTAACTACTTAGTGCTGTCTTCTTATTTTGTCTCTATTAACTTCGTATTGTAACACCTATTCAATTCCATTGGTCATCCAATAACTTCAGACCCAGTCGGGACTACTTTATACCCAATGTACCTCCTAAGATGTCCGCCCAAATCCTCAAATCTTCCATACCTTTCTCCAGCTATCTATGCATGCAACTCGGCAAAGGTTTCCGAGACAAGAAAATCACAACTCGACAAATCAGCGGGTGTTTGTATTGTACAGTTCAATAGTAAGCTAGTTCATCCATATCATAAAATAGATACCTCACCTGCAGTCCAGGTAAGACTAGTGTGGTACGATGCCCAGTTCCAGGTGCCATGGATCCAGCCTCTGTTTCTGATTTTCAAGGTTCATGTCCTTGGTTCTCGTGTGACCTTGACTCCACAATGCAAGTTGATCTGACAGTTTGTTCTCGATTGATTTCTGCTTAGTCTTTACTCTTAACCTTGGATGTGATTTGAACTCTAAAAAGGTACCTATCTAGGTAATTATCTATCATTATCTCTTAGATAAGGTATCTACAGTTTTGTAGGCACGCTAAGAGCGGGTACCTAGTAGTCTACTTCAATGTAATCCATGGATGCATATGATATCAACCTTACGGTATCCGTACCCATGGCACTTGATCTCTCCGCACTCAGTAATTGGAAGCTAATCCGTATTCATCGCTTTGCATGATTGGGGCCCCCCAATATTCCCATATCATACCACAGCTCTAAGATCGTCAACTTTACACGAGCCGAACTGCCTAGGTAGGAAGACATTGGTCCAAGTGTGATTGTTCCTTGAGGATCTTGGATCCTCACCTTCCGACCTCAAGGCTCGAAGAGCCGAATTGTCGACCATGACGAGGAGGCTTCCGCTCATTCTAGAAGCGGAATCGTGCCTACAATATTTGTCACACCACCAGAATGAGATGAAGTATTGTTGGGATAGGGCTACCAAAGCCACAATCGAGGGGAAGTATTAACACGTTATTGCAAGTGGCAGGTTGCACAGACCAACGTCGGACAATCCAGGTTTGATAGGTCGATTTCGCTGCCAACGGTTGCCAAGTCAAATTTGAACTTTCAAGGTCTTTTTGTTCCCCAGCTTTGCTGAACTTTTTTTTTGTTTTTTTATTCCAATCGATAAACAAATAATACAATTGACAGAAATGCCTACATTCTACCTAGGTCTATGAGGTCTCGACTCTCGAATGGACTTTTGTGGCTTTTGCATTCATCTTGCCACATATCATCACATACCCTGCCACATTCCATCTGCACCCCGTCAACGTCATTCTGTGCCCCATATTCCCTGTCAATTCTAGCCATGCAGCCCGAACCCACTGTGGACAGCAGACTAATCATTCCGAACGGAGTACTCCGTATGATTACAGAATGTTTGAATGGAGTATTCCGTACTCCAGGTGATTATACGTGGACAAATCATTAAATTCACAACGATCTCGTCCAGCAAGAATTAAAAAAAAGAAAGGCAACGTCAAGAAAGGCGCTCATTGGAGGATTTGTTTCTATTTACGGCCAACCTCTGATATATATTGGGTCCACACTGTGGACAGTCTAGCCTCCACATGCGTGCCTTCATCATACTCCTATTTATATTTCGAGTCGACTGTCCTCTTTTTTAATACGGACCGCCCGAAAACAGTATTGTGGCAATGTGGGTCTCAGTGGCTCAGCCTGATCGGAAATAGGCAAACGGATTTACAAACTGCCAGTGGGGCTGGTCGGAGAATTGGGGAATACGTTGACTATGGAGGTAGAACGGAGAGCGAGTATGCCACATCGTACTTCATATCGAACACTATGGACGTTCTAATTGGTCTAAAAGTTGACATGAGTCAGGTGACTTCATCTTACGAAGTAGGGTTCAGCTCAGTTCGATGAACATCGAACATAGTAGTGATACATAAGTATTGAGAAACATTTGAAAGTACACTAATGTGGATACTACAGTAAACTGGTCATGAATGTATGTTGAAAACGCCTAAAGTCGAAAAACAAAAACGAAGCACAAAACATTCCCAGTCTCTCAACGGGTGATCTAACGCCTTGCTCTGCGATATGTCCTTTCTTCCGATGTCCAGATTTGCAAGTTGCCAACGATCACCAGTACCTCCTGAGCGCGGCTCAATGCGACTTCAGTGCTGTTGTCCGATAAAATCCGTTAGCTTAGGTAGAGACTGTGTCAGGCATAGGTTCACGATCGGAGCTGGCCCTGGGAAGCGTCGATGACTAGGTCATCTCGAACCGAGATCTTGATTCCCTGTAGTTCCTTCGAGATCATAGACAGTTCTGCCTTGTGTGGGCTAATAATTATCACCTCGCTGTACTGAACCTTCGTAGCCTCTAGATAGGTAATTCATCAGGACGAAGACATAAACCGTTCAAGTTTTTGAATTGATATATTTCCATTATAGGTGGCCCAACGCTGAGAACCTCCAACCCAGATGAATGCAATACCTAGGTAATAGACCGTGAACGTTTTGAATGTCAGTAAAGTATGAAGTGATCAAAATTCAGAATATTCGTCTTGTGTTTGATCCGGAAAGCAAGCCCGCCGCGGCTTCCAATTGGTGGATAAGCCAAGCCAATGCTCCATCTGCAATCAAAAAAGCCCGCCGTTGCAAGTCACAAGACGCGATTGTCTGGTGGTGCACCATGAGCAAGCGCTCATTCGATGAGACCAGGGATAGCCAGGCACCCGAAAGTGGTCACAATGGCTTGCCCATCCATGACTTGCTGTCGCCCGACGACGGGGAGCCAACGCCGACAGGTCCAGCCGGCAAGAAGCCTCGGAACTTCATCGCCACCGTGGTATGTATTCTCGTGGCTGGAAACTCGTCGCGTACCAAGTATAATATCATATTGACACTGTACAAAGGCCTGTGAGACTTGTCGCCTGAAGAAGACAAGATGCGACGAATCGCGACCGAAGTGTGGCTTGTGCAAGTCGCTCGGCCTAGACTGTGTCTATAATGAGCGCAAAACATCCAAGTAAAGTCGCCTGGTACTTTCGTATAGAGATCATTGCTAATGACTGCGTGCAGACGGGATCAGTCTCTCACTATGATCATGAGCACACTGCATCGAATGGAGACCAAGTTGGAAAACATCCCCTCTTCGATCCTAAGTGATCTCCACTCCATTCGAGGCCAGATGCAGCATGCAAGTCTCACCGACAATTCACTCGACCATTTGTCACCAGCCATCGGGAATGGTGGCCGACCTACAACGACGCCGGGTTCTACCTTTACCCCCGCTGCGCCGGACAATGACGACTTTGACTGGGAGAACCAACAGCCCGCCCCAGACGCGACGGGCCGCATCTCTATTTCGTTCAGCCAGCACGGTGTGATCGTGTGGCCTGGAGCGCGGCAGATATTACCGGAGTCTTTGCTTTCCGCCTACAAAGAACTGGGAAAGAACTATGTGATTGAACTGGAGTCGACACGGGCACCCCTGCCCATGTTCACTAGCCCATTTCCCCTACATGCCAGCGAGCATTGGCTGGAAGCATTGCCCTTAGCAATGATCAAAGGCCTGGCAGATGCTTTCTTTGGCGTATTCAACCCATTTACCCCGATCATGGACAAGAGCTTTTTCTTCTCGTTCACCCTTGGCTCGGCGATTGAGAGCGGCTTTGGCCATACGCTGGAGAGCTGTATTGTCCTCAGTGTTATGGCCCTGGGCTGCGTGGCTGTGCTTGCATATCAGGAAGGCAACTATCCGCTACCTGGATCCCAGAGTCATAACTTTGAGCACCCGGAGTGGATGAATGTGGTGTATGAAGAGCAGCCTGGCCTGCGGTTCTTCAACGAGGCTCGTCGGCGCATTGGCTTCTTGATGTGTGACAACGACATTCAAAGCTGCCAGTTTTACCTTCTCTCTTCGGTCTATTACAGCCAGATACTGCGTCCAATGGACTCCTGGGCAATGATACACCGTGCCGCAACGTGCTGTCTATCAATGTTAACAAAGTAAGTTTGACAGAATCACTGAGTTTCAACCTTTTCTAACCTCGGTTTAGTCATGAGGTGAACTTCGACGAGTGGGAAGGTGACATGAAATCCCGTGTATACTGGAACTGTCTGATGAACGAGACCATTCTCGTACAAGAGCTGCATCTTCCACCAAGTGGCATCTCACGACTCGAAGAGCAGATTCCAATTCCCAAGTTCATTGGCTTTGATACCACTGGCTACGTGCCAATCAGATTTCCATCGTCAACGACGGTCGACGATTCATACTTCCAATACCACTTCCTCGCGCAGGTAGCACACCGCATTATTCTCACTCGCATCCGTCACTCTCTATACTTCTATTGTGAGAGCACCCCTCCTATACCACGTGCATATATCTAATTCCATACAGCCGACTCGGGATCAATTCCCCTGCCAGCCGTAAATGTCGAACTCCACCATCAGCTCGAACAATGGCGTACGAATCTCCCAGCCGCAATTAAATTTCCCGACTTAACAAACTCGCTCTCACACTCCACCCCCGGCGACCTTTCTCTACACCCGTCACCAAAAACGCCTGCATCCCCTCATCCGTCGCCACGGCCAGATGATAAGCGCCGCCCCCTGTCCCCAGCAGTAGCAGTAACAGACGCAATGCTCCATGGCCGACATATGATCGCCCAATTCCACATCGGTCGTCCATACCTGTACAAAGCACTTCGGATCCCCGAAAAACTCACCGACGACGATCTGGAGCAGATCAAAAGCGGACTGCGGAATGCAATGGATTGGCCTGTTATCCAAGGCATATTCCAAGATATGAAGAGTTGCATTCCGATTAAGTTTGCTTTTTGTTCGCAGTCAGTGTTATCCCTATCAGCCCCTCAAAGTTCATGTTTTAATATTGTACAGATTCTTTGGTCAAGTTCTTATCTTTTATTGCATTGCGCACTCGCCCAGTTATCGTGTCCGCCAGACTCTTCCACAGGGTTGGGAGCGCTGGAACCAGGAAATGATGAACTTTTTGAAGGACTGTGCGCCTCACAGCCCTGCAGTTACGCAAGATCTGGAACTCTTGCGCTTATTGTGGCCAAACCACGAATAATGGTTACGTGTCTAACTGAACTTTTTTTTTTTTTTTGCTTTTCAATACCCTGGGGAGTGGGGAGAGAGGTTCTCTCTTTTGGACTGTCTTTGTATATTCTATTTTTTTCAATGCTCGGTGTCAATGGTTGTGGTCGGCGTTCAGTGTTTTTTCAGTGTTTACATTATTGTTTCATGTAGACCTACAATGAGATACAAGATTAATGATACCCTCAAGTCGTCTCGTCAGGTGGTTATTTACGCATTTGCATTGAATACAGTACAAGAGAAGAATGAGAAGGGTATTGCAAAATGAGACATCTACTTTCTCCAAATGTGAGCATAATATGGGATAAGGTGTAAAGCAGACAACCAGACCAGAGCCAGAGAAAAAAAATGATAGAACTTCGAGAGCAATGATTTCATCAGAGAGACCATTCGTTCTCTGTCTCCGATGCGTTGACGAAAGGCTTGTCGATCAGCTTGATAGCATGATCACCGCAAAGAATACTGCGAGATAATCAGTATTGACCGGAAACAGATTGAAAAATTTAAACTCACCAAGCTTCTGCTATCACCACGTCCAATTCCTTGACAATCTCCTCGCGACGTGAAGTGGATATATCGCCTTTACTCAGCTTTGCCTGCAACTCGCGAATATACCTCTTCTTGCCCCCGGCGCCCTCCAAAACCTCTTTACCCAGACAGTCGCTGTGGAAGGCATGTTGGCAAGGGAAGACGAAGAATTGGCGACTCAGCAGAGGTAATAGGCAGATCCAGCACTTCTCGCCTGGCTCGACGATAGCGTAGCGGGTATCCAGGCCGGATATTTCATTGCGGATCTGATGAGCTGTCTGCGCGGAGTTGTCCATCTCGTGACGGAGAGCGTCGATGTGGCGCGAGTAATCTTCCAAGGCTGTACAGATCTCGTCTTTGAAGTCGTCTATGACGACAAAATCAGGGAAGAATGGAATCAGATCTTCGATGCGAAGCAGCTCGCAGCGACGCAGGAATTCAATGGCTGATTTTATTCCGGTGCCTGGTTGGCGGATCTTCTTCTCGGCGACAAGCAGCCACAGTTTCTTCCGGAGCTTATCGTTGCCTTCTGGGCGGTCTGCCACTATGGCGGCGAGCTCGATGTCGTCGTGCTCTAGGGCGAGTTCGACGGCTTGAAGGTATTGACCCATGGCACTGTAGATATGGATACATGACTGAACTCGCTTATGCTGGATACAGAGCCGGAGGGCGAAGTCTGCGTCGTAAGGAGGCGGCGTGGATGGCTGCGATTGAAGATAGGTGAGTAGCCCGGCTTCCGAGGCTGACTGGCTGGAGGCATGGATGGAAATGAGGGTGTTATGAACGGCAGCGGCTGGGTTTGGGTGATTGACAATAATGAAGTTTAGGTATCGAACAGCCTGGTTCTGGTTGATGGTAACACTGGCAGTCTTGTTGTAGTTCAACAGCGCGGGAATAAGTCTCTCAGGATCAAGGTTTGTCTGTCGCATCAGAATCTCGATCAAACCCGTAGCTGCATGTGTCATGAGCACGCTGCTGTACTTGTAGAAAACGTCCGGCTCGCTCTGCCGCTGTAGAACGTTCAAAGCGTCTGTCCATTTCTCCCGTTGGATCCAGTACGATAAGACGTAATTTAGGTCGTTTGAGATAGTTGCAAAGAACAGTAACTCTCTCTCGCGGCCGTGGCTGCTTATAATGTCGTAGACCGTCCTTTTATCCAGATCTGTTTTGTGTCTATTCAAAAACTCCTGGAACTCAGATTGAATAATGTCCAGCTCAACCTCGATTTCTCCTGTAGTCACACCTTCGGTCAACTCTGCTTTGGTAGCGATATTGTCGTCCAGAGAGTTCAGTTTCGACATGAAAATCTCCACAAGCCAGGTCGCCACCATCATTCTTTGCATGATAGACGCCTTTTTGTATGTTGACAGCTGCGAGAGAAGATACTTCCGCAGGGCATCGTACTCCTTGTTATCAATCATGGTGAGGCAGACCTCTTCGAAGCCCTTACTGCTCTTGCCCCAGACTTTGGCTGCCTCAAAGAAGCGGCCTTCTTTGGCAAGGTAATCACCGGAAGCGGTCAAAACCGCATCACGTTGTGTAAGGCCTCGAGCATACTGGAGGGCCTCCTCAAATTTTTGCTCCTTGAGAAGAACTTTCCACACATCTCTGTCCTCGTCGTTGGCCACAACTTCAAAGATCTCTTTGTTGGTGAATAACCAGTATGTGTTTTGAGTCAGATCTGTAAGAAGGCCCAAAACAATTTGTCGAGGCTCTAAAACTGCCTGGTCATATACGACCTCGTTATTGAGACGATTGACAGCAACTACCCGACCCTCAGCAAGTGCCAAGACATGCCACTGCGAGAGAGTCATGGAAGTAATTGGGTCTTGAATCAGTTTCTTGCCGCCTCGTGCGGATTCCGTGGCTGGGAATTTTGATCGAGATAGCATAGTTGCGCTATCAAATGGGGTGTTCGATGCAAGCTGGCCATGGTAGATTCCTTGGGAGTTGAGCCATGCGAACTCTTTCTCGGTGAATACATCAGCTTGGTGGCCACCAGTACCCGAAGGGGAGATAGCCAATAAAGAAGGTACAGATGCAGAGGGTTTCTGGATCTCATGTGTCAGAGGCGTCTCGCGCTGGAAAAGGTCCGCATATATAGATGTACCACTGTCCCTTCCAGGCTTTGAGGCTCCAGCACGACCCAAAAAGTGAACTAGCTTCCCGTGTGTCGCCAAAATCACCCTCCTCTGTTCGGGGTTGGAAGGAACAGGCTCGGCAGAGATACCGATGACGGGCGAAGCGTCCGGCAACTTGTACACTGCGGTGACATATTTCTCCTCGCGCCGGTAGAACTCAGTGGAGGGTTCAATGTATGTCTCATATATATTTCCATCAGTTGTGCCAAGAAGGATCTCGCGGGTTGAGGCAGTCGGTAAAGAAGGGTTCCAGGCGATGCTTTCAATCGACACACCCTTTAACCGTGATAAAGCCTTAGGCTGACGCGACTGGGTGTGGAGATAGTAGTTCTCGCCGAGCGTAGTAGTGATGATTAGATGTGATGCAGAGGGATCAAGGAACATGCGTTGGATCAAGCCAACCTCGGATGACTTTTTGGGAAGATCGATGTCTGTTGTCATGATACACATGTTAGCTCTGTCCAATCCGACCAGCAACGCGGGGCCAAGATCTTACCATCAATGTCCTCAGGGGTATCAAGGTCGATCCGGAGAATTCGACCTGTTGATAAAGCCAAAACCAGGACATTATTGGCAACCTGCGCGGCTACGAAGTCTGCCGCAATAGGGAATTGGAGCTGGACTCGTTGTACGTCAAAGATGGGTAGGGAGTCGGCAGGCTCCGTTAAGTTGCTAGGAGCAACATAGCTGCTGGTTTCTTCCTGCGCCATTATGCGCGAGCAGCTATATCATGCCGCCCCTCAATTCTGTAGGCTGCAAGAAAGCTGGAGGAGCTTGAGAGGATGAGGGATGTTGAGCTAAAGTGGAATGCGGAGGGCGGGTGCCTGGCTGCCTGAAGATCGAGGCCTCGTAGCTTGTTCATACATAAGCATTTACAGTAGTTAGCCAGATATGGACTATTGTGAGTATCTTGAGATCATTCATATTTCAAACTTATAAATATGTTCTTTGATTTCATGCCTGGGTATCATCATGTGCTAAAAAATGCAAAACCCCGATATCATCATGTCTACCTGCTATCTCAAAACTGTCACAAGAATTATTCATATCATATCATAACGCACTCTCGCTCCGGCTTCACGCTCTTTTCCTTGCTCTTCGACTTCTCCTTGTTCTTTCCTTTAGTGATGCGATCACGGGTTCGTCCGCGCATACTCTTCTCGCTCCTTTCCTTGAACTCGATAGGGGGACCGAGTTTGCCACCGTCGGGAGCTACAGCCTCGTCAAAGTCGATAGCTGTATCATCAGGCTCAGCCTCAACATCACTAGTCAGCCGGTCCTTGCTGCGACGGCCAGCTGCAAACCGTTGGAAGGTCTGTCCAATTCTGGTGTCGCTAGATTGGCTGTTGGCACGGCTTCCGGCCGTGCTTAGGGCCACGCGTGAACTGCGGCGAGTGAATGGAAACGAACGCCTATTGGTCTCCACATCCGAAGGCATCAGCTGAGGAGACGAAGCGGGTAGCGAGACTGCCTGAGCAACAGCCTCTGAGAAGGCCACGCTGCTGGGACGACGTTTAGTGCTGGATATCGGGCTGCCCGTGGTGTCGTCGGGTGCAGTCACTTCAAAGCTGGGTCGAGCCGAGCCAACATCTTCCGCGGCGCTATCGTCAACTATCTCATCAACTGGTAGTGACAGGTTCATGGCGTTGAGGGTTTCAGCGTCAAGAGTACCATTTGACGCGCGCGACGAAGGGGCGGTGGGTGGCAGATTGGCCATGGATGCATCTTGATCGATAGGCAGGATCTGATAAAAAAGTAGATACGGCGACTCCGTCTTCAGGGCTTGATCAATGTCAATAAGAGTAACTCGTTCCGTAGCAAGATCATCAAATCGCATCCAGTGGCGGGGTGCTTCGGGGCACTCGTGATTGCCATCGCTGGAGCCCGGCGGAGTAGCATTAGGATTTGTGCCTCGAACGATGGAGATATAGTGACCTGAGTCAACTGAGTTTCCGCGGTGGCAGACCATTGCCTGCAAGGATAACTTGAAAGTCCCATAGATAGGTGCATTCTCCCCCATGTTGTCATCTTGAATAAAATGCGGCATTCCAATCTCAGTGGGAATATCAATGTAGGTATCAAGTCGAGTGGCTTTTCCTTGAGGAGTGAAAGAATACCGCTTCAAGCACATTCCCAAAATGGGCCTCTTTGATGAGAAATGGGCTGCCACCTGAGCGTCATTGCGGGGTGTGTTATCAGTGTACCAAGCTGCATGATAGTTAATACCAAGTATTACAGAGCGCAATATCAAACAGAAGTACATACGAATGAGACTAAAGAACTGCCAAGCAGGCATCATCACCTCCTTTCTAAAGGATCCCTTTCGGGGCGGTGTGTAGGTGGCAAGTGGCCCCAGGGTCTCTGGTGATTCCTCGGTCGAATCCGGAATAAAACGTTCACGGACAATACTATTTCGACGAGAGAGATTTCGGGATGATAACTTCGCACTGAACTCCGAAAAACTCCCCCATGGGTTCACAAACTGTTTCTCTCCTTCCAATGACTCTGTTCTGGTGGGTGATAGAGTAGGTGTAGTATCTATCTCTTCAATGTGAGAAGTCAAGCCCTTAGATATGGATCCCGAGTCCAGAGACTGAGATCGAGTGGTTTCCAACGTATTCCGACGCTCGATATGACGCTTAACTTCAATTTTGTTGTTGAAGTACGCTTCAAGGCAGTCTTCTAGGGTAAGAGTTGAACCATCAGTGGGTTCTGGGGGGATGGCAACTTCGAGCAATCGTTCGTTAATAAACTTGTGATCATCACTGGCATCCTCCTTGCCGAAGTGGTAAATGTCCATTTTAAGCGTAAGAAGTGGAAGCTCTAGTTTCTCTGTGATGAACGTGAAAGCTTCCGAGGCATCCTGCTGTCGAAGCATTGCTGCATCCTCCCAACCGCAGTCTGACAGAGCGTCTTGGATGTGCTTAGTCTATACAATTGTCAGCCAAGGAAAATACTGACACATATAGAAGATCTGATCTCACCAAATCGGTGGTGATGAGTTTGCCTGATCGCAGCATATTGACCCAGAGTCTAAGCAGAACTACAAGCTTTTGACGTGACTCGTCATTGAATGACTTGTACAAGATAGCTTCAAAGCAGTCAAGGCGTGAAAACATGGCAAATAGCAATGCATCAAGATAGCAGGTGACTCCTTGTCGATTCTCTGCTCCCAGAAGCTTCACATTAGGGGTGTAGCTTCGGATGATACCCTCGATAGAGTCTTCAAGCAAAAGCAGCAGGCTAATAGCTTTCTGAATATCACCTTTACTAGTGTGCAGTGCATAGTTGTAGTGTCGCTCTTCCAATGTGGTGATCCCAATCGACTTCATGTGTCCTTCAACAATCTTGACCTGTGTAACAATTAAAATGATTAGACTAGAGAAATAAACGACAGATGAAAGAGAGAAAGTATTATGTACCTTCTTTTCACGATCCTTGTCTTCAGGAAGTGACTGAGAGCTAAAGAATCCACGTAGAAGCGGCTGTGACAGGGCCGCTGTGCTCTGAAGATAAAAACCACTTAGTGTGACTTCAATTATTAGTGCTGCAGCAACATACCTCTTCTTTATCTTCTTTACTACCTCCACGCCCCGATCGGCTGTGTCGATCGCGACGAGTTAGAAATCGATGAATGCCGCTCATGTTTTCAAATTGCAAAATTATCCCCGAAAAAGAAGAATATGTTGAACAGATCGACTAGAATCGGAATATGGGGAACACCATGCGGAGAAGGGAGGGTAAGCTCTAGTAGGCTAACGCAGAGCTGACTTGATGTTGGTGATCATCCAAGTGGTAACTGACATCTTCAGTTGAAATTGAACAAAAAAAGAACTTCAGATACTGGCACAAGGGGCAATAGAATAGGAAGCAAGGTGCGTCATGCAAATGATAGAGAAGGACGATTGCGGGATGGTGAACTGGAGCTAGTTGATCATCGATCATTGAGCGGGCAGATGATTGGCGCCTGATTATTAGCGCCTTGGAAACCAGGCAATAAATTCCCGTAGTACATCACGTGACCATGCTCGGATTGCAAACAATTTTCGGGATCGAGATCACAAGTCGAAGCATCTCCACTATCAACAACTTCTCTCATAATGGCTATCAGGGAGCCTTCTAGATACCTAGTAAAGGCATTGCCAAGGGCGCTTGCGCCCTCTGCTCGCCCACAGGTCTTCTCGGCCCGTCGCAATGCCTCGGATGAGGCTCCGGCCAGGCGTCTGTCAAACCAGCTTGACGATCTGGAGACCGGGTCTTCCCTGACATCACAAGTGGCTGCGGATGCGGCCAAGTCATTTGATCCTATCGCTCGATCAAAAGCCCGCAAAACCCAGCTCCCGCGCAGTCGGTAGGCAGCCCTTTTTCCAGAACTCGGCCATCCTGTGTTCCGCATCTTCCCACCATATGCGCTCTATTCAATACCTTCCTTTTTTTGATCATCTGACTAACCAGGGCCAACACAGTTATCAATTTCGATCACCGAAGTACTACCGTGGTCCTCTCCACCCTCACCAACCTCCTGCTCCCTCAGATCCTTCATCCCGTCTCTTCGTTCCGGGCCCATTCTCTCTCCCGCGCGTAGAGCAGACGTACCAGTCAACCGTCGCATCGGACATTCTCACCCTTTGCTACGTGCACACCCCACCAGGCTTCAAGCCTCCTCCCAAATCAGCCCGTCTGAGAGAATGGGACGACAGCTCGCCATATCACAAGAACCGTCCCCTCCGTGGTCCCCGTGGTGGTGACGTCTTGCGGTTGCTCCGAAAGCCCATTAAATTCAACAATATCCCGCAGGTCGAGCGGATTACCATTCACAGCTATGTCAAGGAGGCCGCATCCGATAACTCATCCTGGTTGCATGTAGCGGGTATGGCTATTCAGGCTATTTCGAATGTTCGTGTTGAGACCTTCAAGTCAAAGACCAGTGTTGCCACTTGGCACATTGTGCCTGGCCGTGATACTGTGGCCGTCAAGGCCGAGCTTAAAGGTGAAGAGATGTACCATTTCCTAGGCAAGCTTATTGATGTGGTCCTTCCCCGTATCAAGGATTGGCCTGGTATCAAGGGTTCCAGTGGTGACAGCAGTGGAAATATCTCTTTCGGTCTGGTATCGGAGAATGTTGCCATGTTCCCTGAGATTGAGGTCAACTATGATATGTAAGTGTTGCATGCATCATTGACTTTTGAAGAGTTTCTTCTCTTTCAAGTCTTCTTGGCACTAGTCGGCTGCTTAGTCGTTTTTGCTTAGTCGTTTTTGCTTAGTCGTTTTTTCTAATATGCTTCTAGGTACCCCCCTAAGATGATCCCTGGTTGCCACATCACCTTGCACACCACTGCCAACTCGGACAAGGATGCTCGACTACTCCTGAGTGCCATGGGTATCCCCTTCCATGGAAAGATCGCAGTCTAACGTGCCAAAAAGAATAATTTATGCATGTGGACACATTTGATTCATCTTCTCCCATTTAGGTCATTCTGTCCTATACCTGTAACTTTATAGATGACCTGCAGCATAGTGGTCATTGTTTTTCACCAAACTTGAATGTTGTGTATTATCTTTTTTCCATTCTACTTTTAACTCAAGCGAAATCTACATTCAAAGAAAAGAAAAAGGATTATTCATCTTCAGATCTTATAGATCCATGCGTTGCTCATTCCAACCTAGGTATTTAATTTTGTCTTGAAAAAATAGAAACAAAATCCCTGAAGGACCCATGGACAGTTAGCTCTGTCATATACACCGAAAAGAGGATGGACCTATACACCCTTGGACCGGAAAAACAGTAAATATAAAAATCGTTTTACATATCAGAAGAAACATGAGCTCAGTATTATGTTTCATTTCAGGCTCAGGCAAGAGGCATAGACAAGAACTTGCATTTAAGCAGCTCATCTGCACTGGGCCGTTTCTCGTAGTCAAGTTGGAAGGTCATGTCAAGGAACTCTACAGCCTCTTGACTCACATGCTCTGGAGCAGGTGGGCGTGCTTTGTTGCTACCAATGGCAAAAATGGCCTGCAGTTGACTACAATCTGGGAAGGGGTGGGCTCCAATGAACATCTCCACGACCAGACAGCCCAAACTCCAGATATCAGCTTTCTTAGTGTGGGCTGTTTGTCGCACCACTTCGGGTGCCATCCAGTATACACTTCCTTGTAAAGACGGGCGGTGCAAGTGGCCACCACCACCACTGCTGGCTCGGGAGCCAAGGACATGGGAGGCCTCCACACGTTTTGAGATACCAAAATCAGAAATTTTAACACCACCCTTATTATCGACAAGAATGTTGGCACCCTTAATATCACGGTGAATAATATCACAACTGTGCAGGTAGGATAAGCCTGCCAGGATTTGGCGAACAAAGTTCTTGACCAGGGGCTCCTGGAATGTGTTGTATTGCTTCAACATTGTTGCGATAGAACCACCGGGCACGTACTCTAGGAAAATGTTGAGGAACTGATCATCGGCAGATGTTCCAAGATACTGCACAATATTAGGGTGATGCATTCCCTGTAACAGCTCGATCTCGTGCTTCAAAGCCGTAACCATGCTGTTCTTACGCTGGTCAAATTCTGTTCCTTTGGTGGCTGATGGAATTTCGACCTGCTTGACTGCCATGAGCTCTCCGGTAATGGCGTGGAGAGCCAGAAATACGCTTCCGAAAGATCCTTCACCAATCAAAGATCCCTTCATCCAATTCTGCGGTGCAAAGTTGTTGCCCGCCAGGAAGTCATTCAGGCCGGGATCTTCCTCCTCATCATCCTCGACAGCGATCATGCTAAGGCGATCATTAGAGGAACCACCGTCGGTGGCGGCAATGCTTAGACTCTCATCCAGCATACTCTGTCGTGAGGGATTCGGTTCGTCAGAACCACTGTCCAACGAGACATACGACTTGCGGTTTGGTTCAATGGGAGACTCTTCCTGCAGCGGCTGAAGGGTGCTCGATGCAACAGAGTCGCGATATGAGGACTGAGGAAGGTTGAATTTGGAGGTAAGGATAGAGATAGGCCGTGGGGCCTGTAAGGCCTGTGCCCCTTTTTGTTGTTGGTACCAGGCATCGGCTATATTGGGCATTGGAGGAATTGAAGGCAGTGGTGGCAGAGGTGGCGCATCCCTGAGACTCGATGCAACACTGAAATTACTGACAACACTCAGACGGCTGGTGGCACGACTGAGGCGTTGAGACCTCCGCATTGTCTTTTCGATTTCCTCGCGTTCATGACTGGGGAAGAATGACGGAAGCTCGTGGATAATCATTTCACTTGGAGGTCTCTGACCGAAAAATGAGCGTAGCTTGGCCACAGGATTACGTTCGTTCGGCGACTGTTGGTCTTGGTCGACCGAGATGGAGGGGCGATGTCGGGGACCAACTGGAGACACTGGCTGTCTGGTATTAATGACTTGCCATGATTCACCTGTGAGCTGTTGGATCTTGTGCTTTTGCCGAGAACTGGACTTGCCCAGGGCGATTTGATGTGTAACAGAGCTTTCGTCACAGGCCAGCTGAGAAGCACGATGAAGCTCATCCATATCTGGCTCTCCCGCATGGATCTTTCGAAGGATTAAACGGCCACGTTCTGACTTATTGACACCTTCACAGATCTCCATCAACTCTTTTTCGGTAAGCCTTCTGCAATTTGACATGTCCGGTTCCAGTCCATCTAGAACGTAAAAGCAATAGTTTCTGTATTGATGCTCTGGCAGCTGCAGTTTCTTGAGAACACCAACCATGACTTCGTCGGGAGTCTTGCAATGTCGTATATCGAGGACTTTGGTTTGACCACCTGTATAAATAACCCTGATCACTGGAGAGTGGGGAGGGAGCGGGCCCATTGTCAGCCCATCCAGACTAGGATTGCGCGGGTGGGAGCTTCGTGAAATACCATCATTAAGATTACGACCACCGTTGAAGAAACTATCTTTCCGACGCAGGGTATTTGAATCTCCAGGAGAAACAGGGGATGATTTGCCTGAATGGTCTTCAGCTACTTGGGACATTCGACGGTTGCTCAGGGATGGGTAGATGGAGAGACGAGAGGGGTCCGATGCTGCTGATTCCATGGCGGCCAATTTATTCTACCAAGAGTTAGTTGCATGTGAGCACATGAGCACATGAGCACATTGAAAGTATCATCACGCACAATATTCTTCTGCCTCGGATTGACCATGGATTTGTTCCTCAGTTGCTTGATTGCGACAAAGATGCGCACTCGGTCTCCCACTTTCTTGATACCCATTTCCTGTAAGATCTTTTGGTCGCAGTCGATCAGGTTGTCTCCGTTGAAATTATTTGCTGCGAGAATCAGCCTCTGTACCCCTCACACAAGGATTTCAAGATCAGTTTACCTCTAAAGATTGGTTCATATTGACCACACTTGATGCTATGCAGCCAGGAGACAACTTTCTTTTCGTCCCAAGCCCTATATCGTCGTCAGATTGAGTTCCTTGTTTCTGTGATTGTTCAATGGCGGCTTACCGAACAGCGCCCAAATCATCTTGTCCATCTGAAAACTCCGACTTAGTTGGGCTGGTGAAGCCCCCATCTTGTCTTCTGGTCGCAGTGCCTGGTCGCTGGGAGGACGTATGGTAGGCGGTGACGGGGGTCTGGGATGACGAGTCGCCCAGTGAAGCAGAGTATTGCGCCTTGGCTAACATTGTTGAATGAGATGGCAGATGGTAATGGTTCCCCAAAGATTGTATGATATCGTGATCAGTCTCCTCCTGCGAACGCTGTTCGCGCGGGGGTTCGATGGTGATGGGGAAGTTGGCTAGAACATAATCTATTTTGTGGAGTTGTCAGCCCCTCCAGTACTTTGGGTCCATATGGAAAAAAACCAGTGATTCCAGAAAAGAATATTATTTTTGGAAGTAGAGACTAGAGAGTGGAGAAGAGAAGCAGAGGACATACCTTCGACTAGGTAGTAGGTAGTAGGTACTACTCATGTGGTGTGGCCAGGCGGTATTTGAATTGGCAGAATGTAAGTAGGGCAGGTGCAGTAAACGAGGGGAAGGATTGACTGAGGAAATCGATTGAAAAGGAGAGTAAGTTGGTACCAGAAAATGATAGAAAAACATAGTAAAACTTGGCCGCATGGATTCAAGCCTCAATTCAAGGGGCAAAAAAATCAATCAAAATCCCCCAATATTGAGAAAACTTAAGCATCCACGTCTCATCTATCTATAGATGCCTTATACTTCTGTCATTCTACCTATACTCTCTGATCTCTAGATCTTTCATCTTTCATCTTTCATATTTCATCTTTCATCTTCCATCTTCCATCTTCCATCTTCCATCTTCCATAACGCCTTGATGCTAAGACTGTTGAGACCGTATACGACGTCTAGGTCCCACTGTTCCAAAGGTTGAAACAACGGCTTTAAATCCGATCCTGGCCGAGTGTTTGCAGGCAACCCGGCGTGGGTCATAGTCAGGTACTTATACTATGTACCTATGTACAGCAGACTTATGAGTTCAATGGTGAAGTACGAAGTAAATTCAAGTAATTACCTAGGTATGTGTATATATACTTCCAGGGCTTTACTTCGTAAAAGTATGAACAAGGTATAGCAGCGGAAGAGTCCGGGAAGTTAGGGCTTCGACAGCGGAACCTTGAAAGGAACTGTGGGATCAATACGATTATTATAAAGTAGATTGAGATCAAATAGTAAGCACGAACCAGGTAACTCGGGAAGTAATTTCCTAGGTAGAACCTCGGAATATATTGAGTTCCATTTCTGGAATCTGATCGCCTCTCCGCAGTCCTGAGAATGGAGAATCCGAACTTGTCAAAATCCCCTTCGAACCCACTATCCCAAAACATACAACAATCGAGTACTTTGTACCTAATATTACCTATTTATTCAAATACTAAGTAGTTAATTGAGTGTTATATACTAGACCACGTGACTATTCCCCTCACCCGCCAAAACCCCCACTGAAACTGAGCGGGGAAAAAAGCCTCAGTTTATTCTTTCCCCCCAAATTCCCCCTCTCCCCAACTACTAATTTTCACTCCCCAAAAATGGAGGACGAGAAAGGGAAAGTAAAGAAGAAGCCTACTGCCCATCGAAAGTCTCTCTCCTGTGAATATTGTAGTCGCTCCTTTGCTCGTTTGGAGCATTTGCAGCGTCATCTACGAACCCGTTGAGTAGTATCCAACTAACTCCGCGAGCCGATTATACTAATGTGGGACAGCAGATACTAAAGAGAAGCCCTTTTCATGTGACATATGCTCCAAATCTTTTGCCCGGAGGTAAGTTTGACTTATAATCTCCCCAATGTCCAATCGCTTATCAAAATAAAATTCTTAAAGTGATCTACTTGTGCGACATGAACGCTTGGTCCATCCTGCCGAGAGTGCCGCCAGTCGAGAACAACGGACAAATTCCAGCAATGAGAGCAATCATGAAATTCCAATCCAGTCGAATATAGTTCAACCCCATCACGAATCGCGCATGCTCGAATTGGCCGATGCCATTCCAGTCCATACCCATACACAAGTACCTCAAGGCCCCGAGGTACAGATACAACCTCCAATATTAGAGACCACACACTTCAATCCATCCTGGGGCTACGATTTGAATCTACTGTCGCACGCTGCAAGCCATGTCGCTTTGGAAGGTCAGCAGGAAAATCTGGAATCCATTCGAAAACCAACCCACTCAGCTGCTACTCCATCCCAGTCCTTTTCTCACGCGCAGGAGAGAGCTATCACCGACAATTATGGCTTAGAACCTTCAATCCTAGACCTCACCGATCTGGGCGATCCAGTTCAAGATTTCACTGTTTTCTTGGAAAGTGTAGGCCTTTCGTCTGATTGGGACTCTGGAGTGTTCTCGTCTGTTGAAGACCCAATGCTGCCACCAAGCTTATCAGTGGATTCAAAACAACAAGCTCGGGACTCGGCAAGGCTGGGTGGTGATCTAATGAGTGATCCACGGGTACCGGCCGATGAACAACCGTCCTTCTCCAATTTCGGCTCTCGGCTACCTTCTCTACAACCAGAATCTCACGAAATTGAGGATCGTATTGGTCTATCAGATGAAGGGCCCAGGCCCGCATGGGATATTACTAATGCTGATCGCCAAATGTTTGTCCAGAAGCTCGAAGAGTTCTCCTTTGTTCTCCCCAAAGGATTTGTTCCACCTTCTCGGCATGCACTATCTCGGTTCTTTGCTGGATACATCAACGGCTTGAACGAGCATCTCCCTTTTTTACACGTCCCCACTCTTTCTATCGCCAGATGCTCGCCGGAACTCACCCTGGCCACGGCAGCGGCCGGCTCGCACTACCGGTTTGAATCTAGTCGTGGCATTGAACTTTTCCATGCGGCCAAAGCCATCCTGTTAGAGCGACTTCGTCGGAGAGACAGCAGACAGGTGCCACAGCCATCATGGAATTACATCTCTCCTCCATCTGGATTTAACTCGCAGGGGTCACCGATGATCTCGAACCCAGCAAGCAGTCCATTCCAAAATCAGAACCCTCCCATAAACGCATCAATATACACATTAGATGATTCCGACGCCCATATGGAGGTGATACGGACTTTCCTGTTGCTCACCGTATTTGCATCTTGGGAGAGACATCCGGAGCTCTTGCGGGAGATTCTCTCGCTTCAAAGCACATTGGCTCGGCTAGTTCGAGAACACGGCTTATCAGAACCAATGCCAACTCCAGATCCTATTAGCTGGGAAGAATGGATACGAAGAGAGGGGAACAGACGAACAAAGCTCATTGTATACTGTTTCTTTAATCTTCACTCAATCATGTACAATATCCCTCCTCTTATCCTGAATGGGGAGTTGAAGTTGAACATGCCTTGCTCTCACGATCTCTGGAAGGCGAATAGCGCATCCCACTGGCGGCGACTTCACCGCAGTCGGCAAGACTCTTCTGATATTCCCTTTCAAGACGCATTTGCTCGACTATTCATGAGGTTCTCCAGCTCTTTCTCATTCCCATCCGCCCCTATCTCCCCCCTTGGCAACTACATTCTTATTCACGCCGTGATACAACAAATTTTCTTTGCTCGTCAACTCTGCTTATCTGCCCCAAACATGCAGGGCACCAGTTTGAGACACGAAGATCTCAATGCCTTGGACAATTCACTGAGCGCCTGGAAGGCACTGTGGAAACGCTCGCCTGAGTCCAGTATTGATCCTCAGAACCCAGCGGGCCCAATTGCATTTACCTCGACGGCACTCTTAGGTCTCGCTTATATCAGACTTCATGTCGACCTCGGTCCCTGTCGTCACCTTGTCACCCAAGATCCATTAAAGATAGCCGTTGCTATAGCCGAATCACCACCCATCGTCCGCAGTCCACGACTGATCATGGCACTGCTTCACTCCGCCCATGCACTATCTATTCCAGTACGGCTGGGCATTGACTTTGTGGCCAGGACGCATTCTTTCTTCTGGAGTATCCAACACTCGCTCTGCAGTTTGGAATGCGCGTTCCTACTCAGCCAGTGGCTGTTAGCCATTCCTACCACACAGCCAGAACAGAGACTATCAGAACATGAGCGAAAACTTCTCTTCTGGATCAAAAGCATGATAGATGAAACTGAAATGGCAGTTGATCCTCCCGGGGCACCTAACTTGGAGTTTATGGCGAACCCATACAAGGTGCGACAGCTAAGTGTTGCAATTGTTCGTGTTTGGGCCCGAACTTTCAAGGGAAACACCAGCTGGGCAATCGTGGATCTCATCGGGTTAAGTCTAGACGCTTATGCCGATCTTCTCGAAAGCTGAAAATTTTTTTTTTTTTTTACTATTATCTTCCTGTCAAGATACCACCCACTAGTAAGCCATAAAAGGCTTTGATACCCATTCATGGACGTTTAGCAATATACTTCATGGCCCCCATGTTTTCCAATGACCGGGGATTTGATCTCACTAACGATTTATTGCTTTTGTTTTTTATTTTACCCCTTCTGGTGGATTGATGAATTGATAGACCAAGGTTTCTAGCGGAGTTTTAAGAAACTTGAACTTGATCGTCTTTTCGTTAATTTTTTGTATGTATTACGACTTCATCACTCGTGATTGCTGTCTATATACCCGGTGCTACGTGTTTATAAGCTGGTTTAGGATTTTGGATTAGCATTTCCTTGGTTTATTGCAACTTTTTGAACTATACTTGGTATTTATACACATACCTAACTTGTTTGCATCGATTTCAAATTCTGTAGCCCTAGAGAAGGCCTAACAAAGTAGCTATTACCTAGTTACAACAGGTAGCTTTACGTACCGTATTTTCTATGATGGGGCTTTCCTATTTTAGGTGCTGCCACTTTTATGAGGGCGCTCAAGATCAGGATCACCGAGTCTCAGGCTCACTGGATTATTCAACTCCTTAGTCTTTCTTACCTTACACTCAGTGAGTGAATCAGATCGCTCAGATGTTGCACAGAGATTGCTCAGGTGATGATCATTGTACTGCTCCTAGCGCTCAGGGCATGCTCAGTGAGCAAAAAGCGACAAGCACTGAGAACTAAACGGAGAAGAAAATCGGGTACTTAGACAACCTTGAATCTAGGTTACTTCCAGGTCTATCATGTTCCTGACCTTGATGGTGGCAGAAACTGGTGTAGTCTAGAGAGTTCTTCCAATATTGAGATCAATATTACCTAGGTATACCAGCAGATCGAGGGATATCTATCACTTCTTTCCCTTTTTCTTACCCTTTTCAGTAGCATTATGTTCCTGGGTAAACCCACCCTTCACCAACGCATCGCGACCGACATCGTTAATCAGTCGAAACCGTGCTGGTCCAAGGTGGATCCCACCATACCATCTTGAGACCACAACCAGCACATTCCACACATCCATTAGCTGCATAACATGCAATAAACGGGCTCCAGCAGCTGTTTCACCATCATCGTCATAGTCTTGGATCTGTGTCTCCGCAGCGTCACCATTGCCACTTTCAGATGTCCGTCCTTCTTTCTTCTGCTTGATGCGCCATGCACTGATATTGTGTGATGCCACTGAAACTTTCTTGTCCGTAGCAATCAAGTGATCCAGGAAAGCCTGCGCCTGCACTAGACTTGTCACTCGCACTGCTCGGCCCACAAATACAGATTTCTTTTCCGTCGAAACGTCTGAAATAATCCAAACAGGGGGGCTGTCAAGCCCAAAGGCATCTTGTAATGAAAGTGCTTCAAAGCTTTCAGTCGTATCGACAGCCGTCGATTCATCTCCGCCTGATAATTTATTTGAAGATTTAGTGGTAGTTGAACTCGATGCTTCGATGTCTTTGTTTCCGCCGATATTCAACTCTGGGAATATCTCTGCCGCTTCGCTTATCACATCGAACAGACATACAGTGCCAGGCTGCCAGGCTCGTTGTACAATGTCTTCCAGTACATCCACTGCGATCTTCCCCTCCCCACGCGCGGCAGTCGATGCAGTCCCTAATACCGTGGGTCGTGATTCTGGATATGTAGTGCCAAATCCAAGGCGGAAGGAAAGGTGTGGCTGGTCTGGAATTTGGAGAATCACCGTTGTATGTACATGGTCATCGGAGGATATGGAGTTTCCTAGGTCGAGAGTACTGTTTCCGGTGGAGGGCGCTGTTTGGTCTATAGTGATGGTATCCAATTCATATATCGCATTGATGGCCTCAATTTCTTCAGCAAGATCTCGATTCTCGAGCTGATCTATCTGGGACATCGTTCATCGTCAAAGTCACAAAGACTGGTGCGGAGACCATTTTTGACATTCGGCCGGAGTTCGGTCTCCCCGCTCAGGCAGTAAGGCATCAATATGCAATGCCACTAACATTATTCCGACCACCTCCAGACATATCTTATTCCATGAATATCTATATCTTTTCATACAGAGGGTCTGCTGATCAGTGTTGACGGGTTGAACCACAGGTAGAAACTTCAAAGCTGGAAGAAAAAAGCCATCTTGAGATATGAACGAAAAGAATAATATATGAAAAGAGTATCTACATTGAGAGCTTTAAAACCTGCTCTTCAATCCTTTAGCAGCCAGGTCCAAGGAAATTAGCACTTCGCTGCAGAGTAACAGCTTGTACTTCTAGAACTTCGTCATCCTCCAGTTCCTTCAGTTGCCAAAATGATCTAAAACCATCCAACAGTCTGCGAGTGAGAGATTCGACTTCATTAGGATCCATCGGCGCGAAGGAAAGACGGAAATAATTGTGGGAGAGCGCAGCAGACTTGGGTGTAGCACCAAACATACTACCCGGACTAATCAAGCACTTGTGCGGTTCTTTTGTGAGATGAACCCAGAAAGCCTTTGATAGTTCTTCGGCGCTATATTTGAGCCGTAAAGGATGTGTCTCAAAGTGCACCTCAAGCCAGATGAACATCCCAGCCTTTGGCCAAACAAAATCGAACATCTGGACTCGATCAACCATTTCCCAGTCATCGACAGCGCCAGTCATTTCAAGTTGTTCCAGGATTATGGACTTGTTCTCTTCGAGGGCTGTACACATGACCTGCATGCGCTTTTCATAGCCGCCACGTAGTCCCTCCAGCCAACCCACCCAACCATCTACTCGCCATCCCTTGAAGTCTTCTTTATTTATAAGCTTGGATTCATCGGCAGTTTGGTTTCCCATTAATGTCTTGGCAATCATGACTTGGGCAAAGCCAGATGGCTGCTGCGTCGAAGTCTCGGTAATCCGAGTGATGCGCTCGATGATGGCAGGCTGTGCTGTAATCCAGCCGAGACGACTACCCGGAGCAATAGTCTTGGAAAATGTATCTAGGCGCACCACTCGGCCTTCGGTATCGATGGAGAGATACGAAGGGGTCAGTGAGTCTAGAAAGGGAAATCCGGAGGACTTTCCATTTGAATTGAAGTTCTGGCGGTAGGAGCTAGAGCCTTGTGGAGAAGAGCCACGGTAACTAGCCTCTAGTTCATAGGCTGATGGGTACTGTAGATTCCAATATGGCTCATCCTCGACGATAATGACGTCGAACTTTTGACAGAGAGCGTAGATTTCTTTCTTACGTTCAATCGACAATACTCCCCCGGTGGGATTTTGTCCGATTCTGTCCGAAATAATTTTAGCATATGGAACCAATGGAGAAAAGGAAAGAAACAAAAAAGGAGAACTCACGCTATCGTATACAGTATATGGGGGCGGCGACCCTTTTTGAAATCCCAGTTCTCAAGTACGTCTGCAAGACCTCCTTTACCGAAAGCAAGCATGCCCTGTCCATCCACTGCAACGCCAACAATATTCAACCCTCGTGGAGTTATTTGCTGGATAGCATTCATGTATGTAAACTCTTCGACCAACACTCCTTCGCGCTGATGAACCCAGTCTCGGTCGGGATTCCAGATATTGGTGAGCAGTTCGATTGACTTGGACAAGCCGTCGGTATTCCCACAGGTCATTATAACCTCGGGACCGCCGTCGTAGGGGACATTTGGATGGAGGTGATCTCGGACAAACTGCCGCATGAAAGAGCGTAGTGCCGGATAACCATCAGCAAGGCCATATTGTAGAGCGGTGGATAAGTCGATACGTTGCTTGGGGTCGATGGGGTCAGAATGCATGGGAATGAAAAGTCGATCAGATTTCAAGTCGCCTGCATTGAGACGATGAGGCCGGGCGACTGTAGCTTCCAGCGTATCATGAGGGAAGTATGTAAAGTGAGGTAGACCTAGTCAGGATTAGGGGGTTAGTCGAAGGTGTTCCACCAACTCTGAGATATTTTCATACCTCCAGAAAGATTGGCAATTCCTGGAATTTCAGCATATTTGTAGAGAGACTTGGTGGTGCTAGGTAGACGGTTCTTAGACACATAAGAGAAATGGTGTGACAGGTTCAACGGCTGTGGAGCTGCCATAGTGAATAATCTCCGAACCTCAACGGTCGTGCTAATATTCTCCGATTTTCAAGGTTGGAGCGCTACAAAACGTCAATATATCATGAGTTATAATAAAAAAAAATTAAAAATAATGATTGCACTTCACAGAGTAACTAGTTTAATATGTAATACCCCCACCTTGATCCATGGAAATTGTGCTTGATAAGCGTTCAGTTGTTCCAGACCCACTGGGACAGTTAATGCTCATCTTGATAGGACAGAGATAGCTGATGTTCTATAATGAGGTGATCTTGTACATTTCTATATCTTATACCCCATGTACTCCTCTTACTTAGTACTCCTCACCTCTTGCCGCTTTTGATCTAGCCCTAAGTGAGAGGGCCTCGGGAGTAACGGGTTTGCAGATGGCCTTATTTCTGGGGTAGGAAGCTTTACCTACCGTCTTCTTCCATGACTGGTGAAGTGTTATTATTTCAAATACCGCCGCTTTTATGAGGGCGCTCAGGCCAAGCTCACCGAGCTGCTAACTATCACATTATAAGTACTTAGAGGCATCTATTGGGCACTTAGTCCACGCTTAGTGCATACAGTACGTCCCGAAATTGGCGCAACCATTTACACTCTTCGACTGTTTCTCAAGCCCCAGTGCCAAGATACATTAGTACATATACGGGATAGCATTGGCCTATCGATACTCCTGTATTAATTCATATACAGCACTTTACCATAAGCACCATGACCGGTATGCATCGATGGAAAAAGATAGGCAGGCTGTAGATTTTGCGTGATAATGCAAAAAAATTAAACACAGCAACCAATAGCTGCAAGTGACTGAACAGTGTGCATCTAAAAGCTGCGGACCTCGCTTGAACGCCTTGAAAGCTGCTGGATCGAGGTGCCTATGTCAACATAGGTGCCCTCCAGGTCGCAGCATCTAGATTCTGAAAGCTTCGAAAGGGTGACGCAGATGCTACTTCCTTCTTCACATAGTACATATTAACTACTGTATTAGATAGTTTTCTAGAGTTGATAAGAGACCCTGTGATCTACTTATGAGTAGGTACGTAGTTTGACGTTCGAAAGACAGTAAGACTACAAGTTTGATGGATAATTGAGGACATCAGACCAGACAGTGGTTGTCATAAGGTATAAGATACACGGCCAGATACTTAATATACAGAGTAGCTGCAGATTCCCTCATTTATTGGCATACTTCGAAGGTGTGGCACAGTCTGGATCATTAAAGCAGCAGCATTATACAGGAAAGACCTGTCAGAGTCAATATGGTAAGTATGTGACACAGGTAAATATATCTATATAAATTTAATTTTAGATCAGTATACGTTGTATTTTCCGCATAGACTCAGGTCTTGGTGGATATTGAACCTTTGATAATCCCTCTTTCAAGATCTCCGATAGATAATATTTGCCTTGGTGCCTTGGACCGTCTCACTCACCGCCATGTCTTCTCCACCCCCGGATTTCGCCGTCTAATTCACTCAGCAGTAGCCCTTACTACACAAATACTACTTGTTCATTCAATCTGATACCTCGCTTCAACTCATGATGTCCTCGTGATTATCTTGTAAAGTTTGTACTGAAGATACTGTTCACGCGAGTTGCCGACCACGGCATTTAATTTTGAACCTTGGGACCTTTAGGCATCCATCTTCCTGTCTTGTTGAATCGTCATGCTAGAAGAGGACCATGATGAAGCCGGCAGGCTTCATGTGCCTCCGCTATTGAACGAAGACTTAGACGAACGAATAGCCGATCCCGAAAGCTCCGAGGGTCTGTCGCCTGATGTCGAAGCAGGCAGCCTTCCAATCTGGTTGCAGGAATCATCCAAATCTTTTCGCTGGGGCTGGATACCTCTCCCTCTTCGAAAAGCCGGCCGTGCGACCGTAAACTGGATTAAAGGCCCTGTCCCACCACATACGCTCTTGTTGACACCGTTGTTTCCACGCATTCAAGAACTGCCTGTTCAATATTTGGATCACTTTTTCCCGAAGCACAAGTTGAAAGTTGTCTTGCTACTATTGCTATATGTATCGTGGTTCTTGCCATGGTTCTTTATATTGTTACACTCGCGCTCTTCTGGCTTTATCAAGGGCTATGGCCAGCTTCAAACTCTCTCTTGTTCAACGGATTTCTGGTTAGTATCAACACCGATAGACCTTACGCTTATAGTCACTAACGTGCCACTCTGTATGATATAGGAATTTCGATGGATGCGGTCTCAACGGAAATGACTGCCGGCCATTTACCTCCTCCACCGTCGCTTTTCGGTGCCCTGCTAATTGCCGCGATACAAAACTGTTGTCGCCTCATATCGTTGGCAACCAGACATACAACTATCAAGGACTTGTGATTGGTGGCTCACTGATCTCGTCTGAACCGGCAATTTACCGTGCTGACAGCTTCGTTTGCCAAGCAGCCATTCACGCGGGAGCTATCTCGAACGATGGCGGATGTGGTGTTGTGAAGCTTGAAGGCGCGGCGCATTCTTTCCCATCAGTGAAACGACATGGAATCCAGTCAGTTGGTTTCCCATCAACTTTTCCCAAGGCGTTTAGCTTTTTCGATCTACCTCCATCGCAAGCGTACTGCCCAGCAGATCCGCGGTGGCCGCTACTTGGAATCACCGCTGCTGCCGTTGGTCTCCTCTGGCTCTTCTGTACATCGCCACCAGTGCTGTTCTTCAGCTCATTCTTTATGGTCTTCTGTCATACAGGGCTTGTTGGCGATCCACCGGGATATCCTGCCTTATCCGACCTTGTGTCCACCCTTCTGTCTCGGCTGTTGCCAGCGTCATTCGTTGTATATGTTCTGTACACATTCTGCGCGGCTCCACTTCTGAAGCCAATCACTTCGCCAATATATCAGTTCTCAAAGCTGCTCTTGTTTCTACCAGGCCTGTTCATCGGGGCCTTGAACAATTACACATTCGCACGCCTGATCCCCCTCCAGCGTTTGACGCCTATGGATATTCAGAAACAGCCTGGTGCTAAATTGGCATTGGCATTAGTCATTCCTACTGTGATTATCATTATTTTCAGCCAAGCATGGCAGATTCGGCAGGGAGGCCTGCTGCCGCGTTATCTCAAAATCTACTGTACCATGGGCCTGGTCCTTTTGGTCCTCTTGCCGCTCCCAGGTTTGAGACTTCGCATTCATCATTATATTCTCGCTATCTTCCTCATGCCTGGTACCGCTTTCCCCACTCGACCCTCGTTGGTCTATCAGGGCCTACTGCTTGGTCTCTTCATCAATGGGGTTGCCCGATGGGGATTTGCCTCTATCATTGAGACCCCCGCAGCTCTGGGAGAATTAGCTCCAGGCCTGGGTGGTAATGGATGGTGGGGAGCCTCATATCCCAACATCACCGATTCATCTGTAAATATCTCATTGCCTGGGTTGGACTCGCGCGAGACCTACCGCGGAAACGGTAACATCACCTTCTCATTATGGGAGCACGAGAGAATGTCAAATCTTGCCGTTGACGGAGTTTCTGTCTTGCTCAATGATGTTGAACGCTGGCGCGGATATCTTGACGAGGATGAACGTGGTGAATTCACCTGGCACCGCCATGGTCACGATGGTTTGGAGTTGGTACACCCGCCTTCTCTCGAGAAGTTTGCTCCGCATGATGGAGTTGGGACTGAGTCAGTCTTGCTATCAGACAGTGATCTCTCAGACGAGCCAGAGGTTCTCTTCTTCCGATTCGCGTTCTTGAGAGGTGCCGAGGCAGGTAACTATGGGCCCACTGGTGTCTGGCTGAGTGATGGCACATGGTATTCCCCACCCCCTCCACGTAAATAGCTGGTTCTCATTGCTTTTTTGTACATGCATTTTACTGTTATATACAATTTCTGCTGGATAGAAGATGTAAGCTTGTAAAGGTATGATGTGTGCTGGACATACGCCACCGTGCAATACTATATACATATGCTTTGCTGTACAACGCGAATAGCTCCGCTCAAATAAAATCTCCATCAATTCATTTCAATTTCTTTAAAATAATCATAACCATTCAACTTTACCAACCTTATAAGTGAAGCGATAGAGCAACGAATTTACGTGGTAAGACCCACACGTGATACATATCAGTATCATCCGCGATACCACAACCTCCAATGTTTGCAACTTCTTCAGCTATGGAACCCGACGGTTTTGATCGTGAAGAACGCGAGGAATCAAGTCCCCTGAATAGACGTGCGGTGTGTACTCCATGGGATGACAACAATGTTCCTTTTAACTCACCACTATATTCAATTTACGTAGTGCGATCATTGCCGGACCCGAAAAGTAAATTTTATATAGTGTCTGTTCCTTCCGACATGGAACATTGAATACTAAATAATAAGTAGATCCGGTGCGATAAACTTACCCCATGTTCGAACTGTCGTGGCTCAAACCTCACCTGTCGATCGACTGGAGAAGGGCAGAAGCCACACGAGCCTCGGCGACGAGTTTTGATTTCAAGTCAATAGTAAGTATAATCGAGGTTCTCGACAAGAACCGATCGATGTTGACAAGAGTTACCAGTGAGAAAAAGATTGATCTAATCGAGGACCGCCTTGGGGGCATTGAAAAATCTCTCCGAGAACTACTGATTTCGTCCAGAGTGTCAACCGCACATGGATTGGCATCCGAAAAACTTGCAGGCTCTTCTCATCCACCGAGGTCGCTTGGATTGAATGCAGCTGGATCAACTTCAGTCAAACCTGCATATACCGGGTCCAGAGGACCCGGATACACATCTAACCCCACAATCGAACAACATGACTCTAGCTCTGTATTTGAAGGCGAGGGAAATTCTTCTCTAGCTGCTCACTCAGCCTACGCAAGAGAGTTTCTAGAATCGGCTGTCTCGCATAGTACGCCAGAAGTGCTGTCTAGCCCCAAGATCAGTGAAGCGCTATCATCACTGAGACAAATTGTTGCGATGCAAAATAAACGACACAGCTTGGATAAAAGAGGCCAATTATCCAGTAAAGGTAGTCGCTTGGGGGTTCGATGCGATATTCGAGATCTCGAAATGCCTCCTTTACCTCTTGTGTTGTCGGTCTTGCGCAAGATCAAAGGTACAGCTCACCCCCTACCTAGCTAGAAGCTTTTGTCCTCTCTCATTCTGACTCTGCTTAGAAAATCCCCCGTCTTCTTTTGGTGGGTATATCCCATTCTTTTCCGTGGACTATTTTGTTGAGAAATGCCATGAGGTGTATTTCTGTACCGCTTATTCCGATGCAACTTTCATCGCCACTAATTTTGGACTCTATAATATCTTCATCGAGCTAGGGTTTATAGAAAAGGACCCTGCAAGTCGAGATGAATTCTTGAAATGCTTAGGGCTGTGTAAGGATAACTTGGAGGCGGCGCTGGCCAATCTGAATATTTTGATGCCTGCAACATACGATTATATTGTGTCATTGACTCTTGGAGTAGGGAATTCTCCAGGGCTCTGTGCTGATTCCAATTTATGACATAAAACTAATGAAGAACAGGCGATTCATGGAATCGAGATTTCCAAGCCATCAGTTGGCTGGACTCTTGCGTCGACGGCTATTCAAATGTGTCAAACACTTGGCTACCATAGACTGTCCTCCATGGAAAATGATCCACCAGAAGTGCAGCTAGAAAAGCAGGTGCTATTCTGGTCATGCTATACCGTTTTGAATATGATGTCTTTACGTCTAGGACGCGCATCTGTGATTCAAGACCATGAGATTGGCATACCGGTCCCTTCAGAGTCCTTCACTAGCTCCCCGTCTATATGGGGCTCGGTATGCGCACTGTGGACATTACAGTCTATTATTCAGAACAAGATCTACATTCTATTGTACAGTCCAGCGGCACTGAAAAACCCCGAGAGCGAGCGAGTCGCACATGCTCGTAACTTAGCTGTCGAAATGCAGTCAACAATTATCAAGCCATTCGAGGTATGTCAATTCCAATCAAATTCCGCGGTGATTGATCTGACTTTGGCAGCGCCTCATGTCTTCTGGAATTACACTGCTCTCTGATGCAGATGTCGTTTATCTCCAGTCAGACAAAGTCAGTAGGCTGTCGATCTTGACCTTGATCTACCGTGCTATCCCAGCACGAGATGTGTCAAATTCTCCCAGTTCTTTCATACCCGAGTGTATCGAAACAGCCCGTGAGGCACTGGAACACCACCAAGTCTGCATGACTGCTTTGAAAGAATCAAGCGTGGCATCCAAGTGTTCTTACATGCATTGGTAGGCCAGCCCCTCACTACCTAGGTATTTCCCCTCTTACGCACCATCAGGGCAATATTTATCGCGCCGTTTGTCCCCTTCATCGTCATATTCTGCCATGTAATCGCAACATCTGACGGTAAAGACCTGTCCCTCCTCGAAGACTTCATCGCCTCTCTCCGTCCTCTCTGCTCCTTCTCCCAATCCGTCGATCGGCTCCACAACCTCTGTTCAGTCTTAGGCTCAGTTGCGCGTCTATATGTTGAGGCCAAGACCCGAAGTCAGGCAGGCCAGGATCAAAGCTTGGTCTCTGTGGGACAAGAGTTCGACGTCTATCTTAGTGCATTGGGCTTGGCACCTGGCTTTAGTCAGGGATATCCCCAAGATGATATTCCTCCCCTGCAATCTATCCCTCCTGATTCTTCATCTCAAATGGCTGGATTGGCTTCGACTGTTCTGCCCCAGGGTCTCAATCAGGATTCTGCTACGGTGGATATGTCGCAGGCGGCACAGGCGGCACAGTTGGGAAATTGGTTTTCTGGAAATCAATACATGATGAATCTTTTGGAAGAAGATTTTTTTCAGTTTAACGACAGTAATTGAGTGGGAGTGGCGGCCGTAAGGTATTAACACAAGCGACCGTGAGTGAAGAAGAGGAAAATACATATTGTATGATTTTCACAAGACTGTATTTTGAAAAGTCGTAAATATTAGTAGCGATGATCATGTTAAATAGTAGTTAGTACTACTCCATGGAAAAGGTCAGATAAAAGTTGGAGTAAATGTTGTCTCCAATAAAATCCCGCGAGATTCTTATTGGGGTTGGACCCACGAAACTCCACCTATATCAATTGGAATTGAAAAAAATTGAACTGCAATCAATCACTTTCTACAGGTTCCAAAATCATAAAATAACCGAGACCTGTCACTTCTCAGTCCTTACTTCTCTTCGATGGACACAGCGGCTGATATTCCTCTCCTTGGGGGCAGGAAGGCAGAGGAGTCGGTTCAAGAATCAAGAGTATTGGTAATCATGACTGGTGGCACTATATGCATGCAACCATCACCATCTGGATTTGTTCCCGCAAGAGGGTTCCAAGAAAAGTGCATGGCACGAGTCCCTGCATTCAATGATGGGTCAGTTCATGCCACGATGGAAGTGGTTACTAATGCCAAAGGGGATGTGACAGCTCATCACAGTCTTCGGACCCCAGTCACAACCTACGGCCGCCAGGTACGGTACACTGTGTTCGAGTTTGAAGAGCTTCTAGACAGCAGCTCCATCGACGCCAAAGGCTGGACCGAAATTGCTCAGACGGTGTTTCAAAATTACACGCTCTTTGATGGATTTGTGGTTCTGCATGGCACTGATAGCCTCGCATACACTTCCTCAGTGCTGAGCTTCATGCTGCAAAATCTCGGAAAGCCCGTTGTGCTGACAGGGTCTCAGGCCCCGATGCTCGAGCTCCAGAATGATGCGACGGATAATCTACTCGGGTCCCTGGTGGTGGCGGGGCACTTTATGATCCCCGAAGTATGTTTATACTTCAACAACAAGCTGTTTCGAGGGAACCGTACTACAAAGGTGGCTGCGAGTGATTTTGCAGCCTTTGATGCACCTAATTGCCCGCCATTGGCAATCACGACTTCGATGCGCACGAATGTCAATTGGGACATTGTGCACCGACCCACCAGCCTCGCGACGTTCCGCATCCAAACCAACCTGGATAGTAATGTCGCGTGCCTCCGTATCTTTCCCGGTATCAAACCCGAGATGGTTGATGCCGTCTTAAAGATGGACGGCCTACGTGGTCTCGTATTGGAAACCTTTGGAGCGGGCAATGCGCCCTCCGGCCAAGATAATGCCATGATTAACGTTCTGGCGAGCGCCATTCAACGAGGAATCGTTATCGTCAATGTTACGCAATGTGAGTGTCTACTCCAGGAATGATTAGAATTGGGTCTAATTATAATTGACCAGGTCTCACGGGCACCGTCAGCCCCGTTTATGCCACTGGGATGAGTCTTTCTAGAGCAGGGGTCGTGGCTGGCCTCGACATGACTACTGAAGCAGCGCTGACGAAACTCTCACATCTTCTTGCACTGCCTGACTCCACACCAGAGTCAGTGACTAACGATATGTCGAAATCACTCCGCGGAGAACTAACCGAATCATCTCATCTCCTCTTCCGTCACCCAGACGGGGCTCTCCCGGAGCGAGTGCAAAAACTCACCGCCATGGGTTACGCCATTGCACACGGAGATTTGACAAAAGTCCAAACTATCCTCCAAACAGAACATAATTGGTTGTTGAATGACGCGGATTATTCTGGAAACACGCCAATTGTGAGTTTCCAGCCTTTCAACGACGTTGTGATAGGAAATGATGCCATCGAATTTGATCGGCAACTATTAATAATAATGTTGCGGCTAACCCGTTCTACGTTTTCTTTAGCATGTCGCTGCCACATCCCCTAACATCGCGATCCTTCACCTGCTCTTATCGCACGGCGGATCGGTTCATCTTCGTAATCGAAATGGTCGCACGCCACTATTCCTAGCCGCTAACGCAGGTCTGTCTGATCATGTGTTACTACTCCGGAGATCCGGGGCCCATTTACACTCTGACGAACGAACTGCTGCTGAATTACTTGGCCGCCGTCAACCAGGAGTTTGGGGACTGGCAGGAATTGACCCACGCGTCAACAGTCAGCACGAACTCGAAGAGAGTGGTTTAAGTGGTGGACATAACCGAGTGATAGCTGGATCAGCGCCTTGACAGAGACTAATGAAAAGCTCACGTGGTGTGTTCTGATCGCTAAAAAAAAAAAAGGAAGCTTAAAGAAGGTTGACGGTACACATCCATATCACCTTAAGCACTCAAATAGTACAAAATCGAACGGGAACTAGAATTAGTACCACAATAGACGTAGAAGTAGAAAATTCGGAGGGTCTAAGACCGACTACTGGCTTAGACTCTCTTAAGTGGAGAATTGATAAGGACTTTCGTCTGAATTTTCTGGGGTCAAGTGATTAGCAGTGAACTATGGGTTTGTTTCATGAGTGAAAAATTCAGACCATTGATCCACTAAGACCTTTCGACTTTTTATCCCACTTGTCATAAACCTCATACCTCATACTTCATCATTCTTAGTACATCATCACAGATAGAAAGACCTGGAGTTGTCTAGAACCTATACGTACAGGAATGACTGAATAAAATGAATCTATTATCTAATAGTATAATAACTCCAATTGGAGTCGGAGGAAGCGAAAGTCCACACTTATGTAGCACGTGAGACCACCCCTGAAGACTGTTGGTTCTCTCCTATATTCTCCTATATTCTAAAGTTCTCCTATCATCTCTTATTACTAGATATCCGGCGAAGGAAGTAATTACAAATTTATTCTTTAGTTCTCATGATCTATTTTTGTGCTCCGTATAATCCCATATAACAATCTTAGTAACACTGCCGACTTGGCCGGATTTACGTAAAAGAAGAAACGTTGGGTCTTTGGTCTATGGGCGATGGTGTCATTTCTGGCATTTTACTGAATTTTAAAGGCTTTTTTTCTTTTTCTTTTTTTTTCCCTTTTTTTCCTTTCTTATTTTATATCTCTGGATCAAGCAGGAGGAAGAGATTAACTTATATAAACATAAAACCAGACCTCCAAATACTAAATCATTATCATTTATCTTATGCTCTTTTTTTACTTTCTTTGGTCCTCCTATATTCGGAAAGAAGAGAAAATCAAACTGGAATTTAGCTTGATTCCTTCTTTACTTCTTGTTCTTGCCGTGAAACCGTGCCTTGGTGGATCCTGGATCGCCGTCTGATCGTGATTTTCCATTACGGACTACATACTTTTTTCTCCCCTCACCAAGGTACCCCCCCCACTATCGCAAAGCCCTCTCGTTTCCTCCCCCTTAAGGGGTTTGGTTCCATGTTTTACTTGCTTCTAATCTTTTAAAGACTCCACGACTTCTTTTCATCTTCACAGCTTACAACTACTTTTCCCGACTTCACTATATACTATACTGGTTTGTCGCAAACCTTACCATATGACACAACCTCGAAAGACTATTGCCGTAGTCAATGCGGCTGGGCGACAAGCGGCATCGCTCATTCGCGTCGCATCTGCTGTGGGATATAATGTTCGCGCACAAATCCACTCTCTCAAGGGAATCGTGGCAGACGAGCTCCTAACCCTACCGAATGTCACCCTCATTCAAGGCCCGTTGCTCGACAACTCCGAGCTGATGGACACCCTATTCAAGGGTGCGTCCCTCGCCTTTATCAACACGGTGTCACAGGCTGGTGATGAGATCACCATCGGCCGTGCTCTAGCTTTGGCTGCGAAACGCGCCGGCACCATCCAGCACTATATCTACAGCAGTATGCCAGATCACTCTGTCTATGGACCCTGGCCCGCCCCGCCACAGTGGGCACCCAAGTTCACGGTCGAAAACTACGTGCGCCAGTTGGGTCTGCCAGCTACTTTTGTCTACGCCGGTATCTACAACAATAACTTCACCAGTCTCCCTTACCCGCTCTTCCAGATGGAAGTCATGCCAGATGGCAGCTTCGAGTGGCATGCACCCTTTGACCCAGAGACTCCCCTCCCTTGGCTGGATGCCGAACACGACGTGGGTCCAGCTCTTCTCCAGATCTTCAAAGATGGACCGAAGACGTGGCACGGACACCGGTAAGTTTGGGCTGAAATTACAGTCAAAATACGAGTCTAAGCTAAACTGGTCGACTAGAATCGCTCTCACTTTCGAAACTCTTTCTCCAAACCAAGTGTGCGCAGCCTTCTCCCGGGCTTTGAACCGACCATGTCGATACGTTCGTGAATCCAAGATCGAGATCAAAGTCAAGATCCCACCTGGATATCGAGAACAGCTTGAGATGTTGGAAGTCCTGTTTGGCCAATGCAGTGCCCCCTATTTCCCCCAGCCCGAGTTCTCGCAACCGGCAGCCGGGTCACCGAAAGGATTAGGTCCGGCCGGTGGAAAGGGTGCCGGAGCTGGCATGATGCAAGGACCGGGTGGTGTGGTTTCATTGCGCGTGACAGATGAGGCGCGACACCTCTGGCAAGGATGGCGCGACATGGAAGAGTATGCGCGCGAGGTATTCCCCGTCGAAGAAGAAGCCAACGGGTTGGACTGGATGCTCTGAGCGTTCGTTCACTTTTGACTCCTTTATTGTGCTTTCTTTCATACCCTCCATTGCCTGGTGACTCTATATTCTATTTTTACGACCAACTTTGATCCTCCCCTCTTCCCTGACACACGTGCATAGTGATGTTGTCTATGCATGGTGATGTCAACTCGACATTTTATCCTTTTGCTCTCATTATTTGCATCATTGGCGAAACGGGCATGAGGACATAGGAATCTTTTCTTTTCTTTTTTTTTTTTTTTTCTCTTGTTGGTGCATGGTATTGTTCTTAATCGGGACGATGTTTGGGAGCTTCGAGGTTCATTGGACATTCAGCAAAAAAAAAGTTACTTGGGGTTTCTATACAATTCAAGGTATTCATCACTAGCTATCAAGAACATGAATTTGGTTCCTTTTACCATAGAAATGAAGAATATTCTATTCTGCTCTGCATGAACCCCTCTCTTTACATTCCACTGATGAATATTCCACCAATAGCCTTACTTTTCCTACCATATACAGAGTATGAACGTGCGAGGTATACGTATTGTAAATACCAGTATCCCGGGGGTAAGAGAAATTCCCGCGGAGAAACACACACTTAATGTGGAGACTTGGAAAACGATATTTATCATAGAAAACAGGACTTTGACACATCAAGTCTTACAGGTATAATTGCCGATTACTTTCTTTATACATGTTGAAATAAGAAAGCATCTCATTGTAGATTTCAATCTTTTAGGTCCTTAAGGGGGTTCAGACTCAAGCTACTGAGAGTTGAAAAAGCAATGAGCGCCGGCTATTTCATACTAGGCTGTTTCCTCCATAGTATTATTACCTACGACGTAGTTCTCATATCTGTTTCATGAATTGGAAAGTGGGAACTGAAGATTTAAGAACTATATATACGCTTGAGATTCCTAACTTCCTCAAGACTATGAACCACCTGGTTAGTCAATCATCATTGCGGTAGAATATTCGACCATCTTGATTTTTTTTTTTCTGACACCTGAGATTTCAGGCCAACTTGAAACTCACCGCCTCAATTGAGCCAAGTACATTGCGGTACTAGGAAGGTACATTCTTTGGCTGTTTTTAGTTTTGAAAATTAAGTAGATCAGAGGTCACTCCAAGTACAACCTAGCTCTCATTCTAGCCGTGCTGAGGTACTTAGAAGTACCTAATAGTACAATTTTATTCAGCTTTAAATATACGATAGATAAGTACTCTGCTGTAACTACAAGTATACCCCTAGCTCTACTTCCCGTCGCAATCGATCACTAAGCTTTGTAGATTTTTTTTTTTTTTTTGCCTACTTTTTGAAGTCGCGTCATCTATTTCCTGTTTCCTCCCTTTCTCATTCTCCTTTACCCAACTATCGATTCTCGAATTACTTTTTTCATTTCAAAGGCTCTATTTCAATTATTTATTTACGCCACCTCTATCAGTCACCATGTCTGACAACGCCGATAAGTCGCTCCTTGAGCGTGTTTCGTTCCCTTCCATCCCCGATGAGGCTCAGAAGAAGATTGCCTACCTCCAAGAGGAGTTCCTTCGCTCAGAAGTTGACCAGAGTATGTTCGCCAACTACACCGCCTGCATGACAATCCTGCTAGCAGTTAGAATTTTACAGACTTCTTTACAGCACGAAGTTTTTGTCAGGATTTGAAAAGTTTACTGCTAATTGTTCTTCGTTTCTATTTAGTGCGCCGCTCAATCCCTGTCAAGGCCCCTCTCTTCGAGAAGCGCAATGAGATTATTAACATCCCCGAGGTCAAGGCTGACTTCTGGATCCGCGTTTTCTCCTCTGCCCCTGCTGAAATCGACGAGTACATTCTTCCCTCCGACGCCGGCGTTCTGGGCGAGTCCCTGAAGGGCTTCACCGTTGAGCGCTTCGAGATCAACGAGAAGGGAGAGGGCGAGCCCCGTAGCTTGCGTTTCATCTTCGAGTTTGACGAGAACAACTCTTTCTTCGAGGACAAGAAGCTTGTCAAGGAATTCTACTGGCGCCAGCAGGTCACCAAGACTGCTAGCGGCAAGTCCAAGCTCTGGGAGGGACTTGTCTCTGAGCCTGTCCGCATCAACTGGAAGAAGGACAAGGATGTTACTAAGGGATTGCTCGATGCTACCTGCGATCTTTTCGATGCCGAGAAGAAGGGCGGAGAGCGCATCAAGCTGCCCGAGTACGAGAAGCTGATCCAGAAGATTGACGTTGCCGAGGCTGAAGCCGAGGGCCTAGAGGAAGATGAGGAGCTGGACCAGTCTCCTTACGGTATCAGTTTCTTCAACTTCTTCGGTTACCGCGGCCGTGATGTCACCGCTGAGCAGTCCAAGGAAGCTGAAAAGTTTGGCGAGGAGCGCTGGGCCAAGATCCAAAAGGGCGAGCCCGTCGACGATGACGAGGAAGATGATGAAGACGATGAGCTCACCAACGACCTGGAAAGCGCTGAGGCCTTCCCTGACTGCGAAGATGTCGCCATTGCCCTTGCCGAGGACCTCTGGGACGATGCCATGAAGTACTATGTTCAGTCTTTCGAGCTCGGCGACCTCGAGGACCTCGACTTTGACGAGATGGAAGATATCGAGGAGGAAGATGAGGATGAGGAGTCGCACCCTCGCAAGAAGGCCCGTGGCGGTAACTAAATTATGTTCGGAAAATGCCGCCTGCCATAAAAGGTCTTGCTCCGTGTAATATGGGAGTCTGGCGGCCCCATTGATGTATATTCACAGTGCAATAACGAGAATTAATAATATGACGAGCGCGAAGATGAGGGCTGCGATGCAAAAGGAGGACCATGTATCTAGATTTACCAGGCAAAAAAAAAATATTAGCTTGGTTTGATTCAGTTCCTGTGTAGACCTTCTTACCCTCGTTCTGACGGACAACGTGTCTGATCCGCGCCATGCCATTCTGCAGCTTGCCACCCACCCGATCGGCCAGCGTATCAACTTCGTCAATCATAACAGCTTGGTCTTCCAACTCGCGACCCATATCATTCGCTTGCTGTCGCAAATTCCCCACAGTCCGAAACACGCCATCTAGCTGTTCATCCTGCTCATGCATAAGCTCATGCTGGCGTTGCTGTTCCATAGAAGCGTAGTAGTCATCACCACCACCGCGAACACCAGGATTAAGTTGCTCCTCCTCCAACAACGTGGCATCAAACTCCGTCGGATTAGGTAGCTCGGAATCAGCGTCAGAAACAGTCTGCAATAGCTCCTGGCGCATTTGTTCGATTTCGGCCCCGACATCTTCGACTAGTTCTCGTCGTCGCTGTACCTCTTCTAACTCTAGACCGAACCGGTACGGGTCCTGCTCGATCGCGCGCACGCTCTCAACCAGGTCATCGAGGTCGGCTGTCAGCTCTGTTAAAGTGGCTTCGAGCTCTGAGCGGGATTGTTGCAGTTCTGGATTTGAGGGTGATTTTGCGAGAGATCGGATGCGGATGTATGAGGAGAATAGCGGACGGCTGGTTTGGAGCGTTGACAGGACGTCACTATTTATGAGTTAGTTTCCGGGATAAGAGCCGCTTCTGAGTTGTATTTTAGAATATAATTACGCTTGGACTTGTAGGAAGGGATCTGTGTGCTCCATAGCTGCTGTTATTGATGAGAATCTGGGGTTGGTGTTTGGGTATCCGTAGTGATGTAGTATTAGTTAGTAGGACCTGTTGGCAGCTTAGCTTCTAAATGTCACCTGACTCGACTTCAAAAAATAACAAAACTTAATACAACGCTGATAGAGCATTGTTAGGCTACTAATATTGAATTTCAAAAGTGAAAATTACACGAAAAATAAGACTTATTTGCATAGCGCTTACGCAGGTTTCTCAATCGTCTATGCTCCTAATCATGGCTTGTTCTACTTCAAGATGACTCAGCAGATTTCGCAACAAAAATTGGAAAAAAGAACAGGAAGATTTATCTAGGGCTGTTTTCTCGAGCTAATTCCAAGGTTGACGGTCATTTTCAAAGCCCTTGCATGGCTCGTAACTCTCCTCTTCCCATCTCCGAGGAGTGGGATGATCCCGATGCCTACATTGAGGCTCTACTTTCCTTCTCTACTACATCGGAGCTCTTCATCAATGTATGCGGCGGCGTACATATCCTCGACTTTTTGACTAGCGAGCCTGATGTATTTACAACTCTTTTGCCAGAGGATTGGCGGGTCTTCTTCAAAGAGCATGACACCCAGGATATCATCTTCCTACTCTTACGGGAAGACATTGAACCCTTACGAAGCTCCGAGCCTGAGCCAGACGCAGATGGCCGTACTTGGAAAGGAGGCGCATTCCCTCCTCAATCCCTCTTGGACTACATTTTTAATGTGCAGCGATTGACACTTCGGCGAGACTTTCCTCCCTCGATGAAAAGCCAGTTGCCAAGACATGTTGCTGTAGGCATGAATCGAAAAAAAGTACACGAGGTCGAATACTTCTCTCATTACGTCTCTTCTCTATCCGACACTGTCAATGAGAGTCGTGGAGAACCAGTATCCCATATTGTGGATCTAGGCTCTGGACAAAATTATCTTGGGCGAACGTTGGCCAGCTCGCCGTATCATAAGCATATTATCGCTATTGAGCGACAGCACCAATATATCAACGGTGCTAAAGGCATGGACGTCCAAGCCAAGCTTGCAAAGAAAGTACCAAAGACTGTCTTTGTGCACAACCGCAAGAAGCCATGTGATCCCTGTAATGAGACTCCGGAAATTGCTGCTGACACGGCGGAGACTACAACATCACAAACTTCGCATGTCTCTGAAGACATGCCATTGCTGGCAACCGATAAAGTCATTGAAGATGTCACTATGTTCAAGATGTTGGGAGAAATCAGCCTGGAGCCTGACGAGCTGTCTAGGCCACTCCCAAGAAACACACGGCGAGAAAAAGCCGAGTCAGAGATCGATAGCCGAGGTACTATTAGTTACATCGAACACGAAATTCGAGATGGCTATTTAGAACCCATCATAGACCATGTCGTCAAGCCGTCACTGGATGGAGATGATACAGACAAGATATCCACATCCACACCAGCCCAGCTCGACGCAAAGCCACAGACTGATGCAAGAGTAATGGTTGTCTCTCTACACTCATGTGGAAACCTCGTTCACCACGGTGTACGATCTTTGATTCTAAACCCCTCTGTCGTGGCAGTCGCCATGATAGGCTGCTGCTACAACCTCTTGACGGAACGTCTCGGCCCAGCCACATACAAGCTCCCCACTCTCCGATCACTGCACCCCCGACTCCAAGAAACAAGCACATCATACGACCCGCACGGATTCCCTATATCAAAACACTACGAGGACTACCAAACCCCGACTGGAAAAGGGATAAAACTCAACATCACAGCACGGACACTAGCCGTACAAGCCCCCTACAACTGGGGCCACGACGACAGTGAAGGGTTCTTCACCCGTCATTTCTTCCGTTCTCTACTCCAACGAATCCTCGTTGATAAAGGCGTCATGCCCAAGCCTGGTCTCATACAGGACGCCCAGTCAGACTCTGAGTCCAAACCTGTCATTATTGGAGCTTTGCCTAAAGCTGCTTTCAAGTCTTTCAATGCTTATGTACGTGCTGCTACAATCAAGATGGCTAGGGATCCTTATAATGGCCCCAAGGTCCAGGCGCATATTGCTACATTGACTGATGAGGAGATTCTGCGGTATGAGACCGATTATCTCTATGCAAGGAAAAATCTTAGTCTTGTGTGGAGCTTGATGGCTTTTAGTGCCCAGGTTGTTGAGGCTGTTGTTGTTGTGGATCGGTGGCAGTTCCTGCGTGAACAGGACTCTGTGAAGGAGTGTTGGGTTGAGCCGGTGTTTGACTATAGTGAAAGTCCACGAAACTTGGCTGTAATAGGGATAAAGAAATGACGATCGTGAGACATATTGTCCATGACAGTCTTGGAAGTGATACAAAAAATGTGTGGTTGAACCAGGGAGCAAATCTACCCAACTACCTACATTAAGTGAGTGTCATTGTATATCCTTCATATACATTCTATCATCCTAACCTTCCAAGGTTGGAACCCAGGGCCCCGTGGCTGCACAGGTGGAAGATTGATTCTGATTCATGGATCTGTTCCACGCTCTCAACCCTCTATGACTTGGAAGGTTCAATGTTTTCCCGGCCTATGTGACCTGTGTGACTTGATGTCATGTTTCGGTGAATCCTAGATGGTTTCAAGTCATGGTTCAATGAACCATTGCTAGAATTCTGTTTTTTTCCCAGGCCTATGGTTCTAGCTAAAAAGAGGACAGACTACATAATCTTGTCTCATGAACCTTTTCTTCCTGATATTCGAAATATCATACAATTCGAAGGCATTATCGATCTAAAACTCAATATGAAATTGGCAGGGTGCTTGGTGGGTGCTACACGCAATTGTATGTTGCCCTAATTTCGTTGAATAGCAGACTGGGTATCCATTCATGGATGATTACAATGATGATGGGAATTGAATAAACACTTCTCAAAAGCTTAGATACAAACTAGTACTCGCCAATCGGCTCTTTCTAAGCTCATGAAGATTAAGGTAAAACGTGAGAAGCATCGCCGGGTTTACTGTATATAGTTATCCCCGAGGCAATCAACAAACTTCAAAGGTTTCTTCTTAGTCCTTCAGCTCCAATATTATTCAGCTGTTGTTCTAAAGTTCTAAACCCCTTGCACCAAAAAGGCACAAATTAATGTCTACTCGAGCTTACCTAGGTATTTATTTGTTTCCCTTGCCCTGCCAATCGACGATCATACCTGATAGATAATATCTACATATATACCAACCACGGTGCACCTACCTACTGTGTAGGTAAGTATCAATGGATAGGTCATATGGTGCCTAATTAAGCCATCTTTTGATTATAAATCCTCATGAATATTACATTGAATGACTTTTAGAATGATTTGCATACAACTTCAGATAGTCAGCTAGATATACCTCAGTCCACGGAAGTTTCGAAAGATACGCTGCACGCCGGTCAACGTAGCGAAGATACTACCTCCGGCGGTAGCCCAAGCAGCGCCTTGGAAGCGGAGGGAGCTAACTGGAATGGCTCTTTGTTTCTTGGATGTTTCTATGCGTCCTTTACTCCCGTTAGTGAATGCTATTGTTTACGTAGTAGACAAAGTACCTGATGGAGACCATGACTTTTTCGGCATAATCCCGACTTGTTGGTCGAGCATTGTCTGGAAGTCATTGAACGAAGGCATGGATGTAATCTTAGGGTTAATTTCAGTAATTTTTGAGTGTATAGATTTTTGTGATAGATCAGTCGTCTTGACAAAGCGTTTTGCCTCCAACTTTGGCTTCTTTTATAACATAATAAACTTCGATGATATCACCAGTATCAGCTGATATAGGGCAGATGAAGACCAGATCTGTTCTACTCCGTATTGGAATACATTTTAATTTTACGAATTTGTGGTTCTCAGCTATTATTAGTCTTTTGATGCGGGGTTCGTGAGATTACTTGGTTGACCTTTCATATCAATAGTGGCAAATATGAAAACCAACTCCCACGAACATGAATCTGGAAGGATTAGGGCAAGATCTTGAATCGCTACGGATGGACCCGAGAGATTTACGAATCTTACAGTAACTGTTCTACAGACCTTTTTTCTAAGCAAAAATCATTTCATGGAGGGGGAAAGGTGCATAAGATGTCTGCATAGTCAGATCTCAAGCTCTATGGTGTTCAAGCACGCAACCCTGCATTATAGATGCGCGGAATATAGCGCAATAGATCAGTAGAGGCCATCGTCATAGTCATCTTGGTCTGGGTACAAATCACGTGGAGACTTTGCAGAAGCTTGAAAAGGACAAGCTTCTCGGAGGGCCCGGCGGACTCCGTTACTCAAGCGGATTATTAAAGCTCTTCAGGGCGATCGTCATCTTACGACGATAACGACTCTTTGCCTGGAAATGAGCATTGATGTCTTGATGATTACAACATTATACGAACCAAGTACTGCTCTTCACTACCTATTGTGCTTGGTTTTTTTTACCTCTGGACCCACAGCATACTTCCCAGTTCTTTTTGCTTTACTGATAACAAATTCCCCATGAAGAGGATGTAACCTACACCATACGTCGGCTAGCTCGGGGAGGTGGACTTCCGTCGGTCAAAAAGCATACTCCGTAGCGTCCTGATCAGGTCAGAGCGGGGTCTTCGACAATCTGCCCATATTTTATTGTTACGCTGCTAGGTATGAAGTACTAGATGAGACTAGATAAGTAGGATTGCTCATCTCTGCTTTTGATTCGGTCCAAAATTCCATTTCTCTTCGTCCATTGTAAGCATTCGTCTAAAATGCACGCCACGATCTATACCGGGCTGCTATGCACCCTAGCTGCCCCTGCACTGGGTGTGGTCTGGGAGAGTCTACCTGCAGGCGTCCCCAGCACGTGGTCTCTTGTGGAAAAGCCTTCATCTAGCTCAAAAATAGCACTTTCTATTGCTCTGAGCCGTGAGAACATTGATCAGTTGGAGTCTAAACTACTTCAGATTTCTACTCCAGGTAACGCTGAGTATGGACAGTGGCTAGAAAAAGAAGACGTCGAAGCCCAATTCCCCGTTGTCAGCGATGACACTGTCGTAAGCTGGTTGAAAAACGCTGGTATCTCAGATACAACTCGGGATGGCTCTCTGCTTCACTTCAGTGGAACTGTCGAGAAGGTCGAAAGCCTTCTCAATACCACCTTCGCCTACTATCAGAAGGGATCATCGGTGAAGCTACGGACAACCGAGTATTCCATTCCTAGCGATCTGACCGACTCTATTGATCTCATCTCGCCTACGGTCTTCTTTGGTAAGGTTACCACATCTGCTCGTGTGTCCAAAAAGGTGAAGAAGCTAGATGCTCGCAAGCTCACTATTTCTTCGTCTTGCGATACTGAAATCACCCCTGCTTGCTTGAAGGAGATCTACAATATCGGTGAATATGAGGCGGACGTATCTTCAGGTAGCCGTGTAGGCTTTGGCAGCTTCTTGGATGAGTCAGCTCAATACTCTGATCTGGCGAAATATGAGGCGCTCTTTGACATCCCATCGCACAACTTCACTGTCGAGTTGATCAACGGCGGTGTGAACGAGCAGTCTTCCTCCTATGATAACACAGGCGAGGCCAATCTGGACGTCCAGCTGATTACCGCAGTCTCACACCCATTGCCCACCCATGAATTCATTACTGGTGGTGTTGCGTATGCCACTCTACTAGAAGTTTCTATAACCTTGGGATAATCACTGACATGATATTATAGTCCTTTCATCCCCGATGCTGACGAGCCTACCGAGTCAGACGATTCGAATGAGCCATATCTGATTTACTACAACTATCTCCTCAACAAGAACAACTCTGAGCTGCCACAGGTGATCTCGAACTCTTATGGTGATGATGAGCAGACCGTTCCGGAGAAGTATGCCAAGAGTGTTTGTAACCTGATCGGCCTGAACACCATTCGCGGTCTCAGTATCCTCCACTCTTCTGGTGATGAGGGTAAATATTAAGCCCCAAACAATCTCAAGTTCCAACGAACTAACTTTTACAGGTGTTGGTTCGGCCTGCCAGGCTGTTGATGGAATTACTCCTCAATTCAACCCCACCTTTCCAGCCACCTGCCCCTATATCACGGCTGTTGGCGGCACTTCCGGCGTGAGCCCCGAGTACGCATGGGATGCTTCCTCCGGTGGTTTCTCAAACTTCTTCTCTCGCCCCTCGTACCAGGACTCAGCAGTTGAGAACTACCTCACCAACGTCAGCGCCGAGACCCAGGAGTACTACGGCCAATACACCAACTTTTCAGGCCGTGGATTCCCAGATGTTTCTGCCCACAGTTTGACCCCAGAGTACGTCTATTCCTAGCGCCCTATCTGGCAAAAAAGGAAGTATTTCTAACCTAGTCTATAGCTATATCGTGTACATTTATGGCGAGGAATACTTGTCCGGAGGAACCTCCGCTGCCTCGCCCGCCTTTGCCGGTATCATCGGGCTGCTGAATGATGCCCGTCTGCGTGCTGGAAAGCCCGTTCTGGGATTCTTGAATCCTTTCTTCTATTCTGAGGGATATAAAGCCATGAACGATATCACTAGTGGCGCCTCGTACGGATGCACTGGCATTGACCCTCAGAGTGATGAGGAGGTCGATGGTGCCCTGATCATTCCTGGTGCGCACTGGAATGCTACTGAGGGCTGGGATCCTGTCACTGGGCTTGGTACACCTGACTTCGAGGCTTTGAAGAAATTGGTCTTGTCTCTGTAGATAAACTTAAAAAGAGATATGTTTCATTATGCCTGTGATTTACATTGGTTTGGTTCAAAATGTGTGATAGTTAAAGAACTCACCACTTCTCTATCTAGGTAATTACGAACCAATTCATTACTTCCAAGGTTGCATTTAGCACCGTAAAAAGCTCTCAAACTACCTAGGTACTTACCTAGGTAGGTTTTTTGAGGTCTCATCCTACTTATACTGCCTAGGTACCTTAAAAGCCAGGTTTCAGGGGGCTCAAGGTTTTGAGGCAGATTGTGCACAATGTACCACTTGATTTGGCAGGGAAAAAAATTGTATGAACGTTTGGACTTGAAAGAATACATAAAATCAACATAGGATAAGAACATGATCAAGCTGTAAATAGAAAAAATTCAGGAAAAAACGACGTGTAGTTATTAAAAGAAAACTGAAAACCCCATTTCAATGTTAATTTTGCACCACAAGAGTGTTCAGTTCAAGCAAGCCAGCTTAACTTATCTGAGCTCAAGCAGATTTTGTCAAGCAAAAAGGACAAGTAGGAGCTTGCTTAGTTATTGTTAGATGCATTCAAGATGCGCAGGATGGACATGAACAGGTTCAGCACATCAAGGTACAGCGAGATGGAAGCAGCGATTTCCTCCTCAACGTGATAGTGGCGCATAACGAGCTGCGTATCAACCAGGATGTAGCCGGAGAAAATTAAGGCCCCAAGTACACCGTAAATAATCTCCATAGTACTGCCGAACGGAATGAACATCGCCACAAATCCAAAGAGGACCATGAACCACAAAGCACCAAATAGATACGGCATCCAGTTAGTAAAGTCATATTTGGTTTGGCATGCAAATAGGGTTAGCGCGACAAAGATGCCCAGAGTTAGGACAAGTGCTTGGATAACGACTCGCGCATCATAGAAGGATGTCGCCACACTGATCGAGTATGCTTCCAAGAGAGTAAATCCAGATAGAAAGAGCAGATTCGCTGGATAAGACTTGCGCTTCCAGTAGGTTGCTAGCATGAAGCCCAAGGCACCGAAGACAGAGATGATCATGAGCCAGAAATTTGATTGGATCCAGCCTCGGTAACTGGCGTTGAAGAACGAGATAGAGCTGAGGATAGTTGTGAGGAGAATTTGAGCAGTCCTGCAAGAGTTCAGCTGTTAGAGATGTTTCTTGAGTGTTTTAATATTGAACAATAAGAAAGTCTAGACTTACAGGATGGAGTAGACCTTGCGAACGAATTGCATACGGATATCGATCGTCCCCTCGGCCACGGTACCACCGAACTAAAGATAACGTCAGAATTTGAAGCTTTCAGAGTCAACCAAAATGAGATGTTACTTACTTTGAAGTCATCAGGCAGATTATCGTTCTCTGATCGTGGGGCCGGATCCGCTGTGGCCTGATAAGACGGCGGTTCTTGGGTGAAGGGAGGGTCCTCGATAGAGTCTCGCTGTGGAGCGGGCTGGTATCGAGTATTTGCAGCCATGGTAATGTGTTTTATTTGATGTGTTCTGTTGATTTCGTGAGGTTGATCAAGACAGAAAATCAGAGAGCAAGGAAGGCTTTAGTTGCTTACGAGGCGCACGTTGACATCACGTGTGTTATCTACGATAAGGAACGATGACCGAATGTTGCAAACAGTGCAAACGGAAATACAGGTTACTAAAACGGATAGTATAACTATTTACCATCTACGGTATTCAGAGAAGAGATCATTTTTACAGCTTCATCGTTCTCCCTTCATGCTAGTTATTAATTAATTCTTGAATCTCTATCTAAACGGTCAAAAATATCCTACATTTATATACATACAAGTAAGAGCCATGGAAGTGTGGCTTACCTAGACTATGGCGTCGATGGGAATCTATGGATATTTTAGTTACACCAGAAAATTCATAATCAAAAGTCATACTCGACGATCTGTCCTAGCCCTTGAGGTCTTCTATTTCTTGGCACTTCCACTTTCACCCTCACTCTCTTTTGAAACCAATATTCAGTTCCCATATGACTATGTCAAATGAGAACTGAATAGTGGATTCGTGCGAGCAAATAGGAACAGAGTAGTCAAAAATATGTGTGTGTATTCGCTGCAGTAAAATTTGCTGCAGTAAAGAACGTGTGAGAGCTGTCTAATAATGCACTAAACTAAACTTGGAATCGGTCCGTTGACAGACTATTATCATGGGCAACTAAGAGCTTCTACAAAGCCGGTTTATTAGATTGGCACTTTACTTTTACCCAGTATTCATATACCAAGTATTCCATAGAATTGTAGCTATCTGCTATGGTAATGACTCTGCCACACTGCTATTCTGAGATCATGTGTGGCCATTCGAGTAAATAGACTAATATATATACATCGACTAGCTATCATTTAGAATAGACACATCTATAGTAGACTACCTGCGTAGTAGTATTGTCGACCGATAGTATTGTCATGTATATACAATTCACATTGCCTCCTCAGAACCAATAATTATATCTGAGCTACAGCTTTTTCAAGCCAGTACGCCTGATAAATAGACAAAATAAGCGTGAACGATGATCCTCACTCATCACTTCCTTCTCCTTCATCCTCTTCATCCGATGTTTCCACACTAGTTTGTGGTCTTCGTCTTTGGAAATCCTGGGCATGAGCCTGCGCGATAGTGGACCCAATTCGAAGTAAACCAACAGACGGACGTCTGGTGCGAGCGCGAAGTGTGGAGTTTGGTGGAGGCGCAACTTCGACATCAGCCGGTAACGGAGATGCCTCTTGAAGCGGCAAATCATTGCTATGGGAGCCATCCAGGCCAGGGGATGTAGTCTGCAGTTCGTATGGGAGGGGAACATCTCTTGAAGCGCGGAACGTGAGCACGTTCGTACAATGCTCATTTTCAACACGGAAAATTGACCACACCCCTCGACGAATCACTTCCGAAAATGCAACAAAGAAGCTCAGCGCGGCTGAATGCTGCATGTCGTTGGCGAAGATTGCGTAGAAGATCCAGTTGAATCGGATTATTACGTTGAACACCATTGCAACGTAGTATACCCACACATGACGAAAAGCCAGGACGTCGCGCAATAGTGGGTGCTTGGCGTAGGGATTGCCTAAGCTCCAGTCCATGATTAAATCCCACACCGATACAAAAGATGCGTTCAAAAGTGCAAATGTAATGAAGGCTGCCTGGAATCGTGTCTGCTTGTTGATCCGGTACATACTCAGAGTTGCGTAGTACAGGATACCGCATATGTATTTTGCCAGATTCAGAAGATGAGGAAAGGCGTTCTTGGTGTCCACGTATCGACGAATGCACTGAAAAGCTCTCCATATGGACGGGAGACATGTGAAAAAGCCAAGCAGTCTGGAATGGGATGAATTGCAGTGAGTTGGGTTCCCCCAGAATGAGGCGTATAGACAGAAAAACAACTCAATATTCTGCTTTTATGTCAGTGCTTTCCAAGAGAACAAGATTCTTCATGTTTACTTACACCCATAGCGTATGTTTGGGAACAGTACATGTCTCCGAGGAAGAAATCACGAAACTCGACGGGATAGAAACCAGCAAGTAACAACCGCCACTGTGATTTGTTAGTTCGAACAACAGGATTAATAGAAAATTCAGTCATGCTTACATTTGAGAAAGCCCACCACTTTCGGCTGCGATGGTATAGTACAGGTGCTGGCAAAAGAACCACGATGAGGGTCACGCCTATTAGCACAACAGGCCAGTAGATGTACATGGAATTTATCCAGGAAAAGTTTAGCCACAGGAAAAGACCCAAAAGGAAAATGAGGAACGCAGGAATCTGAAGCATGTTAGTTAAATTGAAGCCATTAATGAATACATCGTCAGATGAACCAACCTCGAGAAATTGGCGCCATTCAAGCGCGTTCCGAGTATCGTATTCGAAAACAAAAGCAAAGTTGATTCTTGACTTGGTCCATACCATGCAATCCAAGCAAAATAGCAAGACATGAAATACGATAAGAAAATAGCCTCCATAAATCTGAAAGTGGTTAGTCATGATCTCACTATCAATCGTGAGTAGGTAAGGGGGTTAACAAACCTGAAGTAGATAGCTGGTCCGAAGATGCACGACCAAATCTTCACCGTGTAAATGATGGGCTGCATAAACCAGTCCCTGGATGGAAAAAAGTATACCTGCCATCAGCAAAAGCCCGGCTCTGAACGTGCTGGGTGAATAATCTCCCGAGTTCTTGAGGCCGTGACGGAGTTTGGAGACAGCGATTTTACGATTCCCACTCTCAAAATACCGGGAATACAAATCTTCCACGGCTACCATCAGACTGTCAACTACATCGCTTTGCACAAAGGCAGTACTGTTGACTTTCTCCGACATATAACGCAGTGGCGGGCGAGAATTAACGGCCTTGTCGTACTTCTTGTTGATCTTTCGGAAAGCCGTGCGGTTCAAATAAGCATATCCCTTGAGGAGCTCGATACCCCTATAAAACTCCTGCAATGCATGTTTAAGTTTCCGCTTTGCAGACCGGTAGGAGACTTCGTTATTCAGCGGCTCCTCCCGTCGCATGAAGTCGCTTCGATTTTGGATTGATTCCCGGTCTTGCGCGTTGTTCATCCTGGGGGTCGCCATCTCTGCCAGTGCGCGAGAATTCTTGCCAATCCGACCTTTGCCTGTAATGGTATCCTTCAGCCGGGATGGATGGATGAACCCATGTTGCTGATTTGAGGACTCCGAGCTGAACCTACGAGCCGCCCCCTTTGCAACCAAAATTTCTTGAAGGCGCTGGTCGCGCATGACGTGCAACTGCTGGCGGAGGATCTTCAATCGATTAGTTGCCTCCTTTTCCTTCATCCGATAAAAGGAATCGATTTTTTCAAGCTCCGTATCCAAGAACAGGAAGAACTCATCCTGCCGCTTCTGGACCTCGAGAACAGGGTCTGCTTGCGACTTCTTCCTACTGCCATCATTTTCTGTAGTAGAGAACACGCGCCTGAGGAGATGTGAAGTTCTGTTTGAATTTGACTTTGTTGAGGCTATATCGGTGTTGCGACGGGCCAAGACGGGCGAGGGTGACTTGACACCATCGTCCATTGGCGACTCATAGTCCTCCTCATCGGGATCGATGGCGGGGTCTGGAAGCTCGAAGTGCGGTCCATCTGATCCACTCAATGCATGCTCCGGGGGTGTATTAAGGATACTTCCATAGCTCCCAACGGGTTCGGAGAAACGTGCTTTGGGGGTCTGTAAGGGCTGCCGCTCTTGCCTTGGGGTAGATTTGGGGCGTGGGGTACGTTGTAAGCTATTGTTGGTCCGGCGTGGAGATAGTGGATCAAATAAATCGTCCCCTGTTCTCTGAGAGGATGTCGGACGCTGGTGATCTGCACCGTAGGAGATAGGGCCGGTGTGACGAAGTGACGGAGTACGAGGACTAGCTTTGGTTTTCTGGATAGCGCGAGTCACAGCCTTGACCTTCTTCTTGCCAGTCTAGAACGGAGTTAGGGCCAGTTGCACGATCATTTGATATATCATGATCGTACCTTGTAGTCGAGATACTTCGCCCGCCATTCAGGAACAAGGTCTTGTTCTAATTCTCTGTGTTGAATTCATCAGCCGCTGAAATGCCTTGTATTGCGAGACGAGACTTACTTGGCGAATTTCATCGCAACTTAGACAGCAGTCATAACATTGAGGTTGTGAAGTTGAATTTGTACAGGAACCTTGGAAGTAGCAGATTTTCCCTCAACCTTATCAGTGTCGTCACTGTGCAGTGACAAGAGAAAAAAAAAGCCACAACCGTTTTAAAACTGACGCGCGCTTTTTACCAGGTATGGGGAGATATAAGGTAGTTCTAAGGATAGTTAGGGCTTGGCTTAATGCAAGGCACCTTTATTCTTATTTTAAAACAGGATAAAATTCCGACGTGATTTCTTTTAAATAGATGCAACAATCACAGAGCTCTGCAAGAGCACGTGCAGATCAACCATGTTATCACTTGTTTATTCCTGAATCCTCAGGCCCCAGATAATCTATCCATAGATCGGGGGCTTTCTGCATGTTATAGTTTCGAACTCGACTGAAAAGATTACATTTGGTTACTGCCAGTCTACCCGACTTTCCTCTATTATTGAATATTCTCATCAGCACAAAATCTCTCTGCAAGAAGGTTATGCGTACTCCACATGTGGGTCGGAATGCGTTGCGTGGAATGTGTTATCACTTTTCCGACTGCAACATGACGACCACTATCGGCACCTAGAGACGGCTTTAAACACGCCATACTGAGAATAGACTTCTGTATCATTGTTCATATTTCTTCTGCACGTGCTGTGACATACAGTTGGTCGTCGACTGACCAGGGGATATCTCGCCAAAAAAGGAAAACAAAAGAAAAAATTTATGCTCACATCCAATTGTCAACTGGGCTTTGGTCAATCAATCGCGATGCAGTGCACGTTCTCAATTTACCAACGGCCGCCAGGGCCACCGGGGCCACCGGGGCCACCGGGGCCGCCATATCCACCAGGGCCTCCGGGGCCACCGCCGTAGTAACCGGGGCCTCCGTTAGGGCCATCGAAACGGTTGAAGCGCTCGTTGCGACCGTGGTTGGGGTTCCACTCCTCAGCACCGTGACCCTGAACGTAGTGCTCATCGTACATCTGCTCAGCATTCTTCTTGGCGTGGTGATGGGCACGAATCTTGTCAGCCTCATCCAGACCCTTGGTCTCCGCAAGCTTGTCGACCTCGGCACCAACAAGGGCGGCAATTGCCTCCTTGGCGAAAGCATGGTTGACGGTCTTGCCTATCAATCCGAGTTGTTAGTAAGGTAATTGATTGATCTTGATTCTCAGCTACAAGTCACATACCCTGAGAGCGCTGGTGATCTTCCCAGGCCTTCATGCCAGCGAAGGATGCGGCACCGGCAATAAGCTCGTGAGAGAGCTTGCCCTCGTGGTGCTCCTGGCCGTACACCTCGCGGTGAGCGTTATCGGAATCTTCTACAAGAGGGGTCAGTCTCGTGAAACGTGTGGATGAGGATCAACATGCCCCGCTCGTATCATGCATGATCGAGAAGCCCAAAAGGACAGATAGGCATATCAAGGAATGGAGGATGACTTACCCCAGCCCCAAGCCATTTTGGATTTATACAGGTTATAAAAGTGGTAATAGTAGAAAAGGTGTGTTGATGGATATGAAAGCTGAGGTGGGGGTGGGATCTTATTTATACCTGAGAACTGCCGAATAGATACCCAGGTACTCCGTAATTATTTACGGGAATACTTTAGAAAGTATACATCGTATCATAACTAACAGTAATAGGATACATTGTCTCAGCTAACGCCCCACTCGTAAGAGTGGCTTGATGAGGATAGGAGCTTCCAAAACCACAGGGACCATGGATCTGATTGCCCCTCTCCAAGTGGATAATGATGAGATCTTACCGCCTTAGTCCTTGGACTATCCGGGCGCTAACTGACAATGAGAGGCAGTGTTCACTTTCATTGGAGAATAGTGACTATTGGGTCAGCCAAGACTCGCATATTTAGGCTGTATCAGACTCCGACTCCGCCGGTGCTCTAGGCAACCAGCGTAAACTGACATAGTAACACTACCAGAGCCTTCAATAGAGCAATGGTATAGTTACGTAGGTACGGAGATGGAGATGGAGATTAGAATGTATACAAACAACAGTCTACGTGTCTATTACTGCGCCTATTCGGCGTCTAGTAGGGCTCACCGAAAAGTATGACTACGCGTCCCTATCCATTATTCTCCGCTTCATCGCCACTAACTATTGACAAGTAGCGGTAAAACCATACAAGCTCAGCCTAGTAACTTAGACTATTCTTGGCATGTACTTACCTCGGCAGCGAAAGTGGCGGTGAATAGATCGAGAAATGAACCGGGCTGGTGTATGAAGTACAATGAAGTAATGTAATGGGTGCACCGCCACATGCTTACATCCGCCACATCCGGTACTAATTAAAGATACGGAGTATTGTTAATCCGTGATTAATGGTATGATGTCAACTAATAGCGTTTCTAGAAACTGATATGGTACCTGTCAGAAGCATCGAGAAAGTGACCAAGATTGAAGTCTTAAACGACTTAATTCGGTAACATTTGAATTCAAGTGCTATATACTTTGAAAACTCAAGCAAATTTCCCAAAACAAGTGCCAAACCTTCAAAAATTATCTGAAATGTGTATACGGCAATTGATTTTGATGCAAGTATAATACCGCACAGCAAAGGAAAATTAGATCATATCAATATATCACCATCATCGAGACCAATTCACATGCCTCAATGGGAGGACTTGAAGAAAATATTTGTAGTCAGACACACGATCATGACGAACAAGCCATAAATAGCCAAGGCGAGACTCAGTCGACGTAACAAAGTCTTGCGCCAGCTGCGGGTGCGCAGGAGGGCACTTTCTGTTAGGGAGCGAGCCAAGGACCCCTCACCCTCATCATCGACATTATCATCTTCATCAGATAGATCATCAGCCTCATCGTCTCCCTTCAGCAGACCGCGGTGAGAGGGGGAATCGGGCGATGAAATTTTGTAATAGAACAAGCCTGGCAAGATGAAGCTGATGCTCGTGCTACCCGTACTACCAACATATGCCAGTACTGACTCGAGCGACGAGACCGTCATGGCAACAATATAGCTGAGGATTAGGATAGTAGTAGTGATGATTGAGAACCGGAGGTCGCTTATCGGCTCTGCAATGCGGCTGCCGCGAGGACCTAGAAGTGGGTGCCGGCTTGGAGTAATTTCAGCACCAGGTGAAGGTCTGGGACGCCATTTCAACACGGCGTCGACTGAAGCTCTGCACGGATGGCACTGCAACGGGTAGGAAAAGACGACCAGCATAACAATCGCTGCGCGTCCGATCGTGGCGTACAGACCTGGTGGGTACATGCCGACGATGTTACCACCGACATTGTTGCCGAATGAAAGATAACCCGTGATGGCGACGAGGATGTAAGTTGATGCAGCGCTGCCAATGCTGGCAAGGACGACACTTGTTGTGCGAAAGTGGCTGTTGTTGGCAATCTCATTGAGGATAGAGAACATCTGAACATTTGTGTTAGACCATATCCAGAATGGAAAATGTGATTTTCTCCCCAACACGTACGTTTTGATGGCATGTAAAGGCGAAAACAATAACTGGGAGACTGCTCAAGGTTTCAACTGGGCCTGCCCAGTGGCCCACACGAATTGGGCCCCGATCCGCCATTGTATCTCCCTTCACGAAGTGATAAACGACCAACACAACTAAATACGCCATAGACACCAAGGCCGCAATACTGGTGTACTTCAACGAGTCGAGTCGGCGCAAGTAAGAGAGGGGTATCACGATCAACCTTTTGTGTCAATCAATCATTAGAATGGTACCTCTGAACTTCTGATGCAGTTGAACTCACATGAACGCAGTCACCCAAAAGTGACGATCGACGAGGAATTCATAGGCTGGTTCACCCACGAGTCCTTGAACCACTCCGGGCATGAGATCACCAATGATGATAAGGTAGCTCACACCAACTCCAAAGCACTTTATCGCAATAGCAGCATCAAAAACCACGGCCGCATTAGGGTATGTGATTTGCGACAGGGCAAAGAAGGACGCATTGCCTCGATCGAGATATTGTGCGCATCGCGATTGCAGGTATAGACCGAATCCTGCTGTGACTCCAGACCATAAAATCACAAAAACTCCGAGAACGATTCCCATATGCGAGATAGCCAAAGGCATAGCTAGAACACCGGCTCCGATAACTAAAGCCGATAAGCGCATTAGGACTGAATTCTTAGTGTCCATTCCCTCCACTCACTTGTATTGACCAAATTGATCACACTACTCGTCCAACTGGCTTCTCCTCCGGCGCCTACATTTCGTTTTCCGCGGCTGACGTGTCTAGAACAGACTTCTCATGAGTAACGATGTTGATTGAGGAGGTGACAATCAAACTCACCGGCGCAACGAGCCCTGCGACGAACCAGCGTGGTCTCCGACTAGTGGGTCTTCCTCCATTATTGCTGAAAAGGTATGTAAAGATCAAATTAATTCGAGCTAATAGGCATAATAGCGACGCCCATCGAACCTAGGAAGTCAAAGGAGGTGAAGGGGTGAAGGTGTGAACAAATTAGAAAACGGGGCTGGTTTCTTATCTGTGGATCTGGCCAGACCCCACATGACACGCCTTCCTCTCGGCTATACAATTCCCTAACTTGGCCTCTTTCACAATCATTGCAGATATGGTATCATGATCTTCCTCTGGTGTGATTTTGGACTCTCTTGATTACAGCTTGGATTCCCCCCATCCATCCTGCGACAATAATTTGAAGATCTCCTTCTCTTCACTGGCATGATCTGACACTGTTATTCCTCTTTTATTCCCGGGACCCTCGTCATTATACTCCTTGACTAATCGAACCGTCTTTGATACCTCAAGAATAGTTCCTCCTGTCACCGGAAAATGTAGACCCTTATCTGAATGATCTCCAATGATCTTGCTTACCTGGTCCTGCTGCACTAGTGCTAACATAACCTCGGCAACTTCCTCTGGAGTCACCCAGTCGTCTTCGCCTTCAACTACCATCTTCAGCTTCTCCGGATGATCAGTCCAGAGTGGAGTCTTGACAGTACCTGGTGCTACAGCTGTGACACGGATGCCTAGTTTGTCAAGCTTAAGCAAGCTTCGCACAAATCCAGATATAGCATGCTTCGTCGCACAATAAAATGGCACTGTAATATGAGATGCCTGCCCAGCAACGCTGGATACATGAATGACGTGCTTCAGGCGACCACTCCCCTTGTACTTCAAGAAATGAGCGATTGCTAACTGGGTCGTGCGAATTGGGTGCGTGATATTGATGTCCAACAAGGCGTATCGCCCCCCATCAGGCGCGTCCTTGCTTGGTGCTTCACCAGGCGGGCGCCAAAAGTTGCTCCATTCCTATATTGCTTAATTAGCTAACAATACACTCCATTTTTGACTGATCCAAGACCACTTACGGGCTCGAAGACACCTGCACCCGGGCAAACGATGTCTATTTCTCCAAATTCTTTCTCGGCAACTTGAAACATTCGATCCAGCTGCGGCCAGTCTGTTACATCAGTCTTCTGAAAGACAGCTCGTACCGGGCTATTCGAGTATTTATCGACAAACTCTGTAGCTTCGGGGCGTAATCCCAAGTCTGCAATGAGCACGTTGCACCCATTCTCCACAAGTAGTTTAGCGAAGCACAGATTAATACCTAAACGTCTTAGCCTTCCAAAAACGACTTTTAATGCAAATTGACCTACCTGAACCTGCGCCAGTGACAATGGCAGATCTTCCTGAGACCGAAAAAGCCATTTTTCTGGTATAAAGGTTCCCAAGGTTGATGATCAACTCCGGAAATCCTCTGCTCTTATTACGCCAATTCTTCCCCGCAACCTGAACTATTTGAAATCCTTTGCCGATCCTAGCAACGGTGACCTCACCCTGGAATAGCCGATTCACCAGATGAGGGGTTGCTACTCTACAAGGGTATGCAGGAAAATGTCCGAACCCCGCGCGATCATCCATAATTAGTTTTAAAAAGGTATTTTTTACCGAAGTCTATGTATAGCTCTCAAGTATGATTAGATAAAAATTGATCGGTACTAGACATTAAAATAATTTACAACTTGGCGCCACAAATTACTCAACCTCACTCGCAATCTCTGCCCTTGAACGTGCAGTATCTTGCTCTACTATCTTTACATAGAGCTTCTGGATGCGTTCAGTGACAGGCCCTCACTTACAATCTCCAATCTCTCGGCTATCAACTTCTCGAATGTGAAGTTGCGAAGGGAATGTTCCAGTAACGAATGCTTCATCGGCTCCATAGACCTCCGTGAGGCTGAAGTCCAATTCCTGAACAGGAATGCCATTGGAGCGACAAACATCGATTGTTTTTTGACGGGTGATTCCTTGCATCTGGTTAGTTTTGGTAGGTGTCCAGACCTCTCCATTTCGAACAATGAAGAAGTTAGTTGAATTGCACGTCTTGATAAACCCGTTCAGGTAAGCATGAGAGCCTCGTCGGCACCAGACACATGGGCTCCGATACAAGCCTGTACATCAGTTGCCTTTGAGATATGGTTCCACATTTCATCCTTGAATCTGGAGGGCCTCGGCGGATATGAGATGTAATGAGTCTGAGCCCTTGGTTCTTCACACTAGGATCTGTGGCCTTGATCTCGGGAATAATGACAATCAATGGGAGACCTATGTTCACAGAAGGATTCTGATATGGACTATTTCAGTCAGCAAAGGCCATGTTCATGAATCTTGGGTTAACCAAGAGTGAAATGTTAGGTCTATTGCATAAGACCATTGACGAGAACAACATGTCAAATGAGCCGCACGTTCATATTCGCCTGGTTGTCAGTCGAGGATTGAAGTCAACCCGGTCAATATGAGCCTTTGCAAATTTCCAATTGCAAGTACCCCTAATTCTTCCGCCTATTTGCTGACATCTGCTGACCATGGTTGCTCTATTCGTGCAAATGTAGATTCTTGAGAAGCATTTGAAGTATGAAGATAACGAAGCGTATTATTTCTATATTGATGCCTGGTACCTAAGGCATTAATAAAAGGCATGAAAGCTCCTCTCATACTTCATGACATGCGGCTGAGCATCTAGATAGTTTAACCGAATTTCCCGATAGAAGAGTCATTCTATTTGATCAGATAATGACGGCAGAGGGACTGAGATTAAGTACTTCGGTCTAACTAGAATATCCACATGGATTCATATTCGGCTAAATTGGGAATTTGGAACTCTGAGATCCAAGGTTGAAATGAGTCACTATGTAATAGCAATATAACTTCCAGAATCCCCGGCCTGTTTACATATATGACTATTCAACAGATAAGAAAACCCCTACCTTGACAGTCTATTGAAAAGATTCCCAGGTATGCCTTCCCGTTCGCCTTAGGTCCGCATTGCTTTCGGGATTACGATTAACCTTATGCCACGATTAAGTAAATATCAAAGCACTGCAATGGCCGATACTCTTCAAAAACGCTGCTATAGCACCTCCTCGCCGTGGGAAGCCCGAATTGGGTACTGCCGTGCAGTGCGTCAAGGCCAGAATATCTACGTATCTGGAACTACAGCAGCAGATCCAAACTCTCCACCAGAAGCTCCACGAGTACAATTTCCCGGAGATGCGTTGAAGCAGGCAAGAGCGACTTTTGAAGAAATTGTTCAATCCATTCAAGCTGTCGGAGGCAAAGGGGCTGAGAATGTCGTACGGTGCCGCATGTTCATCACGAGAAAGGAGGATTCAACTGCCGTTGGCGAAGCCTTTAAAGAATATTTGGGAAAGGGTCAGGGCGAAGGGTTTGGAGCAGTAGCTACTATGGTTGTCGTTGCAGGTTTTGTTGATGATGAGATGCTTGTGGAAATTGAAGTCGATGCCATTGCGTAGAGTTGGATGTATGTATTAAGAAGCTTTGAAAGCTTGAATGAAGTCATGGAGCTTGAGATCAGAAATTTTAGTATATTAGTAATTAGCTCGAAGGTTCAGCTTCACTTTCAAATTCCAGTTCTTAGCGAGGTAAAAGTAAGTAATAGAAGTAATAGGAAATAGTTAGAGTCGGGTTGAGGTGCTGTTATTACTTTGTAAGCTATTATCTGATCACCGCCCGCGTTCCGAGCTAGACGAACACAACGTCGATCCGTTCTTCAATGTCAGCTCGATAGACAATATGTGGCTTCAAGCGGCGCTTTTGCTCGCTGCATGCGTGTCCCCAGCTACAGCAATATATCCTGATGAAGTCAATCATATTGACTTTCATCATGCCCTCCTCGGTGCCCCCTCCCCCGATTCGACCTTCTTCCTAAAGCCTCCCTCCTCCTCCAATGCATCTCTCTTGTACACCATCTCAGACAAGTCAATTTTGGGCGCAGTAAACCCTCGGGATGGCTCATTACTCTGGCGTCACAATCTCTCGTCGGATTCTTCGACCGGCGCTAGTATTTTGCGTGGGTTGGATGGGAACAACGCCATCGTCAGTGCTGCTGGTGGCTACATCTCGTCGTGGAGCCCCCAAGACGGGAAATTGATCTGGCAAAGCGCTCCCTTAGGGGGCGCTGTGACCGACTTGGAATTGTTAGAGCTAGATGATGCTAGCTCCACCGCCGGTGCCAGAGATGCCCTTGTGCTAGTAGCTAGCGAGGGTGTGGGCATCGTGAAACGGTTGGATGGTCAATCCGGACAGACAACATGGGAGTATAAAGATAACAGGTTGGTTTATCTCTCTAGTAACCTAGTTACATTGGAATTTGTTGCTAACTGATGTTTTAGCGGGGATGTTCCGTTCCAGGTGTCATCTTCACCGACGCAGGTGTTCTACATTTCACTCCAGTCGGCCTTGCGCAAGGGCTATAAGATCAAGGTCACTGCTCTGGACTCTCTTACCGGTCGCCAGACTCTCCAGTACACCCTGAACTCCGATAATGACGTTACCTCCCCGGAATCCGTCCTCTACGTGGGCGCCAACACCGCTTCACCCCTCATTGTCTGGGCGGATAAGTCGCAAAAGACCCTCAAGGTCAATGTCATTGGTACCAAGCAGGTCAGCTTGCTTAGTATCGACAACACCTCTGGCAAGGAGCTGCAAAAGATCACGGTCCACGCTCCTCATAAACTCAATTCTCTCCCGCATTTCTTGGTCCATTACAAGACGGACGATGGAGCATGGGCTGAGGTCTTCCATGTTGATTTGACGTCGGCAGTTGCGACTACAGCCTATCGGCTGCCTTATATACAGGGGCAGTCCGTGATTGCAACAAACAACATTGATGCGAATGTCTACTTTACTCGCATCACTGACTCGGAAGTAATTGTGGTCTCCTCCGCCTCCCACGGCATCCTGGGTCGCTGGAATGTGGACACTGAGTCTCCAGACCGCTCAACTCATGCAGTAGCTGAGGTCATCAGCAAGGGAAGCACGGTAGCTGTTCGGTCTGTACTTCTGCGGGAGTCTGGAGCTTGGCAACTCATCCGAAACAGCCAGATTGAGTGGACTCGGCACGAAGCCCTGATCGACACTGTCGCGGCTGTGTGGGCTGAATTTGAGGCTCAAGAAGATTTGGTGCATGAACTGGAGGTGGAGGGCCATGAAAGCTTGACCGGTGCCTATATTCACCGTGTCAAGCGTCATATTCGAGACCTCGAGCACCTCCCTGATTGGCTGAAAACACTTCCCAGCCGTATCCTTAGCAGTATTCTGAATGATGAGGCTACTAACCTGAACCACTTCGGTGTCTCCAAGCCAGTGGTTGTTGCTACCAGCAATGGCCGCGTCTATGCCTTGGATACTGGCAATCAAGGTGCGGTCATGTGGAGCACTAAAGTGGTGGAGACATCGGAATGGGATGTGAAGGCTATCCTGACTCAGCCAGGATTGGCTACAATTTATCCTAGTGATGGAAGCTCTGTCACTCTCAACGTCTTCACGGGTGAGATCATCAGCCAATCCGAAAGCAAGGACAAAGATACTAAATTTGGGTATGTTGCCTCATTCGACAACGCGGTTGTGGTGGGTATCAACACCGATGGCACCCCAGCTACTTCCTTTGATGAATTGGCCAAGTTCCTGGTGACTACCAGCGCCGACGGCCGAGTTCTTGGCTGGAATGGGAAGGATCACAAGGTTCCAGTGTGGGAGTTTGTGCCCCCCTCAGGTCAGAAACTCATCCATGCCACCGCCCGTCCTGTGCACGATCCAGTTGCATCGATTGGTAAGGTTCTTGGAGATCGATCCGTCCTATACAAGTACCTGGTCCCTAATCTGGCACTCATTACCGCTGTGAACGAAAAGGATCACACCGCTAGCTTTTATCTGTTGGACGGAGTGTCTGGAAAGGTGCTCTACGCAACAACCCAGGCCGGTGTAGACACAACCCAGCCCATTGCCTCTACAATTTCCGAGAATTGGTTTGCCTACTCTTTCTTCGGCGACGTCGTCGACGAGTCCTCCGCCAAGGGCTACCAACTCGTGATCTCCGAGCTCTACGAATCGTTGAGTGTCAACGATCGTGGTCCTTTGGGAGCAGCTGCAAACTATTCCAGCCTAGACAGCCTCCCGCTCCCCCACGTTATTTCCCAGTCCTTTATCATTCCCGAGCCCATTTCCCACATGGCTGTCACCCAGACTCGCCAGGGCATCACGACCCGTCTCCTCATTTGCAGTCTTCCAGAGACTAACGCGATTGTCGCTATCCCCCGTCCCGTTTTGGACACTCGGCGCCCTGTTGGTCGTGACCCCAACGCCGCCGAGACTGAGGAGGGACTGTTTCGCTATGCCCCCTACCTCGAGTTTGAAGGCAGGTGGTATCTCACGCACTCGCGTGATGTCGCTGGCATCAAGACTGTCTTGTCCCACCCCACCCTCCTGGAGAGTACCAGTCTTGTCTTTGCCTTTGGAAGTGATCTCTACGGTACCCGATCGACACCCAGCCAGGCGTTCGACGTATTGGGCAAGAGCTTCTCAAGATTGCAGCTTGTGTTGACAGTGGTTGCACTGACGGGTGGAGTCGCATTCTTGGCCCCGATGGTGAGTTTTACTTTCTTCTCAAACTGTTCATGCTTCATCGCTAATGTTTGTCATAGGTTCGGAAAAAGCAGGTCAACATGTTGTGGAAATAGTTGTAAAACAAATACTACTCGAACCCTTTCATAAATTACCAATTTCTTTCGAACCCGCAGCCAAATGATAAAACTTACTTCCCATATTCCTTTCCTAAATCAGCAACAAACCACATTGCTTCTAGATAATAAGGAGCATGGAAATCGAATTATTGAAGCTATTAGTGCATTCAAAAAAATAGAGTTTACTCTACAATGTCTGCAATTGCGCGAGCTTTTGGCGATGATTATCAAAGGCTTCGATCGAAGACGCGTTTAGGGAGAGGGGAATCGCTATTTGAGAGCCAAATGAGCGCAGACTTGATCAAACCCAGGAGAACGCTCTAAAGAACTGGATTGATTATCTGGATTCAATTGGGATACCTCCAAAGATTAAGCGGCTCTATACTGCTGCTTAAAGCATCTTTCAGGCTCTTGATCCTGATGCGAGGCCCTCAAGCTAAGATTGGATTAAAGGGGTTCCTAAAATGGAACCCTGCTTATAGGAAGATGCGTCGAAAAGACCTTGATATTGAAAGCCAATAACCTTTGATAAATTAGCGATTTAAGGCTGTTTAAAAGCTATCGAAAGCTTGAAGACACAGGTATCAAAGCCTTGGATGTATATAATTTTGAAAAGACTGGATTACAAATTAGGGCTGGAAAGACCAGTGGATTATTACACTAGAGCCTTGGAAAAGATTATCTCTGGAACGAACACTATGGTTTTAGCGTCCTACCAGAAGCCATTTTCTCTACAAAATTACTCCTTTTGCGCTGGTTCAAAAACCCAAACGATGATTATATTGGTCTCGCTATCTCGAAAATGGCTATGTGACGGTTTGTTAGCCTTTCAATAGATTCACTTCGAAAAATGCACACAGTCGTGTATCAAGTCTACAGGTTATTACTAGATAAAAACTTCGAATCCCATCTTACCATATAATTTCTGGGATTTTGCGAGAAATATAAGATTCAGACGTTCTCTATCTATGCTTTACCCATTTACTCTAACCTTTAGATATCGTGTAATGTCTATAAAACAGAGTCTGGAGTAACTAAATTTACTAGAGACGATTTCTGTAACAGTGAGAGCTTGGCATCAAGTTACCGAACTGGAGAACGTGTAAGATTAAGAACGTGATTATCCTCCGTTATTATATTGGGCTATACATAAGTAGCTTTTATTAGCTATTGTATATCATGTGGGCAAGCAATACTATTTAGCTCTTTCTTCGCGAAAGATTGAGATATTGCTTTACACAGCCCTATTTCCATTGCGCGGGTGAAGTCCCACTTATTTTTTACTATCACCAATCAATATCTAATTGAACTCTCTAACATTATGCTCTCCATCCCAATTGGGATACGAGTGCGAGAGTATGATCACTTCGATCAATAAATAGGACCAAATGTCCCTCTCATCTACTTTGATTCCAAGCTCGTTTTCATCCAAGCATTTGTATTTGCTAACATGAGTATGCTCGTTAAACTTATTGGCTCAGGCATCGGATTAACCTCCGAGGCCATCCATGCCGCCCGTGCTCGTTCAAAAGAGTCACAATCTACCCAAGCATCGTCTTCTACTCTAGGGTACGTCAACGTAGACCCAGATACTGCCAATGAACTAGTTCGCAGTGGACAAGCCGAGCGAGTTGATGAAAATGAGAACGACTACTCTGAAATCGCCAACGATGAGGCCGTTTGGGAGCTGGATGAAATGGCCGAGAGCGTGCGAGGCACACACAGTGAGGAAGAAGGACCCGCTGTGCCAGAGACAGAAGAAATCAGCGCGAAAAGGAATGAAGAGATGATCCGCCAGCTTCTTCGGATGGCAGGGCTTGCACCCCAGCCAATACGACGACTCGAACGTCCGGTGATCATTCCTCAACGTCGACCTCGCAATAAAACTCGTGGTTTTGTACGTGCGTACGCTCCTATACTAGCCGATTGCGGCATAAATCAAGATACATTCTTGCAATTTCTCTTGGATTTCGATAGAGCGAGCAAGGTATGAACGCTTTCATCCTGCGGCACAAAACTGTCTAACAATACACAGGCTTCACCTTGGATTGATGTGGTCATGGTTGCTGCTAGCATTGCGGGGTTCGTTCCCGAGCTCTCAGCTCAGATCATCAGTACTGTCGTGCAGATTGCTGCAGGAACAGCGAAGGAGCTCCAGTCACGCTCACGGAAAAACTCATTCCTGGACCGAGTGAACGACGAATTGTTTATGCCGCGCGGCCTATTCGCCATGGTGATGGCATTCAAAGATGAAGTCCCCGGTCAACAGCGCGGTATGTTAAGCCAGTTATCGAAGACCCTGGGGCAAACTATTTTTTCAAGTGAGAAGCTTGACATTAATCAGACTGCCGCCAAGTACAGTCAAAGAGACCCGGAAATGTCGAAGTTGAAGAAAGGACTGAGGGATATCAGGTTGACGAGTGGTAAGACCCATGGGGAGATTGAACTCCCCGAGTCTGCGGCACTGGTCTATCCCGATCTAGATCGGATAGTAGCCAACGCAATTGAAGACCAGAGTAACGGAAAAGGAAAAACTACGTCAGCTGGGTCTCTTGAAAAGTTGAAGAGCGCTGGGGTTTGGGTCCAGGACTATTTGGACCGTAAGGCACAAGCGGAATATGTACGAATTTTCATTCCTTTTCTTGAATATGGCATGTACTGATGATTATACAGGAAGCTGAATACCCAAAATCCTCGCTGGCTGTGCCATCCACAGAGCGGGTGCCTTTCAAATCTCGCTATAGCGACCCCAATCACCCTGCAAACAGTGGTTCATTGATTTCGCTGCTGACAGGTGGGGCTATAAACCCGCCGCCATTGGGGGGAAGATTGGGGGGAGGAGGCTTGGGAGGAGGCTTGAGAGGAGGAGGCTTGGGAGGAAGGGCTGGCCGGAGTTATGGACGAGAATTTAAGGGTGCTAGGCGTGTCCCTCTTGGACGATCTCCCTCTGGAGCACAAAGACAACTGAAGCAGAGGATGCCCAAGATCTTGCAACAGGATGTGCTTTATCTTTTAGTCGTTCACCTTCCTAGTCAAGAGGAGATACAGGAGTCAACCGCTCTGCTTGAACTTGCTTTGCAACAGGTTGAAGCTGCTTCTCGTTGATACTATCTATATTTTGAAATATCAACAAATTGACGACACTTGAAACAACCATTAAATGAGGTGGAGGAATCAAAGTCCGACAGTCCGATTTCTCTAAGATGTTAGCTGAGCGGCACAAAGTTCTCCCCTCAAAACCTAACAAATAACCCCGAAAGTAAAGTGAGTGCAAGTTGAATTTCAACCTATTTTGAATCTTCAAATACTCTGACCGCATCCTGTAACCTACATCCTGCTCCAAAAAAAGAAAAAGAAAGAAAAAACCAGAAAGTACCTAGGTATTCTATGTCTATACTCCAGTCGCTGTCTCTTCGGTCTGTACAGGATCGACAGCCACATTCTCCAAGCCAACCTTCTCGTTATCAACATCAGGTATTGGCTCAGCATCGTCTTTTACAGGGGTACTGACAGACTCCTTTTGCTGAACTGGGACTGTAACCCGCCGGTCTTTGCCGTTTTCAGATCCCAGAATCTCAATCTCAGTGCCCTTGAACAACATAGGACCCTTGAGGATCTCCGGCTTGGTCTTACCCGCAGCCGGGGACTGTTCCACGCCCTGTAGCAATTCATGGGCAGGCTCGTCTAGGTTGGGCAAATCATTCCACTCCCATTCTAGGTCACCACCAAAGCGCTTAGGGATGCTGGCTGGATCCATGAACGATGTAAGTGTAGGTTTCACCTCGGCAGCAGAGAGAATAAAAATCTTGGAGGTAGTTCCTGGGTCAAACCAGCGCTTGATCCAGCCCCAAACAGTGGGGAAGAAGCTTGGAGCACCAACAATCTGAGAGGTACGTTAGAAATACTAGTAGTGATCGGCGAGTCGTAACAAATTAAGACCTACGAAGATACGATCCAAAGTCTCGGGATAGTGTGCTGTTGCCAATACACTGGCATCCTGCATGTGACCCTTCAAGTTCCAGAACTGCTTCAGGCCCACACCGCTCACATCAACAATATTTGTGGAGGTGACGATGGGGGTTTCGGGGTTGGGTCGGGGCAACGCTGTGCAGAGAGGCATGACAAAGCCAAGGAGGTGTTCGTATAGTGCGAACAGGTTTAGCAAGCGCGCCGGGGTGGAAGATGATTTGTGGGATTCTGGGACTCCATCGGCCAAGGTGCTGTTATAGTTGGCCATCTCCTTGGAGGTCAGGTGGCCGATTTCGAAGACGTAGATGGGGATACCACGGCGATCGCGACGACCAGTCCATTGAGGATACTATAAGGACACAAAAGCCAAATGTCAGAAAGATCTTTGCAAAACCTGAATACTGAACAGTCACTTACCATGCGCCGGGTAGCCTCGTACGAATCCACACCAATGTTTGCATACAACTCCTCGAGAGCATTTGTCTTGCGCCAATCCTCCGTATCTTTAAATTGGGCCCAAGCACCCTCGACATCGAACTTACGGGCCCGCAGGAATCGCCTGAATAGAGTAGTTAGCTATCTAGAGCTCCGCACGACCCCAGGTTGTAAAGCGGGTACACCATACAATAAAGTCGCATCGTCGTGGCTCGCCGGCTTGGCTTCCGTGCCCTCGGTCTGTTCTACAGCAGCAGTATAGTAGCCCCGTTCAGCGCAGACCGTTTTGAATCCTTCAAGTTGTTTCTCCTGCTCCGGTGAGAGGTGGTTCAGGTGTCCAGCTAACCATGCCGTACCCGAGGCCTGGGTGGCGGAGGCCGCAGGATCATTGTTTGAAGCAGAGACTGTGCGCGAAATATCGTCCTTTTGCTCAGCAGGCTCCTGTTGAGAGGCCTTTGAGCCCCAGAATCTGCTCATTTTACTTTGTTCAGTATATTTGTTTTGGTTTAAACTGACAACAAGTGATAGGTGATATTAGAAGAAAGGAGAGGGCGGTCAGCAGAATAAATCTTATCGCCGCAGATTATTGCCGAGGTATTTCCGATGACAATCAATGAGTAATAACGGTTTAAAAATGACGCCGAAAATGACAGCTTCTGGCGCTAGAAATGGCCGCCTTTCTACGGTAATTTTGGATAGCGAGAAGTCGTTTCGCTGCCTACCGCCCTCGACCACGCTATATTGCACCTACCAAGCGCCTTTAGTTATCCTCTTGAACTGATGTTGGCGCTAGGCCTTAGCGAGCTGTTCCCCTTATTTCTACTCACGACTAAAACTACGCAAAAATAGCTCCCTTTTATAGAAACCAGACCCCCCTTTACCTAGCCTAGTTAGGTGTTATAAGAGCGTAACGGGTTTAAACCCAATAAGTATACTTAGTCCTCGCCGTATAAGTGGCTACACTCCTGGCTCTTGAGCATTCAATGATCATCCCAGACAATATCATCTTCATCGAATCCACCATTTATTCTATCATCTGGGTGCGTTATCAGTTCATCGACAATCTAACATTTCGAAGATAGAATCAGGTATCACCTGGTCCCTCTCGCTATAAGCTTGGCTTCTTATCACATCCTCTGATTCCACCGGAAGGTGTGCCACTAGTTGAGGAGTCCTCACCAGTCCCAGGGGGTGCATGGTTCTTGCTCTTGGCAGGTTAGCAGGGCTGTTTCAGTATGCCCCGTTGGGAGTTCATTAATAAGACTATGTCAGTATCATATAGTCTCACCTGTCGGCTACAGGCTTTCTTCTGTTGTAGAATATTACTAGCATCCTCCTTTATCTGTTCCTAGTAGGAGATATGCGGTTGAGTTAGGTCCCCTTGACCATAACCCGACTATTTCATTTGACCCTCCATTCGATTTGGTAGTGAATATAGTCCGGAGATTGTTTATCCGATGCACTTCCATCTACACGCTTAGCTATAGGATCGAAACTCAGCTGATCAGAGAGATATTGATGATATAAAGAAGTGAACATTCACCAGTTACATCCTCGAAATTAAGTACAGAGCAGATTACTGGTGGCGTCCATTCGCGGTCAGGGTAACCGAAGGAGTCTACTCTCATATAGAAGAAATTCCAGGAGGGTAAGAAGTATCATCATTGTTGAAATATCTAGTGCCGGAAAAAGTGAGCAAGGTTGACGGCGTATTACTTTAGAGCCCTAACCCTAAAAAGAAAAACTAACTTGAAGAGGCAATTCACAGGCATACATCTTACAATGCCATCAAGAAAATGATCAAATAAAAGTTATTCAACTACGGGGTATTTTTTCGTTACCACTCAGGCCGATCCCATCATTTATTATTGTACAGCGGAGCCGCATAGCATGGCCCAGGCGAAAAAAGACCTAATCCTCAGTCAGATCGCCGTACTCCCACATACCGCGGCGCTCGGCCTTCGCCTCTTTCTCAAGGAGACGCAGGTTGTCGATGGTATCGACAGCAGCGCGCTCCCAAGCAGTAAGTTTGCGAGGGACCATAGCCAGGCCTTCCGCAACGATATCAGCATTGATACTTTCATCGACGTTCTTGGACGACTTCGGGTCAAGAAGTGTCACGTGGAGCAAACCATCGCTGTCAACGTGATCGACGTTGGCTACAAGGTCAAGGCAGGAGGTCTGGTCTGCGATGAAAGAGACAGTGTCCTCAAGGTAGTCAGATGAAGCGGGGAACTGAAGGAGGGAAAGCTTAGCATCGAAAGCCTGAGGACGCAGCTTCTGGCCCGAGAACTGGGGCTGCATAGGGCGCAGGGAGGTCCAGGGGAGGATCTCCGAGTTACCGAAGTCGAGGTACACCACCTCGGCCTTTTTGTTCTCACGGTCGTTACGTCGGACCTTGGCACGGTACCACATGTTGTCGTCGGAGTACTGAGCGGAAACCCAGTCACCGGCCTTGGGGGGACCGGGTAGGGGAACGTTATTGGCTGGGTTGCGATGGAATGTTCTGAATGCATTCATCAGTTCAGTCAGGGCGGTGGTACCGGCGCCGACCTGCTGCACCTTGAGACGACCGGTAGCAGGGTCAACAAACGTGACCATCACGTCGCGGTAATCGTGACGGCGTTCAGCGGGAGCGGCATCATTATCAACTTCTGTGCTGGCGGCAGTCTGCTCTGCTTCTTCAGCCTCCTTGCTGGGGTCCCAGTCGTGCCAAAGACCCTTGCGAGCCTCCTTGGCCCGCTCCTCGGCGGCAAAATATTCAGTTGCGTGGCCAGACTGCTCGGCTGAGTATGCGTGCACAGTAGCCAAACCCTCTTCGAGAAGAATCTTGGCAAAGTTTTCCTTGTTCACATAGAGGGCACCGATGAAGCCGCCAACCTTGTCAATGGTTTCGACATCAATCTCGACATCACGTTGCAAGCAGCGACGATTAGCAAGGTCATGGGCTTCCTGTCCGAACGGTTCACCAACATCACTGGGGCCACGAGCGGATCGAGGGGCGCGGATACCCGAGATGACAAGGGTCAACTTGGCATTCTCACGGGGCACGAGCACAGTGAAGCGAGAACCAGACTTGACGAAATCAACAACACCAGGGATGCGCTTTGACCGCTGGAGCACGCCAACTTCAAGCTTAGCTTTTTGCACGTTCTCGGAGTAGTCAATGACCTGCTTGTTCTTGGGGGGCTTAGCTGCCCACATTCCACGTCCTTCCTTCTGAGCCTCGGCTTCCGCAACGAGGAGAGAATCGTAATCAGGGGAACGGTCGTCATCATCCATACGGTGACGAATAACGGAGGCGTAACCAGCCTCAACGAGAGCCAAGCCGAGGTTGGTGTTACCCTGGATCACAGTAGCGACCTCACGCTCTTCGTAGCCTTCATTGGCAGGCTTCTTGCCATTGACTGAAACCATGACATGCTTGGCAATCGAGCGCTTGCGCAGGAACTCCTTGGCATCAGCGGCGAAGGGAGCCTGCTTCGGGTCAGAAGGCTTGGGCTGACGAATGCTAGTAATGCTGATTTTCTTCTCAACTCCGGCCTTATTGCGAATAAAAATTGTGTCGGCATTCACCACACGGCTGACAGTGTACTCCAAAGCTGCAGCACCACCCTTGGGGCCAGCCAAACCTGTGAAAATACCCTTGCGAGCAGTCTTGGCAGACAGCTCAGCCTGTCGCAGGGAGAGCATATTCTGACCCAACATGGTAGAATGGGTATCCTGGCAGCGAGCCAAGCCTGCTTCGAGGAGGAATTGTGAAATGTTTCCTTGGGGGTGGAGGAGGGAAGTAACAAGTTGGCCCTGTGGGGTAAGTCCGACCAGCGCAACCTTGACCTTGCGCTGGAGCAAACGTGACTCAACGAATTGCAAGGCCTCGGCGCCATAAGGCTCGGCAGGGTGTTCTTTGCCATCAGCGGACGTGCGCTTGGCAGAAGGTGCCCGAATACCAGCAACGGCGACCACGGTCTGCAAGTGCTCCTCTGGTGTCAAAAGGAGACGTAAGATCACACGATCACCATTGAAAACCTTCTCAATAATGCCCTCAAGTTGTTCGCCCTTGTATTTCTTGAGCAGTTCGGGTGCATTTGTCAGTTCATAGCTTGTCGTAATGACGCCGTCTGAACTCGCCCAAATTCCCTTCCCCGCACTCTTAGCAAGTGACTCAAGTGCTCGCAATCTCTCCAAAAATGCAATTGTCTCAGGACTATCATCACTACGCTTTCCAGCCTCGTCACGAACGTGCGTCCAACCCTCCTGGATGCTGAGGTCTGGGAGTTGTGCGTCAAACCCAGGCAGCTTGATAATGCCGTAATCGCGCTTGGCCCCAGTTGGGATGGTGTAAGTCACCTGGAATTCGACGATTTTGCCGACGAGGAGCTCGCGAAGAAATTCACGGGATTGGAAGCCGTTTGGCTATGATGATCGAATGGTTAGCTTCAAATGACACTACAAGTGAATTGTGTTGACAATTGAGTCTCTTGATGACAATTGAAACATAGAATACTCACCTCATCACCCTCTCTTCGTAGCCGGGGAGCAGCAACATATGCCAGACTCAAAATTCGTTCTTGTTCTGGGTTGGTGACATGCGACAGCACGACAGTGTCGCCTGAGATGACAGACTTGACTCGTGCTTCGAGAGGCATGATGAAGAGTGTGTAAAAAAGACTACCACTTCACAGAGCAGAAGTGGTAGTGGAGATTGAAAGAAATGAGTTGTGTGTTGATGGAAGAAGCGAAAGGGGAGTTGGTCTAGAAGAAGGGTGGAGAGGATGGCAGAATGATTATGTAGAAACGTGTCCGTTGTTATTGTGGGGGAATCTCAAAGGCGGTGTAAAGAGCGGTGTATATACGATGCCTAGTTAATATGTATAGACGAGAATTAGGAAGTGAATAATGGGGTTGAAAAGGCGGAGGGTGTGAATAAACAGGCGAAAGGGAGGTGAGTACTAGTGATATATATACTGCGTTACCTTCCAAGAGTTCAAGTTTGCAAACCACAACTACAGTCTACAGCTCTTACAGTGTGTTAAGGCATTATTATGCATCTACAAAGTAGACATTGACATTGGCAAATGGCATTCAAATTCATTTTATACTAACCAGGGAATATCCTAGGCCTTTTCCATCTTTCAAGGGTGAAATAAGGGGATATCAAATCCCAACTAGACTGTAGAGAGATCAAGCTGATTAGGCAATTTATGCGGAAATACCAATAACACCACAGGCAGGGCGGAGACCGGCATTGCCAGTCTTCTTGGACTCTTCGTTGCCGCCACGGCCAAGGTCATCAGTACCAGCGTGGACAACAAGGGTGCGCTATAGAATCAAGTTAGTGATCTATGAGCAGCCTTGATATCAAGTGAGATCACTTACGCCAAGAACGCTCTCAGCGCCAATCAGCTTGACAAGCTTATCCTGGACGGAGCCAACGGCGTTACCCTCGGCATCAGTCTTGAAGTTGCCAAGGTCACCGACGTGGCGGTCCTCATCACCAGGGGCACCGTGGGTCTTGCCGAAGGGGTTGACTATAAAGAAGGGGTTTAGCTATACAATTCCCAGATATGATAAAGATAGGATATCGTACAGTGAGGACCAGCGGAGGTGCAGCCGTTGGTGTTGTCACCGAACTGGTGGATGTGGAAGCCGCGCTCGGCATTGGCATCGTGGCCAGTAATGTTCCAGGAGATGGTGGTGGGGGTGTTCTCATCGGCCTGTTCGAAAGTAACAGTGCCAGCGATCTTCGAATCGCCGCGGATGACAGCAACTATGTCACATTGTTAGGATTGTTCTATCAATCATATCTTGTGTTTCAGAATATAGATGGGAAGCAGCTTGTCCCGCCCCTACCGAACCCCGCATACCAGAGGGGGATCAGGGAGATGAGGGAGATCTGAGCGGGGAGGAGCTCTTCAGGGGGAACAATTGTCCATTGACAAGCTTGAATCCAGAGATCAACGTAGAAAAGGGAGAGAAGCCGATAGGCTGAGTCAGGTGAGGATCACAAGGTGCTCAAATCTGCTCACCCCTAAGGTCCTTTTCCCGCCACGCGAGCCAAGTAGTGGGGAAAAAACATTGTTTAGAATTTGGAACTTACCAGCCTTGACCATTTTGACGGATATTTATAATAAAGTAGTTAGATTTTAATTGATTGGAGTTGAAGTGTAGAGAAAAAAGAGAGAAGAGAGAGAAGCGAAGAAGCGGGCAGAAGAATAATAACTAATAAAGCGGGGTGATGTTGTGACTAGGAAGCTCGTATGTACCAGTACTTGTATTCCAATACAATTTAGTATTGTTCAAAAGTACTGATACATAGATTATCAACAGTGGACTTCGGGGGTTAAATGACATAATGCCGAGCTTCTTCCCTCACCTTCTATGATAGTACTATACTGTTTACTTACTAGTATGTACTGTCACGTATTCTGATATTACATCTATTATGACCATCCATGTACCTTGAACGTTATAACCTAAATTTACAGGAAACTATGTCTCTGTCACACTGTATAACATGTTATTGATAGGGATTATATTGTCCGGCAGTAACACACAGGTCACATCTAAGCTTCTGCCACTTACTAAGCCGAACAGTCCAGATTCCCGAGTAACGAGTAGCCTAGTTCAACCCAGCCTCGGAACTCTCGGCACTACTATATCTAAGCTCCCGAATAGTTCAGAAATGGACAAAATATGTGAAATTTTCATAAATTCATATCTATCGATTCCAAGATTTTGGGAGTCGCCAATTTACAAATAAAACTTAAGTGGAATCATAAAAAAAGAGCTCAGAATCAATCTAAGCCTCAATCTTGGACTTCAAAACAGCCTTGAGGGTTTCGGTATCAGCCTGCGAGAAAAGCGGTTAGTTATATGAATGAATCGACGAAATAGAGAAAATATGGAGCAACGAACCGCGAAGGCTGAAATTCCATCTCGGAGTTTCTGTACGGCCATGATTTCCTCGTTGAAGTCGAAGCGGAACTCAGGCTCGTTGGAGAGGTAAGCGCGCTTGGGGATGTTGAGGCTGGCAGCGCTGGCGGCATCCAACTTCTTGGGGACGGCAGCGGTGGAGTTGTAAAGCTCCTCAAGCAGGCTGGGGGAGATGGTTAGGTAGTCACAGCCAGCAAGCTCGGTGATCTCGCCGGTGTTACGGAAAGAAGCTCCCATAACAATGGTGTTGTAGCCGTGCTTCTTGTAGTAGTTGAAGATGTCACCAACAGACTTGACACCGGGGTCCTCCTGGGGGGTGAAGTCGCGCTTCTCGGCGGCCTTGTACCAGTCAAGAATGCGACCAACGAAGGGAGAGATCAAGAAGGCACCGGCCTCAGCGGCGGCAATGGCCTGGACCAGAGAGAACATGAGGGTCAGGTTGCAGTTGATCTTGTGCTGGGACTGCAGGATGTGGGCAGCCTGGATACCCTCCCAGGTGGAGGCGATCTTAATGAGGACACGGTCCTTGGAGATGCCGACCTCCTCGTAGAGCTTTTAGAGAAAGCATCGTCAGTTATAATTTTTTTGGGGAGTGCGATTGATTAGATTGATTAGAGTGGCGTCATCATACCTTGATGATCTCGAGGGCCTTGTTAACGGAACCTTGGGTGTCGAAGGAGAGCTTAGCATCGACCTCAGTGGAGACCTTGCCGGGGACGATCTCGAGGATCTTCTTGCCGAACTCGACGAGGAGACGGTCAAGGGTGGCAGTGACCTTTTCATCAATAGTAGAGCCCTTAGTCTTGCCGTAGGCAACGGCAGAGTCGATGAGAGAGGCGTACTCAGCCTTCTTGGAAGCGGCCAAGATCAAGGAGGGGTTGGTGGTAGCATCCTGGGGCTTGTACTTGGCAATGGCTGTGATGAAATATAGATTAGTTGCTGTATCAAGGCGACTGATATGAATTGTATATATTGAGGACACGTACTGGCAAAGTCACCTATAATTGACATTGTTAGTTGAGAGCTCTAACGTAATATTGGGATGATCGGGACATACCAGAGTCGCAGACGACAACGGTGCCAGAGGCCTTGAGCTGCTCAAGAGAAGAAGACATTTTGATGTTTTTTTCGGAATCGTAAATTGGTACAGTTAAAAAAGGATGGGAGGATGTGGAAGAAAAAGTGGAAAGGTGGCAGAGACCGCGGTATTTGAGGCGGGGGAGCCAGAAGGAGCTTGTTGAGGGAGGTACTTAGTTTCAGTATGCAGCTCCCATATGAAATACAAGTACCTTAAAGATGTCCCGGACCAGGTGGGATGAAAGTGGGGCAAATGACGCATATGAACTTACCAACTTGTTTTCTTTGCTTTATCTACTCTCGATTTCTATATTCTTCGGTTATATTTAACATATACCCTTTCTATCTACTTCAACTCCTTATTCCTTATTGTTCCATCACTTCCTCTTTGTTTTAAATGCCCTAAATTCCCCATTATCCACCAGGTGACCCCTTAACTGCAAGCCCTAAATGATTCCTGATTCGGTGCAGTGTGCTCCGGTCTTACCCAACCGGAGTATGGTCGACCGGTCAACGGCCCACTGGGTTTTGTAGTGGCTTCGTTCACCGGTCCCCGTTACATATGCACGATCTAGTCCCCAGAAACTGTCACGTTCATTGCTGATTGGGCAATTGGTACTCTTACTAATAAGCCAAGGGTTTCATGTGTTCATACTAAACATGATATCTCATTTCGTTTTGCATGTCAAATGTACCTAGGTATCAAGAAAGCGGCTAAATTGAACAGAAACTCAAGGAAAACGCCACCCTGTCTATGTCTAGACTTCATTTTTCTTTTGTTCGGACAGATGCCACCCGAAAGAAAATTCCAATGCGCGCGACTGGAAGCATGTATTACATAAAAGTACCATATCGGAAGACTCATCGCCGTTGAATACAGTTCCACTCATACTAAAGATATTGAGTTAGCCACACCTTCAAATCGAATACAAAACAATGGGACCTACAACTCGACCTGCTTCGTCCCCAGTGTAGACAACCTGGGGAAGAGCCAAGATACAACTGATCCCAGCAGAAATATTGGCACCGTTGTCCCGACTGCTATCAGTATGATGCAGTTGTCGAATAAGTTCCAGTTCAAACTGTCCAGCATGCATAGTCTTGCTCCAAATGTTGACCACACCACGGCTGTGGCCGGTCAGCACAAGCTCACGTTCAAGCCATTCGTTCTGAGCCCCTTCGTAGAAAACGCAAGACAAGACGTGGTCATCGCTTGATTCGCATACTTGCTGCCGGATCAGCACCTCTCCATTCAGTGTGTACATGGTCATTTGGTTGCCCCGACAGACGATTATATCTCCTGTGACATCATTGATGCGGGCACACTGGGTATCTCGAGTTAGTTGTGGATTATATGGGAGACTGAACTTATGACTTACTTCTACGGTCCCTTCCGCAGGTAGTGCCCGTACGAAACATCGACGGTTCAAGTCCCATATCATGATTTGCCCATCAGTAGACGCGGACAACAAGGTGCTGAATGAGCGAGAAACTGCGAGGATTGTGACTGGGGCGCGGTGACTAAAGAGCGATCCGATAGGCTGTAGGTCAACAGCCTTAGAAGTTGCAGTAACTGTCCATAGGGAAATAGTACAGTCTGTACCACAGGTGATGAGCGTGCGCGAGTCTGCGAAGCTGGCGTAGGAGAGCTGGCCGATATGAAGATGCTCGAAGTGTCCGAGAAGCTATCAAAAAAGTCAGTGGAGAGTCTCTATTCCGCCATTGTGTGTGCTTCTTACCTTGCGACTATCTGCTGCGTAGAAACGTACACTCCCATCAAAGAATCCCCATTCCATGTAATGGTCATACGCCGGAGGGACATTGATTCTGAAAGCAGCGGTACATAGAAGACGATCTTGTTTCATCGATAGATTGGTCACCCGCTCCTCAATGTTTAGAAGAGATAGCGGCATCTGAGTCAAAGATTCTGCAAGGGTATCGAGTCGAGGAACGCGATAGCGTTGGTCCTCCCGTTCAGGATGAGTCCGTTGGAATATCTGACCAGGGGTTTGTCCAAAATTGTGGATAATGCCAATTGTTGCTAGTCGTTCTAGTGGGTCATCAATGGTATCCAGGTCTTTTGCGCCTTTATAGGAAAGATGATGGAATACATTGACAGCCTCGACAGCAGCCTCACCTCTCTGCTTGCTACCAAAGACAAGATCAATCCAATGGTGCAAATTTTCGGACACATATGGACTCTCGAGAGCTTCGCGGTGTTTCTGAATGAATATCTTTGGATCGCCCTTGGCCCAGGGTGGTAGTTCGACGGAATCAATCGCGGTCATGTTTTGCAGCAACCCAAAGTCATATTTGTTGGAGTTGACGAGGAACTCGGGTAGGTAGAAAAACTCAGGAATCAGTTCTCGAACATCTGACATATTCCCGCGGGTTGCAGACGCCCATGCTTTTCGGATAGAGTAGAATAGTCGATCGGCATGGTCAAATGTACCGCCTTGCAGCAGGAGGTACGACTTGACAAACGGTTGGAGGCGGATGAGATAGGAACAGACGATCATGGCAGAGGAGTAATGAGTTCCATAGTGGAACGGTGGTGAGTTGTCATCACCCATCTCCGCAAAGGCATTATATCGCTCAATGAACCCGACTTCACGATCTGGCATCTGACATCCCATAGGCCGGGACAAATCACGGAATGTTTTCGGATTGGTCAAATCAAGCTCCTCACTGGTATAATCCGCCAAGACCCATGGGAAGACTGGATATTGAGTAAGGTCGTTGAATGTTCTCCCAGCAAGCGTATTGATAAGCATGAGGTAGTGAAAGTTGGATATTTCACCACGAACCCATTTGCGTGTCGCTGGATTGGAAGTTTGATGACCAAATACACTGGCAAACTTGGATCCGAGAGATTGCGGCGCATCATCTTGGCTGCGCAAAGTTTCAAATCGCCAAATGTCTTCAGGTCGCAAGTGTCCTGCACTTCCAGTAACCTGTGGGGCTTTGTTGCCAAGTTGGCTACATAGTTCATCTCGCACTCGAGCCGAGAAAAACGTCAACAGATAACTAGTGCCGTCTGTAAAGAATATCTCCAAAGCAACCTCGCGGAAAAGGAATTGGCGTTTGGAAACGCTGACCAGGTCAGACCACTTCCAGCTTCTTGTTTCATGCTCTTGGGAGCGACGATCCTGAGATTCCCGTCCTGAAATCATTCGAACATACGGATCCCGCTCCTCAAGAGGGGCTTGCCAGACATTAACAATCTCGCCATCTGCTCTTTGGAAGAAATTGTCGAGAATATAAATGCAGTCCTTTCCGAGAATTAAAAGCCCTTCCACAGCCTCCAAGCCAATGATTCGGGACATGTTGCAGACGTTCTGGACTTGATCGCCACGCTGAAGAGACCGCATCACTTTGCGGTTCTTATCTTCATACTCCTCCAACTCGAGCTTGGGATCGTCAATCATTTCAAAGTTGTCTTCGAGGATGCTGCGGTTGTCACCATCGCCATCAACCAACTCTACATCCTGTGACTCACATTCCTTGGGCTCGGTATCTGCTGTCAAATTAGTAGGCGTTGGTATCGCCTCTCCTTCCGATAGAGCGCGCAGTCTTGTATCGATCTTGATTATTGGTGGTTCAGAAGCTTTCCGCTTGGGCTGGTAATTTTGACGTTCTCCCGAGTCATCAGGTACAATACGGAGTCGCATGCGACTACGACCCTCAGTCTGGTCGAGTCTCCATTTTCTTTCTTTATCTTCTTCCAGCAGACCACCTGGTCGTCGAAGATCCGCTAGTAGATTAGAAAATGCCGACCACATGAAAGAAGAATTATCTTGGAGATCCTGCATGTATCGGTGGGATTTGAGAAATTCAGATGCAGAAATGTTCGATATCCAGTGCGGCAAGGTGGCGTCGTGCTTTCGTGTCATGTCTTCAACTAACCTCTCCAACTGTGCCCAGTTTTTGAGTTTATCCTTGCGCTTTGTGATACGATTTTTGGCCGAATCTTCACTCTTTGAATTTTCTTCCTGCGCGAAAGTTTCCCAGGATCGAGATAAAATATCAAAGAACAAAGCATCCAGGTCCTCTCGCTCGGAATCAACCCATTCTAGGAAAGCATCATCTTCCATCCCAGAAAGAGCCTCGAAGCCAGGGGAAAGACGGCGCCTCAGCATCTGGGGTCCGTAGTTAAGAATATCCGTCACCTCGTCAGGCTTCTGCACAATTATTATCCGCCAAAAGCTGGCAGCAGCCAGACGAATACTCTGATCAATGCTGATTAGCTTGGTATAAAGCAGATAGCAGAGCAATTGGAGGTGTCTTGATTGTGTTTCAGCCGCGGCGAGAAGCACGACCTGCCAGTAGTTCAGACGTTCCAAAACTGGCAAAGTATCTTCATCGTTCGTCTCTGAAAGCTGGAACAAGACCACTCGGTACAGTGTGGAATGTATTGTCGCTACTGCTTGACTGCATAGTCGAATGCTTTTCAGGCTAGATATATCGGGGCGCTGGATATATTCCAAGATGGAACCGAGACACTCAAGACTAGCGGCAGCTCCATCAATAAACCAGCCTTCATAGACTGCCTCTGCAAGGTGGGTTGCAAAACGAGCGATGTTTGTGAGAACTCGAGGTTCCTGGAGCAAGTGCGGCTTAGAAGAGGGCAGTTCCTTCAACCTCAATAAGAGAGAGCGGTAGATCCAAGAATTGAAAAACGCTTGTTGTTCCAGAAATCCAGGAGGGGTTTTATGATACAATCCGAGGCCAGAGAATTCCTTTCGCTCCAGTATTTGATCTTCAAATACAGAACATACCAATGAAATAATGGCATTGACTAGCGGATGATCCGCAGCAGATCCTTCAGCGGTAAAGCTGGAGTGAATCACGCGGCGGATCCTTGCCGAGGATGGTTGATGTTTCGATTTGTCAGAGGAGACAAGAATGAAAGAGGAATTGCGACGTAAATAGCCAGGATTTTCATCAGGGCTGGTTGAGAACTCGACACTCGTTGTCTGAAGAACGTTCGAGGCGTTGGCAGCGCTAGAACGGGGACGCACGACCAGACTACTTTCATCAAAGGAGAGTCCGCCGTATCGAGTGCTCAACTCTGTATTGGCGCCAATAGAGTCAGAACCGACGACAGCAGGGTACAGAACTGCGAGAAGCTCTTGGACATAGTTTGACTCCCCGGCGAAATCTTGAAATGGTCGTGACTTAGATTGCGTCTCGGCTAGCATTTGGACCACAGAGGATATGAGAGAGAATCCTTGTGCTGTGCGGTCCGAATGGGAAAGATCTAGAATAATGATGAGAAAAGAGAGGAAAAAGTGGAAAGCCATTGTTGTCAACTTACCCGCCAAGCTGATAGAGGACATTTTTGGGCTCTCCAGACTAGAAGCGCGCGTCCCCAGCTCATCTGCCACAATTATACTCCTCAGTCCACTCTTCAGCATTTCTGTAATCACAGGAAGCATTTCAGGATGGGCAACTCGGATATCACCATCAACAAGGAACATTTCGTAGAGTCCGGCGCTATTGAAAGGCCTGTTAAGGTCCAGAAGAGCGATGTCTTTACCAAAGAGAATAGAAAAGCAGATAGGCCACAAAGCAGGAATGTCCCACCATCTTCTCAAGTGGTGCTGCAAGATTGTGTATCCTCCATTCTTGTCAGCAAACTTACTGCTGTAGCTAGTACCATGAACAACTAGTAATCGAGCCAGGATCCTAATTGCGAGAATAACAATCTCAGGCTCGTCGTCACAAGCGAGATACAGGAGCCACTATTCAGACCGTGAGACGGTGATAAAAGTTAGGGGATGGGGTGTAGCAAACCTTATTGGTAACCGCTTTAGCAAACTTCTTCAACGGTGTTGTGTCAAATGGGTTACAGAGCACATCAGTATACAATAGCATCATCTTGGTACCCAGAGTGATGGCTGGTACATGGCTATCTAGATCAGACTTGCTGGAGCTTGGACGAGTAAAAGCTCCGCCAAAGCGAGTGCTTTTCTTTTTGTGAAGACTAAAAGGCGCATTGGGCCTGTGGAGGGTATATGTGATTCCCAAGGCCAGAGATCGAAGAAGGTCAGGAGACATGTTGCTTTCCATCAAAGAGCGAAAAGCAGAAAGACAAGGGGTAAGGGTCTGTTCGGTGAAATCTCCGGCCTTCAAGGCCTCGAGTAGCTTTTTGCTGACGCCTAGTCCCATTAGCCTAGCTTCGAAACCCTTTGTGGGATTATAAACTTACGCATGCGAGCTAACCTCCGTGCGTTGAACCGCCGGTAATTACTGTCGGAGGCAAATGTCCGGAACTGTGAGTGGTACAGCTCTAGAACAGGTGGATCTCCAAGACGCCAAATATCCAAGTCCACCAACAGAACTCGGAACGCTAATGGATTTGTGATGATCGAATGGTTGGGACGCTTAAAGTCGTATCCCACAAAGGAAAGTGTCAAGCGCAGCAAATCAAGAGCCAATTTCTTTTGCTCTTCGTCGTTGGAGCTAACCACGACGGCCCTAGTTAGGGCCTGTGGGTTACTAATGGTAAATCCAAGCTTCTCCCGAAGAAGGGAAGCAAGAATGCCGTAGCCGTTCTCCTTCTCCATAGCCTCGCTATTTCTCCAATTATCTTGAACAGCTTCATAGAGCGCCTCTACTGCCATTCGGGTACTGTCTGCAGTACTGGATGCTTGGATGAGACTCAAATGTACAGCAGCGCAGCCACCCAAACACCAACTGGCATCATCAAGTGACTTAGGAACTGTGACAACAGGAAAGCCCGTCAAGATACCAACTCCTTGCGGTTGGGTCAATCCGTCATTGATAGCAGGGGTCGCTCCATTAATTGCAATCGCATTACTTCCAGACTTCGTGAGCTGGTGAAGGCTTTTCGCCGCATGTCTCGACAAGGATTTGATTAGCTGTGACTCGTCGATGTTGTTGCCATCATCGTCATCAAGTACGGCCTCAGGAGAAACATTGATCAATATCGAGCTCTCGCGGACCAGAGTACTTGCTCGTTTGCGGATGGCAGTGATAATATCGGAGGATTCCTCCTTGCCAGGATGAAGATGTTCATTGCGCAGGTTCAGACGGGCAGAGGCCTTGTACGTCTGGAAAGAGCCTAGGCAGTCCTGAAAATTTCCATAGTACCGGGGCCCAAGATTGAAAAATACGGCCACCATGTCGTCACTGTATGCCTCATCAAAGAGGATGCCGTTGGCGAGTGACCAACGAGAAGTTGAAACTCCTTTGCCGAGGCGCATGGCTAAATCATGTGGAGTACCAAAAAACGCCTGAATTCGAGGTGGCTTGTTGGGACGACTACCGTTAGGGGCAGACGGATATTCAATCTTCAATTGTTCCGTAAACTCGCCATCAATAAACAAAGATGCCCTTGAGGCTGATGCATTTTTCGGCCTCTTATGAACGAGACAGATATGGTACCAACGATTGGCTTCAAATTTCGCGGATTTGAAACGAACGCTAGGCCGTGAGCCACGGATCGAAGTTTGTAAAATGAAATTTCGTGTATCTTTCTCGAGATAGGCAAGGAGGAAACAGGTTTGAGTTGCATCGAAAGCCCCAAAGATTGTGGTATGTGTGTTGAGGTCAAATTCATCGAACCGAACCCATACAGCCAAAGTATATCCACCCGAAGCATTTGGAGGAAACTGACGCCCTAGGGTTGCAAACTCCACAGAGCAGAATCCATGTTGTGACAGGTCAAATTGTATGGAGGCAGGCTCTTTGGAAGCTTTGAGAGCAGATAAAAGAAATTTCAACACTTGTGGACTTCCGTGGGCTTTGCGGTATAACGCAACGGCGTCGTCGAGGTTGCTCATGCCCTGGCTACTCATACAACCAGCCAAATCCTGGTAGAGTTCTTTTTCGACACCAGACCGACCATCATCAAAGAGTAAAGGAAGGATAGAAGTCAACATTCCGGTGGCATGCAAAGCTACGACATTTCTCTGGGATTGGGTTGCCAATTGACATAGGCAGGCAGGAAGACCTAGCCGTAGTACATCGTCTTTTAAATTGGCAGATTGAGATAGCCACACACGGAGCAATGGCCCTAGAAACTCTGCAATCTCAACCGTCTCGGCAGATCCCAAGTAATGATCCACAATTTTCCTGATGTCCTGAGCAGATCGCGACTCCTGATCCTGGGAAAGCTTCCCACTCAATGTAGTGAATATACCAGCCACCGTCTCTTGGCATAATGCTGCCGCAAGGACTGCGCCGAACAACTGCCTTAAGTCGCCCTCAATATTGTCTATCTTCTGGACAAATGCGGTGAGAGTTCGTTCTAGGGCTGCGCTGCTTCCACCGACAATTCTTCGGGTAAAGTATCGCCTGTTGCCAAAATGATCCTTAAGCCCTTCCGCAAGAACTCCCAAGATGTCCTTGTAAATTCCCAATAGATCTCTCCGTTCTTCCTTCGATAAGGTTATAGGGTCGTATAGCTTTGGAAGCTGGTCAGCCAATTCTAGCAGTGTTTGGAAGCCTGACTGTTGCCGAAATGCATCCTTGACAGTTCGTGGCCGAGCATCGTCAATGAAGGTATGACGAAGGCATAGGAGGGGTTCGGTGGCTGTGAGGGCCAGCGGGAGAGTTATAGAGCGACCGGTGAGATTTTTGAGCTGATCGATAGCTGGAGCCAACTCCTGAGAGATTGCCTCGGTCGATTTAGACGGCGAGGAAGTGAGGAGGGGTGCTGGAGCCATGGCCAAAACTTATCCACGACCAGACCGGATGGTGGGTGACCACCAGAGACCGTGAATCAGCGATTGGCGTGATTATTGAAACGGTCTGCATCGGTATGCGCTGTTAGTGGGACCGGATGAAGTGGGGGCAAGCCATCCGAAAAGAAAGTTGCTATAGTTACTAGTAGTGCTCTGTGACTAAAAGCTGCCTTCAGAAGGATCGCCGATCCATTCTTGATATCAACAGCGGGGGCTTGTCAGGTGACCAGTGTTTTATGATTACAGATTACAAGGGCGGTTTCCGCTGATAAGGTGATAAACCGGTTGAAACTTAGCTCTCTCTAAGGTGTGGAGAAACCAGGATAAGACATTAATGCGGAGTCAATAAGTAAGGTTTATTTCTCTACTTTTTAACGCCTAAGTTAAGTTAACCTTGGGATGTCTATATTCCGATATCAGCCGAGGCTGAAGCACGCGACTTTGAGAGGGTCCAGTTAGTTGCCTAGATTCGTCATGGGAATTTGCAGGAATACCGAGGGCCGTGCAACTGTGGAAGATAGCTGCCAGGTACCCGGATTGAAGGATCTTACGATATACGGAGAGTAGGAGTAGTTGCTAAAATTAACTATGGATTTTCATACACATAGAATGCAGAACTTCGAACTAATCCAGATGTAACTATACCTAATCAGAAGATGCTCTTATCGCCGCAGGGTCTGGCACTGCCTCTTTACAATTCGGATTTCAATGTTTCTCGGTGGCAATACAGTATTTTACCGTATTTATTGCAACTTGGATCGACATTAGCCGCAATAATCGCTAATCTCGGTCATCTGACACTGTATACGTTCTGTCACCTCCAATCTCCGGTTGCGTCATCTCCTTCTCCGCCTTCCACAAGGGTAGATAAGGTCCTCTCTCACCTCACCTCCTCTTCTTCCTCCCATCTCTCCTCCACCTAAATTCCTCTTCACCACTGATTTTCATCTAATTCTTTCTTTTAACCTACATTTCACAGACGATCCTTCATCATGAAGGGATTCATCGGTCTGTTACTTCCGCTGCTTGCAGCTGCCTCTCCTATGGTCGTCGACTCTATTCACAATGGAGCTGCCCCCATTATCTCTTCTGTGAACGCCAAGGAGATTGCTGATTCGTACATCGTCGTGTTTAAGAAACATGTTGATCACTCGGTCGCTGCCTCACACCACAGCTGGGTTCAGGATCTCCACACCCAGACCCATATGGAGCTCAAGAAGCGTGGTCTTTTTAGCGAGAACCCCTTCAACGGTCTCAAGGATACTTTCAACATCGGTGGTTCCCTGATGGGCTACGCTGGTAACTTCCATTTGGATGTTATTGAGCAAGTTCGCCGTCACCCGGACGTGAGTCTCGAGTCTTTGTGGACACTCCCATTCCAGCCACCTCATTAACACATCTCATCAAATCAGGTCGAGTACATCGAGAAGGACTCCGAGGTGAACACCATGGAGAGCGAGAAGAACGCCCCCTGGGGTCTGGCCCGTATCTCCCATCGTGATAGCCTTTCCTTCGGAACATTCAATAAGTACCTTTACGCCAGTGAAGGTGGCGAAGGTGTTGATGCCTACGTTATTGACACCGGTACTAACACCGAACATACTGACTTTGAGGGACGTGCTTCTTGGGGCAAAACCATTCCTTCCGGCGATGCTGATGAGGATGGAAACGGTCACGGCACTCACTGCTCCGGTACTATTGCTGGCAAGAAGTACGGTGTTGCCAAGAAGGCCAACGTCTACGCAGTGAAGGTGCTCCGCTCCAACGGCTCTGGTAGCATGTCTGATGTTGTTCTTGGTGTCCAGTGGGCTGCGGAGAGTCACATCAAGAAGGCCAAGAAGGCAAAGGACGGTAAGGCCAAGGGTTTCAAGGGCAGTGTTGCCAACATGAGTCTCGGCGGTGGTAGCTCTCGTACTCTTGATCTCGCTGTGAACGCCGCTGTTGATGCCGGCATTCACTTCGCCGTCGCAGCTGGTAATGACAATGCTGACGCCTGCAACTACTCTCCTGCCGCCGCTCAGAAGGCTGTCACCGTTGGTGCCTCTACTCTTTCTGACGACCGTGCTTACTTCTCCAACTACGGCAAGTGCACCGATATCTTTGCTCCTGGCTTGAACATCTTGTCCACCTGGATTGGCAGCAAGTACGCAGTGAACACCATCTCCGGAACCTCGATGGCTTCGCCTCACATTGCCGGTCTGCTGGCTTACTACGTTTCCCTCTACCCTGCTTCGGACTCGGCCTATGCTGTTGATGAGATCACCCCTAAGAAGCTTAAGGATACTTTGATCAGCATCGCCACTGCCGGAGCCCTCCAGGATATTCCTTCGGATACCCCTAACGTGAGATCCCATCCTCTCTGAATCTTTTCTTACGTCAATTCTAACTTGATTACTAGCTCCTCGCCTGGAACGGTGGTGGCTCGTCGAACTACACCGAGATTGTTTCCAAAGGAGGATACAAGGCCGGTATCCAGCACAGCTTCTCCGACCTCGTCGATGAAGCTGAGAAGGTTGAGAACGATATGGTCAAGCAGTTGACTGCGATCTACAGCCAGATCAAAGACACTGTCTCCTCTTAAGACTATATACACCGAAATGAGTCCTGCCAGTTACGGGCCTCTGGCATGGTACGGATACGCTGGCGTAGTTTGCATCTTTTTATTTTTTTATTTTGGGTTATTACAGGTTGGCGACTACTATCGTCCTACGGTATACGGCAGTATACAGCCTCCTTGCTTTCCGATCATTAAAGGCTTTACAACACATTTCATACACAGTTAGCTTAGAAACTGCTTGGAAATTTTGCACCTTCAGTATCCGTAGGTGATTTTTTGCGAAGGGCACAACACTAGAGATTGATCTACCCTTTGGCTTCGGCCCATATTAGTAATTGCACATCGGCATCTAGTTAACATTTCTCATTCAACTATTCCAAATTCTGGGATTATATGTTAGATCTGAAAATAGGATGAGGTGACCGAGGTGAGAAAGAGGTGATAGAAGTGAAACTCATGTCTTCGACTGACCCGTGGACTACTCAACCTTGAAAATCTGACTTCTCTTTATAACTATCTGACCATTTGAAGATGAAATATTCCAGACATTACCTAGACAAGTAGGCTTCGAGCGAATAACGAGAGTTGTGGTTGAAACATCCAATCTGAATAATATTTACTCCTTGACTCTTTCCTAACCAGCTAATGGGGCGCTCAGAGTCTCAGAAACGGCCCCTTTCATAGATTACCGATTTCTTACGGACCTCCAACCCATATGAAAAGTAACCAAATGGATATTTTTCTAGTTCTCTCGCTTTATATCTAAATTTATCACCCAGAACCTATGAATATTATACTAAGAATACCGAAAAGGTCAAACTTCCAAGGCTCAGATCTTATTTAAAATCTAACTCAGTGCCGTAACCGTAACCTCCATGCTGCCCCTAATATCATCGAACTTTATTCGAGTAGCTTTTAATTCATAGTAGAGACTACGAGGGCTTATATCACATTGGAAACCCTGTCGACTAGCCCTGAAAGGAGATGAGTGACATTTTGGCTCCTAGGCATCAAGAACATGATCCCCTTCGACAAGTGGTCGAGCGTGTGGCAGCTGCTCCTCGGCGGAACATCCCAGCTTCCAGTCTGCTGGAGTTACTGGACGATAACTATCTACAAATTTCTTATAAAGGGCTTGATTTGGACCCGAAGAATACCCTAGAACATTCCAAGTCGCTCAGGGCCGTTGGACCAGTCAGCGAAGAGCTGGTTCGGAAGTACATTCATACCAGGAAGGAGATTGGGTTTTTGAACCGAGCCATTATTACGCTATGATAAACGCAAGACATAAAGCGAAATATTTATCGAAACATAAGTTGTTAGGAGATTTGATCGGTGGAAAAATGAGGTTCAATTCCTTTGGCGGATGTTGGAGGAGTGTTGTACAGTCAAAACACAAAAAAGTCAGTATCTAATCGAGATCATGAATTACAAGTGGAAAACCAACTTTACTATTATGCATACTGTGGATTCTATATGGTAATGGAGGATCAGGCCGTGACATACATGGGCTATGAAAGAACAATTAAATAGAGATTTCGGCATTCAAGGAGAGATAGCTTGACTGAATCTATTCCTACGTCCTAGGCGGAAACACCACAGTTCCCTACAATAATACCGCACATAGGCATGGCGATTTGATAGTGTCTTAGGCAAGTTGTACGGCTTAGTTTTAACTGGTCAGTAAAGTCGATATTCCTGGAATATGTTGACTGTTGGTGACATTACGGCTCACGACCAAACAGCATTGATAACAACGTAAGTGTAAGCATTTATCTAACTCATTTGCATAAAGCACTATCGATGATTACTCAAAGACTATACAGGGATTGCTAGAAAGTAGCAATTTCCATATTATACCTGAGCCATATTATACCTGAGCTCATAGCTCATAACTCATAAGTCCATAATAATTGCCAAAATTAAAGGCCATATGTCGCTGGATGTTGCCATTGGGCGGCCAAACTCGCCACGGCGTCAGTAATATCCAAGATCAGCGGATCCTGGGCCTTGCCGGAAAACAGGCCAAGTTGGACCCAAAAAAGTCCCCAAAAGTTGAAGTTGAAATTATATTATGAATATCATTATTGTTACCAGCACCCATATGTATCCCTCAACATAGAATCTTAATCAGTCATCGCTGCCATTCATTGATTAGGCAGAAGAAAGACATTCTGCTTCACCCACGAGCTTCGTCAGTTCATTCAAAACCCGTGACAGATCACTATCATCTGGGTTACTGAATTTTACGAGGTCCGAATGGTTCCGGTTCAAGGGTTCCATTCTCACGTTTGCAATCCACCGTCCACCATCTGTAGCCGAATCTTTATTGACAAGGATTTTCTTGGGAGTTCCTGTCATTTTCCATTCGCCATTTTCAAACTATTATGAGATTAATTTCAAAAATTGTATAATGAAAGCGGATGTGGCATACCTTAGGGCAGCAAGATTCTTCCAGTTCGTAGAAGTATACTATTTTTGGCTTTCCACTTGCGAACCTCAACTTAAACTTTTGACTGAGATCTGTTAGAGTCTCGGACTCGGGGCTGATCGATCTTACTAATGATTCATTGGGCTGTCCACGTATCATAGCTTCAAGGGCCGTGGTTTCCATGCCATGGCTCGGAACGCCAAAGAAAAGCGCACCATAAAGATTGTGGATAATGGTTCCAGGTTCTGGATTATCACTTTCTTGAAGTAGGGCTTCTTTTACAGTCAACCCTCCAAGACTATGAGCGATGAATATTGAGGGCACAGAGAATGATGGTAGTATCGCATGGGTTGGTAAAGTGTCCACAGTAGAGACTCGTCTCCTTGTCACAATCTTCAACTCGTTCCGTAGCAGCATCCCGAGCTCTTTAAGACTCTGCGTTGATTCATTGCCATCAAGCCTTGTCTTTGAACCATACGTCATAATGCGAGCAGATGGATAGTCTTTGTGGAGATCATTTATCCACATGAATGACTGTGAGACTCCCTTATGCTTAAAAGATCCCCAAGCATGGCCTCCCAGGCCAGCTACTGCACAGATGCTAAGACAACAACTATTAATATTATAAATATCTTAAACAAGGAACAAGAAACATACTCGATGGTGTGTGGTACATCTCGAGGGGCGTAAAGCACAGTCACGCCACGAAAGTGAGTGTCAACGGTGATATGAGAGTCTTCATTCGAAAAAACCCATTCATTTTTACTGGGATCTGAAAGAAAGCTTGGTCGAGGTTTGAGTGAAATGACTGCTACCTGGGACTCTCTTGCTTGACTGACGGCCAAAGATTTGACATGTCCCTTGACTTCAGGTTCAAGACCGAGCTGAACAAAAAGAAACGGTAGCAAGTTTTCTTCTGTACAATCAAGCGTTATCCCTCGGATACGGTAATCCATATCCTTTGCGGTGGAAAGTCTATCAGGTATTCGAGGCGTTCGAGGAGGTAGGAGCGAGGACCGCAGGGTTTGTTCGGTTTGCTCAATAATCAAATTGCGTGGTGATGGAAATGGAGGAATTGGGGGCCAATTCGGCTGAGATCCAGCAAAAAAATCGTCTAAAATCCCCTGGAATTCTCTTTTTTCTAGGCAGTAACGTCAGTGATAGCTCTTTGGCATGTAGTGCCTCTTCGGCGTTGAAATTAGGGTCAAAGATACCACCCGAAGTAGTGAACTCAATGGTTAAATGGGCCATATTTCTTATTAAATCCTTTACAGTCGCCCCTTGACTATCTATTTCAGTTTGAAAGTCTCTCGTGTTCAAGTCGTTAGCTGATTCAGCCCTGGAAGAACCAAGTAGAACGCTCAGCCTTCTCATTAGTAGACCAGATCTGGCTTTTCTGGTTCGCAAGTTGAGGCGGACTTTATTCTCCGAAACAATATTTATCGCCTGACTTATTATATGAAGTGGGACATCGATGTGAAAGTATGGTCGACTCTCCTCTACGAGGAAGGAAAGCGATCTATTCTTCCCATCCAAATCTGACCAAAGCTTTAAAGGCTGGGCATTCCCTTCTATGCCGCGAGTAGAGTTGATTCCTTCAACGCCGAAAGTATGTAGCAGGATCTTTCCTCTAAGAGCAGATTGGAATGCAACACCAGTCTCAGGGGAATCAAATCGGTAAGTGGGCTTGCGTCCATCGTAACGAGAAGTTAATCCTTCACACATGTCAATAGTAGAAGGCTCAAACAGTCGGATCCCTCGAGCGTTAAAACGTCGATGCGTTGTAAATGGATGTATCTGAGTTATTGGAGGGACTGTTTTTTGGTTAGTATCCATTTCATAGTATTTAGAAGGGTGCCTAACGATGCTGGATGATGCCTGATATATTGTCCTTCCTGCTGCTGATAATCCATCTGCTGCCTGGACTATCAACAATATCGATTGTATCCAAAGGCTCTTCTTCTTTTTCCACGTCCAATTGGCTAGGAAAACTTTCAATTAATAATTTTCTATAACAGGGAGGATGAATCTCACAAGGTAGCTGGGTTCCCTGTTCCATCATAAGTGTAAATTCGCCTCCGAAGGGTCGGAGCTAGTGATTGCTTTCGATATGCTTTTTGTCGCTGGTTAAGTGAATTTTTAGAGTAAGAATGAAGACCTGCGCATTCTAGGTGGAAATCCCTCGAGAATATCGATGCAGTGTCATCTGAAACAAGCTGGTGCTCTCTGAATCTAGCAAGTACTAGCTGCCATAAGTGCTTCTGCTGTGATTTGGCGAGAGAAGGCGCTCCTTTTCGTTTCAGAGCAGTGTGAAGTTCTGAGAGATATCTGTAGAGAGACAAGGTCTCACTCTCAACTTCTCTATCGAGGCTTGGTAATGAAGCCCCTTCAGCTGCGACTGTCCGAGAAATATGGAGTCCCGACTGGTGGATGATGCTTAAAAGAAGATCCCTTGCGATTTGATGAGTATTTATTTTTGAAAGGTTGTTTTACATCCAAACACTGGAATTTAGAGGAGTTTTGAAACTTACAAAATAATGTCATCAATCTTAGCATTCATCACATGAATTTGCAGCTGCAGGCGCCTCTCCAGGTGCTCCAAGTCCGATTTATTGTAAACATAACAGCTATATTGATGGAGTAAGTGTGATCTTTGATTTGTGTTTTCGCAATCATGATAAAGGAAGTCAATACATTCGTCCCATGTTTGCTGAAACTTATGAAACCATTCTAGTTCGATTGCCTCGTCTTTCAAAATCTGGCGAAAATGCGGGAATGTGAGATAGAACCTATGAAAACCATTGACAACGTTTCGAATCTCATCAGATGAAAATGAGGAAAGAGGTTTTGCCCTCGAGCAGTCAGCCCAAAGCCTCCAGGTGGACATGGCGAAAATAACAGACACCAGAGAATTTCCTCGACGAACCCATACTAAAGCCCACGTTGATAAGTCACACGACTGCCATGGAATTATGAGCAAAAAGCCCAATCGATATATGCAATCTGTAAATAAGAGAGCACGTTGTGATTTTGAACCTGTTGAATGGTCGAATGACATGATTAGGCGTTGCAACACTAGTGGTGGGTGACAAAAGTACAGTTGGCGAACCCGTTACTCTCGTATTTCAGATACGAGGTAAGTTTATATTTATCCATCACAGGGCTAAACATCTTGGACTTTGATATTAAGCTGGATCATATTTACTCACCGTGGTTATGGAAATTAAACAAGAACTTGATCGAACGAATCCCCCAAAGAAACTACGAAGATTTGTTAATGGACTGCCTTTCCCGCTTGGCGATCATCCGTGGTGGATTGATGCTACAACTCGTGCGGCTGAAGACAAGGACACTGATCCAAGAGTACATCAAGAACAGGTTATTGACATCCTTGATCACAAAGGCTTCTATGTTCAGGCCTTTGTTGTCTCTGCGCTGGGATTTCTTGCAGACTCGTACGCTCTCTTCGCTACAAATGTCATCCTCCCTTTACTGGCTTTCTTATACTGGCCTGATCGAACAGACAGCCTTCCAGAGTTATATATCAATGTCGCTACTTTATCAGGATCAGTTATCGGCCAGCTACTGTTTGGTTGGCTGACTGACCGACTGGGGCGAAGAAAGATGTACGGTCTCGAGCTTGTTCTAGTCATATTTGCGACTCTCGGAATGGCTCAGGCCTCAACAGGTATACATCAAAACATGAATATCTTGAGCTGGATAGTCTTCTATCGCTTCTTTCTCGGCCTAGGCATCGGTGCCGAATATCCTCTTAGTGCGGTGATAACTGCTGAGTTCGCTAGTACGAAATACCGAGCTCGTATGATGGCACTTGTGTTTTTGATGCAACCACTGGGTCAAGCCCTTGCATCAGCTATCGGCTGGGGAGTTATGACCAGGTTGATGAGATCACGAGGCCTAGATAACCTACCAGATCAGGGACCGGCATTTGATCAACTCCCCATAGACCTGCAATACCTTATCATGGCAACACTTGATAGTGTTTGGCGCTGGGTGATTGGTGCTGGCTGCATTCCCGCCCTACTTGCGATCCTTTGGCGATTTTCAATTCCTGAATCACCTCGTTACATTATGGAAGTGGACGATGATGCCCCTAAAGCACTTGCAGTTACAAAACGCCAGCTAGCGCAAACTGTAGCCTCGATGGAATCGCAAAGAACATCGTCCGATGGCCGTGAAAATCCAAGTCAACCAGCTTCCAGTAATATCATTTTGACTCTATCTTCACTAAACTCACCAGAGCCACTGCATCAACTACCTCATCAGCCACAGCAAGGGCGTACTTTAGCATTTTGTACGGAGTTCTATACTTTTCTGAAGGATGGAAACTGGCGATATCTTGCAGCTACATCTATTTGTTGGTTCCTATTTGACTTTTGCTTCTATGCGCTGGGAATTAATTCTCCTCGTCCTCTTGCTGCCCTTTGGGCCTCCGCCGTTCCCAATATCACAGTGGTCACTACCCTTCCAACGGTTGCGGCTACAATCACAGCACCGATTACTCAAGCTGTGTCTATCAGTGGTACCATGTACAATATTTCAACCTCAGTCCTTGTGAAAGTGCCACTTCCGACAAAAACTATGATGATTAATGCTTCTGCTACCGATCCCAGCTTCAGTGCGCCCAATTACGTCAATATCTGGCACCCAACAAGCAATATGTTCCATGAGCTCTGCTATAATTCATATGTTTATATCTACACGATCTCTATTACGTCCTTGCTTGGAAGTGCTGTTCTTGTTCTTCTTATTGACTATGTTTGGCGGAAGACGTGGCTGGTAACATCATTTCTAATTCTTAGTGTCCTTTTCGCAATTCTGGGAGGTGTTCTGGTGGCTACTGAGTTCCACGGCGGGCATTGGGCCAATGTCATCCTTTATGCCATCTGCCAATTTTTTTTCAACCTTGGTAAGGCTTCATCAGGAGAATAAGAAATTTTCTCTTTTATATACGAGATACTTTGCTGATTTCTGTATAGGACCAAATCCCTTGATCTATATTGTGAGTGGTAACATATTTTCAACAGCTAAGGCACCAATAACTAATTATTTCCAGATAGCCGCAGAAATCTTTCCTACAAAATTTCGTTCCACCTGCCACGGAATATCAGCTGCAAGTGGAAAGATCGGCGCTATTATTATAACCGCTGTGACCCAAACATCTGCCATAAGGACCAATCCGCATGCTTTAGGTATACTGCTCGGAGTCTTCTCAATACCTTTAGCTATGGGTGCACTATTCGCATGGGTATGGCTTCCGAATTTACAGATAAAGCCAAATGAACCAGCTCGAGCAATGCGATTCCCATGGCTAATGTCTAAGAGTTTAGAGAGGCTGGGCAAGGGGTGGAAATATGCTACTGCTGACTCGGCCATTGATCCTAGAACTAACTTACCAAAAGGGGAAAGCCAGAAACTCGGGTTCTCTAAGAAGATTGGTGATCTATGGAGGCGAAAGAAGAATTTTGAGGAGACACCAAGGTAGTTGAATTCATTTCTGGGGGCATCGAGGGAAGACTAATGTGGATATTGCATAATGTATAAATTTAACCCCTCGCCTGTCTTTTCCCCTCTACAATAGCAAAATTACTCCTTGCCCATGTAATATTATAAAAGAGCAAAAACCACCAAATAGATCCAATGAACATCATGCCCAGCGCCACCAACAGTAAGCTCGCAGTTGTGAATACCACAGAAGCTCTTTGGAACGCACCATTGCCCTGAAGAAACCCAGTCCCTAATCCAACCTGCATCGAGCTTGCTATAATACTAACAAGCCCAAAAAGAGAAAAAAGCCATGTGAAGTTTCGCTCTAAAAACACTTTTGAAGAGCTCGGCTTAGACTTGAAGCCTCGAACGAAGTTGCGCAATGAAAAGACTTCTGGTGCAAGCCGGTATATGAGATTCAGACGAGAAAGACGAAGTTCTCCAAAGTGATAGCGTCGTGATATCGAATTCAGTGTCTCACAATTGATATTCAAGAGTAGATCTGCAACAAAAAGAATCCACGTCTCCCATTTAATAGTCAAGGGAAGGAGATTGGCGTCGTGAGCAATAGCCAGGTCGGACTTGGAGCGTATAATCCAGCAGTATGACAAAAGAAGTCCACAAGCGGACTCGTATAGTACTCTACTTTGGATCAAAGCGTCTCCTTTGGCGCTCCAAAAATCATGGTTGAGGAGGTATTCTGGCAGGGGCTTAATGAATATTCGTGCGTTGTCCCAAACAAGATGTTCACTTGGGTTTTCAGTGATCAAAATAGTACGGCCTAGGATAGCCTGGCGATGCAAAGGATGAGCAGCCTGTGGAGGCCCCGCTAGCCAGAGATATGAGTAAATTTTGTCCAAGCCTTGTGTGCAAAGATCTGTATGGAGAAACTCTTGGCTTGGGCGTTCGAAATCAAACCCTGCATTTGGACCATAAGGACAGAATAAAGGAAAAGTGCCTTGTAGCTGATTTTCCTTTCGAAATGGCGGATTGAAGAGGGTCTCGATAATGTTAATACCAAGGTAGCAACTAATAGACATGAATCCCATAAAAAGATAAAGAACTCACTGGCTTTTTTTCAGTCCCTAATTCCGAATTTGCTGGTTGCATTGTACTATTAGCGTACCAACCCGTCTTGCAATTTTCCACACTGCTTGCCACTGTAAAAGAAATCGAAGTCCAGCGCTACGTGATTAGAGGTGATTGGCAGTATTTATCACTGAGGCTTTGTTTCTAGGAGCGTGGAAATAAGAGGCAGAGGCTGGTTTTGCCTCGGCTGTTTTGCATCCGATAATTACGTATCAGGTTGGGCAATTACTCCGCAAATTTACACAGGAGGGAAAAGAGCTTCATGGGTTTCAGAATTTAAAGAACTCGAGGCAACCAGAATTAGTCGTATGAGTCATGACTCAATTGCCTAGTTCCCTCATATTGAGCACAAGGCAGACTTGATGTCTTCCAATCATTCTGCCGTGGGCTTGAGGCGCTGCAGCGCTGGTCGATCTTGAAACGCGAACAAAGGAACTGATTTGGGAATTATAATTTCCTCAGGGACGGTGCGACACTGTCCGAGATAATCATGGGAATAACCTCACGGCTCTGAACTAGTCAGTTCGTCGCAAGCTACAGAGGATTCCTGGGGATCCCTTAGGGTACCTAGGAGCAGCTGCTATATAAACGCTTTCGGGGTCACAGACCCCCTAATCAAGCTGACGAAATTTGAACCTCCAAATCCTCATATAGACCAGCTGGGGAGAGTGTTCATTAATCGATCAGCAGGCGCTACATTAGCTGAATGACGGAAGCTCACCGATTCAGTAAGCTACTGACCTGCCTGATGAGCGTTCATTACACCAAGACAAGGCATTTCTATTCCCACTTCCAGAAGACTAGGCTATCTTTGTGGGTATAAGTTTTATGTTAGCTACTGAGCTTTGAAGGACTCCTTCAAGGGTTGATCTTTCTACTAAGCTGAATATAATGTTGATCCATCTTCCCCCTATACTTCACATCTTCTTTACAAAAGTCTCTTGGTTTACGGATCCAAAACGCATATTAGAACTAAACAATGACATCAAACAGGATATTTCAGAGGATCTTTGCGAAGATTACTCTACATTCCTCTCAAAAGCACTTTTTATGGATCCTACACTCCTGGGACATCTAGAAACACCAATTCCGCCCATAAACAATGAGGTCTTTTCATCAATGACCGTAAAGCTGTATTAAGACTCTCAATTATTCACTTAATAGATCATACATACTATATCAAAGGCTGGGTATGATATTTCAGAGAAGAAGTTGAAGGAAATTCAAGGAAAGCTTAACATATTATGCTCGCATGTTCCATGTTTTCGTCCATACTATAGCATTTCTAGCACCCTGTAACGGCTTGGAAAGGAAAAGGTATTTGAGAATGAGATTTCCTGCGCCTAAGGCCTAATATACAGTTTTTCTCTCGGTTTACAAATCCATACCGCATATTGGAACTCAACCCTTACATTTGTACCCAGCCAAACCCATACTCATGTCTATATGATTTTATTAGAATAAAAAAAATTCACAGATGATAGCTAGTAGCTATGAGGATCACTGAGTTGAGTTAAGATTTTTGACCCGGCCTAACCCAATGCCCATGTCTAGCTAATTACGTCAGAGCGATATTCTGAGATATCCTTAGAAACCGACAGTAACATTTCTAGGCTGTCCCACTCACCACTTATCCATGTAGTTCCGTCGGATCGCTCTCTGCTTTTAATTCGTATAGTCGATTAGATACTCCCTGAGTCGTTATCATCGGGCTCGAACGATATTCAGTTACATTCCAAAGTTCGTTTCGGGTATTCCCAGTAGCCTTGGATCGGCGTCGCACTTGAAGGCAGTAGAACGCTAAGACCGACACAGCCAGTATCAAAGGTACGCCTAGGCCCACAGCTAGTCCTACTTCAAGTCCAACTTCTGACTTATTCGAGGCGCTTTTATTTGAGGCTGACTCAGAGGTATATGTTGTGAAATTTGCTGAAGACGTAGTGGATGAAGAATCGCCCAAAGAGCTGGAAGAGTTGTTCGTAGAGCAAGATGATGTGTTGGTTGATGAGGTAGACAAGACGCCGTTCTGAGCCGCAGTCACATTGACACCAGAGTCTCCCTCCCACGTCCATGTTTCTATATTCTGCTCACAGGCAGTCTTGCCATCGACTGCAGTACTGCAAGTAAAATTACCTGTCGCGGTGCCAGAGCATGTCAAGAGATTAGCCCATTGGTCTGTGATTGCTGTAAATTTCAGAGAAGTACGCTATTAGCCTTTGAATAGAATTGCCCGTAAGTTGCTGTGATATATAATACGTACTAGTATAACATGCCCGGGGGCAATAGCCAATCGGCCATGACAAATCGGTGCAGGCACCGCGGTAGGCAATGTTGTATCTCCCCGCGTAACAGATACCATTCGAGAGGCAGGCCTCGCCTTTCAGGCAGCAGACCTTACTATCAGGACAGGAAACATAATTTACAGCAGTGTCGCCGTTGGGCCAGTAACATTCTGCAATCGTCGAAGAGGCGAGAGCTACCAGAAAGAGAGCTGTTCGTGTCGCCATGTGAGTTTGAGATGTCCAAAAACCAGACATTGATGCAAAAGTTTTGGCAAAGAGAGCTTGGGGCCACAACTACATTCATATAATAATAGCCCCAGTTTCCTCTCCATTTCTATTTAGCTTTCTCTTCAGATAACCAATCAACTTCCCGTGAGCGAACGATATTAGAGGTAACAGGGCCCTCTCTTAGGCTAACTGTCGCTAATTGGTGTGGTTTAGGCCTGACACAAATTACACATTAGGGTGTGATAGATCCTGCATTAGTGCGGCGGGTAATATGCAACAAGTGTTGCGGTTACGCGAACTAAAGACGTGGGTTATTCTTGTACTTTTTTGTGCCAAGCCTTTTTCCCTTGCGCTGAGCCTCTACTGTGCCTGTCTCGAGGTTGAGGTACATGTGCCGGCATAAGCCCCTGTCTAGCGGGTTTGGAATCGAGTCGCGGGAGCTTATTTTGATATGGAGATTCTACAACCTGAGATGTTAGGAACAAGGAACGTCACCGAGAGAAAGAGCCGTACTATGGCAGTATTGCGCCTTGTAATGTAATGAGCATTCTAGTGCGTACAGAAATACACGTATTAATGGTTAGTTTATTGAATGTGTCAAGATCCTGATATTAAAATACCTCTAAGAAATCCTCCGACAGAAGCCAGCAAAGGTACCTTGATAGTCAGTAATAACTGATTTCCACAACAATTGCATGACGAAGACAAGAAAGAACGGCCAATTGAGACTTAAAAGCAGGTAATCCTCGTTATGTGCGTCAGTCATGGATCATTAGGTATGTTTTATAATAAGACTTGGTTTAGCGCCTTCTTTCCGCCATTACACCGAAAGAAGAATAAATCGATAGTCTAGCCAATTAAACCCCATGATGGCTTTTCCAACAACCGCGTTTACTGTCATCTTGACATAGGGCAAATCTCATACACCGAGTAAGAATTACCCTTGAATGAGATCGCTCTATTTTCTTTCTGTTATAACCGTCAGATCAAATCAAAGTGTGCAAGATGAGACGGGAGAAAATGCGGAAGCACTCTCTGAAATGCAAATATGTTTCCCGAGCAAGGCAATGAAAGAGTTTACGACATCAATCATCAGATCCGGCCAGACAATTCAAGCTCTAAAGGAAAGGGAAAGAAACAGAAATGTTACTGAAGCGGAAGCCGAACCCCGGATCGGCACATCGAGGATTCATATAAGTAGATCGCAAGGGCCATTGCTAGCGCCAGCAAAGTTGTGAGCCATAGTCATCCACTGTCCAATGCCTTTATTTCTAAACTCCGCTATATAACCGCCTGCGTTCGCGAATCGCTCCGGTTGTGGCCGACTATCCCTGTCATCGCTTTCAAACCCAAAGATAAACAAAATCCCACAATATTTGGCAAGGAAAAGTTTTCTTTGATGCCGGGCCAAACTATAATTGCTCTCCTGCCCGCCATTCATCGAGATCCAGACGTCTGGGGGGATGATGCAGATGAATTTAGGCCAGAAAGAATGGTAGACGATAAGCTAAATGCTCTGCCGAGGAATGCCTGGAAGGTACGCCTTTATATTTTCTTGTTTATTAATCTTTAGTACCCAGGTACTCATTATAATCATTTCTTAAGGCCTTCGGAAATGGCGCTCGTGGCTGTATTGGTCGACCATTTGCTATGACTGAGATGGTATTGATCACCGCACTGCTCGCACAAAACTTCGACGTCGACCAGGATGACCCCGACTATGAACTCAATATTGACCAGATTGTAACTTTGCGGCTAGCGGACTTCTTCCTCCGCGTGAAACTAAAACCAGGCATCGACTCTGTGCAGCTCGCCAATCAGCTTTTTAATGATCAGGAAGCTAAAAAGAGGCCTCGCGCAGAATCAACGATAACCCAAGCTGCGAAAAATAACTTAAAGCCCATCACCGTTCTTTATGGATCTAATACCGGAACATGCGAGTCTCTGGCTCGCTATTTTAGCCGTGACGCCTCCCGATATGGGTTCAATCCCATAGTGCTACCGTTGAACTCAGCATTAGACAAGCTACCGATTAACTGGCCGGTCATTATTCTAACAGCTAGCTATGAAGGACAGCAAGCTGCCAATGCGGCCGATTTCGTTTCGTGGCTGGAAGCTATCGACAAGCCCATTCTGTCTAAAGTCTCGTTTGCAGTCTTTGGCTGTGGAAATCGCGACTGGGCGGCGACATTCCACCGCATCCCGAAACTTATTGACGAACTGCTGAGTGATGCGGGAGCCAAACGCTTGCTTGAATTAGGGCTGGTTGATGTGTCCTCAATGGCTGTGCAAGAGACATTGGAAGATTGGTCCAAGAATCAACTATGGCCGGCATTACAAACTAGATATAAGGTTCCAGAGCTCCGACCTTTGCCCAGCAAGTTAAGGGTTGAGTTCGCCAACCATTTGAGGCAAACCTTCAAGCAGCAGGAGTTCATTGAAGCCTCCGTGATAGAGAACGGATTGCTCACAGCACCGGAGGTCAAAGCAAAAAGACACCTTGAGCTTGCGCTTCCACCTAATGCTGAGTACAAAGTCGGTGATTATCTGCATATCCTACCAATTAACCCCCAAGTCATTGTGCAAAGGGCGATGAGACGTTTCTCTCTTATGGAAGGTACATACATGAAAGTTACTGGTGGCCTATCAACATTATTACCCACTGGTACAGAAATATCCGTGGAGGAGGTTTTAAACAGATATGTTGAGCTCTGCCAACCTGCCACACAAAAGGTAAGAATTCCTAATCTAACTATACTCTATTATGAACGCTAACATCCCACAGAACCTGGAACAGATCACATTATCGACCCCTCATTTATCAGAGCGAGAAAGGGTTTGCCACCAGGCCCCCTCAGCAACCTCTCTTCAGGACAAGAGAATCAGCATTTTAGACCTTCTAGAGCATGCTGCCTCATCCACGATATCTTTCGCAGACTTCGTCTCCATGCTGCAGCCTCTTCGAGCCCGGCCATACTCTATCTCTTCCTCTCCCTTGAAGTGCACAAGATCATGCTCTCTAAGCGTGTCCATTGTAGATAATCTAGAACCAACAGCAGAGGAAAAGCGAGTCCTCGGCATCTCAACACACTACATTAGTGGCCTAAAACCGGACCAACGAATCCTCTGCTTCATCCGGCCATCAAACCCCGGTTTCAATCTCCCGGATTCTCCAGAAACAACGCCAATGGTGATGATCTGCGTTGGGTCTGGAATTGCTCCATTCCGCGCGTTTGTTCAGGAACGAGCTTGTCGTGCCAAACAAGGAAAGAAACTTGCGCCCGCTTTTCTTTTCTTTGGGTGCAAATCACCCACGAATGACAAACTTTATGGGCCAGAACTCGATCAATGGGAAGAAGCAGGGATTGTCACTGTGCGTTATGCTTATTCTGGACTCCCTAGTAGAGAGCATGTCCAGGATAAATTGTGGAATGAGCGCGAGGCTCTTGTTGGTATGTATAGAGATGGGGCGCGTTTCTATCTATGTGGACCGCTTGCGCTAAAAAATTCGGCTCTCGCGGTGGCGAAAAGGATCTATATGTCTACCGCTGAGGCGAATGGGGAGGAAAGTAGTGAGAACGAGTATCAGAATTGGCTGGCAAAAATGAATAGGGGGAGGTTTGCAGTGGATAATTTTGCTTAAAAAGCTGTGGAGTATGCAGTTGGGGACTTTCTTATGCTTAGACAGTGATGAACGTTTAATACATCTTTTCATTTTGTTCTTCATTTGACTTTGATGATATTCAGTCAAGTACCAGTCAATCAAGCCCCAGGAGAGGAATAAGATTAGGTCTCCAGGACCTCATAGTTTCACAGTCTGTTACTATGTTACTATGGAAGGCAATGGGAAATACATCGATACGTGTTTTTAATGCGCCCATAAAACGATCGACTCAAGTTCAACTGGCTATACCATCATTTCGACATAACTTATCATGCTGTCTCCTAACGAAGGGCCAAACAATCCATGCCAGAGCCATAAGCAAAGAGTCCACAATTCCAAAGCCTCTCTTGGGGGTTGGACCAAGCATGTTACTCAGCAGAAAAGAACTCTCAAAATAATACCAGATAGCATACTCGTCTCTAACCACACCATTCAAGATCCGTCGCGCCACTTCAGTGGGTGAAGGCGTCTTCTCTATCAACTCGTACACAGGTTTATCCGTACCCTCTATGCGCTTGGTAAGCTCAGGCTTGTACTTCTGCTCTTCGATGAAGGAAGAAGTCACAAAGTTCGCTGGAAAAGCGCAGTGGACTTTGTAGCTCACGGCGGCGGTGTTGTAACGGAGGACCTCTTGACGGAGAGTGTCCGCAACCCCACGGACCGCACATTTCGTGGCTATTTTTGAGTAATTATCTGAGCTTAGTTTTCTTATAACAGGTCAATAGGAAGGAAAGGGCATACGTGTGTAGGCAATATATCCCGGGACCCCAACAAATGCTGCAACACTGCAGGTGAATGTTATATGTCGGCTTCGTGGCTTGCAATCAGAGTCTCTTTGCGGAAGCGGCTCTGTATTGACCCAAATCCGTAGCATGGCCTGAGCCATGAAAGCGGCGGTGAAGTAATTCGTATTCATGCATGATCGAATATCCTCGGGGTCTTTGTCAATCAGGTAGCCTAGCTCGACTGTCGCGCCGCCTACGACACAGAATAGAGAATCAGGCTCGGGAAAGGCAAGAAAGGCATCAGAAATCTGGAAAGCCACGTTAGTGTGCTGTGACTCTTTGCTCAAAGAGACTTCTCACCTGCTCTGGATCTGAGAGGTCGACAGATCGTGTCTGAATCAACTGATCTTTCTTAGTCAACTTCTCCAGGGAATTTCTTGCGATGTCGAGCTTTTTCTGATCCCGCGCAAAAAGGACTATATGCGCGGCATTTGCGTTGATAAGTAGTGCAGCGAGCTCATAGCCCAGCCCTTTCGAGCCACCACCAATAAAGATAGTCTGCTTCTGTCAGTTGTTGAATTCGTTCTGAGGTGAGAAATACTAACCTGTCCAGAGAAATCCATAATGACCTGTGCTTTGCCTCCTTGTCTTGAAAAATTGCAGCTGAGCTCTACGGTCTAAGTAGCGGCGGCGGAACCCGTCTTACTGTGTTCCCTTCCCCGTCGGTCCGCCTTAGCCCTAAGTTTGTACCTACCGCTGCCGCTCCGCCTTGGCCCTAAGTTTGTACCTACCGCTGCCGCTCCGCCTTGGCCCTAAGTTTGTACCGCTGCCGCTCCGGACTCTCCAATATGTCAGGTACAAGTATATAAGAGTGTGTAACAATTATAATCTGGTTTTCAACATCATCCATCTCAAGTCAGAGAAGCGAGCCGAAGCAACCAACATGGCGAACAACTCAGGACTTCTCATGATGGCCAAGGTATTGGAGGCTCAAAAGCCTAAGGCGCACGAGATGAAAGACGCTCCCGCATTCTACCAGAACCTAGAGAAAGTCCTAGACAAGCGCCGCATGGATCAGACAATGCTGACTTTGCTTCCTGCCCGCCCAGTGGTGGACTTCTCTTCCTGCGATATTTTGTCGCTGTCCAAGTATATATACCCTTCTCTCAACTATGGGACTGAAAGCGGCTCATTGATATGTGTGATATAGGTCTGGTCTGCTTCGAATGGCCTTTATAGAAGAGCTGGAAAAAAACCCCGACTTTGTTCTGGGGAGCAGTGGCTCACGCCTCATGGACGGAAACCATGCGTATGTCGAGGAACTTGAACAAGAGATTGCAGAGTTCCACCGCGCGAAGACTGCTCTTTTCTTCGACAGCGGATTCGATGCTAATACTGCCATTTTCTCGGTGATACCTCAGCCTGGAGACGTCATTGTCTTTGATGAACTCGTGCACGGCAGCATCCACGAGGGGATGCGGACTAGTCGTGCGACAACCCGTAGGTCTTTCCAGCATAACAGTCTAAAGTCCTTTGGTGAGGTTCTTACTCATTTCCATGGGACTCTGCCGCCTATATCTTCTGGAAAATCCACGGTTCTTGTGTCCATTGAATCGGTGTATAGTATGGACGGAGATGTTGCCCCAGTGGAAGATCTGCTCCAGGCTGCGAAAGATATCCTTCCTCTTGGAAACTTCCAGTTCTTCATTGATGAAGCGCATAGTACTGGGTTAATGGGACCTCAAGGCAGAGGCCTTGTCTGTGAGTTGGAATTAGAGGAGAGCTTTGCTATCCGACTGCATCCCTTCAGCAAGGCACTAGGATCTCATGGAGGTGAGTTTTTTCTTAATTTTTATTTCCCATTACTTACTTTAGCTAAAATGAATAGCGGTTGTCCTATGTGACGAAACGATCAAAGCCATGCTCCTCAATTTTGCCCGCTGTCTGATCTTTTCGACAGCTCCTTCGTTTCCGGCTTTGGCTGCCATTAAAGGAGGATACGCCCTCCTCAAATCCAGCTTAGGTCTAATGGTAACTATCACTCTTTTAAACCTGCTGAAAAGCAAGATAAGCCTTAGTACTGACATGCCCGTCTATAGCGGCAAAACTGTATCCAACCCCTCGTGAGATACTTCTTCAAAAACATTCTTGCCCACCCAAATTACATCCGTGCAGAGGCAGCCGGGATTCTCTCTATCCCACTGGCCAAAGACTGGGAGCAGCGACGGCTCCTCACCCACATTGTCCCCATCAATCACCGCGGGTTTGAGAACCATCTTCTCTCCGCTCATTGCCATTTTGCTGACTTTTGCGTCTGGCCTATCGACTATCCAGTTGCTCCAAAGAGCCAGGGAAGAACGCGCGTTATCTTCCATGCAGATAACACGTTTAAGCAGGTCGAGCGCTTGATTGGGTTGATTACGGAATGGGCCGAGCTAATGCTGAAGAGGGAGGAGCGTGGTGCTGAGCCCCTTATGGCTACATCAGAAGGTGTCGATATGGATTGGCTCACTCGAGTAGTTACGACTGCAAGCTCGACTATGGATGAGGGTGTCATCTATGCGAAGGAAGTGGAAGTTGCTTGATCTTCGCTTATCTTGAGATTGATCCACCTTTTCTTTAGTATTATTGTAATTTTGACCGGAGTTACTAAATCGGCAATTCCTAGAATTGGATGTCCCAGTCACATCCTATACTATCGATTGCAGATCACATATGCCATCAGTAGTGATTATGGTGGGGATTATGCTGCATGTTTGACGGCAATCTTTTGAATGCATGATTAATCCCGGTCGTTGCCAAAGACATTCATCTCTTCGTTAAACGTAAAAGGGATGGGCTCAAGCAACTTCCCGTATTTGTGCCTGTGCATGGCCCAGGAGATTTTAGAGGTTTTGATGGGGGTCTGACCACCCCATCAATTGGTTGAAAATATCAACCGAAGTGACTCTTTGGAAGCCCATGAGCTTAACAGTCGCAATGCTGTTCCTCTCGGTCGAAATTTCGAATACCATAGGGCTGCTGCTAATCCCGTGGATCTATAGTGTCACTGAGCTTGATGATGAACTTGAACTTTTGGATCCTGAACTGCTTATTGGCGGAATGAACGCGGCAGACACTTTTCGCTTGCCGGCGGCATCTTGTTGGGGGAAAAGAATCTGATCGTCTTCAAGGATTTGAAGTTCCTCGCCAGTAAAAACAGCATTGTCTACCGTATTTAATATTGATGAAAAATCGTCGGGGCTAAAGATTTTGATGAAGAAAATATTCTGGAGAGAGGATGTAGGAATACAAAATAGAAACGCGAGTGCTAGAAGCTAAGTTCTATATATTACGAATACTACAGTATTCAAATTTCACAGTTTAGATTATAGTAGGCGGTAGTATGGTAAAAAAATACTAAATTACACGTATCTTGATACTGTACAGTACTAACTCGGTCCCCACCTTTCTTTTCCTTATTCCTCGTGCCTTTCTAAAATTCACATTTTCAGACAAGATGGTTAATTTTGTCTCAGTTACCTCCATTGATGGGCTCTGGGTGACTTGTCTCCAAGAATTCTACAAAAGAAGATTCCAACTCCAGAGCGGAACGTTCTGAAGAACTTCCTCATCTTCTCCCCAGCCAATAACAGCAGTATACTCCCGCAACCTCTCTCTGCCCCTCCTAATCTCTATCAAGGCTCTGCAACCAGCTTTGTTGCAGGTGGCCAACTCACTATCCACGGACATCCAGACCCTTTTCGATTCACGAGATTCTTCCATTTGACTTGCGTGAAGATCTGTAAAGTTCCGTGTTGAAGAAAATTTAGGAACTCTCTTGAATATCTTTTCTAATCCAACTCAAATTGACTTTGATAACCATATCCTGGTATTCCAGTTTGAAAAACTTCCTGATAAGACATAGCCAAAGAAGATCAGTGGAGTGTTACTTGACCATCGACCAGAACGATAGCGGTCCACATATCACATCACCATGGAGGCAGCGATGCGCTACCGCCCTCGTACTCGAATTGACATCGCAAAACACCTCGACCTATGATACCGAGAGGGAAATAATGAGCAGATCTTTGATTTGGAGCGTCAATTTTTTGAAGAAACTGATATTCCTATCACGGAGATCCAGTCATGGGGGCACCTCTTGATCATTGTTCTCGAAAATTACAAAGACCAAGCGGAGATCTGATGACTAAAGTTTCCATTTCAGTCGCTCGCTGCAATTGCTTTTACCTTTTGGAGAAATGATGGACAGGCCGGCAAATTTTTCAGCGAAGCGTATGCGGCAGCCTGATATTTCTGAGCCTGATGATTCAGTGTACGAAAGCATACGACTATGTAAAATGATCAGTTAAGGGCCTTATCCCGAAAAGGGATGGACAATGGAAACTTCTGCTGGCGTGCTGTTAAAGGATCATCTTGGTCATGAGTATATGTCCGTTGCTTCTCATGGATTTCCTGTCTGGCCCTTCAGCGCCTAATTATATTGCGCAAACTCTAACAAAATCCTTGGTGAAGTGGCCATTGAGCTGAGCTATACTGATGTCGCATTGGTGAAGTTGAATCCTGGTGTAGAATTCAAAAACGCCATTTGAAAACACGGTTGTCCCGGCTCCACCATTCAAGTTAAAAGGACTCTCTCTTGCTACGGAGACGATGATTGGAGATTCTATTTTCATGGATACTCCATTTTCTAGCTACGTTGTAAATCGAAAGTCTGTCCTCAACGGGTTTACGCAACGTGATCAAAAGCGCTAAAACACGGGAAGTGTTGGCAGACTTTTGACCCATCATGTATATTGAGGGCACTCGGGTGCTCACGCAACACTTCGAATCTCTGGAGATTCCAATAATCCCGCACAGATTTGGATAAAATATGGATGTCATTATACGGGTCAGAACTCGTCAACAATTCTCCCTCAAGGTATATGCGCCTCGGCTCGGCTATCTGGGACAGCCACAATGTTATTGGGTTTTATCGATTGGTATTGGTTAATGAGCGTTAGTACAGAACACCTTGTTAAGAATGGTTACACCCTGAATTGGTTCGGTTAAATAAGTCTCATATACTAATAAAATACAAAATTGACTTGCTTCATGGAAATATGAACATAATTGAGCAAGAAATATACGGAGCGCCACTATAGTGTGTTGGGGTTGAGCAGGACTATCTACTAATACAATGTATATGGATTCTTTGAGGCTGACTCCTGAGGGTATATTGAAATGGAAGAAAGGGCAAAATAAAGATTAAGCTATTATCCTCAGTGTGATTTGTCAGGGGCTCGGAGAATGAGGGATCGGACCAAGATGGATGGCACTGCATTTCCGAACCGAGCGTCAATGCTTGATACTTATGCTTAGAAGTCCGCGATACCAACCAAATGTACATTTCAAGAATTATCTTTTTATCATTGCCGCGTCCTAATCCTCTAGCATCAGGTTCGAATAATTGGCTTGCATCGAGTTTTACAGTATCTTGAATCATGACCCAAACTGATGAAAGACAACCATTGCTGGAAAACCAGCGCGATTCGGTGAAGACTGACAGTTCCACAATCCCTGATGGTGGGTTGGAAGCATGGAGTCAAGTGATAGGGTCATTCTTCCTCATGTTTAATTGCTGGTAGGTTTAGTACCATATCCTGTGGAATAGCATTTGAATCCTGATGCTGAGGCTCTCCCATTTCCCAGGGGAATCGTCAATTGTTATGGAGGCTTCCAGGCCTACTACAAAACAGTATTATTTCCTGATGCCAGTCCAGCTGCCATCTCTTGGATTGGCTCGCTGCAGGCTTTTCTTCTAATATTCATCTCCGTTCTGACGGGGCCCGCTTACGATGCGGGATATTTTCGAGCCCTGATCGTGACTGGGACGGTTCTGATGGTCGTCGGCACGCTGATGGTTAGCTTCTGCACGCAATACTGGCAGCTACTACTGGCTCAGGCCATCTGCACAGGACTTGGTGCTGGCTGCCTGTTTGTCCCCGGCGTGGCCATCCTGAGCACCTATTTCAAGAAGCATGCCTCGTTAGCGACAGGAATCGCTACAAGCGGCGGCAGTGTCGGTACGCGTTTGCGCCCTATCCGTGCTCCCATCTCTTTTTCTATAATGATTATACTGAATTGCAAATAGGAGGCATTGTCTACTCTGTCCTTTTCAAGCGATTTGAGCTCTCTTTAGGATTCGCCAACTCAGTGCGACTCCTTGCTCTGATCATGCTTCTCACCCAATCCATCTCCCTGGTGACAATGCGTGTACGCATCATCCCAGCAACCCGACGAGCGTACCTGCAGCTTTCTGCCTTCAAAGAAGCCCCCTATGCTCTCTACAGCGGCGGTGTTCTCTTTGCCTTCATGGGCATGTATATCCCATTCTTCTTCGTCCAGAACTATGCCATTGAACATAGCATTCTGCGATCAGACACAGCCTCCTACGCACTGATAACTCTCAATCTGGCCTCCTTGCTAGGACGTATCATCCCCAATATCCTAGCCGACCAGACGGGCCCATTCAACATGCTCATAGTATGTAGCTTCACGACCTCACTCCTCGCGTTCTTGTGGATTTGGGTCGACACAGTGGAAGGGTTGTTCGTCTTCTGCAGCCTGTATGGATTCTTCAGCGGCGCGTTTGTGTCTCTGTCGCCGACGACATTGGTCAGTCTCTCACCTAATCTGGGCGTGGTTGGCGTGCGTATGGGGATGAGTTTCGTGTTTGCAGCCACCGGCCTCCTCACTGGTACTCCCAGTGCAGGGGCCATTCTGAAAGCAGCAGGATGGCCGGCTTTGCAAACTTTCTGTGGATGTTGTGTCGGAGTCGCGATGGTGGGGATGGTGGCTGCGCGAGTTTTCAAGGCCGGGCCATCCCTCTTTGCTAAAGTATAATCTACCAAGGCGATTAGCTTTGTAGAAATAAGCATTGAGAGGTAGACTACCTCCATACTGGGCATCAATTACTATTTGATACTGAAAAATTGATACTTTCCGTTACAATAACAAAATTATTGTCTCTATGTGCATTCTCACACCTCTCCTCATCTGAACCCACTGTTGGTGGGCCCTGAAAATGCGGGGTATGGGGACGTGAAGAAATGATAATCTTATCCGCTACTAGCCCGCTGATGTGAGAATGGACATGGTAACTGAACATCCGGGGACAAATGTCCGTGACTAACGCCCCTAAAATTAAATGATCAGCCGAGACAGTTACGTTTTCAAAGAACTTGGCGTTGATCCAGTTGTCGCCGTCGATCGGATTCTGCAGGACTACTAGCCGAAGGACTAACGGATAATGTGCATATTCAAGAGAACAGATAAGCTGATTTCATGATAGCTTCAGAGTCGGTACCTTCTCTTCCAATCGGAGAGCGTTCGTTACTGACCATCAAAGTCCGAAGCTACGCCTACGAGGCCGTAGCTAGTTACTTAACAGATGTTGTCGTCCACGTCTGTGACTTGCTCAAATTCACTTACGTGATATCAATCAGCCAATCAATCTAAAGACGAGTCTTTCCAATGACTTTCGAAGAGGGAATCACTCCTCCCAACCCGGTGCAGGAAGAGGATGAGGCTATGCGAGCATTTGCTGGGGAGCAGGATGGGGTCCAAGACTTAGACAAAGAGACAAATGCGCGGTTGTTGAAAATCATCGATCGTAATCTGCTTCCAGTGCGTCGCTTCACCTTTGTCGTAGTTTTCCTCGGTGGTTGCTAATCTTTCCGCTCAACTCTAGCTGCTATGTACTATCTATGGGCTGAACTTTCTAGACAGTAAGAGATGGATAATTTCATGCTCAAGTAAATTAGCAGGCTAATTCAAATCCCAGAAACCACCCTCTCCTATGCTAGTGTGATGGGGCTCCAGTCTGATATACGACTGACTGGCGATCAGTATCAATGGCTTGGGAGTATCTTCTACTTCGGTAAGCCATGTTCTATGTTGGACTATCTAATGACTTATTCACAGGCTAACAACGGCATAACTCAGGATACCTCGCGATAGAGTACCCTAGTAGCCGGCTGCTGCAAAAGTATCCGCTTGCTAAGTATTCGTCGCTTAACATCATTCTCTGGGGAGCGACGCTAGCGTGTTTCGCTGCCGTGAAGGACTTCCGAGGAGCGGCCATTGTGCGCTTTTTCCTGGGAGTTTTCGAAGCGGTCGTGACACCTGGATTCGCGCTCTTCACCTCGCAATGGTACACAAAGCACGAGCAGGCATCCAGAACGGGAATCTGGTTCGGTTTCAACGGCGTGGCGATGATTATTGGTGGTTTGTTAGCTTACGGCATCGCCAAAGGGACACAGGATCAGGTCACAATCATTGAGCCATGGCGGATCTTGTTTTTGGCGACAGGCTGCTTCACTGTGGTCATCGGACTGGTCTTCCTCTACTTTATGCCAGACAACCAATGGAATGTGCGCTTCCTGAGTCCGGAGGATCGGATTCTCGCAGTGCAACGCATCCGTCAGAACCAACAAGGAATCGGCAATAAGAGCTTCAAGATGTCTCAATTCAAGGAAGCCCTTCTCGACCCCATGACATGGGCTTTTGCTTTCTTCGCCTGCGCGGGAAATATCCCGAATGGCGGCATTACCAACTTTTTCTCCCAGATCATCAAAAACTCGGGATACACGGCTGCTGAGTCGCTTCTGTACAGCATCCCCGGTGGTGCCGTACAGGCCATCAGTTTAATTGTTAGCGGGATCCTCAGTGATCGATATCATCAACGGGTCTATATCAGTTGTATTGGGCTAGCGATTGGACTGCTAGGTGCCATACTACTTGTATCTTTGCCTCTATCCAACAGCGTCGGGAGATTGATTGCGTTCTATCTCACACAAGCCAGTCCGACCGCATTTGTTGCCTTGCTGTCCTTTGTATCGACGAATGTAGCAGGTTCGACGAAAAAGACTACCGTCGCGGCAATCTACATGATCGCATACTGTGTGGGAAATATCATAGGTGAGTATGCACTAGCTCAGCAGAATCAATACTCTAACTGTATTGAATAGGACCTCAAACATTCCGTCCTCAGGACGCGCCCCGGTACATTCCTGCTGAGATTACCATCTGCTGCTGCTGGGCCGCGTGCCTGGTCGACATGCTGGTGATTCGGTATTGGTATCAGACTCGGAATGCCGAGAAGGAGAGGATACGGTTGGATCCGGATTATCAGAAGGTGCCTTTATCAGAATTCAAGGATTTGACGGATTTGCAGAATCCAGAGTTGGTATATGCACTGTAACAGAGTTAAGTGTAAGATTATAACAGATCTACCAAGTTATTTAGTCTCACTTGGAATTTACATCTCGCCCATTTTCATCTCGGATTTCTTGGTCGTTCGTCGCGGCAAGTATAATGCCCCACACCTTTATGTCGGAGATAAGTCTTCCGTCTATCGGTACACTTATGGATTCAACTGGAGAGCCTTCTTGACTTGGCTTCTCGTTATTTGGATATCACTGCCCGGATTTGTGTGCTCTTTATCTGATATTAAGGCTCATATCGCCTGGACACGTATATTCAGTCTTTCCTTTCTCGTTGGACTTTGCGGAGGCTTCATCTATGACACCATTAATAACTACTTCTTCCCAGCTCCTGGTATTGATGAAATGGTGCCATACAATTATGTCCTTGAAGTAGTTGATGAGAACTTCTGTGACGATAAAAGCGAGGTGCGAACTAAGACCGAGTCTGTGTGATTTCATTCCACGACATTTTATCAATTCTTAATAATGAGCCGCGGAGGCCAGTTGGTATTTGCCTTTTGAGAAATGTTCTGGCACCCAAATTGAAAAGTGTTATGAAAGACTCTTATAATAAATTTTATGGCTTATTGGAGATAGTTACGGGGGTCAGGACCTCGGGAATTTGAAGCTGTAGTCATACAGCGGAGCCCTGACTGGATGGAATATGGGTTGGACGTTTTTCTAGTGGCACCAAACGAAATTCACGAAACTCACACTCTGATTGTGTAGTCTGTCTTAGAAACTGCACAATATCACCGTGCCCTCGGGAGCTCGCAATCTGTGCTGCCGTCCGATTTTTATTCCCCGATGTGAGAGAGACATCAGCGTTGGCATCTAGCAACATCTGTACAATTTCATAGTGACCACCTTCTGCCGCTGCTGAAAGCGCTGTATATCCGTTGAAATGTGAGCCTTGGGCATTCACATCAGCTCCTGCATCTAGCAATCGACGGACGATCCGACTGTGACCCCCTAAAGCCGCACCTTGGAGAGCCGTCAGGCCACTCCACCTTACGGCAGGGGCGTTCAAATGGGCATTGTGTTGGAGAAGAATTTCCACAATAGCTGCATGCCCTTCAGATGCAGCAGCTTGGAGCGTAGTGCGGCCTCGAGTCTTAGCGGGAGACGCATTTACATCTGCGCCGTGCTTGAGTAGCCATCGTACCAACTCAATATGACCCTCCTCAGCCGCTGCTTGAAGAGTGGTTTGTCCCGAATATCTGTAGGCTGGGAGATTGATATCTGCCCCTGCAGAGACCAAATGACAGACGATGTTTAGATGCCCCGCTTTCGAGGCCAACGTAACCGCTGTCTGGCCCCCGTTGTTTCCTCCAGGAGCGTCAACATCTGCTCCGGCCGCTAAAAGTGCTTGAACAACAGAGAGATGTCCATTAAATGAAGAGGCCTGAAGGGATGTCTGCCCATAGTAACCGTTAGGGGGCTCATTGGGGTCCACTGAATATTGAGTTAAGAGCCGCTTTACTTGGCATAAGTCTCCTTGTGCAGCGGCGAGCTGGATAGGAGACCACGTATCCAGTTCATCTATTTGAGATTTCTGATTTGATGAAAACAAACTTTCGTTCATCTCGAGAAGTCTCTTACTGCGATTACTTTATGCCTATCGATAGTTAATAGATATCCACGGATATTTAGCGTCCGGCGGGATCTAGGCAAAGCCCGCAAGTACAGGAGGAATGTTAATGCCTAATGGTTAATATCTAGGCTCTATGAGAAGCTTATCCGGTTAAAACGGCATCAATTTCTTCCCAATAAAAAGCTACTATTTCACTCCAATGATGCATAAGCGAAGAAACTAATTACCCGGAAGCATCTGGCGGAAAAATTGTACAAATCATGTATTACTTACGCATTGACAGCACAGTACATGTGTAGTTAGCAACCCCACCTTAAAATGAACAGATCATATAGCTAGTAGATAAGGTCTTAAGTTTTGTAGACGTCGGGCTATTTTCAAAAAAAAGAACTCGTTTCTTGAAACTTTTCGCCAGTGCTCATCTTCAATTGACTCCCAAGATTTCCAGTCATGGTAGAGAGGCATTGCTCCCCTGAAGATTGGGATGAAAATGGTGACAAGCATATTGACTCCATTCTCCCCATCTACTAGCTCACTAACAGCCAATCATAACCTTGGAAATGGTATCCGTTGAACCATTAAATACCTAAGCCAGTTCAAGCCCTCAACATATTACGGACCAGTTCCGGCCCAGTCGCCACGTTGGAGGTACTTAGATATCTGAAAATCTCTCAAAGACTATTGGAGCCTTCGAGGGATCCTGTATGCTATACACCTCGAAGCCCTTCCAAGATCGAACAGAAAGCTTCTACGGAGCAATATACCCTGGTAAGACATTCAAGGATCCTATAATATAATTGATTAGTGAGGACTGCATCACGGCCAATGTATTTAGGCACGTCAACACTACATGGGAACCAAAACATCTAAACGAGATTTCCCAGGTAAGTGTATGAGCTGCGGGCACCCTGTACTTGATACATTAATCTTGTGCACAAATTTTTATCTAGCCTTAATTCTAGAGTGGTATAACCCATTCTTTTTGTACATCTATCACACACGACCATAGGGTGTGGAGAACAGGGCTTCCCGTCCGCTCAGCCATACGTAAGCCACCTATGGAACGCGGAAAATAGTCTAAAAGCCCTTAGCACCTAGCTCGACCTAAAGCAGCGATAAAACTTTCCCTAGGGTGAGGGGTATATAGCGTCTGGTCGCAGTTTAAATGCCGATTTAACCCCGATGAGTTCTGATGAATATCCCATCAGGCTAACATTTTCCATGGTGTTTTAGAAATCATGAGATTTCAGTCATATACGAAGGCAGTCGACATCTTCTCAATGGGATTGATATGGACGGAAATGACTTGGAGGCTTGCAGGACATACTAATTGGCTTCAAGAGTCCTGGATTACTTGGAAAGAGCTCGTTGTTTCTGAAGACAGCTCTGAGCACAAAGTTTAGCTGAGTAAGGAGAATGTTAAGAAAATTGTGATCAAGAGGGTTGGGGAGAGCAAGTACTCTGAGGCTAAACAAGACCTACTGTCGAAGTTTCTTTATGGACCTAGCACAAGAATCGGTGTTAATGAGTTTATAAGTGGATTAAAAGCGTTATGATGTGACAAAGAACCTTGAGAGTTCATGAAAAGAGACTGGATTGAATTAATTGATGCCATGAAAATACCATATCCGTGTTCCATATCCCATTAACTTCATCATTTCTCCTTCTCCATCCTCCTCCTTCTCACTTTGTCGTCATAAGGTCATATGAATGAGGTTTCATTGGGCGAATCTCTATGCCTATTCTATGTTAGTATTGCGTTGATCGGATTTAAACCAGAGAACTCACTAAGTCAATTAAGCTCACATAAGAGTGAACTTCCAACAGGTCTTGGCTGGACATTTTGCGAAGAACTTGTGGCATTAAGATTACCCCAAGTCTTGATCTCTGTCTCAATCAATTGGAAATCATAAGTGCGCATAGCTTCGTCCATCAAGCTTTCCATTTTGACTGGAATATTGGCGACTTTAAATAGTCCCACCAGAAGGAATTCTTTGAAGATCCCAGTATTAGGTGCATGATCAGGCATCCAGCCACTTCCCAGGTTCTTGATGTGGTATTTCGTGCCGCCAGTTTCGCTGCAATGAAAGTAAAAAGCCCAGTGGAAGTCATCCGGAAGTGGCGGGTCAGCTCTGATGAAAAGAACGACGTAAAGACTGTTGACTTTGAGGGTTGACAAAGACATGATTGATGGCAATGATGATATTTCTGTGATGTTTAGCGCGTTGCCTATGCTGCTGCAGAGTTTGAAGGTTTCGAGATGAAAAGTGTAAGTCGATGATGGGATTCGTTTGAATCAAATTGGGTACTACCTTCTTCGGTTGCCAGTGTGTGTTGTAGGAATGATTACAAGTCTTGCTCTTGTTCCCATTTTGTTGGAACATGTAGCCTCAGAAACAAGGCTACCAACACAATGTCAGCAACTTGGAGGGCAGAAAATATTAACGACTGATTGATTGGCTAAGTACGTGGGAAATCCATGGGCAGAATATTATTGCCTCAGGCACGACATCGGATTCACTAAACCTAATTAGGCAAGGACACCAGTATGGATAGTTGTGGATGTACGGCGTATGAAGTGTGTCATTCATAACTAGATACTGAGCAGGTATATATACCCTCTCATGGAGGAGTCTTCGTGACCTGCTTACTAAGGCTGGTAGAGGCACTCCATGCTACAATGTCAGACCAACGTAATGATACATATGTTCTGACAGGCTCTGATTTTCTTGGGCTTTCGTTTGGATAATAGGCACGGGCGGCCCGTGCCGTGCCATGACGGGACCAGTGGGTCAATGGGCGAATGAAGTTCTATAAAGTACAATCCAAATACGGAGTAGTGTTCCAATTCTATATTTAGTGAGATGAGGAGCTTGGACTTTAACTGCTTCTAGATTCAGACGGAGAAAGTGGAAATGAATCACAATAGCTAGAGGCTGTTGTTATGAAAAGAGCCTCTAGATCAGGCTAGACCGTATCGGGCCTAGTGCCACGCGCAGATAGTTGAGAGAAGAGAGCTTTCTCTTCTCTTCTTCCTTTCTTTGTCAACTCTTATTTTCTTCAGATACCGATCCTTCCTGCATTCTGCAAAAGATCATAACTTCGCTTCAGCTACAATGACACCTTAGTTTATCCCGCGCATCCTCTTGCCCGATTTCACCTGGCCTGATTCCACTCGGCCACTATCACTGAAAAAATCCCACCAACACCTCAGCCGATGAATCCCAAACCGCGTCGTCTTTTAGATTTTTGCATTGCAGATTACAAACAGTTTCTCGATCATACTGCTCCTGGGTTGGGATTGAATATGATAATCAAATTGCTCAGCTTCCATTTGGGCCTGTACTTAAATGGTCCGATGGCACTCGGCTGGAGAAGGTCCTCGCTATGCAAGTCGCTAGAGCAGCTGGTTTTACAGTACCGTGCGTGATATGCTATGGCGACCATCCAGACACACTATACGCACCAATTTCGATTCTGATGACTCGTGTGCCTGGACAACAGCTAGGCCGGGTTTACGACACATTATTTCGGGAACTACTATTCGGAGCGTTCGTATTCCCAACCACTTTGCCGGCCCAATTGATTCCGAGAAAGAATTTAACACGTACCTAAGATCAGCTTCTTGGGCAGCAAACCTCGCATCTGATTCGGCATATACTGAAGCTCTCGATCTCGCTACAAGTATAGAGAATATTCCGCATCGCGTTCTCTTTACACATGGTGATCTGAAATCCCATAATATTCTAGTGAAGGGCGGTCGAATCACAGGCTTTATCGACTGGGAATCAGCTGGTTGGTGTCCTGAGTACTGGGACTTCACAACCGCAATGAGGTTCACACCGGTGAATAGTTGGCGGTATTATTTTGTTTTCGGCCTCGGGGGCGATCAATATTTGGAGGAACTAAAGTGTGAACGTGCTCTTACCAAGTTGACTATCGATTCATATTCCTGGTGATATGCTGAATGCATAAGGGCCAAGGCACCTCTGATGAGCAAAACCCTAGACCGTATCCTTTTTTCATGATCATCATCAGTGCCAGATTGAATTGACTATTTTCATTCCAAAAATCTTGATTATAGACTTGAATTATGATATTTGTAATATCGGCCGCTATAGTGGACTTCAAATGCACTTGCCCAGGTGGGCAGAGCAATATATAAAAGAGATTCTTCTGAAGAAAAAACATCTATACCTGTTGGTTCCAACCTTGGAAGGAGTCGGTGCTCGATAAATCAGGCTGAACGATTTTTAGCGGCTGATTAGTCCAAGCTAATTACTGAAAGTGAGGATTCGTCTACTTAATGGAGCCTTCTGATGCTCGTATTGAGGTTTCAACTTACAGACAAGGCTAAAACGTGTTGGTGCCTTTTGTGCCTGGGGCACGAAGCGACTCTAGCTACGGGGGAGAGTAAGCTGGCTGGGCGCTTTCCTGGCCGAGCCCACTCCCTCGCACCAGACAGCGAACTCCCTACTATGTTGACTTCAATTTGTATCATTCAGTTATTTGCTGGATGGAAGAAACAATCGCCGAGCTAAAGCGCCAGCTTAAAGAGGAGAGACAGGCGCGAGAAGCAGAAGAGCGCCGTGAGGAGGAAGAGAGAAAAGCGCGAGAAGAAGCAGAGCGCCTCCAGAGAGAGGCTGAACGGCGACTCGAACCTAACACACCATTTCACCTCTTTGATCGTTGCCACAACTCTCTGTCTCAAGCGATTCAGGTTGAGACTGATGCGACTCACGACACAGGGCGACGCGACTGGCCCAGTCAACCGACTTTATCCTAAGCGTATTGTCCCTTGGCTTGACTTCCCCCAACTTTAACAGCAAATCTGGAGGAAATTAGACCGCACCAATGCCTTTACCTCGCGCCCACTATTCCCTTCTGATGAGCAAACCGAATATGTCGCTACAAATATCCAGAACAGGCCGATCTATTCGGAAGCGTCTCTTCGGAATTTTGAGCGAGACACAGTGGGTAACTTTGTTGAAAAAGTCCTTGAGGCGTTACTAGGTGATGAACCTCTTCGACATGAGTTTGGAATCCAGGGCCGAGTCACCTTCTATGACCGCGCGAACCTATCAGAAACTTTACTAGAGAACATCTTAGAGCGAATGAATCTCCGGGATGCGCGGACACCCCAAAGACCAGCGAACACTAGGCATAGAAGAGGCAGAAGAAGGGGGAGAGGAGCCATGCAGAGATAAAAGAGGGACAGCACTACGCGAAAACGTAATCGGCGCGCCGACCAGTTCTGCGTGCATCTCGTGGCTGATGAACGACAAATACCAGCGTATGCAGTGGAGTTCAAAGCGCCGCATAAAGTGACAATCCCCGAATTAGTGGCGGGTCTACACCAGATGGATCTGGATCGCGATATAATTGACCAGGAAGGCGATACGTTTGAGTTTTATGCCACCTACCTCGTCGCCGCTGTGGTCACTCAGATATTCTCATATATGATCGATAGTGGGGTTCAATACGGCTACATCTGCACAGGGGAGGCTTTTGCTTTTCTTCAAATCCCGAAGGATCATCCCACAGTTGTGCAATATTTTATGTGTATCCCGAATCAGGACGTGCAGGCGGATGATGAATGGCGCCTCCAATGGACCGCCATCGGTTAGTTGCTTGCATTCACCCTTCAAGCGCTGGCCGCTGGAGGTTTATCTCAACAGTGGCATGATGCGGCACTCGACAAACTAAAGACATGGAAGGTCAAATACCTAGATGTGCTAAAAAAAAATTCCCGAGACCCTCCGTAAAGACCCGTTAACTTCCAATTATCGGCCCTCGCACTGGAAAATAGAGCCAAAGACACACAACACACGATACTATGGTCGCTGTAAACCAGCCACTCCGGAGAATTCGTTAACCAAAGGCAGCGGCAGTGATGAAGAATCGCATTCGCCATTCATCATAGCAACGTCTCGCACGTCGTGCCGCAGCCGAGGCAATAATAAGGAAAGCGAAAGCACACAAGCGGGTTGTGAAGATAAAAAGACCTCTCGAGAAGACGGGCAATATACACAATCCTACTGCACAATTGCCTGCACGTCTCAGCAGCTGATAAAACTATAGAAGAACTAGCTAATATACCTAATAGGCATCCGCGGCATGGTCAACCGAGAACCCCTGGATAAAAAATGCCCCAACTGGAACCTCCATGGCGGACAGAGACACTTTATAGGGCCACAAGAGTTCATATGCCGGCTTCAATATCAACTTACCCGAAACCGAAACCATGGTTTCGAACAACTCCACGTCTGTGGTCGGACGGGTAATTTTATTAAAGCCATCCTTCTATCACACGGATATACTGTGGTCATTAAAGCTACCACAATAGAGAAGCAGCATCGCCTTCAAGTGGAGGCGAAAAATTATCGTAACCTTAGGAGCTTGCAAGGAAATCAGATACCCGTCTGTCTTGGATCCTTTCAGCCACGGGTCAGGTATTGGTACCATGGTCAAGTAATGTCCTATATGATGGTCTTGAGCTGGTCAGGGACGCGACTTCAGTATATAATTAATGATGAGAATTCTAGTTTCTTCGATCAGGAGCGTAAGAAAGCTTTAACTGTGCTCTGATCGCACGCTGTTGTCCACAATAATAGTAAGTGGCGTAATATATTGTGGGATGACCTTGGTGGCCAGTTAATTGTGATTGACTTGGAGGATGTGGAATGGTTAAAGCGCCGTCGGGGTCTTAAGTCAACTTCTGGCAATACCTGGCGTGGTCATCGCGTCGTCGCAGCGAAAACAAGCAAAAGCTCTTGTCTAGCTCGACAGCTACCTGCACATGACGACCGTCAGACCACAGACCATAGCGTTAGTCAACTCGGTTGACGTCTGTAACGTCAGATCACAGCACGGGAGGAATCATGTTTACATTATTGGCTTAGTGATCGTATAGCACATGATCCTTATGCGTTTCTGTAACTAGCACTCTGGTAGGGCCGAGTCTTGAAGCCTTCTTCAATAATTAGTCGTTTTATTATTACCCATACTGTTGATATATCTTCTATATTCACTCTTTGTATCTGATTTCTTTTTTGGTTTAGGGACACAAGCCGTTGACACAGCTAGTCATATCTCTGATAACTAATAAAGGTATTTAGTTATAAATCATAACTGAAGGCGTTAAACTTATAGCATATAAATTACATGGAATCAAAAGTAAAACATTTTATGATCCTGAGAGGAAGAAATAAGATTAGTCTCAGGGTCCAGTACCAGGGTTCAGAAAATGTAAACGCAAGATTCGTCAAGTATCAAGAGCTAAGGTGATATTTAGACCAATCATCCAAATGCCACAAACCGAATTTCCTAGTGCGGAATCTACTCTAAATACAACCCAATTTCTTTTGACAACGTCAAAGTGTATAATGCCGCTTACTATATTTAGATTAGTGCGTAGCATATGCCCCGCTTTCCGTAAACAATTGACAACAGATTAATAGTTATCTACCATCAATCATATATCCTGACGGTATCGGATAGTCGGAATCTCTACCACTCAAAAACACCTGTCAACTGAGAGGCTTCAATGGATTTTCTCCAGAATGACTAGGTAATTATATATAGTTGCAATTATATGTAGTAATGGATCTGTTAATATATCCAGTACATACCCAGTTAAAACAATTCCAAGGTTGATTTCCATTAGAACCAATTAGTAAGTGCTTGTGTGAAGAAACTCCTGCTCAGACGATTGGTTCATCGAAACTAGACAAATCTTGAATCCTGAAGGACAGCAGTTGAAGCAGTGCGTGTTCATAAGCCCTGGTCCTGCATCTTCTGCGTCTTCCGATACGCTCGGAGTTGGCTGTCATTCTCGGAGATGATCTCTTTGATCCATGAAGCATCTAGATCTATAGCTCCCGATCCCGTGATATTTTCTGTATCTCTCTATTTTTCCTCACTGATTTTTGCCTCAAAAACCAATCGATTTGGCGTAACACTGGAATCTATTCATAAACTTGAAACTTGAAAATTCCAGTCACGATGAAGCTATGCTTCAGAGGATTCACGGTCGCTACTGCGCTGTTCGCCAGCATTGGATATTCGCAACCTACTTCGTCCCAGATACCCCTCGTACCAGCGCAGGAGCCATGGTCACAATGGATGGCTGATAGTATCATTAGTCGCGGCGATGCCCTACAGGTTAAGCCCAACACCATGACATCTACTGTATTCAAGCACGGCATGTTCCAATTGGCATTGCAGCGAATGCTACAGCACGTCCCCAGCGAACAGACAAAAGCCCATTATTTCAACTATCTGCAACGGAGCGTTGAGGCGGAACTAGGCCCAGACGGCCGTCTGAAATACTACGACTTGGAACATACGCACATCATCGATGACCTGCTTCTGGGGCATGGACTGCTGTACTTGCACGAAACACTAGGGGATGAGAAGTACCTGCACGCCGCGAAGCAACTGCGCCAGAGCCTAAATACGCAGCCGCGCACCCCAGAGGGGATGTACTGGTACCGAGCAGATACGTCTCGTCCAGACCTCGAGTATCCCAATACTCCCGACCAGGCCTTTGTGGAGCAGATATACATGCTGGCTCCGTTCCTGGTTCGCCATACAAACCTAGTGGATATCGGCAATGCAACCGCCGTCTACGGCGACGTTCTCCGCCAGTTCGAACTCTTCCAAACCCATTGCGAGCACACGGACACCCACCTGTGGGCGCAGGGTTATGATGACACAAAGCAGAAACCCTGGGCTGATCCGACGACCGGCGCTACACCTGAGATTTGGGGTCGTGCCAACGGGTGGATGGCCATGGCGCTGGTTGATACACTTGAGCTGCTGCCTGTATCGCACCGATCGGACCTCTGGACCCGGTTGCACACTCTGTATGTCGATTTGGTCAAGGCTGCAGCGAAGGCCATCGACCCTGACACGGGAGCCTGGTGGCAGGTAATGTCGCAGCCTGGCCGCAAGGGTAATTTCGTCGAGAGCAGTGCCTCAGGGATGTTCGTCTACTCCCTGTACAAGGGTCTTCGTTTGGGCTACATAGAGGACGCAGAGGATCAAGCAGCAATTCGTCTCTCAGCGACAAATGGTTTCCAGGGACTGATTGATCAGTTTGTCGTGTATGAGCCAGAGGGCACACTAGGATTTAACGGCACAGTGCAAGTCCGTGGACTGGGTGGGAACTTCTCTTACGAGGTGAGTTGAGTATTTCACGAGGCTTCTGAGTTTGCCAAGTGCTGATACCGACGCTTTTTCAGTTTTATATCGACGGTATAATTGCCTACAATGATTTAGAAGGTGCCACCGCGTTTCTGTTTGCCGCTATCGAGCACGAACTTGCTGAGGAGGCAAGGAAATCTTGAACAACGTCGTTTGGGCAAGAGGACACCACATTAGGTAATCAGCTAAAACGACGCTAGTAGTATAGAAGAGAGACTAGGACTGTCTTCAATTCTATCAAAGACATAGGAAATGAATACAGATTTTTAGCTATGTTTCTATTTTTTACTATTTATGTAAAAATATCTTGAATTGATTTAGCATGTTCATTATCTATCCAGATCGTCCATCCATCGACGGTGGCCACAGACTAGACTAGTCTTGGAGAATTCGCGCCACACATGGGCAATCTTGGAGCATCGTGAGACCTAACTGTCAGCCTGGGGAAGATAAAGAAGTCGGCACATTCTCAGTGAAACGCAAATTTAATCAAGATTCGGCGTCCAAGGACAGCCAACTCCGGAACGATCTGCTGTCGGAGGACGTCAGCCAACTAATACCGGAATTGAATGGATGAAGCTGCATAGGTTTGTGATTGCAAGGTGTGTCAGATGTCGTTTCGGAACAGGCTTGCTGTCCTCTCAATCTTGGAACACGGCAATCTTCCTGGCCGGGTAAGAATTAATCGCAGCAGCAGGCATATAAGAAAATCAATCGTACAGGGCTGGTCTACCGTCTATGACACAGGGGTCTCTATATCAAAGAATAAATTGACCTACGCACTGTACATACCATGGCGGACCTCATGTTCCCCGTCATTGACTACTCTCGGCTTGTTTCGGCCGATGCCACAATTGCTGCCGGCGAGAAAGACAAACTCTTTCAGTCCTTCACAGAGGTCGGCTTCATATATCTCAAGAGTTACGTTTTCACTGACGATTTCATGAAAACCATCTTCTCCCACGTCCACAAACTCTTTGACCTGCCAGAGGAACAGAAACTAGCCATCGAAGGTGGCGAGAAATCAGCATTCCGCGGATGGTTCGAACCTGTCCGCACAGCTAGCCATCCCGAGTCTGCTGACCAGAAGGAAGCCTTTGGACTGGGCAATGATGCAGACCCCACACGTCCCAACCATTGGCCAGAAGACTGGCCTGAGTTCCGCCAGGACTGCTCGCGCTTCTTTGAGGAGTGTTTCAAGATGCATCTGGAGATTCTGTGTGCGCTGACGGAGAAGGTTGGATTGCCCCGGGAGACACTCGTCCCTTCAGTCCAGGATAAGGATTCCTACACGGCCCTCCTTTATTACCCAGAGACTAGTGTTGAGAGTTTTGATCGACGGGTGCGATCAGCGCCTCACACGGACTTTGGTACTCTGACGCTGCTCTTCAATGATTCAGTCGGTGGGCTACAGGTGCGCAATAAGCAAGGGGAATGGAGTGATGCGCCTCCAATTCCAGGCCATGCGATTGTGAATGTGGCGGATCTTCTATCCCGTTGGTTCAACAACCGCCTGAAATCCACCGAACACAGAGTTGTTGCACCCACTGTCGAGACTCGTCAGCTGGCGGATGGATCAGTGACGAACGTAGTGCCCGCTCGATACGCCATCGCCTGGTTTGGTCATCCAAACCGTGATGCTGTAATTAAACCCTTGGAAGAGTGTATTGCCGCCGACTACCCTCAACAGTATGAAGCTGTTGTCGCTGGCAAGCATGTTAAGGAGCGCATGGCGAGGCTTCTGGACGAGGGAAAGCTACCAGAGAAATGGTCTGATGATATGCACCGCAAAGCGGTGGCGGCTTGATTCACGGGGGTATATTTCATGTCGACCTGTTCGCAAATTGTTTTCGTTGTATTTCATGAGGCTTCCCAAGGCCAGTTTGCTATCTAGATGAATTAATTGATGTGATATTTTCTGATGTTCATACCAAAAAAAAATCATTTTTAGCTTTGAGCTTAGGAACATAAGGCTTGCTATCGAACTAATATCGAAACATGAGTGCATATTGTACATTGAAATTCAACTTCAGGGTAGTTTAATCGATTTCTTAGAAGGTAGCATATCACCTAAGCCGCTTAACTGTGTTTATTTGACACGCGCATAGTATTACAAATGATCAGGATTATAAGGAGAAAGCAAAAAAGTCCATTTATTGTACCAGGAACGCACCTCATGATAGAAGAAACTATGAAAGGCGATAATCAAAAGAATCCCAATACCCGGATGGAATGAATATGTTTGAATCAGAAGCGTCCCTTCAGGCCACCATGTTTCACACCACCCCAGATAATAAATTTAGGTTCAAATCCCTTACCAGCCTTCTCAGTCTGGCCAAGATCACCATCCTCCGGTAAGAGCACAACGTTCTCTGGATATAACTTTCCTAGAGTTGCGAGAGCGACAATTGGCTCCACGGTCGGGATAATATGAACACCACCCTGCTTTGCAGTGATAAGACCACTGTCGGGGTGCAAAAGAACGTCTAGGGCTGAGTGGACTGTGGCGTTCTGGGCTGAGAGGTCTGCCTGGCTGCCTGGGAGAGCCTGGTAAGAGTAGCGGTGGCCACGAGCGATCTGGCCAACGTCGATGCCAATGCACTTTCCGTTGTTAAACTCGAGGCGAAGCTCCACCTGACGTACGGGAGTGGACTTGGTCGAGGGCACCAGACCCAGGCTGGCATTCTGGACCACAGGAGATACGGACTCGGCGGGAAACTTGAGTAGATCTTCAGTCTGCGTCTGAGATCCAGCAGGGATCTCAGGACGAGGGGCAGTGTAGTAATCTGAGAATTCGTAGTCGAATAGGATGTTCTTCTGAGATGGGTCAAGCTTGGCAGGGACGTACTCCAGCAAGTGGTAATGGTCTCCGCCGCTCAGGATAGCCGGCAGGATGGAGCCATGCTCATACTGGAAGCCATAACCTCCAGTGTCGGTCCGGGGTAGATCTGGCGCCAGAAGCGCTTTAGTGTATGCCAGCACCGACGCCTGAGTCACGCTCTTGGTAACGAGGCCTGTCAGGAACTGCGCGCGACTAGGTTCCAGATGACGAATGCCCCGCGCAGCCTTGCCGTCAATGGGAATCAAGACCTCCTCGAAGTTCCGGAATGGAAGGAGAGCGTCGCGAAGCAGCACCATCTGGTGCATATATTCGTTGAACAGTTGCATCAGGTGCGGCTGACTGCGACGGCCGAACATGAGCTCGACATTCACTGGTATAAGTAGATGATTCTCGCATGGGCTACGAATATTGAGGTTTTGTTCGAAGGGGCCATGAGAGATCTCACGCGCCCACTTGACGAGGGTCTTTCCAATTCGTTCGGCCTGCTCCTTCACCTCCCTGCGCGAGAGATCAGGCACATCATTCTGGAAGGGCAGGGTGGATTCGCGAGTGTGGGTAGCCAAGTTGGACGCAACATTGTCGAGGAGTAGTGCCCGGGCGGGTCTTGTGTTTGTAGGATCCTCGCCCAGACGGTAGACAACAGTGTCCAGAAGGGGAGCAAACCCCTCAACTAATTGGCGCGGGGTAAACACACCAGAGCGCAGAGTCCATGCGTGTGGCTGGGGCTTATCGCGAGCGCTGCTTTCCGGCTTTGGGTTTATGGCTTGCCCAGCCAGTATACCCCCCAGGCCAGGGAGGCGATAGATAGCGCTTTCAGCGACGGGTCTGATCATGGTTGCGTTGAGATTTCCGAGGATGAGGAAACCGATAAGCAGGAGCTTCACAAACTCAAGTTTTCTCATGAGTTTGGGGAAAGGGTCTTTCTGTTTTTACCAACACGATGACCATCACCTAGTTTCCTTTGATTAATAATTACGTCTCCTGATCTGGTTCGGGGGATCGTGGTCAGTTCGCAGATGCTTGGTCAATAGCGACCACCCATCTCCGGCTACCATCTATGGCAACACATTGTTTCCTCAGTCAAGCCGTTCCGGTCACAGAAGTAGAGGCAATGCAGTCATGATGTAAGACTTGGCCGGTTATCGATAGTTGTTGAATTGAAAGCTCCGATATCTTCAGTCCGCGGAGGAAGAACTAAAGAGTGTTCATGCCTCCGACCGCGGAGGAATTTGTACAAAAAGGCACCGCGAACATTTCTTTATCTGCGATTTATCTACCTGCCTCTCATCAGTAAATCTATAGCGGGGAGAACAATGGCTGCAGTAGAAACATCCACGTCGACCAGGGAGGAGGTGTTTGGTGGAACGGAGGGCCAGTACCTTCTACCCCACCATATCTCCGAAATTGACCGCTTGAAGAGGCAGCATGAACATACCAAAATCTGCTGTGATGGCAACCTGCTGGGATTTGCCCTGCCAGAGTCCAACAAGCCCCTCGAGGTACTTGACAGCGGCTGTGCAGACGGTGAGCAATAACAGAGCCCATAAATACCATATCTAGCTAAGTATCTGACATTCTTTAGGGACTTGGCTTCTTGACTTGGCCAGTGACTACCCTTACAAACAGCTTGGTCTGCACGGAATTGACATTGGCTCCAACTTGTTCCTGGCAAATCCCCATCTCGATCTTCGCCAGCATGACCTTCTCCAGCAGTTTCCTGAGAGCTGGGGCTGGAAAGACCATTTCGACGTCATCAACCAGCGTTTCTTGGTCTGGGGTCTGAAGGAAACCGAGTGGCCTCGTGTTCTAGAAAACCTTGGAAATGTTTTGAAGCCCGGCGGTCGCATCCAGTTGGTTGAGTGCAAATGGATCTTCCCAGAGCTATGGGAGACCCACCCCGAGCAGCACAAACTGGCTTTAACCCAGATCTGGTCCACCTCGACTGCAGGAATGGACATCTATGTCGGTGAAAAGCTGGCCGATATGTTGCAGGAGCTTGGGTACGAAGATGTGACGACTGTCCCTTATCAGTTTGGATACGGAGCAAATGCGAATAATGAAAAAGACCGCAACTCGTCGGCTGAGCTCTGGGTGGAGAGCTTCCGGCATCTGGCTGGTCGGATGGGTGGTTCGTATTATTCCTGATTTGTTTTCCTTCTTTGCATTTGCTGATTTCTATCTTGTACAGAGGATGGCATCCCTGGTGTTGCCAAAACGCCCACTGAGTATCATACTTTCCTGGATCGCCTAGTGGAGGAGATCAAGGAGATTGGGTATGCTCCAGAGTTGAGAATGATCTCTGGACGGAAGCCGCTGTGAACTTCCCATAGACTCTTCTATATTTAGGTAGTATAAAATCCTAGAAACTTTACAATTATCATAATTTCACATATTAGGAGATATCTACACATACCATATTATAAACCAGACCACGAGAAACAATTTTAAAGCCTCGGTAACACGATGTATGACGATGTATGACGATGTATGCTATGAACAGGCTATCAAATGCCACGGGCCATGGCATACATAAAGTAAGCCATTCTTGGCAAATATCTAGAGGCACACAGCAATGAATTTGGGAAGTAGAAAAGTAAAAAGAAGAAGTATCAGGTAGGTTTATCTATCAGCGCCCTCCACTATTACTTCCGGCTAGCAGCCATACGCTTTAACTCCCTCCGGTTGATCTTGAATCCCGTCGTGGGATACTTCGGCACGGAATACACTCCTCCAGTCAATCGCCTCAGTCCGGTCAGCTTTGACTCAGCATACTGCTCAATGTCCTTTATTGTCTGTGCTGATTCGCTGAGGAAAGACTCCTTCAAAACCACAAACGCCGTCGGCTCATCAACCTGCAGTTCTTGGTTACGGACCCCGACAACGACGACGCTTGATACTACCGGATGCTCAAATAGCACCGACTCAATCTCCACAGCAGACACATGGCTCCCGTATCCCTCTCCGACCTTCATAAGTTCCTTAATACGGTCAACAATATAAACGTTGCAGCCTTCATCAAGATATCCGTAGTCGCCGGTGTGGAACCATCTTTCTCCGTCGAAATCGAGGTTCGCCAAGTCATTGTCTTTGTATCCTTTGAAATTGGCAATCCTATTTCGTACCAAGATCTCACCTTCCTCGTGGAACTGGAGCTCCTTCCCAGTGTTTGTATCGATAACCTTAGCCTGGATACCATTCACCAAGGTGCCGCTGGAACCTGGGCGCTTGGAGGACTCGTCCACTTGAATGGCAAGGAGCATTGTCTCAGAGGTTGCCCATTCAAGAGTCATATGGACGCCTCCAAATTGGTCCGAGACTGTTTGACGGAGGTTCTCGTGCATTGGAGCACCCGCTGTCAATAACCATTTGACACTGCTGACATCGCATTCACTCAGGTTAGCACGAGCAAGTCGCGCAGCAATCGGGGGAGTAATGAACAAAAAGGTAATGCGGTGACGAGCGATGACATCGACAGTGGTCTCGTCAAGCGTTTTCCTCATCAGGACAACGGGGATACCGAGCATAATGTTCAGCCCGATGTGCAGCTTGGAATTGATAAAGAACCCCAGTGAGAGCGGAGACACCCACACGTCAGTGTTGGGGTTTGTGTCGTTCGGAATTGTGCCAATGGTGCCCTCCATTGTCGCGATATAGTGTGCGTGACTGGTGAGAACCGACTTCATATTTCCCGTTGATCCGCTAGTCCGATTGATGAAACAATTGTGTTCGTCGGCTTCTTGTGCGGTCTTTAGCTCGAAAACCCGTGTGTCCGCGCTTCCCGTCTGAACTAGGTCGTCCAGAATCGGCCAACCCTCGGTATTGTTGTCCAACGTCAGGATTGAGATACAGCCGGCAAGCTCGGACGCCACTTCTGACAGAGCAAGAAGGTCAGAGTCAGTGATGAAGAGTTTGGCCTTTGCTTGCACGAGCCGAGCAGCAACGTCTGTCTCGCTCATTTCATTCTGAACAGGAATGGGAGCTACCATCGCTCCAGCAGCGACGGCACCCCAGTAGGCAATAGGATATTGAATCTAGCCAGTATAGTTAGTGCAAAATTGCTAGACCTAGTGTGAGGGCTACTCGGAGAGGCCCACCTTGTCCTTTGCCAGAATAGCAACTACGTCGTTCGGCTCTAGGTTGTATCTTTTGTGTATCGCATCTGCAAACTGAAGGCTCTTCTTCTTCAATTGGGCATATGTGAGTGTCTGGTCTGTACCATCAACACGGTAAAGCACCCTATTCTTAGGGTATTCCCTCCTGCTCTGACCAAAGATATAAGAGAAGGCATCCGTGCTCGGCACAGGAGGGAGAGGAAGTCTCGAGTCGAAAATCATATTGAAGAAATTGCAATTGGTAATAGACTCAAGAAGGGATGAGCCTGTTTGAATCTACTTAGACAATACCCAGATGGTACAATGTTGAATGATGTGTATCGCTTTCCGGGGTAAGACAGGAGAATAGATTCCAAGGTTAAATAGCCCAACTCTCACACATGGGCATTGCATGAGCCTGAGTCAACAGATGATAATGAGGAGGGAACAACGCTTGATTGGTAAAGAGAGAATATTCTCTCAAATTCCTGTCACTGACTGTACCTACTCAGGGCGTCCACTAAGATATCGATAAGCTGATATAGATTTGGATATTCTCGGCATCCATTCCATTCCAGATAAGGCCTGAAACGTGCGAGGACCCAATAACAGACAATCTTGGAAAGACAAACTCATGCGGCATTTTAAAAAGCTGGTAAATACCGTTAGTAGGTCTGTCTCATACAGACTAATTTAGTGCCACGCAGGGCCAGCCAAGTCCGGTCGGTACTTTTTGTTACTTAGTATTGGCGAAGGTTTCCCGATAGCACCTATTGAATTGAATGCCTCGTCTAATCTAGTCTCGCGGAGTACTGATCGGCAAAGAAAGCCTAGAGTAAAGCCTCTAGCCTTTTTGCTCATCTCGCTACTCTATCTGGTGGATCCATCTATGGGCGAATATCATGTCATCTGCAAACTGCTGAATACTCTTGTCTAGGTGGGACCTCAGAGTCCAAATGTCATCAGGCTACCCAGGTACTTTCCTTTCCTCGAAGCTCAAAATAGATGATGGCTTAAACTAAACTCCTTCTAATGACTGCCACAACGAAATGATTGTGATGAAATGAGTCCAGGAATCTCTGAACTAACTTCATCCTTACGTCTTCCCATTAGCTTCCGAAATCAAAGCCATCTTCGTCCGAAGATGAGGCAGCGCTTACGTCGTATAAGGATATGAACTAACTTTGATGACAGAAAAGATAACTCTGGGGCTTACAGTAGCGCTTACGTGATCTTTTGATGCATTCATCTATGGATCTATCTATGTGATATCTGAAATGCAACACTTAGACAGCGTCTTAAATGCAGTCAAGGCTTGTCGCATGAAGCTACCACGGTAGTCGACTTCCTAGGGCTATTTATTGCCGGTGATTACTTCAGACTGACTAGCTGTAAGCATATCTTATCGAAGTACCTGGGCAACGATCTCTAAGGTCGATTATTGGTACTGTGGTTGCCACGTACTATGCAGGATCTACTTACTGCAGAAGCATAGGTATGGAGCCTATCATGTCCACCATGTGGTCTGTCAAAGGGCATTTTGCAGTACTTGATGCACTCCGTATGCAGCCTTGTGGCTTGTTAATGCACGAAGGAATGCAAACACCCAAAACAAGCATATTCTTTATCAAGACAGCATTACTTTGAATCTATCTAAAACACCACACCGGGGAAAGGACACTAATCATATCAATGTCGGACTTTGAAGGCAGAAATGCATCAATTTCCCGATTGATTCGGAAGTAACTGGTTAAACATAATATGCTGAGTAGTTGGCATTCATTCTGAATGCGGATGTGAGAGGGTGACTTGCAGCAAGGCTTATCGTCGAGGAGAAAAGAATACCTCGCGTTTGCAAGGTATCATTGATCCAAATTTATCTCCACCACTATAGATTCCTAGTGCTTATCTCTGAAGAATCCTCGGAGATGTTACGCGAGTATAGTGGCAAGAAACAGCACATTCGGATCTAGATCAGCACTGGACTAACAAACAGTGGCAACCCTTCTCTCCGAAACTTTGATCAGACACCGGGTACTCTAACAAGTATTGTCAGCCATTCAAATTCGATGATAACGCCATGCAGACTGAGCAGATAGACGATTCGTGTGATAATTGGAGCCATTAGTCCTGAAGGGTGTGGGACAATATGCCTATACTCACTTAAGAGAAAGTGGAGCAAGAGGTTGATATCCGTCTGTAACCCGGTATCTGACTGAGAAAAGCCTTCAAATAGAGACACATTGGGTGAAACCACTTCACGGTCACCGCCCAGAAGCCTTGATTTTCATAAGACTCTACAATACTATCCAGCTATTGCCAACTTGTTGACCATAGTGAGAGCCATGGCAGCCGAATCGACTGCAACAGACTCCCACTCAGCTAGTCCTCTTCAGCGTCCCTGGACCCCCCAGTCATGGACCAAGATGAACACGATTGCACAAAATGTTGAATATGGGGACTCAACTGCTGTGCACGAAGTCTGCAACACGATTGCATCGCTACCTCCGCTTGTTAGTCCCGCCAAAATAGAAATTGCTCGTTCACACTTTGCTGCAGCAGCAAAAGGGCGAGCTTTCATCGTACAGGGTGGCGATTGTGCCGAGAGCTTCCACGATGTTCGACCGCATATTATCAACCAGAAAGTCAAGCTACTCCAAGAGCAGTCGCAGATGGTGGCCCAAGGCTTAAATCTACCCGTAATCACGGTGGGACGTATAGCTGGCCAATACGCCAAACCACGATCCAACCCGTGGGAGATCCTCCCCGACGGGACGAAGATACATGCCTTCCGCGGCCACAATGTCAACGGCGCGGGAATTGGTGAGCGGTGCCCCGATCCACATCGACTTTTACTTGGTTATTTTCATGCACGGGCAACTCTTGACTTGATGAAGGAAAGGCAGTTACCTGTAACGCCGCCTGCAACCGGTCCCTCTACCCCCGGTATAGATGACACACTGTTCGAGAAGACTGTCGACCCATTCGAAAGTCCAGAGGGAACCATCTTCACATCTCACGAGGCGCTACACTTGCCCTTCGAGAGCGCTGTCACGCACAGTCGCTATAACACGTCCGCAAGCTTTGTCTGGATTGGGGAACGATCTCGTCAGTTGAACGGAGCTCATGTTGAGTATATGCGTGGTCTTCGGAATCCGATCGGCGTTAAGGTCGGACCGACCATGGACGGCCCAACTTTAGTTGAGCTGTTGGATACTCTATGTCCGAATCCCGAAAACAAGGACAATATCGGCCGTATCACGATCATTACGCGATTGGGAGCAGATTGTGTTGAAAAGGTGCTGCCGAGCCTCATTCAAGCTGTGAAGGAAACCTACCATTGTCCTGTCTGGATGTGTGACCCGTGCCATGGCAACACACAAACAACAAAGGACGGTGTGAAAACACGCCATGTCGATAGTATTCTGCAGGAGCTCACCAGGACTTATCAGACACACCGGAACAACAATTCTTTTATGGGCGGATTGCACCTGGAACAAACGGGGGAGTTTGTTACCGAGTGCCTGGACGACACAAAACTGAGATCGGAGCAGAGACTGGCGTTCAACTATCGTTCATTGTGTGACCCACGGCTGTCGAACCTCCAGGCTTTGAAGGTGGTCAGATCTTTTGTAGATTTTGTGCGCAACTGCCATGACCAGACGAAAGATTAGAGCAGGATTCTTGCTATATCATATCCAAGGGTTCTCGAGGTCTCATTCCCGAGTTTTAAATTACAATAGTCTTTCGGATTTTCTGTATCTATTTGTGTAGTTTCAAGCTGCTTGCCTGAACAATGGAAACAGCATCCAACCTTAGAAATCTGCCCGATGGGTGGAGACTATTGATATATGTATATCTCATTCTGCACGTGTTATTTAGCAAACTTACTCATGGATTGTTTTTTATTGGAATTTGGAAATTTTAACGTTGAGATTACTAGATTTCAACCACCTAATTTATCATCCACAATCATACTCAAGTTTCTCCTGACAGTAGCATCAGAAACTTTTTAAATTGGAATTTTCGTGAAAGATCTACAGATACATCCATTGTTACCGGAGCTTGGCAGAATTTGGACTATTAATGGTAATGGTTCATTAATCGATCTGATACTGGTGATCCTCAAGGAGTTGAATAAAAAGACGACCCAGCCTGGAGCTGACCGATTTTAAGAGCATTACTGAATCATGGAAGAGAAAAAGACAAAATAAACACTGGAAAAAAAGTATTTGAAAAGACCAAATTTCAAACATAACAGAAATATACTCCATTCACCAGCTCCCTCCATTCAACGCAATCTTCAAGGGTGTTTTGGGATAACTTATCATTTCTTCCACTTATGCACCTTGGTCGCCCATGTCGCAAAATAAACTAGAAAGAGACTTGAAAACGTAAACAGTACGAAGATACCCCAATCGCCCCAGATCCCACCGTCCTCTCCATTACCTAGTCGGAATCCCTTCAGGTACTGATCTCCCGTGATGTACTCACACAGCTGGCAGTTCTCGGTTGCGGATGGGTTCAGGACTTGTACCTGTGCAGAACTAGCCCATGAGGAGAGGTAGGAGCCGCATGTTTCGTTGTCCGGCGGGGAAAGGATATAGAGGTCGTCTTCTTTGCAGACGATGGGTTGGTTTTCAATGACCGCAGTGACAAGACCGCCGAAAAAGTAAGTGAAAGGATTAAGCCAATACACCTGTTATTTTGAGTTTAGGACTTATTCCGTCACTTGCGCTAGTTGAATTATCTGAAAGTAATAGAAATGATGACTTACCCAGTATCGCCAGAAGACCTGAATTTGCTCATAGGGAACGATTATTCCATTGTACCAGTTGACGCAGCAAACTAAGAAAACAAGAACGTTGCCGGCTGTGCCAAGGTCAGGGCTCATGCCAATCATAAATAAGCCGAAGAGAACCTGTGGAATCATTTCAGTCAGCCAAACAGTTGCTTTTGGTCCTCGCTACGGATGCGTATGCGGCTTACCTCAAACACTTCGAAAGTCAAAAAAGACAGGAAGACGTAACCAGCTGCCTCGCCAGTGGGCAATCCGCAAAGCCAGTACCAGATGGCATAGTATAAAACACAGCATACCAGAGATCCGGGCATCTCGGCTGCAATACTCGCTGTGCAAAGTGCCTGCCAACTGTATGTGCATGAGGGACCCTCACGAGTTTCCCAAAGAAGACGAGCGAAGAAGAACCGAGCAAGGACAGTATTGACGATCGTATTCACCAAGAGAACAATGGAGAAGACGCTCAGCATTCTGGTTTAATTACATTTAGTATTGACAGATAGTTTCCTAGGTCGATGCGTGTGGCTTACCTATTCTGAAGATCGCTGGGAGATGTTCCTAGCTGGTAGACAGTTGTACCAATCAAGATCGCATGGATGATGTGCACCCAAATCTTCGAGTAAATGTATGGCGGGTTCCGCCACTGGTTTTTCAGCATTCGGACAGTGAGAAGCCAAGACTGAAGTAGGAGAGAGGAGTTGAATTCGCCATGGCCGATCTCCTCATCTACTCCGTTGTCTCCTTCATTGTAGTCCTTATTAATGCGATCTATGTCCTCTGACACAATCTTCGCTTCAGGAGACTCGCCCCAGTGCTTGGCCCACTGTCTTCCCTTGGTATCTTTGCGGGCATTAATGCCAGCGCCACCAGCCTCAAGAATAAATTCTGCAGGATTCGTGTCGGGGGGTGGCACGGATCCATGGCGGGTGAAGTAATCCAGCACCTTGTCAGTAGGACCAAAGTACAGTTGCTCTCCTTCTGGAGAGAGAGCGAGCAGCTTGTCAAATTCTGAGAAGACCAGAGCAGATGGTTGATGGATCGTCACTAGTACTGCTTGGCCAGCATGGGAGAGTTTGCGCAGGTACCTGACGATGTTGGCTGCACCTTCGGAGTCCAGACCGGAGGTTGGCTCGTCAGCGAAAAGCACGCGAGGTCGAGCTGCGAGCTCCACACCAATCTAATGGAATGTTAATCAGTATATGGCTCTATTTATCTAGGACGGAGAATGGATGAAACCCCTCACTCACCGTTACTCTTTTTTTTATCTCAACCCCCAGTCCAGAGTTTTCATCACCAATAAGGGCGTGGGCGATGTGCTTCAAATCCAGAAGTTCAAGGACCGTCTCCACGTAGGCGAGCCTTTCGGCACGCGAATAGATATCAGGTTGACGCAAGAGAGCAGAAAATTCCAGTGCTTCCCGAACAGTTGCCATTGGATCATGGAGATCAGCTTGTTGTGCAAACCCTGGAAAGATATCAGTATTGTTCAATCTTTATCATGCCATCCATGCGTCTGGTAAAGAGAGATTTGGCACTAACCAGTTACTTTCTTGAATGATTTTCCAAGTGCCTTATTTCCAAATAACAGCTCTCCTCCAACCTCGCCAGTCACATTGATCTGACTCAAAGCCTTGAGCATTGTCGTCTTCCCAGCGCCACTGGCACCACAGATTGATACGAAGTCACCTGGCCGGATATACGCTGTCACGCCCTTGATAATGCGTTTCTCACCAATGTCAATAGTCAGGCTCTTCCAGGTCAGCGAGGGACCACTATGTTTGGCAGGACCAAGCTGCACGTTATCAACACCTGACCCAGGCAGTTCTCGTTCAACATCTTTCTCAACAGTTTCATCAACTCTTGACTGTGAGTCTGACTGAGCTTGGTTCTTCTTGGTATAGACGATGGGTGACCCGCCCTGGGGCGTAAAGCGCATAAACTCGCTGCCGATCATACCTATAATGACGTAGGCAACTATGAATGCAAAGAGGATACCCACGTTACGCCATTTATGCGCGAGTAATAGCCCGTTGGCTTCAGCATACTGTAGACCGGGGATTGATTGTTGACCTTCTTTGGCTCCGGTAATCATACAGATCTGGTAGTCTGGGTTAGCACCGGTAAAATCGGGAACCATATTACCGCTGCAGTCGAGGTTGAGGCCGTCAAATTCATTAACGTAGACCTGGAACAGCCCTGCATTAGCTTTTGTGAAATCACACACATGTTCCTAGGGTTCTTACACTCTCGTATGCATAATTAATTGGACTAAGGTAGTGCAGCCAGCCAAAGTAAGGTCTCATATCCTTGGTCGGTACCAGAAAACCAGAGAACAAGATCGTGATAGTCGAGCCAGTGCCGCCGAAACGGAAGCCTATGCCAATGTTAATATCAGAATCAGTCTGCAGGAAAAAAAAAGGTACTTACAATCATCTAGAGTAGGCACATAGTATGCAAACATCCGCAACAAATTGCTAAAGCAAAGAGTCGACAAGATTAGCACGAAGAAGAAGAAGAAAAATTTTCCCGCTTCGACCTGTAGCCCTGCCAGAAAGTAGAATACGATCACAAAGATACAATGTTGGAATACGATCAGCGGCACATCAATGATCGCTCGAGCCAGAGCCACTGCTGATGGTCGATACATGTGTAATGCCGCTTGACGCTCCAGTACTGGACGATTTGTGTGCGCATCAAAGAGCTCTGGGAACTGGAGCCAGCCATTGACGATCAGGGAGAAGAATATCAGACCCCCACGGGTGAACGCACCCTGGGAATCCGCTGAGACATCAAAATACTCGCTTCCGATAATCAGACACAAAATGATGGTGGCGATCCACTTGCCATAGTAGATAATGGCTTGGCCACGCGCGAGCTGGACCTCGCGCAACAGACACTCCCAGATTTGCAGCGGGTAGGACAGGTTGAATGATGCGGTTCCCTTTGACTCGGCGGCCTGCGGGTGACCAAGGGATAGCGAATAGTCAATTTCACTGACTAGACTGGTGTAGTGTGGAGAACTCTTGAACAAGTCCGCAAAGTCGGCCGCCGTGTGCATGTTCGCAGCCACGCTATCCGGAATGACTTCACGATGGGCAGGATCGGTGACATAGGAGAGAAACTCGGCGGTTGTTTGGCCCTTTGCACGCACGAAGCCCAGATCCTCGAAGTACAGTCGGGCCTCTTCAATCTTGCCGAAGAAGGCTTGCCGTCCTTCGTAGATGACTAGTACCTTATCGAAGTAGTTGTACAGGGTCTCTCCGGCCTGGTACAAGGTTGCCATGGTGGTTCGATCGCCCACCTTTGTGAGCATATGGAGCGCCTTGACGAAGTCCAGTGCGGTAGACGAGTCCAGGCCGCGTGTGGAATTGTCGAAGCACTGCACCGAAGATCCGGCCGCGAGAACCTCAGCAATAGACACACGCTTTCTCTCACCTCCAGAGACACCGGGAAAGAACGAGCCACCGACAGGCGTATCCAATGCATGCTCGATACCGAACATCTGCGCCATTGACTGGACTAGCTCCTCGACCATTGCGCTATGGCGTGCTCCTGATGGCAGGCTCATTCGGAGAGCGAACCTTAACGTCTGACGCACAGTCAAGGCAGCAATATGTTGATCCTCCTCAGGCAAATAGATCGTATCACGACGATGGCTTTTTCCGAACTCGTCCGCCGAGATACCCGCATACTTCAGGTCCCCATAAACCTCAAGGGAGGTTCGATTGGCCAAAGTGCGCAGGAACGTCGAACACCCACTTCCTGGACGACCCAGAACCAGCAACATCTCACCTGGATTCACGATTCCCGTGAAATCTTCTAGGAGACTCCGGCTCTTGGTCTCCCCAAACCCCTTCGGGAATAAAATATTTTTGACGAAGTTGAATTGGTCAATGCCAAATGTGTTCAGGCAGGCCCGAGGAAGCGTCTTGACAGTCACCGGGCCAGTGTCTGGGGCAGAGACGCTCAGCCCGCGCCAGCTGACGGGAACATGTGTTAGATGCGCATTGCCGGAACCTTGCTTTTCGATCAGGGTACGGACGGCACCATGGTCTTCACTGATGGTCTTAGGTGCGATTTCTTTCGTATCTGGGAGCGAGGAAGAAATGGACTCTTGTGTCTCCGACATAGTGGCTGAGGTCAAGTGAAGAAATACCAGAACTCAATTGACTGGTTCCTAAAGGCCTCTACAAGCACAAATCATACTCTGGACACAGAAATAAAATAAAAATACCACTTGTTGGCTGCAAGCATTTAGGATACAGAGAGGAGGGAGCTATATGTAAATACATAAGTCGACCATTTTGATCCGCAGGAGCTCTTCCAAGCTCTGTTAATATGTCTAGTCCCAGCCTTTCCGATCTCCTGTTCAATTTCCTCCTCAACAGTAGTAATTACCCCTGACAAAGCAATATTGCTCCATCAAGGCCATTTCCTTCCGAGATAGAAATCATGTGATATCCACGTTCCCCCGAGCCACTCACATGGCGCATAGAGGATGAGTAAGTCCAATATCATTCATAACTAGTACGGGCATGGCTGTACCTAGTAGCGGCACGGCTTTACAGATATTTGTCTATTCAAATGTATAAATCTCAGATAATACATGCAGTTTGGAATTTCATTTGTACATTATGTCTCGAAACTGGTGTCACCAATACTAACTTATTATTTCTCTGACCATTGTGACTAAGCCACACTAGTACAAGTAGGAACCTCGGGAGTTCATCCGAAGTTCCCTAGTAATGCTGAAGTGGGGTGTATTATTTAGCTTCCAACTTTAATATATCGAACACCCGCCATAACTGCCCATTAGTCTCAACAACTAGTTAATCACAAGTGGCCACAGTACCACACCAGGATGGTGCCAAATATAGCTGCTGCAAAGCACGAGCTTATTGGTGACATGATCCATAGCGGAGAACTATCTGTAATCATCGCATATGGCACATACTGGCTGCAACAAGCGTATAGTCTTGAGAATCTCTTCCAATATACGACATTTGGCAGCGTTAAAGCACTTCCAAATAAAGGAGGTCGATCACAGAGCATTACTGTAGTCATTTTAGAAGCTCTTTGCGATTAGCTGCTCAAGACACCGAACTTGTATGTTGACGAGCTGGCCATTTTTTTGTGGGATAAGTTCGACGCTCAAGCGTCAAAATTTAGCATTAGCCGCACTCTTGCATTCAAAGGCTGGTCAAAAAGACTGCCCAATTCAAGGCCCGAGAGCGCAATCAAGACCTGCGTGATAAGTATTTCCACTTTATCTCAAATTTCCATTCATATCACCTTGTCTATATGGATGAATCTGGACGTGATAAGAAAATAGGCTGTAGGCGAACGGGTTAGTCCCTTCTAGATACCGCACCATTTCAAGTATGCAAATTTCATCGTCATCAACGGTATCAGGTATTACCTACATCGGCTCAGGATGGTATTGTTTTGTCTTTTGTCTTAAGTGTTCCGAGGCTCATAACTCATTCGTCTTTAAAGGTTTCATTGAGCAAGTTCTCCAGCATTATGGAAAATAGCCGAATCAAAGTCTTTGTTGGCCATGGATAAGGCATCCTTCCGTCACTCTAAACAATTGAAACAGATTTGTTCAGAAGTCGGTGTCAAACTTGTGTACCTGCCTCCACATTCTCCCGACTTGAATCCTATAGAGGAGTTATTTTCAGAGCTAGAAGTTCTCATTCGGTGCAATTGCAGTGCTACGAGGAAAACCCTGATCAAGGATTCAATAACCTCTTTGAATGGTGTGTCGATACCGCTGGTGCCAAGGGGTATAAAAGCGCAGAGGGATATCCAAGATTTTCTCTCCCTTGCAGCACAATAAAAGCAACCCTGTAATTGGTATCCAATAGGTCTCCATTCCGTGGAAATCAGTGTCGCGGTACTGGTAGCAGACTCTAAAAGTTCTTGGACATTACATCTATTGATCTCCCACTAACCCTTCGAAGATGCATATTAAAACCAAACGGGAAATTGGGCGTGATATCGTGCAAAAGAGCGAAAAATGGCCCTCTCGCATAGATTACGAAAATGTTGGGCCATTGGTAGCTATTCATAGTTAACTACTAGACTTTTATTGAAAGACTCACAATAGTAAGAGAACGAAATACGATAAGTGGAAATGAAAGAGAAATAATTTACTTCTAATATCGACCTTTCATTCTTGTACATTTATTCTTCTCCATCGCTGAGCTTAGGCCGAATCTTATGACATGCCAAAATTATCCTTGTTAGAGGCTGCAGTGAAGCGACATTCAAACTGCCCGCACGGTCCAAATCTATTAAGTCCTGGAGGGTAGACGAATTATGTGAGTTTGAATGGGCGTATTCACGGGCAACTCGCCATTCCTCCTCACTGCAGGCGCGCCACATGTACTCCGGTGCTGGAAGGGGCATCTGTAGAATCATTAATTCATTCAAAGGCTCAAAGTAGTCATAGTGCAGCTTCCGGGCTTCGGCGGCAAGTATATTAATGAGGTGGACGAAGAAGACGTTGCGGCGGAGAGATTCAGCAAATTTCCACTCGGGCCAGCCTGATTCATTTCGTCCGAGAGCTTTTTGGTGCAGCTTGCAGAGGCGCCGGGTCATCTGTTTAGCGATCAACGGATGAGTGGTGAAGATTTAAGCAACGGGGATGAGAAACTCTAATACATACCTTCAGTAAAAAGGAACCGTGAAGTTCTGCGGCCTTACCCGAGTCTTCGCGACGTCGCTCACTCCCATCTTTGGAGGGTGTGTTATGACCCGATCTGGGGCTGTCTACGGATGGCCCCCCAAATAGTCCTAAGATTTGATATACACAAACAGCATGTAGGGCGGCGAGGCAGGTTTCTGGGCGGTCGCTGTAAAGGTGAAACTCGCGGACTAGCCGCTCCCGTTGCGAGTTGATCATGTTGTCAACGAACTCAAAGCTAGACTCGACAGAGCTCGAATAGGCCGATACGCAGGCCAAGGCAATGCCGAGAGGCTCGGCCATGCCGTCCTTTGAGCACCGATATAGACGGTGGTGAATGAAGGGGGACCAGAAGTTGGGCTGCAGCATCATTCGCGGGTACTCGCGCAGAATGCTAAAAAGCTCTTGCGATAGACTGGCTGCGTCTCGCAGTGCTGTAGGGGATAGGTCTGGGATAAAGGAGCTAGCAAATATACCTGTATTCTCCCAGGAGACACCGGAGTTAGAGATCTCTGCGTCGTCGCGTCCCGCGGGCGGCTCTCCGTTACTACTGCCCGCCGATGAGGATAAAGGTGGTAGAGAGACGTCTAACGGGTCTCCCGAAAGTAATAAGGACGAATTATCTAACGGGTGGTGTGCTTTGGATTTGTCTTGCGGCGCAAGAAAGAAGGGTGGCGTTTGGCCGTGGAGATGGTCACCTAGGAAGCCTGATGATGGGTCAGACCAGGTAGCCTGACCAGAAAAGCCCGCTCCATCTTCGAGCGGGTGAAACATAAACCCGATATTATTGATTGTCGGACTCCAGGCGATGCCATCCCCAGCCAAGGTCATGGTTGAGACGGGAATACCGGGGGTAAAACCTGTGGGTGTCGGTTCCAGAGCTACTTCTAAGGGTGTCATCAGCTCCGAGCCTGTGTCTTGGTCTCCCTGTATTAAAGATGCTGAAGATGTATTAGGATAGTGACAGGCCGTGCCCATCTGAACACATCGACTACAAGCTGGGCGGGTCAATGAACAGCGTAACTTCTTTTGGGCACAAGTTTCACATGACTTGCGCTTAGATGCGCGTTCCTGACCGAAGGTTTTAGCACAACGACGTCGATGCCGGTCCCGGAGATCCCCTGTTGGATTCGTCAATACTTTGCAAAACCACAGATATACCATATGCAGATAGACGACGTACGGCGACTATAGGCCTTATTGCAGAGACCGCAGCGAAATTCAGCATCCGTCGTGTCAGGAGAGTTGCGATTATCGCTGTGTTCATTGTAGTTATTCCAGTCCATGACGTTGAAAAGGCTAGCTGAAAAATCAATGTGAATGGTTACTCAAAGAAACTATGGATTGGAGAAAAGCAGATGATCCCCGCAAACCCGCTAGCTCTTATCGGTCAATCACGTGACCAGAGGCGCACTATTTGCCAAAAACCCTGGGTCTTGGCGAAGTTTTAGAGTTTATACGCAGCATGAATCTACCCTCATACTTCAATAGCATCAACATATTTAAGTGTAATTATTGTATATTAGGAGTCAAACTACAATTAATTCATTGTGTTCTTCAGAATTTTTCAAACAATTCAAATCTTCACTGTCAGCATGTAGTAGTACCTTTGAACCTGGGACCCGCCTAGGCACGCCTGAACAGTCAGAATTCGGGACTTTTGGCGAGATACAGCCCCGAAGAAGTAAGCTCGTATAATCAACTACCTACTAGATAGGTAGCCCGATGGCTTTAAAAATCCAGAAGCTCTCTTTCTGCCGCCCTCGGGAACTGTTTCTGAATGAATCACTACCTACTAGTCTCAGGTACACAGGTAATTTTGCTTTTCAAAAAATATTTCTGCCCAGGTGGTTACATCCTCATCACTTTTGTCTGTTTTCTTATAAATATAGCTCTTACCAGCCAGTTTCAAGACCTTCTAAGGAAGTACCATATTGGTAACCTTGAAAGTCTCTTACATTTCCCCACTCTAGGAGCCGTGTAACCCTCCCTATCTTGCACGACTCGCTGTAAAGATTCGTATTTATTAGATTATATTTCTGATCAGGTCGATATCTAACTGGAGGATAGCCAAGTACTGGGTATCGGAGTTAATGTCTGTCAGATATGCGGACGACATAATCGGTTCGACTGGGATGATGTATGCATCAAGCTGCAGATTACAGAGCCCTGGAACTTTGGAATGGATCGAATAATCCTGATGATGAATCAGGTCAATATCTGACTGGAAGATAAACAAGTACTGGGTTATCGGAGCTAATGTCTGTCAGATATGCGGACGACATAATCGGTTCGACTGGGATAACGTATGCATCAGGCTGCAGATTACAGAGCCCTGGAACTTTAGAATGAATCGAATGATCATGATGATGAATGTCGATCCATATGATGATTAGATAGGCATGCAACATGCATACTTTCCCACGTACACATGATGTCGTGATTATCCTTCTAAGGTTGGTAGGTAAGCACTAAGTCGGAGTGCCGGCATTCGAGTGGAGAAGTTGAGTCTCCACAAGATTAGAATCTCCATGACCTATGATTGTTCAATATCTGAGTGCCAGTCTTTCCAGAGTTAGTGATTACAGCAGACACAGTTTTACCTTGGTGTGCTTGCCAAGTTGGCCATGGCTTGGAGGCGTATCCAGGTCTATCTACAAGAAACAATTCACATATGGCGTCATATGATAACTAGTTAGCTGCTAGCTGTCCACAATTAGAAGTTCTAGTCTTCAGAAGTCAAAGCAGCTAGATTGAATCTAAAATTATGTCGGTTTATACCTAGCGCTGAGCGCAGTTGAAAAGCTTCGGAGTAATGTGGCGAATCAGGGCTGATGCACACTGAGGCCTATCTAGTACTTCAGGTCTTCTCATGATAATCTATGGATGTACCTAAGTATACAGAAATATTCCAGCCTCTGGGCTTGAAAAGTTCAGATGTTGTGACCTCAAGAACCCAGGTAGATATTACTTTTAGTCTCAATATACAAGGGTGCTGTGAGCTATTATAAATCCTTATGGTACCAAGCATTTCAACGCTCCAAGCTTGGAATGCTTGATTTTTTTGCAAGGTTATCCATGGAAAGCTCTAACTCGAACTGTAACACTGCATCTGCAATATCTGCAACACGCCCCAAGGTTTACTGTAACATAAATTAAAGTCATGGGGCATAATGAAAACTGTAAATATTTCTTTTTTGTAACAAGCTCGGAGAGTGCCCTGGTTTATATAGTACCTAATATACCAAAGAGCGTTGAGGAAACAGATCCCACTCGGGCAGGCAGGAAATACCAAGATTTATTTAAACTAAGCGTTGAGCGGCAAGCTTGTCCCGATGTCTTCTACTTACTCCAGATCTATAGAAGCCTTTCCAAATGGCCGATTTCCATAAATCGCTATGTAAATCCAGGGCTCCTGCTACCCGCTCATTCCTAAAATTTGAGATTTCATGTACCAAGCTCCCAGCTCAAATGAATGATTTCCAAAGTAAGCATGATCTGAAGCCTAAAATAACGAGCTAATGGACTTCACTAAACACCGCCCAACCTTGGAAACTATGAAAAATCTTTCTTTTGAGGACCCGTGGATTTTTATAAAGATTTCTTTCAAAGGATTCTAGGATTATCAATCTACCTGGACATGAGTTATATAATCTGCTTGATCATACTACCTCTGATGAAGAAGAATTTTATGGGCTTAGTGCTAGTTTTATTGCTACTATCAAATTTGGGATGTTTAATTTTAGCAACTATTATGCTCATATAGATCATCAAGATGCCTATATAAAGTGCTTTTTCTTGATGCACACTTCAAAACGCTCCTATTAGGGAAAGATCTTGGCAAGGATGCAGAACCAATCATGAAGTATATTAGGGGCTTTTTATATGAAAAATACTCCGGTACTACCCCTTAGCCTTCTTCTTTGATGATCCTAATCAATCTGATCTCATGAAGAAGCGCCATTCCGGATTGATTCTTCTAAGATTAATCAGAAGAACGGGCTATTCTTATAAAACTCATGACAAATGAGACTGCGAAAAATGCCCTCCTTCGCAATGTCTATAAAGGTAAGTATTATGAGTCTGATGATAATTCTAAGTTGCGCAGAGTTGAGAGCTAAGCTCTAACTTGTTGATTAAGGTACGGCACTGTTGATCGATAGTGTGGGTCGTAACCCACAGAACTCCACAACAATACAACTCATATACACATGCTACAACAGGTTATGAGCCCTTATTGCTCAAAATTGATAATGAATCAGGGCACTCTCCATTCATTTTAACAAACTATCACTCTTGGAGATTGGATGCTGAAGTTTCAACTCACGGGCCTTGGAGCAGTGGGTCGTCGAAGACACAGAACCTGCTCCTGATATTAGCTCTACGACGCGAGCAGCCGAAATAACCAAAACTATAGCCTGCGGCCAATCCACTGTTGCCACGGTGAAAGAAGAGGACACACTAAATCAAACTGCTTGGAGTTCAACGATGTGAAGAGGAAGACAAGCAAAATCAAGAACGGCTATCTCGAATATTTCATGGCATAACTTATACAGCAGATGATGGAGTGACTGCATCAACAAGCTCAACTCAAAACACCATCACGAGCCGATGCGAACTATACCTAGGCTGAAGATGGCTTCGCTCATGTAGCAAGTTATAGTGCATCATCCATGAATGAATATTTCTTAGACTCTGGAGCCGGTCACCCGATGACTCATACAAAGTCAGATCTCACGCACTTCAACCGATTTCACCAACATTGTTAAGTCAGGACTGGTCACGGATCATACGCGAAAGCACTTAGAAGTGGCACACTTAATATTCGGATATTTCTAACCTCTATTGATTTATAGGAAGTCTAGTAGATACATCAACTTGGCACTAACCTAATATCTGCGCGTTCATTAGACGTTATAAGGTTATTTAGAAGTCATCTTTGCTAGTGGGCAATGCAGGATCCGACATGACGAGAGACTGTTTATCACTATAAGGCAAATCCAATCTAATCTTACTAGCTCAATCTACGTCTACGTTTAATGCCAAATTCAATAACTACCACCTGGTCACAATCTGGAATCAACGACTTAGACATTTCAATAATACAGACGTGTCGAATATTACCAAAATCTAACTACCAAAGCAAATGCCCCGATGTGATTCGTGAATGGGTAGAAACAAGCACACCATATATAACAGGAACCCTGAAGAAAGAGCAGCTAAGCCATTTGAACTCATCAATACTGATCTCAGTAGTTTACTTCCTACCTTTCTAGGCGTCTTTTCTAGGCGGTTATCGATACTTCCTTGTTTTCATCGACGATTTCACACGATACAACCAAACCTAGTCTTCCTAAGGGCAAGGATATGAAAGGATCCATCAAAGTCTTTCGTGACTATCAATATGGGTCAAGACTCAATTCAGTGCAACCATATATAGAATCTGTACAGACACTAGGGAATTTACCAACAAGTTACGGTACGGTACGGTCATGTGGTCAACGAAGGCATTCAACATAAACTCAGCCCTCCCAATACTCCGAATATGACGGTTCGAACACTCAAAGAAATGGCGGGAAGTGAGCCTGTAGAATTCTGTCTGTCAAATGAGAACTGAATAGTGGATTCGTGCGAGCAAATAGGAACAGAGTAGTCAAAAATATGTGTGTGTATTTGCTGCAGTAAAATTTGCTGCAGTAAAGAACGTATGAGAGCTGACTAATAACGCACTAAACTAAACTTGGAATCGGTCCTTTGACACTGTCTCATTATATTTGCTTAGTTTGCATTAGTTTGCATTGTTTGCATTAGTTTTTGAGATGAGCTCATTTCTAATCGATCACGTGCTTAAGTTAGTAAGGGTTGATCAAGAAGTTTAAAATCGCTTACGTGACTAGCACTACAGCGTTCTATGCGCTCAAATCCATGCTGATTCCTTACCAGGTCAATTCTATATGATAACCAAAAATTTGAATCTCTGAACAAATATCATTACACCATTTAATGATTTAGCAAAGTCTGAAACATCTAATTTTTGGTGAACTAGAAAGCGGGATCCTAACTTGGTTAGACGCGGAGTTCTCGATTCTTCAATACAGAGTACGTATTAGTGACTTCCGATCCACATATCTCCCAATAGCTCAAATTAAGTCACTTGAACAACGGGTTGATTATTGACAATCCTTGCACCCCCCACCTTTTTCTTCTCATCTACTCATCCTTGTATCTATTCTGCTATTGCTTTCCCAACTATTTGTGGCAAAAAGTTGAGCAGTGAAATTCTTATCGGGAACACTTGACAAGAAGAAAAAGTGGCCGCCCGGGACAACTTCCACTTTTCATCCCCAATCTTCCATTGCCGGTTTCAGTTCAGGCAATGCTCGCCATTTGCGCTCGAATGATAGGTTAATTATTAGAATCGCATTTTTTTTATCGCTTGCTTCATCTATCTAAGTACAGATAGACTTATTGCTGGAAAAAGGGGACTGGTCGATTGATCTCACATCTCAAATCGGCTCTACGCAGTCCTCGCAAATCATGCTACCTCACTGCGAGGGCCCTGTCTGGGCTATAGACGATTTATCGCGCTGCTTTCAACGCAAGTGAGTCATCATATTCCTTCTCCACTGATATTCAGGATTTGTTGCCTGTGAGACCGTTTCACTAACCAGAATGTGATACGTAGTGTTCTGCAAGTCGCGCTCCCAGTCGTGACATGCAGCTTCTCTTTGCTTTTGATCGTCTTCCACACCGCTCGTACCTTTGTCATCTCCCGTAAAAGTGTTGTCGCCTACAAGCTCCTACCGGAAAACGCCACCGAAGATGAAATCCTCAATGGCTCCCCCGAAGACGAAACGGACCCAATTCTGCAGCAAGCCGTCCAGAGCGAACAGCTATCAATCGAGGTGGATCGCCCGCGCTATGAAAACGCAGTTGTCGCTCTAGAAATCGCAGCTTTAATTGGTCAAGTTGCTCTGTATGTAGTGATCTTGTCGACAAAGGGTTGGGGGCGCCATGGATCCATCCCTGCAACGGCAGGTCTGGTTACTTGGGGCTATATTCTGTTCTTGGTTCTGCTTCGTTTGCTCATGTCCATTCGGAATCTCTTCTCGGCCTCACAACTATGGGCACATACCACCATTCTGTATGGCCTTCAATGGGTTTTCAATATCATGGTGTTCCGATCCGCCATCATCCATCCGATTTCAGATCAATCCTTGACTCTGAGCAGCATCGGATTCGCCCTAGGCACAGTTCTTCTTATCATCTCCCTAGTCACTCGCCGTGGCAACAAGGCGGTCTTTGTGGAGCACGAGGAAGGATTGGAGCCCCCGCCTTACCCTACGGCCAGTCTCTTATCACTCGCGACGTTCTCTTGGCTCGACCCCCTGATTTGGAAGGGCTACAAGCAACCCTTAGAGCTGGAGGATGTTTGGAATCTGACCCCCTCTCAGAAGGCAGCCGGCATTCTGTCGAAATTTCGAAGACGGCAGATGAAGGGCTCTTTGGCTTGGAAGCTCGTCCGCTACTTTGCCGGAACTATCTTGAAGCAAGGTGCTTGGACCATTTTTGCTAACATGTTTGTCTTCGTACCCAGTCTACTTCTCATGGCCATCCTGAAATACGTGGAAGACCCGAGCTCGACTACTGCTCATGCGGCTTGGCTGTATGCTATCCTGTTATTTTCCTCCGCCATCATTCAAGGCGTTGCAGATGGTCAAGCCTTGTACATTGGTCGTAAGATGGGTGTCCAAATCCGCGCAATCATCATTGGTGAAATTTATGCCAAAGCGCTTCGACGCAAGGCCGGTGCTTTGACGGATGCTGCTAAAAATGATGCGAAAGAGCCAGTTGCGCCCAAAGACGCCAAAAAGAAGAAGGGCTTCTTTTCCTTTGGGCGAAAGAATAAGAATGCAAATGGAGACGCCGAGGAGGCTGTGCCCAAGCCTAAGGCCGAGGGCGAGGAAGATGATGTGCAAGCGAACGTTGGTACCATCATCAACTTGATGGCCATCGATTCGTTCAAAGTAAGCGAGGTCGGCGCATATCTTCATTTCTTGTGGGCCAGTGTGCCAGTACAAATTATTATGGCAGTCACACTTCTTTATAGAATTCTGGGCTTTAGCTCCTTTGCTGGTATTGTGTTGATGGTCATGATGCTACCCATTAATCTTTTCATCGCCCGCCAGTTCAACAAAGTTCAGAACCAGATCCTCAAGGGCACCGACGCCCGTATTCATGCGACGAATGAAGTTCTGCAGAACATCCGCATCATCAAGTACTTCGCCTGGGAGCAGCGATTCCAGGATATCGTCAATGAAAAGCGTAAGGGAGAGTTGAAGGCTCTGCGGAAACGCTACGTCCTTTGGTCTTGTGCTGCTACTGTTTGGTACGGAACGCCCATTTTGATTACGTTCATGTCATTCTTCTTGTATACTGCTGTGGAAAAGAAGCAATTGACCCCATCAATTGCTTTCCCGGCTCTGTCTATGTTCTCCCTCCTGCGCGTGCCCCTGGATCAACTCGCGGATATGGTGGCACACGTTCAGGAATGCAAGGTTTCTTTAGACCGAGTAGACAAGTATCTTAACGAAGATGAGACTGAAAAGTATATTCAGCTACATGATAGCTCCGTCTCTGATGGACCTCCCAGAATCGGTTTGGAGAATGCGACTCTGTCCTGGGGTACCAAGCCTCAGTCGCAGACCTCCTCTTCCACCAATGAGTCGAATTCATTCCGTTTGATCAATGTTGATGTCGATTTTCCTATCGGTCGTCTGAGTATCATCGCTGGTTCCACTGGTTCTGGAAAAACATCCTTGCTCATGGCAATTCTCGGTGAAATGAGGCTCATAGAGGGTTGTGTCTATCTCCCAGGAGGTGTCGCCAGTCGTGCAGAGCTCCCAGTTGATCCCGAAACAGGCCTTATTGACAGCATCGCATACTGCGCACAGGAAGCATGGTTGGTCAACGATACTGTAAAGGAGAACATCATCTTCGCGACCCCCTATGATGAGAAGCGCTACCGTGCAGTTCTGAAGGCCTGTGCTCTCGAGCGTGACATTGAGATCCTGGATGCTGGCGATCAGACTCTCGTTGGAGAGAAGGGCATCAGTCTGTCTGGTGGTCAGAAGCAGCGAATCTCTCTTGCCCGTGCCATGTACAGCAGTGCCCGTCACCTACTGCTGGATGACTGTCTTTCTGCTGTCGATTCCCATACTGCAAAGCATATTTTCCGTCAAGCTCTGACTGGTCCGCTGATGATCAGTCGTACTTGCATCCTGGTGACCCACAATGTTTCCCTCACTGCACCCAGTGCCGATCACGTTGTGGTACTGGATAATGGTAAAATTACTGCTCAAGGTCGCCCTGAGGATGTTGCCGCTACTGGCGCATTAGGTGAGGAGTACGTAAAGTCACAAGCAGGCTCTCGAGCTAGCTCCGCGCCCTCGGTTATAGAAATTGAGGACGCAGAGGTTGCGAACGGAGTCCCCAATGGAACGGCCACAATTCAAAAGGATGAAAAGGACCGAATGAAAGAAGGCAAATCAGAAGGAAACGTCCAGTGGTCCACCATTAGCATGTACCTGCGCGCGATGGGCCACTGGTACTACTGGGTCGTGGCGATTTCCGTGTTCTCCCTGCAACAACTAGGCTCGGTGTCCACCAACCTTTGGATCCGTGAATGGGCCAACGCTTATCAAACTAAAGTCAATAGCCAAGATGACTCCGGCCGTTACGCTGCTGTCTCGCATCTCAAGCCTCCCACTTTCAACGTTGGTAGTGTGTCAAAAATGAGCAGCTGGGTCCCACCACAACTCGGCATTCAGTCCTCTAGTACTACACCTGACGGTGAAGTCAATGTGACTTACTACTTGGGTATATATGCCCTGCTCGGCTTCTTGTATATCGGCATCTCTCTCGTGCGCGAGGGTGTGCTGTTCTGGGGCTCAATTCACGCATCTTGGAAGATCCATGACCGTCTCCTCAAGGCTGTGATGCGCGCGAAATTCCGTTTCTTCGACTCGACACCACTCGGACAGCTCATGAACCGCTTTTCTAAGGACGTGCAGTCTGTTGATCAGGAGGTTGCACCGGTGGCGATCGGAATGCTTCACAGTCTTGCCTCTGTGATCATGATTGTTATTCTTATTTCCATCATCACTCCAGGTTTCTTGATTGCAGGCGTGTTCATTACCCTGGTCTACACCGCTCTGGGTGCAGTCTACTTGAATGGCTCCCGAGACCTCAAACGCCTGGAGTCTGTGCAGAGAAGTCCTCTTTACCAGCAGTTCGGTGAAACTCTCAACGGTATTGTCACTATTCGCGCTTATGGTGATGGACCACGTTTCATTGTCGATAACCACCGCCGTATCAATAGTTACAACCGGCCGCATTTCTATCTCTGGGCAAGTAATCGCTGGCTTGCACTGCGTGTCGATTGGACCGGTGCTCTTGTCTCTTTCTTCTCCGCGACCTTTGTCCTACTCAATGTCGGCAAAATAGATGCTGGTGCCGCCGGTCTTTCCTTGACCTACGCCGTGACCTTCACAGAGAATGTTCTCTGGCTCGTCCGACTGTATTCCGAAGTCCAACAAAACATGAATTCGGTTGAGCGCGTGAAAGAGTATCTCGAGGTTGACCAAGAGGCAGATGCTGTTATCCTGGAGAATCGCCCGACGACCGGCTGGCCTACTGAAGGTGCCGTAGAATTTTCTAGCTACACTACCCGCTACCGACCAGACCTCGATCCTGTGCTGAAGGAGGTTTCCTTCTCTGTCAAGGCAGGTGAGAAGGTTGGTATCGTTGGTCGTACTGGTGCCGGTAAAAGCTCCTTGGCATTGGCGCTCTTCCGGGGGTTAGAGGCCGAGAAGGGTAATATCTTGATTGACGGTGTTGACATCGGCTCTATCGGGTTGCGTGATCTCCGTGAAGCTATCACAATTGTGCCGCAAGATCCTACTCTGTTTACCGGTACCATCCGCACTAACCTTGATCCTTTCGGTCTATTCAGTGACGAGGAAATCTTCACTGCCCTCCGTCGGGTACACTTGATCGGGCCCAATGTATCCGGCAACACGACTCCCATGACAGGAAGCACATTCATCGATTCCAACGCCGCTGACGGTGTCAACGACAGTGTAATCACAGTTGTCGAAAACAAGAACGTATTCCATAACCTCGAGAGTCCAGTCTCAGAGTCCGGCTCCAACCTATCACAAGGTCAACGCCAGCTCCTCTGTCTCGCCCGCGCTCTCCTCAAGAAACCTCGTGTTCTAATGATGGACGAAGCCACCGCCTCCATCGACTATGCCACTGATGCCAAGATTCAAGAAACTCTTCGCGAGCTTCACGACAGCACAATCATCACAATCGCACACCGTCTGCAAACAATCATCGATTACGATAAAGTCCTAGTCCTTGACCACGGCCGCGTCGTCGAGTTCGATGATCCGTGGACCCTGATCAACGCCACCGACGGTTCTTTCCGTGGTATGTGCGAGAACAGCGGTAATATTGACGCTTTGTTAGAGGGTGCCAAGAAAGCCTGGATCTCCAAGCGTCTGGTCGACGACTCTTGAGTGTTTGATTCTACAATCGCGTACATAATATTTTGTTTCTTGATTATTTCCTTGTCTAGAGTTTGGAAAAGGGAGATCTTTCATTCCAATGTCTTGTTCAAATGTTTTCTGGGAGGCTCTTTACTTATTCTGATGGCGTCTGATGGCGTCCACGGCATCTGTTCTTTTCTTGTCTATCATCTTTTATTTATATTTCTGAATAGAGGACTAATCTTACCTCTGTCATGATTAAATAATGCAGATATCGACTCAGTCAACTTGTTTTCTTTTTTTTAAAAAAAATGATAACCATCATCAAATACAGTATTTCTTTCGGCCTCACGTAATTTCTATCACGATCAAGAACCACCGCTGTAGTTCTGATGTAACCCTCCTCCCGAGGCCGTAGTTCCGTATCAAACTTCCTCAAATACTTAACTAGCCCATGGTTGACTCTAATATGCAAACGGAAGGTATTTGTATGCCACCACTACTTGATATTTACCTGGTCTTATTCTAGGTGCTTTTAGAGGGTACAAAATATTCGACAGTAGATAATTTTGATATGTGGTCCCAGGTTTAGAGCCATTAAAAGTAGTTCACAAGAAAGCGGGAGAAGGAAAACGCTTGTGAGACCGGAGCTAGGTACTAGTAAGGGCTCCGATGTAAATCCGTAAATAACAATGCGCGTTTATTTTATGGCATAAAAGATCAAATGGACCCTCCAGTAAATGTTGTTCAAGGGCCGAAAAGGCTCAAAAATGGGAGGCCACTAGTGGGAGGGTCGTGCCACCTGAGCGATCGAAGTGGCCCAAGCTGAGACAGAAGGTTGTACGGAGTACAGAGTACTCTGATGATCTTGAAATCGATGCACAAGACTGGAAAATCTCTCTGAGTCACGCCCAAACCGACGAAGAAGCTTTAGAAATCGTCCAAAAAGCCGATTTTTTCTCCCAGTCCGCGAAATCCTTCATTATCTTGACTGATGTGAGTCCCGAACTCGGCAGTGAGTTGCTGAACCTGTTGGACGAGAGATATCCTCGCGTGCGAAAAGGATTCTTTCTGGAGGACAGGGAAGTTACTTTGAAGATGCCGTCCTATACCCATGATGCTCCACATATGTGGCTCCATCAACAGCTGACCAAGTGGGAGCATGATGGGCTCTTAACCGGCCGCGAAAATCTTCGACTACTCCTGGGATCTTCGCCAAAGGTTACATGTGTTTATCCCCCCTTCGTCGGCTCTTCTAAAGAACCGGACACGTTCATTTGTCCCCGTGGGCTCCCGCTTGCGAAGCGGTCTCATCCAACCGTTGTTATCGAAGTCGGGATGTCTCAATCACACGCAAGTTTAAAAAGAGACGCCAAACTTTGGCTCGAGGGAGTCGGCACCAATGTAAAGAAAGTGTTGATTGTGAAGTTCTTCACTACAAGGCCTGGTGTTAAGGGAAACTTGGAGAAGTGGGGAAGAGATACTACTGGGTTGGCACAATTGGAGTTCTCCAATCACATTTTTCCTGTGCGTGGACCGTTTGAGCGGCCAGTATACCTGAAGAGAGAAGATCTCTTTAATTCTGTCGTGGAAGCAGGGTGCGATGGTGCCGACCATCTCCCTCTTGATATCCATTCTCTGCGAGATATTATCTGCGAATCCGGGTTAGAGGTTCAAGGCCTCCAACCGGCTGTTTAAATCTTCCCCAACCACCTCTGAAATCACCTAACTCGAATTCCGTCTCGTTCTTGGACGTCCTCTTTCCGCGCTACTACCGTCACTCCACCTTCTGTCGCCTCTACCACCTCCGCTCCTAGCCTCTCCTAGCGCCTCTCTCTCTCTCTCTGGGGACCATTTGTTTTACGAAACCTGTTACAGTTCGCATAACCCTGATCGCACCTTTTATTGTTTTTTCCTTTTTTTCATAAGATCCACAAGCATAGGTTTTTAGCTAGTTCTTGGAAAAAAAAAATACTATGCGACACCCTTTTTCAAGTAACTCGATTTTCTACTTCGAAAATTCGAAAAAGTCGTAAATCTATGGTCGAAAGAAATACTTGAGTTAGAGAATATCTTTCTGCTTCTCAAGGCAAAGAGTATCTACCACCTACAACTTTCTGAAATGAAAATGGAAGTGTCGGAGATTCCAGTGACTAGTTTCTCGCATTGGTTTCAGGTGACCAGTATCAAGCGAAGAAGTAGTCTACAAAAGAATGTTCTCAAAAGAGGAGAGTTACCTACCAAAAATAGATGAACATGTTATTAAGCATGGAATTGAGCATGATTTTATATTGACTGCGGCAGTACCCAAACGGCCAGCGGAGCGATGTGCAAAAGACTTGTAAATGGCTAGACAATCTTATAGTAATGATGTGCATTGTAGAGTAGAAACTTTGAAAGTGATAGGAGCCTTGGGAGTAAGTTAGTAAATGTCGGGTTGACTGTCATCTAGACTGCACTTGAATTCTAGGCTAGACATGATTTTACATAAAAACCAATTAAACATACGCTTAGTAATCAAATCAGCTTCTCTAATTTAATTAGTTAAATATTTATTTAGTTCATATTTTTTATTTAACTAATGCTTCATGACTGCACCTTAATTTGACCTCCTGTATTCTATCCTTTTCGAATGCACATCATGGATTTGACATCAGATTCCTGATTCCCCTCGGATTCTGGTACTCTCACGTTGTACCCTACTCTAAATCGACTCGTCATATCAACGTATTAGATATAATCATGTCTATTTCAGTGATCGCACATTGGAAATTCTCCTCTTCCACTCCATTTTTAGCTTTTAGCTACTACCAAGGCTCTCACCACTGCTTTTACAATTCTTCAACCTCAATTTTACCATTCTGAACAGTTGACCACAATATGGGGGAAAAGCGTGCTCTTCTTCATGAGCCCGATGATACGCGTGCCCCTGCCAGAAAAGGGGCACGAAAAAACAACATGGGAACACGTGGCAAGCCTATTGAGCTACTCGACTCTGATGAGGAAATTGACCCTCAACCTGGCCCTGCGACTAGCAATAGAGCTAATGATGCTCCTCATCGCAACCATGACATTGACCCGCAAGCAGACCGAAACCTTCTAGTGGATGATGATAATTTTCAAGATAATCTCTACGAGGGTGATAATTTCGACAATGGCCCCCATCAGACTTCAGAGTCGGAACTGCCTACAGGCCTATCTGAAAAGCAATTTTTGGCTCAAATTCTCGAGCTGTTTCCGGATATTGCTCACGACTACGTCGCCACGCTTTACCAATCAAATATTGGTAAGGCAACTTCTGGCGTATTTCCATTTGATGAAGTCCTAGATGAGATCGTGAGTAATAGGTCATATCCAAAGGAGCGGGGTAACAAAGGAAAGCAACCGCTGCGAGAATTAACAGCAGAAGATCATAAACAAATGTACACGCGAACTGATCGACCAGCTATACTTGGTAGAGTACGGAACGCCATGTGAGATTTTCACCCTCGTCTTTGTGGTAATTCTAGCTAACTTCCTCATCAGTTTGGAGATACTGAAGAGCGAGTTTCCAAAAATCCCAGCTCAGTTTATCCGAAAGATCCAATCGCAAAACAAAGGTCACCTCTACCCCTCCAGTATGGCTCTTGTTGAAGCAAAGCATAAGCAACCCAAACCTCGGGCCCAGGACACCAAGTGGAGACTTTCTAACCGACAATATTCTGCCATTGCTATCGAGTATGGCGCCTTGATTCCAGATATTGCAGCTCTAGAAGATGAGTTGAATGCGGCAAGGAACGCCCGCACCAAGGTGGCAGACGACCTGCGAAAAGTGATATCAGAAAAAGTGAACACTGCTGACTGCAGGGTTATGGGTGCCATTTCTGAATGGTATGACTGTCACCCTCTCGCGAATTGACACTGCAGGTCAGCTGACTTGAGTATAGTACAGTGTGTTTCGACGAGACGCCTCTGAACCGGGCCATCTCTTGCAACGGTGAGGATACTCACTACACATGCTTTGGATGTGCTATAGACTACATCGCTTCCGAAGCTGGACGGTCTCGATGCAAGCTTATCTGCCCTTCTGGCTGTGGAGGTGGGTTTACCGAAGTCCAACTACGTCTCGTACCAGGCCAGAAAAAGCTCGTTGAAAGGCTCCTCACACTGCAACGGGACCAGGAAATAAGAGAAGCTGGTCTTGATGATGTGGTAAATTGTCCATTCTGTGACTATAAGCAGGTATGCCCAGACGTTGAGATTGACTCGGAGTTTCGATGTAAAAATCCAGACTGCGAAATATTGAGCTGCCGAAAGTGTCAAAAAACTCACACACACCCTACTCGTGTGGGTACTTGGAGGCGGCACGAAATGAACGCCACAAGATCGAAGAGGCTATGTCCGAAGCATTGATTCGAAAATGCAACAACTGCAATAAACCATTCATCAAGTTTGGGGGGGGGGGGGGGGGGGGGGGGGGGGTGCAACAAGATGTCCTGTCCCAACTGCCATCATCAACAATGCTACATATGCTCCAAGTCTATTCCCAGCTGCTATACACACTTTTTAGGCACAAACAAATGTGCCTTGTTTGACGACCAAGAGAAATGTCATGCAAGTGAGGTAAATATGGCAGAGAGAGGCAAGAGTTCTCGTTGAGGCTGAAAATCCGCATATCAACAGCCACGATCTTGATTTTCAAGTATCTGAGCGGGCGAGGATTATGACCAACCAAAAGAGCAGACCTAGCACGGATTCACCATGAGGGTGTTGCTAATGGAGGTGATGGAGGTAATGACGCCACTTCTCGCTAATTTACTTGCTGGCCGCTGACCGAGCCAATGTTCAGACTCGAAGAGATGCAGCCGCTAGAATGAAACGATGTATGCACGATTTTTATGGATAACAACAAAGACAAAAATATCAACAATTGCGATAGAAAAGGGAACGACAAGAGCGGCTTCAATAGCAACTTCACAATGACCTGCTTGGCAGATGTTTATGAGCAAGGGAACCGCATATTAACGAGGCCCAGCTGATAAAGCATGCGCTTCTCTTCAAAAAGCCCAGGTGAAACTATTTTAAAAGCACTTTAAAGATACTTCATAACTACGCTAATCATATGTATTGATCTTTCTATGCCCCACTTTAGATGTGATAGGCAGAATTATATACTATAACCAAAGAGATAAGCGGTATAGAGCCTCCATCAACCCTGCCCTGCATAAAGCGTTCTCACTCCACTCACCTCTTTCCCCACTACAGAATGGCTCGGAACCTCAACCGAAAAAGAGCTTTAGAGCGACATAAGGCGCTTGACCTAGCCAAATACCAACGAGTCGGCCAGAACTAAGTCTTCTTTCTGTTTCACCACTACAAGTGAACGTTAGCGGATGTCTTGAACAGCATTGAAAGAAGCACTAAATATGTCAAGCAAAAATAAGTGAAGCTAAATAATCTGTATAGGAACGCAAAGCAGCACAGAACACAGAAGACTATCTCCTACAGAACTAGCCGAACAAATTTCCCTTCCTAAAATCCCACTGGTACACAAGGACGACCCCTAGTCCCTACCGAAGTTTTGGATTTCACCAACATACTGTCTTTGTCGCTCGCTTAGCGATATTCGAATATCTTGTCTGAGAACGGTGAGCTCCAACGAACCACTACTCAACACCATAGACAAACCACCAAGTGTAGTGGTCTCTATAGTACTGAATATCGTGGTTGTTGTGAAGTCTGCTTTTTCATTGATGAAAGAACTAGCTACTTATAGTATATGGGTGCCCCTCTACTCTGGACGAATGTCAACATTCGTCCGAGATAGAAGAGACGGTGAAGACGGGACATTACTGTCGCGAATGCACATCGCTCAAGGGTGTTGTTTGCGATGAATGCATATTGTTCAAGGATGCTGTGATATACTAATCCAGTTCCGGAGTCGCTGTCTCGGCAGAAGCTTTTTCGGCCGAAATACTTTCCGTCTGTTGATGGCCTTGTTTCTCGGCTGTCGCAATACTGGAGCAACTCTAAATGTCATTAAAAATAGAGAAACAAGCTTCATCATTTTGTGTAGAACGCGATGCCAATTATACCAATTTAGGTGTATAAATATCATGTAGGCCGTAATTCGTAAAAGTTGTAGTAGGAAAAACTTAACGTTCGACCCAACCAAGGGTCTCTAAGTCGATCTGATTTGTATCAATCAACTCCTTTAGTGCGTTTCCACACTTCTCCTTCGTTATCGCATCGGCAGGATTTGATCCTCCTGCGATCCACTTGAGCTCTATCTAGCGTCGTTCATATGTTTGACGTAGTGCCATGATGTCGATCATAAGTTGTTTTTCTTATGTAGTCCCGAGACGTGTGACTATATCGTATACTAAGCGTGAGTCTATATAGAGTGTTAGGGGAATTCTGGGTAAATGCTCCACCGCACGCAGGATTTTATTTAAGGTTTGGTTGACTACGAAAGCGATATCTACTCTATGTGATATGGTATATAGCTCGGCGGCGAGCACACTCCTAGTGACTCTATGATATTTGATGGATGACCAGTATAGGATATTGGTATTAATGACCTGGTTTTGTCTATATCCATCAGCCATAGTGATGATATATCCGATCTAGCTGCTTAAATCATGATTTCTTGCAAATGATGCGTCAACGAATGCGATAAGCTGTAGCGTGTCTTCTTGAAGCTTAATAAAGTGAAGTCCTCTCGCTTGATTATCGATTTGCTATTAGATGCGCCTATTTAATCTCTCCGCATCTTCCTTTTTTAGGTTGATGACTTAAGCTGAAAAGGATAAGTCATATATGGCTTCTGGTTAGTAAACTGATGCGATATAAGCTCCACGAGCGTGTTAAGAGATATATACATCCTTTAAAACAATTTTGGTGGCGATGGTCTTTAGGCGTCGGTATTAATCGATTTGCGAAATTATAATCCTGTTTTTGCCTTTTCGGATGATGCTGCCGTTGAATTCAAGTGGATTGACCTCTATAAGCTTTTAAAGCGGTTTCGATAGAAGCTACGCCTTCTATAGTTCGTCCTCTTCCTTCTTAATGAATGTAGTATTCGCGAGGATTAAAGTGTCGTCTATCTATATTCCAACAATTCCAAAGTGTTTCTTGCTATAGAGGAGGCATGCATCATAGGTGGATTGCTCTATTCCTAGCTTTTCAAGATGATGCTTATGGTATGTCTGAAACTAATGATTGCCTGCTTCCGGGATTCTATAAAGGGGCTTTAAGACTTTTAGGACGGTGTCCTTTAGTAAACCAAATTTAGTAGGGGGTCGCATATAGAATTATTAGTTCAAGTCTGATATCGATTGTATATATGCCTATAAGATATCACGAAGGTATAAATCTGAATCGTCTCGCATCGCAGCGATAGATAGAATTATTCTTTAGCTAACATATTGAATCGTAGGTGCTTAGGTTAGAACAAATTCTTTTCTATGGTTATTATATGCCTATACCACGAGTCGTGACTTTTCTCTCGCTTAATCTATTCCTGCGTTTTTGATCTCATCGACGAACCTGGAATTAAAGAGTCGAATTCCTTTAGGCATTTCTGTTCGAGGCATGAATTTGAAGACTCCTTTAGCTAGTAATCTATTGATTTCGCTTTATCGAGAGGCGCGAAAGTCTGGTGTTAGGGTGTTCAGGAAGATAGTATTGATTTCATCTTCCGAATCTTCTTTATCTATGTCTTCGTCTTCTTGGCGCTTCAGATGTTGTGTATATCTTGGTTGTTATAAATTCCTGCCTCTGTTGTTGATGATGACGCTAAATGGTGGATCCTTATACGGCTATATATTAGGCTATATATTAGGCTGTGTATCTGGACTATTATGTTATATACCATTATTCTATGCGTCTAGTAGCGTATTGGTTTGCTGGTCTTCTTCTAGGAATGGCTTCACGATAGTTATCCGGAACGATCTTGGGCCTTTGACGCTGCTATCGATAACATATATATCTCCGTCGATTAAGAGTAGTGGGAATGGCCCTGTCCATTTTTTCTTCTTTTCTCTCTAGACAAGAACAGGAGAATTTAGTGGCAATCCTTGTGTAGCAGCTATGATAGGTCTATTTCGCATGTTCATGGCGTCTTGAATTTGTCGTTTTACTTATAGTTTCTTGACTTCCTGCATCGCTCTTGTAATAGCTGTAGCGCGCTATATAACTATTGGCGATGGGGTGTCTAGCTCCGCGAGTCGCGGAAACGCTCTAAAAACAAGTAGTGTAGGGATAAGACTATTTGGTCCGACCAAGTCGTTGATCGCTTTCTATATCATCTAGAGAGCTAGTTCCTTATCAACATTAGCTTCCCCTATTCCTATAGAGTCACTAAGCTCTTGTCTAATGATGTTATAGACTTGTTGTACTATAGCATAGTATCGCTCGACTTTTCCCACAGAATTATGCGCTTCGACTAGAACTATCTTTGCTGTGGTTCCTATAGTTTTTGCAAGATATCTGAATTCTTTGCTATCGAAATTGGTTCCTGCGTTGTTTATGATATTATCTAGGGGTCCTTGGTAAACATCGATCTAATAGAGTTGTAATGCTTCCCATATATGTTTAGCTGTTATGCCTTTTCCTTTTTATAACCATCTTCTACTTTGAAAGCTTATGGCTTCGTCGACAACATAAAGAACTAGATCTCCATCGATACTTATTATATCAATAATGATGCTATAATTGAAACATGCGTCGCCGTCCTTATCTTGAAGGATAAATCGGAATCGTCCTAGTGATTTCCCGAACTTCTGGCAATGTTCGTAAAACTTGGTGATATACTTAAGCGTATTCCTCTCTACCTTATATCCTGCTTTACTCAGAATTGCTTCAAGGCGGGCGACGGCAGGATGCCCTAGTCGTCGGTGAATTCTGCGTAACTTAGTATCTATTAACAGATATTCGGTAGATCCTTGAACAAATGCTATAATATATATAGGAGCTATTTTCTAGAGAAGGAATAGATGCCCAAATTGTCGTTTTACTGGTATCCGAAGGCCTGTCTTCCCTATTAGGACATCTTATAAATTATTATAATAGATCCCTAGACGATCTAGATCAGCGAGGCATAATAGGAATGGCGTATCTATATTCACGACGTGGAATTAAACTATTCCTATAGGTGTTTTGATATCTATTGATCCGATTGATCTACTAGTCCCGATGCTGAATTAAACATTGATTTATCCGGCGGTCGATTTATCGAGTTGGATACTAGGTTCTAGTTTCTATAAAGCTAGAAATTGACTATACCTAGTTATTGAGTTTCGGGATGCGCCTATATCGATCAGAATACTATAAAAGATGTCTGAATTATACCGCGATGTGGTAGTAGTGTATATAAATAGATCGCTCTTAGACTCTTGGATATAAGGGCTTATTCTATATAGATAAGCTTGATTCATGAGTTAATTATGCTAGATCTATATATCTGATATTAGCACCGGCCTAAATATTGTTAGGAATGTCTCGGAGTTATTATTATTATTACTTGATTCATCGGATTCGGATTCTGATTTAGGTTTAGATTTAGAGTCTGAAATAGTAGTTTTAAAGGCTTTAATATCGAGTTCTTTACCTTTATATATAACCATATATTGTCGAAACTATCGTTTAAAATCTCTAGATCCATTATTTCTAGTGAATTGTTCATGATATCGTTTCCTGGCTACTACGCGTTCCTCTGGTGAATGGTCCCATGATCGGTATTCTGTCTTTCTATCGACCTAGTATCTTCCTTTAGCTCGTGAAGATAAAGAGTCTCTTTTCTAGGTAACCTGCTTCCGTCGATCTGGTCTCTATTTCTTATGGAAGGTTCGATTAGTAATCCATGCTTTATCTAATATGTCCTAGGTATATTGTTGAGTCCTTTAGCGCGCGTTTTCGTAGGCCGCGATTAATGTCTTGAGACTTATAATCATCACGTTCGGATCAGACTATGGTATAGAAAGTATATTTTGATAAGCCGGGATATTTTGGTAATAGATGCTAAGCTTTTACGTAAATCCTTCTTTGTTTTATATATATTGACTAAGTGCTAGACGAATTCTAAGTAATTATTCAGTTATTTATTTAAAATACTATAGGATTATCTACGACGGATTTTCTTAGATTATTTTCGAGAGTGAGATATTGTTCTATTAGACCATCTTCTAGGTCATATAAAGTAGACTCTTAAAGTATGCCTTGATTCGACTATATGTTTCTGTAAAGGACTTTAAAGATAAGCTATAGGTATAATAGAATTCGCTGGCTTAGCTGGTAAACATTGCTAAAAGCGCTTTTTTGTATGCCTCTAGTAGTAAACCAGAGTATCGGCAGATGTCTTTAAAGATAGCGAGTTTCAGGTTGAATGAGTCCTCTAAGCCACTATACTATTACTCTTTCTTGTATGTTTTTCGGATATTTATTACTTCCTTCGAGTAATCTATTCGTTGCGGGTCTGGTTATGGTTCTAGGTATATGTTTTTAGGTCGTTGTTTATTCTATGTTTCCTAATCTGGTTGAAAAGGTGGTGGACCTCTATTACTATGATCTTGGCTTAGTGGAAGTTTTATATAATACTCCGCTCCTGGTGTGACTTCTCTAGGTCCTGGTAATAACGGATATCGGAGGTTTCCTTACGTATATTCCTGGTGCCGGGCGTCTTAAGTAGAAAACGGGTTATCTATTCGAGTTGGTCGGACATAAATTGACGTGGTGTCCTCTTGTTCTATTTCCTATTATAGTTATCGTATTTCGTTATTTTCCGCTGATTGTTGCATTTCGTCCTTGATCCTTTTAAGTTCTATATTAACTTGATTTAGGTTATTTGGAATAACTTCAATAAGAGATTATTTAATCTTATCCATCGTCTAGTTATATATTTCACGTGTTTACGCGAGGTCGAAGAGTACTTGGCTTAGCTCGTCTAGGAGCGATGGCTTAATATATACTCCTCCTTATATAAGGTATTATCGAATATATGCTTTCAGTTATATAGGAACTTTTTCCTATATCTCTATAGGAAAGAATTTGAAGTCAGCGATAAAGTGGTACCATAGTCTTCGTCTGAAAAGTTTCTATTATATATAGAGGAACATCGCAGTCTCGATATACTCAGCAACTTTAAGGAGTGAGGCATTATTAGGATCTTTATTCATTCTTTGGTCGAATTGTGCGACTCTCTCCTTCTATTCTTCCTCTATAGGTCTGAATAGTTCCTTGATCTCATCAAGAGGTGTAAGGTGTATAGGAGGTGTTAGGGAGATAGGGTATTGGCCGGGTGTTGGATGTTATCGCATAGGAGTTCTTGGGTTTAGGTGTTCTATGTCGTGTTCTGAGTCGGGGGGCCTTCCTGGAGTAGCCATGGTGGAGGTTTCAAAAAGGGATGATGGAGGTGGTGGTCTTTGATCAAAGAAAAGGATGGGTTCTTAGTTCCCTGATCTATAAACAAAATTAGGAGTGAGAAAAGGTTCTCTAAGAGTAAGAACTGATCAGTGTCGCTCGCTTAGCGATATTCGAATATCTTGTCTAAGAACGGTGAGCTCCAACGAACCACTACTCAACACCATAGACAAACCACCAAGTGTAGTGGTCTCTATAGTACTGAATATCGTGGTTGTTGTGAAGTCTGCTTTTTCATTGATGAAAGAACTAGCTACTTATAGTATATAGGTGCCCCTCTGCTCTAGACGAATGTCAACATTCGTCCGAGACAGAAGAGACGGTAAAGACGGGACATTACTGTCGCGAATGCACATCGCTCAAGGGTGTCGTTTACGATGAATGCATATCGTTCAAGGATGCCGTGATATACTAATCCAGTTCCGGAGTCGCTGTCTCGGCAGAAGCTTTTTCGGCCGAAATACTTTCCGTCTGTTGATGGCCTTGTTTCTCGGCTGTCGCAACAGTCTTCCCTCGCCGTTGTTTGCATACAAGTTCCCACTGCCGTGTTGGACATTATTCGTCTGTGCTCCACCTCCGGTACTGAAATTCATTGTTGAGTTATCTTCTCCTGGCCTAGAGATAAAAGACTTCATCTCATCCATAATTTCTTTAAGTTCTGCATTTTGGCTCTGATTGGCAGACTTGGCCGCATTATGATTAGTCACGAGCTGAACCTCTTTAGTAAGACTTAGCATGAGCTCTTCGACTTTGTTCCCTTTACCGAGTCTACGAAGGATTTTCGAATATCGCTGTTCTCTTGTGTCACTCTCGCCGGGTACGACCTTCTGAAAGATTTCCACCAAGTTCTTGCTTTTATTTGACAAATATAAAGTGTAGTGTCCAGAGCTTCACAAACATCTTTGGGAATCGAGTCTTTTCGAGCTTCGAGGTCTTCTTTGCATGTAGCGAGGGTCTGGAGAATGACAGGGAGCCGTCGTCGAACCGTTTCGAATATCTCAGATAATTTGATATCTTGTTGCGACAGCCGAGAAACAAGGCCATCAACAGACGGAAAGTATTTCGGCCGAAAAAGCTTCTGCCAAGACAGTGACTCTGGAACTAGATTAGTATATGACGGCATCCTTGAACGATATGCATTCATCGCAAACGACACCCTTGAGCGATGTGCATTCGCGACAGTAATGTCCCGTCTTCACCGTCTCTTCTGTCTCGGACGAATGTTGACATTCGTCCAGGGCAGAGGGGCACCCATATACTATAAGTAGCTAGTTCTTTCATCAATGAAAAAGCAGACTTTCACAACAATCGCAATATTCAGTATCGTAGCATCCACTACATCCGGTGGATTTTCTACGGTGTTGAGTAGCGGTTTGTTGGAGCTCACTGTTCTCAGTAACGAGCGACTAGCTAGCTACGCTCGCTAAGCGAGCGACATATCTCTCTTCGCACTATCATAAATTTTATAGAAGTTTCGATAAGTGCAATGACCGCAGAGATGGTGCCAATCACTTCAGCCATTCTTGAAGGTTATAGCGATAGGGAATGGAAGTTGTCTAGATATGTCGGATGCTCAAAAGCGGTATCTTTGACAGCGAAAGAATACTTGATGGAGAAGAATGGGCGGCAGTTCTTAACCAAAAATGATGTGGCTGCTTATAGATAGGTTAACAGTCCTTACCTAAGTGATTAGGATCCCTAGGCGTACCGGCTAACACACTTATGAATTGATTATTCATTGGATATTTAGGCGTGATCACTTACATATTCCTGCATTAGTGTGTGCCTGAGTTCCGTGCCAGCGCTAATCAAATCAGAAGCGAAAATACGAGGTAGATAGAAATAACAATAACTCCGTAATATTGTTGCGCGTTCGGCGGCTGCGGTCATCGAAAGTGTTATCAGTATACCTGCCGCAAGTGTCAACGCTTGTGGAGTAATTAGTGCTGATAGAGGTCCTGAAAATAGAACTATGGACGCATGATATATCATATTAGATAATTTAATCATGAATATGTAGTATCTATGGCGCTAGCATGCATGCTCTATCAATCACGAGGAAGGTGCATCGCCACCTTATAAGGCAGACAGCCTACCCCGCCTTTCTCTCAGTCAGCTCTCCGACAACTCGCTCATGAACTGATCACTAAGGGTATTAAAGCTGTTTTCAACCGCTAAGCGATCATGCCTGCCGATACGCAGCAAAACATCGAACGCAAAAGTTTCTTAAAAGGAATAAAATCTCTTCAAATACCGTCACATCCCCTGAACAGTGGTACAAGAACTCAGATAAACAACAGCAACAGCGATAGCGGAAGGCAGTATATCAACAACAGCAATGGAAATCAATGGAATGCGGAGACCCAGAACTTCGGTAAGCAGTGTGTATGATTCAAGATATGTTTACCAAGATTAAATATTCCGGCTAACTATTATTAGATATTAAGCAGAAGGAGGACTTCGGCTTCCATAGGCCTGTTGGTCTCTGTCTCCGGAAAGCACCAATTATCGCACGAGAGCTTTTTATTGGCCGTGTCTCTGAGCTTAATCAAATGGAAGAGCATTTAAATGGAGCTCAACGTCAACCATGCCTAGTTCTCGGTGGGATGGGTGGCATCGGCAAGACTCGACTTGCTCTCACCTACGCCGAGTCGCAATCTGATTTTTATGGCTCAGTCTTCTGGCTTAATGCAACAAGCGAAGCTACAATTATAGATAGTTTTCGGTCAATTGCAGGCATCATTTTTGAAGTACAAGACTCTAAGCTTTTAGAGGGCAAGGAGGTGATCGGACGTGTGCACCACTGGCTTTCTGATACGAAAAATCCTAGCTGGCTCATGATTTTCGATAATTACTGTAATAGGTTGAATCCTGGTGAACTATCACGTGGTTGTACCACGTGACCCACCAACCGCATACCTCACGATTCCACCCCGAATTGTTCATGTTCTTCAAGGATTTTGTAAATAGCATGTGCCTAGCTAGTTCTGAATTCAAGATTAGCTTTAGCCCTTCACATACAAAATCCTTCCTCTAACGAGAGTAAAACCCACGACCGACGATAAGAAAAGCGCTCTCAGAAAGTATCTGATCGAGCCATATACGACAGACGAACGAATCGCTCTCGGAAAGAATCCGATCGAGCATACCAACGAATACGAAAAGCTCTTAGAAAGTATCTAATTGAGCGTCCTACGAATACGAAATCGCTCTTAGAAAGTATCTAGTTGAGCATCCGATAAACGAATTGAAGACGGAAAGCATCCGATTCAAACACGAGAAGAAAACGAATATCTTCATCATCATGACTGTAAGCGAACCGTCGAGCCCACCCGAGTAGGCCAGGACGTTGATGCAGCACATCAGTCAGACAAGTATTAGTACCGATGAGAGAATTAGAAGACTCGAAGAATTAGTGGTTCGGTCCTAGGAGCGAGCCGCTCCCGAACCACCCACGGAACCATAAGGGATACCAATCGAATCAACCAGCGATAATAACCAGATTCGACGACCTCGCCCTCGTCTCCCCGACCCCGCGATATATATAGGAAACATCTCTGATTGGCCAACCTAGAGAATCTCGATAGAGAACAAATTGCTAGTAGACGGAGCTGCCATCGGTACCCTATAGGAGCAATTCCTCTATATATTTTCCCGCCTAGAGAAAATGGCCGCCAAGAACACCGGAATGTTTATGAAGACACAACGAAGCGAAGGTAACCTATATATGCTTCTAGAATATCTTGAGAGGATGTATAGGGACCCTAACGCTCGGTCACGAGCAGCTCGGCGTCTATATTAGCTTAAATAGAAGCCCGACTAGCCTTTTTCACGATTCCTTCCCTAGTTAGAAAGAGAGCTCGTAGATGCTGGTGCAACCGAATAGCACGACGAAGTAAAACAACAACTCTTACTAAATGCTCTTAACGAAGATATAACGAATTCGCTTATGAATTGTGGTGTTCCCTATGATTTTATAGGTCTTATCATACGGCTCCACGAAATCGACACTAATAGTGAGATACTAAATATTGTATTAGGCAGACGCTAGTTATCTACTCGCTAGCGAATCTAAAGAGATTAATCAACCACAGCTATAGAGGATAGGATGGACTAGACTCTAACAATAAACACGAATACCATATAGACGAATTTGTCCCGATTCGTGAACGAAAAGGGATAGGTTCGTAAAGAGGATCAATATCTTATAGGAAAATATGTAAAATAGGTCGAGAAAGAAGAACTCCAACGTCGCTATATAGAAAAGAGATGTCTACAATATGGTCGAGACAACTGTTGGTAAAGCGTATGCCCTTTACTACCCGCACGGAATCCGAACCAAGTGGTGGTACAGAATATAGTAGTCGAAGAACCAAGATCGAGCCACCCCTAAAGAAGGGAGTATTCGCTAGCGATTAAAGAAGAGGAAGCGGAGAATGATTCGGGAAAAGATTAGCTCCTACACTAAACCACAAGCAGGAGCAGAAGGGGGTTAAGAAGCTGCTAAAGAAAGAGGTGTTATTCTATATTGATGCTAGAGTTAATAGAATTTAATTCGCGAAGACTTTAGTAGATAACGGAAGCGATAGCTATATATCTATCAGCGGACACCTAGTGTAATCTCTTAACCTTCTATGTATCCCGATTCCACCACGAATCCTGAATAGAGTCATTAAGAATCAAGGACGGATCACTTAGGCTATATACTTCGATCTTGATGTTAATGGACTATAATAGTAGAAAGTCTTTGCCTATATCATTCTAAGATAGTTAGACGAAATGATACTTAGGACGCCTTGGTTAAAAGATGTCGACGGAGTTTATGCTGCGAAACGAGGGTATTTAGATATCTATTCGAGAAATAGAGAGCGTATTCGTTATTAGAACCATATCGACCCATTAATCGGTCCAACAAAAGTAAAGAGATTGAAAGTATAGCAATCATCTATGGGAGAAATCAAAGAACTATTCGATAGCGTTTCGTCGCCGGACCACCTCCGAATAGCTAAAATGACTATAGATAATATCGATAAGGCGCTATAACCTAAGAAATTCACCGATCTGAGAGCTAAACTTCCCCCATAATATCTCCCTTAGTTAGATGTTTTTAGCTAGGAGAAAGCAGATAAGCTTCCGAGCCATCGCCTAGGGATCGATCATAAGATATCCTTGATACGCGATAGAAATAGTAATAAATCGATACCACCTTATAGGCCATTATATAGAATGAATAGAGAAGAGCTATTAGTTCTACGAAAAACTCTTACCGATCTACTAGGAAAAGGATTTATACAAGTCAGTAAATCGCTAGCAGCTTCACCAGTGTTATTAGTACGAAAACCTGGTGGAGGTATCCGATTCTATATCGATTATAGAGGGTTAAACTCTATAACCATTAAGGACTGTTACCCCCTACCTCTGATTCAAGAAATACTACGAAACATGTCGAAGGCTCGCTGGTTTACTAAACTCGATATCATAGCGGCTTTCTATAAGATCAGAATATAGGAAGGCGAAGAATGGAAGATAGCGTTTCGAACACGATATAGGCTCTATAAGTGGCTAGTTATACCTTTTGGCCTGACTAGCGCTCCCGCAACCTTCTAATAGTATATCAATGAAGTTCTACGCGAATTTCTCGACGAGTTTGTGTTAGTATATATGGACGATATCATTATTTACTCCGACGGATCGATCACGGATCATAGACGAAAAGTACGCGAGGTGCTCTAAAAGCTAAGAGATGCTGGACTTTAATACGATATCGAGAAATCTGAATTTGAATAGAGCTCTATAAAATACCTAGGGTTCATCATATAAGCTAGAGAAGGTCTATATATAGACCTAAAGAAAGTTGAAGCTATTAAGCTATAGGAAGCACCTACTAATATCCGAGAAGTACGTGGTTTTATTAGATTCGCTAACTTCTACCAGACGTTTATACCACGATTCGTAGACGTCTCTACACCATTGGTGTAGTTGACAAAGAAAGATATAATATTTAAATGGGACAAGGAGAAACAAGAATCATTCGAGACCCTAAAGGACCTCTTTATCTCTGCACCAATATTGGCTTATTTCCGAGAAGACACCGAAATAATAGTGGAAACAGACGCATCTAGATGGGCGATAGGAGCAGTCTTATCCTAAAGATAAGAAGATGGGACGCTAAGACCATGCGCCTATCTCTCGCGTAAGTTCTTACCTATAGAGACTAATTATATGATACACGATAAGGAATTACTCGCTATTATCTATGCGCTACAGGAATAGAAGCTAGAGCTAAAGATGGTCCCGCGATTTGTGGTCTTAACAGACCACAAAAATCTACGATATTTTCATAAGGCGCAGGATCTAAGCGAACGATAAATAAGATGGGCAGACATCCTGGCCGAATTCGACTTTAAGCTACGATATCGACCCGGGAAACAGGCGATCTAACCAGATACTCTATCCCGGCGAGGACAAGACGAACCTAAAGGAATCTCTAATAAGAGGCTCACGAATCGTTTCCGGAAACTCTTCGAATCAGTAACGATCTATAATAATAGCACTAAACCAAGTCCACCTTTAGACTTTGATATAGAGTATACAGGCGGCGGGGTGGCAGGGTCGACCCCGCCACCCTACCACCCGACGAACTTTTCGTCTTATCGGCCAATAAAAACTCTGTATTTCATTTTTTGTGGGTAATATGATACATCATAATAAGTTTGTCGGGGAGCTAAAAAAAAAGGTCGTCGGGTAGTGGTAAATAGCCATCTTATGTGGTAATATGCAAGATTTGACTTATGGTGCTTCAACCCTACCACCCCGCCACCTAGCTTCAATTTTCGATAATTTACCAGGAATTTGTAAAATGTTTCTTCCTTCATTCAACAATAAAACAGTCAACTCAATTCAGATTTTGATAATATAGATATAATTATTAAAGGAATTCCCAAGAATAATACTTTGGAACTGGTTTTAGGAACTTATTATCATTTTTTGGAGTTTTCATCTAAAATTATAAAATTTCATAACAATATATCTATATCTGTATATATATCTGTAGACTGTATCTATTTACATCTCAGTCCTTGCAAATCGATTCCTATCTTTTACCATCTTTTACTGATCCTTACCATTATTTACTAGACTGAAGATTTAGGTATTTGCTTTTTTTATCTATTTATACTTCTCTATATATATCGCTTAATTTCTAAGAATATGATCTCTCATAATTCAATTTATGAACCCACAAATTCTCTTCTATTTATACAGATTTCTCTTTTTTTTCATTTCTGTTTGCCTTCACTTTCTTAAGAATCTTTATAATTATGGCTGTGAAGGGCTAAAGCTAATCTTGAATTCAGAACTAGCTAGGCACATGCTGTTTACAAAATCCTTGAAGAACGTAAACAATTCGGGGTGGAATCGTGAGGTATGCGGTTGGTGGGTCACGTGGTACAACCACGTGATAGTTCACCAGGATTCAACCTGTTACAATAGTAGTATAATGGTGCTTAGTGATTAGTGCTTAGTGCTTAATATTTTAATTTTAAGGTTTTTGATATCAAGTGATTTAAGAAAAGACTATTTAAGATGTTTATTTTTATACAGATATCCTTAAAATTAAGATTTATAAAGATATTATATTTAATTTGGAAAGATAATAGTTGATATGTTTCAAGAAATCATAAAATCTAGTAAATAATGGTAAGGATCAGTAAAAGATGGTAAAAGATAGGAATCGATTTGCAAGGACTG